GCTTTGTTCTCCGTACTAATGTCACTAGAATTGCCTTTGTTTTCGTTTGTTTGTTTGTTTGTTTTTCTTTCGCCTGCTCCAATATTTTATTTCTTTTCTTATTATTTGATCAGCTTGCACCTGAGGTAAATCCCTTTCGTCCGTTGAATCTGAAACTATTTGCTTTTTGTGTCAGATGAACCATGATCTGCTTATTCGTCGCCCCACTAACTGCCGGAGATTACACCCTGGTGGATTAGCCAAACTAATGAATACATAGCATTGGGCGTATGTGCAGCTTATGGCTCACAACTTCGGACTCCCGGCCGACTCTTACTATGTAAAGTGAAAAAAGAGCATACGACACTCCGTGCATTCTCCGGACTCCGAAAGAAAGAGTAAGAGCTAGAAGCCAACAAAATGTCGACACTCGGACCTCCTGCTCGCCGGTTTTTTTTTTGGCAGTGGAAATTATCTGCAATCTCCTGATCTGAGAATAGAAACGGTGGGATCTTACGTACAAAGAGGCGTCTTGCAGGATCTCCGTGTTGCAATTGTTTGTTAGCCCGCTCTTTCCCGCTCCATCTACGGAGGACGGGGTACCGAGTATCTAATTATTGCGTACTCCGTACTCCATATTCCGTACTTTGTCACGGATGATCAAATTTGAGAACTTGGGCAGGGGGTCGGAGAGATTGATTGTTTAGGCAGAGTATGTAATCGGTTTTAGGATTTTGGTCAGGGATTTTTGATTGATTGTCAAAGGCGGGGAATTTGTGAAACAACGATCCGAGGTTCTGCAGGTCAGCCTAGATATTTACAAGGGTTTTTACGGACATCGGTGGCCTGAGGTCTGACTACAGGCTTCAGACCTGGGGATGCATGCAAGTCCAATTTGCACAAGGAACCGAAAGGGGTCAAGGTAAAAAAAGGACGATGGAATTTTGTACGTACACTGAAAAAGCAAAACAAGAAAAAGAAAAAGAAACGGGGGGGGGGAGAGTGCAGCGGACTTGACTCTTGTGACGCTGCAATGCATGGTTCCTGACTCGCGAATGATATCGCTTGCTTTGTGTTGGTTTTTGTTATTTTTGACCTTCCTTACCTTTGATCCATTGTTGCTTTTTTCTTTCACTTTTGAACGCCGACCGAGTGGAAATGTCAAATGTCACATTCCTCGCAACGAGGTTGCAACGTGAGACATGAATCTTAATTACTCAAGTGCACAATCCTCCTTGCGAAAGGATTCGCCTGGCACGACTCATGATCATGATCATAATCATGAGCGACCGAGGTCACCCACTATGACGAGAAACGTTGGGACATCCGATGCAGTGTCGGATGTTGGATATTAGTCTTGATGTCAAGGCCAATCAGCAAAGCTACATGCACTGACGACAGAACCTAGGACAGGGCTAATGCCTCAACTATCACACCGCGAGCCAGTCACCCGGGACGGTAGCGAGCAGTAGTGTCGGGCTAGCACGGCGAGATGGGAGCACACGTTATCTTGTCAAGTCAAGAGAAAGACAAGAGATAGCATGCAAAATATTCGGAGGTCGGAGATCGGAGGGTCTGTGGACAGTGGCAGGCAAGGAGGGTGGATGTCGTATCTGGCGATATTGAGGTCACATTGTGTCGGGATTTCGGACCTCATACTCGTTAGGAGTTGACAGGTGCTCTCGGCACACGGCTATTCCTAGAGTAGTAGGAGACGATGGATTGATTCTTCACGGAGGGTACAGCCCATCTCCGCGGTGGACGAGGTCTCCACCGCAATACGAGTCAAGGTTTTGCCTTTGATGACCAGACCATTTCAACAGCCTCTGGTTCGCCCCCAATGCCCTCATTCTTTGCGATCCACTGGTACTCACTCATTAGACTCGGTGATCTCCGTGCACGGAAGATACAGGACCACTACGGAGTCATGGAGAGTGGACGACTCCGTACGGAGTACAAAGGTATGGACCATGATAGAGAAATGACGCCCTGGGTCTGAGACGATCGGTCTCCCCCTTGTTGATCTTCGTGGGGCGCGGCCGCCTGACGACATCTTCGCTATTAGATGAGAATGTATGATTGGTTGATGATAATACGAGGCTGCGTCGGCTATGCATTTCCCTGCTGAAATTGATTAGCGGTATCGTAATTACGAATAGTCTCCTCCACAAATGTGTACGGATAATACCTCCATCAGTATGTATCCTATATAGAATACAGAGTACCTAGGTACGAAGGGGGGGAGGATATCTATTCCAACAGACGCTGGCATTGGTAATTCATTGCGAGCCTGACAGCCTCAATCTGACTTCAATAAGACGCAATATTCCAAGCTTAGTATCATTCCGCGAGTCGGCCATCCCATGTCCCGCCTTGTATTCACACCGTTCATTCTCTGCAGGCACGAGACGCCTGTACAAGACATTTCAATCCACATACCCACTTGAGAAAGTCAACTTACAAAGTCTAACAAAAGCCGAAGCCGCTATGTATCTAAGTGGCACCAATCTAAACAGCATCCACCAAGCTGATACGCTCAGTCCAATGTCAAACACCAGCAGAGCCTCACAACATCCTCTCCTCGCACTAGGGCTGCAGTAGTCGTTGCCCGCTAAACGAGAAACTAATGCCAGACCCGCCAGGCGCAGCCGAGTTGCATGGCCTGGCTTGCTGCAGGACGGTGCGGAGGCGATTGTAGACTAGCAACTGGAGACTTGATCTGGTCTGGCCTGGTCTAGAGTATGGAGTATGCATTCGAGTTGAATTGCTGAATAGGTATCAAGGAGGCCTAGGAGGAGCAGATCGCCGGTTTTCGCTGCGGGTTTTTGTTTACGCGGAAGATTTATTTCTGCCGTGGATTCGGAGGTTCCATAATTCGTGATTTGGTGAGATGGATATCGCGACAGCTACTATTGATGTTGATGTTCATTTGCGGATCTTATATTCGGCCGCCTCCCGTGTTATGTGTGTATTGATGTGTGTAAATCGGCGTGGAACGGAGTACGCGGGCACGGATACGGAATTTTCTCCAGTTTTCTGTATTTTTTATTATGTATTTTGTATTTTACATATATATTTTTTCCATGTTTCTTTTTTTTCTTCAGCTACGTCGACATCTTTTCCTCCCCTGCAGAAAAGGCGAAAGAAGATGGAGATGCCCGAGGCTGCGTTGTACATATCTCTACTCCTTCTCAAACAATTAGTACATTAGTATGCCAGCATTGTTGAGAAAGGTGAACCCCGGGGTACGATACTACAAAATTGTAGATCGACAGTACTTAGCTCGAACTGGGATGAATCCATACTCCGTACATGTTATCAATACCCTAAAACAAAACAGACTGAACATACCTGCAACTGTTATCGAAGTGGCCTGGCCAGTGCGGGCTTTTTTTGCAACTAATATTCCTCACTGCCAGTGTTCAGTCTAGTCTCCGTAACTTCAACTACCTAGTCTCTATAATAGGTGTGTATATGTATTCCATAGTACCCAGTCTTTATACTTCCCCCGCTACCAACACCTGACACTGCATGGCATATAAGCACACCCCTACACCATTTGCATCACCGAACTAGTCAACCTAATAGACTCATTCAGTCTAGAGTAAACATCGTACCCTCGTGCTCGGATCGCTCCTGATGGATCGGCTGCATAATGCATGTAGCAAACTGCTTCGGGGCATGAGAGCTAGCCAAATCATAGACTGGTCCTCGCTCGGGATCTGACCAATCTAGTACATTGATATTCGTACTTCACCACTCTTTCCGGAAGGTGCATTTGTGCGAATAATATTCTTCTTTGGGTGTTGGTTTGAGGAAAGTTTGTTTTTGTCGGCACTTGGGGGTGCCGGCACTTGGTTGGCTGACTCGGATGAAGGTATGGCTGCCAGTGCCATCGTGATAGCCTGAGTACCTACCATACTGGATACTGGTTGTAGTCTAGTATGTAGTATGTCATGATACTAGTACTAGTCGATAGAACGATAGCCATCTACAGCCCTGGAGTACTACGTAGTAGCGTAAACCACCTGCAGTAGGCTTAGGTCGTAGTATACCATTCTCCGACAGTACTTCAGTAGCCTACTACCTAGTACTGATGTATGTTTGCTTCTGATTCAGATGCACAAACTCCGGATATCTACCTAGGTAGATGCTACATAGTACTGCACATCTCGAATGGTGCGCCAAGCCCAAGCTTCTATTTTATCTTCACGGGGATTTTCGTTCCACCCATCATATCTACTCCATTCATTGTTCAAATCTTGCCAGGCATCAATCATCCGAATATCGCCGGCCGATAATACCCGACATTTAGTAACCCCTCCGCATCTCAACTGCCCCAACTTCTCAGCGCAACCCCGCATCAGCCCCCCCCCCACGCGGCATGAGTGGATGTTGAACTATGCAACCAATTCGCGCAAGACAATTAAGGAAAGCAAAACAAGAAGTACGAAGCGAGGAGGCTTTTCGGATGACCCGGTGATCTAATCATGAATCATGAAACGGGGATGCGATGCGATGCGATGAGGTCACGGTCAGACTTTGTGGAAACTCGAATAGCCGGCGATCCCGATACTGGTCGGGTAAGATAATTAAAGGCATTGGTGGGAGGGAGGAGGTCAGAGACGTGGTCGATGTCAAATAGAGTAGCAAATGGAGTGTACGTGTGTAGATGGCTATGCCTACCACTAGGCAAAGATCGCGCAGCAGCCACGGCGTTTGCGCAAGAGATACGCGCAGGGAATGACTGGTCCTTCTGTGCCCGAGAGACAAAAGAGGAAGCAAGAAAGAAACTCTGGAAGGAGACAAAGGCTTGACAGGGGGTGTACTGGGCGCTGGGTCCGATTCAAGTTCTTCGAACCTCGTTTTATCTTGGTGCATATTGCACACCATCTCGGATAAAGCCACCAACAAACAACGACTAACAACAACGACAGCAGCCAACAAAGTAAATTCGGGAAATAAATGCATAATCATTTGTCCAATCGCAATTCATTTAATATACAAACCCCACCAATCGATCAATTACTCTCATCGTCAGAATCGACGTAGCGCTGCCGATACCCACCAAAAGCAGACCCGAACCGAGCGCCGCTCTCACTTCCAGAATCGTTGATATCGAATTCCTCATCGTCAGACACGCCGTGGCGTCGGTATTTACTGTAAATGGCGGACGGGTCGTCTTCCTCGTCTGACGAGGAGAGTTCTTCGTCGGGGTAATCATTGGCAGGATTGTTTTCAGCTAGGACGAATCAGCGATATGTTTAACGAGATAGAAGGAAGGTGGTTGGGGGTAAAAAAGGCAAATATAGACTTGAAACTTACCGTTCGAATCAGCATCCTCACTATCCCACTCTTCCTCGTCATCCTCGATGAAATTCTCCCAATACTCCTCATCCTCGGCCGTAATGACAATGACACCCACACCGGCGCGGGAAGCCTCAAGATCCTTTAACTGTTGATCGGACTCGAGTTCAGCCAATGGGTTCCTAAGCATATCTGTCTCGGCCAGCGGTCGCCGGATATACACATCGTAGACGTAATCATCATCATTGTCATCCACAGCCTGGGCATCCACATTCGCTGAAGCATCTGCCATACCTTTCTCCGTAGGCTGTGTCGGTGCTTGTGCCTGCACCGCCGCACCACGAGGTTCCTTCGGCAACCGCGGCTGGTATTTAGTTGAAGAGGGTGCGGGCGAAGCAAAACGAGAATAATCGGGCTTGGGCGCCGGAGCACGAGCGGGACTAGCCTGAGCACGAGTATCCTCGTGAGAACCATCATCAATCTCCATATCATTCTCTAACTCCAGCGCAACCTTTTCAAACTCCCGCGCCAACCGCTCAGACTCCTCGTCCCAGGACTGAGCTGACTTGGCCCAGGCGGATTTCTCCAACGTCTCCTCGAGATGGGACTTGGCTGCGGAGACGGCTGTTTTGCGTTCCTCGCGCCATTTCTTCTCGGCTTGGTTTACGACTGGTCTTTTGCGCGGCTTGATTGGCGCGTCGTCTGTGACTGCTGATGAGTCTGCGAGAGGATGGTCTCGATCCGCCACAATTCCTTCAGCCTGAGCCTGGGAGTCTCCAACTAAATCCGCAACCATGGACGCCTTTCGCGAATGCTGGTTTCGCTGTAGCTGCTCAACAAGAACGGCGACACCAGGCGAACCCTCGGCACGTCGTTTTTGAACACCGCCCGCACCCCGGAGTCCCAGGGCCGGAGAACTCGTTCTCGAGATCTGGAATCTGCGTACAGAGGCTGCACGACTCGATGGTGTTGCAGCACCGCTTGTCTCTGTTGAAACTGGGCCCGAGCCTGGGGCTGAGCGTGAAACCCGGGGTGTGATAGCCGCTGTTGCTGCCGCATGGCTATACGATGGGCTCGGAGGCGCCGTTGCCGATGGGTGCTGAACATTCGGGAGCAAGTCTGGACGCAGAGCACGCTTGCGCTTCTCATCGGCGTCTTTCTGCGCTGCGGCGCGGCGCTGGGCGTCGCGGATCTCTGCGCCTGGAGACGTAGCCCGGACAGTGGGGACGCCGCTGGATGATGACGATGCTAATGATGAGATGGGCTGATGAGTTGCATTGGCTCGTCTGTTCACGTGCAGGCTGCTCACGGAGCGTGGGCTGCGGAGGAGTCGCTGTGCTGCTGGGTGGGGAGATGCATTGCCATTGCCATTTTCATTTTCATTGTCCAGATCACTGGCTTTGAGTGGAACTCTTTGAAAGACGAAGTCCGTGAAACGGCGCTTCGTTTGGTGGAGGGCTGATTGGATATCTGGGTGGGATGTTAGCTATTGCTGTCTGGGTTGGTTGGGTTTGTGCAATCAATTGGAAGTTTGGGGGTTTGGTTGGATTATGGATGATTGCATTTTGTTAAAAAGTGGATGAGAAGGTAAGAGCCAATGGCTTAAGCATGTTCAAAGTCTGATTGACCTGACCTGGCTTTCCTTGGTGGGGTGTAGATCGTGGGGTCAAAAAAATAACAATCATGGAGAAAGCTGCAGAATGGGCGTATACATACACAACGTCTCGACGGGTTCTTCCTCGCGTCGCCGTTTGATATTGATCTGCTCTGGGGGGAGAGCCATATGGAGGTGGATGGTGGATATATAGGGGATCGGAAATCGGGGATCGAAGCTGGGAGATTGGAAGATGGAGATGTCATTCACGCGAGCTGAGTCAGGTCACGTGATATGTAGATCGGAGATTGAGATGAGATGAGATTGTACTTGGAGAGTTAAAGAGCTAGTCAATGTAGATTAATTGCTTTCTAATCGTATACCGTAAATTGCAGAGGACCACCATTGCGTTGACTCATTTCATTCTTCCCCGGGAGCTTTCCATTATGTAATTACACATCTGCCCGCCCACCCCAATTCAACAACCAGGGGGTGAACAAAAAGACGGGGTATTTTTCACTGGATTGTACCACCCGATGCAACCTGCCCAATGGCAAAAACATTCAATAATGGTTCAAAAAAAGAGAAGTGTCAAGATGACTGAAAAGAGGGACCCGATATCTGGAGACGATGGGAGACATAGCCGGGCAATCACCAAGACCATGCAACTCATCCAGAAAGGGTGGATAGAATAAGACAAAAAGACAAGCCCTTGCCTCCATTGGTTGTGAAATCGGGAAACACGAAGTAAGGAAAGGGAGAAAACATAGCCAGCTAGCAATACAAAGTGGTAACGAAGACCGGGATTAAAGGGGATAGAAGGATCATTGGCGGCGAAGGAGACATGCTTGGACATAACAGGTTAATCCAAAACAATCACAAGAGGTCAAACAAAAAACGACAAGAGAGAAGAAAAGAAAAGGGGGTTAGAAGAGAATGTCGAAGAGTCAGAAAGAGAGGGAGAAAAAATCGAGATATTAAGACCAATACAAGAAACGAAGTCAGATGCAGAGATGGCGTCACGATCAAAATAAACTATATGTAAAAAAGTGATAAAAAAAGAGAAGAAAAAGAAGAAATAAAAAGAAGGGAGAAAATGCCATTAGAGTTCCCCAAGGGTAATGAGTCGAATTATGCATCTTCAGAGAAGAAGCGTGGTGAGGAGGAATGGGCTTATTTGGCGCCAATTTCTTCTTCGGCCCAGCCAGGCAGCGAGTTCTCGTTTTGGATGGCAAGACCGAAGCCCGAGTGGTTCAATCCACCCAGGGCGGACGAGAAGCTAGAAAAGCTGGCCTGAGGCTGATGGGTAGTGCCGGTGCGAATATGACCACTCTGTCCAGAGACAGGACCAAAAGGCTCCTGGGAGAAAGACGGCAGGCTCACAGCACGCGAGTGCGAGGCACGAGGGACGCTCAGGCTACTAGTACTTGCTGTGGCATGGTGGCCAGGACCGGAGCCAGAGCCAACGCTGAGGTAGCCGTTGCCCGAGGGCTTGTGTTGATGCTGGTGGTGCTGATGTTGGTGCTGGTGCTGGTGCTGATGCATTGGTGCCTCCATGCTTCCATTGGAGAGATCGCCGTTGCTAGAGCTGTTGTACAGGGATTGCTGCGGCATCTGGGACTGAGCCTGTAGACTGGCCAAAGCCATCGGGTCATGCAGGCCGTTCTCCTGGTCCTGAGATTGCTGGGACATTTGGTTCAGGTACATAGTCAAGGGGTTGTTCGAGCCCACATTCAGCACACCGGAAGGAGAGGACACGTTCTGTAATGGGTGACGATGTTGTCCGTTCTGAGAACCGTTGGAGCCCGAGGCGGGCGAGAGCGCCGGGCGAGTTGGACTCGACTGGGAGCCAGACTGGCTCAGAGGCTGTTGGAAGCCATTGATGGCGGGTGAAGGGGACTGGGGCCCTTCCAGTCCCTGTCCGTTGCGGCCCTGGGAGTTGGGGTTGTTGCCAGCCTGGCGCGGGGGGGTTACCACAACGATCCTTTCCAAAGTTGATCTTGAATCGGCGGTACTCCTCGCGGTTACGCATTCCCTCGATCGCCTTGATCGCGTTGGCGATGTTGGTAAAGTTGACGAATGCGCAGCTCTTCTCACGTAGAGTGTTCACCAATTCGATCTCCCCGTATTCCGAGAAGTCCTGGCGCAGACGTTCCTCAGTCCAGGCCTCATCCAAGTTTCCAATATAGACATTTCGAGATGCGCCGCCGCTCACTGCGAGTGCAATGGCCGGTGGGAGAGGTCCGGAATGCTTGCCCCATCCGATCTTTAATCGTCGGTTGTGGATCATCAGACCTTGGAGGTTGCTCAGGGCGTAGAAAGAGGCGGCCGAGGTCGGGTCGATGAAGGTAACAAAGCAGATGTGCTTGTCGGGGATATAACGGATATGGTGAAGGAGGCCCCCACGCACGACGTTGCAAATTTCCTCGATGGTGGTCTCTGGGTGGATGTTTCCAAGGTAAATAGTCCGGTTGCCCAAGTTGTTGACGCCGCCAGCCGTGGTCGCAACGGCGGCCGCAGCCACGGATTGCTGGGCCAGCGCGTTTGAAATTAAATCGCGATCGGCCGAGTTCAGAACATGCGCATAGCCCGGCGCGATACCAAGGAACTGCGCTGCGTTCTGTTGCTGGGTCTTGGACACGTAGGCGCATCGATCCTTACCGTAGAAGACGCGCTTGGGGGCTTGCCATTGGGCTTCCTGGGGAAGCTGTGTGACAGCCTTCATGGCATTACTGATCGAGAGGAAGTGAACGAAGCCAATCGCCTTCTCCTTCACGATCTTGACGGTGTCAATGGCACCAAACTTGCCAAGCTCCTCACGCAGGTTATCCTCAGTCGTCTCCTCAGGAAGATTGCCTAGGTAAACATTACGTGATGCACCGGACTGTTGAACCGCCAGGGCGACGGAGGTTGGCACCTGAGAGGGCTTACCCCAACCGACCTTGATGTCGTTCCCCTTGATGGCCAGCTTCTTCAAGATGGCATCGGAATGGAAGTGGGTAGCAGAGCTGCTGTCCAAGAAAGAGATGAAAGCGCAGTTCTTATCGGGGAGCAGGCGCACCGACTCGATCTGGCCGCTGCGCACATGGTTGAGGATTTCCTCCGCGCTGGTCTCCGCCGGGATGTTTCCCAAGTAGACTGTGCGACTGGTCCCGGACAGCATTCCGGGTGTCACCGAAGCCCCCGGGCTGCCCAGGGCCGCGTTGCCGAGGCCGCCCATTCCATTGATTGGAGACTGGGGGCCTCCCAGCAAGTGCGACGCACCCAGTCCATCCGTTGAGATCATTCCGGGGTACATTCCGGGGTTCTGCATACCCTGGGTCGGGCTACCGAGATGGTGGTTCTGGTGGTTCTGCGCGTGTCCATTGGCATTGCCCTGGGGAAAGCCACTAAAGTTGGCAAACTGGGGAGAGGCAAAGGCCGAGGGAGTTCCAGGCTGGAAGGGACTTCCCACGAGCAACTGGGAGGGCAACAGGGGGGGTATAATTCATATCGTAACCGGATGACATGTCGGCGGCTTGGCCAACGGCAGCGGTGTTTATAGCAGGGATATTGGCGCGACGAGCGTTGCGGTTGGAGAAGCCTTGGTTGTGATGGTTGGAGTGATACGCGCCGTGTGAGAAGCCGGTGTCGCCGTTCAAGGAGTATTTGGAGCCGGTGGGAATCAGACGCGAACTGTTGATGCTAGAGGCATCCGAGGTTTGCATGGCGAGGTGAATCTCTCACGCTCAGGGGAGAGAGGAGAGAGGAGTCGGAATCGTCCCAAGATGGGAGAAACCAATCCAGGGGTGAAAATGGATATTATACGAGCGTCGTCCAGGGGACTTGGCCGGGATGCAATGAATATCAAATCACCATTCAGGAGGGACCAGCTTGTTCTCTCTCTTTCTCTTCTCCGCAAACACGACCGAGGTGGAAAAGGGAAGGGGTCCAAGTCGAAGGAAAGCCACGAACTGGAGAAAGAAGGAAAGTTTATTGGAAATTGGTTCAAAAGGGCGCGAGAGCACGCGAGAAAGAAAGGAGTTGAAGATGAAAGAAGGGAGGGGGATGGAGGGGATTTGAACGCACTTTTTCGAGTACTCCGTAGAGTGAAGTCAGATATATACGGGGGGAGGGGGTCCCTGCAAAAGAGAGTGCGGAGCCAAAGAAGAAAAAAGACTATGCAGGGCAAGGAGAAGACATTAGCTGAAACAGGCTAAGTGGAAGAGAGTTGGACCGAACGGTACGAGGCTAAGGCTGAAGAAAAGGGGGAGTGGAGTGGAGGTGGATTGGATCAATAGTATTGGCATTGGATTGGCATGGGAGATTGGAATTGGGGGATGGAATTGGAATTGGGGGAACAACGTAACATACAGTGAGTGACAAGGGTCGGGTTGAGAAAAGAAAGAAAAAAGAGAAGAGAAATGAGAAATGAGAAATGAAGAGTGAGGTGTGAAAGAATGAAACAGTGCAAGGGCGGAATGGAGAAAGGGGAAGGGGAAGTCCAGATCACGTAACCAGAGTATACTACTAGTACACGACAGCATAGTACTAGTATACTAGAGTATACACAGTATACACAGTATTTTAGTATGGGTATACTATATAGTATATACTACTAGTAATAGTACTGTGTACTCCGAGTCCATCTAATAGTATATAGATATTGACCCGTGGTCCTGCGGTTCGTAAACATGCGGACTGGGGTACAAAGCTAGATACTACCAGTACATACCTAGGCAGTAGTATACTTTGAATCTATTTAGTAAAATGCCATAGTCTGATTGGCAAAATAGAACTTGAGCTCTTCAATTTCTCACTCATACTAGTATGACTAGTATAGTACTACTGCTTATACTTGGGCATTGAACTGAAGGGTACCTGAAAGCCGAGTTCGGAGTGGTCACGGTCACGGTCACGGGTCACAGTAGTTGTATACTAGTAGACTTATACCTATGACATGAATGGCAATTCAGTGGCAGTTCCAATGAAATAGAATAAAATCTTACCTACCTAGGTAGGTATCACTCCAGTACTCGTAACTAGTTAACTACTATTTACACTTACAATAGTAGATCTCTGCCTCAGGCATCGCGGGGATCCCGCATCGCGCAAATTTACCCCTCCACATCAACTCTTCCCATTCAAGTTCTCGCTCAATCCGTGTCAGAGGGTACTTAGGGTATGTTTTCTCTCTTAATTGATCCTTCTCCTTGGCTGCACTGCATCCTGCAATGTTATCTTTACTGCTTATCTATCCCCCGATCACCCCCTACCTCCCTGCCCTCCCATGACTCACATCCGATATGCACTAACCATTGAAATTGCGCCCGCAGCTCCTCCCCTTCAACAACACCCTTTCCATTCTCCCCGCCCTTCACACCTCCCTCTACACAATGGCGCCCTCGATCTACATCGATGAGGACGTCGGTCGCGACGACGCGACTGCCACCGGTACCGAGTCCGCCCCGTACAAGACCCTCATCCACGCCTTTGTGCACCACGATCCCACAACCGAGGGCATCCAATACTTGACCCGCAAGTCGCAGACTGACGCCGCCGGCGAAAATGTCGACCCGGCCGCCAAGTTGGAGTGGAAGCCCGCTACCAAGTCCGCCACCAAGAAGGCCACCAACCTGCTGGACCAGCGCAAGAAAAAGGCCGCCAAGGAGCACGAACTCGCCATCCGCGAGAAGGCCGAGTCTGATAAGCGTCAGCAGGTCCTGGAGGATGCGAAGAAGATCTTAATCAAGGAGGACACTTCCCTGCCAGCGCCTGTCCGCATTCGCCTGGACGTCACCGACCCCGCCGTCGTGAAACTGCGCAGCACCGAGTCCGATGTCCCTGGTACCCGTGTCCGCGTCTTGGGTCGTGTGCACCGCATGCGTGCGCAAAAGGGCGTCGTCTTCATTACCCTGACCGACGGCTACGGATACATGCAGTGCATTCTGACCGGCGATATGGTCAAGACCTACGACGTGATGACCCTCACCCTGGAGACCTCCATGTCCATTCACGGTGAGATGCGCGCTGTCCCCGCCGGTGCCCACGCTCCCAACGACCGCGAGCTGCACGCCGACTTCTTCACTATCATCGGCCGCGCTGCCGGTGACAAGGAGGCTATCACCACCCGCGTGGCTAAGGATGCCGACCCTCAGACTCTCCTCGACAACCGCCACCTCGTCCTGCGCGGCGAGACTTCCTCCGCCGTGATGAAGGTCCGCGCCGCTACTTTGCGCGCCTTCCGCAAGGCCTTTGAGCAGAACCGCCTGCTGGAGGTGACTCCCCCAGCCATGGTCCAGACACAGGTTGAGGGTGGTAGCACTCTCTTCGGCTTCGACTACTACGGTGAGAACGCCTACCTGACCCAGTCGTCGCAGCTATACCTGGAAACCTGTCTCCCATCTCTAGGTGACGTCTTCTGCGTGTGCCCATCCTTCCGCGCCGAGAAGTCCCTGACCCGCCGCCATCTGTCGGAATACACTCACATCGAAGCCGAGCTGGACTTCATCACCTTCAACGACCTGCTGGCTCACGTCGAGGAGGTCATCTGCCGCGTCATCGACAACATCTTCGCCGAGCCCGAGATCGCCGCTCTCATCCACAAGATGAACCCTGATTTCAAGAAGCCTAGCCGCCCCTTCCGTCGCATGAAGTATGCCGATGCGATCGACTGGCTCGTCGAGCACGATATCCCCAACGAAGAAGGTGAACCGCACAAGTTCGGCGATGATATCGCCGAGGCTGCCGAGCGCAGAATGACTGATATTATCAACACCCCCATCTTCCTTACCCACTTCCCCGCCGAGATCAAGGCCTTCTACATGAAGAAGGATGCCGAGGATCTCCGCGTCACTGAGAGTGTCGATGTCCTTATGCCCGGTGTTGGTGAGATCGTTGGTGGTTCCATGCGTATGGATGATTGGGATGAGTTGATGACTGCTTATAAGCGTGAGGGCATGGACCCCAGCCCTTACTACTGGTACACTGACCAGCGCAAGTGAGTTTCACCTTCCTCGTTTTTGTTGCTTTCATTTCGTCTTTCATTTACTAATCTATCTATCTACTTTAGGTACGGTACCTCCCCCCCACGGTGGCTACGGTCTGGGTTTGGAGCGATTCCTCGCCTGGTTGTGTGCCCGCTACACGGTCCGCGATTGCTCGCTGTACCCCCGTTTTACCGGCCGTTGCACCCCATAGATGGGATGGAATGTATTTCTCTTCCCTTGCTTTTTGAAGCGAGTTGTCAAGTTGGTTGACGGGTTTGAAGAAAAAAAAGATAAGAATGATATGTTTGTGATGATGGTTGCATGGCTATATGAATGTGTGAATGGAATTGAATGGATTGCATGGAATGCAGATATATTCATCATGATGTTTCTGCCAGACGGCTTTTGATAAAAGTAGATCCTTGAATGGAAGTTTTTGATTGTCTTGGCGCATTCAACTTATATGAGTAGTTACTATCTGATTCGCCTTCCTTCCGGGCTGTTGCTGTTGGTTGTGCAGTGTCCTTCAAGTTCGATTTAGGGTCTTGTTGTAGAGCCTGGAATCGACCCTTGGAACTTGAAGGGGCGTGGTACTCGTTGACAATCATTCAAGTCCGCCTTTATACTATCCGTCGAGCCCTAACTTGAAGTCTGTCATGAATGTGCTAAGGTTTGCTCTTCCACGCTTGGTTATTTAAGCCCTTGTGTGCGCAGGACTTCGTTCCTATGCCAATTATATCTGCCTGGCCTGAAAATGACGCCGCCGTATATTCCCACTCTTTGCCCCGTCCAGTGCTCGAGATCCAATGAGCTCAACTACTAGACGTCCCATACCAGCAGGGGGGGTATCAAGTCTCACGCATTCCGATACTTGGGCCGTTGCAATCTTCTTGCCATGTACTGCGGGAATGCCGGTACATACGCCCCGATACTGGGATATATGACTTAGCTGGAGATGTAGTTTCCGGTCGAGGCTTGTTGTGCTTGCTCCGGGTGTTTGTAATTTACGTTTTGCGTCGTCTTGGTCTGGATCGGGGCTTGCGTGGCTCGTTATCGTGGTCAATGTTAGGTCATGGGGAGGATTCTACTGGGTCTCAGGGAAATCGTAGAAGGGGTATCGAGTGTGTTGTTCTTGATGGCGTGGCGTGATCGTGATCGTGTATGGTCCTTGTCTTTGGATCGTTTCACTCGGTGTCGGTGGGTTTTCTCTGAAATCGTGAGTCTGGTTGATTCTTCGCGTAGAGGGTTCGTTTCATCAATACTGTTGCTGGGACCGTTGAAGTGGCATCTGCTGCCTTGGGCGATGGATGGTCTTTTGAAACCGACTCACTGGTGTTAGGCTTTGGGTGCTCCTGAGTTGAATGGTCGTGATTCGTGTCTTTGAAGTTGCTCTCCTCAACGGACCCGGGGTGTCATTGAGGATATAGCTGGTTATTGGTGCTGGGGTTGTTTGGAACTTGACTGTATTGGTGATGCGTGAGTCATGATGAGTCGGTTCAACGAGGCTGGGTAATGATGAGTGAGTGCTGTGGAGGTGAAGTTGTTGACCCTGATGGTTGTATGCCACGCGAGTTCTAGAGGTTCTGTAGAAAGAGTAGTGAGTGGTTCCAAAAGGATTTTGATGAAGTTGAAGTTGAAATTGATGCTGGGAGAGGAGTCTGCAGGGACAGAGAGAGTCGAGGGTCTAGGGACTGAAGGGACTGAAGGCGGGAGAGAGAGGAAAAGAGACTAAGGTGTCGACGCTGTCTCCGCCATCATCTTCTCTGCTGCACTCCTCTTTCTCTTCACTCCTCCTCTCCTTCCTCTCCGTCCTCTCCGTCCTCTCCGATGATGGGATGAACTGGGAAACGAGATGAATGTGTGGTGTATCCTTTGCTGCTGCGTACAGGGGGCCCCAAGGATGGAATGTACCCTGAGAGAACCGGGGTGCTCCACTGGCTGTGAAGCCATTGACCGATGGCCGGAGATAGAATCCGTGAAACCTCATTCGCGCCTCATCGAAGCCAGGTCTGCACGGCTATTCTCTTTTGTTCTTTGTCTTTGTCTTCTTGACTCGACTCGTGACTTAATCTCGATCAGAGAATGTCCCGAAGTTTCAGCTGATCAGCCATGGCTTAGATTGATACCCTGGTGGGCTAGGATGAAGCCCGGCAGAGTGAGATTGTGAGGGACCGAGACAGTCCAATCCAGTCCAACGCGTTGATCCAGTCTGGTTTCTTTTTCCATTTACATCCACGCTGGCCATTGGTCGTGGTACCGGGGGGAAGGTTTGACTCTTTATGACGGTTTATCATTAGCCCCCATTCTTCGAAATAAGGTGTCGCAAGGTTTGAAGTTCGTGTCAGTAACTGTCTCGACCAGACTTGATGCAACACAACAGCTGATCATTTCTGGTTCACTTCGTCATCCCTCCTCATCTTTATTCTTTTTACCATGGCTAATCCCGCCACGCTGCTGATCATGGTTTAATACAACGGGTTAGTACCAAAGGACCCTGGGAAATGATAACAGGGGCGAATTCTCTCCACTTGGGCCTTGCCTTTCGCAGCACATCACATCCCACTGCAAATCATCCCCGTTGTCTGCAGGTCTTTCCCCTCTTCCCTCTTCCCCATTGGGATCTCGACATGGATAGGCAACGACCAATATGATTCTTTGATACTTATTGGGGACATTCTTATTCTTTGCCTTGGGCTTTGTTCTTGGCTTGGGGTGGGGGGTTTTGTCTTTCAGCACCATTACTGCGGCCCTGAGAGCCACTGATGATGACTTGGGGCCAGCCGAGAACCCCAGCCGCCAACGTCTGTCTTTCTATCCACGAGGATGATGCAGTTACCAAGTTCAAATATAGATCATTGTCAATGCTGGGAAACAACAAACAACAAGAGTTATCTCATCTGCCAGCTAAGCACCACCCGAGAAGATGTCATGAAAGCATCAGCTAAATCATTTCACACCCCCGGATCTGTGTTACCATCTTCCCCGACATCATTGTGTTGAAGCGAATGTGTGTCGATCGGCAAAATCGTGCCTTTGGAGACCTGCCATGCCTGATACGTTCTCGATTGTGCTGTCGGGTCGTTTCTTCTCTGCCGGTTCCAAGGGAGAATGGCCGTTCGGGAGCGCGATACCGGACCGGAGAATGCGAGTTTCAAATGGCGTGGCGCGACGCGACGGGTCTACGTACCACCGCCGGAGCGAGTGTTGCGCTGCAAGATTTCCTCGAGGAGTTGGCTGATCTGCTCGTCTGAGGCCCCGGAGCGGATCACTGCGATGACGTGCGAGAACGATGGGTGTTCTGCTTGCCTAATGAATTCTAGCAGGTTTTCCAACATGGTGGAGTAGAAGGCCGCATTTTTGGTGACTGTGCCGCTGTTGCAAGGTTAGCGGGCTGTCAAAGTTCGTTTCTCAGGCCAGCGGCAAATCGGCGAGCCCCTGGTCTGCCCTTTCTCTCTCTCCCTCCGTCCCTCTCCTTCGCAGTCTCTCCCCATCTCCCTCTCTCCCTCAAAAGAGTCGGGTGATGGGAAGAGAAACTCGAAGGGGGTGGGCCTGAGATTGATCGTGTACGATGGTGCTGATGCTTACCTGGGAATACCCTGTGATGAGCCTTGTTGGCCGCCCCTACCTGGGTTCGACGAGCCCTGAGACGCCATACTGTCAGATGGATCGCCGTGGAGGAGTACACACGGTGAACGGGTAGCCTTAGGGGAGAAAAGCCGATGATATTTGTATCACACTGGACGAGGATTTGGGAGCGTTATGGTGATGGTGCTTCCCTGCTGGAACCGGATTGCTGGAGCAAGGCCGTCAGTATGGAAACCCCAGCACCATGAGTGATGAGAAGGAAATGGAGAACAAGGACAGAAGCCAAAGAGGAGAGGAGCAGAGGAGCAGAGGGGCAGAGGATAAACCAGTGACATTTAGGGTCGCCCTGGTATGTAACCGCCCAAGATGTGGTGCTAGTGGAGGCGGGGAGGTGGTTTCAGGGTAGAAGATAGATTAGAGCGGTCGGTCATACTATTACAAGATGTGATGTGCAGCTATCCCTCTCTAAAGGGTTGATAGCTCTAACGGATGGACGTTGGTCGTTGTTTTGATCAGAGACGAGGGGATGGTGGGTGAAGTGAAAGAAGAGAAAGGTGGGACGCTTGTGAAGTCTGGCATTTTGTACTCTTTGACTATGTAGTCGGGCCTGAAAAACACGAAGCCTCCGCCGTTGTTGCTATAGCCATTCGCCTGCGGCAAAATAGCCCGACAAATGGAAGAGGGTCGATCCACCTACCTTCTTCTCGAATCGACCAATGCCAGAACCCGTAGCATTGTCCGGCAATGTGCTGGGGCATCTTTCGTTTGATATGCCGTAGTTTTTCCTCTGGTTCGTAGTTTCGCGATCGCCTACGGAAGTAAGTACCGGCCAATGGTGAGACACCTCGACCAATTCCTCGGAGCATTGAAGCATAATGATCGATTCGCCTCTTAACCTCAACCCTTTGACTTCCGAGATTGAGGTTTTGCCGCAGTGGTTATCTCTATCTAATGGCCTTCCATAGAGAGAGAGAGAGTCAGATAGATGAAGAGACGATGGGGTTGTTTGCTGGTGTGGCCCGAGATCTCGGTTGGCTGTGCTGATCAAGTCCAAAGTGCTGACGGGTAGTTTCTCGACCAACACCTCTGCTTCTCTTCTCGTCTCCCATCCGGCTTGACGGGAGAGTTGACGTCGGTGGTTGATTGTCTGTCCCCCATGATGTCCTTGATCTGATATATCTGTCGCCGCAGATGGAAGGGGTCGTTGGCAGTTACAGGTTGCCTTGGTTTGTTGCCCTATTGACCCGAGTTCTTGATGTCATGTTGTATCTAGGGACGAGTCGACTCATGCGAATCTTCAATCTTCCACGAAAAAGAAGAGAATATGCCTTGAAGGAACTTGTTCACCAAGGAAGTGCAATATAATTGTGGAAGCCGCAAGGGTTCACCGGGGCACATGGGGATTGCTGTTGAGTTGGGTTTCAATCCTTGGTTCATCTGGGGCAGTTGGCAACGCAGTCCCTTTTCTCATTTGCAATTGAGTGGCACAAAAGGGAAAGGGATATCGACAATGAAGATAAAGAGGAATATGAAGAAGGAGGTCTCCAAGTTGAGGTCACTTGATTTTTCACTTGGTTGTCACTGACAGTCAGTGACACTCCCTCATCGTGCCTTCCTCAGGGCGCGTTTCTGTCTGTGAATTGGTTAATCCGCTCCTTCCTTCAGCACCCATCCCATCCCATCCCATCAACTTCGACTTTGACTCCAACGACTCGTCCTTCTCTAGTATCCTTCTCCTTCTTCCTTCTTCCTCCGCCATCCGCCATTCGCCTTTCATTCATCCTCCTCCATCCACATCCTACCTCGTTAATCTCTTCAGCAAGGATCACCCTCATCCACCACGGCCTCCTTCACTTTCTTTGACCATCAAAAACCCATCGAATATCCGAATAATGTCCAAATGACTCCGGTGCATCCTATTTTCTTGACTGCATCGAATGTGACTGCTATAGTCGTCACCGCCAGGGATACCCATCATAGACTTCTGATGACGATGGATCTTGTCTCATCGCACACCCAACACATTCCCAAGGCACCACCGGCAAGATAGACATTCCAAAGCGGGCATCATGTCAATCTCTATGTGGAGGTTTTCGGTGCTAGCGAGCGGGCTGTTTTCTGGATCAACGAACCGAGGCCACCCACTCAAAGATCAGACACAAAACTGGAACGCTGCAAAGGTATGGAGATGGGTTGTTAGGTTGATGTATCTCTGGTCAACACGTATGCTCGTGCATGTGTCTGACAACTGCACGAGCTTTTCTTTCAGCCCATTCATCGTCCATCACCATGGGACCAGAGGCTAGCAAAACAGAGTTCGCCACGAGCCTTGAGCCTCTGTGTTGCAGTATCCACCACAGACTAGGCCACGGTTTGATATGGTCCACGGGGACATCGGAGTATCCTGGGAAGAATGGCAATCCATTTGTCCGGATGGAAACCATCGCCCGCTTTTCGATCCTATCCTTGAGTATCCTTGCCCATAACCCCAATCAAGTATAAGCCTCCACTATATGGTCTTTGCCGAATGACAGTGCAGACCATTGAAAATAGTAACGCAGTCGACTGGAGTACAAGACAACAGGGATAGCAATTCATCTGGAGCTCTGATCAACCCCGTGACTATCTCAATAATGGATGAGCACCGCCAGTCCCAATTAGCCTGGCTAGCTATGTGGTAACCCACGGGTTTCCTTGTGGTTATGGTGCAGTGTGCAATCGGATTCGTGGTGTCGATCGGCGAGGCTGTCTGTTTCTCGTTTTGAGTGTCCCGAGTTCATCGTCGTGGCTCTATATCAGCGAGGTTCAAAGGCATCGTTTAATTGTCACTCGCGACGTGGTCATCTCGGTGACATCTCCGCCATACGATCACGGTATCCGGTGGCGACTTTGATCTTGGTGGCAACATCTCCCATTGATATTCCGAAGAGATATCTGGAGTCTTGGTGGTTCGTCGGTGGCGTCGAGGATGTCAGCTCTGCGTCGGGGTGTCGGTCGGCGTGCAACACTTGGAGAGCAGGGAGGTGGACTACTATTGCCATCGACCTTCCACAATGAGGCTATCGTTGTTATCCTTACATTGTGGTCGGTCCGTCGTGTGAACTGTCTTTATGTCAGGAGTATCCAGGTGCATTCGGTCAGGCAAAAGACCGCCATCGCCATCGCCACGTCTTCCTTCACCCCGTGAGGATTCGGATAGTGGCTTTGTGACAACCATCCCGTCAAGTCTTTATTCATGTGGCATTAGGTTGTGAGTTGGCGGATATCTATCCTCGTCATCATGATGAAGATATTGATGGTGTGTTGAAGTCAAGTCAGTGATGCGTGTTCCAAACGGCCCTGTTCACCATACAGGGTTTCTGGTCCGTCGTATTACCCAAAGACGATGGCCACGGACGACCAAGTGATGACTAGGGGCTAAGCATGCTAGAAAATGAAGGAAGACAGTCAGAAAGTCTTTCCAGGGGAGGTTGTCGTGCCGCCATCTCTCGTAGATCATGCCCTTCGAGATAGGAAGAGACAAGAGACAAGAGGCTCTTCCTCCGACAAGGAGCGAGGGATAGTAGGAAAACGCTTTCCCTGGCTCCCTGCGGCGCCAATTGGGGTTACCCACCCTCATGGAAAAAGATTCCCTGCGAAGTTATTGGGGCTCGGCTCCACCTGATGCCGCCCTTCCAAAAAAATATACCAGGTTTACGTGCTCAGGGGAGGCCAGAGACCTTTTTCACAAAGAGTCAATGACTTGACCAACTGATGAGCAAAACCCTGGGTTGATACCTGCTTCAGATGACCACATCTAGGTCAATCTGCGTGGGTGGAAGTGACAGACAGCAGCCGGGAACCCAGATCCATCAGTTACGCGAAGCGAGTGACATTCCAAGAGGGATGGCAAAATTATCGAGACGAGCCTTGGATCAATGACATTTCCCAAGCTTGATGGCATGGCCAGGTGCAAAGGAGGCATTGTGCGATGCGTGTACGTTGTACGGAGTACAGGAATCGGCAATTTACGGTCCGCCGTCTCTTTCTCACGTCGTTACGTGCAGGAAGATCCCTGGCGCCGATTCAACCGAATCCAACGACTGCCTGGCGCAGTTTGTCACTGGTGTACTTACCTGCTTCCAAGCTTGGTTAGGTAGCTAGAGCCATGAGTCGCGGGGCCGGACTGATTCACATGTGCTTCATTTCGATCAAGTGACTTCAAGTGCATGTTACCAAAAATTACAAACCCGGATGGTATAGCTATTAGTAAGTTACGGCAAGGTACACTGAGCCAAGGAGAACAGAACAACTCAAACATGTCGAATCATGCAATAACCTTACCCAGGTGTACTGACATTGAATCCCCGATAACTGACCAATCAAAAATATGGCACCCCTTGAAGCCTTGGGACAATCTTCTTGAAGTGAATGACTGACGTATCAAACGAGTAGGAGGCTTGTCGTCAGCGACCTCCCCAGCCTATTAATCTTGGGTTGCCACATATCAACAACTGGTCGCCACTGATGAGCAGGGCCAGCACCTACCTGAAATTTTACATAAGTTCATACAGTAAAAATTGTTGATTTACTACGATATCAAAATAGACTTCTTTTTAGACTAGCATGGAGTTGTGCCTTGATTTTGGGGCGACGCTCCCAGGGCGGAGAGCGGAGAAACGGCTACTTTCCGATGATGCAATGATGTGCGTAGTATTATTAGTAGCTACGATTACTCTCTAGTAACTAGTACTGTTGAGCGAATCTCTGCACTACTATTAATTCAACAAATTCAACCCTATCCAGGTAGATATGAGGAATGTAGCTGCCTTGAAGTTGCGCACAGTGGGTATTGGCTGCAAAACGATGATAACTTGAAATAACCTTGCATCTTCCAACCTCGGAAGGTTTCACAACTTGCATGCTACTACTACCTACTAAATACATAGATAGTGAATATTTAAATGATCAAAAATACTAGTATCCGAATTCATACTCTAACGAGTACGACGGCATAGTACCTCCAAAGTAGTAATAGGATCAACGACTCGGCCTACTAGTACAGTGACCTTTAGCAACTCGCTTGTTTTACATGAAACGTTGCCGAAGACCCGGGCGTGTCAGCCACTATTTAAAGTTCTCGTATTGAACATGGCTCACAAGTGTTCCAATCTCACTAATATAAATTGAAATCTCATCTCCATCTTGGAGCACAGTGGACTTTGGGATTTCGCGTGCAACCAATCCCAGCAGGCGTTCCGGTGAGGATAATACTCCCGGCTTCTAAAGTGCCCACAGGTGGTTCCCTGAGAGAGATATGAAATCTGCTTCCTCACGTCGAAGATCATATTGGAAGTCAACCCATCCTGTACGGTGGCCCCGTTGTAGATTACTTCGATGGCTAATTTCTGCGGGTCGGGAATGATGGTCGGAGCGACCAATACAGGCCCTGTATTTGTCTATGAGTACTAGTATGAATTAGGGCCTACCTTCGAGGTCGCTGTTTAATCACCGATCGGGCAACTTCCATCAAGTCCCTTGGAGAAAGAGCATTGTGAAATGATTCTTTGAAATGAACGTGCCGACACGTCGTTCGAAGCAATATACCCGAGAACATAGCCCAAGGCTGTATCTTCAGATATCTCTCTCCCATCTTTGCCAATGATTAGGCAAAGCTCGGCCTCATAGTCACTGGTTTCATCCTGGGCGCATTTGGGAATTCGGATTGGAGCAGGAAACGGATTAGCCAATGCTGGCCGTGGCTTGATGAACAGGATGGGGGCTTTAGGCAGCGGCACGTAGCACTCCTTTGGCCGGGATATTAGCTTTGAGCACTCTGCCATAATAGATACTGACTAACTTCTGCATGGTCCTTGTGATTCAATCCTAGACACCTAATGTTGGTAGCTACATCGCTTGGTCGCAAGAGGAGAAAGAAACTGAAAATCGGTTTAGCTAAGAAAATATTTTGTGTGAAGATACTATCCAGATGTAAACTAGATATAGGCAACCTCTTCAGCGACTCACTTGTGTCAGATGGTTAAGTGCACCAAGAGGTGGATTTTTCCACAACCCGCACGCAAAATGAGGGGGACCACCCTCGTGAGGGGCGCCTGGGGGCAGCTCATCAATTTCGGGATCGCTGAGAATGAGAAGTGAGAAAACTTTTCAAGTCTTGGTGTATGATTTGGCTTGGAAAAAGGTTGCAGTGCGAAATGAAAGTTATACTAGTTAGATTTGCCGGCCGACAAAATTGAACTATTGCAATGTTGCTAGTAATGATATTACTCAATCAAGAGATTGGAATTGAGTATGGCTTGCCTCAATGAGGGGAAGCCTGGAAGGAGATTCCAAGGCTCTAATATTTCCATACTCCTCAAATCTCCACAATGGTTCCCCGTGAACCATTGTTCATGAAAGTTAGATCCGTGATTTAGAGCTAACACAACCAGTTGGAGCTTGCCCGATCTTGACCCCCGTGGCGTGGCGTGGCGGTTTATCAGTGACTCTCTATGCGTGAGGCATCTGCAATCATGCAAGCGAAAACCGGCCATCTGGGCCTTAATGGTTACCTCTACCGTATGGGGTACGTTGACTCTCCTGTCTGCCTCTATGAATCCTCCAATGAAACTGCTGCCCATATTATCCTTCCTCTGCCCGTTGTATAATGAATTACGGTGCACGACGTGGGGCCTGCAATCAGCACCCAGAATCCTTCAAGAGGCTCTCTGCAGCGCGGAGTTCATAAAAGGAAAGGCCCGATTTCTGTTGGCAACAGGACGGCTGCAATCTCTTATGCCTATGCCCGAAATCGAATCAGATACAGAAGAAACTGACTCAGACTCAGAGGAAGGATATCAGAGCCACTGAGTCAGACTCTTCGGGCTCAACTAGCGTCACTGGGATGGACCTAGACGAAAACTAACTAACAGCAACCAACATGCCATGGCAGACAACGCAACTCCATTCCTAGCGATGGGCCAGGGTACGGGGCAGTGAAACTAACCAAGCGACTCAACCGGCACGTTCTGGGGGAGGCTGCATCGCGCGAACGACAACTTTATCGAACTCTCGATCCCCCTCCTCCTTTGATCCTTGTTCTGACTACTAGGGAGCCGAAGCACCGGCACACTGCTACGGTGACCATGCATGCCGATTGACCTGAAATGTTGATGAGAGCCGCTACAGCGAGCGGCTGAGGTGCCGAGGGCTTCAACGACAATTGATCGATCCCCCGGTACGCCACGCCTACCTACCCCCTCTCGCTACAAGACCCCCCCTGCACAGTGACCGATACACAGCTATCGGAGTCCGACAAACATTATGATACCGGGCCTCCACCGCCGCACGATGGAGATGGAAGCAGGAGCACTCACGGGCGGGGGGTAGGGAGGCGTGACAGCGGCGGCGTACACGCGTAGAAGACAGCGTGCGCAAGACAGACAACTGACAACTGGCGAGTTGAGGAGGACATATTGGTGAAAACTGGTGCAAATGGATAACATGTATGGCATTTCTGTATATCAATCACCTTAGTGGCGAGCTGTGGCGGCCGTCAGCGACACCGGAAGAGCCCTTCGAGAGCTGATGAACGGTGTATAATGCAACCTCTCTCTCTCTCTCTCTCTCTCTCTCTCTCTCCAATTGAATCTTTCAGTTCTAGGATCAATTAATCGACTTGGAGTGATAGGAACTCTAGATTGTAAATTATCATTTGCAAGTGCCTATATTTTGCGTTGTTTAAAAATAAAAATCACAAAGTCCTGTGCGTTGTGATAAGCTTTCAAAACGTTCCAACGGTAACATGAAAGATCGAATTTATGACATGAACACTCACAACTCCACTTTCCGGGGTGACCATGAATTGTGAGCTCCGAGAGCATACTACTAGGCCTGCAGGGCTTGCACTTGATACCATGCTGATTCTAATGCCCTCAAAGCATTAGTATTATCACTGGTAGCACTAACATTGGAACTAGAGTGCTATCGTATCCAACCTGCGATTCAAAACTCTGAATAGACTCGAACAACTTGAACTTGAACTTGATGAGATACTAGGTGATACTACTGGTAACTGACTATCATCATGGTAACTACTACTAGTAGTATATACTACATGGAGTAGTATCTAGTAACTTCACGCTAATCCAGGGTTAGTACTAGTAGTAGCTCGCAACCCACTAACAAATTCAATCTAAGATTCAACTTGGAGTTTGAACCTTCCGAGACTGGCACTGTGTTGAGTTTGTTCATGCTTGTGAACCTTTGGAAGAGTCTTATCTCCCAACACTATGGGGTTCGGGGGTTCCACGATGCCCGCTAATCGTAGTGCTCAGGCTATATATTCGCCTCCCTCCCTCCCGCCGTCCATTTCTTCTACTCCCCGCCACATCTCACGACATTTTCCATCATGATTCAAAACCTCCCCGGTGAACTCCTCATAAAGATTGCAAGATATCTTCCGTATTCTTCGGACCGTCTCCACCTTGCCAGCTGCTGTCGTCGATTCCGACTCAGCGTACCCCTCCTTGAGGAGGCATACACATCAATTAATGTCCATTATTTCTGTGAGAAATCTCTCCGCCAGCTGGTGGAGATTCTTCTGGAAGCTCCAGACCTTGCAAAAAGAGTCATCCGTATATCGCTTGCGAAATCAAAAGACTCACCTTGCAAGTCTCATCTACCCACCTCTCATCCGACGCAGCGGTCCCGCAACCAGTCCGTTTCGGACTTGATACAACGTCTTACGCCGTCAGACGTTGAATCCAAAGCATGGATGGCAGCAGCTACAGCTACTCCTGGGGAGGAATGTAGTTATCTGGGCCAAGACCTCTGGCTAACAATGTTACTCAACTGCGCGCCAAATATTACATCACGGGAGATGGAGTGGGGAGGGCACACCGACATCTCGGAACGATTCCTGGAGTTCATGTCCCGGAATAATGGATTCTCGTGTCTTACCGAAGCAACCATACAGGTGTCTTTCAACTCCGGGCTCGAATTTCAATTTTATAAAATTGCGCCTTTTTTCCGACTACAATCTATGCGCAAATTCAAAGGCGCGTTGATCGCTGACTTGGAGGATCAGAGCAGAGTCAATTTCGCTGATCCGATCCCCATAAAGTCATCGCCCATTGGAAATATTCATCTAGTGGAAGCAAGTTCATAAAATGGCTTCACGCCTCTTATCTCCGCCTGCGGAAACTTGAAATCCTTCACCTGCCTAACGCGAAGCGTATGGGCATATCTGGACTACTGGGCTTATAACATGAATTTTATCCCTCTATTAATTCAGGGCTATGGTCAATCTACTATGTCAGCGAAAGACAGCCTGGAAGATTTTTACATCGATGTCTCATATCCGGAGACGAATAATCAGCTGGGTTGGATCGGTAGCCTGACGGAGTATACAAAGCTCAGAACTCTGCACCTGCGATTATGCGACCTGCTACATGTAGATTTGGATAGAATTCCTGACTATGAAGCAGATGGATTTGATTCCGTCTATAGTGTACCGACCTTCATTCCTCCGGTCGACGCTCTGCCTGTCTCGTTAGAACATCTGTGTCAGATTTGAGCGGTCCTTCTCCATAGGCCTGAGGGAGCTAGAAAGGCTGGTCCGTGCAAAGGACAAATTCACGCGCTTGCGAGTTATTGATATCGAAGGTCTTTGGCAAGATGAACTAAAAGACGTCCATGTTTTGACGAACAATCTCAGGCAAGCTTGTGAGGAGGTCAGTGTTGAATTGAATGTACTTCACTATGATGTCGAGGTGGAGCACCGTGGCAAGCCGGAACTTGAGTGTGAGGATCATTGGTCTCATTAGATTGGGGATATTTTCGAGTGTGATCTTACTTGAAGGGATGAAGGCCTAGGACTCGTGGTTGATTTTGATGATTCTGATGGCTTGGGGGCTCCTATGGAGTGAACAGAAAAGAAGAAGAAGAAGAAGACGACGACGACGGGGAGATGAAACGAAGGAAAGCAGGAGACTCACTTATACCGCCTCTCTAAGCAAGGTGGGTGGACGCCTAAGGCACTTGCTTCAACATTGTCTTGGCCAGAGAAATATCATTCTGTATGTGATTCATTAAAGCTGATGCAACATGGGAACAACTGTGCCTGTAGTGTACAGATTCTTTATTCTTGATGTCAATCTCGTAAATTAGGCCGTCTTGGATCCACCCATCCTTCGGCCCTCCCATGGAGGTCAAATCGGCTTGGGGGACATTGACTGCAGTGACCAGAATGGTTCCATCCTTAGTAAACTGGATCTCATGGAGATCAATGCATGAATAAAATAGTATTGGGTCATAACTAGTGACGAAGTTCTGGTCCTTGCAGCTCAGAGTAACCCGATGTATCTCGTCATACGAGCTACAGATGATGCTGATATGCCCGAATCCAAAACCCGAGCCCGTGAGTCCTTCCCAATAAGCAATCACAGGCTCGCCGTTTAGCATCTGCGGCTCCAAGGCCGTGTGATTCCCATTGACTCCTTGCCAAACCAGCTGATCATCATCCGAATAGATGGTAGGGTGGGTGTCTGCTCGAACCATATCGTGTGGGGAGACGAAGAGGAGCCCAGGCTCTGTCTGTCCCATTTTAGTGACATTCATGAATGGCGTCTTGATCGATGAACTCTTGTACGTCTGCAGCGGCCATAGTGCATCATTTGAAGACTGCTACGTATCCAGGCTAATGGTCCTCGGTATGCCTATTTTATGATATTCCTGCCTGAAGTTCCTCGTCATTCGCCTATTTTATCTCAAACATCTCATGAGCAGCAATCACGCGATCAAATACCTTCCGAGAATAACATCACACGGCAAGTCAGACAGGGGAAACGTTGCAGACGAAGTGTGTCTACAGCCTGTGAGAAGAGAAATGGAAATCCATCAGAGATCCAACGAACCTCATTATTTTGCGGGGGCGACAACCAATCTCAGAAAAAATATAGAAAGCGCTTGAAGTGGACTACAGAGCAGATAGACTGCTTGAAGAGCTTAAGAAGAGACGGTCGACGACCGTGGTCGGAAATCACAAGGGAATTTCTGGACCAATACCCTGGAAGAAGTCCTGGCGCGGTTCAAGCATACTGCAGCACACGCACCGGCTTTGAACGAGATACGCCAAGTTTTCTCTTAACCAAAACATATCACAACCCTCTTCCGCTTGACGCGCTTGTATTTTCAAGCCTGAATATTTCATATATGGGTGGCATCCATACTTATCAGTATATCGCATTCAAAATTTCTGCATTGTATTGGCCTTTCCCTCTTGATCATAGATCAGATTTCGGGTTTTTGTTCCTGTTGATGGCGTCCATCGCTAACGTTCTACGTGTATAGACGGTATAGCCCCCACGTGCGTCTATGTTAGTCGTGTCTTCTTTCTTTCTTCCTCGTCAAGTCTAGATCTGCTGTTAAGACGAAATGGGAGCATCTCCGTCTTGACCAAATATATTGCACTGGGACAAGTTTCTAGCCTCAAATCCACCGACACCGCTACCAGTGGGGGGTGCTTTGGGGGCCGTTTTCGGCGCAGGCGAAGAAAGACTGACTACGTTCCTCGTTGCCACCAATCGACATGTTGCTAGTGGGAAATCAATGCCGGCCGAAAAAAAAAGAACTGACGCCACGGGTTAGCCCGCTAGCTGTAATGGGCCGTCCTTCGTGGGAAATTAGGCACTAAAATGGTGCATCCTTCTAAGCGTCCCGACACATTGTAAATTCGCTTCCAAGTGCTTGTAGAATGAGATGGGCTGATATTGAACCAGGTCGGTCCATTCATTGCCACCCCCGAAACCCATGGCTATACAAGACTGGATTTGGTACATGCTACGACGAAGGGGCGATTGAATCTCTAGATCAATCTACACTCCGTGGCCAGAAATAATTGGAACTCGGAAAGCCGCCAAGCCTCTAATCGGCCTGTATTTCAATTTCATTACTAAAGCGGCCTTTGGAACGGGCCCAAATGATTGGTGTGATCCCATAGAAATGTTGGTCTCGATCACAATTTCTCGATTAGCTATCCGTGATTTGAGTGTTCTGGATGATCTGAAAGTAAAAATGAAGCTTTAAAAGAGCTCTATACTGTAGCTTTAGGAGTGGGAGTAGTAGGCATACACGAAAGACTAAGCAAATACCTACGTACTAAGACTCAAGTTTTCGCGATGAACAACGTTGGAATGAACGGCACCAACTAGCTTTATATACTGAATGAACAACTTGGAAGTGGGCAAGTACTAGTAGTAGTAACACTCCGGCGGTCGACTGCACCTGGGCAACCTCTAAGGAACATTAGGGTTGTTTTGTGCTACAGGTATTACTTACTAGTAATAGATCTGATGGAACCCCCCATGGATTTTGCAAATTTCTTTTGAAATGAAATTGGGGTCAATATATTGACAGAACCGCTAAAAAACACAAACACGATATCCACACGCAGCAAGGCATTCTCGTATGTCGAGGGACTGGATGTCATTTCCAAGTGCATGTCCAGGGGCGCCAACACCAGGTAGTCACTACATTACAAACGGCAAATGTGCATACAACAATATCAAACACGTTCTAGCCTTGATTCAGGCTTACTTCAGTTGGGTCTTGAGAGACTCGATCTCAGAGGTCAGGGATTGCATCTGTTGAGCCTGGGAAGCAATCGTCTTGGTCTGGGCAGTGATCAAGTTCTTGATCTCCTCGAGCTCCTTGTGGAGGGAGCTTGCTGCGACGGCTGATTCGGTGACGGGGGAGGAGGAGGGGGGTGTGGAGGCCTGGGAAAATTAGTAAATGAATGGAGCCACGTAAGATAGTAATGAACTTACGGAGACCCGGGGTTCGGGCTTGGGCTCCGGCTTGGGCTCAGTTTCCTTGGGCCGCAGAGGGCTGTTCACCCGGGGAGGTGTGACCTGGATAACAGGCGAGCGAGGGGTACGCTCAACGGGCTTAGGGACCTCCTCAAAGCTGGAATCATCATCATCGTCGGCGGTGTTGACCTCATCTTCCTTGTCATCGGCGAACTTGTTGACCATGGCAGCCATCGAAGCGCCTTGATCCTTCATAGAGGGGGCGGGACGAGCGACGGGGGTAGGCTCGGAAACGGCCTCGCGGGCAGCCGGCAGCGAAGCGGGCTCACTCTTCTTAGGAGCGGGCTCGGCAACCCTGGGAGCAGGGGCTTCCGTAGCGGTGGTGGGCTTGTCCAGAACTCCAGAGACTTCCTTCTCACCCTCGCCGTCGTAGAGGCTGGCCATAGAAATCTTGGGCGGAATAGCCTCCTTGCCTTGGAACCACTCTCCGGCGCTCATAGCAGGGGTAAGACCGAAAGTGGGAGGATAAATGTCGTCCTGAAAGGTCTCGGACTTGCGAGGAACGATGAAGGAGATTGGTTGAATATAAGTATCGTCAACAGTCTTGTAAGCACGGGTCAACTCAGTGTCGTGCATGTTCACACCCCGCTTGGGCATGAACGCAATACCGCGCTGAGGGTCGGAGGACTTGTACTCGTCGAGGGGCTCGAACTTGTCATTCTCGAGCTCGAAGTAGCGGATGTTGCCATCACCGCGGCCAGCCAGGTAAAGGCAGTTAGTGCTGTCGTCCCAGAAGGGCATGTTGACACCGGAGTTCTTGTCCAGGGTGATGAAGCCAGTAATGGGTTCCTGCATGGCGCGAATATCCCACAAGGCCAGTTGGCGGTCACTGAATCTGGAGAAACCGGTGGTTGCGATTTGATCACGCTCGCCGAGCCAAATGGCGCGGCTGTTCTTAGCTCCGACATGACCCTTAGTCTCGGAGACGGCAGTCGCCTGGCGGGGATCCCAGATCTTGAGCTTGTTGTCGTCCTTCTTATCGGCACGAACGGTAGTTACAAGTCGGGCACCATTCGCACTCCACGATTGCGACTGAACAACGTTGCCTGCATTGAAGGTGTGCATCTCCTTTTCGGTTCCGATATCCCAAATTTTCACAGTGTCGGACGAGGTCGTTGCCAGCACGTCCTCGGCGGCGGGGTTGAACAGCACGTGGCCGACCTTCCTGCAGGGTTATTAGCGTTGCGCCCTCGCGTCGCATCGCGCAGGATGGTTGTAGATTCTCACTTAGACTGGCTGCTCAGCTTGCTGATAGGCTTCAGGCTGTCTTCAATGCTGTCGAGGGCCTCGGGGTCGGGGCGGACGGTATGGTTCTCGGGGATTTTCCAGAGGAAAACCTGGGAAATGATCAGCGTAATCCGATGGGGGTTTGTTCTCGCGCCCAAGAGCTTACCTTTCCGTCATCCGAACCCGAAGCAATAATATCATCATGGAAAGGGTTCCTGGGGTGCCTTTGGTAAGCTTGCGATGTATATGACTTGCTTCTTTTTTCCCTTACCAGTCGGTGTCGAGGACAGCGGCAGTGTGGCCACGGAACAAAGGGATGCGCTCTGGGAGCTTTCCGGTTTCGTTGAGGGGGATGACAGCAAAGGCACCACCACCGCTGGCTTGCCAATTGAGCGAGAGGTATTTGGGGTTAACCTATATCGGAGAGCCGTTAGATCGACAATGGGGCGAAACGTCAGGGGGCGGTGCGGGTGGCACGAGACGGACCTTGATTAGGTTGGTATCCCAGGCATTGTTGGAGATACGAAGATTATCGTAACATTGGTCCTGGGGGTCGCAATGGGTGTCAGATTTGGCCATTAAGTCAATCCCGACAGGGGGACAAGGGGGTATAGAAGTACCTTTTTCGTCGGACGCCCGTAGACGTGGCCTTGACAGAAACCAGCACGGTCAGCGGGATGTTATGAAATGGAAGATGCGGGACACCAAATAATACTTACGATACTTAGAGGCACGTACAAAACGCCCGGACATTGTGAGTATCGACGGTCAGACGGAGAGATATGGACAAGAAGGGAGCTCGAAGAGTAGGAGGTAGAATGGAGAAGACCCAGCTGTTCACCAGCAACGAGGGAATGCGGGAACTGGGGCGCTTTGGGTGTTTCAGCGGGCCGAGTGGAGTCCGCGCTGCGTCGGCGGCGACTGGAGGGAGAGTGGCGATTGGTTGCAATTGAGTTTGAGCAACGTGACAATAGAAGAGAAAGAAAAAGAGATGGAAAGGAACAGTAATAGGATATAGGATGATAGGTAGAAGTAGAAGAGAAGTAGAGAGTGACAATCGCAATGACAATCGGTTGCTGTGTTGTTCTTGCCTCGAGGATGACCATGTCACGTGCCCTGCAGATGCCCGTGAATTACCCTGATCACGTGGTGCCACTTGGCAAGCACGGCGGGTCCCGACGCTAGTCCTATCCGGGGATAGCTCTGCTGAGTCATCGTTTGTTTACGGCGTCGCTGGGGAAATCAGCCAAACCAGCCAAACCAGTCCCATCCAGCCAAAGCAGCTTCCATCGCATCGCATCGCATCGCGCAATCCCGCTTCCCCTCATTTTCACTCCCCCCTCAGAGATCGTGGCAGGTCGAGAATTTTCTCTTCTCGCCCGGATCATCTACTCCCCGGTACCCTGGCGATCCCCTTCTACGGCAACCATGGATGATGAGAACCTGGTATGTTGCGCCTATGCTTGCGCCAGCGCCCCCTCACGTCGTCGCATGATTGATAGTAACAACAACATCAACACCGAATTTATTACTCACTCTCACATAGTCTCACCCCCGGGCCTCGACTCGGTCGCGTCTCCCTCAACCCGGTCTGCGCGAAATGACCTCTGCAACAACCAATTCGCGATCCCACATTCCGCTACCGGGAAGCATTGCCAACAAAGCCACCAGTGTCTCTCGTATGATCAGATCCGATCTCAAATTCCCTCCTTGCAGAGGTATATCTTGATGACTGACCTTGATTGCTAGCGACCCGATCTAAAGCCCCTAACCCCACGGATACGAAGCGCTCCGGATCAATCATTCGACAGCCCACCAGCCCGACTAAGACCCATACCCGCGGAACCTCCTACGCCTCATCCACCATGTCCCGAAGCAATTCAACAGCAACCCGATCAATCAAGGGAAGCTTCTCATCTACCGTCGGTGCTGGCAGTATTCGACCAGCCTCCTCAATGGCACGACCAGCTTCTTCGATCGGTACCCGCAAACTGAACGGCTCGTCAATCTCTCGCCCCGCCACCTCGATGGATACCCGAATGGACGATGCCACAGGAAGTGTCCTGGGAAAAAGAAAGGGTATGCAGTTTTTCTCCTTCCCTCACCGTGTTTTTTCCTTCCCCAATGGATCCCTTGGAGGAATCAGCTCGAATGGCCCTCGGAGCAGCGACACAACATCATCAACTGCCGACAACCCTATCACTAGCTTGGCCACTCAACTTGCTTCTGTTTCCCTTGCGGATAGTGGTGTCCCAGATGTTGTTCCATGCCCACTATTCAAGCAACCCCCAACGGATTACACCCCCCTTCAACCCAATGAGACCTGGTAAAGCGTCGCGGGGAAAACACGCGACGCCATCCCAGCCCCAGCGGACCCCATTTGTGCCCTTTAATAGCAGCACTCGCAAGCAACCCGCTCCCATTTTCCTCACCAAAAATTCCTCTGTTCACGTTTTTAACAGCTGTATAGATACCCAATGGGACCACGAGCTTAGAGAAAAGCATATGAACGACATGTTTGAAGTCTTCATGTCACGGATGAACCAGCAAGGCCAAAACAGTGCCGGCCTGAAGGAATCGGTCGATTTCTACAAGACCCGAAGTGAGTTGACGCGTCACGCTGGTTATGGTGACTGTATTAACGACTGCCTTAGTTGACGAGCTTGAGAAAACTCGCGACACCCTCACAGAAAGCAATACGAACCTACGGGTTGAGATGGAGCTCTTGAAAACGCAATTAATAACTGCCGAGCAGTCCTTGAAGGTTGCTCAACGAGACCAAGAGATCGCCATGGATGATCTCGAAATGCGCCAGCGGATCGAGATAGAATCCATTCGACAAGACAGCAAAAAAGACGCAGAGGCGCTGAGTGCTCGCCATAAAATCGAAATGCAAGACCTTCGACGGCAGTTCGAAAATGAAATTGAAGATGAGAAGGCAGCTCGGGTTCGTGAGCTCGGGAAAATGACGTCGAAAAACGCCTCTGCCTTGCAAGAATCGGAAATAGAACTCAAAAGCAAACTCCGCGAGATTGACTCGGTTAGCAGCTTGTTGGAGAGCACGAAAGCTGAATTGGACCGCGAGCGAAAGCACACCAACGATCTCCGTCAGAATCTAGACACGGTCAGCAGCAACAGCGTCACTTTGGAGTCCACGATTCGAGCCCTCAAGGCCCGGATTGAGTTCCTCGAGGGCGGCCGGGAGGAACAATCCGAAGCGTTTGAGCGATGCAATCAAGATATGATGGACGCTCTAGCTGAAACCGATGCGGTCAAGGAGAAGCTACGCAGAGAGGAAACACTCCGTCGCAAGCTTCACAACCAGGTCCAGGAACTGAAGGGAAATATCCGTGTCTTCTGCCGTGTCCGTCCGTCTTTGAATAACGAGCCTGCCTCCCACCTCGCCGCCATGCAATATCCCGATGAGTCTGAGGACGCCAAGGAGATTAATATCATGGGTCCTGAAGAGAAGAGCAGTCTTGGCACCGTCTCGCGTAAGAATAACAACTTCTCCTTCGATCGCGTTTTTGGCCCCCGCACGCAGAATGGAGAGGTCTTTGACGAAATCAGTCAGCTTGTCCAGAGTGCTCTTGATGGCTATAATGTTTGCATTTTCTGCTATGGTCAGACTGGCAGTGGTAAGACACACACCATGTCTTCCCAGGATGGTATGATCCCACGGGCCGTTCATCAAATATACGAGACCGCACAAGGTCTGGAGGAGAAGGGCTGGCGCTATACGATGGCTGGAAACTTCGTGGAGGTGTACAATGAGAACTTGAATGATTTGCTCGGTAACCCCGATGAGTTGGATAAGAAGAAGCATGAAATCCGCCACGATATGCAGCGCGGCAAGACAATAATCACAGATATCACGACGGTGCAGCTGGATTCGCCCGAGATGGTCGAGTCTATTCTCAAGAACGCAGATGCCAACCGCTCTGTGGCAGCGACAAAGGCGAACGAGCGATCCTCGCGATCTCACTCCGTCTTTATTCTTAAACTCATTGGGGAGAATCACATAACCGGCGAGCGCAGTGAGGGTACGCTCAACCTGGTCGATCTCGCTGGTAGCGAGCGCCTGAGCCATAGTGGGGCCACAGGTGAACGCCTCAAGGAGACTCAGAACATTAATCGCAGTCTCAGCTCCTTGGGTGATGTGATTGCGGCTCTTGGCCAAGGAAAGGATGGTGGTCATATCCCATACCGTAACAGCAAGGTAAGTTTTCCCTATCATCATTGTCCCAAATTTGTATTCATCTCAACATTCTAATCACTCCGTTCAGCTTACCTACCTCCTTCAATTCTCCCTTGGTGGCAACTCGAAAACCCTCATGTTTGTCATGGCCAGCCCGCTGCAGGCACACATGTCGGAGACCTTGACCAGCTTGAAGTTCGCCACGAAGGTGCACAATACTCATATCGGCACAGCAAAGCGACAGGCGCGTGTTCGCGACACTTGAATATTATGATATCTCTCCCCTTTTTGCATATAGTCCAGCTTTCCTTTTGTTTATTGATGTCTTTTTATGGGTGGGGGTCTTTCACGATCCTGTCCCCCGCCTTGGTGTTGGGATTGATTGATAATGATTATTTCTTTGCGGGTCGGGGAAGTGGGGCCTGGGCTCGATGTCGTATTTAGAGCAATGCACAGTACGATATTTCTGATACTTCCAGAGTTTCAAATGCTTTCTTTTGTCCACCTGACAGGTACTATTAATTCTGTCGTACTGTTAAACATATTCAATTTGGGAATACCGATACAACGCCAGCCGTCGAATAGGTAAGTCGGTCCTCTCCGTACCAATCGTGCCTTTGTCATACCAACGCGCTTCTGGGCATCACCTATACTAATGCTTCCTTAGCTCAAAACGAATCTTTAATCCCTTCTGCCCAAGTCTCCAGGCTTGTGGCGGCTCTCCCCAGATATAGCTGCACATTTTCGACACCTGTCGCATAATGGGCCCGCTCCACATTCTCGCTGTCGGCGTTATCAAGCTTGTCGACCATATACAGTGCAACAGGCTTCGGCACGCCAGATGCCATGAATTGCTCGATCGCCTCTTCCGCGGTTACAGGCAGAAATTTGATCTGTTTGCCCATCACATTCGCAATAATCTCCACCCCTTCCTTTTGAGAGGAGATCTGTGGTCCATAGACGTAGACCTTTCGCTGGTTGTTCTTGGGCCCTTGCACCAAGATCGTGCCACTGACTTGGCCCATATCGACGGGGGTAACGAAGTCCATTCTGAACTTTGGACCGTACATCTTAATCTCGCCGGAAGCAATGCCATCCTTGAAGCGCAGCAGGTTCGTCGCGAAACCACCGGGGCGAATTGCAACGTAGTTTTCGGCGCCAAAGATCTCGTCCAGGTTGATCTCAACTTGTGCGTGGATGAAAGGAATCATGTCGGCGGGCTGTACGTCACGCGGATCTCCGGTGATAGTGTAGCTGCTGAGGAATACGACGAAGTCGATGCCGGCAGATTTCAGCGCACTCAGCGTGGATCGCATGTGGTCGGACGTGCCATTTGCTCGGTAGATGAAGGCGCGCTTGGCTTTGGATGACCGCACGGCAGCGGTGACGCTATCAGGCTGGGTGAGATCGGCCTGAACTCTTTGAAAGTCTCCCGCTTTCTCGGCTTCTGGGGTTAGGCCTGGAACTGCTTTTGTGGTATCTCTCATTCCTAGGAACACCTTGGCTCCCAGCTGTTGGGCGGTGCGGGCCACGAACGAGCCAACACTTCCGGTTGGACCGAACACGATGACGGAGGACATCTTGGGATGAAGGTTTGGAATGAGAATGACAATCGGTGGAGTAAGTTTCAATTCGATTGAATTTGCTCTGAAGGGGGGTCTACATTGGCAGGGTGTTTGGATTTATACTCGGATGTTGATGTTAACACCGCTTATCTCCGCTTCGGTGCGAGGAGCTTGCGGAAGGCCTGAACTCCGAGTGCTTTTGAGATCAACAACAAGCGGCAATGGGCAGTAAGAAGGCCTTTGAATACAAACTAGCAATACTCCCAAAACATTAACAATAATTGGCCAATCCAACTGTGGCGTTTCTGACGGCGGGTGATGTGATTATGACATCCCATCTTGACTTTCTTCCCCGCAATCCCCGGATTTCCTACTCATGTCGCACCTACCTTCAAAACGCAAGTCATGGCAGCACATGAGATTCAAAACGCCGAATTACAAGAAAGATCCGTGGTATCTTCGTTCATCTTCACCGGCACTGGCGATAGCCTGAGGGTGGCATTATTCCGACGCAGCCAAAAAACCAGATCATACCAGTGAGTTCACTATTCAGAACTTGAAGAGGCTATGTTAGCTGACCAGACTCACTCAATAAAGAGGCCGTTTAGCGCCAATCTCGGGAAACATCGAGAAAGAAGAATCACCACTACGCGCGGCATGGAGAGAACTGGAGGAGGAAACAACCTTGACTGCTCGCGAAGTGACATTATGGCGACAAGGCAAGCCGTTCACCTTTGATGATACCTCCATGGGACGACATTGGATTATACATCCCTTCGCATTCTCTCTGCGGCCCGAGGCACAAGACAAAATAAGAACAGACTGGGAGCATGACGGGTGGGGATGGTACGATCCGAACAAAGTCACCGACAACGAGATATTCAATGGCGTGCCTCGTTTAGTCGAGAGTCTAAGACGGGTTTGGTTTGAGATGGATATGTGCTCAGCAGCAAGTGAAGCCCTCCGTTCGGGCCTCTACCAATTGAGAACAGACCACCAAAGTGGAGCCCACGAGCTGACTTCCATTGCTGTGACGGCACTCCGGAACATCCTTGTTCATCTTCGAGACGATGATGATTGGTGGATTACGGTACGCACGGCAGCCTGGCATCTATGGAAAAATGGCCGAGAAAGTATGGGCTCAGCAACACTGAATGCATTTGTGAGCATCCTTGCCGACATCGAGAGTATACTCCCTCTGAATCTCGAAGATGGGCCATCATGGGAGCGTGTTCTGGCAATGGTTGATCGCCACTTGGAGGATCGCCGGGAGGTTCCGACGCGCATCAAAGAGAGCTTTGCGAAATACCTCGAAGACAGCTTTCTTCCAGCGGTAGAATCTGGATCCAACGATACTCTCACGATTCTCACATTATCTGCTAGCTCCACGATTCGCGACTGCATCATTGATGCCTTCTCGTCGCTGTCAATATCGAATTTAGATCTGCGTATCCTAGAATCTCGACCGCTATTCGAAGGAGCTACCATGGCCTCAACGCTGCTATCTTTGTTTCAATCAAAACACCCAGACTCATCTGATCGGTTTTTGAAATTGGCGATCTACACTGACGCATCTGCGGCGATAGCTGCATCAGATGTCGACTTCGTACTTCTAGGAGCTGACAGAATATCATCATCTGGCTGGGTCAGTAACAAGACTGGCTCATTACCCGCTGTTCTTAGTGCAAAGCATATCACTCCCGGTGTGAAAGTACTCGTACTATGTGGGGTGGACAAAATCGCGGCGTCATCCGAGCGAGAGCATGAAAGTGAACAAGAAGCTAATGATCCCGTGGAAGTTGCGACACCTTGGGTTGGCAGCGGCGTGAGAGGGATCGATTTACTTGATGAAGGGATTTGGGGATCGCTTCCTAAGACAGCGAATTGCCGGGTTATTGTTCAAAACATCTACTTTGAATGGGTCCCTGCTGGTTTGATTGATGGGTATTTGTGTGAGCATGGATTTTATACTGTGGCTGACATTCGGAAGAAGGCGGAAGAGGTGAAGAAGAATGCTGACAAGTATTTTGGGGTTTTGTGAGCCAGATTCACCCTTGACCAAGTCCAATCTGAATTACGGAATCCAATTAGTTTTTACTTCTATGATTAAGTGCCAGTCGTAGTATACAGCTGGTATCATTTGTTTGTATCGATATACTACTATCATAATAAGGTGTAGATTCGACTCCAACACATGTAAAATCAAGCGGTCATATAATCAAACAACATTATGAAACATAAAAAAAGAACAAGAAAGACACAATAAGCTACTTGCAACAGCCCCCACGCACTATCCTATTCTGTAATCATACGACTAGTCACTAGGTATTAGTACTAGCAGCCTTTCATGGATGGCATGGGATCATCGTAGCCACGCTGCTAGATCCACCTACTCCACCCAGTTGGAGAAAGTAGCCTGGCAGGCCTGCTCTGCACGCAAGCCCGAGCTGATATCACTGCAGATATTCCAATCCTGCCCGGTTTGATACTCGTTGTCGGCGTATTTGAATTTGAAGTAAGGGGCGGCGACATCCCAGTTGATGTTGGTAACAGTGAGTTTATCCGACAGCCACTCTTCTTCGATAACATAAGGAATACCGCAGTCATTGCCCTCTTCATCAGGGGAGTAGACACCGGTGCGCTTGCAGACGTCATCATAAAGAATGAAGGCCTTGGAGCCAGAAATCCCGGCAAATGGGTTGCTCCCATCGAAAGTAGGAACGCTGACCTGGCTGATTTGCATCGCAAAGGTCCATTTTATTGGGGCCTTCAGCGAGGCACAGCTCTGAACGGTCTTCGCTGGTTTTTTCGATATCTTTGATTTGGTTGTTGAGCTTGCAATCTGCTTCAACGACAGCAGAAATTGCAAAGAGAACGAGGCCCGTGAGAATCTGGATAGACGATTTCATTTTTGGAGTGTGAGCCCTGGAGAGTTGAGTGACTGAATTTGTTGAGGCCCGGGATGAGGGTGAGAATGAGTTTGAGAACTGGGAGTTGGAATTGATGGTTTTCAAAGGTTTATATAGCTTTTCTGGTCTCTCCCTAGGTGTAGTCAAACTAGTGAACTCATGGTAGTGTTTGGACAGGACTTGAGCCACTCTCTCCAGAATAACTCCACAGGGTTGGCTCTATGACAGCTGCCAACAGCCCAATGAACGCAATGCTCCATTACATCTGAAGAAACTGACCCACCTGAACTTTTTGCCCCCATTAATGGCTTTTCAATCTGACTCTTCACACTTTTGGCCCCAAATAGAGCCACTCTACTAATATTAAACCACCAGGCATTTGTCTTGTTCCAAGCCCATGTTAAAGTTCAGCCAAAAAGATATCAAATCGTCTGAGTTTTGTATAAATAAACAGAAATCTCACACGGGACACGAGCAGTTCAATTAGAGTACTAGTACTAGTAGCGTCTCGGAAAATATAATCAAGGCATACCGATGATATTCCAGTACTATTATAGCAGCCTTGTACCTCGGGAGCCTGAAGTTCCAAGGTTGGGAACCCGTGGACTTGAAGTCAGCCTTGGCGGCCTTCACACTCAAAGCTATATAACCGTCTGCTCAGGTGACCAATCATTGATGCTATCATGGTCCACCTCAGGCTTCAGCCCCTTCCAAGGTTTCAAGTTCTTGTGTGTACTCCCTAGAGATCTTTACTGTATCAAGGCTAGTGCTTAGGTAGGCACAGCTTCTCCTCAGCTGCCAAGGTCACCTGGGCAATCTGCAGAAACTTGGCGGAGCCATCCGCTAGGAGAAATATGCGGAACGTCTTACTCCTAACAAGAATGAATGACCTTTTTTTAAAAAATTCCCTGCCTAGGTACTTTAATTATACCCAGCCTACTCCAGGGTTTGTGACCATTCAAGAACTTGGTTATTGTTATGTCACCTGATGAATACTACTAAAAGAAAGTGGTTGTACCTAGGTATTCACTTTTAGAAGAACATTCCCAAGCACTGGACGTTGGAACGGTTCTCGATCGGGCCATTGTTCGGAGCCCCATTTTCAGGGCCGGGCCACTTTTCTGAAATACTTCCAAGGTTAGATCTGTAAATCCCCGCTCTTTACCACCTGGGTAGTAACTTCAAATATCCCTGTTGAATCAGATTTGCAATGATAAGCTGATGTCCACGGGTGTATATACTAGACAACGCAACTTGTAGCAGTTTGAACTATCGGTATGGATACTAGTAGTATAAAACACTTCATATTGAACACTCCATCCTAAAACCTTTGGAATACCTAACTGTATGTATGCTGGAGTTTATGAGTGAGAGCCCCCCTATATGACCCGTGAAAAACCTCGTATGTACACATGCCTGGGTGCCTGGATTTTCTTCGTTGGCCTAAATCATACCTAGAGAAAGCACGATTTCAAGTCTGCCTACAGCTTGCTACCGCCGGGAGGGGCTGGACGAGGGTTGCTGCTGTTCGGGTCTGGCACGGTAAATAAGGAGATATCCTCCGTCGTCTTGCCGTCAATTGCGAGTTCTGCCGCTACTCGACCGATCGCAGGGGCAAACTTAAATGCATGTCCATTCCCCTGGGCTAGGATAATGTCCGGGTGCTTCTTCAAGGGGCCAATAATGAACTGTCGATCCGGCGTGATCGCATACTGACAAGTAACGGTTCGAAGCTCCGGGCCATGGGCGGGTATGATAGTGTCCATAAACTTCGTCAACTTCTTGAGCAGATCTGGTGACGGAACGAAGGTACAATGGTCAGGATGCATCACGTTTCGCAGGGAATCCTAGCCTGCCTTGATGCTTGGCTCCCCGTAAGCTGGGAATCCATAATATAATGGATGGCCACCCCAAATCCACACGGGGAAGTTTTTCGGCTCGTAGCGCTCAGGATCCAAGGGCTTGAAGTGCGTAACTTGCTCTTGCATAACTGTCATACCGGGAATCTCGGACCCAAGAGACTTGAGAAGCTTGTTGACCCAGGCGTCGGCTGCCAAAATCACCTTTTTGGCATGAAATTTCCTCTTGGATGTTTCAATCACAACGCCGTTTTCATCAGGAGTCAATTTATCCACTCTGTGGTTTTCCTTCAGGGTAGCTCCATTGGTCCGAGCCTGATATTGCATGGCAGTGACAGACCTGCCGGCATGAACGATACCGGTATCTTCCGTATGCACAGTATCGATATCATCAGCAATCTCAAACCCAGGCCAACGTTCATTTAACTTCCTTTGAGTTGAGAAGCTCATATTTGACACCACGAACATCAAGGCTCGCTGTGAAATCGTCAGCAGTGGTTTGTCCTCCCCTTGGTAGAAGTACAACTCCACCAGTTATTTGCACTAGTTCCACCAGTTTTCTTTGAAAGGTCATCCCAATCCTTATACGCCGCTTGCGCAAGTGCAACATACTGCGGAGAGCCGTACGAGGTTCTGATAATACGCGAGGTATCAGACGATGCCCCACGAACATGGCCCAGCTCGAATTGTTCGAGGCCAAGAACCTTGGCTCCTTTGCCGGCAGCTTGATATGCTGCGCCGCTTCCCAGGGCACCAAGGCCAACAACTGCAACGTCGAATCACTCCATGATTATTTGATAGTCTTGTTGGGAATTTCAAGAGGTAGAAGAAATAGAAAAGACTTGTTGTCAATGATCTTTTGGTGATAGAGAACTGAGAATCTTTATATACTATTACGTTGTCTCATCACCTAGTGAGTTTGTTTCCCCTCTTGTGGGGTACTCAGTTACTTGCCACCAATTACCTTAATTGCCCAACCTGGAATCCACGATCCCCGCTTCCCCGGCCCGACAAATTTGATTTGAGATAGCGGGTCGGAGTTAGCGGCCGTAGCGCGTTCGTTGATAAAAGCTTGTATCTATTATCTTAAACAATTCGCGAAAAATCGACAAGAGTGATGTTTTTGCAAAGGAAAGTCATTCTATTCTTGGCAAATCTCCGGCACCTCAGGTATCATAACCCAATTCGAGAGTCACTTTCCGGTTCAGATGATTGCAAACATCAGACTTGTCCTGCCTTAGATAATCTCCTTGCAGTTAATCCCAGTCTCTATATCCCATTATTGACATGCTAGTTAAGCTTCCCGCAACCGCGCTCGGTGAAAAGAGCGACCGGTAGTTCTCCCAATCTTCGTATTGATAGGTTGGAAATTCAAAATCAAGTTTTTCGATGATTGTTCTTTCTCTTGCTCAAGCTAGCCATGTGCGTAATATTATCGGCGTGGTAGAACTTTCTAGAGCACGTATAGTAGGCGTCAATGGCATGGGTAAAATCTTTGAGTAATACTATTGCTGAATAGTATGTTAGTTCCAACCGTTGAATTTCAGTCTCAAGGGCAGATGAGGCTGGAGAAACCCCTGAACCAATTGAAAAAGAACTGATGCCCAGGTCTAAAAAATAGTCATAGGAACTCTCATTCGGATGATATCACAAAGGTAGTCAGAGATCAATCCATCTCCCACTCATGCATTCGCATGTACAGAAACACTTTTAACAACCATGTCCGGCACAATCAACTTCTCCTGTATCGAAATCCCATTAAGATAATCGTTGCTATCAACCCTCCGATACCCGTCATCCAGAGTCTTCTCAATGCCCGCCTGAACATGTCTCTTCGCCGTCCGATCCCGCGCCTCGAGAAGATCCGTTTCGACGAAGACGCGATAATCGCAGAGAGTCGAAAGGTCTCGCCACCCTGGCTCATCGAGGAGGAGGTAATTTCCTTCGACAATGATGATAGACGCATCGGGCGTAATCGTGATCCCTTCTTCGACAGGGTCTTTCGCTTCGTGGTCGAAAGTTGGTGCGCCGAGGACGTGTTCAGATGACCATTTTTCGTCTTGCGGTAGAGGCGTGTTGTCGGCCCATTGCCGGAGTGTGTGCATGAATGTCACGAACCGGGATACATTGAAGGTCCAGGGGGCGCCGCGTCGGATGTGTGCTTCTTTCGGGTTTGGGAGTTCGTCGAGTTCGCAGCGGGAGAGATGGAAGCCGTCCATCGAGAGTAGGGCGGCTTTCACATCCGGTTCGTTGTTTAGATGGTTCACCACCGCGGCGGCAGTGGTCGTTTTTCCTGAACCGGGGATTCCTGCAATGGCTACTATGTAGCGTGGTTTGAGGGAAATATTGGCTTGATCGCGGATGGTTTCCGCTAGGCGGTGATATTCGGCTTCCATCTTTGAACTGTTAGCTTTTAGAAGCTGTTTTCGAATGAAACGAGTTGATACACACGTTGGCTTGAATTGAACAATATGTTCAAGTTGCAGTTCAGTATGGGGTAGTATAGAGTAGCTAGTCCAGAGTATCACTAGGCCACGGTAGGTAGATTTAGTAGTAGTATTACGGCGCCTCCCGGCAACGCCCTTTCAGCAGATCATAATGAACTGAAAGAGGAAAAGTTTTCTACACTTTGAACAGTGCCGGATAGTCCTTCGCCATCTCTGGGATATGGGATTGCTATGTAGAAGATGGTGGAGTTGCCCTCGGGCGACTGTGCTCCACGGACGAGTGTCCTCCGATGGGAATGCCATCGGTGTTGATCCGAGTCGGCTGCCCGAGATACTTTACAATGGACTACAAAGCTGCAGATGCCGATCTTATCAAGCAAAGCGGGGTGAATAGCGAGAGGACAGGTTGTGCTCTCGCCGTTGTTGGTCCTTGACGCCGAAGGTGGATGGCTTGGTGGCCCCGCCATTCGGTGAGTTTTCATTGGGGAGCAGGGAGGGGTCGGGAAACTCGATTTCCCCGCCATTTAGCGGGGGTAATGGGGATAGAAGGGGAGGGTAGAGTCATATATATTGCTAGATTTGTTCGTGAACCTCCAAATGCAGCTGGCTAGGTTGAGCGAGTTTCGAGAATGCTCGCACCCACCGGAGGTCAGCATCGGAGAGAGATGTGACAGTAAAATAGTATGCGTAATCAGATTTTCGAGTCGTTGAATGTCGTATACGCTGGGAGTTGAACGTCAAATTATAAGAGGTCATTGATCATGTTGTTGCTGTTGTCTTGCTCTGGAGTGGAGTCTGTTCTCCCCGGGAGAACGTTGAGACGGGGGCACTATTGGCTTCAGGATTGGCACGTCTACTTTTGGCTTTCGTTTGATCTTCGGTTTGGCGGTGGGATCGACGTAGAAGCATAAGATTTGTTCCTGACAGCAGTGGGAACACTGTGGCTTGGCGTGATCACAAACGACATGCCATTCTCGGCATGCCTTGCAGTCATTGTAAGGCTGGCGGGTTGGGCGCGGAGTTGTCGGTGCCTCACAAGGAGAGCCCCACAATGTCGGCCGCAGCCAGTGAGAGAGCCGTCCACATATTCCCCAGGACATGCTGTTCTGGACAGAGACGGTGGTCTTGGTGGATTGCTCCCCGTGGGGTTGTACTCTGCAGACAGTCAGTATAGCTGGGAGACAGTGGTGGTGGGGAAAGAGGGTAGAAGTCAGTGGAAGGACCCCAGATATGAAGTAATCCGTGCAGAACTTCCAGCTACTCTGACACTGACCTGGCAAGACTCAGGATTGTTGACTGCTGTTTGCCCTAGAGGGGTAACAAACCGAGAGGAAGTGGGCAGCATTATGAATGCAAAGCCATTGAGGACCCGGACCCCTCAATAAATGGCGCAGATTTTCCAGTGGAGTCGGATGACATGGCTTTTTGGAGTGGAGGTGTGTTTGTGAGTGTGTGTGATGGAGTGTTGGCATTGACTTGGCTGATCTGCTGATTCCACGGAAAGCGTGACTCGCTCTCTTTGGCGGGTTTATCTCCCGTATTTTTCTCCACCTTCACATCTTTCTACACTCTTTACGGAGTACATCTCCACCAGAATTCAAGTTACTCTCATACACTCTATCCTGTACTGCATATTGATTCAATCCTCTATCGCTGAATCTCCCTGATCCCATCATCAAATGGACCGCATCGCCAATATCATCCGCGCCGATCATCGTGACCTGGCTTTGTGTTACCGCCGCATTGTTGATGCCGTCGATGAAGATGAGCAAACCCGACACCAGAATCAATTTACTTGGGAACTGGCCCGTCATCTTGTTGGAGAGGAGCTCGTGATATTCCCTGCAATGGAGAGGAATGTACGCGACGAATCAGTGGATGAGCAACAACCACAACGCCCCCACCCACATCAAAAGGTTAGTCTGTTTGGGGCTCATTTCATTATTCTTCCTCTTCCTTACCTGTGCTGATAACTGCAGCTCAAAGAGAATCTCCAAATCTTCCAAAATCTCCACTGCTCCGACCCACGCTTCATCCCCACCATCACCGTCTTGATGGATGATCTTGCAGCCCACATCCACACCGAGGAGACTCTCGATTTGGTTAAACTGGAGTCAGCCATTACAGCAGAGGAAAGCCAACGTCTGGCCCGCTGGTTTGCCCGCTCGAAATGGGTTGCGCCCACGCGTGCCCATCCATCGCTACCAGATCGCTCACCCTACGAGATGGCGACCGCGCTCATCGCGGCCCCACTAGATCATCTGCAGGATCTATTTCGGCGGTGGCCCGATCCTGAACTCTACCCGACGCCTGGCCCGGAGGAAGGCTGACTTTTGAATTCAAGTTGACATATTTTCCCATTTGGCAATATTTACATGTGCGCGATACATGCAATGTGTGCACACAGTTATAGGCACGAGGTGGATAAATACAACTGCGTTTCCGCCTATCGGTTAATGTTCTGCGCCTCGCTTCTCATTATGAGCTATGCCTTGCGTATTCAGAGCTCGTGTGCTAGCCTCGACGCTCGCCGGGTGATGGTCGCCGGGCGCATGATTTTCTCGTCGGGGCGCATCCCAGCCCAACTCATTGTTGAGCAAGTCGGTGGCCTCTTGCTTGGCGGTGTCCGACACATGGGGATTTTTCAGCGCTCTGTTTGTGTGGTTAGCTTGTCGACCGGAGGCCAAGTCCTAATGGACTGTAGTACAACCTACAGAGGGGGTGTCTCCAGGCACTTACGATTGATAACCAAGCATTGCGCTGATTCTTTCCTCGGCGGTAGTGTCCACTTCGTCATTTGCTGGGGATCTCGACATGATGAATCTTTGCTGGTCGCGATGATTGAAATCTCCTTGTGATGTTCAATCAAACGTAGATTTGATGTGGGGTTATCTAGTATCAAGTGAAACAAAATATAGCCGGGACAATTTGCGCCCCTTACAATTGGCTTCTAGTCTGGACCTGCGTCATGGCGACGTCGAGCTGGCAAATCGCCGGAGACCATCCCAGCCCCATGGACACGTGAAAAGCTTCTTCCCAAATTTGGTTCCGAGGAGCCTGACCGGATGATCCACGGGATGGCGGCAATCCCCGCAAACTATAGATACGAAGTCAAAGCTTCCCCTGACAACATATCCCAGCATCTGCAACAGCTATTGCCAGTGCCCAGGTGGGCACTCGATCCTATCCACTATCCACTGGTACTAACCATAGGAAATGGCAATGGTAGCAAGGCGTTTCCTTACTTCTTGAAGTTGCTACGAGTACCTCGCCTTGAATGTGTTCGATGATTCAATAGCCTGGCCTCAACTGATGTCAGGGCTGCGTTGAGTGGCGGCAGTGGCTCTCGTGGCCAATACGAGGGGAAGGAGATCTATATAAGAGCCGGACAGGGGTCCCGATTCCTTTCACAGTCATCATCGCATCACCGCATCACTGCTTGCAAGTCATCTTCCATTTGAAAGGGTCGCAACAGTTCCCGGTTGATCCCAGTCACCTCATATCTGATTGTATCACGAAACTCATCGGCATCCACTTCCACCTCTCCTAGCATCTCCGCTTCTTCGCCATGCCCAACCCGTTCAAGGAAACCAACCTGTTCGAGCCTATGAATAGGTCCAATTTGATCTACGGTCGGATTATGCGGAGTAAATTCCCCACCGGGACGAACCCCAATCCTTATGAGGTGGACCCTCTCCCGGTGGCCGAGCTGGAAATGGAGGATCCTCTGAGCGCGGAATATCGGTACTACGATGAACCGCTTGGTATGTGTGGAGTTGGAGGGTTTTATACAGGGAGTTCTTGAGGTTATGTGACGCTGATTGGCCTTGTATAGGGCAGGATAAAGGTGGCGAGAGTAGTGATTGGAGAAGCCGGCTGGTGCCGATGAAATAGATGCGATGATAGATAGAACTAAATATTAGAATCAAATAGAGTAGAATTAATAGAATATGCCTGGTACTAGTAGTGCTAGTAGTACTCAGGGCTGCTTGTATCAATACTTATTCGCATGTCTTGGCAGTCCAACCTTCCACTTCCCCTTCGCTTCTCCTTCCAACGTCAACTTCAACTTCTAGTTATCTCCTCCCACCCCACCCCCGACCGCAAATTTCGTTGACTACTAACTACTATAGTACTAGCCCTGGCTCTTTGCGCGATGTGGATACTCAAGGAACGTCAATTCAGTTCTAGTCTCCGGATCGACGCGGGCGCGCTACAGCAACAACATCAACAATTGGAATGTGAGATGAGTCATTCGATCATCCACCACTGCAACACGGTCCCTTGCCGGGGGCGATCGCACATATGAATTGAACCATCTTGAGAGACAGTTCACTCGATATCGAGTTCACCGTATGCCCATGGATACCCCCCCCCCTGATGGCGTTGTTAGCGGTGTTCCCCTGTTTCACCGGCGGTTTGGTGTCGTGCAATCACGTTTCAAGTTGACACTACCAACTCTTTAGGCGCCGGACAGTGGCCACTCGCGCCCTTTCCCTGTCCCACTCCTATGAAGAATGGACGATCTTCCACCTCGGGTGGATGGACCAGCTGGGCTAGACTCCTCCTAGGCTGCTCATTTTGGTGATGGTGGACTTCACCACCGCCGCTGCCATGGCCTGAGACGTTGCATTCACCAAGCACCGGCCTATCACTGGTGGAATATGAATGGGTCTAGAGCAAGGACCAGAAAGTGAATGGATTGTCTCTGATCTCTGATTGTTCCCTGGAATCTACAAAATGCCAGAGACTGCCTGAGCTCGCGACTTCTCCTCTCTCCTCCATCCACGCGTACATTCTTCATTCTTTTCTCCTTGTTTTGTTGACAATCCGGCATTGTCGAGCCTCTCTTTTTGCTCCCTGTCCTTCTTTATCGTCCCTACGATCCCTTCCAATCGCTTCTTTTACTTTTACTTTGCTTTCTTTCCCTCCTTGCGCTGCCTTTCTCCCTGTGAATTGCTAGCCAAGCTTCTGCATTTTTCATTTTTCTACTAGGAAATATGGTTTCCTCATCACTTCGGATTAGCGCTGGTTCGCTTTTCCTGCTGAGTCTGGCCTCGTCTGTGACTGCCAGCTCAAGCTATTCGCTGGTCGAGAATTGGCATGGTGACAAATTTCTGGATTTTTTCAACTTTCACGTCGGTGAAGATCCGACCAACGGGTTCGTCAACTACGTCGACCAGAGCAGTGCTGAGAGCTCAGGGCTGGTAAAGGTGCTGGACTCGGGTGGTGTTTATATCGGTGTCGACCACAAGAAGACGATTTCGACAAGCTCTCAGGGTCGTGACTCGGTGCGCATCGGCAGCAAGAAGTACTACGATGAGTCTCTGGTGATCGCCGATCTGGCCCATATGCCAGGCAGCGTTTGTGGTTCATGGCCTGCCTTCTGGTCTGTTGGCAAGAACTGGCCTGCCGACGGTGAGATTGATATCATTGAAGGTGTTAACCTCCAGGACCACAACGAGATCGTCATGCACACTGCTGGTACATGCAGTATCACCGACACTGGAATGACTGGTAGTGTCAACGCCACGGGATGCGGTGAGGACCTCGGTACAGTCGGCTGTGTCATTGAGGGTCAAGAAGGAAGCTATGGTACCTCGTTCAACAAGCAGGGTGGTGGTGTCTATGCGATGGAATGGACCGACAAGCACGTCAAGATCTGGTTCTTCCCTCGCTCCAAGATCCCCGCCTCTATCACTAGTGGCAGCCCCGATGTCACCCAATTCGGTACCCCGATGGCCCTGGTTCAGGATGGCTGCGACGTCGCCAACAGCTTCAAGGAACAATCTTTCGTCTTCGATGTTACCTTCTGCGGTGACTGGGCTGGTGGTGTTTACGGCCAGTCCGGCTGCCCCATGTCTGGCTCCGACTCCTCTACGAGCTGCCGCAACTACGTCGCTAACCACCCAGCTGCCTTTACGGAAACCTACTGGGAGATCAACTCTGTCAAGATTTACCAGACAGGTGTCAAGCGTATCGCGGAGACCACTACTGCCAACACTGTCGCGACCCAGGCTACTGCTACTCACGCCTCTGTCGCTCAGGAGACCACTACCAAGACTTCCATCACCGATCACACCGTCACCAAGGCCGATTCTGCGGCTTCCTCTACCTCGCAAGCCGAGGCCGAGTCTGCTGCTGTTAAGACTTCATCCACCGAGGGAACTCACGCTGCCGATTCTGCTGCCACTTCGGAGGCTGTTGGTATCATCGGTGAACTGAGCCCCACTTCCACTGCTGTGGCGGCTACCACTACAGCAAACGCCGCTACACAGGCCGTTGTTGAGTCCGCATCAAATGAGTCAAGCTCCAAGGTCAAGACCACCCGCATCGTAACCGAATTTGTTACCGCTACCACCACTCTCTGCCCTGCTGCCGAGAGCTCGTCTATCGCCGCCGTTCCTGCCAACCATGAAACCGCTGCATCCTCATCGGTCGTTGTTGAGACTCCTAATGTTGTTAAATCTTCCAACTCGGCCCCGATTGCCGAGTCGGTTCCTACCCAGGCTGCGGAAGCCTCACAGCCTACCAATTCCGCCGGGACCCAACAGGCGAATGCTGCTACTACCCACGCTGCGCAGTCCCCAGCCCCGACGACTCCCATCGGTGCCGATGCAGTCTCCAACACATCTGCTGAGCAAGGATCCTCGTCCACCCAGCGTCCTCTGCCAACCATCATCCCCGCCCCTGGTGTGAACCCCGACTCTGCGAGTGCCATTGCCAACCAGCCTCAAACGTCGAAGGCTCTGATCCCCACCGCAACCGATGCTTCTGTCCCCTCGGGCAGCACGTTCCCAGGTACTCCCAGCAGTTCTGGAAACTTTGCTCTCTTCACTAGCGGAGCAGACAAGCTGTCGACTGGATTCTCAGTCTTTGCCGTTGCCCTTGGCTTCGCCATGGCAGTATGAGACGTGCTGTTGTGTTTCAGTTTAACCTAATCAGCGTTTTCGCGTTCTGTATTCGATGGCGGTTCCCCTTGCGTGATTTCTCCATATGTAAAATAGGCCCTTTGTTCTCGTCCATAGATCGTGATAGTCAACAATCCTTGCAGCAATGGTTCCCCTCATGTCAATTAATTAAAATATCAATTAAATTACAATTAAATTCTCTCAAACAAAAATGTATCAAGTCTATCAACGCCTTACATAAAACTTTCGCCCCACTAAGCCTTCATCCACCGCTTCATCCAATCCCGCACGTAGCAATTCAATATCCCATCTTCGATTATTCCCAATCTTCCATTCCTCAGAGTATCACTGCCGCGCTCAGCCTTCTCCGTCATGAATCTCTTCGGGCCAAGTTTTGAATTTTCGCCGTACATTGCCACGTAATGATCGATGAGCTTGACTGCGGGGTTGATATGCTCTTCACCCCGCTCCTCACTCTGGCGAAGTCCTTGCATCCATTTTTCAAAACTGACAGTCTCGAATTGGAATCCATTATGCCTCAAAGCGGAGAGCATAGACGACCATGTGAATTCACGAGAATTGCACACGTTGTAAAGCGAGTCATTTTGCCCATTTGCCCGCCTTGCTGGTACAATGCAGGAGATTTGTCTTTCATCTTGGCTGCTTTCACTATCCAAGGAACTTGATTTTGTAATTGGATAAGTGCATGTTTGGGCTATCTCCACAATTGTAGAGGCTAGCTTGTCAACTGGAATCCAGCTGCAAGTATGACTTAGATCCGGTAGTGCCTCTAGAGTCAACGCTGACCGGATAAGCAATGGTAGTGCCTCCGAGTCATTCCACAGACCCTTCCTCGAGTGACCGGATACTTGGCCGATCCGAAGGGAGTAGGCGTGTGCTCCTGAATTGCGGGCATTGTCAACGATGTGCTCGCCGATTAATTTGGATTGTCCGTAGCCCATGTATGCGTCTGTGAGCTTGGCTGGAGTTTCTGAGATTTCTTCGTCGGTAGACTGGAGGGTTGTCGATATCGAGGAACAAAATATTAGAACGGCTGGGGCGGACTGTGGGACGGAGAGGGATAGCTTGATGAGATTGTGGAGTCCCTGGATGTGTGGTTCGAATTCAGAGAGTGGGAGGTTGAAATTGACTGGCCAGGCGGCGTGGATGATGTGTGTTGTTTTGCTTTTTATTTGGTTGAATGTTTCTTCGTCGAGGCCGAGGTTTTCCTGATCTAGGGTGCTGTGTAGAGCTATGATCTTGGACATCTGTTCGACTGTGACATGTAGGTCTCTTTCGACCAGACTTTGGAGAACGGCTTCTATCGGTGATGTTTGTCGTGTCAGACAGAAGATCGCTGAAATAGCATCGTCTTTCAGAAATTCATACAAGACATGTGCACCAATTGACCCAGTTGCGCCTGTCAAAACCACACATTTGGAATTTGAACAGAGACTAGGTTGAGCAACATGGCTCTGGAAAGATGAATATTTCTGTATCAAATCCAGTATCATGGTCTGGTTGTCTTCGATGGATGTGACAGACTCGAACTCGCCTCGTTGGAGCGCGCAGATATTTGTAGCGAGACAAGCAACACTACCAGTCTCGTATATCATATTGACGCAGATTTCATGTTTCTCAAAATAGAAATTTTGAAGAATCAATCTTCGGAGCTGGATTGCCCTGAGACTGTCAACTCCCTCCGCGAAGAAATTCGCTTCGACACTGGAAAGGGCAATTCGTAGTTCATCTCGACAGAGGTTCATCAAGAGGGACTTTGTTTCCTCAAGGCTTAGTTGAAGATGTCCGCTGACTCTATTAGCCTTTGCATAGATACCCTCAATCAGATCCGCGTAGAGCACATAAACCTGAGCCCGAATCATAGATCCTTTGTCCGTTCGTGGAAATTTAGAATCAAAGGGGAGAATGGCAATCAGATCGATCGAGATTTGAGAGAACCGCTCGGCACGTAAATTGGCCCCCTCAATCGTAGGCCAGATAACTTGAAGGAATTCTTGGTCGCTGAGGTCGAGACTCTCGGCCTCTTGCGAACGAATGATTAGTAGACCCGGAGTCGCTTTGCCAAGTCCCACAACTACAGCTTCATCGATAAGACTGTTTTGCTTGATAAACCCTTCAATTGGAAGTGGTAAGACCTTTTCCCCGTTCACAAGTGTGACCCTGTCATCCAATCTGGATGCATACTTCCATCGATTTGGGATTGTGGGATGTTTCGTGAAAACATCTTTCGAATGGAACGAGCCGGGTGGTTCATTCGAATTGGATGTTGTCAACGCTGGATGGCCAGCTAAATACACACATTCATAGAGGGAGTCGCCGATTGGCTTCATCCAGATATACGGTCGGATATTCTCAAAAAATTTGAGATAGTTCCAAAATGGATCTCCCTCGGGTCGTGATATTGACTCGGCTACCAGCCCTGCCTCGGTTCTAAATTATCATGTTAGAGCGAAAGAGCAACGGAAATCCGGCATAAAACTTACAAGCCAAATGATCCACTGAACTTAACGCCTTCCTTCACTAGAAAATCACCAAGTTCATCGGGACATGGAGCGCCTCCGTACGTAACAAGTTGACACCTTCGAAGACAAGCGATTCCGCGTGGGCTATCTACTAACAGCTGTAGCATATACGGTACCGCTGCGACCGACTCAGGTTGTGCAATCTCTAGTACCGAAACCACGGCTTGAGATGTCAGAGGGATCGCCGAATTCCACATGTACGCAGTCTTTCTCATCCACATAGCCTGCAATGCAGTAGAGAGACCATGCAAATGGTACCACGGAAGTGGATTGAAGGAGGTCAACCCCGGTCCTCGCAACGGGTGCGTCATTAAGGCACGGTGTGTGAGATACAAAGGTTTTCGGGGTTCCTGTAGAACCTGACGAGTGGAGAATAAGTGCAATCTTACTTTTCCGAACTTCGGGATCGCGATTGCGGTGCAGGACTAAAAGCGACGTTTCGAAAGTGTCGAGGGACGCAACTGGCATTGGACGACAGCTCACCAATTTACGTTGTAAGATTTCTCCCATTGTTGTGCGAATGCTTCCGGTATCTCCATAGATGATAGTGTCGCATTGAGCCGAGTCAAGTAAGTAGACACATGCCTCTGCAGACAGACGTGGGGAAAGCATCATCACAGTGTATCCCAATCGGCTTAGAGCGAAGAACGTGATTACCATGTTGAGGTCGGAGAGTGTGAGGAGTGCCACTGTGCAACCATCTTGCTTCGGCTGTGTAAAATCGAGATCAGTATCTAGCGATGGAAATTAACGTGGGAACTTACTGGTTGGAAGCCACTGGCCATCAATCCCGAGGCAATCTGGTCGACCATCTGGTCAATATCTTGCCCAGTATAGTAACTGTAAGATGCAGCATCTTGGGCGGAGTTAGGATATGCGAGTATTGGTTGTTGAACAAAATCCGCAGCTCGATGTCGAATCAAATCGTCAAGAACGTGGAGTTGTCCGAACTTCTGTATTAAGGGATCCGGGGCACCAGAAGAGGCCGCAGGGGCGGTCTGATCACCACGTTGAATACCCATGAGGATACACAGGAACTTCAAAAGACGTAAAACTTGCAGCAAGATATTTTAGGATGGGAAGTAGTGGTATTAAGGGGACTTGCTTTGTGCAAAAAATCTAATATTAGCTCGGCTTCTGTCCTAAACTTTCTGTTTACTGCATTCGGGATTCCCGGGACGCTGCCGTCTCTCCGTTTTTAGTGACGGATATCTGTTGCTAGTTATCCGAATTCTTGAATTGATGTATATTTCCGTAATATAGTTTAATGGGTTGCGATTTTATTTCAATATGCAGCATATAGTGCTATACTGAGCCACTACTGCCGACCCAGCCAGCCCTTCATCGGAGGATATCTTATACCAATCCAATACTCCGTAGTTCACCAGCTGCTGCCACAAACAAGCCACGGAATTTTAGTCCTCAAATCAGATACTCTCCTGTCTATCATTGGGACTTATGTAGCAGAAGTCACAGCTGAGCGACCGTAGTCCAATAACAGCTGCAGGTAAGCTGATAATTATGCAAAATGGATAATCTCTTACGCGATTCGTCGGTGGTTTTCTGCACAGATAAACCGTTTTCGCCTACGATACAACGATGGTCTGAAATAATTTCAGGTTCCTAGTAAATAATATTTACGGGATTAGTTGCAATCACGGCTGGTGGCGATGGTTACACTGCATGTGTGCCCGAGCTTGCTGTCCTGGCTTACATTGAAATCCTGTTGGCCAACAACAGTTTTCATCCCGCTGTCATGAACAAGGGGGGGGGGACTTCCACCGTGAACAGAGTGACCGTTTGTACTCTGAGACGTTCGCCAATACAGCGAAATTACTGATCATTGCTGAGATGAACGGGCGTTGGGAACTATATCAAATTATGTACTAGTATACTCCGTCCATCAAGTTGGTTAGGATTGCCGATATGAATTAAGAAAAAGCCATAGCTGAAAAAGGTTCCCTTCAAGTAGAATCTCATAGCTAGGACCCCGAGGTGATTTATTTACCGATCCAATGAATACGGGGATTAAGTGTACATCCCGAGACATTGTCGAGCTCTACTATGCAGGCTTGCTAGACCCGATCGACGTCACTCATACTAGTAGGTATTGAGAGAAAAAGGACTTAAAATCAGAATTCCTACTGTTTTTGTGCACAGTCCCGCATTCCCAAAATGAGTTCCGACGGGGAACTAGATCCGAGAAGTTGATGAGTCCTTGCGTTGGCTCAACGGCCGCTGGGAACGGTCCTGCAGAAACCCCTTGTGGGGCAATTCGAACCAGATCGCCATTTTATATGTGGTCAAGAATGTCAACCGTTCGATCGGGACAGTACATTCCAAGGTTGTTTGCCTTTGATTCGTTTCCAGGGACGGCCCGTGTATGCTAGTCGCATTCCTCGCGGGACTGCGTAGATTGCCCCGGTGGAGCGGAAAATGAAGTGATCCCGGTTCATGGTATTTGCATGTCTGACTTGTCAAATTTTCTAGAAGATCGAGTGCCATCCTGGTTGTCGGTACTCAAACATTCCTTTCGCCTGGGACATACTAGTATCAACTGTATCGGGCCGGAAGACACGGATCCGTCGTGGTATGTTCGTTGCTATTAACTATCGACGCGGCCAAACGAGAGGGGCACTAAGGGATTCTCTAGGGACTGTCCGACAGGGATGCTGCTGAATTGAAAGAATAGACTTATCTATTCCACATGTGATCATATGACATTACAGTACAGTACATTTGATGCACTGGCCTGAAGGCAAGGAATGGATGCATCTGAACATCTTGGGGTTTTCTATTATATGAAGAATGACGAAGGAACGCCGTGCAAACTCAATGCCCCAACCAAGACCCAAAACCGGAAATTTGGAGTCCAAGTCAAGTTCTAGAAGGCAATGGCCTTTTCCTTTTCCACCGTCATCAGTCGTTCCAGCATCTTTCGCCATGCCTGGCCTGCCCTTGCGGCATGTTCATCTGGCACGGATGGGTCGTCTACCCCGGTGGTTCGAGAGAAGACTTCCATACTCACCCATCCGGTATAACCTATTCCGTTCAAACAGGCCTCTGTCACCGGCACGATAGGCAGATATCCGCCCCTCTCTTCTTCACACGGGAACAGACGAGCATTCCGTGACCAGGCTAGGAGAGTGGGTAGTCCTGGCGTCCGAAGGAAGGAAGTTTGCGGGTCTACCCTCTCACCGTCAGCTAGCTGCACCATCATAACGCGGTCCGGGTCAATCTCTCGGACGAGCCGCTCCATTGATGTTTGCAAATCATCGTCTGCACTCGGAGATCTCCGTCCGGATGGACTGGTCGGATCAGCCCACACCCGAGCTGCAATATTGAACGTATCCAGGCAGATCCCCAGGTTGGGTCGGTTGGCTCGATTGACAATTTCCCAAGAGTCCTCCCACGTATTGATGTAAGTACCCCAGGCCAATGCTTCGTAGGCGATGCGAATTGGGAATGCCACATCAGCAGCTTCGGCCAGATCTGCCACTAGCCGATCCTTGTCACCTGTGATCTCAGAAGGGTCGAGGAAGGAGGATGGAATGAGAATGAAGAGACTCTCTCCAAGAATTTTGGATAGCTGCACCCAGTGTTGGAGTTCGTCGATACGTTGAACATGTTGTACAGGATCTATCAAGCCTTCATAGTGTCGGAAAGGTTGAAGTGCTAGAACTTGCAGGCCACGCTCGGCACAAAGATCGCGAATGGCGTGGGCGGCATCGATCTCGTAGTCTCGATCAGTACGGCCCGTCGGCTCACAGTCGTGCGAGCGTAGCGTCTTTGCTAGCTGTGCGAGGTCGTCATGGAACAGTTCCAGACCTTTCTGGCCGTGTTTTGCTGCCGCGTCGATTTTGGCCGTGATGGAGTGCAGATTAGCAACGCCGAGGCTCACTGTTGCGACAGCTGGCTTCCAGCGAATAGCGTCTTCAGCTGGCGGAGTCGGGAGTGAATGCATCGGGCGCTAGTGATTGATAGTCTCGGCAAGGGCTGTTAGATATCAAGTTGCAAGGCGTCTTCGGTCGTCGGGTGCCAGTGCGTATATAGAAACCTTAGAATATTTCATTTCATTTCAATCATCATCGACTTGACAACTCCCACTATTCAAATTTAAATCAAACAGTTCCACGAGCACCTGATGCCAACACGTCTGTTTCCGTGTCGATCGGAGACTCTTCAAGGTCAGGGGTGAGCAAATGCGTCAAATAAGTGGGCCGATACAGTCAATCTATGGTCCAGAACTCAATCAGCCCAATGACTGATATCGCTGCGTGCAACCCGCACTCCACCTGGGCGGGAGAGAGGTACCGGTGGGAAATTGCAAAGTATATCCAGGAATCTTCCGGGTCAATGTTCGAGGTGTCCGGATTGCTGTCATGAGCTGCTTTCGGGTGGCGGGGCTGTTTGCTGGTTTTTGGTACCTAGTTGTCCTCCGATGGACCGGGCGTGGAGATGGCATAGCTGAGAGCTAACCCTCCGAGGATAGCGCCGCATCCGATGCAACTATGAAGCTGAGGACGGTGGCCATCTATTTTGAGAATATGATATAAAATGGACACCCTGGACCAGGAGAGAAGGACGGTATCTATCGTTGTTTCGGGTCCCTACTATACAAACCTCTAGCGCATCTCTCATTACGCAATCTTCCCCTCGAAAATATGACCGTCACCACAGGCACTCCACTCTACTCGATGGTGAACCGCCTAGGACAGTTGGCTGTACAGGAAGGCTCGAGCCCTTCACCGCAGACCCACCTTGAACTCTTGCGGATGATCGACCAGCTTAGACTCGCCGTCGAATCACCAACGGAAACCATTCTGCGTCTCATCTACCAGGTATACCACAGCACTGCCAAGCTGGCCATTTTGTGAATTAAATTGCTGACGTGACCGAACACAAGCCTCCGCAGAATGCCGCATTACGTACTGTTATTGATATGGGAATATTCCCACTGCTGATGGAGATGCAATATCGCGAGTCGGGAATTTCTGCCGATCAGCTTGCAAAGTTTACCCATGCAGAGAAGGATCTGGTCGGTACGAGTCTCCAAATTTTCCCACTTCTGGCTGGGTTCCTATGCGACAGGTACTTGGCGGATCTTACTAACCAGCTGAATAGTCCGACTGATGCGTGTCATTGCATCCCTAGGGTTGTGTTCAACCCCGGGCTCGGAAGTGTATCGGGCCAATGATAAGACGGTGGCATTGATTCAGCCTATTGGCAGAGATGGGGTGCCGTGCATGTATGTACATGCATGCAGTCTTTCCTTCAACTCACTGACTGACCTGCTGAGTAGATACGACCTCACGGTGCCCACCTTGAGCAAGCTCCCCGAATATCTGCAAGCTCACCAATATGCCAATCCACAGGAGTATACCACGTCCCCGATGAAATGGGCTGTTGGCCAGAGTCAGTTCGAGTGGCTGGCAAGTCATAAGGATCAGCAGACACTGTTCAACTCGTATATGGCAAGTCGCCGACAAGGCCGTCCCATGTGGTTTGATACATACCCCGTGGGGCGTTTGCTGGGCCATGATGTGCCCTATGAAGACAGTGTCTTTCTAGTTGATGTGGGTGGTAATCAAGGCCATGATTTAAGCCAGTTTCGACTGAAACACTCTCATTTGCCGGGTAGGTTGATCCTACAAGACCTCCCCGACGTCGTCGCAGGCGTGTCCAGTCGGGACTCCGGGGTGGAGGTAATGGGATATTCATTCTTGGATCCCCAGCCAGTGCAGGGCGCGCGGGTCTACTATTTCCGATCCATCTTCCACGATTGGCCGGACCACATCTGCCAGCAAATCCTTCTCAATACAATCTCAGCCATGGCCCCAGACTACTCTCGCATCTTGATTGTAGACTTCGTGTTATCGGACACGGGCACTCCACTTATGCAAGCGGCGTTGGATATTCAGATGATGAGCATTGGTGCCGGCGTTGAGCGAACGGAGCGCCAGTGGAGGAATCTCCTGGATAGCGTTGGACTGGAAATCACCGGAATATGGAATCAGTCGGCTGGTATGGAATCGGTGATCGAAGCAGTGCCAAAGAATTCAGGGCGACGAGGTGAGAGGAAGGGAGAAATGGTTGAATAAACATGCTACTGCTATTAGTTTCGCTTTTCTAGATTTGGCGTCCCAATGCACTGACTACATACTACTTTCTTGCTCTATCTCTGGTATGATCTTCATTGTCCATATTTGGGTACTATTGTCAGGTACAATGGCCCCGTCTTTCCTTCAAGTTCTAGAGTGTACATCTGCATGGCGAGGTGCGACGCGACTTTTCTCGAGCGATTCACCCATTGTGGATAGTGACTGTGTCAACCTTTTTTCTTCTATTTTTGGAAATGAACATATTTGGCTAATGATTGAAAGCAAGAATGAATTGCTTTTTACCTTCCCAAGAAAACCCCATTGCTCGTATATGAAGATACTGGCCGCCATTTAAGCAACTAGAGCCGAGCAAACCCCGAATAGACCTCGGGATAAAAAGGAGCAATCTTCGGCGTTGATTTCATAGCTCAACCCTCTTTCTGATTGCACATTTCTTCTTCCCTACTAGGTAGTTATATCGCAAGTTAAGACCAAGCAAGAAAGCCTCCGATTTGACCAACTCCGTTCTATTATAAGATCAAGCCTTTTGCGACACTTTCCGCCACGTCTTCAACGAGTCGAATCGACCGGAAATGCAACCCACTCTGCTCTAACTCTTTCCGCAACGCTTCTGAATATGCGACATTTTTCATCAAGCCCCCAGTCAACACCAGTTCAGACTCTATGATAGCCGAGAAGCCTTTGGATCGATTATCAGTCAAACGAGCAAGGGTCTTATTGATGAGACGAGAGACCTGAAGCTTTACAATCGACATTGCAGCATCATTGCCCGGGGCAAGTCTCAAGACAGTCTCTGCTATCCCAGCAATGCGAGTCTTGATATGGCGACCCTCTTGCGTAGAGAGAATTTCCGTCAAAATATCAATGCTTCCATCTTCTTCCGTAGGACACCCAAGCTTGTTAATCACAGCCAGTTCAAGTTCACCCAAATCCTGCGATTTCAGACCCAGGGTACGCTGTTCCAACACATCAAGTGTGAATTGGATCGCCTCGCGACCAATGGAATAGCCTCCACCTTCGTCGCCCAGAATATGTCCCCAACCTCCGGAACGAGCGACGCGAACATAACCTTGATCCTGGTCCCAGTTGTACCGCATCGCCACGCTGCCAGTACCTGCGATGAGAACAATCACCGGTGGATGATTTTCTTTTGCTGAAACGACAGCAGGTAAGAGGTCTACATCGCTCGTTAATCGGAATGCGGCGGTTGTATGATCCAATCCAAAGGTCTTTCCAAGTTGAGGAGTCAAGGAGTCCTTCAGCCCGGCACGATCCAGGCCAGCTACACCAATCCAAACCGAGTGGAATACAGTTTGTAGATAGGCTTTCCAGGCGGATGCTGTCACTTTCTCTTCGGGAATGTGCTGTTTCAAGGCGTTCTTGGTAGCTTCGATCAGTGTGGATACTACTCCATCAACATTCGCAATGTTATCTGTACTAATTTGCAACGTTAGCGAGCGAAACAATCCCGAGTGAAACAATATCATACAGATTGCATGGACCTGCATAGCCACGAGTTGTGTTTCCTGCTGCGTCGGCAATTACTGCAGCACACTTGGTACCCCCACCATCAATGCAAAGCGCGAATTTTCTCACGAATTCATCCGAAACAGGCTGGATATTTGGCACTACCGAGTCCAGTGCTTTTGAAAGGATTCCTCCCACAGCCTGCAAGTCTCTCTTGCAAGTCTCGACGGAGTTCCCGGTCTCCGCAACAAGAATAGCAAGCTTTACGCTGCAGTTACACTTGACGAGCAGCTCGTCCAGATCAGAGTCTGCCATCGCGGCACACTTTGAACTCAGTCTCTTCAGAATGTTTTTTGAACGCTGCTTCAGCTTCAAATTCGATGCTTGCAGATCGACCATCTATATGCTTGTTAGCAATCAGGGCTTATTGTCAATATTTAGACACTCTGGTGCCAAGAGAGCCCATACCATGTTACCGTAAGTCTTTCCAGTTCGAATCATTGTGCCAGTACTGAGCATATTCAGAACCAACTTTGTCGCTGTTCCAGCCTTCAACCTCGTGCTTCCAGTCACAACCTCCGGCCCTGGCACAGGTGCAATCAGAAAATCCACATTGCCAGACAGCCCGATCGCAGAGGGTTCCGCGCAAACAACACCAATCGTGAGACATCCCAAGTTTTTTCCAAACGCGAGACACCCCAGCACATACGGTGTACGGCCAGAGCTGGCAATTCCAATGATGCTATCCAGCTCGGGGTTGAGGTTGAGATTCCTCATGTCCTCTTCGCCAGCGTGGTCGTCATCTTCGGCACCTTCTTGCGCTTGTCGAATTGCCGCATCTCCACCGGCAATCAATCCGACGAACTGCTCGCGAGGTGCTGCAAAAGTAGGTGGTATCTCTGAGGCATCCAAAACGCCAAGTCTGCCACTCGTTCCAGCCCCGACATAGATCACTCGACCTCCTCGGCGCACGCGCAATGCTAACCCGTCAATGGCACCTGCAATCGCCGGCAGACACGGTGTAACACTCTCGGAAACTTTATGGTCGTCCGCATTGATGATGGTGCACATCTCCAATGTTGAGATGCGGTCGATATTGACGGTCCGGGGATTGACCCCCTCCGTCTGGAGATTGGCCAAATTGCCGAGATCCATACTTGTCAGCTGCTCTCTGTTTGTTTGAATCTTTTGACAAGAAATGAAATGTTAAATCGTCAACCGGCTCTGTGCAGATTGCAGCAGACTGAGATCACTGCGGCCTATGTGCAGGAGAAAAACCTTGCTTGAATGGGATGTGACACTCGTGTTCATGTAAACGCGATCTCGCAATGCCGGCGCTAACCAGCAAATGTTGCCGACATCCGATGAGACAAGCCGATGTCAAGCTATTGCGGGGGGCGTTACTAGTCAGTGTTGCAGCGAGGCCCCCCCTTTATGTTCCCATGTTACAGCCTCACGCCACATGCGTTTCTAAGCGAATCCACCTTGGCTCGATGAGATGGGTGGCCGTGGCGGTTTATGCATATTGTGTTTTGTTCTCAGTGGCGTGATGAGAGACATTTTGATCCATGGAGGTGCAGACTAGGAGTTCGTTGGATCTAAGCAGATTCAAATGTTGACCTAGAATTAGTCCATAGTTGAGGCTTGTCAGAATATTAGTACTGTTGACTGCCAGACTGTCGACAAATCAGGTCACACGAACAATCAATTCTTCACTCCATCGGTATTTCTGGATCCACGGTCGGGCTCAGACCCCAACACGCGAGACGTGGAGAAGCTCCTCTTGTTTTCCCCAGAAACCTGCCCGATGTGGAGTAGGGCCTCTCACTGTCAATGTTCCATTTGCCGGTTTTTGCTGCAATTATGAAGTGTGGGTGCTCGGTTCTTCAAGCGATAAGTGTTGATAATTAGAATGCCTTGTTGTGAGTGGTCTAACTAGCCTGATAATGATAATTGCCCCCGCTCCAGATACCACGATATCTCAGGAATCCAGGGATTAGCGTCGTCAGGGTCGCAACCCGCACGTCCTCGAATCGCATAACCCACATTTAGGCCGTCTGTTGTTTGATTCTAAAAGCCCTTCACGATCGCCCTCTCCCCGGGATTTTGAGGTTTCTTTTTTTGGTTTCCCCATTCTATCATCCCCGCGAATAGACACCGACATGGAGCACGACAATCGTGTTCAGGAGATGACGGGCTCGATGTCGTCGGAGCCACAGGCAAATCGCTCGACCTGGTACCAGATTTATACAAATTCTTGGTTCCAGATTCTGTTGATTAGTTTTATCTGTTTTTGCTGTCCTGGGGTGAGTCCCACAAGCCACGTAGAGAGTGGCTGTTTATGTTTGGTGCGATTCTGACCCTCGGTATAGATGTACAATGCCCTCTCAGGACTAGGAGGATCTGGACAAGTCAATCAAGCTGTTGCTGCAAATGCTCAGGTGGCTCTGCTTTCTGCGACTGCTGCTACAGCGCTGTTTGTCGTTGGCCCAATCTTCAATCGCGTCGGCCCTCGCGTCTGTCTTCTCATCGGCGGCTGGACCTACCCCTTGTATTCTGGCAGTCTGCTCTGCTTCAACTGTAAGCAACCCAATGGAAGATCTACTACGCGTTATTGATGATAACTTGATGACTGACATCTTTGTTAGCTACAAATAATGGCTCTTTCGTCATCGCCGCCGGTGCAATCCTCGGTATCGGCGCATCCTTCCTGTGGGTTGCTCAAGGAGCCATCATGACAACATACGTCCCCGAATCCCAAAAGGGTCGCGCTATCGCCGTGTTTTGGATCATTTTCAACCTTGGTGGCGGCGTCGGTTCGCTCGCCAGCTTCGGTCTCAACTATAACTCCACCAGCGGCACCGTCTCGAACGGAACATACATCGCCCTACTCATATTAATGGCAATCGGCTGGCTGCTGGGCGTATTTATCTGTCCACCCGCCTCTGTTCGCGTCAAACAACTCGAAGCAACCCCGGAAGAGGAGAAGAACTGGAAACAGACCCTGCTCGTTTCGGTGCGTGCGATTGCCGACTGGCGTGTGCTGTGCATGTTGCCACTGTTCTTCTCTGCCAATGTCTTCTACTCTTACCAGCAGAATGTCGTCAACGGAATGACCTTCAACATTCGTTCTCGTTCGCTGAATGGCGCGCTCTACTGGATTGCGCAGATGCTGGGCGGTCTGATCATCGGCCTCATCCTTGATCTTCCAGGTTTCAGCCGTCCCACACGTGCGCGTATTGCTTGGGTCTTTCTCTTTGTCACTGGTATGGCAACCTGGGGTGGTGGTCTGGCTTTCCAGAAATGGTTTGATGAGCGTGCGGCGCGGGGCCTCAAGCAAGATATTGATTACACCGATGGGTCTAAATCGGTCGGTCCGATATTCTTGTATATCTTCTATGGCGCCTACGATGCCTTCTGGCAGTCCTTCTGCTACTGGCTAATGGGCGCTCGGTCTAACTCTCCAGCCGTTACTGCTGTTCTTGTTGGTGCTTATAAGACTTTCCAGAGTACTGGTGGTGCCATGGCGTGGCGTATCAATGCGATGGGTAAGCCAGCTATGACACAGTTTGCCATGGATTGGGGTCTATGTATGGGATCACTAGTTATTGCAATTCCCACCGTGCTTGCAGTGACTTTGACCAGTGGGTCGGATGATGATATCAACGCGCAGCGTATGTCAAGCGATGATGAGAAACCCCAAGCTCAATTGAAGGAATAATATAATCATAGAGGGAGGCAGTCTGTCTGATTTTCACTGCATCGCGTGGCATCTTCATACTAGAGTCTTTTTATCTACGATAATTGTATACATGCACCAGTTCAGTTCAGCTCAATTCAATTCAGTTCGTTCTGTTTTTTTCCCCCTACCTATAGTAGTGTCTTGTCACTATCTCGGAGTTGCGCCGTGGTTATTGATGACCATATCCCATTTTCTGAACCATGGTATTACATAAAACAATCAAAGACAAGATCCAATTAATCTATCTTAATTTTCCACTTCTTACCTTTGTATAATTGCTGATAATGTTGTTAAACTCAACTCATCATCCTCATAGTTCAATAACCGAGCGGCAACTGGCGAGTTCGGCGTACCCGCCGACTCCGCAGCTTTCTTCCACTTCGACTCTTCCACACCTCACCTCGCTTCACCTCCTCTTTCTCTCTCTCTCCCTTCTCTTCGACCTCCTCCTCGACCTCCGTTCTCACCATGGGTCTCATCAGTCGCACTCTCAAAATTTCCGCCGCGGGCACGGTCGCCTCCATCGGTGTCTTCTTCGGCGCCACGCGCAATGACGTCTTCGAACCTATGGACTCGACCGATCCCATCTTCTCTTCGCCTTTCTTCCAAAAATATAACCCCAACCGCAACCCTACCCTGCATGATGTCTGCGTCCGCCGAATCGAACTTTCTAAGATCGAGCCCTCTCTGTTGGAGAAGAAGGGCAAGCTAGTCGAGGCCTTTTGCGCCGGTGTCTGGGGCGGCATGGGTGAGTCGGTCCCTTCGCATTCCCATTGACACGCGCGCACAGCTAATCCGCGATGCTTTCTTTCTGTCTAGGATACATGGCCCAACGCGCGTGGTTCGCCAATAAATACCAAGGCCCCGAGACCGCGACCCACCTTTGGGATCGCAAGGACCTCCTCTCCAGCACCTACGAGGTCGGCACCGTGATCACCGATCACTTCGAAGTCCTCGAGAAGACCGACGAATCTATCATCGTCCGCTGTGGCGATACCCCACGACACCCCGATATCCGCAAATCCGACGGTCTCTTCGAAATCTCCGCCGTCGTCAAGCAGGAGGAAGGCATCGCGGAGTTCAAGCTGAAGAGCTGCTTCTACCAGGGCGAGGGCAAGGCTGAGGGTTCTCCGATGGGACCTGTTATGACTTGGTTGCATCAGCAATACGCCAAGCTTTGGCTGGAGACTGCCATACTGAAGAATGTTGTTAAATAAGCGTCTGTGGCTGAGGGCTTACGACCATTGGTGTAAATACGTTTCCATAATGCTCTGCGACGGGACACTGCCAGGTGAAAATGAAAAGGGGTTTCCCCGGTCGACCTGTGCTAAAGCAGACACCTCTTCTTTCCATGCATTCCGGTGCAATCGTGATTCAAGTTCCAAGGTTGAGTCCCGACTCGCAGTTAACCCTGGGGATCCCGTGACATAAACATTCAACTACCAGTAGGAGCGCCCCGAGAAGTTATTTGCCTCACCCCACGATCCTCCACAATCACCCCCGGATCCGAGACGCGGACCCTAGGTATAGATGTCGATTAATTACAAATCAATCAATTGAGATCATCACTCTCAAGCCTCTTTGGATAGTCCAACTCCGGGATTCCCGAGCGGCGCCCTCCAACAGGCCCAACAGTCCTAGAGTTCTCAATAGAACGGACCATATTCTCAAGATTCCGCAAACAATGTCACATTTACGATATGCAAATCCAGATCGAAGAATCTAGAAGCAGGAAACCTACACTTTGCTTCATTTCGACCATTTCTAGCAAGGACTGGGTCAATATGGGATGCCTCGTCACCGACCTCGGGACGATCTCCACCCACCGCAGAGAATCTCGGAAATGCCGGACATCTCTCCTCTCAATCCACATCCATTTTTCTCACCGGACCCAATGAGGCCAATCCCCAACCAATCGTGTAGGATACCCCATTATCTCGACATATTCGACTGTGGGGAAGCCCTCGTCACAGGTCGATCGTCTGGGGATATTTGAGGACCCAGCCTCGCCCCGTGGTTTCGAACAGATCGACTCTTCTGAATCGGTCCCGGGGTCGATAACGCACTATTCACCACGAACGATCATACAGCATGACAGACACCAAAGTGGAATCAAATCTATACTCAACATGCAATCATTTGGAATCCCTGCCTGAATGGGATGGCCAGGATGTTCCTTCTGTGGGGGACTTGAAGTCATCCTTGGACACAGCAGAAGAGGATGCAAACAATCCCCAGGTAGATTCCCCATATTCAATCTGAGCGAGGCCAGCTAACTGACGTCTGTAGAACTGGTCTTTGACCGCAAAGCTTTGCACGTACCTAACCATCTGCTCCTTCACATTTCTTGCCAATACAAACTCAAGCAACTTCACCGTCGCGACCCAGGCAATCATCAAGGAATTCAATGTCAGTCAAACCCAAGCCGGATCCTTGGTCTGTTTCAATGTCTTTCTTTTTGGCGTGGGGAATATCTTCTGGGTTCCACTGATGCGGGTCGTCGGTAAACGCCCGGTCTACTTGATCTCCATGCTGCTGCTCTGCATGATTAATGTTTGGTCGAGTCGAGCCAGCAGCTATAACGAGCTACTCGCATCTCGTATCGTCTCGGGATTTGCGGCCGCCGCGGCCGATGCCACCGTTCCCGCGGTGGTGGCCGATATGGTCGCAGTCAAAGACCGGGGCCACTACATGATGTTCTTCCATCTCGCCATGACAGCTGGTCTGTTTCTGGGTCCCATGATCAGCGCTTTCCTTGTTCAACAGCAGGATTGGCGGTGGATGTGCTACTTCATGGCAATCGCTGTCGGAGTCATCTTTGTCGTTTCAATCTTTACAATCCGAGAGACTTCCTATCTCAAGCGACACCAAGATGACAGTAAGCGAACTCGCCTTCAGTGGATGTCATTGACTATCGGATACAATCGGGATGCCTCATTTTTTCAGACTCTGTTGGATATCCTGGCCAATGCTACCTACCCGCCAATCCTCTGGTGTTCGTTCACTATTGGTATCTCCGTTGGATGGTGAGTGACCTCATATTAACTGATGAAAACCTTGGAATGCCCTGCTAACATTGGATTAGGAATATCGTCGTTCAATTGACCTCCTCGCGGACGTTCACCAAACCGCCCTATAACTGGAAGCTAGGAAATGAGGGTCTTTTCCTGCTTTCGGGGTTCATTGGAGCAGTGTTGGCCTTTTATATCGGTGGCCGATTGATCGATATCGTCTCGTCCCGAAGCACGGCACGACATGGTGGTATCCGTATGCCCGAGTATCGGCTACCTGCAATCATCATCCCTGGTATAATTGGACCGGCTGGAATTCTTATCTTTGGACTCTGCATTGCCCATAAAACACATTGGATTGGCCCCGCGTTTGGATTTGCCATGCAGGCTTTCGGTCTTGCCGCCATCTCGAACGTGGCTGTGACATATTGCCTGGACTCGTACAAACCGGTAAGACATGATTGATACCTCTCTCTTCGGTGACAGTCGAACTAACACTCTATAGGTGACTGGTGAGGCTCTCGTTATCATTTTCGTTATCCGGAATACCATTGGGATGCTTCTATCTCTATATGCCGCGGATTGGATCGAAAAGCAGGGTACTGCGCCCGTCTTCGGTGAGATGACGGCAATTCAAGTCCTGAGCATTCTTTTTGCCATTCCGCTCTATTTTTGGGGTCGTCCACTGCGGGACTTCACCTCTAAATATGGACCAATGAAGCGATTTCAGACCGCATAGGCAGAGTATTTCTCATTCTGTTTCTGAGCTCGCTTGTAGGACAGTACTAAGAATCTTTCCATAAATATCATTAATCTCAGTACTAGTACTAGTTGCTGGACCAGACACTGGACTTGGAGTGTAGACATCGTCTCATTATTGCGTAAGATAGATAACTTAGTGACTCGGAATTGTGAATAGCGTTTCCCTAGCATTGCCCAATTCCCCCTAGTTCAAGAAGAACCCAACAAAGGTTTTCTAGAGACACTCGGTTGGCTTATTGGCTCCATATAAGGGTCATATGGAGGGGCAGGTATCTGGTCAAGGGGTATTTTGGGCCCCGATGAAACAGCGTTGTACCTTTTTCGCCGGTAGCAAAAGAACCTGTTGTAAAGATGGTCGTTAGTTTCAAGGTATCTGAATGAATTGCATACAATGCGCATGCTTACCAGATTCCCGCGGCTAAGGCGACAAGAAAGGGAACTCCAAGCCCAACGCTCAGGCCAATTATAAGCTTGTTGCTGGTTCCGTTCGTGGTGCCATGAAGAACGCTATGATTTGTAGAGTACGCAGTTGGTGCGCCCGTGGTGGCAGCTACCTTGGCTACGTTTGTTCCAAATGCAATCGTACTGGGAACAGACGTTCCTGTGGTTCCAGCAGATGTCCCTGTGCTCTTTTGAACAATGGTAGTCTGCAGACTGATAGGGCACTCGACTAGTCCAGTTGAGGCACATCGGGTAATTGTGTATGTCTGCACTGTGTTGGTGGCGATATCTCGAAGACCTATCGCATCAAGCCAGTCTGTTGACGTTGAAGTGCTTTGAGTAAATTGGGTGGTGCTTGTTTCTGTCTGGCTTTTCGCACATGTACTTGCCAATGTAGTGGTGAATATCGGAACTGTTGAGGTGAAATCGGGGCCCCATCCATGGGAATCTATCGCAAGCGTTGCGCCGGCTGCTGCTCCGACGGCAAGCGTGTATTCAAGATCAGCCGAAATGTCACATTCATTGGGTTCAGAGCTTTTGCCACTGTCAACATTCATGGAGATATCGGCGACATAGGCAAAAACATCAGTTACGACGCCAACGCTAGCATCGAGATCGCTCAAGATAGAAGGTAAGGCCAATTCAACTCCTAGGCTGATCTGAAGTCTTATAACAGCTCGAAGCGAGCCCCCATTCACTTTGATTGTGAGAGGCAGGAACTCGTATTGAGCCCCAGGACTGAAATGCAATAAAAGTGTTAGTTAAATACTTCCAAGTTCTTCGCGGGGGTGTGCGTTAGATGGAGTCTTACACTGTGGTACTTGCAATATCCTTGTCGAACAGTTGCATGTCAAAAGCGACGCCATCATCTAGTTTGATATGAATTCCACTTTCGATATGAATATCCGCATCGGGGATAAGAATAAGATCAACGCTGAAAACGGCCCCCACGTTTAGGTCTGGGATTTTGAAGCCCACGGGAGTCTGCGAGGTGAAAAGGTTGAGCGTGAAAGCATGGCCTGGCAGCTTAGTATCAATATCAAGATAGATTTCCAGATTGTCAAGCTCGAAATGAACTTTCGCGTCTGCAAAACCAGTAAAATTGTCTATATTCAAATCAAGATCGACGTTCAATGAGAATGGATCGTTTTCCGAGGATGTAATGATCTCAATGATAGAGTGGTTCTGTTTCAGCTTATTATACTCGTCTTCTATAGTCGTCTCAACATCACTCTTTATGTCCTTCACGGCATTTGTTAAGTTGAACCCATCGGTGAAGCTGAACTCGCCAGTAACCGAGCCCGTGATGTAGCAAGTGTTACAGACAATCTCAGTGGATGGGCTTAGATTGTCAGAACTAGGAAATAACATGGGAAGTGAGTAAATTGCGGTCATTAACGAATCAAATGTCTTATTGGGAGCTTACTCGCCGCCACCGTACAGAGTGGCATCAATCCAACTTTTGTCAATGGATGCAGTATCCATTTCGTAGGCAGTGGTGTCTCGGGATTTCATTCTCACTTTGTCCAGAGCTCTGCCCACGACACGCAGAGCATCGGCCTCGGTCATGTCTGTCCCAATGACAGTAGTAAGGAGTCCGGAATTTTCACCTCCAATAGCGACAGCGACATTGCAAAACGGAAGAAAAAGAGGCAAGCTCTTCAAAAAGGACAACATCTCAACCTTGCAATGAGTTCGCACTATTGCATGGATGAAAGGAAAATGAATGATAGTTCAGACCACAATGGCGGCTGATAGAATATCAATCTCCTAAGTACCGGAGTATTGCCGTGAGGCTCTTGCGGCTTGACAATTACACATTTCACTCTCTTAGCGTGCCTGAAATGTAAAAAATGGGGCCAAGGCTGTATGCGATAGCGAGGACCAGGGACACTTGACTGAAGCTGCAGCATACCCCGCTTCATAGATTACGCATAAGTACCCTGTACGGGGTTCTCCGTAGAACGACGCGCAATCACTCGACAGGATTGGCTAGCTAGATGATCCTAGTTTCGCCCAGTGGCTTAGCTATGATTCAGCCTTGAGCCATGTGAAGTTTTCCTTTTGGGGGCCAAATTCAAGTTCTATTTACGGGAGGAAAATATAGTCTCCGTTCTATCAATGATAAGCATATTTAGAAATGCCGAGCTTGCTCGGCTGTAGGAAATCCTTTGATCAGAGTGTTATTTAGATTTATTAAGGACTAGCCTACTTCCGTAATGTGTATTGACTACCCCGTAGAAGACCCAGGATGCAGAATATGTGCCTGTCAAGATAAAAGCCCCACTTTTTCAGGGGGGGTAAGCATTATTTGGAATAACGTCCCTCGTATATGCACCTACGGAGGAGTTATTTAGACCAAATAATATCTGACGGGTCGGTATTTCCTATCTTGGCTGCCGCCGCTTCTGTGAGAGTGCTCAGGCTAATCAACAACTCTCAGCGATCGCACCCTAACCTACCAGTTGTGAATGGCGACCCACCCCCATCGAAAAAGACGTTCGCACAAATTGCTACCACCTTCAATCACCCACCCAAAATGCCCCCAAATAGTTTGATTCCACCACATAGCTTGTAAGCCGAACAGCATTTAGCTTCTCTGGCGTTTGCGAATCCGACACGGCCATCCGTACGGGACAGCAAGAAAACGAGTATCAAACTTCCATTCTTCCTTGGGATTGATCTTTTCAATATCATAATCACGAAACAAGGTAGTAAGGACTTTGGTGAGTTCGAAATGTGCTAAGTGCCGGCCCGGACATTGATTGTACCCGGCTCCCCACTATCAGACTTGTTAGTTTCATTCTGGAATCATGGATGAGTGTGCATACATGGATCATGAAGAAATCCATCGTCTTGGTTTCGCCTTGTAACCATCGGTCTGGGTTAAATATCTCGCTGTCCTCTCCGAAAATATCGGGATCGCGGTGTATGATCCAAGGGTTTACGCTCAGAAGAACCTAATATTGACCATTAATCATATTCCATAAACCATGGGCTTCTGCCAAAACGTACGCCCTGCGGAAAATATCTTCCTGCAATTGTTATTCCACCTTTGGGTACGACTCGAGGAAGGTTGTGGGAAACGCCGGGATGAATCCGGTAAGATTCTCTTATCTGAAAGTTGTGGTAGTCAGGATATCAGCTTCATATCATCTAGCGATAGTTTGATCCTTGCAGAATGTCAAAACTTACACAGGCTTGTAGGAATGGCAACTTAATTGCTTCACTAAATTGAACCACTTGTGACAGTTCGCCACGCATCTGCGCCGTATCGATCTCTTCGGTTACCTTCTTCAAAAGCTCCGGGAGGCGAATCAAATTATAAACCACAGCTTGAGCAGTAGCGCTCACAGTTTCTGCCCCAGCGCCAATGTTTGCTACCGCCGCGCCAAAGATGTCGTTTTCTGTTAGTCGGTCGGGTTGCTTTTCACGAACATCTAGCCATCGCTGCATCATATCATGTCGGACCTCCGGATTCTTTTTTCGACTTTCAATCGCAAGAAGACAGGTATCAAATATATGAGAGCTAGGCTGCAGACCAAGTCGGCTGAATAGGGGATTTCCTAATGTGAGGTGATGGAACCACAAATAGTTTCCGATGACGGAGATGTAGTATACTAACGCTCCAGTGTTTGCGATTGCGTTCCGAATATCAATACCAGACTGGACAAAACCAAAAGACTTTGAGAATGTCACTTCGCCAAGCACATCAAACGCAAAGAAGCTGAACCAATTTTGGAACTCGACAGGAGTGCCGGACGCGCACAGCTCGTCAAAGCGTGTCATGAAGAGCTTCAAAACATTGTCAATATAAGGCTCTGTTTTGGCGATGTTAGACAGTGAAAAGCCAGCAGACAGGCTGCGAGTCTTCTGAATATGCCGAGTAGGCTCAAGCTCCGACATTTGGTTGATATAGCGATAGTCTGGAAGACTGAACATAGAATAAAAAGAACCCTGTGCACAGGTTTAGCCATTTCTATGCAGTTGGGTAGGGCGTGCAATCTAGAATGATGGGAATATACCTTTTCGATATTTGCTTGCAGTAGTTGCTTAACTGCATCAGGGTGCGAGACACTAACTTCATTGTCCGCAATTCGAACGAAATAACCTATTACATGAGTAAAAGTTTCGGTATAGTGGATTTCGAGAAGATCTACCATGCTCCTTATGCAGCTTGAGAATCTCCTTCTCACTGTGACCTTTCCATATATGATACACTCGCCAGAGACTCGAGAATGATGCAAAGAAAGGGCCTGGTACGTCTCTTATTTGCGTCCAATATTTCCGGGCAACAGCACGTAAAAGGTAGAACGCAGCCAGAGAAGCCAGCAGGTAGTACACATTGAGAACAGACAAGATCTCGCTCATTTTGGTGATGACCATCGCGGTTGATGGCAGGCGCGCGATGTCTTCAACTCTGTTTACAAATGAGGGGGTTTCATCGAGGACATATGATGGGGAGATCACGGGAAGGTAATAGGCGTCTCAACAGAATTTGATTAGACCAACGCATCCCCTGCCAGCTGCCTCGAGCTATGATATGGCGTCATGAATTCAGACTAAAACCGAAGCGAGCTTAAGTGCATCCAGGTGAAGCCGCTAGACTGAGATGGGCACAGGCGTTGTGGGGCTTCAGTTATCCGTCAAATAGAATAGTCCTCGGAGATGCGACCTGACAGTTGGCGTGGGGCCTTCCCGCCGTCAAGCTCACACTTTCAACGGCTAGGCGAGAATGAACACGGACTAAGATTGAGGAGCTAGGGATTTGGCACCTTTCAATTTTCATTCCTCTGATCAATCCTCCACTTCTCGCGCGGCTTTTGAGATACATCATCCTTCGAGTTCCAGCAGACCGTTTAGCGCAAGTCGCAGCGTTGCTGGCACTGTTGGGTCTTTATCCACAACCTGAAGCAGTTACTTATGGCAGGACCGGTGTCAGTGCCCCGGGCTTTCTATAACAAATGACGTGCAGGGAATTGGCAATCTGGAAGTGGGTCACAGTCACAGTGTCCAGTCAGTGTGGAACATGTAAGATGTCTTATTCAAATACTCCTAATATTGATGGCATCAAAATGTACATCCCCACAATGACTTCCAAGGTTCTCCGAGTCCTATTTTCGTCTTTACTTTCGTTATCTTATAGGATCTCATAATGTAAATGACATACACTGGCAGTCTTTCACTAAAGATGTGAATAACATTTGACAAGCACGCACAATAGAGGCAAAAGAATCATAAGAAACGTAATTTTCCTGTTCGGAAAGGTCGAGATTCCTGAGGGATGTGGACCGGCTACAAGTATTACTAGTAGCCATCCCATAGGCGATGTTGATAGTATCTCCTGTCTAATATCATGACCTGTATTGACAGAGCCGGCTTGGTTATTTCAGTGTAGGAACAGTCAGCTGAAACACATTCTCCGGGTCAAACCTTGACTTCAGAATCTTCAAAACCTTTACTTTAGATCCGTAAGTCTTCTCGAGATATGCAGCCGGCGAATCCGCCTGAAGAAGAGAATTATACAGCGAAATATACCCCGTTGGGAGAACATTATGCTGGGACGCCTGAGACACATCTTCTGCAACTCCAGCCGCCCAAGCCTCTTTTGAAAAGCCAAGGATTTCCAGCATGAAATGCGGATCCCGTGCGTCAAAAACCGAGGCAACATGAGACTTTGTCGATTTACCGCGGAGCTGGTGGATGGAAATTATTGTCCCGGGATCTTTTGGCAGTTTGGCGATACCGCGTCCAATTGCTTCAGCGGTCTCCGAAGAGATTATGCTAACATTATGCGTAAAGGCGGAGCCATACACTCTCGATGGTACGTGGGCTCCGGTATTGGCTAATATTTCTGGTACCGTTGTTGGAGCAATGGCGTTCATGACAACAGGGCCAAGAGAAACAATTTTCCGGCTCCAGAACTGGCCTTCTTCAAGATCCATACCACTCCAGACAAATCTAATGGCAAACGCATGTCATTGTGGACCGTTGAATATAGTTTGTTGGAGAGTCAACTCGGCAGGAATACCCTCTGCTTCAAGCTTTCGATACTCGGCATTATACCGGACGAAGGTTTTGTGGATATCGGCGGAATCGAAGATAATAGGACCAGTCAGGATCTGTTAAATCTTAGGACTTGGGTCCATTGTCAATAATTCGGATCAGAATACAAAGGCCTTACCTTGGAAATGGGATACACCTTAACCACAAGCTCAAGAATGACACCATAAAGACCACCAGCACCACGAATACCTTCTAGAAGAGCTTCATCGGCCTGAATGATCTCACCGTCAGAATTGACAACGGTAGCGGCAATGATCTGGTCTACCCCCAAACCCCAGTGCGCAGAAAAAGGCCCATATCCGCCGTAGACGGCCCACCCGGCGTAGCCGACAGATGGGATTAACCCTATCGGCGTACCCAGACCCGCAGCCCACAGCGTGTTTCCAACTTCTCCTTGTAATGTTCCTCCTTGAATAGTCGCGCATTTCTGATCGGGTGCGACGGTGACGCCGGTCAAGGCACGAAGATCGATGAGCAAGGCATCTTCCACAACTGCACGGCCTTCTAAGTTGTGTCCGCCTACTCGCAGAGTGAAGGGCAGAGACTTGCGCTTGGCGTATTTGATTAGCGCACAAACATCAGAGTGGCATTGTGGCTGGACAATCGCCAGTGGATTATCAGCACGCGAAGCGTTGTAAACAATTCGAGCGTCAGCGTAGTCCGGAGAAGACGGTGCAATGTAATGAATTTTTGGGTTTTCTTGTAGAAACGACTCCAGATCGGCTAACTGGGTAGTTGTGGCCATGATCAGAAATCTTGCGATTATGTTTATGAGCCTTGGAGTGATGCGATCGCCAAAGGGGTTGGGGATGATGGTGGAGGTGGTTGCGGGGTATGCGAATTCAAAGTAATGATCAATCGGCGCAATCATGCCGCGCTATTCAGTCACCTCCAAGGTTTGTAAGCCATCAAAAATATAACCGGGACTTCCGATCTATTAGTTATGGCCTGGTTGTGCGGCGAGATCCTTTGAATCAATGCGTCGCGTCAAGTTGGGGGCTGATAGTAGTGGGGGCCAGTCATTGAGCCCTCAACCTCCAGCGCTGCCCACGTGGTTTCGACAATACCTGTCGGAGGGTACTACGATGAAGGAAACAGATAGCATGAGAGATATGGTGATAGGGAGAAGAGAGAGAGAGAGAGACGAAGCTATCTAAGCATGGAAGGGGCGCCTGGGATCCCTGAGGCCAGTACCCTAGGCACTAGCTGTTAACAATACTGCCTCTCATTATGATCAGCTCAAGCAACTAATAACTAGGTATGTATCTACTAGTCCTGGAGGTAATGCCTTTCTCTTCACAGACACCCCGTCCGAAATTTAAATTGAAACTGCAAGGACTTCTTCAGGGGTGCCAGTGGTTTTCAATTTCGAAATCCAGATATTGAATCATACCCATAAAGAGGCGGGTTGATGTTATCGAAACTAGAGTTAGAGGATCCAGACGGCTCGAAATGTCGTTTGACTGTAAGTTAATTTTGCACTTGAAAAGAGTCTCGAATAATAATGATAATAATAACAATAGTCAATTCAACTCCGTGTACGTTCTATAATAATACAAGTGTGTTCCACAAGAAAAATTCAAGGAACTCCCATAAAACAAGTGATAAGGCATCAAAATATGCCATAGTATAAATCCCCAGGAACTACATATGCAGAACCCAATCAGTGACGGATACCCCATGATCAACCTATTTAGGCAAGGGGAAATCCAAGGAAAGAGAGGCCAGTGGGAGTAGGGCCTGTCTTTCCAGAAGAAGAGGGGGCGGCCGAAGGAGTGGCGGAGGAAGCGACAGGAGTGAAGCTGGGAGTAAACTTGGGGGCTCCGGAGATGGTAGCAGAGGGAGTAACACTACCACTAGGAGCCACAGGGGTGCTAGTAGCAACGGGCAGGTCACGCTTCTGAGCTCCAGCAGAGGCAAGTGCAGCAGCCACGGACTGAGCATCACCGATCAGAGAAGGCAGATCGGTGGGAATGGAAAGAGAACCATCGCGCTTCTGAGCACCAGAAGAGGCGAGAGCTGCGGCAACGGACTGGGCATCCTCAACCAGCGAAGGGAGATCGGTGGGGAGTGCAAGCGAGCCGTCACGCTTCTGGGCGCCGGCAGAAGCCAGAGCAGAGCCAATGGATTGGGCGTCCGAGAGCAGAGAGGGTAGGTCTGTCGGGATTGACAGGGACTCACCGCGCTTCTGGGCACCAGAGGAAGCGAGAGCGGCCGCGACGGATTGGGCGTCAGAAACGAGGGAAGGAAGATCGGTGGGGATTGAGAGATCCTGGCCGCGCTTGGCGACCACGGAGGCAGGCTCCGAACCGTAGGGTGTGAATGGGGGAGGAAGGCTGGCAGAGGAAGAAGCGAATGGATTAGGCAAAGGAGGGTCACTCGGGATTGCACTGGCAGTGCTGCCCGGGGTACCGCTGGGGATACCTCTGGGAGTCCGTGAAGGAGTGGGAATTCCAGAGCTCGAGGCATAGACGGAGGTGCCGTTTGAGTAGAACGGGGCAGCCATGGCAGAGCCCGAGAGGGCCAGAACAAAAGTAGCGACGGAGGTCTTCATCGTGAATGGATTTCGAAAAGTAGTTGGTCAAAGAGTGTAATCTTGTGGAATAGAAGATTCGATCAGAAGAGAATGTTGGTTGTTTGATGATAACCACAACCAGACGGTTTCGAAGGCTGCTTTATATCCTTTTTTCTCAGCACTGTCGTCACGAACGATCTGCAGGTTCATAGTCCCAAAAATGAGTGAGTCGTTCGCCGTTTAGCCAGAAGATCCTCCACGGGGTCTCCACATCGACTGTTGCTTATCGTAGTGGATGTTGGAAACATTGACTCTGATTGGATTTGACTAGCCCAAGGCATGGATATCAACGGACTTCGGTATCGGTCGATTCCAAGTTCCAAGGCATCGATAGTATGGGGCCACCTAGGCGAAAGTCAATCAATGACCTGGTGTAGATCAGGTGCCTGGAGTAGAAGTGTGTCCCTGGGTAAACCAAGGGTACAAGGTACGGTTTCCCGGATAATTGTTGGAAGTCTGCGCGAATTGTCGACTGCCGGTCCCCACAAGGGCATTTAGGTTTGTCGTTTCAGAATCATTCCCCACAGTCACGACATGGAATCGAGTGGCAAGTAGAGGAAGCCCGGTGGAGAGAGCTCACCACGAGGACTGATAATGATAAAATAAATGGACGCATTTGGAACGAAACCCGGTTGCGAAAGCATTGTGACTGGCGGAGGCATGGATCGTGAGGTATCAAAGCCTGGCTCTTCCGGGACTATCCCAGGAACTTTTGTCGGGGCCGATCGACAATCCCTGTAGATCACCATTGGTAAGAACTGAGAGCGCCGGATTTGTACATACAACCGATGTAGTGATCGATGGTCCACGTATCAACGTTGTAGATGTGTGTGAAGCTCCGCCGACGAACCACGGTCTGCTCGGCTTTGCTCCACATCGGCAAAAGGCATTCCTTCTCGAAGCATGTTCGAAGCAGCGCCGATTCATGGCCAGACCGGCAATTCAAATTCAATACAACACCCGTAACCGCTTTTGCATAGATAGTGCAAATGGTCACGTCACGTTTCAGATATTTATGCAAGGCATGGTGGCCCACTTTCCCTTCGAAAAAGATCGACGGTGGCGGTTCCCGAGGCCGAGGCCGATGCGATAGGAACGGCACTCGGCATTATGCCATTTCAATCCGAAGAGCAATCGCATATCGGCACCCTTGTCTATTGGTAGATGCTTAAGGGTATTTGATCTGGAGTGGGAGGGACTATCACATCTTCTGAACTGTAGTCGCAGACAACAGACTAGGGTCACTGCGAATAGCCCACTACTAGTAGATATTGTCTAATCTCGTATCATGATGACGAGTGACTGCTAGTGTTAGGTGGGAATCGAGACATCTCAGTGTTGTGTTGTGCCAACCTTGGAAGCGTTAAGACTTCGAGATGGGGGAATCTTGGAATGCATCGATCAGGGTGAATCTTCTGCAGTAATACTCGCGTCGCCAACCTGGAGAAGATCCCGTGCCCATCTATAACTTGAACTTCCATGGTTGAACTCCACCTTAACGCCCAAGGATCGGCCAACCTCGACGGTCCTCATTGTATCCCGTGGGGTAGATGATGTGGCGATTAAATGGGCTCACGATGCCTTCAGCCGAACCAGTTTTGCATATTCGAGACAAATTAATTGGAGGTATCAAGAACCTGTTCCAAGATTATCGGCCGATAGTTCAGAGACGGCAGGCATTAGGACTTGACTCGCATGCGGCCAATTCAAGTTCCAACGTAGTCTATTCTTTGGCTACCTCCACCTCCGCCTCCTGGCAGGATTCTAATATACTTGCTACTTTTCAAGTGCGGTGCGTGAAATTAATCCATTAGTCCTCGAGGATATTATCGTAATTCGCCGGGGCTATATACTGGCGATCCTATTTATTCATGACTCAGTGTCGATGACTGATTCGTAGTCATTATGGGACTCCCAGCAAAGGAGTCTAGTTGCGGCGGGTCGCCTTGGCCCATTGGGGCTCAAGGTTGTCGCCAATGGCGCGGCGGGCCTCCTTCTCCAGCTCCCGGTAGCTAAGGTCACCACGCTTGGAGATCTTAGAGGCCGAGTCCTCACGCGACAGCTGCACGTGTAGGTAGACAGCAGCCTTCTTGCCAGAGAACATGGCGTGGGGCACGTTGGTGCTACCATCGCTATTGGCATCTCCGATAGCATAAACACCGAACTCACTGGCGCGCATGCCACTAGTGTCGACAACAATCTTCTCGTCGGAGACATTGAGACCCATCTTGTAAGCCAGGTCGGTGCGCTGAGCAGTGTGGAAGTTCGTGATAAAAGCACCACGCTCGACGGGCTCGCCCTCGGTGAAGTGAACCAGGAACTTGTCGTACTGGGCGTCGAGAGTCTTGTTCTGGTGGACGGCACCATCCTGAATGCGCTCAATTGAGGTGATGGTCCGGTTGTCAATCTTTACGTTCCACGCCTTGAGCTGTTCCTTCCAATCATCGTGCGAGGCGGTGGCCTGGGCTTCACCCTCGGGATTCTGAGTTCCATTCACAAACGCAGTGATATCAGAGAACAGGGTGTTGGTCTCCAAGACACTTCCGAAAACGTCCGATAGGTTACCCAGAACACCCAGAGGTTGATCGCGGTGCTAAGAAAAATAGGGTCAGCAAATCCGCATCTGGGTACTTCAATTTGGATCCATATGGTACTTACCTCCCAACCATCGCACCACGGGCACCACCAGATACCCTTACCGAAGCTCTCCTGAAGGCCAGGAGTATCGGGCAGGACATCGCGCAGTCCAGTACCGAGTACAATCTTACGGGCAGTGTAGTTCTTGCCGGTAGCGTCGGTCACGGTGAATGCGGAAACGTCGTCGGTACCGGTGGAAGTGATGGACTTGACCGTGCCGTTCTTGAAGTGGGCTGAGGGGTACTTGGAGATCTGCTCTCTGGCAAGGCCACGGAATTCGTCAGGAGGAGTACCTAGTTTCGTCAGCGGGGCGGATTTGGAGAAGGCTTAAGGTATTAGATCGGAGACTTACCATCATTGCCAATGACATCGTGCATGTTCCGCGTGGGGCCGTTACGGTATCGGTGGTCATCAAACAGCAAGGCTGAACGACGCACACGCGAGACACCACTCAAAGCGCTGAGACCAGCCGGGCCTCCACCCACAACGATGACATCGTAGTCAGTCTTGGGGATGACCTCGGCGGACGCAGCCAGCAGGGACAGGGACAGAGAAAGGATGGATGCGACCTTCATGGTGAAGGCTCTCGTTGAGGACGATTGAAGATGATTGGAAGCCTCGGAGACAAGCGTGACGGAGAAAAGAAAAGAGGCACGGGGATCAGCTGGCAGGTAGTACCATCTTATGTATAGGGGGGTGGATATAGTTTGAGGGTTGCCAGGTGACTGGCAGCGATAACCCACCAAAAGCTGGGCATCTTGTGCATCGTGGGCCGATCAAGATCTCGACTAGAGAAATGTGGAGGATAATTGGCAGGACATGCAGGAATCATGCTCATCGGAGCTGAACGCGGTGCACGATTGTCGGGATCGGCAACCCTTGCGGGGCGCTTAGTGGAGTGACAGGAAGAATTGGGGACCAAGAATCAGGCATCAGGGCATTCGATGACAGCGACAGACTGTGTACGGAGGTCTCGCTGCCGATCCCAGAGTGTATCATGGTCGATTGTGGTTCAATTTGCCCAATTGACTTAATTTCGAACGTTTATATGCTAAGAAGTATTGAGGTCATGTGATTCGTGTGTCCAAAGGGAAAGAGCGTCCTCAAATTGGAAAAAAACTCAGGGAAGGCGCGAACTGCGATCGGCAGGCATCCACCTGACTTTTCCACCTTCTCTTCTTCTCCTTCTTCATCTTCTTCCACTTCCTCTTCCTCTGGCATATGTACTCCTCTACTTTCCCCTGGTTCTATTCACTCCACAGAAATTTCCTACAACCACATCCTTCTGTCTCGTACCTTTTGCGACCAGCACGCCATCTACGGCATCCCTCACCCTCTCAGCTCGGTCGATAGTTCGGTGGCGCCGCATCCCGTGGTGGAGTCCCGCCTCAGCCCGCTCCAATCGTCATGGGCACACGGTTCTGCAGAATGAGATCATGAGATCGAAAGTGGAGTGAGTGGAGTGAGCTGAGTGAGGACGGAAGAGCAAAGCAAGAAAAAAAAAGCGCATGCATTGACCGTGTTTTGATCCCGATCGTGATCTACATACGGAGTACAATATGCTCGCTCATCTGCTCGCACCGCTGGAGGAAGTACTATCACTATCGACCCATCCACCCACCATCCACCGTCAAAATCTCTCCACTGACGTACGCGCTCGCTCGACTTGCCAAATACACCACCGATCCCTTAAAATCCTCTGGATCCCCCCAACGGCCTGCGGGGATTCGTGCAAGAATGCTGGCCGCCCGCTCCTGGTCCTGAATCAGAGCCGTGTTCATGTCGGTCGCGACATACCCCGGTGCAATCGCATTCACATTGATTCCCTTGGAGGCCCATTCGTTTGAGAGGGCCTTGGTCAGTTGGGCGACACCTCCCTTGGCGGCGGCGTAGGCAGGTACCGTCAAACCGCCTTGAAATGATACTAGCGAGGCGACGTTGATGATGCTGCCGCGAGAACCGTATTTGTTGGGTGATCGAGTCAACATGTACGCTCCAACATCGCGGCAAAGGGTGAAGACGGTGGTGAGATTGACTTGTAGAACCTTTAAAAAATCCAGCATTAGCTCCGGTTCAATTTGAGCTGACGGCAGATGCAGTACTGACCTCATCCCAATCTTCCAGTGGGAACTGATGGCTTGGGTGTCGTCGCTGAATCCCCGCACAGTTCAGGAGGATGTTGATATCATGTCCATCTTGGGTTACTCTCGATACCAGAGAGGAGATCGATTCTTGCGAGGCTAGGTCTGCCGTGTAAATTGTCGCTTTTCGTCCGAGCTGTTCAATTTGCTGCTTGGTTCCCTGATTACTAGTATCTCTCTGCCATTTGTCAGCCTTTCATTCTCGGGTGTCTCTGACTCTCGTATGGAGGTCTGCGTACTTGGATCAGCACAATATCTGCACCCGCCTCGGCCAGCGCGATGGCCATGGCCTGGCCTATTCCCCGGGTGCCACCCGTAATCAATGCCGTTCTACCTGTGAGTGAAAAGAAATCCATCATGTGGTTTGTGTGTGTTGGCTTCACGGGGATGAGTGCGATCTTCTATATTCCTCGCGCCAGAGTTCCCCGAGCCCCCCACGCCACCCCGCATATTCGAGGGGGAAGTGTGGGGGTGATCGAGCTGACGAAGAGGAACGGACTAGTTGCCGAAGGGTCTAACAAGATTTCTGTAACAATCGACCATTCATGCCCAGGTGCCCACAACTTCCAAGGTTGAAAAAACGAGACGAGAAAATCTGTCGTTTTCAAGAGCAATTGAAAATCTCAACATCAAGCTTACGCTAATTGATTGACTAACCATGGCTCCTACTCACGCGAATCTTAAGAGGTAGAAAAATGGCCCTCAAGCAGACCTTGAATTTCAATATAGCTGTATATACTCTATTACCACTCGCGAATCGACCCATCAGGCCCGTGGAACTCCTTTGGCTGCCAGGGCTCCGTCTCCTTGCTGATCCGGCGAACCAAATCCTCATCAATCTCAATTCCCAGACCAGGCTTTTGAAGTGCATCCACATATCCTTCCTTGATATCAAATACCGTCTTATCGATGAGATAGCTATTGAGATCGATATCTCCGGCCTCAACATTGTAGTGCATACCCAGAGACATCTCCTGAATGACAAAGTTGGGCGTTGAAATGGCCACCTGCATTGATGCCGCAAGGGCGATAGGACCAAGAGGGCAGTGCGGAGCGATGGCAACGTCGTAAGTTTCGGCCAGTGTCGCGATCCGCTTTGTCTCGGAGATTCCACCGGCGTGCGCAATATCAGGCTGAAGAACGTCGACAGAGGAGTCTTCGAGGAAGCGTTTTACATCCCAGCGGGTATAGAGACGTTCTCCGAAAGCGATTGGGATAGTTGTGTAGTTTGAGAGCTGCTTAATGGCCTCTGGGTGCTCGCAAAGGAGTGGCTCCTCAATGAAGAGAGGCTGGTAGGGTTCTAGAGCTTTGGCGAGCTGCTTGGCCATCGGTCGGTGTAGACGGCCGTGGAAATCGAGTCCAGCATCCAGGCCGAGGGCCTTGACTTGCTTCAGGCGGTCGACACAGGATTGGAGGGCAGCGGGGGGAGTCGAGCCAGTTGATGTCTTCGGTGGCGTTCATCTTTATACACTTGAGGCCTTGGGCAATGCGAGCCTTACTGGGAAATGTTAGAACGACAAATGCCTTATTCTTGCGAGGGGAGGGGACTTTTTGAATACTTACGCAGCAGCCTCAACGTCACTGGGTCGATCGCCTCCAATCCAGGCGTAGACCTGCACTTTGGATCGCACCTTGCCGCCCAGCAGCTGGTAAACGGGGACTCCCAATCGACGGCCCTTGAGATCCCATAGCGCGATATCAATGCCAGCCATTGCAGACATGAAGACAGGGCCGCCGCGGTAGAAGCCCAGTCGCCAAATCAATTGCCAAATATGCTCGATATCACTAGTATGCGTCAGTTAAGGGGATTCGGAAGACAAGAGCTGGCGGAGAAGATGACTGACTCTGCCTCAAGCCCAATGAGACGAACGATGATCTCGTCCAACGCGCCCTCTACAGCCAGAGAATGGCCTTCGAGGGTTCCTTCACCCCAGCCAAACTTGCCCTCATCATCAGTGACTTTAACGAAAAGCCAGCGAGGCTTTACCCGGAAGTATTCGATAGATTTGATCTTCGCCATGGTTCAGCAGTCTAGTTGGATTGCAGAAAAGTGCGATCGCGGGGAAACGATCCAGTATATGAATATTCTCTTGCTTCTCACGCGTTTCCCCTCCATTGAAATCCCACGGCATCCCACGACATCCCACGCGGGGGTACAAATCGCGGAGAATGGCGAAGGAGATGCGCAAATGCGGAGAAGCTCCGGAGTTGAGCCGAGGGTTTCCCCACGCTAAGCCAGAGCGGAGACTATTGGTGGATGAATTTAGCCACAGGAAGCTGGGCAGCATCATCAAATTGAGACGTGGGGAGTTACTAGAGTAGATATAGAGTAGATTCGTATCTGGTTATCTCCTATAGAAGATCTAGACTAAAACTTGCCTTATTTGACTAAATTGAATGTGGCTCAACTTAAGCTTCAGATCTATAATTCCAGGCTGGTTTCACTCTATAGACATACACACGTCTAAGGACACTTGTCTATCAATAGATATAGCAGATTTTCAAGTTCTCCTTGTGCGTCAGGTCACTGAATATCTACTAATAGGTAGGTACCGTATGATAACTCTAAGTGGGAGGACCGTAAACTTCAAGTTGAATCATTCCGAGGTCCCCATCCCGACATGGGCATCGCTATTGTGAAATTTTGTGTTATCCTTACCTTTAACATGCAATACGCCCCGGCTTGTAGGACATTGCAGTTTCGTTGATTGTCAAAATCATCATACAATCGTATTGAAATAAGTGTTCCTGGAGACAGATTATGATGGGTTGATAGAAAGTCAATCGCGGCCCTCATTAACCTATGTCCCTTCACCATCATTCCGTCCTAGAATAATCTACTCATCCTGTTTGGCACCCCAGATTCAGATTCCCCGCTTGCTCCATACTGAGACGATCAATGCATCCTGGAGCTGGATAGAGTGGAGTCGAAAGCTTGCAGTCAGTCGACGGCTGATGGCGTTGCGACCCCCACGCATCCACTCCATGCGGGGATTCGGAATCGTCTGACGATATGTACTTTTACACCTGCGCCCGCAGATTCACTCAAGCACAAATAATCCACTTGGAGACATCGAATTATGACGGTGACACGCGCCCAGATTCAAGAACATAGCAGTCGGCAGTCCTGCTGGGTTGCCATCCACGGGGCTGTTTACGACGTGACAGGTCTGTCCAATTGCCTCGGTTGGATTCCCCATCAGCTAACTGAGATCAGATTTCTTGGATGAACACCCTGGAGGGTCGAAAGTCATTCTGCGATGTGCTGGCCGAGATGCAACCAGCGACTTTGACTCGGTGCACTCGCCGGAGCTGCTAGCTGAAACGCTACCAAAGAGCGCCCTGCGTGGTCATATCGAAGCAGCGGATTTGGCCGAGATCACAGAACTTGAAGCAAATATGCCAAAGAGATGTACCAAAAACTCGAAGTCATCGCCAAAGCCAACAAATTCAGACTCAGATGATCCACCTCCACCCCCACCACTCAATACTCTTATAAACCTCCACGACTTCGAGCAAGTCGCGCAACAATATCTTACCCCCAATGCCTGGGCCTACTATGCCTCTGCTGCCGATGACGAGATCAGCAAGCGGAATAATGCGAAAGCATACCAGAAGGTCGCACTCCGGCCTCGCATACTTAAGAAGATCCTAGGCGTGGATACCACCACATCCATCCTTGGCCATTCGGTGGCGCTCCCAATCTACATGTCGCCCGTCGGCATCGCCAAATATGCCCACCCAGATGGAGAGTGTGCCCTCGCGGCCGCAGCGGGCAAAGAGGGACTTGTGCAGGTTCTTGCCAATGGATCTAGCATGTCTGTTGAAAAGGTACGGGAGAGTCGCATCACGGAAAATCAACCACTCTTCTTCCAGTTATACGTCAACCGGGATATCTCCAAGTCAGTGGAGATGGTCAAACGCGCGGTCAAAGCCGGAGCCCGCGCAATTTGGATCACTGTTGATTCGCCAGTCGTTGGGAAACGAGAGATGGACGAACGCTTGAATTTAGATGTTTCTGCGACCGATAGCGATGCCCAGGGCGAGGGGGTGGCCAAGATCATGGCTAGCTCAATCTCCCCGTTCATCGACTGGGATATTTTGACCTGGCTACGGGAATTGACTGATTTACCAGTGGTCATTAAAGGCATTCAGTGTGTTGAAGATGCAGTGCTTGCTTATCAACACGGAGTTCAGGGAATCGTGCTGTCTAACCATGGAGGTCGCTCCCAGGATACGTATGTGAAGTCCACCAGGTTTCCATGGATGTTTTGACAATGGGGTTATTGCATATACTAATACTAATCTATATCACAGGGCCCAATCGCCACTCCTTACTTTACTAGAGATTCGTAAATTTGCGCCGCATATTCTCGATAGCAAAATGCAAATCTTCATCGATGGGGGCATTCGTCGAGGTACGGATGTCCTCAAGGCCATTGCGCTGGGCGCCACAGCTGTCGGCTTGGGTCGACCATTTCTATTTAGTCTATCGGCGGGATACGGAGAAAGGGGAGTGCGTCGCATGTTACAAATCTTACGACAGGAGATTGAAGCCAACATGACCTTCTTGGGTGTGACCAGTCTGAAGGATCTCAAGCCAGAGATGCTTAATACCAGCCGGCTAGAACGGGATTTGGTGGGAAGCGTGAAACTATAGTCAATCATCAATCATGTAATCTACTTGGAGATCATAGAAATATCATTTTCGAGTCTACTATAAATGCCGCACTACTTTTTTGCTAGCTACGGAGTACTACGGGTGTTGCAAGAAGCCAATTACCCACATTCGTGTTGCCCCCAAGTTCAAAGTGGCACATCCACAACCCTGGAATCCCCCCCACGCGGACAACCACCGAACCCCGCCAGGCTTTGCGGGGGTGCTGGTGGGATGATTGATCGTGAGGGGGCCAATAAAACTAGACTCTGCAATGTGTTGTCGCTTTCCATCCTCATCAGCATCATGTCCGACAAAATCGACGTCCTTCTATACGGCCTGGGAGCGTGAGTCTTGAACCGAACCGCCCAACCATTGATATCTCTAACATCCTGCAGCATTGGCTCTTTCTATGCGTTCATTCTGAGTCGTTCCGACCGCGTACGACTAACGGTGGTCGCGCGCTCCAACTACGATGCTGTCAAGGCCAATGTGCGTTCGCATCAATACATCGTTAACCACGGATTGCTAATGCGAAAAAGGGAATCACCATTAATAGCGAGAACCACGGGGACCACATCTTTCGCCCCCATCAAGGTGGGCTATGTCATCTAATTACTCCCTATCGTCGAATTCGCTGACAGACACAGTGGTGAGATCACCCGCTGAGGCCGGTCCTGTTGATTATGTCGTTTGTGCGCACAAGGCCATCGACCAGGAAGACGTTGCAAAGAGATTAGCTCCAGTGGTAGACCAGGAACGCACGACGATTGTGATTATCCAAAATGGCGTTGGGAACGAGGAGGCATTCCGCAATCAGTTTCCTCAGAGTTCCATTCTAACCTGTGTGGTAAGTAGTAGTAGGCTGCCTCAAGACAGCTTCACCTGGTCACTCAACTAACATTTCTATATTTCCAGACTTGGGTCGGCGCCATTCAAAGTAGCCCCGGTATCATCAAGCACACAAAGTCGGAAGATATGCAAATCGGGTTATTCCCCAATCAACAGGTGGAAAAAGCAACCGAGAAGCAGCGCTTGGATACATTTTCCACCTTGCTCCAAAATGGCGAAACCAAGTTTACTGTTCTCGAGGATATGCAGCGCCAGCGATGGGAGAAGGTGGTTTGGAATGTGGCCTGGAATTCGCTTACGACACTGACCATGGTCGACACACAAACTTGGCTGCATTCCTCACCCGATGCGGAGCCCTATACGCGACGACTCATGCATGAGGTTATCCAAGTTGCTCGTGGTTGTGGGGTGCAGCTTGAGGATGGCCTGATTGATCAATTGATGGATCGAATCAATGCCATGCCCGGTATTGGAAGCAGCATGCAGACCGATTGCAAGAACGATCGACCAATGGAAATTGATGTGATTCTCGGGTTTCCAGTACGGAAATCACGAGAACTGGGGATCCCGGCGCCATATCTTGAGAGCCTCTATGTGATTTTGCGTGCGGTGGACGGCCGCATTCGAGCTGCGCTGTAATGGTAGAATGGCGGACCTCATGCACGTCGAAGTTTCTTGGGCTAATTAGAAAGACAAGGTGAGAAGTCAAAGGGTATTCATTCATTCAAGGCTCGTTTGGCCATCCAGACCATTATGCCGATGCCTCATGCGGTGAGACAAAGTGAAGACCAGCTTCCTCGTCCAAGTGACATGTTCATGTTCTATATCCAAAAACACCAAATGCTATCTAAACAGAATAAACGCCCAGTTGCCAAGTTCCAAGTATACAAAGTATAGTCCAAACGACGTTAAACAAAGAATCGCCAAAGCCCAATAAAGAGGTGATAACTAGAAAAATCGTTTCGCGTTCCACGGAGTCACAGAAATAAAAACCAGATGAGACCGTGCATTAATTTTACCTCCGAAAGTGAGTGCCGATCAATTCCCGCAGTTGTATAGAGGTAGTTTTATTGGCATCGGGGCCGGAGGGGATGGGTGGAGGTGGTGGTGATCCAGAATCGGATGATTTGGGCTCTTCATCCACGGCGAATCGCCAACGACCATCGGGGCCCATGAACATACGGAAGCCGTAACGTTTGTCTAGGGCGGTGAGATGGTCACGTCGTTTGGTGTTGTCCCAGCTGTGGGTATCACCAAAGTCACTGAGCATGCGACTGTGTGCAACCCATGGAATGATTGCTCCGATAGAGCGCGGCATTCGCGGACCTCTAAATCGGCCTCGTCGCGTTCCAAAGACAACCATAACAACCAAGGTATCGAATGCGATGATGATAAGAGCGATTGCGAGCGATGGAACGGATGGCTTCATCGCCCAGGTGCTTCGGATGATCGTGCTGTTGGTCGCGTAAATTGGTTCGTTCAGCTGTTCAAGGTATAGATCCCGCCAAATAGAAAAATATGTACTGTACACCCATTGATACACAGTTTGGGTAAGAGCAGTCATACGGACAGGGTCGAGGGAGTCGAAATCAGGGTCTTCGCGCTGGTACAGACGGGCAACCAAGAATCCTGCCCAGTCGTACGAGGAGATGTTGTATGTGCCGTTGTGAGATGTGGTGTTGCCCACGAAGCTCTCTGGAATGGATGCAAACACTTTGTTGAATTGCCCCAGGCTGATCGTAGCGTTATCGAACATGGTGCCTTCTGTGATGGAGGTGTTTTGGACACGTTTATGGTAGTTGATCTGACCTCTTGAGTCGAACACGACAGAATAATCGTGCAGTCGGACACGAGGCTCGCAGTGCAAAGCGATAGTATTGTCGTGAGAAACCGTGCTATTGGGCAGATAGTCCCAACGGCCAACAACAAGGACAGACGATGTCTGACAGACATCGGAATTGTTCATCTCGTTTGCAGACAGGAAATGAATGGAGAGTGAGATGCCCTCGTTCTTTTTCCGGACCGGCATGGGGGGCTATACACTCCACGGATTTGTCTTCAAACAGCTGGTATTTCCAATAACTGTGGCCGGCGGTCTTGTTGTAGAAAAGCCCCTTCTCTGGAAGGAGAGGCTGGCACTCCAAGGAAGCCCCCACGCCCAAGGTAGTTGCTCCATACATAGCATCGGGATCGCGGTTGTGCACCTGGAGAGGTACAAACGATTCGTTGGGGCTTGTCCAGGGCAGGATCGAGACACCGCTCGTGATGCTTGTCTGGATCAGATCGTATTCGGTAAATTGAGCGGCAAAATCATTTTTCCAGAAGACGGATGAACTATAGTTCAAGGTCAAATCCTTCGTCGGCAGTGTGGAGGTCGTCATTTCCTGGGTGAAAAGACCGCCCGCCACTACTGTCAGGGCCATATTTACAACACATGCAATAGACACAAGTCCCAGGAGAAGATGTCGATCACGAACGGACTTGCAAAAGATGGCAACAGGGCTTTGAGAGGCGTAGTTCAGAGACAATGACGATCTTGCCGTGGCCATGCCTCGTTGAAGATGAACCCAAGGTTCCAAAACAGTGAGATTGCGGTGGATCGATGTACAGAGAGAGCTGACTGAGGAGGCCACGACCGAAGGCAAAAAGGACAGAACCACTTGCAGCGAGCTGGAGTCTGACTGGGTCAAGTGCCGGAAGCGACCATCTCGAGCGAGCGACTGAACAACCAGCGCCATTAGAATGATCACGGCTGCCAGGGCTAGGAATTCGACAATGAAGAAAGGGATGACCAAGAAGTGAGGCATTGGGTCGTTGCGAGTTCTGAGATTTTCGCCCAACTGCACCGGAGAGCCATCTTCGGCGAGAATCTCCAATCGATTATGCCCGGAAGAACTAGATCGCCAATGACAACGGGCGTTTTTGAAGATACGGCGCATCTGACGGGTCGAGAATTGGTGAAACTCGACGAGCGGTTCAGAGAGGATGTTGTCGGGGTGGAAGATGTCGGCAGCGATACTGCACATGGCGCCGATCGATCCCGGGTCGCATTGTAGGAAGGTTTCGCGAGAGCGATAGAGAAAGAGAAGATATACGGCGGTGAGAGCGGCCAGCCCTAGAATCAGCTCGGACCAAAGAGCTGCAAAAGTGACGACGGCGATGGCGACTTGGGTGGTAGAGCGAATGGCGGCGATGATGGTAGGATCGCGATCGGGGTCGAAAAGACGCCCCAGTGTGAGTATGAAAGTCTGCTTGACATCGCGCGTGATCTTCGAAGTGAATTCAGCCTGGGTCATGATGGATGAAGTGTCCAAAGTGAGTAGCGGCTGAAGATCGCCAAGCTCCTCGCTGATTACGGGTAACTCGGTCACGGTCCGGCCACCATCCGTGGAGTTGTTGCTGATAAATATCATGTCACTGGTATAAGGAGCACGCTGAGAAAGCAACGCTTGGAAGTGATCGATGTTGAATTCCTTGGCCGATAAATTGCGGGTCGTAGCATGATGCAGATGAATAGACTCGATCGAGCTGTTGGGATGCATTGCGACTCGGGCCTGTGCCTTGTAATACATAATATCACAGGCAAAGGCGAGGCCGCTAGCCGAATACTCCGTCTCAGTGGACCCATCTTTCGTCGCGTTGACAGATATCAACATGCCATACAAATCGTACGGATCGCAACCGGTGGCGGTAAAAGCCTTAGTTGTATGTGGATACTCGGCTTCGGTCGTCGCATTGATGGAGGGCTCCCAGTAGCGGACCTGAAGGTAATCGGTTTCGGGAAAGAAGACGCTATCGTAGTGAAAATCCAATACGCATTCCTTCGCCGCGCCATAGGTGTCGGACAAGTCGATACCCGCAGCGTCCCAGGAGACTCGTTGCATTCCATGCTCGGGTGTCTCAATAGAAACGTTTAGTTTCCTGTTCACGGGGACATTCTGACAGGATAGGTCGGCCCAGTACAAAGTTTGATCCAGTTGCCATATTACATCGGCTTGCTTTTCATCATCTGGGACCTCGACGGGGGCAATGGCGTATTGAGAGGAGCGTGACCGGCGGAGTCTTTCGTCAGAGGAAAGGATTGAGTCGATGGTGTTGTTGGCCTGGGTGGACATCCACGTGGCTTGCGTTTCCACATCAACCAGAGTCGGCCAACTCTGCATATTCTCATGTTGAATTACCTGCACTTCTCGCAGTTCAAATATGGTACTCTGCAGGGCCGGTAGGATCATGCGAATGGAGAGTGTTAGCAACGAGACCCACAAAACCAACCAGTGGCGGCGGCGAGCGGCATTGATGGGAGTGAGGATGGTCTGGCCGAAATTGTAGTTGATGAAGAGCACAGTGGCCGGGGCGCCACCTGGTTTGGACAGCTGGAAATAGGGCTCGAGTCGGAGGACATCAAAATCGGTGACGGTCCAAAAAACGAGGAGGATGAGGGCGATAATGATGGGGATATAGTTGTAAGCGAAGGACTGGAGGGCGGAGACGTCGTCGGTATCGTCAAAGAAGACCAATCCACCCTGACGATTACTGTATTGGCGCAGACCCTCGAGGAGCAGGAACATGGTCGTCATCAAGCAGACCAGCGACGCAAGGTAGGGGACACGCAGGGCAAGCGGACGCCAGCCCTGTCGATGTCGGTCGGTGACGGGGGCGCGGAAGGGAGCTATGAAGGCTGTAAGGGACCCATGTCAGTTGAAGGTGATCAGAGATATCGGAAAGCAGAAGGATACGGAGTCCTCCGTAAAATCAAATAAGACTCACCATCCCATTGCGCCCGGAGACGCCATCCCCGCCTGTCTGCATCAACGGCCATGCTGACGGGAGGTGAGCAAAGGGGCCGATCAGGGGCATTGCCATATCATGACGGCTGAGAGGGAACGCCGGTCAGAGGAAAAGCATTTGAAAGCGAAGCAGAGCCGATCAGAGGCGGGCCAAGTGTAAAACAAGGAGATAGTGGACAGTGGTAGCCAAGAAATGAGAGTGGACAGCCAACATGACGTCGGGAGAGAAGTTGCTTGAGGGTGAAAGTTGGACGCGCGGCGGGCTTGGCATGGCAGAAATGGAGTCGAGTCGATTTTGTCGAGAGTATAGAGTATATTATGGTAGATTATAGTATAAATATGGTTCATATAGTAATGTATAGATTCTTTGAATATTCCACTATTGTTTTGATATCATAATCCGTTACACTTCCAGTTATGCCCTGCTGACCTGGAATACTCCGAGTCCGTACCTGAGTATTGCGGGAGGTCCCGTGACATGTATACAATACGACTTATACGATTTACGCAGACTCCGAACAATATTAGTATAGATAGAGAATACCATATGGAAAGACCAGGTACTGTATATCTAGTAGTATTGATTGATATCATCTTCCTCCAGAGTAGATATTTCATTCTGTATACCGTTTACTACTAGTAGTTACTCCCAGTCGATATCTCTTGGCACTCCACTCCACCTCCACTTCCACTTCCGTTTCCGCTCTCCGCTTCCTCCACTTCTCAACTGACTTGGTTGACACGTCTACTACATACTTCCATGGTTTCTCTTTCGTATTTATCCCTATACGTGAGCTTCAGTCTTTTCCGTCGTGTTCACCGTCGATGCTACCTCCTCGCGTGCTACCTCCTCACGACCCTTGACCGTCTCCAGGTCACCGTGTTCCAGCGCCACCGTTCGGTTGGTAATCACTCGCGTCTTCCAGGCCGGTGTGCCCAGATATTTAGGTCCACTCGGATCCTCAAACATCGCCTCCGTCTCTTCCAGCGTCTTGCCCGCCGTCTCAGGGAACATGAAGAAGACATGGATGAACATCGCCGCATTAAACACCCCAAACAGCACATAGGTCCGCCAGGTGATATTCTCAAATGCCGGTGGGGTGAACAATCCCAGCGCTGTATTGAAGGCCCAGTTGCCCGATGTTGACAGGGACACACCCTTGGATCGCAGCCGGAGGGGATATAACTCTGGTGGGTAGGTCCAGGAGACCGGACCCCAGGTGGGCGCATACGACGCGACAAACAAATACGTGCAGGCAATCAGTCCCTTGGCCGCCGTACCCTTGACACTCATCGACTGTTCGGGCGAGGTACGTTCATCCATGGGCAAGATCTCGGCATGGGCACCGAGAATTCCGGCATTGGCAAACATAAAGATGCACATCAACAAGGCACCGACCAACATTGTCGGTCGACGACCCCAGCGATCTTGCCAGATCAGGGCGGGCAGCGTCATCACGACGTTGATTATGTACTGAATGGACGACGCTAGTAGAGTGGCGTTGCCCGTGTAGCCTGCCATGCCGAAGACGTATCCGATGTAGTACACTGTCCATGCAGTCAGCAAATTGCTCCCGAGGAAGGGAACTTTCATTCGCAATGCTAGTTTAGATTTTCGGGGAACTCACTCATCACATTCATGCCGGTTAACTGGGACCAGATCTGCGTGAACAGACCCACCATGGTTCGGTTCAGCATCCGAGGCTTGAACAGATCGAGGTATCCGGCGTCATTAAAGGTGCGCTCCAGCTCGCACTGCTCGCGGATATCCTGCAACTCCAGAGTAACAAAAGCGTGGTTTCGGTCACCTTTACCGTGAACCAGTGCCAGGACTTCATGAGCCTCCTCCCAGCGGTCCTTGCGAGCCAGCCAACGAGGCGATTCGGGGAGGAACATCATTGCAAAGAAGAGGAGAACGGCAGGGACCATCTGCAGACCCCAGGGAACACGCCAGGAGGCAGCACTCCAGTTGTCTACATCCGACCCGCCAATGAAAGCGCAACCGTAGGAGATACTAATACTGTCAGCAGCTGATGTGACGTGTGGGGGAAGTGCTTGGAACGTATCGGGAGCACTTACTAGTACATGATCAAGATGCCCCAAGTGATAGCCCACTGTTGCATACCCACAAATCGACCACGCTTAGAAGGTGGCGACAACTCCGAGATATAGACAGGGACCTGTGCGGATTCGATACCAACGGCGATACCGTTAATAATGCGACCGACAATAAGCATACCAATATTCTGCGAGGCACAGATGATAACAGACCCGACGATCCTGAATATTGACGTTCCTGAGCAATCTCTCTCTTTTATCGGGGATGAACAAACTTGAACTTACCAGATCACACAACCAGACATGATTGCATATTTACGACCGAGGATATCGGACACAAATCCAGAAATCAAAGCACCAAGCCACGACCCCGCGGCCATCGAAGCAGTGATACCGCCCTGAACGAGCGAGCGAGGACCACTGCATCCCTTTTCCGGATTATCATAACTGAAAGGAGGGCCATTTGGACCCTGGTTGAAGTAACATTTGTAAGAATTCTCCGTCAGCTGGGCCGACATGGAAGCAATATCGAAACCAAACAGCCCGCCGCCGACAACGGCGACGGAGGCGATCACATAGATGTTTCCAATAACCACCATGATGACGGTGGGAAATTATCAGATTCAGATTCACCTGGTCAAAGGTGCAACTCTCCAGAGCGGGAGGGTGGGGTGGATTGACGTTATATATCAGACCAGTCACGCAGAGACCTCACGCATTGGGCCCGGGACTGATTCGGAGGAAATACGCACCAACGAGACTGGGTTTAGTTCGATGCGATGTAGTATCGAGATGCGAGTGGTCGACCCTCAAGTCGGATGGCCTGTTACTTGCCTGTTACTTGATTGCTGCCCCAATTTTCCTTCATTGATGGGCCAATGTCCGGCCGGTGCTCGCGCGGCCCCCATGGGGGAAATGCGACCCACCCCACTCCCCAGATGATACTCCCCCTCCTTTTGGTGTATTCAAGTCTCCAGATCACTCCGAGTTATTGGGGAGCGAAAGTGCATGCTAGATTTGTAGAGTTCCTCGCAAGATTTTAAATATCATGATGTTGACGCACTTCATACTTCAAGCCAAGGCAAAGCTTGGCTTGTGGCGTCCGGCTGCTGTGTCCATCCGCAAGCCAGCCAAGATTTTCCTTTCTCCCCCCCTAAGCCTTTCGAGGTGTAGACGTAACTACGCGAGACGGCCAGTGCTTGAACAACCAATCCTCTTCTCTTACTGTTCCATAGATGTCAAAGCCTGCAAACCTTGGGGCACTGATGGGGTGCAACCCCCCTAGTCTAGCGGGGTGCTGATGCTCCATTCATCCAATCCTGGCGCGAGGTGGCGGTCGGGCTTTGACTCGAAAGAGATCGATCGACAGTAACTCCTTAAGGAATCTCAGGTTTCGGATTTAAGCAGACCGAGACGATCATCGAGAAGGTATGCCGGGGTTGTGGAAGAAGATTTCCAGGCTGTTTTTTGTACAACACCACACTGTTCGCAAAGAAGGTGCCCTGCGTATATACTACTAGTACTAGTAGTACTAACTACTATTAGTCGACATGCGGAATACTTCAAATGCAATGAGATACTCTTCATTCTATCTATCGAGTCAGCAATCTCCAGGCTGACTAGTAGAGTGTAGGGATCATGCAACCCTGTATTTTCCGTTTCCCCTTTTGGTATTCCTTCGACCTTCCAGTTAAATTTGATTCGGAGAGCCTTGCGATATTTCTCCGGGTCTCTTTGAGTAATAGGTGGGTCGAATGAGACCAAAATTTACATATATATTATAGATGTTGGGTGAAGTGTTGCCCCTGAGAATTATGAACCATTAGTGACGTCTCGGGAAAATTGCCAATCGGACTCGAGCCTGGGTCTCTGGGGCTCTACGAGTACTATTCGAGAACGGATGTAAACTCTGACTACACTAGACTGCCCAGGTGCCCCATCGCATTGATAGCTCGCTCTCGGTTGTTCTATGTTTCAAGTTACTTCAACTTCCACCTGTTGCTGTCAGATATTCTAGCCACGAATCCACCCGCTCCACTCCCCGACGATCAGAAACTTTTCTAGAATACACCTAGAATTTATTTTCTTTTCTCTTATTCATACTCATGCAATCCAATATTATACCTACCATGAATGGTTGGCAAGAGAACCAAGAATTGAGCTATACAGCCGAGATGCAAGACTGATGACAGCCGAGGTCCGCCGATGTGATTCTGGGAGAAGTACATAAGTGTGGGGAAACTTGACCCCTCTTCAACAACTTCAAATCATCAACATTGATCGACTTGAAGCTTCATTCGCATCCAGATCTATTACCATCATCATGCAGGCTGTCGTCTTCAAAGGTCCGCTTCAGGTTGCCCTGGAACAGCGCCCTCGACCTCAGATTCAGGCGTCGACCGATGTGATTCTGAAAGTGAGATACACGGCGCTCTGCGGCAGGTGAGAATCCCATTTTCGCTTTCCTCGCAGTCGGTTGGACTCCATTCGATTGCCTTTTTGAGATCTCTGGTGTGTTGCTGATCATGTTCAGTGAGCTGCATGTCTTCCGTGGCCATCAACCCTCGGGAACGGGCTTCATCATGGGCCACGAGTTCACCGGCGAAGTTGTCGAAACCGGTACAGATATCCATGCCTTCAAGAAGGGTGATCTTGCCGTCTCGCCTTTCACTGTCAGCTGTGGCAAATGTTTCTATTGCGAGAGCGGGTTCTCCTCCCGATGCGCCAACGGTCTACTATACGGCAGCCCCGTTCTGGATGGAGGCCAAGCAGAGTATGTTCGAATCCCGCTCGCCGAGTCAACTCTCTTCCACGCGCCCGCGGCCATCGACGAGAAGAAGTTAGTGCTTATGGCCGATATCTTTCCGACCGGGTATTTTGCGGCGAGTAATGGGTTCCGCTCGCTAGAACCCAAGGCGATTCAGAATAGTACGGTGCTTTTGTTTGGCTGTGGCCCGGTGGGAATCTGCGCGCTTGTGAGTGCACTGGAGTATCGCCCCAAGCACTTGATTGCTATCGACAGCATACACTCCCGTCTGCAGCTAGCGGAGAGTCTTGGTGCGGAGCCGTGGAATTTCGCTGAGAACGAGGCCGGGCTAAGAGAGCGTGTCAAGACCATCACAGAGGGCCGAGGTGCCGATGTGGTGATCGAGGTTGTTGGACATAGCAGTGCTCTTCGAATGGGATTCGAACTGCTTCGTCCGTGGGGGGTATTGTCGAGTGTGGGTGTGCATAATGGCGAGATTCCCTGGACGGGTAATGAAGCATACGGCAAGAATTTGCGGATCCAGATGGGACGCTGTCCTGTTCGCAGTAAGTTACTCATTTTGACCTCGTCTTTCAAATCAGAGTAAATCAGAGTCTTGATTACTCGAGTTGCTTTGCTCGTTTCAACGAAGGCTAACCTTGACAGGTATCTTTGGGGAGGCGATGGAGCTGTTGGTGAAGAAGCAAGATACATTGAAGTAAGCGATCATACCCCCACCCCCTCTCTCAAGACCCTTTGATTACTACCGTTGTTTGTTTCGATTTCGAGTCTCACAAGGTCCCCAGTTTTATGGCCGAAGATATTCGCCCGCTTTCTCAGGCTGTACAGGCGTAAGTGATCGTGTTATCTAGGGTTTACCCGAGGATGATATTAACCATTGCACATGCAGATATGATGATTTCAATCAGATGAAGAGTCAGAAGATTGTCTTTGAAGCGGATAAGTAGAGTACAGGAGCATGAAGCATAACATGAGTTTAGCATTTTTGAGATGAAGTATGACCTTGGGTGCCCAGGTGTATTACTCTACCAGTAGCACTTTCAATTCGACCAAGAAGAATATTACCGGGTAGTAATAACCTTGATATATTCCACATTCATCCACATCCTTGGATCTAGCTCTTCTTCGACTTCGTAATTTCCACTACTCCTCGGATGTTTCATTCCGGGTAGATGAGAATTTCGGTTACGCACTGGCCTCACCCCGCACGTTGAGCTTTGGATGAAATCTTGTCTTGAGAGGCCGGTATAAAGTCCAAATACAAAACCATTTACATCTTGACTCCGATCAACATCAACATGGGTGTACGATCGGAGGTATGGTATTTGCTTTCCTCTCCGCTGGCCGTAAGTATAGATACGAGTTCTCGAATAATATTTCGTTACTTTTCTCACAATGCTAGGGGACACAACTGCCTACACGATCTCGTGGCTTATGAAAGAAATCCACCACAACGATAACAAGCATCTTGATTGCCTCTAAAAGGTTAGAGCGGAGGTTGAAGATCATGGTTTTGCAACTAGCTTTCTTGGCTATAGTGATACCCCGGTAATTGAGCCATTTTTCAGCGCATAGATAGGCCCAAGCTGGATCTCTAATATTGTTGCCGAACAGAAACTGCAATTCACAAACGCATTGTGGGACGAGAATGCGCGCCTCAATACGGTATCTCCTGCTGGTCAAATGGAGGCAGCAGACGATGATATCCTTCCCGCAGTTCCAGAATTGAATATGCCTCCGAGGCATATCAAAAAGTAAGTTTCGAATTTGATCTATAGTAGAGCCTCACCTAATACAGAAATTTCCGCCATTCCTAGGGGAGATATCGTGAGCTACCAAGATTATGTGATTTCTCGAATGTCCCAGGTATGGGGCGAGGATGCCGCTGTCTTCAACCCATCCAGATGGTTTAGAGAGAATGGGGAAAGTATATCGTATAGTCCTTTCAGTAAGTGATGACCAAGCCTGAGGAATTTGAAGATGCTTATTAGTAATATTTTAGAATATCATTCGTGGAATGCTGGACCTCGCAGCTGTCTTGGTCGTGCATTGGCCACTTACGAAGGGATTGCAATCACAACTGCGATTTTGCAACGCTTCGATATCACCCTGGAAGATACTTCTAGGCCCTATGAACCACTTGCTACCTTAAATATGGTATGTGGTCTCTTCTGATCTTTTATTCTGCATCATTTCGATGTCCCCTTTTATGAACACAATCGAATACTCGTACCTAGCTCATGGTTATATAGGGAATCAAAGGAGGACTTCCCATGAGACTGAGAACGAGAGGGTCTGAATGAAGACTGAGATAAATGGCAAGTACAGAGATGGATATTTATTAATGCCAACAGCCACTGTAGTACCTAGGTACTAGTTGTTTTAAAAAGAAAAGAAAACGTGAAATATTTGGAGTAGTACTACATGTTACCTCAGTTGATGTACTCAATCTGCTTCCAATCGTTGTGTACAGCAGGTAGTGGGTCACATACAGCATGGGATGAATCTAATCACGAGGCCCTCATCTTAGAAGTATCTCAAAGTTAATATGATAATTTTCGGTGTTCTATACCATCCTATGCTATGCTATGCTATCGTTACTACCTTAGAGTAACCTTTTTGGGAAATATGTGGGTCCACGATAAGCTGATAAGCGGCGGGCATCAAAATTTCTTCGAAAGTCACTGCTGGTCTAGTCCAGTCACCACTTCAAATCAACCATGTCGACTCTCCTCCCCACCAAGCAAGCGCCAAAGAGTTGCCCAGGCCGACAAGGCCCGTGAGCAACAGGAGATCGATCGCATTCCCTCTGATTTGGGCAGTGTCCGTGTCCAATTCTTCGACCAGGCGACCGGCAATCCCACCGGGCCCGCAGTCTCGGTGCCCGTGGCCGACGCCAATACCAAGAACCTCGAGACACTTCTCAACACATTACAAGGCAATGTAAGTCACTAAGTCAATGTGGAATGACCCTCCATCAACTCTACCCCATTGCATGTCCACTGACCCCGCCGCAGGAGGATGATGACCGCGTCCCGTACCGATTCACATACCAATCCGACAAAGAAGGCCAAACCATCGACATCCTCGCCGATCTCTACCACTCCCTCCTCCAACCCGGAATCAAAACAACCGAAGACACCGTCTCGCTATACTACACCCCGCAAGCCGTCTTCCGCGTCAAGGCCGTCTCCCGCTGCGCCGCCTCCATCGCCGGCCATGGCGAAGCCATCCTCGCAACCTCCTTTTCGCCCGTCTCTTCCTCGACAATGGTCTCCGGAAGCGGTGACTCGACCGCCCGTGTCTGGGACTGCGATACAGGTACACCCCTCCACACACTCAAGGGCCACACGAGCTGGGTGTTGGCGGTGGCGTACTCACCGAACGGAGCGATAATCGCGACGGGCAGTATGGATAATTCGGTACGCCTGTGGGACGCAAAGAAAGGACAGGCACTCGGTGGTCCGTTGAAGGGCCATGCAAAGTGGATTACTAGTCTGGCCTGGGAGCCGTATCATATTCAAGAGACCGGTCGTCCGCGGCTGGCGTCTGCATCGAAGGATTCGACCGTGCGCGTGTGGGATGTTGTTTCCAAGCGCATGGATACCGTCTTGACCGGTCATAAGGGCTCGGTTACTTGTGTGCGATGGGGTGGTACGGGCTTGGTCTATACTGCTTCCCACGATAAGACGATTAAGATTTGGAACCCCAAGGATGGCTCTCTTATTCAGACTTTGTCTGCGCATGCGCATCGCGTGAATCATTTGGCTTTGTCGACGGATTTCGCTCTGCGCACTGCTTACCATGATCATACGGGTAAGGTTCCTACGGATGATGGGGAGAAGGTGGCTGCTGCGCGGAAGCGGTTTGAACAGGCTGCTACTGTCAATGGTACGATCGTTGAGCGACTGGTCTCGGCTAGTGATGATTTCACTATGTATCTTTGGGAGCCGTCTAGCTCGAACAAGCCCGTTGCTCGACTGTTAGGTCACCAGAAGGAGGTTAACTATGTTACTTTCTCGCCGGATATGGCCTATATCGCGTCTGCTGGATTTGATAACCATGTCAAGATTTGGAATGGACGGGATGGAAAGTGAGTTCTCTTCTCTTCGTTTATCTTCTTTTTTCGCATTTCTCTATCTTTTCTCTACTTACACACTGTTTCCAGGTTTATCACTACCCTTCGCGGTCACGTCGGTGCTGTTTACCAGTGCTGTTTCTCGGCCGACTCTCGCATGCTGGTCTCGTCGTCGAAGGATACCACCCTGAAGGTGTGGGATGTTCGCACCGGCAAGCTAGCTATGGATTTGCCAGGCCACAAGGATGAGGTGTTTGCGGTGGACTGGAGTCCGGATGGACAGAAGGTTGGCAGTGGAGGCAAGGACAAGGCGATTCGGATCTGGCGAAACTAGAAGTATAGAGCAGAGTATAGATCTTGATACCCAGTCTTTAAAAGTACAATGTTCAGCATTTCCCTTCTGACCTGGTCTACTATGTGGTAGGCATTGCTTGTAGATAGAGTACTAGTAATACTACTAACTAGTAGCTACTAGTAGTAAGTATATCATTATTGCAATTCTCGTGCAATGCACCAGCTATAAAGTAAGATTGACATTATTGTACAGGTCATGAGCTATGATATAACCAAGTAACGCTAGACAAAAACAAAGTCCTCATCCCGACCATGATTATTGCACCTAGATGTATTGCCAAGCAGGTACATCGCCCTTGTACGTCAGGGCCAAGGCCGAGAAGCCGAGGCAGTCTTCAACCTTACCCTGGGGCACGGTAGCATTCTGCATAGCGGCAAACACTTGCCAGCGGTTGTCCTCGGTCGGGCAGGCCATCAGGCCAGTTGCATTCCAGCCATTGAAGGTGTAGTGGGCCCATGGCTTGCCGGGGACGTACGAGAGGCCGCCGACGGCAGATCCGGGGGGCATGCTAGCGGAATGAGCCTGAGTGAAACCCAATGCGCCTGAGGCAGCGACGTAGACTTGTTGGCCACCGGGAACCTCGACATCCTGGCTTCTAGTTAGTACGGGGGGAGGTTATGCCTTTTCTTTGAATGGGGACGTACCAGAGAGTTACCGCCGGCAGTCAAGACGGTCTGGTTACCAGGGGGACACTCGAGACCATTGAGGTGAGGACAATAAGAGGCGGTGTTGCCACCCAACCAGAATCTCTGACCCGCAGCATTGAGCTGAGTGTAATGGATGGGCGAGGCGGAGCGGACAGCCATGACGCTGAAGTTGGGGTTGGCATCGGCATCGGTCCGGGGCTCAGTGATGGGCGCGGGGGCAGCCGCAGCCAGAAGAGGCAGAGCAAGGGCGAAAAAAGACTTCATTATTCTCAGCAGTAAGGTGAGATGGAATATTGGTATGATATGAATGACTTGAGGTGGGAATAAGGCAAAGTTGAAAGGGGAACAGGAGGTCTTTATAGGGCGGGGGGTATCAATCAATCAGGCACGGATATTCTGATCAACAATGAATGATGATGCGGTGGGGTAAATGGGAGAACCCCGTCCACCTGCGATGATGGAACCAAATAATCCATGACGATGACGGCTATATCAAGTGGTTGGGGCGGAGTTGAGAAGTGCAAGTGTTCTTATTGGATAAGTTTGAGAAAAGCCGTGGTTGTAGGCATCAACAGAGCCACCTCCACCTCCTCCTCTCTTCTCCTCTCTTTTTCGTCTTCATCCAACAGAACAAACAGCATACTGTTGACTCTGCAACAATATTCTGCTTCGCCAATTAATTCCAGCGGGTCCGTGGTTCGTTCAACACGAACAAAAGCCAACCACAACCAACCACCAACCACCCACCCACTTATAATCCAGTTATCATCCAGGTCGAATCCACTGATCGTCCCTCAATGTCTCATCTATTCTTGGCGGCATCATATGAAATTTCGAGAATCGAGGCAACTAGTATGAAACCATCCTCTCCACAGTAGCATTCGCTTATCTTTTGACTCAGATATTCATCCACTATCACGTACAGAGTCCTCTGCAGACCACTATTCAACAGCAATACCCTCGACACCGCTACTTGTCCTATACCCATGGTTATGCATACTATGGCAACCCCTGTCGAATCTCGCTTCGCTCATTCAACCCCCAAGCTGCCGAGCTCCCATCATGAACAGTCGCCCGCCGCATGTCTCGGCGAAACCGGCCCTCAAACTGCCCTCCAACAGCCCGATGCATGACACTCGTATTATCCCACAGCACGAGATCCCCCACATTCACCCAATCAACCCGCAGCACATACCGCGTCTGCGTAGCATGAGCCAGTAACCGCTCCACCAACGCTGTCGACGCCTCCTCCTCTAATCCCTCAATATGGTGAATGTGCGCGGCAAGGTACAACGTCTCACGGCCAGATCCCTCGTGCGTCTGTACCAGTCGGTGTCGACCCATCGGGTACTCGTCCGGATTCACTTCGGCAAAGGTAGACGGGCTGGCCAGCTTCCGAGAATGCCAGAGGGAGTGAGCGGCGATGAAATCCTGGGCGCGCAGATGATCCTGCAACTGTGATTCCAGGTCGCCGAAGGCGGATCGTGAATCTGCGAATTCCGTTTCGCCTCCCAGGCCTGCCGGTGGTAGCTCGGCGGCGCGCAGGAGTGAGTACCCGGCCCGGCGGGGGTTGAAGCTCGAATCCACGTGGAAAAGGCCGTTGCCCTTGCAGACATTCATTAGCCCGGGTTGATGTTTGATATTTGGGTAGGGATTGGCCTCCCCGGATGTCTCGCTTACCTTGTTCCATTCGCGTCGCACATTATCTAGGGCAAACACGCCACCGTCTAGGTCGATGTTGCCTACGTCAAATAGCCGCACGTCGGAGAGTCGGTGGGCGCGTCCGCCCGCGATGTATGGTGTCACATCGTCCAATTCGCCGAACTGGGTGGCGAAGGCGATGTGGCCGGCATCGTCGAGGCTGGTGTTGCGGAATACGCAGACCCCGTACTAGTCGCTGAGGTGATTAACTAACTAGTATTTTGAGAGAGTACAGGTAAGTCAGACCAACTTTCTTGATCGCAGCCAAGATCTCTGCAAAGACTTCCTCTGTCACCGGCTTGGAGAAGTCCACGCCACTGATTTCCGCGCCGAACGTCGGGTGTAGTCGTTTGATGGCGATGTGATGGAATTCAGTATCCTGTGAGACACCGGACATTCTGGCGGGTCGTTTAATTCTTGTATTACCACTCAAGACATCTCTAACTTGACGAGTGAGCAGTTGGATTTATCTATATGTAATCCTAGTATGCTGTATCAGGCCTCGGCATGAAGAGCGTAGATGCGGGGGTGACTCGGACTTCTTTCCAGATTACGGCTGATATGTAGATGACATGTGTGATACAGAGCCAATGCGCGGTGCAAAGTACACGTCCTTTTACAATAAAGTACAAAGAAAATAGATTTTCCAATACTCCGGAGAAGACAAATTTTAGTATGCGTCTCGCACTACAAACATTGCTATACTGGTAGTTAGTACTAGTAGTATCAGCCTGATACCATGCCAGGATAATACAGATGAGAGTCTGTATTGTCTTTTTACCTTGTCTACAAAGTATCAAAGTTGTCGCCAGCTCTCTTGCCGCATTGCAGTAAGTCTGGAAAAATGGCATCGCTAATGCATGCAGTCGAATCCCTTCTATCACGAGTCAGTCTCCGGTCATCAGCTTGCACCATTGTATTGTGCTGCCTGTTCAAGTTGGTATCCCCCTTTCCCGAGTCGTAGCATCATATGGTGACTTCGTAAATTGTTCCAAGGTTCATGAACCCGAAAACTAGCTTCCCTACAACGCACAATATGTGGTGAGAAATAAATCACCCGTGGATGATTTTTCAAATCTCGATTCGGAGTAGTCGCGGCATCTTTCGAAGATGATATAAATCGTGAAGTTAGTAAATAATACTCTCGAAGACCCAGTTCAAGATCTCGTATACCGCTTTATCATCATGCCTGATATGCCACGCCGATCCATCTGTACACGGGCGAAGTTCCTCCACGGTACCGCCGAGAATGTACTAGTAGAAGCGAACATGGGGCCCGATTGCCATCATGCTGTAGAGAGGGTAGGCTACTAATGAGGCAGCTGGGCAGGAAGATCTGCGAGGCTGTATCTCATCCCCTTCTCAAGCTCAATGAGCGCGTCAACTGCCAGTGGATCCTTTCCAACCTCGACCGGCATGACAGTGACGTTCGAAAATATTGCTCGATGCAGCCGAGAGAGAAAAATCTAGGTATAGCGAGTCAACGTCAATCCCACGGATTGAGTTTCTTCCGTATTCGATGCTGAACTTGGAGGCATCATTGGCAACAGCACTAGGCTTGCGAAAGAGGTTCAGCAACGATGCCCAAATAATCGTCACCAAGTTGAGTAGAGCTTCGGGATTCATAAGTTTGGGTCAGTTCTTGTCTAAGATATATGAAGTACGGCACACGGCCTAGAATTGATTTAACATCCATAGATAAGAACATCTCCAGGGGAATGAACTACTCGACTTTCCAAGACTTGTTTCCGAACGCAGGAGATAAGCCTGTTTAAACTTACAACTCGAGGAGGCCGTAGTCAACCGGAGAAGGTTGTTGGGCGTTCTTTATTCTGCTGCTAATGCAGAATCTGAGATTTCAAGGTTGAGTGAGAGAAATAATAAATTCAAATCAGACTTAATGACTGTGCTTCGAGTTCAGGCTACTCCGAGGAGAAGGTGGGGATGATGAGGGGACGGACTCACGGCCCATACCTCCCTTGAGCAGCACCGAGTGAAATGTCCCCGCGTTCCAAGCTTCAACTTCAAGTTGTGTGGTGTTTTGTTTACAGGTACTACTAGTATAGTACCTGTTCCAACTCAGTTGCTAGCCTTTACTCCCAAAGGATGGATTTAAAACGGAGTTGTTCCAGTAGACCATAGACCGACAACATAGTACAGCCCCGGCAATATCTTCCAACAGCGACACTCCTATATCAGCCTCCAGGGCTGAACCCATACAAAATCCATGGATACCTAGGTACTATTCTTCAAGACCAAATCAAAATAGGTCACCGGACATATAGTCAGGGGTCTTGAATGAAGTGTTCACTCATTGGTCACAGCCATCCCGGATCCCTGCTCCTGGGAGTGGCCCCATTTTAACCTTAAGTGCGCCACGACCTTCTCGGGTCCACCCGTACAACCCTGGTGCAGATGCTGAAGAGAATCATCCGAGATAGGAAACACAAGTTACATATTGTCTGCTTCTTACAATTGCCAGGTGGAGAGTATTCGAGCGATCGATCACCGAATAAAATATATATACGAGCAGCTTTAACGCTGCCGACCTCGGGAGGTATGAACACGGCCACAGGCCAACTAAGCAAGAGTAAAGAAAAGTAAAAGTAAAAGTAAAAGCCAGACTCCTCCAGCACCAGTCCGTGTAAGGAATATCAAAGGAGAATTGAAAGGGGTAAAAAAAAAGGGAATATCAAGTCAAGTATGAAAGGAAACCGCCAAAGTATAAGGCCCACCGAAAACACCATTTAAGCCATCACGCCTTCCGTTTTTGTCTTCGTCTGCCAACAACAAGAGAAATTAATTCTGCTCAGTTATTATTCGTCTGTGAGGGACCCCAAACACCAGTATTTTTTTGCGCTGTGGATGGGTCCTTGGCGCATAATGATGAGTGAGATGAGGAAGCCCTCATCGAGAAGTGTCATGGAAATTTTTAATAGTCGTCACCGTCGTCGTCGTCGCCGTCCCCACCTCGGCCACGAGGTCCCTTTACTCCATCCTTTCGGATAGGTATTTTGATACCCTGCAGCGCGAAGCACTTGCTCAGTTGGGTGCTCTCGATGACACCGGGGAACTTCTTGGCGGAGAAGACTTGGAAAGGTTCACTAAAGACGGAAGCGAGAACGGGGGCTGAGCCCTGGTTGATCACAGGGGCACCATTACTTGAATCGGTAGATGGCGTTCCAACATTAACGAAACTCATCTTCAGCCTGTGGAAGTTAGCAGCTGCACTCAGAGAGAGAGAGAGAGTGTGTGTGTGTGTTCAGAACTTACCGAAATGAGCCTTCAGTCCGCACACTCAGATCTTGCAGAATAAACCATACGCCGATCTTGTTGTCCGGATCGGTCAATCGGAATGCGCTGGCGCTTAGACTACCGATTAGATTGCGGGTGAACATTCCTCCAGGGCCGCCCGAGACAGGTTGCGCAGGGGACATGGCGGCGGGCATTTGGCCACCCGGGGGAAACCCGTAGGATGGATAGCCGACCGGTTGCTGGGCATATGGGTGTTGATTCGGATACATCTGCCCGCCACCGTAGTAGTTCATGGCGGGATATCCGACTGGCTGGGCTCCGTAGGCATTTTGACCATATCCGGCGTAGGTTGGGGAGATGTTGTTTTGAGGTGGGGGAGGGTATGAGGAGGACATGGCGGTCGAGATGGAGGGCGAAGTAGCGGAGTGTTTAACCAGGTTTACCTCATTGGTACCATCGGCGTTCCATAGGTCAACGGTGAGGACGTAGAAGGATGTGTCGATCTCACTGCCCACAGTTAGAAAAAGAACGAAATAAAGGCGCAGTCCGTGAGAGGTAACCTACTTGATGTCAATTTCTTTGCCGGAGTGGATATCGCGCACGATGAGTCGAATGCACGGGGGTGGAGTGATGGGTCTTCGGTCCTAGAGATAAAATCAAGTCAGTCAACGCGATTCAGACTCGGTACCCAACCCTCTGCTGGGGGTGAGGGCGTGCAGCAGAAAAGACACCCACCTTGTCACCAAAGCCGCACATCCGGGCGCGGATTGGCTGTTGCACGACCTGTAAGGACCATTTGCGACCATCATATTCGGTCTCGATGGGGGCGAGGTGATCGGAGGGAAGAAGAGAAGCGGAGCCGGGGGTGGGATAGGCGGCGGACGGGGCAGGGATGCGGTCCATTGAGAGAGGAGGGGGCTGTGGCAGCGGATGGGCCCTTTCCTGTTCTATAGCGTACATGGTTCGAGATGGAGAGGAACCGGGGGCGAGTCTCGCGACAAAAACGACGGAACGGTCCTTTTACAGATCAGATATGATCTGATCGATATTATCTTGTGGCTCCGTGAAACGTGATTTGGATTCGATCAGAGAATCGCGAGTTGCTGGAGCGAATGCAAGAGGGTGGAGGAGAAGAGAGGTGACATGCGACCCCGCAAAATTCACACGTCACTGTTGAAGCATCGACTTCGGGCGGCGGTCGTGGAGGGAGGCGGTGTGCGGAGTGGTGATTATATCGATCGAGGATCACGTTGGAGGATGAAGGGTGGCAGGACAATTGCGATCGCAAGATATGGCGGAGGAGTGAGAAGCGAGGACTAGGACCAGGACCAGGACCAGGCAAAGGCAAAGGTTCTGTGGCAAGTGCAAATCAAGCACAGAGACGAGATGAAGTGAAAGGGAATAAGATCAAATGAAATGCAAGCAGTGCCCACTAAAACCAAGGAAATGAGCAGTGGCGAACGACAAGCGAGAGAAGCGAGAGCGAGGCAGTGAGAGGCTGAGGGGACAGATCAGATCAGGTCGATGCAGGATCGGAACAATGGTCTCTGCAGGGATTCTTTTCGTTCTTTCTTTCTCTTTTCGCGCTAGGGTCTTCGAATCTTCTCGGAGATGCAACCGTCAGTCCGGAATGTCTGGATCCGCCCACTTTGTCTGGGTCGGGTGAGCCAAGCGACGAAGCTGTCAGGGCGCGGGAGATTGGCGGGCTTCCACGGATCGGGGACACTACTGCTGACTCGGACCAGAATGGAAATTGAAAGGCGATTCGAATCAGGAAATTGAGTGGGAGTGACAGTGAAGAAGTGGCTGAGAGTGGAAGTGAAAGAGGAGGGAAGAAGTGAAGTGAAGTGAAGGAAGGAAGTGGGGAGTGTCGAAAACGTCACTGACTTCCCACCGAGTGAACCCACACTATACTGTCCTCTCAGACACTCGGGGAGCCTGAGTAATCCTCCCACTCCCACCCACCCAGTAATCATTGTCATCCCAACTGTTCTTGATCCGCGCCGCAGGAACGTGGACCCGGCCACTCGGTTTGTGGGTTCGGTCCAATCCCAGCGTTTCATTTGCTGGGATGTAACCGCCATCCCCGTCCGTTTGCATCGAGAATATCCACTGTCCCGTCTGCGGAACTGGTCTTCTCCCTCTATACCCTGTCGACTTTGAGACTCTGTGACTCCGAGTCTCTGGGACTACCTTGTCGACTCTGATTCGAGTCTCCGAGACTGCCGATTCTGACTTTGAGACTGTCCTCGGCTAATTCTCGGCATTTTTCGCCCGAGACACCCTCGTGTCCAATGGCATCAGATATCCGAACAACCCCGCAGTTTCACTTGGAGCCTGCGAGAGGCTCTGTGAGAGGCTCTCCCTTCAGCTCTGTTCAACAATGATAACCATAATTATAATGATAATATTTACCTCCATCTCTTGGTTTCCCATTCCTCTACCACTCGGGCACTGCCGTGAACCAGAACCAACTCTCGACGGCCCATGTTTTACAACGGGCCTCCTGGACCAGAACTTTTGACCCTCACTCTGTCCTCCACTGGTACCGTCCATGAACCAGGGGATCGATATAAACCGGATGCCTTCGAGGATTCGGATACGCAAGTGGCATCCACTCCACGAACGAGAAAGTGCTCAGTGTATTAATACTACTAACTAGTACCTACCTACCTAGTACGTAGGTACCAGTCGCATATACAGTAGTAGACTCGACGATACTACTACTAGTAGTATATATTATATACATTTTCTACTGCTGATTGCACAGTGTATTTACATCTGTTTTGACCATTGTAACGAACTGGATGGCTGTGATTTTTATGGCGTTGGTGCGTTGGTCGGGTGGCATCCACTCCGAGTCCAGCACCACCTGTATCTATGACAATACAATAAGGACATACAATAACTTGAAGAATGAAGTAACAATGATAGTGGCCAGTATAGGATTACCATACCTTTCAGCTCTGTCGTCCAACCTTTTCATATTGAACAGTCCAGATGTCGTTCGCGATCTCCAGCTGAGTGTGTGATAAATTGCAATCCATCTCCCCAGGTGGTCGGGCATTTTAGGCTTGAGGAAGATGTCTTAGAATAGGAGTGTCAGTTGACAGTCATGTGTTCAAATAGTTCGGAGCATGGTGACTTCTGTTCCGTGAAAAGGGCATTTTTCTTATCCAGGCCCCTTTTTCCATGACCCTCATGATTCTCCCTCGAGGGCACAGTGAGGCTATCAACGCAATCTTTACTTGCCCTCTGAACCGAACAGCATATCTTCCTGGATTTTCGCTTGTGTTTCACTCCATTTTGCTTCAAGGGCCATGGATGACCACTTGAGTTATCGGCCATGTGGTATTGCAGGCTTCCAAGCACTTCTGGATTCTTGCTCTTTCTAGATGGACCGCATACGGAGCTGGTCGGTGTATGTAGGAGCTGATGCTCCGGGAACTTTGATGTCTATGATAAGAATGTAACCAAATCAAGCTGACACGGCGACGGCGTGAATAGTGGCCTCCATCTTGCATAATGCAGTGTGACGGCGTGAATAGTAGTCTCCATCCTGCATAATGCAGTGTGATGGATATGGGATGTACTAGTTTCATGATCTACAACGGTGGTTCTAAGTCACCATGTCACGGAAAGCGCGATCCCCCATTGCAGCATATTGTAACCTGACTTCCTAGGTGTGATTTGCTAGAATTACTCAATTGTGACGTATGGGAAAGAGCAAGAAGAAGCTATTCAAGCAAGTATACTACTAGGTAGTACCAAAAGCATCCTGAATGACTTGGAGCATACCAGCCTTAAAAGAACAGTCGGAGTACCTCTGGATGGTATTATAGGCTAGGGCCCGACAAATTGGCAATTTTTCATAGCTGTGACTGTTACTGCCACTCGCGACCTATTCATCGGCGACCTCCACACTTATTTGTCCAATGGTGAACACGGGTATTCTTCAAGGCACTTATTCCTTGGGAGCCTGTCCCATGCTTGTTAGTCATTTCGCCTTGGTCGCTTTGTCAGGGGCTAACATTTGGAGCTCGGGAATTGAAACTAGGGGTTGGTCTTGATATAATTTTGGTTTCGCGTAGCTTCTAGTATCTACTTCATGAAGTGACAAACTCGACTTTAAACATATTCCAATGTCTATACACGCAGACACATACATCAGACGCTCCAATATTCTCATTCACTTCCAAAATATAGCCCAGTGCCACTAGGTTGATTGTATACTAGTGCATTTCCCCTCTTCTCGGGATATGGCCCAACTTGAAGTCTTCAGCCCCACAAATCAAATAAGACTCAGAAGCTTGCGTAAGCCTTCCCTTGGCGCATAGTATCGTCCTTTTACACTTCTTCAGAAGTATCCTGAAGTACTAATAGTAGAATCTTTCCCAAGGGTCGGAATGTGGGGGCCTCCGCCTTGTGGTCCACAACAGCTCAGTCACGCCAATTCCTCTCCAGCTTCTCCACAGGTACCCCGGATCTACCTTGACAGCTCGTTCTTCTCCACTTGCTCCCGAACAGACCACTTCCAGTCTATCCTTTTCTTCACTGTACGGAGTGACCCCTCATGAAAATAAATGTGATTGCGCGGCCTTGATGTTCAACATGTAGGTCGTGTTTTTCCTATATAAGGTCGCCAGCACCACTGCAAGGCTTGAAATCCAGGTCCACACAGAATCAATAACTCATCAACCACCCGAACGATGTTCTCCAAGTCCCTTCTCCTCTGGCCAGCGATCGCGCTCGCCTCGGTCACCATTGAAGATCCCTCAGATGTGATTGATCCCTCGTGGTGGACCGCGGACAATGCCATCATTCCGGACTACAACATTCCCTTCCCTGAGGTGCAACCTTCGGATAGTAGGTCTCCATTTTCAGAAAATAAGCAGTACATACAGGATACTGATATCGGATATAGTCGTTGCAACTCATACTGTCAAGGGGAAGTCTGCGAGTGCAGACCATACCACCTGGTACGCGACAGCCAATGATACTAGCGTACTCTTGGTTTCTGAAAAGGGGTCCTTCAAAGGCTCGTATATGACATTTGACAAGAGTGGCTACTCGTCCAACCTGGACGATGCCAGTTTTTGGGGTTTCAATGCAGCCATCAATGTGGTACGTAGTCTCTCTTCTTCGGTTCAATACATCTCCCTCCTGGCCTCGTCCGCTAACCCCGACCTGCTTAGGCCAATGCCTCAACTGCGGTCTTCGATCATATTAATGTCACTATTCACAATGGCGCTGCTGGGTTGTATGCCTACGGCACTGGGACCGTGGTTAACGTTACCAACTCCTGGCTGTACTCCTCCGGACCCGTGAGCCATGGTCTCTATGCTTCTGGAAACGGCACCATCTACGGCAGCAACCTTCAAGTTTATTCCGGAGGCCATCGTTCCTCCAGCTTTTCTGGCGATTCCCCCGCCGGCTACGTCTATGTGAAGGATAGTGTGGCCCATGCAGCTGGCATTGGTTCTGCCACTTTCTACGCCTTGGGATCAATCGATGCAAGCAATGTCGTCAGTGTTTCGGAGAAAGGCCCTGTTATCTTCGCGGATGGTTCGCAGACTGCTACCTTGGTTGACTGTGACTGCACGGCGGGACTGCTTGGTGGTGTCGCCATGTTCAGCAGTCAGGTCAGAAACGACGCTGACAGCCCTGCCACCCTGAACCTGACAAATACCAAGTTCACCACTACCGGCAAAACAATGCCAGGTCTCTGGTTCGGCAACCTGATTGGCCAGGTCACCCTCAACAACGCCGAGCTGAATACCGATTCTGGAATTCTAGTCGTTGCCAATTACTCACAGATTACCCAGGACTTTGACTACTACGCCAGTTACGAGGACAACAGCGGCCTCAAGCCTGCTAAAATTACCGTTTCTGTTTCAGAGTCCGATCTTGTCGGTGATTTGGTTGCTTATAATGGCAGCTACATCAGTTGGTCTTTAAGCAAACACAGCACCTGGACCGGCGCTGCCTACTCTGGCTACGCCAAATCTACTTTCGACGTTGCTCTCGACGCTACCAGTACCTGGACTCTGACTGCTGATACCACTGTTCAGAAATTTACCGACGACCTTCACACGCTGAAGAATGTTCACTCTAAGGGCTTTACTCTACACTACAACTCGACCGTCAACACCTGGCTGGGTGGAAAGACCATTAATCTTTCCGGTGGTGGTGTGGCCCGTCCTATTTCCTCGACTACCAGCCGTGTCCACCGAGATTCCCGGTCGTGGAAAGTGTAGATCGATAAGTGTTGCTTGGATGGGTGGTAGTAATGTTCTTTGAATGATGTACATCCAACCCTGAACTTAAAGTGCCTCATCAGTCTAGCCTATATTTCCTTGTTAAGACAGTTAGAGATTATATCTCTCATTAAAACTTGATTTTCCAATGAATAATTCTCAAGCATAGACATTAGCACCTTGATATAGATTGCATAAACCCTGTCCAATATCTTAAAGAGCTCTCGGGTATGGGAGAAATTTTAACATCTGAGGGCTGGATATGAAAGTCGTAGACTATGTCCTTCTGCGTTGTTATCAATACCTATATTCATAGAAATCATTAAGTTCAGGTCCGTAAAGATTTGGTGGGGTACAACTATTTCTTAACTCAGACAAGCCAGCCGGACTACAGTACCCTTTGACAAAATGTCATAGCCCGCTCACAATAACGCATTTTGGATTGATTGTAGTTTCTCGGGGCCTATAGACAAAATCTGACCCGTAGTAAAACCCAATCAAAGACACGGAAGTAATAGTTGCAGAAGCTGTTTCTCCAAGCCGTCATTCAGACGGTGTAGCTCCTTTATTAAGAGACTCAAAGAGTTCTTGTCCCCTACTGCCTATCGGACCTGGCGTAATTTCTTTGACATACGACCAAAGAATTTGGCTCTTGATCCTGAGGAGCTCTGGCTAGCTGAGTTGGATTCCGCGTCATATTTACTGATCAGTCTTTCCGCGTCACCAAGTCTCCGTTTCACCAGTCGCAAAATATTCCCTATAATTAGGAACTTACCGTCACCCTCAATTTCAATCTCTAATTCATTGTTGGAGGTCGTTTCGACCAGTTGATTGTTGTTGGTCATTGGGGAATCTGCACCAGACGGGCTTATTATCCCCTCAATCTCGCGTCTGAGTGTTGCAAACCTTTCTTTCTCAATCTGGAGAAGTGTATCCAAGTATTCGCTGTCCTCCAAGTACGACTTGGCGCTGGAGACTCTATCATAGAGCTTCGAGCAGGCATCAAATAGGCCAGCCAATCCGGCGATGCTCAAGGCTAACCCTGCTATCTCCATGTCGGCTCCGTGAACGGTCTCGGAAAGGGTATTCGAATCGCAAGAAATTACAGGTTGGTATCTGAGACAATAAAGAACTCCTCTAAGTTAGCGCTCTCTTGGCATTTAGTTCTTTTTGTCGCGAAATCGAATAGTCTTTATCGAAACAGAATATAACTGTAATCATAATGTCGAACTCGAACTTGAACTCGAGCTCCAACCATTTCAGCTGCCCGAAAGGCGGCGCTGGGTATGTGTGCCCAGACGAGCCTCAGTTCGTCGGCTGCTGCTCTCAGGACCCATGCAGAAACGTCGACGCAAACAGCACCTCGCCATGCCCAGGGTCCAACCTCTATTACGCCTCCTATGACCCCTTTATCCATGAAGAAATCCCAGCGAACGCGTGCATCGACGGCGGAAAATGGTTTACCTGCACTGGGGCAAATCCATCCTTCATCGGCTGCTGCGCGAGCGATCCCTGCAAAAGCCCAGACCACACGGGGTGTCCCGACGATGATTTACTTCCTGCTGCGTGGAGCAAGTCCCGTCCGGGTCAATTCGCCCTGTTCCAGGATGAGGGCACAGCCGATGACGATGAGTTATCCGGCGGCGCGATTGCAGGAATCGTGGTTGGGGCTGTTGCGGCGCTGGTTACTATCGGAGCGCTCGTCTGGTTCTTCGTCCGGAGAAGGGGTAATAAGGCCGCTGCTATGAGTGGACATAGACATACGTCGTCTGTTATCGAGGGCGAGCATAGGAGGATGTATCCATGTCCGGCATCACCGTCCTTTAGTATGTACCAGTCTCCTCCTGGATTGGAGCTATCTAAGTTTATTGACTGATATTTTATTGCGCTGTTTTAGACTCGGAATTTTCCAGCCCCGCTGGCACGACAATAAGGGAGGGGGGGGGAAAGGAGCTGAAACACATGTCAAATTCCTTAGCAGGTATCAGCCCGCCCTCGCTCTCCTCCGGAATACCCTCAGAAAACGGACGATCTATTTCAGAAATTTACTCGAATAGTATCGGGGGCGAGGATATATCGTATCAGAAATAGGTGTTGGGTCAGAGCTACGGGCTTGGTGTGCATGGAGCACAAAGACCAGACCCGATATAGGAGTTGGATACCAATGTGGCCCAGGTGTAGGAAATGGATAGACTTGGAAGAAATCGGCGGTGATGAGGCCTCGACCGTGGGGCTTAGATGGATTGTGTATTGATAGGTATTATGCGTTAGCAATTTTTATATACATGTAATACCTGACTCCAAATCGATTATTTTCACTGTACCTGGGATCCTCGTATTTGGGCGGGACGTGATAATAATATGAGATTGTCCAGAAGCCTCATCAAAGATTCGGATAGTTGCTATGGCTCTCTAGGTAGATCGCTACTTTATCTAAACTATCAAGAATGAACAGAGTTCTGTTTCTTTGGGTGGAATACAGTTTTCGTAGGGAAATACCTTATTTAAGATATTTAGATATTACCAGTATCACTCTCACAATTAATTGTTTATTCTTGGCGATTCAAATCTCATCTGTAACTCCAAACGCACTGGGCTTCCATGCAGGGGCATACTTGGTATATAGTCGAAAAACCTACTGTTCCTTCGAAGTAGCCAACATTGAACCTATCAGAATTCGCCTGATGTTCACTTTTACCTGACGAATCCAAGACCCAATAAAACACCATATAAAATGTCTCAGGACCAGGCAGTGAGTTGACCTAATTCACCAGCAAACAGAAAAGTATGGGGATTATTTGCAGTTTGAGGTCGGACACATGTAGCGTTGTCTGGCCTGAGTTGTTTTTAGGATTGGGCTCTTGCTTAGTTGGACTCTTGTCCAGAAATGCAGCATCTTCAGTGCAATTGTATCCCTTGGAATCAGACTTCCCAATGACCTTGGGACCCGGAAGAGGGAAGCTAACGTCTTGGTCCTCGAAAGTAACGCACTTCCCTTCACCATTGATATTTGCAATAAAGATCTCTGGAAGAGACTCAAACTTCGGACTGTTTGTGCCGTTTTTGTTATCATTCAAACTGTCGGGAGCATCACCGATAGTGACCATGGCGCAGTTCATATACATCTCGCGGTTTCCAATTCTGTTGAACCACGTCCAAGCAAACAACGCTTCCCCAGGGGGGGGCCTCCTGTGGGATTTTAAATAGCCATGTTTGGTTGAAACCACATCCTCCTACCATGGATTGAATAACTCTGAAGCTCTGACCTTGGTCATAGCTCAGCGAAAGCTGGCAAGAGCCTCCTCCATGTGGCGCATTTCCTTGAATCTTGGTTTCGTATGACGATTCCGGGACATAGAATTCCTGAGAGACAAAAGGATCCTTTTCGTACCCTTTACAAGGATAATTTTTCCCGGACGCATTCAATGGGTTGGTATAACCGTAGTCCACAGGCCCGGTGGGATATAAGTCCAAAGGACTTCGAATGGGAAGCGGCTTGCTCATCTGCATGTGGGCGAACCCTCCAGCTCCCCAGAGTGCGAGAAGGAGGATGATCTTGGTAACCGTGTAGAATGACATCGTGTGGAAGGAGGAATTGTGGGTCCGGGGGTCTTGGGGGTCTGGAGTTTGGTTAGGCTCACAATCGAGAGGCACAGTAAGAATCAGTTCCGTCTTACATTTCTGGGAATCAGGTCAATGTCAGGTTCGTATGCCTTCCATGAACTCGAATCACTCACTGAATGGAGATAAATGAAGATAATTTGTTGAATTTTGTACCTGGGTGAAGAGAAGAGAAGACTATCAGCCCCGGGGGCCAAATTGGTGGCCTTACGTAAAAAAATTGTTTTGTTTTGCCCAGGTGCATCTCACATGCACCTGGGCAGGTGCTTTGATGCATGTTTGATGCATGCATTCTCTGGAACATCACAAACCAAGAGGGTAAGCAGGTGCTGATATTCGTTTGTTTGCTTGAAATTTCCATAATCCATATGCATTAAGAGTGATTGGGTGCTTCTCCGGGTGGACCAACACTAGGTAGGTATCACTTTAGTGTTCAGACCTTTCTTGTCACCAAGTATTTAAGAAAGTCATATTTTCTTTATATCGCTGGGAGATAAATAGAAGATACGTATCGTATCAGCTTGACTGCCTGTGTCACCGGTTCACTACCGCCTCGCCGCATCTCGTACGATGCGATCCCAGACCGTATGCAAGCTCAGGGGTGTCCTGTCTTCTTTCTAGGGCGACACCACTTTCACTGGTACTGCAACACCAGCGTCTGGGCCCGAGTGCGAGTCGGGTAAAGAAGTCGGATGGTTTTCATATGCCATTTTCCCCTGATTTTGATGTGGTTGTGTGTGGTCGTGCCCCGCGCCACCGCGCCACCGCGCCGAGCCGCACCGCACAACCACGTGGATTCACTTTGGTCTCCCCCGACGGTGATTAACACCGGACACTACGAGAAGCTATGAATCCATTGTCCCAACAGCCTGGCGAGGACTGTCGCCCAGTGTGAGCTCACTGGGGGCGAAATTTTGTATACACACACACACACACACACACACACACACACACACAATTTATTAACGCCCGGCGGCTGAACCGAGAGGGCAACTATCGCTGATCTAAATTTACATGCCTTAGCTAATGCTGTGCCTCTTTGGAGCCCATACAAGATTCCTTCCAGTGTATGTCATCTCAGATGTCAATATCTTAGCGGTCCTTGTGGGTTAGTGTTTAGCTAGTAGACTTACTTGAAGGCACTTCTCCAAGTGTTCAACATCCTATCCTCAGCAGTTAAAGCGCGTCTATCGTCTCTGGCACAAGGTAGTTGGTAAGGTTTAGATTCGGGTTAGGGCGGGGTAGAGTTAATTTGTGTTGGTTGACATAGTCAAGCGGCGTTAAGTCGGCCCGTGGCGATTGTGAATCGTATCAAAGCTCACACTACTTCTATATTCAGCTTCCAGTTTTAGTTATCCAAAGGTAATTTACCCCCTAGGAAAAAGGACATATTACCTCGGTGAGTATAGGTACAGTGCAATATTTCCGTTCAGTGTGTGGTCTACCGCTGACACCAAAACAGGAAGTGCTCTACGGTCTCTCTGGCTTATCCACATACGTATTAATCTATCTCTACAATATTAATTCGATATTTCGATAGAGGTATCTATTAAGTCTTGCTATACTAGTCCAGAGCTAGGCTAGTATACTTATTTCTTTCTAAGTTAATCAATCATACAACTATTAGGTGTGTCTTCCTAGAAGTGCTATATCCACTTACTTAGAGTATTTCCCTATATTCTCTAATAGGTAATTTTTAGGGATTACTTAGGATCATAAGATATTCAGTATTATTGACTTTATCTAGGGGACCTATACTTACGGGGTAGAATATTCCTAGATTATAGTCCGAGCCTACTCTTTTACTAGATCTAGTAGTTAATTATCTTTACTAGTCAGGACCTAATAGATATTAATATAGTTCTTATACTTCCGTAGTCTCTTAATTAGCTTATATACTTAGCAAATATATTCCTGGCCCAACTGTTATCGAGGATTCTTTAGTGTAAGAGTTACTACTTGATTACTTATAAGTAGCGTAACCCTACACCGTTTCAGTCCCTATAGTATACTTAGTATATATACTATTACTACTAATTCCCTAGAGTATAGGTTTTACTCTACTCTTACACCTAGTATAACAGAGAAGTTCTTTAACCTTAGTTTTTGATAATAAGGTAACTGTTTCTTGATCATTGCTCTAAATCTAACTAGGTCGTTTCATACTAAACTATTAACTATAATCTTGTCACGGGGCTCGTGTCAAAGAGGGTGAGCTTCGGTAAGAAGCAACCAACTCTCTTTGTATTCCCTTTGGCAATCCGATCTTGTCTCAGCCACGCTAGGGGTTCGTGCCCAATTCGGGCCCGATTCGTGTCTGATTCACTTAATAGTCAGAATGAATGACTTGATGCAGTGTTTCCTTTGTTCTTGAAGTTTTCTTCAAGAATTAGTCTCTGTTACTATTCATACATATTATTGGTTGATTCTCCTACTCTTTGATTACCATCCGAAGCCTTGCCTAGTCACAGGTCTCTAGCCTGTCCCTTAGTGTTTGCCATTACAATATTATCCAACACTAAGGTATTCCCTTCCTCTACGTAAAGTAATACTTAAAAAATCAGTTACTCAGAGAAGTAGATAACCACTACCGTCAGATTCGGTAACTTGATTGATACTTACTCCGCTTCTACTTCCTCGCTAATGGAGTTCCAGCAGTTATATTTTATCATAAAAGAGTCTGAATAAAATGGGTTCGGTCCGCTCTACCCCGACAAGCTTGTAAATCACAATTTTATTCGATCACCAACCCCTCACCGACTGCATAAACAACTCCACAACAACTAGACAGCATCCGTACTACTACACTTACCCCTCGAACCAGCCCTCTAATATCGGGGAATGTGGGCCACCGACTGCTCCTTCACGAATAAACTCCGCACTAGACCGGGTTCCCCGCGGGGTAAGTGGTTCTTGTTTTTGTTTCGGTCAAGCATCACCCCGACACTAGTTTCGCTTATTAAATTAGTACGGGGTACACAATTTGTGCATCCTGACTCGGGTTTCCCGCGCTTCGTCTCGAGTTGAGATCATCGTAGTATTCGTATTCGTATCAGACCCTTCATTTTACCCTCGTTTCTTGCTTGTTTTGTAAGCGGGTGGACGACTCACTCTCTTCGCGGATTTTTTTCTGCTGCCTTCGGTGTGAAAAACCCCGAGAATTATAGCACTCTTACAACCATCCGGATGATCCGGCCATGCATTACTCTCTCCATATATGAGAATGAGTTCCGCTGGTATGATCTCAGAGGTGGATCTGCTAATTCGGTCTCACTATGTGGTCAGCCGTCAAATTATTCAGTTTGTTACTGGTTCTCCAGCCCGTGCTAGCAGACACAAACGACCAAACCTCAGCAACAGTAGATCGAGGATCGTTCCAGAATCCTTCATCTCGACTACGCCCCCGCTTCAGATACTGGCTTCCAGACTCCGGCGTCGATGCCGAAATAGTTCGGGAGAATATCAAAGCCGCCGGTGCCCTCGGCGCTGGCGGTGTTGAATTCTTACCCTTTTACAACTATGGTGGCCAATTGGCTCCTGCGCCGGCGGGGTCAAACTGGTCCCGGGATGGATTTGGAACAGAGACTTTTCACAGCATGTTTCTGGCTGCGTTGCGCGCACATAAAGAGGCAGGTCTGGTGATGGATTTCCCGTTGGGCCCGAACCAGGGACAGGGTGTTCCCGCAGACCCGAGTGATGAAGGTTTACAGTGGGATTTGGTATGCAGGAGGGGACCTCTAAGCAGAGATGTCAACTGACTTTTTCAGGAACCATTTTCCATCGCCATTCCTGGAAATGGTCACTTCGATGGAAAGATTCCTGGATGGGGTGCCGGTGAACTAGTTGCGCTTGTTTCGGCTGAAGTGCTACATTCGACGAATAGTTCTCATCTGCAGTTGACTCTCAAGAATGGAACCTTGACCGACTGGGCAGGCAAAGTATCATCCAGTGGAAGCGTCTCCCTCGATCTCCCTCCGTCTCAAAACACATACCGACTCTTTGCGTTCTATCAATTCCTCAGTCATAACAAGAATTTGCAGTACAGTACAACTCCGGCTAAGACTATCTTTGATAATGGATCTTATGTGGTGGATCACTTCACTGCTCGCGGCGCTAAAGTGACAACAAGATTCTGGGAAGAGTACATACTTCCAGGCGGCGTCAAGGAATTGCTTATGGAAGTGGGCAACTATGGTAAGACACCCTTTTTACATCACTATAGATTCGTTCTCTTAAACTCATTATCTTTTTCTTTCAGGCTGGGAGGATAGCATCGAGATACTTTCTAATATTTCCTGGACACCGTCACTCCCGACTACTTTCCAATCTAAATACGGATACGATTTGAAGCCAATGCTACCGATCATCATGTTCAACAACAACAACATCAACACGCAAAGCACCGAACCAGGTGCTATCGAATGTCTTCTGAATACTCCCGAACACGGCCTCGGTTACATCAACGATTTCAGAGGTGCCTTGGTAGATGGGTACCGGAGCTATCTTGAAGAGCTGACCCGCTGGGTAAACTCGGAGCTAAATCTCCAAATGTCAGCCCAGGTTTCATACAACATGCCGATGGATATGGAAGCAAATATTCCATTTGTGAATGCTCCCGAATGCGAAAGTCTTCAGTTTCGCGACAGTATTGATGGCTATCGGCAGTTTACGGGCCCGGCACAACTCGCCGGTAAACGTGTCATTTCTAACGAGATGGGCGCTGTTTTCATGAAGGCGTATCAATTGACTCACAGTGAGCTTCTTTATTCTATTAACCGTGCCATTGTGGGTGGTGTGAATCAAATGGTATTCCACGGGCAGACGTATACTGGGAACTACTACGGTACTACCTGGCCGGGATATACGGCTTTCTTATATCTGTTCTCGGAAATGTACTCCAACAAACAGCCTTCCTGGGACCACGGCTTTGGTGATCTTCTCAATTATACCGCTCGAGTGCAGTATCTTCAGCAGTCGGGTGTTCCAAGGGTTGATGTGGCAATTTACAACAAGGAGTCTGGGACTGATCCCAACTTTCCAACTATGTACACAGCAAATGATCTCATCGATGGGGGTAAGATCGCTTTCAAGTTCAAATTCTTTTCATATTATGATTGATGCTGATATGGTATTTGCCTAGGGTACACCTATTCTTACCTGTCACCCGACAACTTCGCTCTTCCCGAGGCCAACGTTCGCGACGGGGTTTTGGCTCCAAATGGACCTGCATATAAGGCTCTGGTGATCACCAGAAACAGCAATCTTACACTTTCCGGTGTCCGTTACATTCGAAAATACGCCCGCGAAGGCTTGCCTGTTATTCTCAGTGGCGGAGATCCTGGGGTCTATTCGAGCCATGACAACACAGACAAGACATCCATTCAAAAGGCAATCCAGGCTCTCAAGAAGTCAGCGAATGTCTACAGTGTCCCTGCTGGTCAGGTTTCTGCTAAGCTTCAGGCTCTCGGCCTGCGTGCACAAATAGCTACGAAGACTAACGGGACATGGTACACCACCTGGCGCGAAAATTCTCAGTCTGGTACGGACCATGCTTTTGTTTTCTCAGATGTGAATGGCTCAACTGGAACCTTGAATATATACACTGAAAAGACTCCATTCTTGTTTGATCCTTGGACTGGGTCGAAAAAGCCATTGCTAGGCTACACCAAAAGCAAGGACAGCGTGACCATCCCTCTTTCTCTAGCGGGGAACCAAACCATCGTCATCGGATTCAGTCAGGATGGAGACATTTCCGCGAAGCACACCACCAACATCCCATCGTCGGTCATTGGGTATGACACCCAGGGCGATGCTATTGTCTCAGCCAGTAAATCCAAGCAGTCCTTGGTCCTCTCGAATGGAAAGAAAGTCATCCTGCCCTCTACAGATGTCGCAAGTTCAATTGCGCTTTCCAACTGGACCCTCACTGCAGAGCACTGGGAGGCACCCAGCAATATTTCGGATGGGTCTATCATTGCAATCAAGCATAACACAACTCACCAGCTCTCGTCTTTAGTGTCCTGGCGTCAAATTGAGGGTTTGACAAATTCCTCCGGTTTGGGATATTACACTACCCACGTCACCTGGCCACCATCTAAAGGTCCTGCCGATGGGGCCTACCTCTTCCTCCCTGCCATTGCGCACACGGCGAGGGTATATGTGAACGGACATCAACTGCCAGCTCTGGATCTCACAGCTCCCCGGTCAGATCTCACAGCTTATCTGAAAAAGGGATCGAATGTGTTGGCTGTGGTGGTTCCGACCACTATGTGGAACTATATTCGGAGTATTGCTGATGAGATTGAAGCCGTGGATGCCCCGGTTGATTCTCTCTTGAGTGCGGTTGGGAATGGGCTTCCGGATCCGACTGACAATGGATTGATTGGAGATGTGAAGTTGGTGCCCTATGTTACTGTTAAACTGTGATGTTGAAATAGTAGTTGTAGTTAGTTAGTACCTCCTCGATAGGAGCGCTCGGAGTCGCTTTCACTTCCCCTAATACTAGGAGCCAAATGAAATACTTGTCACCCAGAGAGATGAATACTTACGTATAGAGGCTAAGTCACTCTGCCAGTATTGAGGTACTCCTATCGATATAATCTGTGAGTAGTCTCTCCGCTCTCCGCTGCCGCTCTCCGCTCCGCCAAGGCGGAAACAGAATCTGATCGAATCCGGATCCGACCAGCTGATCTCCCCAACTTGGATTCACCCCTCAATCTCCATTCGACCTCACACTCACTCACACAGTCCACAATGTCAGGTCGAAACATCTCCTACGGCCGCGGAGGCGCCGGTGAGTAATATCCGAAGTCTCTGATCGCATCCCGTCGCAACGCAAACTGACCTCACTTCGTTCAATCCAGGCAACATCTCGCGCCAACACTCAGCCCCAACGCCGAAAGACCTCGTGACTCCCACAATCAAGCAAGAAGTCTACACAACCGGTCGCGGTGGCTCGGGAAACATGGCCCACAATGATCCTGACCGTCCTGAGATCGCGCGCGAAAGTCAGGACGTCGAGTCTCCTCCCCTCCGGGCGCAACAGATGCCCCACCACACTGGACGAGGTACGCTATGCCTTCCCAGTTACCAATGAAGACACACCAAGAGATTGGATTCTTGCATTGACTTGGCTTGTATTGGCTTGACTTGCATTGATACTGACGATCTATCGCAGGCGGCGCAGCAAATGCCTATATCCCCACACTGGAGGAGGAAGAACGGGCGAAAAAGGAGCAGGAGCACGTTAATGAGCTGATGCGGGTGCGCACGCAGGATAAGGATCGCATCAGGGAGGTCGAACATGAGCGTCAGGAGCTTCGGAAGCCTGATCCGGTGCATTTGGCGCCGCGACAGGGTCGATCGAGCGACCGAGCTTAACCGAGCTTGACGGGTTGATCGTGGTACTGGCCGTGGTGCTGATTACCATGTGTCTCGGTACAAGCACCAACACCCGCGTCTGTGTATTAGATCTCATACCCGGGCCATCGATGAACAAACCCCACGCGAACAATCTGGGTGGAAGGACATCAATATACTGCCAGTGCTGCGGGCAGTGCTGCAAGGTGGGGTCGGGCTTATCTCGGTGCTTTTGCTTTTTCCCTCCTTCATCCCTTTTTTTTTTATCTCCAACCTATTGGACCAGGAAGATAGACGGCGCTTGGTGTCTCTGGTTGGGTTATTATTACATAGTTTTCTTTATCGGCGCAGGGAGGTATCTATTGATGGGATTTCTATCCTAATGACAACGCTTTCATGACTCGTTATTACACAATGGTCGCACCCACCACGGCAGTGAGTGGCACGAATGCAGGGACTCGGAACATAGCTGGAGTTAGCTTATGCGGTTTTCAGGAGATGGTCGTGGATGGGACCTGCCCGGGGCCTGCCCGGCCATGGTTTCGCCTCTAGCACCTGGTAGTTCCTATTCAGCCCTTCGCAACCACTATCGCCATCGCTTTCTCTTTGCGAAGAAAAGAGGAGAAACCGACTCAAGCAGTCGACTCGAATTATTGCCCTGGAAATGAGCAGCCGGTAGCATCGATAGGCCAGCTCAGCAGCTCGCGCCACTCTGTGCCCAGAATATCGACGATCTCGTTGAGGATTCGAGCTCCCCAATTCCCCATCCACCAGGTGTCCCGCAGATGGTGTAAGGTGACGGCGTAGTGGGCTAGCACAACCAAAGCAAACGGCTCTCGCTCTCGGACCAAATCTTGAAACCGACCGGGGATGCGAAAAGTCCAGCAAAAAACAAAGTCCTTGGGTTCACCGCCGTTCATCAACTGCTCCAGGCAGTGGCTCAGATGTTCGATGGTGTTTTCGTAAACGCCCCTCTCATGGGCCGGATTGTGTGAAGCTTCAATATCGTTCTGCCGCTGCATTGCTCGCACTACCAATCGCGACATATTTGGCATGGTTGGACGCAATGTGGCAGGTCGCACAAGAGGCCATAGCTCGCCACCGGCAACTCGCTCCATCGTCGTCATCATGGCTCTCACGATCCATCGTGTGAGTTCGAAAACTTCGAGAAACTCATCCAATACGTCTGGCTTGCCGTCCTCTTCCATGCCATCATCAATTAAGCAGTATCCAAAGGACCAAACCAATAATACACAGCACAGTGCGAAGGCGGCGTTGCACTGAGCTTGGGACAGCTCTGCCTCCCCATCTGGATGGATGCCTTTCAGCGCCTCCGCGTGATGCTCTCGTGCTGTAACTAGATATCGCCATTTGCGTTGTGGGGCTCGATTTGCTCCAGCCAGCTGCAGAGCCGATAGGGCCAAAAGCCCATGTCGAAGAGAGGGGAAACGCAGTGATATTTGAGGAATAGTCGTCTGCCAGAGTGCTTCGGCCGGCTCATCCCGCGACATAGATTTATATGTCCTCGTGCACCAGTTCATCATCAACTCCATATCCTGCAAGTTGCAAGAGTCCTGCGATTCGGATCCAATTTTTGCCACCGGCCGCTCCTCCTCCATCAGCCGCTTCGATGGCGGCACGAGGTCTGTCATGGAAGGCGGTGTTGAAGCAGAAGACCCTGAGGTGGAAGCAGTAGAGATACTGGAGATAGAAGATCCGGGGCGATTTTTACTTTCCAGTCGCGACGGGCGGGGCCGAGGCAGCCCTGGCATGATAATGCTGTGATTCAGGGAAAGAGCTCCCACATCAACAATCTGGACAAAAGGTCAGATCTAAACAGAAACTGAGAGGGGCAGCAAGCAGTTGTCCGGGCGCGGAACTAGTCGGGAAAGAGCTGTTGCTGTCGCCGCATGGCTGCATGGCTAGGGCCGTACCTGATATTCGTGCAGGCTCTGGCAGAGTCGCTTATTTGGAGCGGACATGGGTATAGCATCGAGGTGGGGGTTATCGAAAGTCCTCACTGATGGTCCAGCAAGCTTTCACCTGGGTGGTGCTGTGAGATGGGGCATGAGTAGTATGAGGATGCGCACACCCCGATGGCCCAAACTATATACGCTGGACGGGGAGTATGCAGTCAAGTATAGAAAGGGAGAATGAAAAAAGGGACAAGCCAGCAGGGAACAAAGTCGATCCTGGCAATCCTGGCAATCCTGGCAATCCTAGCAGCTCAGGCGTGGGGCGAGCCCAGTAGATTCCCGGAAGTGGTAAATGCAGGGCAATCGGCGAGTGACAGGCGGACAGTAGGTCAAGGCCGATGGCAAATGTGCGAGCTCCGTCTGCCGAAGCTGCATTGTGCTTCGAGCAAGTAACAGCGAGGGCGCAACCTCCTGGTCCTTGCACCAATGGCCGAAGACCATCAGCACTTTGATCAACGGGACCCACGAATATACGAGCAGCGTCTTGCCGGATCGCGGTTAGGCCCAGAGTGGAGCCAAGGCGAGTGGAGGGAAATAGAAGTGGGGTGGATGAGATGATGGCAGATGCGAGGCAGATGCGAGGCTGATGCAAAGCTGATTGGTGGCTATCCCGATGACTCAGCACGACGAGAAGCGCTCTTTCCGAATCGGGGCATACGTGGTGCAGAAGGCGGTGAATACGAAGTATACTAGCACTAGTACGGAGTATAGACTCTGCATTTACCTTGAATATTTCAATCAAATAGTAAATATTGAATATTGAATAAAATGAGTGACATCCCGTACAAAGTACTCCGTACTACCTGCTGGCATGACATGATACAAATATCTCAAGATCTGCACTATCTGCTAACTGGCGCTTTGCCGCACTCCATGCATACCTCCAATATCGCCACATCTATTCATGTTTGATATCAATGCAATATTATCATACACTTGAGTAGGCTGGAAGTCATGGATCATCCAGTCTAGGGGTGCAGTGGATCACCGGTGAATGAGTAGTGCTACTATGTACTCCGTACTACCTAGTTTACGGAGTATACTCCCCGTATTAGCGGATCACTCGATTCCTTCTCGAATAGTTCTAGCCTCCACGTCATCAAGCCCTCGCTTCGAGTTTCCGGGCCCTAACTCACTCCTAACTGGCGGTGTACTCAACCTTTGAGCCTCCGATCTGCACGGACACTACCAAGGTTGGTGTCACGGTGCAATCGGGCTATCCCTTCTTGGATCTCACTCAACGCTACTCTTAATATTTGATGCAACCATGTCTACTAAGCTACTAGTAGATAATTCCTGGTCACTACAGCCTGAGCTCCACGGGTTCCGAGTCCTAACTTTATGGAGGAAGATACTAGGGCCTAGGGTTACATAAACCTTGTATACTCAGAAACAGTCAAGTTGGACTCTGACTCTGCATGCAGTGCGTATCACAGTAGTAGGTATTGCAATTGCTAAAGTTGGTAAAAGGCTGTTGTATACTAATCCTCAAGTCGAGTATGATTTGTTCAGTAAATTTCACTTTGTAATCCTACCAGTGATACCATCAGGAGTATGAGTACCCGGCGGGTGTGAAAACATTCCATGCTATTTCCAGATCTGTGATTGGAATACTGCAGTCCATACTACCTGCGGTATATCAGAACTCTATCGGCTCACAACGACCATTGTAATTGACTGCGCAAGGCACGTCGTCCTTGGAGATATCGCATTCATTGTCTCCGCAATTTTCCGTCTTGAACAGCTTGTCGTCGCAGTCACCAAATCCATCCCAAAGAGTTGTCTCGTCAGTCGAAACATATCCAGCACAGCGATCATTCAGTCCTGTGCGATATCTGCACTCAACTTTGTGATCATGATCCTTGGAAGTCAAAGTTCCCTCGTATCCGGCATTGCGGTTCCAGACTGTGCCCTTAGTTCCATCGGCTGTGAGATGAACTTCGTAGCGGTCGTCTTCCCCACATTTGAACTTCCATGTGGTTTCGCCGCTGGCAAGATATTTAGAGTCTCCGGCTCGACATTTGTAGTCGTAACCGTCATATATCTTGACGCCCATAGAATCCCCAGTGACGGGATCATTGTTCAGGTATGCATGTACACGGATGCATGCTTCGGTACCTGCGGCAAAGGCGAGCAGGCTGCAGCTGAGCGATGAGAACTTCATGACGATTTGTGGGAAGAGATAATTAAGATTTGGTTCAAGTTTTTCTGTAGTGAAGAAGGTAGACCTGAAGATGATGTTGATGAACCTTTTATTTTGTAGGATCTACCTCTCCAATTTATAAGTTTTCCATCGCAGGCAATCCCTTTCTCTCCGCCGTTAAGTGCCCCCAAACATGGCTTATTTCCAAGCTAATTCTTGCAAATCATCATTTCCTGGCGTGGCATACATCTGAATTGGGGAGATTTTGCGCCTGATAGCCCTTTGCCCAGACATTTAGCGGGAATATTTTAACCTGTAAAGCATTGCAACTTTGACTGACATTCTTACTCTGTGAACGATACTAACTATTTCCGAATCTTTTTGGGGGCGGTGGGGGCTGATTCAATCTTGGCCTTTTAATAATAGCAGGAAAATGATCATGTCTGCCAGTCAAAGCAGAATTCCCCGTTTCGGCCCCTTTCTTCAGTCGTACCTGGCTGAGCTTGGCTGGCGGCCTAGCCTTGGCCTCCCCAAGCGCAAAATTACGTACATTGAAGGCCTCTCGATTTGCAGCGTAATAGCAGTTGGAAAACAGATGCTGTAATTACAGTGGCAGAGCCGTGATATTCACCCTCTATTATGAATCCTTTAGACCTCGCAGCCTACGTGGCCCTCACCATAAATCCAACATTTGGGTGCAGTGATAGCCTCTTTTCAGCCTAAGTAGGTACCGATATATAAGCTACATCTATGGGTTTCCTTTGCATAATAAGTAGCACTGGGCAGAGATATGAATGGTTGCTATTGATAGCATAACTGCATAATTGAGCTCCAGCTCAATCACATTTCATCCCTTCTCCCAGTTGAGATCTGTTAATGTCTCATACTATTGACACAGCATTAATGGAATTTAGCGTCAAATGAAGTACCCAGATCTATCAAAATAGAAGATATGATTTCTGACATCTGCCGTTCGTACATTATCATACAAATTTATTTTATTTCGAATACCCCAGCTCATACTTTCTTGGAAACATGGATTCACGACCATGTCATACGCCGGCCTATGAGACCAATATTTCCGCCAAGTTCCATTTCAAGATGTACCGATCTCATCGGCAACACTATTCATGATCACCCTGGGGAGATTCCGCATCGTATTCAATAGACTGCCTGCATTCCATTTATATGACCTTGCGAATACTCTCTAGTTAGTACCATACATCCCGTTTAATCGCTCAAAGATGAATTTGATGAGAATCTCTTCTTTAGAAGGATCGAAGAGATGGCCATATTCATGTGCAATAGATTCATATTACTACTAGTCCACTTGAATCCCATGGTGACTCTGATTATATGATCATGCATGGGATATTTAGCATGCGGGGTCTTCTCCGCATCGCAACAGCCGAGCCGAGGTCGCGCCGGGACAGCCAGTCACCTTCAATTACACTGGAACTTTTCTAAGAAAGAATCGAAAGAATAAATCTAAACAAGATTCAGGATTAAAAGCGTAGCTCATTGACTGAATTGATATATACTAGTATCCTCCCTGCTGCCATTCTCACTACCAGTACTCCAGTTACTCCACTCCACTCATCTTCTCCACTTTACTATTTACTCTACTTTCTTACTCCTACTCTCACTCCTCACCCAACATCCATCTCCAAAATGATCTTCGATCCCAGCCCCCTGGAGCTCCCAGACTCATACGAAAAGGTTCCTACAACGGGCCATGTCGCTTTTTCCCACCACCCACAGGGCTCGCCCACAGTGACCCCTGTTGTGGTTGTCACGCTGAACCGTCCAGCCAACCACAATGCCTTCACCAGCCAAATGGTCCACGATTTCGAGAAGTTCTTCCCCATGTTCGACGTCGATGAGCGTGTCAAGGTCATCGTGCTCACAGGGGCCGGCAAGACATTCTGTGCTGGAGCGGATCTGGACATTGGCTTCAACAACCATGTCGAGAAACGGCCTGCTACCGACCACCGCGACGGGTAAGTACTAGCAACAATCTCAGTCGCCTCTCCCGCATTATTTCTCATACTAACGACTTTACAGTGGTGGACGTGTCGTCCTCGCTATCCATCGCTGCCGTAAACCGACTATTGCAGCCATGCAAGGCTCCGCCGTGGGCGTGGGCATGACCATGACGCTTCCTGCAATGATTCGGTAAGAACTTCTTCTCCAACGACGAACAACGATTCCAAAGCTGACCACTCCCAGCATTGCGTATGAAAAGGGTAAATACGGCTTCGTCTTCGGACGTCGCGGTATCGTTCTGGAATCCTGCTCCTCATACTTCCTCCCACGGTTGATCGGCTTCTCCAACGCGAATTACCTCGTCGGCACCGGCTCTGTTTTCCCTCCTACTTCCAAGCATTTTGGCGATCTGTTCAATGAAACCTTGCCAGATCCATCCAAAGTCCTGCCTCGCGCGTTGGAGTTGGCTACTGAGCTTGCGGAGAACGTCAGCCCGGCTTCGTCGTATCTCAATCGTGCTCTTATGTGGCGGAATCCGGGCACGCCTGAAGAGGCTCATCTGGTTGAATCTCATATTCTTCATCACACCTTTGCTTCTGAGTATGTTCTTCATTGTCTCCGCCTCATTTTTCCTATTACTCACACGAATCGTTCTTAGTGATCAAAAGGAAGGTGTTGGCGCATTCTTCGAGAAGCGCAAGCCAAACTTCCGAGCCAATCTGGATGATAACCCCCCCATCTCACCTGCCCTGGTGGACTGAGGTCGACACTGGCCGGGCTCCCAAGGCCAAGGTTTCTTCGAAGCTGTGATGAAGTGTATCCGGAGTGACGGGGGATAGTGCTATTTTCGATTAATGATTCACATACCCAATCTCCTCAATCTTAGCAAGAATTAATTCAACTCAAAGAGACAAAATGAATGGATTCAAAGAAATAATGCAGCTTGTTAGCGCTACCAAGACTTTCTCAAATACAAATGTAATACCCCAGCTCGCCCGGACCGCTAATGAGGAAAGCAAAACACCGATCCAGAGAATAGGAAAGAAAATGAGAAGAAATTGACGACCAGCTTTATCCTGGATTTGCAAATATTGCAATACCAGGTAAGGTCAACCATATGCACACGAATAGATTTTAGAATAAGGTCAAGTTGCCGAACATGTCGCTCGGTGGGTGTCTAGGCGATGAAGTTGCGGCGTTTACGGTTGTAAGCCCGCTGATCCTTCAGCCATGCTCGGTATCCCTTGACACTGCCGATCTTCTCGCCATAGTAGTCTGGGACGGGGTTGGAGATCGAGTTGGTAGAGGGATCGACGCGGTATTGGCGGATGCGATCGAAGAATTCCTTCTCTTTCTGTAGAAGGGATGAATGTGTTAGATGTTGATGCAGAAGGAGGCAGGCACGACATCACGCAATGGATTCATCACTTACAATCGCAACGGATGGCTTGAATCGACGGTAAACCAATCCCCAGATGCCATTTCCAACCATCGGCCCAGCGAGCCAGCCAACAGCACCACAAGCTGCCGTGGCCATACCAAGAACCACAAATGGGTCCAGGCCCATGACCTGAGCACCGAGGGACTCCAGATCTTGCCCGGACAGAACTTGCACGCCGACAGCCGTCGAGGCGAGCGAAGTTGCAATCGACGACGCGAGGGAGTACCGGCGGCGGGAAGCGCGGAGCTTGAAGAACGAGTCCCAGTCGAGTTTCACCTCCTCCTTGGCAGCAGATGTCGATTGCATGCGCAGGCCAGCCGGCTTCACTAGCGATGACGGAGCAGGACGAGCCTGAGGACGGAGGGCTAGCTGTGCCGATGGGCGAGCGGCCGTCGATTGGGGTCGGACGAGCAGCTTGGATGCCATTTGCGAGCTGGGTTGGATCGAGCGTGTACTTATGAGAGCATTCATAGCGGTCGGGTTCATCCGACCGGCGAATACTGAGCGAACTGACATTGTGAAGGAGCTGGGAGGTGTATGTGATCGCTGCGAGGTCGAATCAAGAGATTGTCCAGGTTCAGGAAGACGGAGGATCGGCGGTTAGTCAGCAGGTCTGCTGACTTGAAGCAACAACAACTGTAGAATTAGTACTACATGAGTGTAGGAAGAGGACAATCCTATGAGTATCAGACTACTACTACCTAAGTAGCAGTAAGCAAAAGACATGGGAGTAAATTGAATTCAGCATTAGGGTTGACACAATGGCTAGCGTAGAAGAGATTTGTTCATCGCTAATGCGGAAATTGAGCATATATTCAAGTAGGTCTAGATTATGAAAACTCCGAAATATGCTACGACTAGTATCAACCATAGCAACACCACTCTCCCGAAATTAAAACCAAAGACAAGGGGATACAATAAATCCAGATCTCCCCGAGCCAAACCCAATGCACCAGAGCCCTCCAATATATCCCATTCATATATTCTATAGCCATATAAATCACCAAAAAGCAAGATTGCTTGCTGGTGACAGCTTGCTCGTACCAAAAGGGTGCAGAGCAAGAGGTCTAGCTTACCTCTACAGGCCATCTGCCCGCCTGATCTCGCCAGGACGAGACTGCGCCGGAATAGGAACACCAAACCCATTGATGCGACCGTGCAGCCACTTGAGCGTCGCGGTACTGAATGCCATCACAACCGCGCTGAGCGAGAAGAGCGCAATGCGACCCGGGGTCGGCAGCTGCTCGAAGATGGGATACGGATACCATCCGTTGTAGGAGAAACACCGCTCCACCCAGAACCAATAGCCAAAGGCAATTGCACCGGACAGTCCGATGGAGGGCAGGACGGTAATTGTCCACGGGGGTGAGAGAAACAGAAGATCAATCAGCATCAATATGGACGGCAATGCGTGAAAGCTTATATCTACCGAAATGAATTAGCAAACAAGCAGCCCCCATGAAAGCAGGTTAGCGGGTCCCTGCGAGCGGACCCCCCTGAGGAGGCCCGGAGTTTAGCCACGTACCGGCATCGAGAGGGATCACAGCCCAATCGGGAACGACGAGACGTTCATCGATCTAAAACTCAATTAGATAAAGGGTTCCCGGATCAGGTGGGCGGACGAAAAAAAAAGCGGTTGACACTTACCAATCTCAGGCCCCAGTAGAGAACGCTGATCAGTACCTCCAGCGGCGCACTACACACTGACAAGAGGTTTTTGATCAAGAAGAGGCGTCGGGAAAGTGTCACATCGGCAAGAATTGCAAAAATAAAGGTGAGAGTCGACAGACTCAGGCCAATGACGGTCAAGTACTGGAAGTGCCAACCATATGCTTCGTTTCTAAGATGGTCATCAGCATTAGATCCAAGCCGAGTAAATCCGACGCTCTTTCGGGAAGACATACGCGTGGTTAGGGTTTTCATGCATACTATATCATGACGTTAGCGTTAATCTTTACGTAAATTGATGGACCGAGCAACATCTTCGATGTACTTACTATTTGAAAGACCAGGTAAAGCTTGCAAGGCCGGTCACCTGAATAGGGAGTCAGCATTTCAGCTCCACTAAGAAGAGGAATAACCAGATAACGAGGTGAGAAACAGAAGACGGAAGCCAAAAAAGAACAGCAACGTACATGAATCAAAGTAGAGATACCCCGAGAAGGGCTGTGTAGCCACTGCAAGGGGTGCTTCTCGATCAGGGCACGAGACATGGTTGAGGAAATGAAGGTAGATAAAGACGAGACAGGAAACTAGGAACCAACCAAAGTCATCGCGGACTGTCGGGACCTTCCCAGCGCCCGCACCTTCCGAGCCCCCCGGGCCCCCGCGGATCGCGCCTGCCACGCCTGCCACTTCCACAGTGTACAACTCCGTGCACGACCACGTGACCCGGCCTGCCGCGGCATCCCGTCCCGGATTAAATCGTTCCGATATTCCGGTGGATGACTGATCCTTATCACCAGGTTCCCCACACTTTCTTAGGAGAGATACCCATTCTCTCGTCTCGAATTTCCATTGCGTCTTTTCTCTCTTGTTCATCTGACAAGTGCATGGTCTGTAGGTGTCTTTGAACCTACCAAGTGGGCCTTCCCCAGAATCCCCCGTTTTTTTCCCACCCCCAGACCCGTGAGGGATCGTCACAATCGACCCTGGTCACATACTTTGAACGTTGTTTCTGCCGAGCTGCACCTGCAGCTTTTTCTCCGAGTTTAATCTCTTTCCAAGGCACATCTCCCTCCCACACCTCGATGTGCTTGTCTACTAGGTGTGGGTGTCTGGTCGATTTTCGTTTCATTGCTACCTGGGGCCATCGCAGTTCCCGTCACAGAAAGCGGTCCGATCTGTGTGCTTCGTGAGGTGGCTGTATCAGGTTTGAGAAGCACGTAACCTGTATATGGAAAGGGTCAACAGTGTACCGTGTATAGAAATTTGGAGACTGCTCTGACAATTCCCCTTCTTCTTCTCCTTCTTCTTCTCCCCTTTCCCCACTTCTCATTTTCTTCTTGTTGTTTTGAATCTTCGCCCTCACCCTCGCCTTCTGCCTTTCGCCACTTTCGGGCAATGCCTCGTCCAAGAAGACCTGGCGCGCCAGAGCCCAAGCGGAGAAGTCGCAAAGGATGCTGGTAAATGATCTATGCCTCTCAATTGTTGAATCTCCCAACTAATGACTGTTGCAGGCCATGTAAAGCACGGAAAGTTAAATGGTAAGAATGCAGGCATCCTGTGTCAACAACAACAACACCCTTTGGCTGATTCTTTTGTTCTCGCAGCGGAGAAGAGAAGCCGATTTGCCTCAATTGTCAACGGCAGGGAGAGTCATGCGATTATAGCGTCCGCCTAAATTGGGGTGGTCGGACCAAAAGAGCCTCTGTGGACTCACCCAACTCTCAATCTAGTGGATATGGAGGGACGTTGATCGGGTTTGATCCTATTCCAACAAGTGCCGCTAAGCCAATCCAACTACCCACGCCGGGAAGCAATCCCACATCATCGGATGGCTTTGTAAATTTCCGATCTGGAGACTTGGGCTCTCCCGGTGGAATCTCACCCGGTACAAACACCCATTTGGGTATATTTGACTCCCCAAAGCCTCAGTCCGGCTCCGAGGGAATTAATTCTCCATCTCAAGCAGAGATACAGTTTTCCTCGGCGTGGGCTGATCACTCTCCCATGGCGACTGCGGGATCATCGGGTCCTATGTCAGGATACCCATTTGGTCCCTCTTTCCATGGGTCATTTTCCGCAGCGGCAGATCAAGGGGTCGGGCTTCGATCTCTCTCTGCTTTTGCATTCCATGCCAACTCAGTATCACAACCAGAGTCTTTCCTTCGTGACTCGGTTGATGAGACAAACCATCCATCCGATCATCATCAGAACGGAAACCAAACGACCCACGGATTGGGATTTTCCATAAATGGTATGGAACACCGGGATGATCACCCCCGTGATATTTCCAGTCATGGCGATATTCTAGCCTTGCTCGGATCTCACGAGCTGACAGGCGGATCCCAGGCCACGGCGTCTCCGATGCATGGTCAAAGGGGACTCGATTTGATGAATGCCCCGCGGAGCGAGTCACTGCATGCCTTCCATCAGCCAGACGAAGAGCACTCTGTTAGAGAGTCATTCCTGGCGCAAAGCAAATGGCAAGCCTATTTGACCAGCGTAACCGATAACTACGGCATGGATTCTGGGCGTCCGGATCGAGACCTTGCCTTCAACAATGACCACGCCGCCATTGACATCAACTCAGCGCTGGACTCGATTACCACAAAGAGCCGAAGTGGCGACAGTGCTTCCCCCAGTGTACCTTGGGCTTCGCCTGCGACACAAAATGCCGATTACAGCGGGTACTATGCGTCTCCAGTACCAATCAACATTCCAAGATATCTATCTCCGCTTCCACGAACGCTGTTGGATAACCCCATCAATCTGATGTATTTTCATCACTTCATCAACCACACGTCGCGTATGTTGGTACCGCATGACTGTGAAAACAACCCTTTCTTGTCTGTCCTTCCCTCAATGGCCACTGGAGATCCAAATTTGTTGAATCTCCTGCTCGCATATTCTGCCAGCCATCGTGCACGGTACCTGGGCCAGCCTGAACCCGCAAACCGAATTGCACACTGGGTAAGTGAGGTGTTCCCAGCCTTGCGTGTTGCATTGGAGGCTTCTCCGGAAGACATCACAGACAGTCACCTAGCCACGGCGATTCTCTTATTGTCCTTGAAGATCGTGTCTCCTAGCACCTTTGAGGTACCGATCACCTGGCAAAGCCATTTGAAGCTTGCACGAGATCTGTTTCTTGCGCGCAGTGAGCGTATCGCACGGCCGGGTAATCGAATTGGAGCTTTCTTTGCGCGCTGGCTGGGTTATCTCGACACAATGGGAGCACTGTCATGTCGTCAAGCCGGACCACCATTAATGTTATATCATACTGTGTTAGCTGCCTGTCACGGTTCAGACCATCACGACGACTTCACCGTGGACTGCTTCACGGGATTCACCCCACGCACGGGAGCGTTTTTCATCCGGCTAGGTCGTCTTGTACAACAATGTGATAGTGAGCGATTCGATAAGCACGGGAATTTCCGACAGACATGGCATCCCTCAGCGGATGTTGTCATGGAAGCTCAATCAGTTTTGGGAGACATTGAAGGTCTCAGCGAACATGCCCATGCTGACCCCGACCACCACAAAGATGAGTGTGACGATATGATGGCCATTGAGGAGGCATTCCGGTGTGCGGGACTGCTGCATCTGCACCGACGCGTGCTTGGTTCGTCGCCCGATTCTTTCCCTGTGCAAGAAGCCCTCCGCAAGCTTATTGGGGCACTGGAGCGTATGCCAGCCAACGCGCCGCCCGAGTTTTGCTCGTTGTTCCCACTTTTCACTGCTGGCTGTGAGTCGCGAGACGCGGCGCAGCGAACAAAGCTGCTCAATCGGTTCTTCGTGCTGGAAAAGTCTGGCTTAAAGCAGGTGAGCATTCCCTTCAGCTGTATAGTTTTTGATTTCAACAATACTAACGAGCAAATTCCAGATTCAACACGCCCGCCAATTGATGCAACGCTGCTGGGATGACAAGCTTCCGTGGATTGCGCTAGCCGAGGGACAATTTCTCGGGTAATTGATTATTTGGGTATTTGAATAGCAGCTTGATATGGCGACTGGCAATCCTGAACTTCCGCCTCCATTTATTAGGAGTAGTATGAGCGCCTCAATCACGAATAACCGAATAGATGATGTAGCGCAATTAACTCATCAACTTACGATGTTCCACCACGTGCTTCCATTATTCTTGTTCGACTCTAGTGTAATAATTTCTTAAGAGGAGAACACGTTGTGTTGTGTTTGGTGGTGTTTGGTGGTGGTGGGCGTTGGGTGGTTAAGGCAGCCTCGAAGGTGGTTGTCTCGGGAGGTCACTCTCACCTTATCTTCTCACTCACCCTCAACTTTCATCCTCGACCTTCCTTCTATTATCAGAACTTCTTCCAATCCCTTCCTTGCCTAGGTTATACCCTGTCGGAGACAAGCACATGATCTATCTTTCGGCAGAATGAATGACTTCATTCCATCCAATCAGTCGACAGGGACCTCTTACTTGGTGGATGAGTTGGTCGGCGCATTCCAGTATAGCTATTTGGTCCCAAGCAAGTGAGTTGTCACACCAATATAACTTCTTTTCATGTCTCTTTGGCCGTGACTTTGTTCTGATCCAAGTTTGCTTCAGTACTGCGACAAACAATATGGTCGAACATACAATGGGACCAGTCGTTCATCTGGTAAAGCTCTATCTTTTTTTTTGGTTCTGGAGTTTTTCTTTGACTGTCCCATAGGCATCTCCGACTCACCTTGATGATCCCTTCGCCCCGTTAAGCCAACCCGATCCTCACTTCGGAATCCCTCAGGTCGACAAGCGAACTATGGCCAACTTCAAACCCTTCGCTATCTCTGAAAGAACACAAACGACCTCTCAGGAAACCAGCACCTCATCTCAACCAGTGTCAAGCATTCATCGTGACACTAAAGTCCCCTATCGAGTCTCGACCCCGGTAGGCTGGCTTGGGAAGCCCCGTGGTTTGGAAACAACCTCACACGCACCGAGTTCTGTCCCAAAGCCTATTATTGGCGAACAATTTGTGGTGCAAGTTCCTGCTGAGTCCGTTAGTGTTCCTATGCTTGAGGTAGAGCGCACCGGACTCAGTACAGCTCCGCCTACCTGGACAGCCTTGCCCCAGTGGAGCATGCGTCGTTTATTCAGCGATAGCAAGGAAGCAAAGCTCGCGGAAAATTTCCAGTACAATGCCAATATCGCTGGAATCAAGCGGTCCCCCTTATTTTTCGGGCCAGGCCTCCGGTATATTCCATCGGAACGCGACAAGAACAGCAATATCTATCGCACTGTGGTGGTGGAGGGTTTACCCCCTTGGGTCACCGTTCACGAAGTCTTGTCCCGTGTCGAAGGCGGCAAGATCGAATCCGCCGTTTTGGCTGATACCGCGGTTATTATGGGCGGTTACCCGACAATGATGATCCGATTTGTCCTGCAGAGCGGAGCACAGGAATTCCTGCGTCGAACTCACGGCGCTCTCTTCCTTGGATACTGGCCCACTCAAGTCCGTCAGGTCGGCACCCCGACCTACACCCTCGGCGAGGAAATGGACAAGCAAATCAACCAATGGGGGCGTACTCGCTGCCTAAAAGTTCATTCCGAACATCTGGAACTGCGTGGGTATCTGCGTCAGGTTCTATACGAACCGGACTGGGCCGAGTGGATTGAATTCACGCTGGAGAATGCCTTGGCTGGAACCAGTATTCTCCATTTCACATCGATCAAGATGGCGATCGTCGCGTATGGCATTCTGCATTCGACTCGGCAATTTTCCTCTGCGGATCTTGAGTTCTGCCATGACCCCTGTGCGGTCTAGGCCATTGTGATCCAAATCCCTTTGTGGTTGCTTATCTGAGATCTCGAGACTTCAGGAGACAGTCGGCAGCGGGCGATTTGATGGAAATAGGACAGGCTAGTAGGCAAAGGTGATTAAGCATGGAGTTGAACCATTCGAGCGCGGAACGCGAATCATTTCAAAGGAACCGGAGGAGGTTAGCAACTGGCAGAGACGAAGGACGGAGAAATACAGCTAGTTTTCCGCTATTCGCGACAGATCAAAGACATTAGGCTGTATGCCTACAAAATCGAGGATTTCTTTATTGAAATTCCCATTCCATGATAAGTAGCATCCGTGTTCAGGAGAAAAGGCGCATCCCCGCGGCGTGTGTTTGCCGACGGTTTCCCGGACTCGCTAGGATGCAAGATGCCGAGCTCCCCACACTCCGCGGGGTGGGTCTGATTTGATCTGATCTATACTTAGGCTTGGCTTGATGTTTATATGTATGTTCTTATTCTTGTAACTGAGAGTATACACATGTTAATTTGGTAGATTTCAATCTGTTCTTTTCGGATCGAGACTATTTCTAGCATTGAGTGTAACTGGCTCCCGAGGTCTCTCAATATGAGAATTCCCAATTTATGCACTAAGTAAAGAAGTACCAGGTATTAACTAGTACTAATAGTAATAAGAAATACATATCAAAGTAGGCACTCGATTTCTTCTCTGGTTCAAAACAAAGCCAGAGTTTGAACCTAGAAGTAACTCCCTCACCTACTCCATATATTGTGGATACAATGCACTCATTGTGAATGTCCACGTCGGGGCTGACTTGCCCTAATTCCCCGCATACCCCGACCAACCCCCCACACTTTACATCCAATGAAAACATCCTTGGCACCCCAACTCCTCTCTTATCCTATTACCTCCCATAGAATCGAACTAAATAAGCTGCACAATCCCTCCATTTATCCATCTCCACATTCCGCTGGTCCGCTGCTCATTGTCCTCCGCTCAACCCTCCCACGCTGATCGTACCCGTATCTCTCGACCTACTGCCGATCGCAGGGATGATCCCTTCTCCACCGAGATGCACGCAGTCAAAGCTAATGCAGCGCAAACCATTGGGTCTCAATGGTACGAAGTCTGTCCGTTCAACAGCCCCCTACCTGCCAAATCCGATGCAACCCTGATTGGCTCGAGCTCAGAGATCCTGGTAACAACGTGCGGATTTATAAGCTCGCTTGCCCTGCCCCCGCTCTTCTTGTTTTTCAGTCTGCTAGCTAGGTTGTGCTTTCTTTTATTCCCTGCAGCTGCATCGGTGCGGTGACTTCATCTGTTGTGACTCCTGCCCGTGCCTGTGCCTGTGTCTGCTAGTCATGGCTACATCTCCCGAGACAGAAAAGCCGGTTGACGCCACCCGCCTATCTGATGCGGAGAAAGACCTCAAAACTGAGAGCAATGAGAGACTCGCTGGGTTCGAGGACCCAGACGCGGGCTTGAGTGAGGAGGAAAGGGCAAAGATCGTACGAACTTCCATTCCAACCATATCATCTCATCCGATCGTATCCCTGTCTTGCCCAGTCTTGCTTCTGCATGTCGATCGATGCAGGTACCCTAACCTCTATTTTGCTTTTGCAGGATCGCAAGCTTCTCTGGCAGCTTGACATGCGTCTGGTGCCATGGTTGAGTCTACTGTACTTGGTCTCATTCCTTGATCGGTAGGTTTCTCGAAATGAAATCTCTACGCCCCCATACATCCCTTGACCAAACAACTTATTTCGTCTCAGAACAAATATCGGAAATGCAAAGCTTGTCGGTCTACAGGATGATCTCAAATTAAGCGGCGCCCAATACAATGCCTGTCTTACCATCTTTTTCGTCTCATACTCCGTCTTCGAGCCATTGACCAATATCCTACTCAAACGGCTGCGTCCGAGTGTCTTCATTCCTCTTATCATGATCGCCTGGGTGGGTCTATACACATACACAAGTTTCGATTAAAACCTCGCTCACGTATTCTAGGGTATCTGTATGACCTGCATGGGCGTGGTAAAGAACTACTCCGGCCTCATGGCTGTTCGGTGGTTCCTCGGTCTCAGCGAAGCAGGCCTCTTCCCCGGCGTGAGTTACTTCCTTTCATGCTGGTACAAGCGTTCTGAATTCGGCGTTCGGATGGCGATTTTCTTCTCCGCCGCCGCCCTCGCCGGGTCCTTTGGCGGGCTGTTAGCAGCGGCCATTGCGAAGATGGACACGATTGGTGGTCTGGCGGGGTGGTCGTGGATCTTTATTCTGGAGGGCCTACTGACGATTCTGATTGGGATTGCTTCTTTCTGGCTCATTCATGATTTTCCGGATCAGGCTAAGTTCTTGTCGGCGGATGACCGGGCTCGCGTCTTGCGTCGTCTTGCGGCGGATCAGCAGTCTAGTGCTGAACATGAGGAGTTTAAAATGGACTATTTCTGGGCCAGTGTGAAGGATTGGAAGACTTATACTGGTGCCATCATTTATATGGGGGCTGATGGGACGCTGTATGCTTTCTCCTTGTTTGTTCCGACTATTATCAGTGAACTGGTGAGTGTTTTCTCAACCCCTTCGGCTTTTATACGAGTTTTCGCTAACCCCTTTGCAGGGTTATAGTTCTATCAAGGCGCAGCTGCTCAGTGTACCTCCCTACGCAGCCGCTGCTGTGCTGACCGTGACGGTCGGCTTCATTGCGGATCGTACTAAGCAGCGTGGTATCTGCAATATGGCCGTCTCTTTGTTGGGGATGGTAGGCTTTTCCATGCTGTTGGGCTGCGAGGCTCCCGGTGCCCGGTATGCTGGATGTTTCCTTGGGGCTATGGGTATCTACCCCGCCATTGCGAACACGATTTCGTGGACGAGTAACAATACAGAGGGTCAGTTTGGGCTTTGATTCCATTATCTACTATACTGTCGCAGTATACTAACGCGGTTGTAGGTGTTTACAAGCGAGGTGTCTCTCTGGGTTTCATCATTGGATGGGGTAACCTCAACGGTATCGTCTCCTCCAATATCTACCGTGACGAGGATAAACCGCGCTACTATCCGGGCCACGGCACTGTCCTCGCCTACCTGGTTCTCTTCGAGTTCGGTGGATCTTTACTGCAATACATCCTGCTGAAGCGGGAGAATGCCAAGCGCCGGCGCGGCGAGCGCGACCACTGGATCGAGGGGCTGAACCAGAGTCAGATCGAGTTGCTGGGTGATAAGCGGCCGGACTTTTTCTACACCATGTAAATATGTGTAGATAGGTCAAGTCAAGTGAATCCAGGTCAGGCCAGGTCAGAACAATGATCGAGGGTATGGTCTGTTGAGATCCCAAGTTGAATCGATGAATGCAAATATAATATCGAACGTGACTGAGGCTGGGACGCTGGCATTTTCATCATGTCGTAGCTAGATTATATGTGTGGATTGCGCGATCATTCCAACCGTTGGTAGCAATTGACAATATCCTGGTCTTTCTTTGGGCCCTTAACGACGTGCCGGCTTGCCCAGGTCAGGACCTCGCCCGTCTCGGGGCGAATGCGAAAGGAGTAAGCCGTACGGTACATATCATTGATGCAGAGGTGGTTTCCTTGCGCCTCGAGGACGGTTGTTGGGCCGGATCCCTCGGTGATCGGCGGGGTTGGCGGCTTGACAAACTCAGAGTTGGACTCGGCAGTAGCTTGAGCCTGTTGTCCTCCAGAGAGAGTTGTTTCATTGAAATCGAAGTTGTGGAAAAGGTAATCGGCCTCGTCGGGGCCCGGGGCGACCTTGACGAACCACACGCTAATCCGGCCGGACTCATTTGTGCGCCAGATATATTTTTTTCGTCCAGCGCAGTCCAGCTACAGCTGCGGCACCGCCGATTGAACTGGGGATCTCGCCTTCTTCGCTGTAGAGCCAGTCGCGGTCGGAGGGGAGGGCGGAGAAGGTGGCAGTGCCCCGCAGTTCGCCATTAAAGTCGAGGGGGGTTATCGCTGCGCAGGACGCGGGTGAGGGACCAGCGGGTATTGCCAAGGGACCCGAAGAGAGTGGCGAGGATTTGACGTGAGGGCATGGTGGTGGTGCCTGGGTGCAATGGGTTGAATGGGTTGAATGGGGGAGGTGAGGGAAGAGCGGGAGAGCGGCTGTCTATCGGAGTACTCCACTCTACGGATGAGGCATTCAGATGATGGCTATTGACACAGATTCGGAAACATCGTATTAGTAGAAAAGTAAAAGTATTGGCTATTCTTAGCCGATAAATCATTTACTAATAATCTCGAGCACTTCAAGTTCAACTTGAAGCTCCGAGTCGGTGTTGAGGTCCTCAGGTGAGTCTGCGAACCTTGGAAGAAGAGCTACTTAGTACCATCTGGGTAAATAGTAGGCGTTATATATCCGACTCCCGAGCTCGGACCCCCCAACAACTTAAGTTGAAGTTGAACTTGACTCGGGCGGAACCTTGGAGCCAACTTGAAGCAAGTTCAAGTTGGAACTGGAAGTAAGCACTACTAGTACTAGTAGCAGTACTACTACTACGACGACCAAACTACCTAGGTACTAGTAGTGCCAGTGGACAGTGATTCCCCATTTTCAGGATTCCATGCACTTCCCTAATTAGTCAGGTGTACTGGTAGTAAATAAAATTATTACTCCGCAGATGATGGATCTGATAATGCAGCACGATCCTAGCACGGAATACTAGTAGTAGATATGTATAATGAATGTAGTATTACACTGTTGGTAGGTAAGTGGCATCATGGATTGAGTTTGACCCTCACTTCATTTTAACTGCAACACCATGTGGGTGGACTCGTGGGCGAGAATCCTCGTGCGGGACCGATTCAAGGACTCGGACGCGATCCGAGCGCAGGAGATATAGAAGAGATAGTGGGACATTATACTCCATAATGTTTGTGAGTGTATGCTGTATACTAGTTACTATGTTATAGTTAACAGTGATACCTAGATAGTCCGTATAGAGTACTGTACATTCCTTTCGTCCAGCTGCATTCCACAGGGATGGCGGGAATGGAGAGGTCAACAAAACAAGCTCCAAGTCGATCAGGGCCAATCGGTAGAAATACCTAGGAATTTAGTACTCTAGTTAGTATTCTAGCTAGTTAGTACTCTAGTACTCTGTTCTAGTACTACCATACTTTGGTAAGATTAACGGGCGATCAGCAGTGGGCCACTGTTTGGGGTTGATGACTGCCATCATATCTAGTACAGAGTACTCCGTAGTGATAACTGAGTTATATCCTAGAGTAAATAGTATAAATAATAAAATACTTAATACCATATAGATCTAGATATAACTACTCCGTATATAATATAATATTAATACAATACCATACCAAGAATACCAGAAAGACTAGTCGCAAGCGGAAGGCCCCAAATGCGGGCGAAAACAGGCAAGCGCGACCCCGAAATCCCCAAATAGCCACGGCTCACTCGGCCCTTTCGACTTTCCTTTTTGTCTGGTTGCTTTTGACTTCTTACATCCATCTCTCATTACTCGTTGATACCCTACTCCGAGTCTCTGATATGGCCGGATCGCCCTCTATTCGCCACTAAATCCTGCATTTCAATCTCACCCCATCACCATGACCCTCCTCCGGGCCTGCCTGCTTTTCGCCTGCACCTCCACCCTATTCACCACCACCTTGGCTGCCTCGAAACCTATCCCCACGAGCGCCTCATCCACCTTCCCACAATGCGGTATCGACTGCAGTATCTTGAAATCCGCACAGGATAGTTGTGTCGCCGGCGCCGAATCCACCTGGAATTCCTGCTTCTGCGAGTCCTCTCTGCTCACCACGCTGAAAACCTCCGGCGCTATCTGCAGCAACTGCGACTCCTCCGACCAGACCACTCTCTCCAGCTGGTACAATAGCTACTGCAAATCCGGTGGCAGCACGACTAGCACCACCAGTACTGCGACTGCCGCGACGGCCACCACCGGAACTTCTACCTCGACCGCGACCGCCGCGTCCAGCGGCTCTAAGAATGCCACCACCGAAGAAAACAAGTCTTGGTAAGACCTGAAGCCCCACCCACTATCCGCCAACCCAACCCTTTCCTATTTACAGCGCATACATGGTGTCATGGGATCCTATGAACCATCATTCAGACGATCGCTGTAAACTATTGTCCCGAAAAAGAGACCTATCATGCTAATCCTTCCCGATCCGCAGGTGGAGCACCCACTACCAATGGGTTGTCATGCTGATCGTCCTGGTCATCGGCTTCTCGGCCCTCGCCGTCTTGGGCGTTTGGCTTAAACGTCGCTACGAAGCGAGACATCCCGGTCTCTACGCTCCCAACGCCGCCAGCAGCAGCGGTGCCCTGCCTGTTAAACCTGGCTCGGTTAATGATTCGGGTGTGCTGAGCCCCCCCGCCACCAGGTTGGGGGTCCCAACCGCCCGTCTCCCAGACCCAAGGTGCTGGTGTTGGTCCTGTGCAGTCGGGTTCACTGGCTAGTTCCTCCCGTACTGATATCGCGCCGAAGGGAGTTGTTCCTCCTTCCAGGTTACAGAAGGGTGCGCCCACAGCAGCGGCAGATGTGGAGATTCGACAACTCCAAAGGTAATCGATAATCGATGATCGGTTATTTATGGATTTGACCGCTCCTTTTCCTTTCATTTCTGGGAACCCGCTTTTCAGGGGAAAAGCAGGGGGAAAACAATACTTTGCTTATTTTATTACACCATCCTGCGCGTTATGTTTGATATATCTGATCTTCGGTGCTGCCTCGGGACCCTCCTTTACGTGTTGCTTCGTTCCACTCTATTGCATTTCTCGGCGTTTTGCGTGGTCATGGGGTTAAGGCATTGCACGGTTTTTTTTTCCCCCTTTCGATACTATCTAATGCTAACACTGGTCTATCTCGTTACGGATTACTCCGTATACAACCCGCGGATTTCTTGCTCGGTTAGGAGGTGCATCGTACATATACTTCTACTACTTTTACTACAATTTTTGCGTGGCTCGTCCAAAATGGAATGAAATGAATTTCAGCGCTTTCATCTCGCATATATTTACTGTACATTGTAGATTTGATCCTCATCTGCATCTCCTCTCCTCTCGCATCACGAAATGGTAATGCTAACAATCTTGATGTCGACCTCGGGCTTCTCCTTGAACGTCTTCGTATTTTCAATCTTGTGCACCACGTCCAGACCTTGCACCGCCCGTCCAAAGACCGTATGTTTATTATCCAACCAAGGAGTTTTCTCGGTTGTGATGAAGAATTGACTGCCGTTCGTATTGGGCCCGGCATTGGCCATGGAAAGCGTATACGGCTTGTCGTGCTTCAAGCTGGAGAACTCATCATTGAACTCGCCGCCCCAGATCGACTCGCCTCCGGTACCGTCGCCTTGCGGGTCACCACCCTGGATCATGAATTTGCGGATGATACGATGGAAAATGGTGTTGTTGTAGTAGCCCCGTCGAGCGTGCGTGACAAAATTCTCCACAGTACGAGGGGCAGCGGAGGGGTATAAGCGCAGGTGGATGTCGCCCATGGTGGTGTGTAGGACGGCGGCTGTTCCGCTCTCGCCGGCTTTGGGGGCATTTGATTCGTGTCCTCCGGATGTTTCGGTCGGCTTCTCGTTCTGCACATCGCGCGATGACTTGGATATCTCCGTTTCGTTGGTGAACATGTAGAATCGGACCTTGGCGAACCCGGTGCTAATTAGGATTGGATCACGCTCCTCAGCTTCTTGTAGTAGCGGGTTGCTACTGGCTGCCATTGATACAGTCACCACGCCCTTGCGCAGGGGCTGGCCTTGGTAGAGGGTGAGGTTCAAGGCGCGGAATGGGTCCTCTCGGCCGTAGACTCGTACCACTCGGTTGGTGTAGGTGTTGATACACTTGATTCCGTATAGTGATCCGTAGAGCAGGAAGTGTCCTGACTCGTCAAAGGAGACGTTGACCTTGTTCCGGGTCGCTTCTCCTTCCAGTTCGCGCTCCACGCCTAGTCTTCGTCCAAATTCTAGCTCGTCTAGTTGATAGGGTGCTGTGCCGGCTTGTTGCATATCTGTAATGGTTGCTATTGACTCGTCGTATGTGCGGTAGAGCTTGCCAGTTGCGAATTCGAATACTCGCACTTGGCGATCCGGGAACGAGACAGTTGCGAATTGCTCGCCAGACGGGGAGATGGTGATCGCGGTGGGGACGGACTTGGCTTTCTTGAAGGCGAAAAGGTTGGTCGATGATTTCAGCTCGAAGACATTGTCTGGTTTCTCAAATGATCCATCTCCCGCTCTCCAATACTCAACCATACCCGACTCATCCGCAGAAACCACACAGTCGAATGCATTGTTGAAGGCAATTGCTGCCACGGGCTTGCGGTGGACGGAGGTGACGGTGTGCAGGGGTTGCGGGTTCTCGCCACGGCCGTCGAAGACTTGAATCTTGTTGCTGGACTCGTCGGTCACTGCGAGGAGAGGGAGAGATGCGCCTCGTCGATGCACCCAGCAGATACACCGGGGTACGAACTCGATACTATACATTGCCAGAAGATCTGTTCTAATGAGCGCCGAGCAAAGACAACTCCAGATAGCTTAGAGATACTCACCAAAAGTAATCACATCAAAAATCTTGACCGTCTTGTCTGTGCCCGCCGTTGCGAAGCTGCGGCCATCGGCGCTGACAGTCGTGCTTCGAATCTCGCCTGGATGGGCACGGAACTCCTTCACAAACTCGATACCGTCCGCTACCTTCTTCCAAAATTTGACCACGCCGTCAATTGAGCTGGTGATTAAGAAATCGGTGAATGGAGTGACCGTCACGAAGGACAATTGCTCCTTGTGCATGAGTGATTTGGAGTACCGCGGCGAGGTGGGTAGCGCAGTCACGTAGACCTTCTCAAATGGCAGCTTTCTCCGCTTCTTCTTGGGTGCAACCTCCGAAGGGAGCGCTGGACCGAAGTCATCATCGGAAGAGTCGTCGTCGGCTATCATGAAGTTGATCAATCGTCTGTGTAAAGCTATCGAGAGCTCTTCGGAGGTGGGTCACTCACCATTGTCGTTGTCCTCCACGGCGGAATGCGGTCGCTTCAGTGCCGCATTTACAGCGAGATCTTCAGAGTCTGGCATTTTCCTCACTTCGTCAGACAGGAGCAGCTTCGAAGAATCAAGAAGTCAAGGGAAGCGCATCGCGCGGGCGGTGGCCTTTGCGGGCAGAAGAAGCTCGGACCACCTGACTTTTCTCCTTTCCCTTCAAGTTCCCCCCCACTGTTGACGAGTTGCTATCATCTTTCAGCAGTCGACACATTTGATCGTTACGGTCGATTGTTCGTTTCAAGCTGATCAAAATGGTATGTGTTGGATCGATTTGATTCTTCGAAGTGGGTATTTCTCAGCTAACCAACTCTTTGCTTGTCATAGGCTTCCTTCGGCAATCCCACACAGATCTTTGCGGACGACGTAATTGAGGAGAAGGGCGAGAATGCTCGTCTTTCCGCCTTTGTCGGTGCCATCGCCGTTGGCGACTTGGTGAAGAGTACCCTCGGTCCCAAGGGAATGGACAAGATTCTGCAATCTGCGTACGTGGAGGGGTTCCCAATTTCTTATCAAGCTAGTGCGGGCGCGGGCATTGCATTTATACCACAGGTGTACTAACTATCGTCTTGGGATATTTAGATCCACTGGCGAAATTCTAGTCACCAACGACGGTGCTACCATTTTGAAATCGATCGCTCTGGACAACGCCGCCGCGAAGGTCCTGGTCAACATTTCCAAGGTTCAGGACGACGAGGTCGGTGATGGCACAACATCCGTCACTGTGTTGGCCGCCGAGCTCCTGCGCGAGGCCGAGAAACTTGTCAACTCTAAGATCCACCCCCAGACCATTATCGATGGTTACCGGATAGCCAGCAAGGCCGCCCTCTCCGCTCTTGAGTCTGTGGCTGTCGACCGCAGCAAGGACCCCGAGGCCTTCCGCAAGGACCTGCACGCCATCGCCCGTACCACACTGAGCTCCAAGGTGCTCGCCCAGGACCGCGAACACTTTGCCCGTCTCGCCTGCGAGGCTGTCCTTCGCCTGAAGGGCTCCACCGACCTCAGCCACATTCAGATTATCAAGAAGGCCGGCGGCAAGCTGAACGACTCATACCTGGATGAGGGATTCATTATGGACAAGAAGATTGGTGTCAACCAGCCCAAGCGGTTGGAGAACGCCAAGATCCTGGTGGCCAACACCGCCATGGACACGGATAAGGTCAAGATTTTCGGTGCTCGTGTCAAGGTTGACTCGACCGGTAAGCTGGCCGACCTGGAGAAGGCCGAGCGTGAGAAGATGCGCGCCAAGGTTGAGCAGATCAAGTCCCACGGCATCAACTGCTTCGTCAACCGTCAGTTGATCTACAACTGGCCCGAGCAGCTGTTCACCGAGGCCGGCATCATGTCCATTGAGCACGCCGATTTTGACGGCATTGAGCGTCTGGCTCTCGTGACTGGCGGTGAGATCGCCTCGACCTTCGAGCACCCCGACCAGGTGAAGCTGGGATCTTGTGACCTGATCGAGGAGGTTATCATTGGTGAGGACACCTTAATCAAGTTCTCCGGTGTGTCTGCCGGCCAGGCCTGCACCATTGTGCTGCGCGGTGCCACCGAGCAGCTGTTGGACGAGGCTGAGCGCTCGCTGCACGATGCTCTCGCCGTCCTGTCACAGACCGTGAAGGACCCGCGGGCTACCCTGGGTGGAGGTTGCGCCGAGATGGTGATGGCCAAGGCTGTCGAGCACGCTGCGCAGAACACCACTGGTAAGAAGCAGTTGGCGGTAGACGCTTTCGCACACGCCTTGAAGCAGCTGCCCACCATTCTGGCTGATAATGCGGGTCTGGACTCCAGTGATCTGGTGACCCGTCTCCGCCAGGCCATCAACAACGGTATGACCAGCTCCGGACTGGACCTGTTGACACCGGGTGGAGGTATTGCTGATATGCGCGAGTTGGGCGTCGTGGAGGCGTATAAGTTGAAGAAGGCGGTTGTTTCGTCGGCCTCGGAGGCTGCAGAGGTAAATTCTCACCCTGGACAGATTCCCACCACGATTGAGAGATTGATATACTAATACTACTCTGTAGCTTCTTCTCCGGGTGGATAACATCATCCGGGCGGCGCCTCGCCGTCGTGAGCGGATGTGAAATGAATGATGAGATGTGATGGGATATGTATCTTTCCCAGACCAAAATTCCGTACATTAGATGAAGCCCTAATATGGCAATGAATAGTACCATGCTCATGGTTACATGGTTCCTCTACTAGTACTTAGGAATTATTTTCGTAGCATGCCCAGGTGAATTGAAATTAATTAATCGTATCATAGATGCCTACTCTCTACTGCTACTCTACTACGGGGAGACTGGGATACTCTCCGAATGACTCCAACTCCGACTCCAAGCATCATTGGAAGGCGCGGGGGTGCAAGTGGAGACTTTCCAGTTGGAATGTTATCTGAGTCCCCTCATCGGTTACTCCCAGGCTTGAATCACCCTCGGCTTCTCTGTGTTACTCATGGACATCACTCCGAGTTACCTTTATAAAAACCCTGACCCCACCCCATTCTGCCCTGAACTCCGCCGATCCACTTTCTCTCATCATGCCTCTCAACTCCAAAGCCGTCTACGCCAAGGCGAACGCCAATTTTGTGCCTTTCGCCAGTCGCCGGAGTACCGTCCACAGTTCCAATGGCATCGTCGCGTGCACTCAGCCTCTGGCTGCCGCTGCCGGCCATCGCATTCTGACCCAGGGTGGTAATGCTGCGGTATGTCATGTCATACCAGTGCCCGGACAACTTGAAGATGAGAGCAATATCACTAATTTAGACCTCTCTATAGGATGCCGCTGTTGCCGTTGGTAAGTCTGGATCATCACACACAGGAATAGAAAAGAACTCGAAGATCTCAAGCTGATAACTACAGCCGCCGCCATCAACATGTCTGAGCCTGGCTCTACCGGAATCGGTGGCGATATGTTCTGCCTTTTCTACAACTCCAAGACCAAGAAAGTCCATGCCTTAAACGGCTCTGGCCGTTACCCCGGCGCGGGAAGTCTGGAAAAAGTCCGCCAGGAGTTGAAGCTCGCCCCCGGTGACTCGGGCAGTATCCCTATGCTGAGCGCGTTGGCCGTGACAACCCCCGGTGCCGCTGCTGGCTGGGTGGACACAGTCGAGAAGTTTGGCAGTGGCAAGCTTTCCCTAGAACAAATCCTGCAGCCGGCTATCGAGATGGGCGAGCAAGGATTCCCCGTCTCCGAACTTTCCTCTCGTGGAGTAAGTAACCCCGCCTGCTTTCCCCTCACCCGCAAGCTTGTTAACCCCCACCAAGTGGCACGGCTCCGAGGATGATATTCGAAATGCGTCTCCCAATTTCCGCGAAATGCTGAAGGATGATGCCTCGGCCAAGGATGGTGTGCGTCCCCCGCTTCCGGGCGATATTATGAAGAACCCCACATTGGCGAAGACCTTCCGCACTCTCGCAGCTGAGGGCAAGAAAGGCTTCTATCAAGGTCGCATTGCCGAGCAGATCGTCAAGGTGATACAAGATCTTGGTGGTTACATGACTCTAGAGGATTTGGCCTACCACGCCGAGGTTGGCACCCAAGAAGTCGATCCCATCTCACTCGAGTTCACCGGACAGGATATTGTGTCCAAGCAGACTCCCGGAACTGATGGTAGCCCCAATAAAGGCGTCCGAGTTTGGGAACACCCACCCAATGGACAAGGTATTGTGGCACTCATGGCCCTCGGTATCATGGAAGAGCTCGAGCGAACAGGCAAGATCCCCAAGTTTCGTGAGGATCAGCACAATTCCCCCGAGTATCTACATGCCGTCATTGAGAGTCTGCGGATTGCTTTCGCTGATGCCGCATGGTGGGTCACTGACCCCGACGTGGAGAAGGTTCCCTCGCAAGGCCTACTAGCACGCGATTATCTGGCTGAGCGCGCGAAACTATTCTCCCCCGAGCGTACATCCGATCTTCTAGACCACGGCAGCCCTGCCCACAACCACTGCGATACCGTGTATTTCAACGTGACAGACCGCGAAGGAAATGGTATTTCTTTCATCAACAGCAACTATGCCGGCTTTGGCACTGCCATAATTCCTGCTGGTTGTGGTTTCACCCTGCAAAACCGTGGAGCCAACTTCTCCCTCGAGCCGGGCCACCCGAATGCACTGGCACCGCACAAGCGACCATACCACACCATCATCCCTGCACTCATTACCAATGTCTCTGACGATTCTTTGCACTCCGTATACGGTGTAATGGGTGGATTCATGCAGCCTCAGGGTCACGTTCAAGTTCTTCTCAACATGCTCGCCTTTGGTTACCACCCACAAGCAGCCCTGGACTCCCCCCCCGCATCTGCCTCGCCGCACCGACAGAGGAGGACCAGGACCGTACCGTCTATGTGGAAGAGGGCATTAGCGAAGCTACCGTGGAGGGCCTGCGCAATCTTGGCCACAAGGTCGAGGTACTTGCCGGCTGGAAGCGCGCCATGTTTGGCCGTGGCCAGGTCATTCGTCTGCACTATGACGAGGGGAAGCCGGTCTACAGTGCCGGCAGTGACCAGCGTGGCGATGGAATGGCATTCCCTCTGTTGTAAGACGAAGCTATACATATTATCTGATGTACATAGCCCTTGGCAGAGATCCATTTATGATTGATGATCGCATAGTCTAACTATTCCCCATAACTAAATCAATGCATTGCTCGACACTGTTCCCAGTACTTAAAGGGTAAGATAAATAGCTGGGGATCGACGGGGTTAGCCCCGAAAGAAACCCCAGTCTTCGCAATTCGTGCGTAATTGCAGCTATCAGTTAGCAGCTACCGTGGGCATGGTCCAATTGCAAGCCCTCTCAATTATAAGATGCCTTCCAAGATGCTAGGCACAGACACCAACCCACCGGAAGACCAAATCCGAACGCATAGAGAACAATCCAACATAATTCCAGATTCAGTTCTCGCGATTTGCGGGCCCCAATTGCGGTCTCTGGAGATCTCCAAAGTGCGGAGGGCATCTTGATTCCGTTGGTGACGATCTTCCTGGTCATTACCCCCGGATGTCCACTCCACACCAGGATGCACGCGACATTTAGCGGAAACATACACACGATCCCGTGGGAATCAATACTCGAGACCAATCGGAGAAGAAATTGTGAGAACATTATCGGGGAGGATCCGAATAGAGTAGGTCTTGAATGCCATTGTCGCTTACGAGAGATAGTTCGTTCATATAAGGTCCATCCCCAGACCCGGGAAAACGAGTTATCATTCATTTTGCAAAAAGTGAAGATGGTGATCCCTCTTGTGATCAGAAACAATCAATCTCTACATACTCCCATATTCTACCAATCGAATAATATTTAGACGAAAAACAAACATGCCACACACGCCCGATAGCCCCGAGTCTTCCGAAACAGCAGCCACAGACCGGAAACTCGAAAAGGACATCGAGAAGCAAAGCGATGCCGATGAGGATACCGTGGATGGACGCGTCCGCTCACCAGGCGGAACTTCACAGAAAAAGAAGAAACAAGGCCCAGCCGAAGCTGATGGTGTCAACACCGAGCCACCTTCGGATCACTCCGAGCTCAAGGAATGGGAATGCTACGATAAACTGGGTTACTCCTTTCCCTGGTGGAAGAAATGGGGGATTATATCCATCATATTCGCCGTTCAGACATCCATGAACTTCAACGCAAGTTTCTACGCCAGCAGTATCAGCCTCTATTCCAAACACTTCAGTATCTCCGAGCAAGCAGCTAGAGTCGGGCAGATGGGCTTCCTCATAGCTTACGCCTTTGGCTGCGAGTTCTGGGCGCCTTTCAGTGAGGAGTTTGGAAGATGGCCCATTATGCAGCTGAGTCTGTTCCTCGTCAATATCTGGCAGATACCGTGTGCGCTGGCTCCAAACTTCGGCACAATTGTCGTCTGTCGTTTGCTGGGCGGCCTTTCATCGGCTGGTGGATCAGTGACTCTCGGTATGGTGGCTGATATGTGGGAGGCAGAAGATCAACAATATGCCGTTTCTTTTATTGTTCTATCTTCCGTGGCTGGATCTGTGATTGCGCCGATTATTGGCGGATTTGTCGCGACGTTCCTTGACTGGCGTTGGAATTTCTGGCTCCAATTGATACTTGGCGGATTCGTACAGATCTTGCACTGGGCTGTACCTGAGACTCGGTGCAGTCTTCTGGTTACCCGGGAGGCGAGGCGACGAAGGGCGGCCGGGGATATGGTCTGGAGTGGAGACGAGTTGAAAGGCACGAGATTGACCTTCCGCTGGATCTTCATGATCTGGCTTCGGCCTTTCATCATGTTTTTCCGCGAGCCGATTGTTCTTTGTCTCGCTTTACTGAGTGGATTCAGTGATGCGCTGATCTTCACTTTCCTTCAGTCTTATACCCCGGTGTATAAGCAGTGGGGGTTCAATACTATTGAGATTGGACTGGCCTTCATCCCGTGAGTATAGATCCTACTACTATCACATCCTCTGTATTACTTAAGATAACTACTGACTATCTCCAGTATTCTGGTCGGGTATTTCATTGCTTATTTCTCCTTCATACCCTGGATCGCCAAGCATAATAGGGATCGGGAGCGTGACCCGGATGGCTTACAACCGGAGGCTCGACTCTACTGGCTTTTATTCGGTAATTATTGCCATTGAATGTTAAGTATCAGTTGAAAGTATGTTCTGACTGTGATAGTCGCACCTTTGCTATCGATCGGGCTATTTGGCTTCGCCTGGACAAGTCTCGGCCCTCCACATGTTCACTGGATTGCGCCGATGATATTTTCCTCTTTGATTGCTATTGCCAACGTGAGTACTCTAAAAGGCCTAATTACATAAAATAGAAGCTTGGAGGACGCGAGCTTACCTTTTGCTTTTAGTTCGCAATCTATATGGCAACGATCGACTACATGATTGCCTCGTACGGACCGTACTCTGCCTCAGCCACCGGAGGCAATGGTTTCGCGCGAGATTTCCTCGCCGGTATAGCTGCAATGTACTCTGTTCCGAGTAAGTGATATCTGTATTACCAGCCTAAGCAAATGATGTGCATAATTACTCACACCCTGCAGTGTACAGCAACATGGGCAAGACAAATACGCTCGAGTGGCCCTCGACATTTTTGGGATTCATGGCTATTATATTCACGATCCCAATCTATATCTTCTACTGGAAAGGGCCAACCATCCGGGAGAGATCACCATTCGCACAAGTACTTGCAGCAGACAGGAAGAAGGCCGGACGCAAGGTCTCTCAATGTGGAACTGGTGACTCGGACCCTGTGCAGCGTTACTTGTCCGGTTCGCCCATGGGCCGAGACCAACGAACCGTTTGAGAATTGTTTAAGAGTATAGATGGAAAAGGTCTACTGATATTTTGCTGATTTCGACTGGGCGCTTTTGAAGTACAAGGATTTTGTGCGTTCTTTTTGTTCAGCAACAAATTGTCTGTGGATTCAAGCAAGTTTGCCGAAACCTGTGAAGTCTTTCGACACATTTTCTCAGAGATCATGATGTCGGAGCTCGATTAAGACAAGTTGATATCTAATCTGATAAACGACTAGTAAAATATAAATATCTTTGCTTCTATGGCTCCAATCGTTTTACGGAAGCACCGAGATGAGGCTGTGACTCTGGGGCCCCGGGGGGGGGGATGACTTCAACTGGGGGCATTTACGATATTCAATAAATTCGCTACTACTGGTAGTAGTCATCATGACGATGGTTTTCGAGTCTCTTCAAGTTGATGATGCCAATATTCATCACGTTGAGACCAGGCTATCAGGTCTGAACTCCACTACAACTAAATTGCGTCATACTCATACTGATCGGAACACAACTCCGGCCAGTATTAGAGAATGCTTGATCAACACTCAATTGTGCGGATTCAAGGAACACTACTAAGCATCGCATATGAATATTCATAATAGTTATTTTGTATCAGTTTCTTATGTCCCCTGTGGGGATTTGGCTACCTACCACGTCTGCCAGGTAACTGACTTGGCCAATGGTCCTCCACGATCATACGTAACAAGGGCCGTGTGATGATCTAGCGCCATCACTCCCGGCCAGAAGCTAGAGGCCGGTGAAACCATAATCGGAGGCCCCCACCTAATCTGGCCATTCTGGGGAGGACCTGCGAAGCAAACCTTGATGGAAGCATGTTTGACCCAGGCCACTTGATCTGAATCATCATCCGTCATGAAGACACAGACCAGGGAGCCATCCGCGAAAGAGGCAACCTGTGGGGAACCCGCATTGTGTCCTTGTCGGGGTCGAAACACCTGGTGCCGATTATGCCAGGAGGCACCGTCATCATAAGAGATAAGAGCCTCGACATTAAATGGACCGTACGTCGTAGTCTCAAAGACCATCACAAGAGCCTCGCGACCATTATCAAAAGTGCGCGCAATACCATTCATACCATCTCGACGGGGATCACTGTCCCCATGCAGGCATGTTGGGCGACTCCAAGTACTCCCCTGATCATGCGAGACGGTGAGCATGGTACATTGGTTATTATGGGCGAATTCTTCGGAGTAGGTCAGTTGGACCTCGCCCCTCCGACCCATTCGCATAAACGGCTCCCAGATTCCAAATGGAGGTCTTTTTTCGGCGGCCTGCGATGCAAAGCTCCACGTATTTCCGCCATCCATCGACCTACAGACGGTGATCCGGAAATGTGTGGGGCCATTGTCTCCTTTATCATGGTTGCGGAAGGCTGCTAGTACAACACCCGGTCCTACCTCACAGAGGAACATGTTATCGACATCGCCTGCGGCCCGGGTCACTTCGGAGATGTTTTGGAAGGTGTGTCCATTGTCTGTGCTGCGCGCTACACAGAGAGCGCGTTGGCCGTCTGGGAAGCGTGTGAAGGATGAGAGAATGGAGCCATCGGAGAGTCGAGCGAGACGCGGGTAGGTTCCTTGGTTGGGGTGAGAGGAGAGTGCACGCTCATCATTGTTCACTAGACCGCGACCTGGGTGTTGGGGCCCTGGATGTCCAGGGGGGATTGGGGGCATTTGTCCTCCTGGTGGTGGCCCGCCGGGGTATCCTCCATTCCCTCCGTATGGGGGTTGTTGCTCATCGTGGGAATGATTGACACCCAAGACGTTGAGTACTTTCTGACCGAAGCGACCAGGCATTGTGTTTGTAGTAGGGAGAGTGATTTGCGGAGGAGGAAGGGGAAGAGAAGAGTAGAGAAAATGAAGTTGAAGTTGAAGATGCTCTCAACCTCCAGGAGATCTCCAGATGTCTCATATTACGTCATGGGCCCAGGCAGCATAAATAAATCCCAAACAGCTACAGATTGAATCTAATCTAAATATGATCCAAGTTATACGGATACAATGAAAGGAAAGAAGATGGACTACTACTATACTGGTATGTTAATTACACCGAAACTAATTAACTAAATTAAACCGAGGGTAGTGAATGATTACAGCAGTTCTTCTTCAGGTACTCCTGTAACTAGTTAGTACATACTCTCACTGCAATGTGGCTTGGCAGCTTCAACCTCAACTTTATTCTTCTTCTCCACATCACCCAGTCTATTTTCATCCAGCTTCCCCTCCGGCTTCTCCTCCATCATACACGCCCCCGATCTGATTATGCCGGCATTTGGAGTCTCCGAGTCGGTGTTAGCAAACCCCATCGCACCGTGGCGGGATTAGGCCTTTGGGGCCGCTCCACATTTATCGCCGTGTCCACTAATCTCCGACATGGGATATGACAGCTTCAGCTTCAACTTCTTCTTGAATTTCCCTTATATAAAGACACCCCATTCAGCAATGATTCTAATTCTCATCAAAAACAACTTGAATCTACCTTGGAATCTTCCATCACTCAACAAATTCAACCATTGAATTTCCCATTTACCTATCTCATCCACAACCACCCACAATAACGACAACATGGGCTTCCTCTACTCTCAATTCTGTGTTCGACCTCCCTACCCCGAACATTCCTTCGCCGACCAAACTGTCCTCATCACCGGTGCCAATGTTGGACTAGGATTTGAAGCAGCTCGTCATGTGGTGCGCTTAGGCGCTTCGCGTGTCATCCTCGCAGTGCGCAATGTCCCCGCTGGTGAAGAAGCCAAGCAGGAGATCGAGACATCCACCGGCCGTTCAGGCGTCTGTGAAGTCTGGGAGGTTGACCTAGCATCCAATAAATCAGTTCTGGCGTTTGGGGATCGTGTTGCGCAGTTGCCTCGACTGGATGCCGCTCTACTGAATGCCGGAGTAGCAACTCTCAACTACGCAAAGGCAGAAGGATTGGAGCGTTCCATCACCGTGAATGTTGTCAATACCTTACTACTATCACTGCTGGTTCTCCCGATCCTCAGGAAAACAGGCCAGAAAGTACCAGGGAGTCAGCCCCGGCTCAGCTTTGTGGTCAGTGAAGTCCACGCCTGGGTCTCGCTTCCTGAGTGGAAGGCCGACCATATCCTGGACACACTCTCTGAGGAGTCCAAGGCCAAAATGGACGAGCGATACCGACTATCTAAGCTCCTCGAGGTTCTTGTTGTGCAGGAGCTTGCTGGGCGGGTGCGAGGATCAGAGGTGATCATCAATATGATTAACCCGGGTCTCTGCCACTCCTCTCTAGGACGCGAGGCAGGCGGTGCAGCCCAGGTTATACGGCTCTTGCTCGCACGAACAACAGAGATTGGATCACGTACCCTAGTGGCGGGGATCACGGCCGGACTCGAGAGCCACGGTGCCTACATGACCGACGGTCATGTTGAGAACACCGCATTATCACCCTGGGTGCGCAGTGATGAGGGGCGACAGGCCCGCTTGAAGCTGTGGAAGGAAGTTGCGGCAATTCTCGAGGGTGTGCGTCCTGGCATCATGCAGAATGCCGTCTAATGTTATTGTCTACTTTTTAGCACTTCTGATTCGGTGCGACCATCCTTTGGCCGATGAGAAGTATGCCTATGTAATCCTGTGATGGTTCGGAGCAAAGCAATGGCAGCGGCTTCTCGAAAGCCCAATATTCTTGTTCAAGTTTCTGATGTTTATCTATAACCCATGTACTACCATACATAGCCTTTATTCACCTAACTCATATCCATATCATACCAACCGGCGCCACATTAAATTTTCCAATATCAACTGGACCCTCGTAAGCGAGGGTCCGCCACCCAAATGGCAACCCGCCCCCAAATGACACTTTTTACCATTCCTACATTCTATACCACACAATACCATATATACCACTTACTTTCATATGACCCTATATAATATAGCGTATAAATTGCAATATATCAATATTTCAGCGCCGTAGACGCCGCCCCGAACGCCTAGATTCACGCTTCAATTCTTCCATAACCTTGCGCCATTTAGGACGCACTTTGTCAATTGCTTCCAATTCCGTCAAATTTTCCTTACCTCGCTTCATTTTTTGTAGATTCTGAGCGGATACAATACCCCACGTACGAAGACCTGATCTTGAAAGGTTATGTCGCTCATCGCGACGTAGCGTAGTGGCTTTCGTTGCTTCCATTTCCCGTCGTACTTCCTTCAATTGGTATAAAGCTAACTGCGCTGACTTTGCAAGCTTTTGAATAGCTATTGTATAGTCATGCATATCTTCACCACTTCGAAGAAGCTCCTTTTCAAGCTTTTGAATCTCCCGAATAGTTGTTGGTGTACCGAAATTGGTTGAGAGTGACGAGGTTGAAGATTCAGATTTGTTTGGTGATAGTGGCAATTCAGTACGTTCAGGTGTATATTCAACCATTTTATCACATACAATCGTAGGATTGAATGGCCAGATACCAGATAATCTGTATCCAAGCTTGATTGTACGTAATGTAAAAGTTTTTGCGCGAATTGAAGCAATTGCACCAAAAAAATCAACTTTCTGAAACTTCGTACATCCTGTAGCAGTTGCGGCCTCAATTGCTTCACTGTGGTGGTGTTTGTATACATTGAACACACCAACGTCCAATGGCTGAACCAAATGTGAAGTATGAGCGTTCAAGAAGAAGGGTTGAATAAATGAAGCTTCGCAAAACTTGACAAATTCGTAATTCAGATGCGAACCAAAACCGTCGCAGATGAGCAACCGCCAGGATCCTTTGGTGCGTGAACGCGTAGATTTTTCAAACATTTGAATCCACCGATACGCAAGCAGATCATCGATATAGCCGGTTTCATTTACAGCAATTTGTTCGTCATCTTTGAGATCCTCAAACCAGCGATATTGAACTTGTTTCGCGGCCAAAATAATCAACGGTGGGACGGTGAAGCCATCTGTTGATATAGCCTCAACAACAGTCACATATTCACGATTTGTATGATTTGTATGGTTTTCAGATACAATTTTTTGACGTGGCTCACGTGTAACAATCCACTGATCTTTGCCCACCCCAATCTGAAAGCCTGTTTGGTCGAAAGTGTAGATATCCTCGGATTGAATCCCATATTTTTCGATCGTACGTTGAAGGTTTTCAAACCATTCCTCCATGACTTTTTTATCATGCGCACGAAGTCGTTCAATATCAAGGCTTTTACGCCTACGTACACGATACTCAGAATGTCGTTGAAAAAAGCGTTCAAGCCATTTATCACCGATCGGAGCAGTATCAGGTTCAGTTTCTTGTAGAATTGATAGAGCAGCTGCAGCAATCTCATGACGTTTCACTGACAACCCAAGCTTGTCATTATAATCAATCCAATGACATAAAGCTTGTTCTTGTATGGAATCAAGCCTGCGACCATTTGGTTCTCGTTCAAATAACGAATTCTGACCTTGCACGCGGCGAAGAAGCCGTCGATATGGCACGCGAAATTCACGCGCAATTTGTGCAATATTCGGCTGAGATTGTAGTCGTACTTTTTCGCATGCTTGCTGAATACGGTGTTCAATTTGCCTATTGATATCTGTCATATTGATGGTGTAGCGACGCGACAAAGTTGAGATGTAATATCTTTATGCGAAAGTGTCATTTGGGGGCGGAGTGCCATTTGGGTGGCGGACCCTCGCTTACGAGGGTCCAATTGATATTGTAGAAATTTAATGTGGCGCCGGTTAGTACTCGCACTGCTAATTTTATGATTATTATGAACTATTGTTATCTGCACTATTTAGTCTCTACTAGCGCCTCGGTCATCTCGTACTTTGAGACTTTTTGACTTTATGATTGACGTGGTGTTGCAGAGTTGAGGCGTGGTGGGGAGTTCCCCGACTTCCCCGATTTGCCCGACTTAACCCCAACTTCCAACGTTCCCCTCAAAACATCTCCTCCTCAAGCCGCCAGCCAGTGCTCAGCCCATGAACCATGATCGACCAACTATTCTTTAGCTCCCTCACATCAGCTGAATTCTTTCCCACTCGATCTGCACTTCATCCACCATGATACTTTCTGTCTTTCCCATTCGCTCAACCCCCGGCACTGCTTGCCCCCAGTTGCGCCTTTCCGCACCCTTCACGAACGGCCGCGTCCATCAGCCAGCCCGTTTGCAAATGTGGCCGTTGGAGCAATCACCCCGATCGAATAGATTCCTGCCAATTCTCCGAGGCCTGCAGCATCCAAGACTCCCCAGCAGATGCCTTCCAGACGAGCGCTTGGACGCCCACTCCAATTGAGTACTTTCTTTGTCCAACAAAGCCAACCCCTCGTTGCGCCGCATCAGTCATGTCCGTGGAACGTCCTTCCAGACCATTGCAGCTTGACATCTGCCCCCAGACATTTAATCATGAATATCCCAGTTGAACTCCTGTCTCGGAATCTCATTTCATTCAACCACAGCTCTGGATTCATCCCAAAAGCATTGTCATTGTCATTACCACCATGGCGCCCATTCTGTTAGATTCCGATACCTTGGACCAACCGCTAACTTTGGTTCTCTTGGGGGACCAGGCAAATGGCCTGAAAGAGTCGGTCGTGGATCTACAGCTTTCTGAGCACCCCCGGCTCCTTCTGCGACTCGTCGAGGTTTTCAATGCACCAACAATCGTCAAAGCCGAGCCTTCTGATATCCAACTTCAACGTCTACTCCAACTTGCTTGGGTCATTACAATTGGAGCGTTCACCTCCTCGACTACCCTATACGTTGGTGAGCAATATACCAAGGGACGTTGTTATGTCGGGGAGTCTGATGATTCCACCGCCCCTTCGATGCAAATCCACGTCGACACTCAAGAATCAGTGCATGAATTGTTCGGGCAGATTACGAATGGGCTTGGTTCCCTCGCAAAGGAGTCATATGCCAATGGCGTGCATGTAAATGATTGCAAGAATCCTCGCTATAACACGACCATTGTTTACCAGCGAGAGCCTGCAATGGCGGTGGGCTTGGGCCAGAAAGCCTGCATGGGCCGGTGCCACGTTTGTTGCTCTATTGCTTCGAAGCAAGAAACCCCCGGGGAGGGTCTGCTTCTTTTCGTCAGATGTACGCCAGATGACCTCCTGCATGCACAGCTCGATGTGGGCGACTCTCAAATCGGCTTACCACTGGCAACAAGCTTACTCCACAGTTTCAATCGAGCCCTCTCTTCAATTGGAATTACATCAATGCAGTCGATTGGAGCCGTGGATCTCTGTGGGTCAAATGATCGTGCCCAGATTGCCGACTTCACCGGCTCTCTTGCACCTTCTCAAGATGCCTTGCTTCACGATCTCTGCTTACGCCACGTCGTGACAACCCCGAATGCACCAGCTGTACGATCATGGGACGGCGACCTCACCTATAGTGAACTCAAGGATCTTTCATCTCGCCTGGCTCATTGGTTGGTTGGTCAGGGTGTTCGACCGGGTGTTTTTGTCGCCTGCACTTTCTACAAGTCAACCTGGGCAATCGTAGCCCGTCTTGCAATTCTAATGGCCGGTGGTGCATACATCTGCGTTGATGGCAGTGACCCACCACCATATCTGGCATCTGTCCTGGAGCGAACTCAAATTAAAATCATGTTGACATCGACCGGATACGCATCGAGGTACACGCAACTTGTAGAAGTCCAGTTTGAAGTGAGCGCGGATTCTCTCCGAGAACTCCCTTTCATATCCGGGGTACCATGTGTCGATGTTAAGCCTACCGATGCTTGCGTAGTACTTTTCACTTCGGGCAGTACCGGTAAACCCAAGGGAATCGTCCAAGAGCACCGAAGCTACGCGTCCGCTCTCACCGATTACATCCGCGTCATGGGCATGGGCCCTCATTCACGACTTTTTCAATTCGATGCTTACGCCTTTGATATCAGTAATAATGATTTCCTTGCACCTCTGCTAGCCGGTGGCTGCTGCTGTGTGCCCACAACTGCGCTGTCAGTGGATGCCCTCATGACAGATATCGATGACCTCGAGGCTAATATGATGTTTGCCACGCCCTCAGTGGCCATCGAGATTAATCCCGACCGTGTGCCGACGCTGAAGATGATGTGCATCGGCGGGGAGCCTGTCTCTGACGCGGTTCTCGCCAAGTGGCTGACTCGCGTGAAGGTTGTAAACCAGTATGGCATGGGGGAGGTAGCGTCTCTGTGTGCTCACAATCCCAACCTTCAAATGGGCCACGGCGCTATTGTTGGAAGACCAGCTAGTGGCGCCATCTGGATTGTGAACCAAGATCACCCTGATCTACTGATGCCCGTGGGAGCGGTCGGAGAGCTGCTCGTGGAGGGTCCACACATATCAAGAGGCTATCTAGACCACGTCTCCGGAAAATCGGAAAACTTCTTGACAACATCGCCTCTCTGGATGGCACAGATTCATGGCGATCGTCCACAACATCGATTCTATAGATCCGGTGATCTTGGCCGGTACAATCACGACGGAACGATTGAGCTCATTGGGCGAAAAGACACAATGCTAAAACTCGATGGGGCGAGGGTGGAAGCCGGCCAAGTCGAGTACGTACTTCGCCAACATCTGTCGACTGGGGATGCCGCGGTGGTGGATGTCTTAGGTGCTGTGGATGGTGCGGGCGAGCCAATCCTTGGGGTCTACCTCTACCTTGCGAATAACCCAATGAACCTGGAGACGGGACCAATCGAAGAGATGCAATTTCGCCCGATAATGCAGCGTCATGCGATCTATGCTCTCACTCAGGCCCTCAGCGAAGGGGTCCGGCAGAATCTGCCCACCTACTATGTTCCTAGTCTTTTCCTACTCGTCGACCGAGTCCCACGAACCAAGTCGAAGAAGACGGATCGTCGCAAGCTTCACATGTTAGGAAATGCTTATTACATGGCCCATCGAGAGGATCTCAGAGAAATTACGGTGTGGCCGGAGTGGGAATAATCTGGTGAACGATCAACAGGTTTAATATAATAAGATTGTTGGGTGGCTTATGGCTAAGCATCGCTCGGAATGGATCCGGGCTATATATTGATGGGATGAAGATCCTCAGAATATATTAGCTGATGTTAGAGTAACTTGAACTCCGTCTGACATTATTATGGAGCAGAATCAAAGCATTTATAAGCATTCCAAGGATGGCTGGATTTTCTTTCGTTCTGAACTCCTAAGTTTTCAAGAGGAAGGGGGTGCATGATTTTCACCTTTATTTTCACCTTTATTTTCACCTTTCCCCCACTGGCAATCTTCGGCCACGGTTCTATTCAGGAGAGGCATCGGACAAACTTGGAATGATCTCGACTTGTTCTAGCCGCACTAGAGAGATTGGCCAGTACAAATTAACATCCCAGACACGGGATTCATTGAGGTAAGTGGAGAATTTGACCCCGTCTCATTGAGAAATGCTTGCTCCACTGGCAACATAAGCAATGTCCCCCTGGCAATAGGCAGTGATGTCGTGAAACAATTCAAAAAGACCATTCGCCGAAGTTCCACTTGACGTGTGCATCAGATCATTTCTATATCAGATCATATCCCCGACTTTCTTCCGAGGAATCGTCGCTGCGAACCCTAGGTAACACGCAACTAGAAATTCTGTGCTATGGGGCGGTACCTTCAACTGCCACTTGCACGTGGAAATCGCGTCGGCCTTCCAAAAAGAAGCTGAAAGACACAAACTCTATTCAAGGCCTTGTACCAACAGTTCACATCCCCATGTTACAAGCAAGGATCACAGTGCCCAAGCCCCGACTAGGGCTTCGCTGAAACGTCCCGGTGGAGTCGATCCTTAGGAACGGGCAAGTGGCCGGTCGATCAGGGATCCGCCCTGCGATATCATTTACGGTCAATCTCTGTGATACTGTGGGCAAGATATCACGGGCGGTGCTCGGTCCGTTGACACAAAGGAGCATAGATCTTCAATGCGAGCCTCACGTCTACTCAAGCTCAAACGAGGCCAAGATGCTCTTCATTGCCTGTTTGGGCTGTGATAAAATGTGTGCAGGTATATAACATTGCTACATTGCACGGTGCTGTTGACCTGTGCCATCTGTATTTCTTTTCCATTGCCACTTCGGCCCATTCGTTCTTTTTCTACGCTCATTCTTTGAAATACTGCTAGTTCAGTACTTTCCCCTTCTCTATTGCCCAATATGGCAATCCAAAAATCTCTCCTCGCAGCTCTTGCGCTGCTCGGAGCCACTGCCCAGGCCGCTGGCGTCTCTAGAAAGGCATTCGGTTTCGCAACTGGCACCACTGGTGGTGGAAGTGCAAGCGCCGCTTCCCCCAGTGACACTGCCGAGTTGACCTCGTGGTTGACCGACAGCACCCCCCCGTACGATTCTCATCGATAAGGAGTTCAACTTCCTCGGCAGCAAGTGCACCGACTGCAAATGCTGCAAGCCCTCGTCCAACACCTGCGGTAGCTCTGGTCAAAACGCCATTGATCTCGACTCCTCCAGCTGGTGTGGTAGCTATCCCACTCTGACCTGCACCTATGACAAGGCCGCTCTTGAGGGTATCGATGTCGCCTCTAACAAGTCCATCGTTGGTGTTGGAAGCGCTGGTGTACTTCGTGGTAAGGGTCTACGTATTCGCAATGGCGTTAGCAATGTCATTATCCAGAATATCCACATCACCGAGCTGAACCCCCAGTACATCTGGGGTGGGGATGCTATTACCCTGGATGGCTCAGACCTGGTCTGGATCGACCATGTCAAGACTTCTTTGATTGGTCGCCAGCACTTTGTTGCTGGCTACGAGGCTAGTAAGTATCCCGATAATCCAATAGAAATTTCCCCCTCTAACTATTTTCAGGTGGTCGTGTCACTATCTCCAACAGCGAATTTGACGGACAAACAAGCTGGTCCGCCACCTGCGATGGCCACCACTACTGGACCATGTGAGTCTCGGTATGAACATCGTTAGATTTCAGCAGAGCTAATGCTTTACCAGCCTCGGCTACGGAAAGAATGACAAGGTCACCTTCACTGGCAACTACATCCATCACACCTCCGGCCGTTCGCCGAAACTCGAGTTCAACAGCTACTGGCACGCCTACAACAACTACTGGTACAATAACACTGGCCATGCTTTCGATGTCGGCGATGGAACCAATGCCCTGATTGAAGGCAACGTCTTCAACCAAGTCGATACACCCTTCCTGGATGACAGCTCGCCCGGCAAGACCTACGCCGTCAGCGCCAGCGACAAGTCATCCTGCGACTCTGCCCTCGGCCGCACCTGTGTCGCCAACACCCTCACCTCCTCTGGTGAACTGTCCGCCTCGGACTCATCTGTTCTGTCCAGCTGGCCAAAGGGCGAGTTCGGCATCTCCGTCGTCGACGCCAGCCGCGTCAAATCTGCGGTCCTGAAAAATGCTGGCATTCACGCCTAGTTTATAACCTCAACTTGAACTTCTTGGGACTTTAACTTCAACTTGAAGTTCAGGCTGATGTTAGTGGGACTGCATTTCAAGACCTGCTATAGAGACCTACTATACTATATTCACCAACTCCAATTTGAAAGCCCTGGAGGCTTAACAACTGCGTCCTCGTATTTTTTTCTTGGCCAATCGTAAATTGAAAATCATGGAGGATGGGGTCACACGCAATAACCTTGCCATCGGCCGCACACCGTCAGGTAGAAAGAAAAGGACCCCCCTCATTTAGCTATCTGGGAGACCCGCAGCAATCTCCGTCCCCATCTCTGTCACCACCGCCTCCGCGATCGCAAATCACTGCGGCAGCTTATGTCAAGAAGTTTCGAGACCACATCCAGTATACGCCATCTCCTCCATACAGTAACTGACACCCAATTTACCAGACCCCTAAGCGCCCCGATGCACAATGGACGACGCTAGTACATATGAGCCCTCCAGCCCACCATCAAGTGTTGACTCAGATGTCATTGACTATAACCATCCAACCATACGACGTGAACTAATATCTGACCTTTGCGCAATTGATCCAGTCACTGCCAACGAAGTCCTCGAACGGTATTCTCTGAAGACTACTTCTAACGGGTGGTGCCACGAGACTATATTGCGGGAGTCTAAGGAGGCGGGATATGTTCAGGTTTCTTGGGCAGGCGCGAATAAGTTTGCCTGTCTACAGACACTGGTGATTTGGGCCAACGCCGGGGAAGTCAGGGCGGGGGAGGATGCTTCGCACTTATGCCACCACCCCCGGTGCTTGGTTAAGGAACATATCATTTCGGAGCCAACCATCACTAATCAGTCCCGAAAGGGATGTCGTGTTTGGGTGGACTGTAACCATGATTGCGAGAAGAAAATTTTCATCTGTCCCCATCAGCCAGCATGTATTAAATATTGTGAGGGTTATCGTGATCACGAGGAGTTTATGACAGAGGGACTATGTCTAAATGTGAACGACCAACCCCTGGCTAGAGTGGTGAGAGCGGGACCAGTGCCAGAGAGAACAGGGAAGAAGAGGAGGAGAAGCAGGAGGAGAAGAAGAAGGAGAAGAAGGAAGCAGCCTTCTACTACCCAACCCCTTGTTCACTAAACTTCAATCAATCAATCAATCAATCAATCCACATTTCAATATTTCAACTACCCAGTATCTAGCTTGTTCGGGCTGATATGGCCGCTATGCTGGGGTGTTGGTTCCCACTGAAAAACAAAGGAATTCAAGGTAAGTCCCTCAGCCAAGCATAAGACCTGAGTCAGATGACATCCGTCGAAATATTCTTCATCAAGTCTGCCTCGAGCTCCTTCTCCAAATTTCAAATTTCTAGTTTCTAGAACTTATGCCCGACCAGCATGAGTACCCGCGAACGGCCCCTCGGCCCCACCAGACAGCCAGTCCCAAGCCATCGCGATTTTGGGCCCATTTGTTTTAGGCAAAGCACAGCATCAGATCTACCATTCCAACCAGTGGTCGAACTCAATAGTCTTCCGGAGACCGATCCCTGTACTATCCAATGAATTAGTCTATCTATCACAGAATTGCTTGATAAAGTGCGCAAATTACTGGAAGTAGTCTGCGACCAAGAACTCACCACACACCTGGATGAAGTCCTATGTCATACTTCCACACGGGGCTATTGGATTTTCGTCACAGAATATTCCTTTTTGACTCTTGCAAAAGCGCCTTGGGCGGTAGAATACCTAGTGAAAGTGACTGAACGCAGCCTGGGCCCCCAGCCTACCAGCCTACCAGCCTATAGGTGCATCAATCGATGAATCGGATCAACGGAGTGCCTTTCCTCTTCACTGAGACCGATATGATGGTAAGCGCCGGCGCATACCATGAACTTCATGTATAGATGACGGTAGCCGGCACCCATCATCTGGCAGGGCTCATAAAGAAAGCACCCTGCATATCCTGAAACTCGTCCATCTGCGAAGGATCTCGATAAAAGCCCCTCTGTTCCGGGCCGATTGTGAAGCCAGCGCTTGAGTCAACGGGTAGCCAATTTGCCGTGCGGCGGGTGGTGCCATCGGGCATTTCCAGGATAGTCTCACTCTCCGACTCATCCACATGCGCATGTCCATGCACCCCGTCTACCCCGCGCGTGGGCGAGAAATAATCCCCTTCATTTTTCGGTCGGGGATCTGGGGCTGTGTAGGGCGATCGGGAACTTGAGCTTGAACTTGAACTTGAAGTATAGGTTTCTCTTTCCCTCTCCCTCTCTCTCTCTTTGTCCTCGTCGGATTCCCAGCGCGACGAGTGAGACATTTCGGGGGTGCTGCAGAGTTCGGAAATCGGGGAGCCTGGAAAGGTCGGGTAATAGTGAGACTGAGCCGGTGGGGTCATGAAGAGGGCCCTTTCGCTGGCACTTTGGGAGAGGAGGTTATTTTCGGTGTCGTGGTGGGTGGCTGTGGGTGTCATGGTTTGATTTTGATATTCCTGCATGAAGCTATGATTTTCAACGATTAGTTATTTCCTTGGCGAAGACAGAAAAAAATGATTCTCTGGCAAAGCTCGGCTTGGCTCACCTGTTCCTCCATGAAGCTTCTAGCTGCTTTCGCTGGTCATTGACAAGGCCGGCCTCGTACCATGACTGGGGATACGGTGGCAAAAACACTTGTTTGCTGGCCATTTCACTGTTCCAGTCCATTTGATCCATTTGATCCAACTGCGGGAGGTATTGCTCAAAGTCGGTTTGCATGGGAAAGCCTGCAGCCATCAAGACTTGCTGGTCGAGTTCTTCTTGGGTCATCAATTGGGGCTCGGCCATTTGCGCGAGATGCGCCGGCCACTGAGCCATGGGGTAGGGGTAGTCGGTGGTCATCTTGAAAGTAGGAGGGCTTGGTGTGGATAAAACTTGACGTCTTCAAGTCCAATGTGCTCATTCCCTTGCAAAACAAAAATGATCTTTGCCGTCGAAGATGGGTGCAACTGATTCTCAAATATTCCACGGACAAGTATAGTAGGTACGTACAAAAAGATCCTGGAGAATGATTGAACCCCGCAAACCTGGGGAATCTTCCATTTTATTTCATCTTCAGGAACCAAAGCAGAGCTAAAATAAATTGCGGAGAACCAGGAGAGACGCAGTGCTGCAAGCGAGCTCCGGTCGGTAAATTAAACAGCTCCCTCCATGTACTGGGATCACACCAGATGAAAGTGAATACATCCAAACAAAAGGCCAACAGTAGCACTCCACCCGACAGACCGCATGATCCTCAAAGTCAAAAACAACGAAAATAAATTGTCTCGAGAATTAACCGACCCCGGATTCCCCGCGTCGGGCCGAATAATCGAGCCACGCGGGCCAACGATGCACCAATCGGTGCATTTGTCTCCCATCACTGCATCTTTTTAACCGAATTTCCCCGCAAGTCGCCACGAGAAGTTTGCAGTTCTGCAGGTGTACAGATGTAGTCTGCAGACTGCCAGGTACGCGAAACGACGAAGAACAATGGGTGTAGTTCCTTGCCGGGTATGGTTAGGGGGTAAAGCCTGTTCGGTAGAACTACGAAGTACTAACTAACTAGTAGTTATACTTGGTAACTAGCCAGGGTACTTCTGCACAACGGTAAATAAGCAATGCTTATAAGTATAGTTTAATATGTGCATGTATACTACTGGTATGCGCTATTTACAATCATAATGTGCACACCGGGGCAGAAGAGCCGCCGCTCTCCACTCAGCTCATACTTGATTTCCGCTCGCCTTACGCCGCCGAATATAATACTGCGCACCAAGAATGGCCGCGAGGCCCCATGATGCTCCAGCCAATGCACAGATCGCCGTCAGACCGTGCGTGTACTTGGGCGCGTCTGCGGTGCGGAAGATCTGAGAGCCGGAGATACCAGCACAATTGGCCGCCATAACCACCAGGCTGGAAGGAAAAGTTAGTATCCTTGTAACTTTACTTTTGAGGGAAGTTTCAGGGAGAGAACTTACGCCATGGCAACGCTTCGCTCCTGTGGGGTGCGACAGTAGATAGACAGCCAGCCTACATTGAGAATGCTGTTTCTCACCGTTAGTATTTACCCGGGGTAAAAAAAAAAAAGGCACAACACAGGGGGGGAACTTGACTTACTGCATGCTGCAATAGGAGACATTGGCGACCGCAATCACTCCATATCGATGCCACTTGTCAAGTGTGTACGGCGCTGTCTTCAGGCAGACGTATGAAATAACATTCCAAGTAATGGAAATCAACACAAAGGGTCCTCGATGACCAGTCCAGTCTCTGTTAATCATTAGAAATCTGTCGGAAACCCCCGAATTCACTTGATCGGCTGGTTTATGGTAGCCCATAAGCGAAAGAATTTTGGGCTCAACTTACGAGGCAAACGACAGAATGGTCAACCAGACGATACTGCAATACACCGGGACCGAGGTCAAGGCATTAGCCTTGATGGAATCGAATCCAAGCGCCTTGATCATGCTGGGGGTATATTGAGTGACACCCTGGAATCCGGACATGGAGACAAGAGTGAGGAAGACATGCTGCATGATTCGCGGCTGTTTCACGGTGTTTTTAATATCCGACCAAGTGATCTGGATATGGCCTTGTGCCTTTTGTGGGTCATCCAGCAGGACGCGATTGCGAATGATGTGTGATTCGCGCTCGGTGAAGTAGCTCCAACGACCAAAGGAGATGAGTGGCCGGCCATCGCCTACCTTTGGTGGGACGAGGAGCGTGAAGAAGATGCCGATGAATAGGGTGAGAAGGCCCTCCACTGTGTTGGTGTTAGTCTATTCAACAGAAAGACGACGGATGTTGAACCGAACTAACCCAGGAAGATCCATCTCCATCCTTCCATTCCATGCGTTCCGGACAAGCGCAGCAGGCCAGCGGAAATCAGGCTGGATGTCGCTGAGGCGAACATCTGGCCATAAAAGAACAGACTAGTACGCATACTGGTCTCCTCCTCCTTTTATACCAGGTGGACAGGTAGTATAGCGCACCTAATCATGTTAGCTTCAACCGCTCTGCTCGCTTTTTGACCTGACCCAATCTGACTTACCAGGAATGAAACCGCCCTCGCAGAAGCCCAGCAAGATGCGAGTGACAAGGAATGCAGGATATGACTGAACAAACGCTTGGAAGGTCGCGACCAACCCCCAGGCAAAGAGTTGACCTGAAAGCCACACACGAGGCCCAATTCGTTGCATGATAATATTGGAAGGGATCTCGGCGAGAACGATGCCGGCGGAGAGCAATTGAGTACCGATGTTGATCTGGTTGGTGGTGATATTCAGGTCTTTGGTGATAGTCGAGGTCAGAACGGCGCTGATATTGCCTCGGTCCATCTGGAGACAGAAGAAGGCGAGGGCCAGGGTCGGTAAGAGGATGAAGTCGATTCTATCAAAGCGACAGAGTCAGTTTTCATGTCCATTCGAAATTATCCTGCTGGTCCAGTGTGCAAGTATTGATGTTGATACGAACTTGCGTCTCACAGCCGACTCCTCTTCATCCCAATCTTTAACAATTCCATGGTCTATTTCACTCGGCGGTGAGTCAATGACCTTTTCATTGATGTGTTTCTCATCGAAACTCGTCCGATCGGACATCGTGAAGGCGATGATGAGCGAAGAGATACTTTGAAAAAGATTTCGAGAATATCCAACAAAGCCAGTGGGTACCAGACATTTTATACATTTTATTTTCTAATCTGCCGAGATGCAGATAAAAAAAAAACCACGCGTATTCGGGGAATGTTGGAATGTTTAGTGTTGTCGACACGGCGGGGAGATATGGCGCAATCATCAATCATCATCGCGAGAACCGCCCCAGTTTTCTCTCTTCCTTTCCGCGAATGTCATTGCCATTGGCTGTTAGCAATTGCGAGGCTTACGCAGGATGTAATACGCATTTCTTAAGCCAGGCTCGGCTATTGTTGCGATTGTACAGTTATACCGTGTGGCGTGGTAGTGCCAGTGGTTTACCCTTACGAGGCCGTTTACGATCACCAAGTGCATGGCAGTGCAGTGCAGTGCAGTGCCAGTCGATTTGACATTTGAATTTCCCCTGCTCATTACTAACAATAGATATTTTATGCCTTTGAATCTGCTCTCTGTAATCATGATCGTGATGGTACTAATATATACAATCTAACGCTAGAACTTGGATGTGTCTTCTAGTAAACCCGCTACACCCATGCATCCCACGGCAGTCCATAACGAGTTGTCAATGGCACCTGCGCACCTTCAGCCGCAATAATATAGCCATTGGCACACCAGTCAAAAGATACACCGGGCTGCCCCCCCGTAGAAAGCATCAAATCCTTCGTCCAGGGCCTCGCGGAGGTTACTGACAGAGCCATCTGGCTGCAGGACATTCCATGGCTTGATACATGTAACTCCCTGGCACGATTTAAGCACCAGAAGAAGTGCATCCAATCGACTAATGACCTGCGAAAGACTACGGCCCAGTATTTGGGGCTCTTCTGTTGCTTTCGAGGTGGTCTTCGGGTAGAGGTTGTGTAGTTGATATGGATCGGTCTGTTCAGTTAGTTCCGGACCTCTTCTGTTTTGAGCTGGGAAAATTACTCACCGATAGATCGTAAAGTTCATGCTCGTTGTTGCACCAGACCGAGTAGTAGAAATTGTACCCTTCGCCGAGCAGGCGTACCGATTTGTAAGTGTTGTTAGGGAACTGCGGTAGACCATCGGGGCCTGAACAAATGAAATGCAATGATTAGTATCGTGTCAAACTGACCCTAACAGAATGTCTTTCTCCGGGGGGACAGAAAGGAAAGACTCACCAATAGCACTGTAATCCCCTTCCACCACTGCTCTTCCCCAATACTCCACCGTAACATGTTCATGTCGCGTACCCGAGAACCCTTCCGTGACCGGGATGGCTGTTCCATCGAAATCCTCACGAGCCGGGATCCCCGCCAACTCAAAGATCGTCGGGGCCAGATCAATATGCGTCGTCACCGAATCCTCGACCCCGCCTTCCGCAATCCCAGGACCCCGAATGAAAAGCGGCACGCGGATATCCTCTTCAAACCCACAGGTCTTTCCGGGCGGCAACCGGTGCTGACCAATATGGAACCCATTGTCGGAGGTGTAGATGATATAAGTATTATCCAGTTTCTCACTCTGTTCGACGCGCGATACGAGCGCATCCACCAACTCGTCCACGCCTTGCAGGGCGCGGAGACGCGAGCGGTAGAAGTGGTCGTTGTAATCCACGACCGTCTGATTCTGCTTAGGCAGATCCCTGACCCAACTCACACCACTGGGCTCGTCGGGATTGAAGTTCTTGTTCCGGGGGACTTTGACATTCTTGAAGAGATGCTCGTGTCGCTCGAGTGGGATCGGGGCGGTCATGATGGGGATTTCTCCAGCCAGTGCTCTCCCGGGATTCACGTCGGAATGAGGAGCGACGGGGGCGACGGTGAGGAAGAAGGGTCTTTCACCCTCGAGAGCATCATCGAGGAAGCCGAGTGCCTTTTTTGTGATCACGTCGGTTGTGTGGTAGCCCTCGTAACTTACGGGGGGGATCTTGGTTGCGCTGATAGGTGGAGTTGAGGTAGGAGTAGGTGTAGGGGTCGAGGAGGAAGTCGGAACCATTGAAACCATTGACGTGAGGGCTATGGTAATTGTCGACTGTGTGTGCATTGAAGAGTTTGCCGGTGTAGTAGGTGTCATAACCGGCTTGTTGCAGCCAGACGGGGAGGAAGTTGTCGTTGAAGCCCCGGTCGACAAACTTGGGATATCCGCCTACAAATTGTCAATATATCATGTTAGATATATGCCAAAGAACTGTCCATGCTGCCCTTGATTGAATTCCACTTACCATATGGGGGGGTGAACATCCGTTACATTGGTGTTATGGGCCTGGCGACCAGTCCATAGACTCACGCGCGATGGGCAACAAAGAGCGGTGGTGACGAAGTGATTGCGGTAAAAGGTGCCCTGGTCGCGAATATGGCGGGTGATATGGGGAGTGTAATCGATTGAGTCCAGCTGCAAGTCTTGATCGTCGGTGATGACGAGGAGAATATTTGGTGGAGAGGCGGAGGAGGAGGAAGAGTGCGGAGACGCGAGGACGGACTGCAGGGCATTTTGGAGGTTGAAGTTGAGGTTGGAGCTAGCTGCACCCTGGAGGAAAGCCGTGGCCAGCGAGAGAGAGAGCTTCATGATGACAGTGACAGTGGCATGAGATGCAGAGACTTGAATCCAATGTGACAATCCAAAGTATTAATTGAAAGTATTAATACTCTCCAAGTGTAGTAAGAAGAGTGGAGCCGTCGGCAATGATTGTGGGGAAGGTGATGATGCCATTGCAGCTCACTTTGAGCAATCGATGCTAGTTACGATATAGTACTAGTACTAAGTAACTAGTACACTAGTCACTAGTTAGTACACCTGCATTGATAAAGCAATGCACGATCTGATCTAGATCTGCTATACTCCGTCCCCAGGCATTGCCATGCAGGTTACACAGATGATATCGGGTGATACCACAGCCAGTCGAGTTTCTTATTATTTAGTATACTGTACAAGTAGACTAGCATTAATATACTCGGGATGTATATGGTCTCTGATAGTAAACAAGTTCATACATGTTATAAGATAGCCCACTGTGAGTATTGCCCCACAATTGCGTGCTTCGTCGCCGCAATGACTTCACAATACCTTTAGGTAGCTGGAATCAGTGGTAATACTTAGGGATTAATATTAGTTTTAATATTAATATTATGAGTATCCACTGGCGTCCATGGATTACGCCATATCTCGCTTCTATTCATCGTGCCGGGTATACACTATACACTATACACTAAAGTTAACAATATCCTCTATACTCCCTACAGAGCAAGTCCAGTCCCCTTGCGCGTCCACCGATACAACGCCAAAACCGCCTTTCGCCGATGTCGAATCTCACTGGGATTCACCGGTCGGCCCCGAGCCTGCGCCACCGCACTCCGCATGACCTGCCGAAAACTGCGTTGGTACTCCGTGTTCAACGTGACCACACACGACTCGGTCGCCCGAATCATCGTCTCACACGCATTCAGAATTCCCTCCCCGGCCTCCTTCTGCAGCCGCTCCACGATGAGCAGTAGCAGGAAGCTCCCCTGCAACAGCTGGATGCCGAAAAAGTACGGCATGAAGCTGATATCCGGGTCGAACCGCAGGATCTGCTGCACCGAGTCTGCCGCTTCCAACGCGTGCGAAATCGTCGATGCAAAGGCTGGCGATGAGGTCCAGAAGTCTTTGTCTTCGATCAGGCTGACTGGATCCCATTTGCCAACTAGTAGGATATGCAGGACGTGCACCAGGTAAGATGAGTACGCGATCACTGTCTGAGTGTGCCAGGAATAAGCCTGCGACAAGGATCCCCCGTCGCCCGATTGTTGGTCGCCTTCGGGATCAGGTGCTGCCGTGGTCGCAGCAAACGTCGTCAGACTGGCTTTGTAGATCTCCAATTGGCCCAGGACCTCCGCTACATGGACCTCCCATGCCTCCTTCCCTTGAAGACGGAGTCCCAGTGTTGGGTGGTTGCGCGCTTGGTTCAAATCGATGAGTTCCCCCGTGATGGTCATGAGTGGAAGGAAGAAGCCGAGAATCGAGTGGTCGTGGCAGAGAAAGTTGGGGAAAACACGTCTCTTGTTTCGATCTCCAGATCGAATACACTGCGGTCCATCAGTGCGTGGGCTGTTGCTGTGGATATTTCCAGCCTGCCAGGACCCCTCATCCAGTGGGAGGAGTAGATCCTCCGACTCGGCGTCGAGGAGGGCAAGTGGCCGGTTGTAGCATAAGGCCAGATGTCGATCCATGATATACAATAGCCACCACGTACGACGCCGCTCTTCGCGATGTTCTTCGGTGATCAAACCGGTACTGTGAGGGTCGTGCTTTTCCTCACAGACGCAGTTTAAGCTCGGTCGAGATGGATTCGAATAGTCGAACGCGGCACCGCCGGGGGAGTTTGCCCACGCTCCGAGGGAGTAGCCAAAGGACGGGCTCGACCCATCACTTTGATTATCTATGTTCGACATCACTTCCATCTCCTGATTGAGCTTGAGTTCACGAGCCATAGTGAAGGCCGCATGCCACCTGGAATGAGAGTTATGTTAGCATAGAGCTGGTGGTGTGAGAAGTAGGAGTACATACCACCGCATACTCGCCGCTTTCTGCTCACTCGATGAAATAATCGATGCGACATGGATATATGTAATCACATCGTCAAGAGACCCTGCCGGTCCAACCAACCCTTTGTCATCCCCCACTCCTTCAAACGGGTGGTGAACTGCGGCTGTTGGTAATTCCTGCGGGACATTAGGATTCTCCGGTGGTTCCTGGTCTTTAAACGAGACATGAATCAATGGGCGAAGGAGACGAATGGTCAACGCGCAGAGGAATTGGCAGATCTTGCGACGTTGTAGTGGTGAAATGGAGAGGGAGAATGCGCGATCATCCACGGCGGCTACCCACAGCATACTCGCCAGCAATGCTGGACTGCTCGGTCGCGGTCGGTCGGTGCTCAGGAAAGATGCTTTGCGTAGGACATAGCAGTGGATGTGGTGGCACACGGGATGCATGTGTGTCGAGAAAGCAGAGGTGAAGTATAGTTCTAACAAATCGCAGACGAGTCGACGAGGGAGACTGGATTCAAGGAACGGCATGATGGGTTCGAGGACGGGGTATTTTAAACTTGATCGCGAGGTCGAGGACGCTCCTTGACCAGATTGAGAGTGGGTTTGTGCGGAGATGGACGGTAATCGCTGAGGGCGCTGGGGTGCATGGTGCTGGTAGTGATGCTGGTGGTTGCGTTGATGAGGATGAGATTGAGGGTGAGAGTGATGGCCGAGGTCGACAGGGTTCCAAATATCGTATAATCTCGGCAGTGGGCCTTCATTGCCATGTACGCCTCCTAAAATATCATAAGACTCGGGTGACAGGTGTGCGCTAGACAACCACTCCTCTGTCGCATTGGCCTCGGTCTCTGGTCGCGGATGTGGGCGCAAGCGCGGATGCGAGCGCGAGTCTTCCTCGACACTCGGCGCAGACAAACTGAGGTGATTGGAACCAATTCCTGGTGACCTGTGTGGGAAGGCGGATTCTGGCGACAAGGAGCTCTGCTGCAATGGAGAGAGGGCGGACTGAGAGACTTTCTGGTCACCGTTGGAGGTGGAGGCTTTGCGAGCCGAGGGATGAGGATGGCGATCAGGATCCTCATCCTGGTCATGATCTTGATCTTGATCTTGATCATCATAGTTCAAGGTCAACTTGGAGCGCGCAATGCGCCCTCGTTTGCGACGCTCACGGGTGAATTCGCAGTGGATGTCACTTCGTAGACATCGCGAACAGGGAAAGGCTCGGTCGCATCGGACCCTCCGCGTGTGGCAGGAATCGCAAGCGACTCGATTGCGGCGCCAACGTCGCTTTCCATTGGGGAGGTCAACGGGGCCAGGGCTTTGAGGATCCCCGTGGGATTCCATGTCAGGTCATGAGAATTGCATGAGGAGAAGGAGAAGATAAGATGTGAAGATGTGAAAATGTGAAGATGTGAAAATGGGGGGGAATGGAGAAAATGGGGAAAAGCGCGGGGAAGTACAAATGGACCACTCAGCACTGCCTCTAAACTTAGTTACTTAATTACTTAGGAGAACTAGGACTAGGACGAGTAAGATCATTAAATTAAATTAGGGAACTGAACGCTGATTTACCCCAAGTAGTCATTTTCGGTCCCAGTTTCTATTCTCATTCTCCTCTTTTCTCTTCTTCTGTATTGAGAGTTCCTTGGTATGGAGTGTTCATAGCACATCAAATGTCTCACATCTTCTCACTTCTTCTCTGTCCCCATTATTTCATCCTACTTCTCCTTTTCCTTCTGGAGAGCACTCTTAAATCGCTCCAACGCCCGTGTTCGACTCTCCGCGTGATCCACGATCGGCTTGGGATACCCATTCTTCGCCGCCACCCCCGCCGCCTCTTTGTTCCCGTAAGGATCATGAATCGCCTTGCCTGAAATATCGCGTAGCTCCGGAACCCACTTCCGAATATACTCACCGTTCGGATCAAACCGCTCGCTCTGTCTCAGAGGGTTGAAAATCCGGAAGTAAGGCTGCGGATCAACTCCAGTGCTCGATCCAAACCCCCACCCGCCATGGTTGGACGCAAAATCCCCGTCGATCAGAGTCTCCATAAAGTAACGCTCGCCGCGTCGCCAGTCAATCATGAGGTCCTTCGATAGGAACGACGATACCACCATCCGCGTCCGATTGTGCATCCACGCACAATGCTTCATTTGTCGCATCGCCGCATCAACAATCGGGAAGCCGGTCTTGCCATCACACCACGCCTGGAATTGATCTGCATCATACTCCCACTCGATGTTGGTGTGTTCCGGCTTGAAGCACTTGTTCATGCAGATAAATGGCCAGTGCGCGAGGACATGCTTGTAAAAGTCACGCCAGGCCACTTCGCTAATCCACGTCATGTACCCCTGGTCACCACGATCCAGCCAGTTCTTGTTCGATTGCTTCGCCGTCACCACCGCCGTTCGCGCACTGAGGGCTCCACAAGCAAAGTACGGACTGAGCAGCGATGTATTCTCTCCAGGAAGCATACTGCGCATATCCGCATACTTGTGGCCTTTGTCTTCGAGGAACTTTTCCAAACGGCGCATCGCTTCATGTTCCCCGGCCGGGTATAACTCCTCGAACCGCTTCTTCTCCTCGTTCGAGAGCTGTTTGCTCTTTGGCGACGCGGGGATCTGGCAGTCAAAAAGGTCGGAGAACTGCTTCCGTGCATCCCCGGGATTAGACCCCGGCTCCTCAGACAGTTCCAGGTAATCCGGATTCTCCTTGAGAAAAGCCAGCCAGGAGCGGAACCAGGGCGTATAAACCGCATACTGGTTTCCCTGCTGACTGCTCAGTGCACCAGGCGAGACCACACAGGTGTCGGGAGTAGGGCTGAAATCGATATCATTCGAGGCACACAGTCGAACGAGCTTGGCATCACGTCGGAGCTCGTCAACCTCGTATTCGATATTGCCGCAGAGGTGCTTCGCTTCCCACTTTTGGCACAGCTCAACCACGCGATCGGGGATTTTATTCCTCTTCTCCTGTGTTTCCATGTAGAGCGGGATATCGAGTTCGGCCAGGTCTCGCTGCAATCGGTCCAAGGTCCGCAACGTAAAGTCCACCCGAGCGGGACTTGTTAAATGAGCCTCAAAGTCCTCAGGGGATACAATGTAGAGACCGATGAGAGGCACCTGGTTGTCGCGGGCGAGTTGGAATGCAGTATGTAAGCCACGATTGTCGGATAACCGCAGGTCACTTTTAAACCAATGAACCACGGCTTTGCCTGCCTCAATCGAACGACGTTTGTCCGCGGTGTCGCGACATGCCTCTTGCAGTGTTTCAATGGGACGTTGGATGGTGCCGTTGGTGTACGCATTACATCGCTCATTGCTCATCTCGGGAGGGTAGAAGTCGCGCAGAACAATGCCAAAGTCTTCGGTCTGTTTCGCATTGGGGTGTGGCTCACGCAGGCCGGTACGACCTCTCTTGGACGCGTGGCCGTTTGGTTTATTATCGACGTCCGCATCGGAGGTTTTGCGTTTCGGCGGCATTGTGGATCTGCCAGTAGTTGTGAATGTGGATGTAGAGATGAGGTTGATTAAAGAGGTACGGGGTCGGAGGATACGGGAAGATGGAGGTTGGAGGAGGAGGAGTCGAGGGAGAACTTGGAGGTGAACAGGGATAAAACTTGTGAGATGCATCGATGGAATAGCGCGCAAACAGGCGCGCGGCCCCGATTAAGAGGCCAGCATCGGTCGGTCCTGGACGCGTAGGATGTCATCGATCGAGCGATCGGGATTCTTGACGTCACCCGATCCGAGGCTGGGATAGGTGGAATTCCATGGCTCAAGAATTGGAGGATCAAGTTGTTGGCAATATACACCTAGATAGTAGTAGTACATTCATGGATGGTGATCTGGTCGAATTCAAGTCGCACCAACTTCGAGTTCCAGGGTTGAAGGTTGGAAAGTTGAATTGATGGCACTAGTCTGGGGATCCACGTGATGAGTGTCAACATCTTCAAATTGAAATTAATTGAACACTCATCACGAGTATATCTTACTATATAATCTTAGACCTACCATAGTATATCTTGAATCTCGGTCATAATTCTTTTTCCGTTATCTCCGGTTCACGCGGGTTTCACGACGGAATTCCGCTGCAATTTGGGGTCCTCCACATGTTACTGGTTAATTCGACTCGCCATTGATTCCTCCAGAACCTGTTGCTACTAGTACTAGTAGTATTACATTACCAGTTGCTCACGCCTCGAAATAGATATCTAGGTAGGTATCCTTTTAAACACGCTACCGCCGGGGTTGGCCATTTCATTCCCGTCCAGCACTAAACGGAATTCAAGTTGATTCCCGATATCAGTAATATATAACTTCAAGGTTCGCAACTGAATTGCACAACATGACACTGCTAATGAACAACTTGAAACCCAAACTTTCTACTACTACTCCAGGTTGAACCGGATCCTCAGAAGTCGTTGAATTTGTAGAATTCTCAATCAATGGCAAAAACCGTCTTGATTACAGGTTGCAGCGATGGAGGCCTCGGAGCCGCAATGGCCAAGGTCTACCGTGCAAAAGGTTTCCACGTCTTTGCAACGCTACGCAATATGGCCAAGGCAGGATCCTTGGTCGGCATGGACGGTATAGAAACTATCGAGCTCGAAATCACATCGGTGGAGTCTATTCGTAAATGTGCCGATGCCGTTGCGAAATCCACTGGCGGAACACTGGATATCTTGGTGAATAATGCCGGCGTCAACGCTATTGTGCCCCTTCTTGATGCGTCTATCGATGATGCTAAGAAAGTCTACGATGCAAATGTTTGGAGTATTGTTGCAATGGCGCAAGCCTTTTCGCCTCTGCTCATTGCGGCCAAGGGCATCATGTGCAATATCAGTTCTGTATCTGGCGAAATGGTCTTTGCATGGGCGGGTGGGTTTTCGTCCATGACGATCCTATACTATCCTGATAGAGGAATAAGAAGCTAATTCTCTAGAACGTAGGTATTTATAGCAGCTCTCGCAGTGCCCAAACCAGGCTTTCTGAGACACTGCGTCTCGAGATGGCCCCCCTCGGCGTGCGAGTCGTCACGGTCGTTCTTGGTGGTGTGGAAACAAGCGGAAACAATCCTTTGAATATCCCCGATCTTGAATTGCCCCCAAACTCGCATTACCAGAAGATCACCAGTGTCATCGATCGCCACAAGAAGACTGAAATCCACCCGAATAAGCAGAATATCAGCATTGCCGCGACCAATGTGGTTGAGGATGTGCTGAATGGCCGCGGCCCTTTTATTCGACGCGGACAGGCCTCGACCCTGAGTTGGATGTGCAACACATTTCTTCCCTATCGGCTCTTCGTTTGGATGATTAATCGGGATTCAGCTTTGGATCAAGTCTGACACCCCAGTGTGGTGGTGGCAGATATAGAGAATTGATGGTCCATGGATAGGGGTATACTTTGTTCCCCTTTACAATCCGTAACTTCAATTGGAAATAGCTTGAACTTTGATGTACGGAATAAGAATTGCAAATTTCTGCCGATGCCATGACTAAAATATTGAGATTAGCGCCAGGGGTTACCCTATTTACTACTGTAAGTTTCTAGTATGTGTGTGATTGAGATTGTCCTGCACTTCCTTTCATCAACTTCAACTTACCTTACCACACGCCATCAGCATCAGCATCAGCATCATGATGATCAGGTTCCCCCCCTCTCTTCCCCTCAAAAATAGGACATTCCCAATCTCCCGCTTACAACGGGTTCCCCCTCGTCTCCCCCCCCCCCCCCAATCGGCCCCATCCACCGCCAGTCCCGAACCAACGAGGCCAGGAATGATCGGCGACTAAGATCGGCTCCATCGGCTCCATTGCCTCCTCCTGCACCACAATTGGATGCATCGGAGCCTTCAATAGTTCGAAGATGCCCAGACTGGTTCCAGATCCTTGGGTCCTCTTCCCAAACTGGTGAGCTTCTGGGGGGGAGCATCTGGGGCACCCTCCTGGCCCACCCAATCTGAAGGCGGGGATCCGAAGACCTTCACCTCCGGCACCTCCGCTCTTCCACGTCAATGAATGGGTGGGAAAATGTCTATCCCTGACGCTTGGACCGGGGATACGCACGAATAGTTTTCCTCTCCTCTTCCCCGGTCACTTTCTCCCTACAAAATCCCAACAGTCAGGAACCTTCCCTGCAGGAGGACCCTTGATCGACAACGCTCGAGCGCTGGCCACTCACATCATCCCTTTCTTCCCTTTTTGTTTCTTCTCGCTCTTTAACAAAACCCTGTCTCCCTCCCTTCCCCCCCTGCTCTTTCTAGATGTGTGCCTTCGACTCACCGTGAGCGATGTGCCCCTTCCGCTCATGTCAAAGAATACCGCTTCGGAGATCGCGGAGTCGCTGATACACAGATCCGACACCGGAGATCCTGTGCGAACTCATGTCTTTGCCGCTTTCGCTGCTATCGCCTGGTACAATGCCTTTGAGCTGATTGTCCTTTGTTTCGTCTCCTTCAAGCGCCGCCGTGGTTGCTATTTCTGGAGCCTCCTCATCTCCTCTATCGCCATCATTCCTAATGTCCTCGGCTATGTCCTTCTTTTATTTCGAACCGGGGTCTCTCCCTATATCTGTGTCACTCTCATCATCGTGGGCTGGATTACCATGGTGACTGGCCAATCCGTCGTTTTATGGTCACGTCTACACCTGGTGCTGCAAAATCCGAAAGTACTCTGGGGGGGTCCTATGGATGATCATCATCGATGCCATCATCTTCCACGTCCCCACAACGGTTTTGCTCTACGGAAATGTGGCCTCCCCTGTTGGCCCCTGGGGGAGCGGCTACAATGTCATGGAAAGAATTCAACTGGTCGGCTTCTGTCTCCAGGAACTCATCATTTCGGGCATCTACGTCTGGGAGACCGTGAAACTCCTCAAGCTGCGTCCAGAGGGCCGACCAAACGGAATCCTCCACCAACTCCTCGTCATCAACGTCGTCATCCTCGTCCTAGACGTGGCCATCGTGGCCATCGAGTACACCGGCTATTACTCAATCCAGGTGATGTTCAAACCCGTCGCCTACGGAATCAAACTGAAATTGGAATACGCCATCCTGGGGAAACTCGTCGCTGTCGCCCGCGGTACCTACAACAGCGAGGAATTACCCTCCAGCGCCCGCGAAATCAACTCCTATCCATCCTGTCCTTCCTACCCTTCATATCCATCTTCCCAAGAACCATCGCAGCTCAATTCGGAATCTCGCCGCAATGTCCCGCGGCAGTACAGCCCACCTTGGTTTTGGGAGGATACACACCCATCTAGCAATGCGTCTTCTAGACATTAAAAAGCTCGCCGCGACTGGGAACCCTCCCGTTCCACTCAGTCTACCCTGATATAAACGAGGCTGTGATACCCAAAACTTACATCATCATCTATTCGGGCGTTACATACCCACCCATCTCCTTATCCACCGGGCTCATTCCCGTGCATGTGTCACATAAAATTTCATTGGTATTTAATCAAAAAAGCTAGCTAATCTCAAAAGAACTTCAATGCATCGTGAATAGGAACATCATTGGTAATCAACAACCATGCTGGTGCTAGCCTGTAGCACAAGAACACTGCCAAAGACCTTATTCTGCGGATCAACCATGGTGGAAGCAACCGCACCAAGGGCATAGTACGTATCGGTCCCAATGCTGTCATCAATTGACGCACCGTTCTCGGCCAGAGTGCGGTTGCGACCGACGACGACGATGCTGCCCGACTTTCCGGAGATGTTATCATCCAACTCACTCCGCACGGCAGAGAGAGCTAGTTGGGTGGGATCGGTAATAGTTTCCCGCGCGGTGGATTGTTGGAAGACGACACGTTCCTTCAGTTCCTCGGGGATAGAATCACGAAGGGATTCGAAGAAGACAAGGTCAGACTGGCTATCCCTGGTCATGGATGCATTCTTGGAACTGGGTGCGGGGGACTGTAAGCCAGGGACTTGAATTATAGTAGCCGTGACCTGGTCGTTCTGCGCTAACTGTAGTACGAAGCGGAGGGCAAAGCGGTCGTCTTCGCCTCCAAGGAATGGAAGAACAATGTGGTGAGAGCGGTCGCCAGAGACCCTGCGCGACCATACAGATTGGATGCTCATTCCGCTGGCTGAAGGGTGGGGTGGAGTGGGTCGCTTGGGGGAGCGTGACTCGGGGTTATGTTCGATGAAAATACCAACATGGCCGGGGACTCGCTGGAGAACACTAGTGACGAAATCGGTGTATGATCCATTGTCAAAGCGACTGGCGGTATCAACTTCCAACCCATTGTGACGATCAGTCAGAGTGCCCGTTTCGCTCCAAGGGAGCAGAAGTAGGTCCGTCGTTTCCTGACTAGCCATGTTGACAACGGTATCAGCATAGCTGTGCTCTGGTACGACCGAAACGCCCGCCATGAGAGCAATGTCATGCCATTCTCCAAAGGCACGGAATGTGTTGACAACCGGGTCCCAGAGAGCCTGCTCACCAGCGGACACCCTCATGACACTGGAGTCACGGTCAGTCAGCTCCATGAGCCGGACGCCATGAACCCGAAGTGCGGTTTCATCTTGATCCGTCGAGATGGCGTCCTCAATGCCCTCGTCGGTTTGCTTTGGTTCCTTGGAAGGGTGGATGCGGGGGGGTTGCCAGCGCGGATCCACGATTGGGACTGAGCAGAGCGGCCAAAGTGCAAATGCCCGATAGACCGTCAAGACGAAGATAGGCGAGAAGCTTGCGGACTGGAACAGTTTTGAGCTGGTCCTTGACAGCAGTGACACTGTCAGAGCGGCGATCTTGCTGCAAAGGGTTACCATCCCAATCGATCTCTCCTCGGCGCCAGCGCTCGACCTTAGTCTGATACCAATCGGGGTATAGGGCGGTGGTCAGAGGCGTAGTCAAGAAGGTTGTGACTAAAGCCATGACGACAAAAATAGTGAAAGTACGAGTACTTAGAATCTTTGCCTGAAGACCAATATTCTGTGATGCATGTTAGTTTTTTGATCCTTTTGCTCTTCCCCTTCTAGATAACGCCGCAACTCACCAGCACGATCAATTCGACCAAGCCTTTGCAACTCATGAGCACACCGATGGAGAAGCTCTCTCTCCACAAAAGGCCAGTCCAGCGGGATGCCAGTGTGCCTCCAGCCACCTTGGCCGTGAATGCAATGACGATGACACCAACGACATAACCCCATACGATCCCACTATTCAGCAACCCGAGATCCGTGCTGAGACCGGAAAGTGTGAAATAGAGTGGCAGGAACAGCGCTGTTACCAAATCCTCGATCTTTTCTGTCAGCTTGATGGCGAAACCGCCCTCGTGAGGGCACATCAAGCCGATAACGAAGCCGCCAAAAATGGCATGCACACCGATGACCTGAGTGAAAAACGCAGATGCCAGGGCAATGAGCAGAGTCAGAGTGACAACGGATTGACTGGGCCCTTTCTGCAGGCTGCCAGTACGTCGGAGGAAGCGCAGGAAGACTGGGCGGAAGCCATAGATCAAGAAAAGCATGTATCCCACACAAACGAGAAGAACGTACAGTGCTGTGAGCCCAGAACCTGCATTCACCAAAGCCACGCACAGGGCCAGAAGGACCCACCCGACAATATCATTTCCAACACCAGCAGATAGAGTGATGACACCAACTCGGGTACCGAGAAGCTTCAGTTCGGTCAGGATACGGCAGAGAACAGGGAAGGCCGTGATGGCCATGGCGATACCGATAAAGAGGAGATAGGTGCCGAACTTGATCGGGACGGTGCCAGGGTCTTCCTGAAACTCGTGATATAGGCCGTAGGAGATAGCACAGCCCAGACCGAACGGTAGGATCATGCCAGCTGCCGAGACACTGACGGCGGTGCGCCAGTTACTGACGAGGAAGTGGATATCGGTCTCCAAGCCCACGAGGAAGAGGAACAAGATCAGGCCCAAGTTGGCGACGACATTGAGGTTGGGGATACTGGCAGTGGGGAAGATAGCTTCGGTGAATCCGGGGATGTGGCCCATAACAGAGGGACCTAGAATAATCCCACCGATGACCTCGGCGATGACTCGCGGTTGGCGGATCTTGGAAAGTGGCCAGTGGATGAGGCGACAAAGGACGATAATGATGACAGCCTGAATGATAAACACAACAATGGGGTTTTTTGTGTCATAGTGAGTGGGATTACCCCCCTCGAGGATACCTCCTTGTGGGGTAGCTCTGTTGCCGGCTGCGGTGGCAGCGGCGGCGGCGACGGTGGTGCTGTTCGCCATGATGCTGAAGCAAAGAAGCAACAGCAGCAGGGAACTCAGCAGAAGTTGGGGAATAAAGAGAAATTCTCAAAAAAGGCTCACTTGGATGGAGAAGCTGACCGCGTGTAGGCATCTAAGCCACGAGCGGTCAAAGACGCGTGGGTGCTCCAATCCAAAATGTGGAAATGAGCCCGTTCTTGGCTCCGATCCTTGGCCCCATCTGCACGCATCTAAACGGGCAAAGTGGGTCGACATTCCAACAGTATGCCGATGAGGGGTAGTCATTGGTTGGACGTCGTTGATCCCGGGGATTTGGCCATGCATCTCGGGTGTCAGTCACGTGGCATCTATTCACCAATAAGGTGGTCAATAAGTGGTCAATAAGCGATCACTTTAGGGATTCAATTAAGATCAGATGTTACTAGTATTCAAAGGAGTAAAGAATATTCCAGGACCAAGTTTTTGGAGTAGTCCCATGCTAAATAATTGCAATTTTCTGAGGTTTTTATGCACGGGAAGGGGGAGAATGGAGAATTCATGAAATTAGTAAGAATACATGATACATTTATGCTTCAAAATATAGAGCAAGATGGGGAGGAAAACGCTTGAAAGCCACAAATGCTAGTATACGAGTAACTTGAAAGACACCTATGCAGTCTTCTTGCCCTTTCCAACCTTTGCCCGCGAAGTCCGCACACGGAAGATGTAGTAGAGCGTGATGGCACCAATAATGTTGAAAACGAAGTAACACCAGAAGATTCCATAGTTGCGCCAGCGGTCTTCCCAATAAATCTCACGTGCTGCGAGATACTGGTCAGCTTCACGCATGGTACAGTACTGGCAGTCCGAGGTGGCATCGGGGTTGTAGATAGAGCCCAGGGCCGCTTCGGCATATTTGCCGAGATACTCTCCACAAGTTTGGTTTGCAGGAGGATCGAAGACTCTCAGCTCGGCCGAGTTGCATTGGACTTGTCTGCCATGCAGGGCTGTGCTGCTAATCCCGCTGATGTAGTATGTGAATGGGGAAACGCGGTACATGAAAATCCAGAATCGTGGGAGGTCACTAGGCGGTTGCATGACACCGTTGAAAATGAACGACAGACCAAATGTCATAGTCGCAATGATAGCACCTAGAGTCGGCTCTGGGATGGCACAAATGACAAACTGAGCCATGCTAGCAGCATAGATGAAGAATTGCACAATGAAGAGCATGATGAGTGCGCGGCGCTCAGAGTCTTGGTCAGTGCCAAAAACAGACCAGTAGAAAGAGGCCCATGAGCAGACTCCCAGGCAAACTTGCCAGGGGACTTCAACGAGAATCTGTGAAACAATGAAGACCTTCCAGGAATAGGTGCGAGATGGGCGCTCGCGAACTTCGTAAAGCGAGCGTTGAGCGACAAAGCGAGGCATAATCTGGTTGACGAGGGTATTGAAGATGGTACACAATAGGAAGATGCTGAACAGAACGTTCTGGAAGCCTTGCTGGGTGTTATCCGCTTTCCAGAAAGAAAATCCGATGAACAAACCGCTCGCAATACCTAGAATAAATTTGGCGTAGATGTAGTCAGGCTGGCGGTAGTAACTCTGGAAGCAGCGTTGCAGAACGATGGAAAGCTGGGTAGAAAGGGGCATGGCGAACTCGGCTGTATCGTTGTCTCCAACTGTGTCGTGAACCGAGGGTCGACGAGCTGAGTGTATGCGCTCAATCTCATCCAGGACAGCCTCCTTCTCAGAGCTTTTGTTCCAAGCCGTAGGCCAGTCAACCTCCAGGCAACCATCTCCTGCAACCATATCAAGAATGTACTCGGCCGGGTTCTCCAGCTCTTCGCAGGGGGGAGCTCCATTTTTCCCAAAGTATTCAAGCAAAGTGGAGGAGTTGTTGCCAATGTCGCCAAAATAGACGGTCTTACCTCCTTTTGCCAGGAAGAGCAGACGGTCGAAGGTTTGGAACAAGGTTGCACTAGGCTGGTGAATTGTTGCGAGGACGGCCTGCCCGTGATCCGCCAATCTTCGAAGAAATTGGCAAATTGTCCATGAACTCTGGGAGTCAAGGCCACTCGTCGGTTCATCGAGGAAGATGAGCAGAGTGGGCTTGGCAGCAAGCTCGACACCAATGCTCAGAAGCTTGCGCTGCTCGACATTCAACCCTTCGCCGAGGGATCCGATAACAGCCTCCGCAAAGTCCTCAACGCCGAGCACCTTGATGACCTGCTCGACGTATTCGTACTTTTCTTGCTTGGAAACAGTCGAGGGCTGACGGAGCATTGCGCTAAAACGCAGAGCCTCTCGCACAGTGGTAGTGTCAAGATGAAGGTCCTGCTGTTGCACGTAGCCAGTACGGCGAGGGAAGTTGGCAGCAAGAGGTAGGCCATTAACGAAGATATCACCAGTAACGACACCAATGGACACACGCTGAGCAAGGACATCAAGAAGGGTTGTTTTACCAGCTCCAGAAACACCCATCAAGGCCGTCAAAGTGCCAGGCTTAACCCAGCCATTCACATCATCTAGCAAGCGTCGGGTTCCATCCTTGACAGGGATGTCGTAGTTCAAAGAGCTCCACGTGAAAACATCGGACTGCTCTGGGAGACGAATGGTGTCGTTTGTCTGCTGTAATTCAAGTTTGGTTGTGTCTTGTGCGCCACCCTCGGTATCATGATCTTGCAAATACTTTGGAGCATGTCCGGGTCGGAATACAAGAGCCTCCGCCTTGGACTTGTCACTGGAAATAAATTCGGTGGCCGTGAGATAGAGTGCGTTGAAAAATATGAAGAATGCGATGAGGATGCCAAAATTCCTCCACAGGTGAGAGTAGTGATAGAGGTAATTCTGTTCGATAAAGGCATCACCAGAGACAAAGTCCTGCCCTGCCACGGCTCCAACAGTGGAACAAATGAAATTTGTCCCAGTGCCATAGTTTGGAATGATGGATCCACAGTTATAATCTTTGCCATGGAACTCGTTTGCAATCAAAGACTCGAACGTATAGTAGATCGGGTTGATCCAACGAATCCAGGATAGCCACGGATGCATATAGGGCTGAGGCAGAGTGAAACCAGTGTAGACAACGATGCAAAGAACCATGATACCGGCAAGTGCCATAGCCTGGCCTACCGACTTCGTGAGGGCTCCCAGACTACGGAACAAACCGGACATGGTCAGGACAGCGACGATCAGGAAGAGGTAGAATATGAAGAAGTTGGCGGCTTCTCGGCGAAGATTCGCCATAAAGTATAGAACTATACTGAACGCTGAGATTCGTACGAGCTTGATGGGTAGGTCCACAATGAGACTAGCCAGGGCTTCTGTAAACGGGTGGACAAAAGCATAGCCAGCCTGTTTTTCCACGATCGGTCGCTGGCTATAAAGTTGGAGAATTTCATTCATCGTAAGCAATGCATTCATGAGCACGGCAAAGTAGCAAACAGCGCCCTTTTGGAAGAAGTAGTCGGCGCTGTCGGGGGTGTTATAGAAAACGGATCCAATGATCAAGGATAGAATAATTGAGACAATCACAGGGGCAATGGCGGTCGCACGGTCACCTTTCATGCGCTGGAAGGCTCTGATCGTGCAGAGTCGAATCTGCATAGGAATAGAAAGGAAGTAAGGACTTTTGGCTCGAGTGTGACGCGCTTGGTGTGCTTCATGCGTGGAACGAAGTCTTTGAGCATCGCTTCCATTTGGGGGGTGTTGTTGCTCAAATTCCACTATTTGCTTGCGGAGGGAATGATACTCGGGGCTCTTCTTCCAATATTCAGAAAATTCCTTGGGAGTACGCGGTACTTTATCTTCCATATCAGGAAGAGCCTTGCGCTCACTGGGATTGGTGATAGCAGTGAGGAAGTCACCGCTGACCTGTCGCTCAGGTCTTGTCCAACCCATATCCTGGAAGTAGGAGACGGCGCGTTCTCTGGGGCCGTAATAGATCTCTTGACCCTCGTAGAGGACGACAACCTTGTCAAACTGATCATACATGGATTGCGATGCTTGGTATGCAGCTATGGCATGGCAGGACATACCCATGTCAGCAGCAAGACGCAAAGCCTTGACAAATTTGAGAGCCGAGGCTGCATCCAACCCGCGAGTGCTGTTATCCCATGCTCCGATTCTGCAACGAGACAGAAACATTTCGGCGATACTGATGCGCTTCCGCTCTCCACCACTTACACCTCGCACAAAATCGCTACCGACTTTAGTGTCGTAAGTATGGGTGAGGCCAAAGACAGACATCACAACTTTCACGAGAGTATCGACATATTCATTTCTGCTCACACCTTCGAGGCGACGGTGAGGGGCCCGAGCATGCGCAGCAAAGGTGAGAGTTTGGCCGGCGGTCAGATGAGGGAAGTGAAGATCGACTTCTTTGTTGTATGCAACCTCGCCGCGGTGGTATTTGAGCATGTCGTTGTAATCGATGCCCTCGAAATGAATTTTGCTATTTGGGTCCATGGTCAGGCCGCCGAGATGGCCACAAAGTGATTTGAGAAAGGTTGTGCAGCCACTTCCAGGGCGTCCTAACACGAGCAAAAGCTCACCACCTTTGAGCAGGCCATCAAAGCTGTGAAGGATGCGGCGTGGTTGTGATTTCTGGCCGGAAAAGGCCCTCGCGGCGTTTCGGAAGGGAACTGTGAGGCTTGAGAGGAGGGTCTCTTGGAACTGGAGAGCGGCACCAGAACCACTGATGGAGAGATCTGAAAAGACGATGCCCTGATCTGGGATATCGATTCCCGCCTCGTGGACCTTGATGAGTAGGTTCTGAGCCCATCGATTATGGTCGAACTGGGGATTTTCGGGGTCTAAGCGGGGATCTTTCTTATCATTTGTTGCTGTTGCAGATAAAGCTTGGCCGAGTCGACTCGAGGCGATGCGGCCGAGGGTCTCGATTTCACGCTCATCCACAGCAGTCATGTTGGTTTGGGATCGCTCCGTAATAGGAGCGAACTCCACTTCGGAGTCTTTGTCTGAATCCATGCTGGCTGAATGTCAACCAATATGGAGAAAGTGAGTACAGGTGGCTGACTCGTAGCTAGAGTTCAATTAGAAGCAGCGGGGGTACCCATCGTATTAAATGCCACCGGTCCCCTCGCAAATTTTCAGGCCACGCCTGAAATCTCGACAAAGATCTCGGGGACGGAGTAAACCGAGCAGGCTTAACGCCGACATCCTATGCAAATTATGCGAGTAACTCGGGTGGGGAGACTGCCGAGTCTCCACTTTGGGCTACGCGGTCGGGGAGCGGAGCGCCGACATACCGACGTTATCCTTGAAAAGGGCTAGTGTGACAAATATTATTGGCTGACTGAAATAACCGTCACCCCACCTGCTCTGTTCGGCATATAGTTCAGCCTAGTACAAACGTGAATCCCCCAAACACCGGAATTCCTGCCCCCGTTCAGGAGTAAAGGCTGGACTTTTTCGGTGATTAAATCCCAGTGACCGGATCCATTATGTTTCATTGTTGACTCATCATGCTTCTGTACAGATATTGACTGATCTCTTGGGGGCTGCTTTCATGGTATTAGAAACCATCTTCCAATGTTAGCCCATAATCAGTCGTGGATCTTGACTAGCGATCTGGGGGGGAAGAGGCTCAAGGCTATAGGAAACTAGAACTTGAATATTTGTCACTGAGCTGATGAGTCGCATAGGGCTGACGCCCTTGTCACAAAGGGGTCATATCCTAAGCCCGAGAATCCGGCCCGAAACCTTCCTCAAAATCTGACTTGAACCATCGATCTGCTTATGGCAGTATTGGCGGATTCTGGAAAGGAACCTGAAATATGCAGACCCACTGGCATACATACATTGTACTATCAGTCAATCCAGGAAGAGTAGTTCTCACCCCCCCCCCCCAAAGCCACAATAGATCATCGAATTCTATGATGTAAAGTACTAGAATAGTAGTACTAGTCCTAGTAGTGCTTTAAATGAGGAACAAATGTACTAGTCACTAGTATACTGACATATATACAGCCATCCGATTGGTTCGGAAGCCATGACCCAAACTTTTGAACTTGGGGTCTGGTCATCTTCTTAAGTTCAAGTTGTAGCATGGGTTTCCAGGGTTTGGAGTCCTCGGAGTGGGCATGGCTCAGATTCATGTTATCAGGGAGCATATGAAAATGGTAATTGTACTAGTAACAACTTCAAGTCAGGCTCATATCTTGCAATTAAAATTAATCACGCCCGGAAAGAATTAGTAGACATCATACAACTTAAAAACGATGATTTTCAAAGCAGGAACAACCCCCGAAGTTCTTGCTATGCCACTATTAGGGAACAAAGGAAGATTTACTCCCCTAAATTTATATGTGCAAATCGAGGGTATGGAAAGCCGAGTGATGAGAGGTGATGCTACTGAATGAGCGACATGATTTTTCAATCAACTTGAATGTTCTCATGTCATGGCTACCCTAGAGTGACTTTTGTAACAGAGAAATGCAAAAAAGACATGTGAAAAAGGCACCCATAATTGGAAGCTGAATCATTTGCTCTTATGGGAACGGCCATGAGCTGCCTAGGGTGATTCTTAACTACCTGACGCGGGTCCCTTGGTTGAACAAGCACTTGCCGGGATATTCCAGAAAACCAACTTGCTATATTAGAATGTCATAAGAATACTTCGTACTGAGGCGATATTTGACAAAAAGACCGAGGTTGGTTTCACGACTCTCTTCAAATAGCACCTCTAAGCCCCGTTTGAAATACGCTACCTCAACTGCCTTTTAGTTAGTTAAATTGTAGATATTTATGCCTCAGGCAATAATATTGTCTTGGCGCGCCTTGACCTCTCCCCTTCTAATTATAGTTAGCCCATCTTCAAGTTATCTCTTTAATCATCCCGATCTGAATCATCCCATTTCCCAAGCTCTATCTCTTCCCCTTGTGGCGCTGCTAATGATCCAATGGATGTTATCAAGTGCCCCGGTGTGATTTCTATTGGTTGTTACTGTCAGCCACTGTCGGCCCCCACTCAAACGAGTCACGAGCTCGGACCCTTGGGTAGAAAAGGGAAAATGGTCTTGGGAAGACTAGGAAATCTCGCTAACCTGGCCAAGCTAAGACTTTTAGTACTGAGCTTACATTCAGGTTCCACATCCATGGAAACCAATGACGCCGAACCACTACAAGCCACCAAATCATGAGAGCCATCTAGATAAAGTTGGCCCGCCCTGCGCCGCGTCGAACGCCCTACCGAAACCGTTGCGCAAAAGCTTTGCTTCATCGCTGCCCGTTTCACCCTTCTCTTGTGCTCCATCTGATCTCTGAGATCCCAATTCGAGCATTGTCGCGCCCGTGGGCTCTTCACGCATCGACCACCCCTTCCGGCCTTCCGGGGTCTACTTGGCAGCGGGAAATACTCCAGGTTCACCTTCAGATGGTGTATCGCGGCAAACCCAGTGCTTCTTGTGAGCGCTGTCGATCTCGCCGCATGAAGGTTAGCTAGCTACGAGATCGAGGAATTCGAATTCGACCCAATGAGGCTCATATTTCTCCTAGTGCGATCAAGGATATCCATCTTGTACCCAATGCATGCGCGCTAAGGTGGAATGTCCAGGGTATCGTGACCCACTCGAGCTCAAGTTTCGGGACCAGAATGAAGAAGTCATTCGCAAATCACAAAATCCGACACGTAAAAAACGTGCAGTAAATGCCCTCCCCGAAGTCGTTGAATCAGATTCCAACAGTGGCGCTGTTATAACTTCACCACAGGCCATTCCAGAATATCCAGCACAGGAACTTGCAAGGGGCTATTTATTTTGCAATTATATGGCCGGAGGCCCTCATGCGGGCCATATGTCGTATTTGCTACCATTGATCCAGAACCCACAAAATGCGGCTCTCAATGCGGCTCTCAATGCCGTTGGCTTGGCAGCTCTGTCAAATATTCGAATGTCTCCTCGGATGATGTTGAAGGCACGTCGAGAGTATACCACTGCTTTGTCGCAAACCAATCATGCACTGAGAGACCCATTTCTGTCTAAGCAAGATGACACCCTAGCTGCGGTGGTTTTACTCGGAATGTTTGAAGTGAGTGACTCGGAAGACGACTCCCGGCTTTTGCATTACCCTCAATTCTAACGAAACTCAGCTCGTGACATGCACTGACAACTCATTCATCGACCGCTGGATGAAACACATGGAAGGGGCTGCAAGACTGATTGAGTTCCGAGGCCCAGATCAGCTCGCTCGACAAGAGGGCCTAGATCTCTTCAGTCAACTACGTGCCCAAATTGTACGTCCCATTCCAAGGTTCCATTTGCTCTTATGTAGCAAACTTTAAGGAGCTTGATGCTTACCAGATTCACATTTAGAGTACTAGCAACATATATCGAGAGGAGTATAGCTCATCGAGCCTTACAGAGCTGAGTGAACTTGCAAAGCAATATCGAAATACAAATGATCATGTTCTCGACAACCTCGGCCTGATAGTCATACGACTAACTAATTTCTGTGCGGCCCTGAAGGACGCAACCATAACGGACCCCAGTGAAATAATTCGCACCGCTCTGACGCTAGATGCTGAGCTTATGGCGAATTTCATCAACGTTCCCTCTCCATGGAATTATAAATCAATCGACATCCCGATGGTTGATGGGGAGTCAATACTCCCCATGGCCTGGGGGACAAGCTATCATATATATCACAGCATCGCCGCAAGCAGCATGTGGAACAATTATCGTTCGTCCCGAATACTCATTCATGAACTCATCATCGACACTGTAACAGGCCTTGACTCGTCGGAGACCGATCAAACAAGCTATCAACAACGGCAGCATCTAGCCAGCCAAAGCCGTCAAATTGCACGTCAACTGATGGAGGATATCTGTGCCAGTGCCCCCTTCCATCTCGGAGCAGGATCAGAAGACAGTATGGATGAGAGAGTGGCCCCTCGCTCGGGATCTACAAGCCCATTGAACTGCTCGGACTGGAGCCACATACCTGAAGCCACTTCAGCTGCGTCGAAACAATATTCGCCCGGCCGAGAACAGCCTTCTACTAGCTGGAATTCATCTCCAGGCAGGGATTCCCCATTTTCGAAAATCTCAAACTCTTCAACAGTCAGTTCAATGGGAGGTTTATCTCCGGATCTCTTCAAAATCAGTGGAGCGGGCGGCCTGACGTTGGTCTGGCCACTTCTCATTGCTGCAAACTCCGGGCTTGCCTCGCTTGAGCTCCGCAATTGGATTACAGGCTGCTTTGACAAAATTGGGTATTCAATGGGAATTAACCAAGCCTTGGCCATGGGGAAGCTCTTACGAAATGGCAGTGGTTCTCGAGCCTGGTTGACACCCGAGCTTGGATCTCCCATCTCAGTCTAATATACGTATTCTCATTCAAAGTTAGCAAGGTAGTTTTAGAAATTTTATTTTTAGAAAAAGACAAAAATTAAAGACAATCAAATTTTGCTCTAAGACGAAATCTGCAACAAAACTCCATTCCTGAACAAGCCTATCTTCCAATGCCCTTCAAGTCGTTAATTCCAAGTCATAAATATTGAGAAAGCAAAAATAGATCAAGAAAAAAAAATACAATCAAATCTAAGAAACAGAACGCCCCTAAACATCTTCAACCGATGCATGATTCTAGTTTCAAAGTCCAGCAACTGTCATTTGTAGCAACCCACGACTGAATGTCCGATTTAGCGCGAGTGGTGTTGCTGTCGCTGCTGCTGTCGCTGCTGCCGTTGCTGCCGTTGGCTATCGTTATACGCATACTGAGCCCCAGCTTCAGCATCCGACATGTTTTTATATGTCGGGTCGTAATTTCGTTGTTGGCGCTCATCGGCCACCTCATTGACCATTGGATACAGCACAGGCGGGACAATGCCACCCCCAACGGTCGGATGAATACTCGATCGAGGAGTCATGAGACCGAGAACTGTATACAGAAAGACCACTGCAAACTCTTCAATAGTTGCCATGACGATCTGAATAGTGATATCCCCATCAATGAGTGAGAACTTCGGGTTATTTCCAAAATCGCTGATCAGGCTGTAAAGCAAACGGACGGCGATGAGTGGTAGTGCGAGAAAGACACAGAGGAAAATGCGTTTCTGGCTACTTTGCATCTTGCCCAAATCGCGAACAGTGATTACCCACAAAATGCAGGTAGCGAGATAGATGAGCAGAAACATTATGATAGCGGCGCGGACTTCATTCTTGCCGCTGGCGTGGTCCGACTCGTCGGCTGATGCTTCGTCAGAGCCACCGCTAATGGCTAAGATGAGGGCAATGAAGGCTGGGATATGGAGGAGCTGGACGACCTTGCTGCGATAGGAAATGGCGGTTGCTTTTTTGTTGTAGATGGAAAATCTAGTGGTGGAAACAGAAAATTAAAGGGGTGTCTCATGGGGAGGAATCAGGACAGAGTTGAACTTACAGTTTGCCAAAGATGCCGAAAATACCAGAAAATAAGCTCACGGTCTGTAGGAGTATATTCTTCGTCGATAAGGGGTCCGATGGAACCCGGTCGGATGTCTCGTCGAATCTATTGGCCAAATTAGGACTCAAATCTTTCACATCTATGATTATGAAGTTGAGGATAAACTCACATTCTCTTTAAAAGACCCAAAGTGGATAATAGTAGCGGAGAAAGGCCAACAGACTGAAGAATCGTGGCCCACTCTTTATCGCTAGAGTTGTCGGGGTTCTTGACACTTAGGATCTCCATGATAGAGCCCACAACACGAATTCCGCCGAAGATGCAAAGATAAATCCATCCCAACTGTTTGTAAAATCCATGGCGGAAGACCACGAATATCGCAAGGAGTAAGATCGGTATGTATACCACCAGCTCCGCGATAGCAAGGTGCTCGGCACTAGCAGTCATTGCTGATTTAAGAGCTTGGAAGCCAAATAAATGTCTTTGGGTTGTTGAGAAGAATAGATGTAGTTGTTGAGTGATCAGGATGTTATTGACCAGTGTTTTATATGTGCTTGACTTCAACTAATTTTCTTCATCTAGAAGTACTACTTTATTCACTTCTACTTTTCGTAATAAGCTGCGAAGCGCCTCCAGCCACGGTATCCACTATCTCCCCCCAAAGAGGAGATCAGAACGAATGAAAAAGGCTGAAAATAAGCATTAACCTGCAAGCCGCAGCCCCCACTGCCTAGAATAGCGGGACTTTTGGAGCTTGTTTTGAGATCGAAAGGTATACCAAGAAGAGCGCGGGTCAGCGTCCATCCGGCAGAGAGGCTTAGCCTATTCTTTCCATCATACTCCCTATTCTCGGTGATTGATTGGATAAGAGCCCTGGTTTTGCCGACATCCAGGGTGGCTGGACCCACTATGCCGAAAAGGGAAACAGTTTCGATATCCTACAGCGACAGCTGTCTCCACTTCTTAGCTCTTACCTTCCAGAGTCGAATTTGGAAATTGCTAAGATGCTGGGTGCCGAGAAAAATGACAAACATTTTCAATTTTTTTCTTGATCTGGATCCATGATCCACTCGTTCCATTCCCATCTCGAGAATTTGGGGAAATCTTGCATGAGGTCGTCGACACCTTTGATCATTCTTTTCCATATTATGTCCCTTGGAAAGATCCAATCAATGCCAGTGGTAGTTCACTAAATATTTAGTTTTTCAGAATCTTAAATTCCGAAAGACATAACCTAGGTGAAGGGAAATTCTATTCCTGGCGACTTGTCAGGAAGGCAAGATACAGCAACCACTTCAAATTCTTGTCCTAGTATTCAATCAGGGCTTGGAAGCTATCAACTGACCGACCGGATTATCAAGAAGCGAAATTCAAATTTAGTAGTAAAATTAAATTGTATCATTAAAACTTTCAAATTCGTTTCACGGACTCAGAGACATCAAGGACGAACGCTTCGTCATAGGCTAATTGCAAACACATAGGAGGCTGATCTTATTGACATAAAGATTGTTGGAAAATCTATTAACTCTTACTAGTAGTTTTAGGAAAAAACTATCGAAGGCCCAGGGTTTGTCCGTATCGAGGCTAGTTCCATTTACTCATATTTTTGAAATTATTCAAGGTGCCCCAGTGGTCCCACTACCATCACTCAGACAGAAAGGTCGGCGCAGGTATTACCTTATCACACTGCAAGCCCCCAATTGAATTCGGAAAATGCCCTTTTGATTTCGCGTAATGTAAGCAAGCCACAAACTTCGACAAGGGATGCCAGAGTAGTTCCGTCAACGTCGGCGTGGCCTGAATTTCTCAGGCACGCCAGTCGGCGACAACACCCTTCGGTAAAATATTTGAGTGCCGAGCATGTCTTTCGTCCGAGAGAATAGTGTGACATGCCGTGCCAGCTAAAATGCGGAGAGCCCCCCTTAAGCCAGCGAATCCAAATTGCAGGGGCATAACCCCGCATTTTTGAGATGGTCAATGACTGAATGCAATAGCTACATATAAACTCCAAAGAGAGCATATTCCAGTTATATTCAAACACCGCATTAAACCTCATCTCTTTATTTCTAGTCCTCAGTATGTCCAAGTTATCATCGAAGCTGAAGTCTGTGATCAACGCGCCATACGCCCGACCAGGAACCGTTCCAGCCCCCTCCAACGTCCTGTCTGTGTACCAAGCAATCGCGAAAGATGCCCAATACCGTGGCGTGGGACTTAAGCCATGGCTCACTGCCGCAGTAAATAGATACTCAAATGAAGAACGAAAAAAAAAAGAATCATACTGACGCTGCGTAATCAAAAAGGCCGCGGCAACGATGACGATGAATTCTCCTGAATCCTTAAATCGGCTCTTTGAGCAGGTTTCAGCATCGAAGTCGCACAATGAAAGGGTCCTATTGGCAGAGTTAGTCAGGGAAATTGGTTTAAAATGTCTCGGATTCAATGGTGTAAACATTACTTGCCATGGACATTTTTCGGCGGCCTGGAACTGACTGGAAATAGATTCCTCGGACCATCAATTGTCTCAATGAGTTTCATGCCGCGCTGCCTCAGATCATAGCTGAAAACCTATCTACGAAATCACGCCGGTATGTTTGGCCAAGAGCCTCTAGTATCAAGATACTGAGCCAGTTGAAACAGATCCCTAGCGTCTCAGAATGTCGACATGGTGTCTTTGCGTGGCCAAACCCTCTGGAAATCTGTCTACTATCCTTTTGAGTCGAAGCTGTTTGATAAGCTTGGTAAGGCTCATCCAGACCTTCCAGTGCATATCGTAGAAAGCGAATATGGAAACCTCTTTTCAGACCCGCCCACACAGCCGGGAGCGATGCCGGTCACCGTTGGCAGAGTCTTAACTTCCATACTGGGCATCGCTTGTCTACGAGCGCAAACTGGGGTTGGGCCACAGCTATTGTCTCACGTATATGGACTTCGAAAGGCATTTGATGATGATAATTTTCACCAGGAAATGAAAGATGATCTTGGAGGGGAGCGTTGGTTGGCTAGTGATGATGGGAGTGTGTGGCTTCTAGAAAGTGTGGACCGGATAGTGGAAACACTTGGGCAAGGGCATGGAAGTAACTTCGCGCCTGGAATGAGTAGCAAACTCTAGGTTGTGATCAGAAGTTTGCACAGCACGAAGTGCCCGAAGGATTGAAAGTGTGTCTGATGACGGTATTTGGGCGCAGCGAGCGTCTACAGTCCTTCAGCCACATGCCGGTGGATCGTGCGGAATCCAGCGGATATTCTAGTGGGGGATGAGGAATGAGGAACGCCGAAGGAAAGGCTGTATTTATGGAAGAATCATTGAAATTGATTTGTATTACAGAAATGGAATCACCGAGGCGGTTGTGTCTATATTTCCTAACTACTAGTAGCTTCAGAGCATTCGATTGTATGATATCATGATCATAAGTACTAGTTAGTATATGCGTGATACCTGCAGTGGTAGCATTAAGCAATGGTATTGGGCTTGAGGGCTAACACCAATACTAAGAGTACTCCTAATAATAGTAAATCAGATCTTAGATAATCCTGGACTAACCATCAATAGTAATTTCCTGCTGCGTAATACTGGCCCAAAACAGCCAGTGCATTTCGTCAGCTTGACTTTGCTCTGCCCCTCCTTTTTCCACCTCTCTTCTCTTTCTCCCCTCTTTGCCCTCACAATTTACTATTTGATTTGCATTTCCCCCCTACAGATAGAAATACCAATACCAATTGCTCTTCTCTCTTCTTCCTTTCCCCCGCCCCCGCTTGATCCACCCCCGCAATGTTTCCCCCACCTCCCGCCGCTCTCGACTGGAACGACATCGGTTTCAAAGTGCGAGAGGGTAAGTCAAATCCACTTCCATACCACTTCACTTCCAGCTAACCTCATCCTCCCAGTCAACGGCCATGTAGAATGCCACTTCTCCACCTCCGGTAACGGCCAATGGTCACGTCCACGCTTCGTGGCCTCCCCCTTCCTAAACATCCACGGCATGGCCCCAGGCCTAAACTACGGCCAACAAGTCTACGAAGGCCTAAAAGCATTCCGCCACGCCGGCAACAGCAAGATCACCATCTTCCGACCCGACCGCAACGCAAAGCGCATGCAGCACTCCGCTACCGTGGTCTCCATCCCGCCCGTCCCGGAAGATCTCTTCCAGGAATGCGTCGCGCTGGCCGTCGGTGCCAATGCCGAATTTGTCCCGCCGCATGAGTCTGGCGCGGCCATGTATGTGCGTCCGCTTCTTTTCGGTTCCTCTGCGCAATTGGGACTTAGTCCGCCGGACGGGTATACGTTGGCGGTCTTCGTGATGCCGACGGGTGTTTATCACGGAGCCCATGCGGTTGATGCGTTGATCTTGGAGGATTTCGACCGGTCTGCGCCGCATGGTACGGGTGATGCGAAGGTTGGCGGGAACTACGCGCCCGTGCTGCGACATAGTGATAAGGCTCGGAATGAGGGGTTCGGGATTACGCTGCATTTGGATAGTGCGACGCGCAGTGAGATTGATGAGTTTTCGACTTCGGCTTTCGCGGGCGTGCGGCGGGATGGGGATGTTGTGACTATTGTACAGCCCGATAGCCGGAATGCGATTGATTCGGTGACCGCTTCGTCGGTCGCGGATATTGCGCGGAAGCTGGGATATAAGGTGGAAAAGCGTCGGGTCGGGTATGAGGAGTTGGGCCAGTTTGATGAGGTCTTTGCTTCAGGTACGGCGGCGGCACTGGTGCCGGTTCGGAGTATCACGATGCGCTCTCGCGGGGAGAAGTTTGAATATCAATCTGGCGAGAAGGGTGAGGGTGGCGAGGTGTGTGTGAAACTCTTGCAGACGCTTCGGGGGATCCAGTCGGGTGGTATTGCCGATGATATGAACTGGAATTACGAAGTCCAGGCTCCCCCGAAGGAGTGGCTGGAGGAAGGCAATGTCGAGAAGGTGGATAGCGGTGCGAATGTGCCTTGAAAAGGATCAAGTAGTAGTTTAGACATTGAGACACGAATCCGTTGCAGTTGTTTATTCCTAGATCTGTGCTAGTTCACCTCTCTACAATACAATACAAGGGGGATATCAAACAGAAATGGTATCGCCGAGAATCGAACGAGACCGCGTCACAGCAAAGACCATTCGACCAATTTACCTGCCCAGGTGCTTTGCTTTGCTTTATTTCAATCACTTCACATAAAGTGACAGAATCCACCTAACTCAGGACTGGCTTTCGCGACTTGTGGGAATCACCATTGTAGGTGATATCACCACAGCTATCATTGCCGTCGCTATCACTGCTCTCATCGTCTGTTAAGTCGAGGACACTAGGTTTGGCTGGAGTATCTGAAGCTGAAGCTAGCATTTGCTGGCGCATCAACTCTTCCTGGGCAGCTTCTTCCTTAGCAGCTTGCAGGAGACTCTTAAGCGTAACCAAAGGGGCTGGCTTCGGCTGGGAGGAGACTAGCTGTTGACTGGATTGAAGTCTTGGGATAGGTTTGGGGGTATTCGGCTGTTTTCTGGGAGACCTGCGCACGAAAGGCAACCTAGAAAATATTCAGTTAGGGATGACCAGGCTTCAAGATTATCGATGGTAGACTTACTGTTCTAGACCAGGCTCGGAATCAGACTCAGGATCAGACTCAGAGCCAGACTCAGATTCGTCACTCTTCGATAATTGATACTCAGAATCGGGTTTTCCGTTCGAGGCAACCTCTAGATTGCCATTGCCATTTGGCACTTCCGTACTTTCATATTCAGATTCGTTGCTTTCGTTCATTTGAGCTCCAACTTGGTCGTTGCATTCATCCGATTCCTCCGCCTGAAGATGAACGTTTTCAATGGCAACACCTTCGCTAGATTCTTCGTAATCTTTGGCATCTTGGTATTCTTCATCTTCTGACTCCTCGGGCACATCATCAACAAAGTCATCCTTATCATCATCTCCCTCCTCGTCATTCTCATCTACCATGGCCGCATCATCAACAAGCCCATTTGAAACAACCTCCGCAGATCCTTCCCAGTCATCGGTCATTTCGGCGTCCCTAGTCGGATCATTTTCGGGGTCATCGTGTTCTTCAACAGGGTTAGCATCGTCGATGACTGGGTGGTCAGCTTCGTTGTTGAGCACTGCGCTGGGTTCTCCCGTCGCTTCCTCGGTTTGTTCCTGAGTAGTCTCCTGAGTAGCCACTTCAGTCGCTACCTCATCGTTCTCGTCTGTATCCTTCATCTCCGTATCGATATCTGTATTTTCAGCAGGAACTTGTGGTTTGATGGGGGTCTTCTTGTTGACAGATCCAGACTGAGATTCTCGTCTGGGCGATTTGTAAATCACAACCGAAGGAGAGCGGCCCGGGCGACTGATAGATGACGGGTTAGGCAGGCGTGCCTGAGAACTAGTTGTCGAAGACCGTGAGCCTCTGCGTCCCGGGCTTTGAGATTCTCGAGGGGTCACGGGCTTTTGCGCAGGAGCAGATACGGCGTTGATGAAGGACCAGGTTGGTGCTTGGCTTGGAATTGGTGGAGCTGCAGCGGAGGAGCGCATAGAGCGGGTAACCCTTGCTTCAACTGCAGGCAATAAGCGCTGGGCCTCCGGCTGCGGCTCAGTCTCAGGCTCTCCTCGAGGCTCTGATGTTTCAGTCACTGTTTGTTGTGGCTCTGTAGTGGGTCCAGTCTCGATCCTAACGAGTCTTTTCCTGAGAGGAGGAATCTTTCTTTCTAATCTCGTGATACGATGGCCCTTGTCACTTTGGCTATTTTCACGTCTCTCCTTTCTGGCTGCGTCGATTTGTCTGTATATATGGAGTATTGCTTCCACAATCGACCTGGCCGCAGGTTCGGTGGTTGGATCCTTTAGTTTCTTCTCTAGGCTTCTTTTCTCATTCACCTCCTTTTGGATACGAGCAAATTGCTCATCTAGGTCCTGCTGGTTCACAGGAGCTGCCTTGTTACTACTGGACGGGACATGTGGGGACCCCTTTGAACCAGAGACAGGAGTTTTGTTGGCGGGCTTTGAATGCTTCGATTGCGGCCTTTTGGTCTTGGAAGAGCTGGCTTGCGTGGTAGACTGGGAGTTGAGGATCGGTTCATTGAATGAAACAGACCGTCTCTTGTATGAATGGATGCTTGCTGGAGATGACTTGCGGATTGCTGATGGTGGGGGCATGCTCCCTGAAGGAGTCGCGACATTGTTTGGAGTGGAAATGGGCCCAGTGTTCTGACTTGAGGGTGTATCGGATTTCGCTAACTTCTTGAATAACGGACTCGAGGTGACGCCTAGTCCAAGACTGTTGCCCGTAGCTGACCGCTCAGACAGGCTAGCTCTCCGACGCGGACTCGCGAAAGTGGGCACATTAACTCGCTTCCTGTTGGGACTGGCGACGCTGGCCTCCGTATTCTTCAGATTTTCTCCACCCAGTCGGCGTTGTTTGACGGGCCCACTAGCCCCTGGACTGGGCTTGCGCTTCTTGGACTTGTGGCCTTGCTCCGGACTTGGCGAGTCGCCAAGCTCCTCACTTCCCGAGCTCCGAATTGTTGGAGTGCCAGGAATCGCTTCATCTTGACTGTATTGAGGCTGCAATTCTATGGAGGGGGTGGGCGCATCGTGATATGTCTGTTCAACAGGGGACTCCTGCGCCGAAGCGGGGGCATATTCTTCTTCCGCAATTGGGTTGAATTGGTTCCTCACACGCGAGTTGCGTTGATATCCATTATTCGTCGCACCATCCCAGTCCTGCACAACTGAGGAAAATCGCTGGGGCGCGTATCTGGCGGGCTTTTGTATCACGCGAACAATTGCTCGCTGGTCGTGGCCGTCGGAGAATGCTTTGCCGTTGTCGACAAAGACATCGGCAACCGTCATGAATAAATTAAGGTCAACGGTAGGGTTTGCCTCGTCGAGTAGTTTCTTAATTTCTAGAGGTCTGTCCATTGGGTCAGCAAAATGACGTGGTATTCAATATGGCGCTGGGGCAGAGCTCACTCACTCTTGGTCGGATCGGAAGTGAGCCCACTCCATACAAATTCTGCGAGCAAGATCCGCTAAAGTGAGATCCTCCGAATTTCTGAGCAGCAAAAGGAACGAGGCGTATGGCTTAGCCGGGTTCGCTTCTCCCAACTCGTCGCTGTCGCGCCGGTCAACATTCTGCTCGGGCTCTTTATTGCGGTTTCCCACTCCGGTTCCGATCAATCGCGAGAAAACGCTCGTATTTGAGCCACTGGCTTCAGAAGAGAGGGTTGGTGGAGGTTCCTTAGGATAAACCCTGACCTCCAGGCGCAAGAGAACCATGCTTGCGAAAGGCTGAACGGTGGACGGGCAGGTTCAGGTTCTGGAGGTGAGGTGAAGGGAAGAAAACAGTGACAAGCAGTTGTTGCGCGGAGCCGCGGTGGTTCCTTCAGCCTCAGGCACCACTTTTCCGACTGGTCAAGTTAGGCAAACACCAACGGGCACTGAGGAATGACGGTCGGGCAAACAATAGGAATGGTGAATGAGTAAGTGATAATAGATATGACGAAGGAAGGTGAAAGATAAATGGGGGATGAACATAGTAGAACTGCAGGCAGTAGGTCATGCTATTCCACTAGTACTGGCAGGTCCGCTGGATGGTTCCCGGTGGCACCTTCCCTCACAGAACACACCTACTGCTAACTAACATAGAGAAGGTAGTACCGTCATACCTGCCATATGCTACCAGTAACTAGAAGGGAGCTGAAAAATACGTGATCAACTGCTTAGGTATAACCAAGGAATTCAAATAGATAGCATAACTATTTCAACCAGCTACACTTCCAACTACTCATCCGGCGATGAAAAATACCGGTGGAAACGATCAATATCCGTCAACCCGAGTTCAACAACAACCCAATGGCAACACATCAACAAACTGGGAAACCTGACGGTCCAGAAATTCAAATACCCCTCCGGCAGCCCACCGATATGCATCTTCAATTGGTCCGGCATATCGTTGTAGTGGTTGCGTTTATTCCGCAGCGCGCGGAGCAGATCGAGTATCCGGGAACCCGTATATTTGCGCTGTTTGCCAAGGTTATCTTTAAAGTCTCGTGGGAGGAGTTTGAGGAAATCCATTTCCGGTCCGATGACTTCTTGCGCGACGGATTCGAGGCAGAGCAGTGCTTCGGATGGGGGCTCGCGGGACTCGAATTCGAAGTGGTCTGAGACATCACAGAGGAAGCTTAGCCTGTCGGATGCTGGCCAGAAGAATGGGTGTGTGAGGACACCACTTGCGTCCGGTCTGGTTGGAGTTAGTAAAGTAGAAACAGCATGTGGGGGTCCTTGAAGGAGATGCATACCGTTGGCGTGGATCAAGTGACAACATGGAGCTAACCAGATCCTTGGCTTCGAAGGCATAGTCGCCAAGACGATCTAGTTCTTCGAGATCGAAGTAACCCTTGACAATGTTTGCCTCCCGCATGAACTTGCCATTCTTGTCGAACGGATGGCCACCACGAGTAAGGACGTAGTAAAAAACACAGCCAAGGGAGAAGATATCGATGGCCCGAGTAGCACGGCGGTTGGTCTGCGGGTCTACCACAGCTGGCTCGGATGTTTCGGTATGCTGCGACTCGATGTTTTGGATCAGAGGGCCAGTGTCATCGTCCACAAGGAGCTCCGGAGCACGCCAACCAGAGGTACCAGCGGCGTGGGCGGTGGTCGCTCGGAAAGAGCTTTGATTGTCTTCTAGCTTCTTGCATAGACCGAAGTCCGAGATGAGAAGGCGAAGGGCCCTTGCGGCAGTTTTCGAGGCTGCCTTTCGGCCACGGGGCATGGCCACTAGGATATTCTGGGGTTTGAGATCACGATGCACAATCTTGAGAGAGTGAAGATAACGCACACCCTGTGTGATTTGGCGGAGAACATCCGGCATATCGAGACCGCTTTGAATCAACTCAGGGAACTGGGAAGGTCTTTCAATGATATCCTGGAGAGAAGCGGGGCAGAGTTCCAAGCCAATGTATAGGAAACCTGCGGCTTGTTCACGGCAAAAGTAGCGAATGACATTGTGGTGATCATCACTCTCCTGCAGCAATCCAACTTCATGAGAGGCGATATCATAAAATTCCATCAGCATTCTCTTGATTGCGACATTTCGGCCATCAAAGACACCCCGGTAGACAACAGTGCCGTGGCTACCATGGCCCAGCACAACATCAGTGAACACCTCCAAGCGACCAATGCGGACTACGCCATCAGCAGTCATGTCGACAACATCGCTTGACACAGTGCGAGTGAGGGGAACGCCGTGGTCTGAATGGATCGAGGCGTTGGGCGTCAATTGGTTATTCTGCTCATTCGCTCCGTTCTCACTTGCGGGTTTGGCACCCTTGCGACGATGTGCCTTGCCACCTCGTGAGCCTCGAGAACGCTTCTTCTTGGGCTTGTCATTTTCTTGCTTGTCATCTCCTTCATCAGGGCCACGAGATGGTTCGCGAATTTGCACACGGGGCCCCGAGTCTGGCGGCTTGCTCTGATCCCGGGATGGCCGTGGGGTGGCATCATTGTCAGAGAAGTTGTTTCTCATGTCGACATCAACATGGTCGACAGTGACCTCTGGCACTAATCCAGCCGTGGCATCTCGAACAGGAGTCGATGTCCGCTTTATGTCAGGCGTCGCGCCAACAATCGGTGTGGCAGGAGTGGAAAACGACTTGTCATTGGAGTTGATAATATTCTTCAAATCAAGCTTCTGCTTGGCAAGGTCACGAATATGGTGGGAATTCAAGTAGATGAAAGTGCCGATAAACAGCAGGATCATTGTCACAACAATGTCTAGAGCATTGTCCCAACTCTTGCGAATGATTGTACTGTGTCGCAGGGCAGGAGGAAGCGCCAATTCCGATCGCAGGACATCTCTTGGGGTATCGTTGGATACTTCGGGAGTGCTTGCGATCCGGGGAACAGGTGGGACAACGGTCGGGCCGCTCAGCGAGTGAACACCAGCGAGTGCATCGCGCTGTTGAGGTTGGGTGAGACTCATCAGGGGCTGGCCTCGGCGAAAGAAATCCTTGTTATAGCACTGGGCCATCGGGGCACGACCCGTGACGAGAGGATAGGTCTCTTCAGACAAGGCAAACCACCCCCCCAGCCGCGGTGGAGTCGATGAAAACCCGCTGGTCCCGATCATCCGAGGCGTAGTCTGGGTCGGGAGGCTGAAGTGGCTGCGAAAGCAGAACCAATGGTGTCGATGCATCTCGTTTTTCTTTACTGGTAGGGCGCTGGCGTACCACGTCAAACACGCGAGCCACAGGGGAGGAGAATCGTTGCGTATAACGGGGCCGATCCATCCTAGAGTGATCAAATCCCAATACAACACCATCGTACATGCTGTAAATATGGCTTTGGTCCATGGTTTGGAGATACTGGCCCTGGAGATCGATATCGCGATTATTTGGTGCCCATTCAGAATACTTCAATGTGCAAATTGGGTCACCGGTTTCGGTATTTTGAATGGCCACTGCATATTCGACACGACCCAGTACCAGCGTACCAGAGGTTGTCTCGCACTCCTCGTCGTCCGAGTCCAAGTCCTGCCCATTGACTTTCTGGCACTCGTGTCTAGTGGCGAAGGGTCCCCGCGAGCTAAACACTCGAATAATGCTACCGGTCCGAGCATCAATCGTGTAGAGGGTTGTTTCTTTGCGGGCGGTGTACGTCACAGCAGGTTCGTAACCGGAGTAGGGCGTTTCGTCGACTAGTTGCTTAACTGTGAGGCCGAGTTTTTGTAGCCCGGCATTTTCTCCGGGGCTGTAGATATACAAGCTACCGTCCTGGCTTGGCTCAACGATCCACAGAAAATCTTCCTCCGGGTGTGTCTCGTCGAAGCTAGAACTGGATCGATTAGCCCGGTGGTAGATACTTTCAACCAAGGGGCTGCTGGGAACCTCCAGGGCCCAGCGGGGAGAACCGGTCTTCCGGTCTCGGGCGTGAAGGGTTCCGTCGACGGTCGCCATCAAGACAAAGTCCTCAACCTCCCAGTCCTGCAAGGACCGCGCGTTAAGCTGCGAAACCAGGCCGGCAGAGGTGCTGGCCTGGCTAGGAGGGGCTCGAACGGCGCGGCCAGAGCCCGCCAGAGCCAGAGTTGCCAGGGCGCTCGCATCGTTGGATTTGACGATGGGAGGAGCGGCTATAGTGGCCGCATGGTGTGTTGTGTCTGTCCCGGCCGCCAAGGGCACGGAGACTCGAGAGGGTGAAGCCGAATCATGGAGCTCTGGTTGCTGCTGCGGAGCGACCAGAGTTGGGAGCAGGAGGAGGGCGACGCTGGCGGGGAGGGTCGAACGGGCGCCCGGCAGCCGCCAACGCATGATGGGAACTTCAGAACTGTGTGCAGATGATCAGGGAGAGTCGCGGGGTCGAAGAGGTGAGGACCGAAGGGTTCATGAGTTGATTGCGGCGATTGGGGTGTATGACAGTGGAAAAGACGGAAGTGGAGCGAGGTCGAAGGTTGGGTAGCGGATCATCCCCCACTCGGAAGGATAAAGTGACAAAGAGAATTCGTGGGATAACAAGAGATAATGAAGGTCTCTAGAGATAGACGAAGTGATGAAGGATAAAAAGGAGGTGGAGGTCGAAGGGGCCGGAAGAGAGAGGAAGGCTGAAGGCTGACGGATTGTGTGTAATGATTGTGTACTGCATATTACCAGATATGTAACGGCAGTGTACTGATGCTGTAATCTACAATCTCTACCCGGGGGTTGTGTAATTACTGAGTAAACAAGAGTATATTACAGTATGGTACTGTACACTACCTGCGCCCCTCGATTTGCAATTGCGTGTGCGTTTCAGCCAATATTGACGGTGGTTGGCTGGCCTTTGAATGTACTCCGTACAACACTAATGTATCTATTGGAAAGTGATTCGGATTTAAATACTCCGTAGCACGTACTGGTAGGACTTTTTACTCCGTACATCATGAACCATTTAACGTCCTAACATTTGGCCAATTGCGTCTGGACCGGGCGATCTCCTGTCAATAAATTGGGTTCACCGCATTGGGAGTGCAGTTACTCCGTATGAGAGTACAATTCAATTTCATATGAAATGTGCCCAGCCCCTAGCGTTACAGTAATCCCCGCCGTCTGTCATATGTAAATTGCAACTGCAACTGTAACGGCAACTCGGTAACTTCTCCCACCCAACATTGTAGATACCCCGTACTTCGTGATCGACATGACTCATGGCTCTACTTGAACCCTACAAAATAGTCACAGTCACTACTTGCAATACTGCAATGCTGCAAGTAAGTAATCCAGATTTAATTGAAAGCAGTCTCGTCAATCGAGGTGCAGTCCATTGTTCGGAGAAAAGTCATAAAAGGCAGAGTTCCAGACGCCGAACATCCCAGGTACACGCCACATCACGCCACGCCAGTATCAAGAGTTGAAAAGGAAGGAGAAAGAGGAAAGAACTTCTGGCAGGGAAGTCCAACATAAATACAGGTAGAAAAGAAAAAGGGAATTTATAAGACAAGACAGCACCCACGGGGTCGCCAAAGGAACGCGAGAAGAAGAAGCGAGAAAAAAGGGTAATAGTAGAAGTCTTTGGAGAACCTCTTCTTAACCACCACGAATTATCCAGGTAACCGCTACCACCCAACCCGTCACAAATATGACGGTGAGAATTCCGGCACCTGCTCGGTCGCCAGTCGTGATGGGTTTCTGGATGACGGTGTTGGTGCTGGATGAGTTGGTACCAGCATTCGGGTTACTCTTCGAAGTACCGCCGTTGTCTGATGAGAAAGGTGCTGCGTTCTTCAATGGGACCAGATTAGCGTTGAGAACACCCAGCACCGCCAACTGTTGCTCCAAGCCATCCGTTCCATCCGAGGCCTGCATGTACCACTGGATGCCACAGAGGTGGCCATTCTTGACACAAGTCTTAGTGGCAGCCACTGCGGAGGTCTGGAGCTTCGGCATGATCTGATCAGATGTACCCGGAACGATCAGAGTCAGCCAGGCGAGCCAAGAAGCGAAGTAGGCTTTAAAGGTTCGCTGGTTACGATCGCACTTCTCGATCGCTTCACAGGTGATCTCCACCAATATCGAGCCATCGTCCTTGCCAAAACCCTTGGTCGGGTAGAACTGCTCTGAGGTGCCCAGCAAGCCCTCAACACCTTCCTTCCATTTCGATTCTGTTCCGTTGGTCTGTGTGCATGTGGAGTGGTTAGCGATCGGCGCGTGGGATCAAGAATGGAGAGTGGAATGCGGGGGAAGATCATACGTAGTTGTGCATGTAGGCGGCACCGCTGATGTAAGTCGCATAGTTATAGGTCCATTGCCAGTCACCGTGATCTGTACATTGTGTTGCGGGGGTGGTGGAATCGGCAATATTCCAGTTCTTCTCCTTGAGGAGTGGCGTGGTGGCACTCCAGTCCCAGATGTGTTCGGCCCACTGGGCGTAGGTCTGATTGTGGGTGTAAAGTGCGAGCCGAGCAGACAGTTGGAAGAGACCACCGTTCGAGATGGCGTTTTTGGTCTGGTAGCCATCCTGGTAGGGCCAGATCTGCCAGCGTAGACCACCCTTACAGGTGGTGGTGTCCCAGCGGGGAACCTGGGTGTTGAACACACCCTGCGCGAGAGAGACCCATGACGGTTGACCGTCCTGTTCGGGGAAGTTCAATTCGGCGGCAGTCATGGCGGCGAGGCCCCAAAAGACCTGATCATCGTTTCCGAGATAGGAGCTGTAGTTGGAAGGGAAGAAATCGTCGTCGCCCTTTTGCCAGTACATACCTTCTTGAACGGCGGCGTTGAATTGATCATCACCGGTCAAGAACCAATACTGAATGAGGATCATGAACATGGAACCACCCTCCCACCAAGTACCGTCGAACTTTCCGGGGATATTCTTTGAATCGCGATCGTTGTAGTAGCTCATCATGTCAGTTGCGACCTGCTTGGCGGCCTTGGACAGGGAAGCTAATCAAAGACAAGCCTTGGGGTCAGCGGGGCGAAAATGCTTGGAAGTAGGAGAGAACGAACCCTGATCGTTAACGGTGATGTCGATGGCGAAAGCCGCCTGGACGGCGATGAAGCCGGCCAGGAGGGAGGCCATCCAGTTGGAGAGGATCATGTCAAAACGAGTGGAAGATGTAGGGCATCAGAAATGAGGGGGGGAAGGAAGGGGAGTAAGAAGAGAGAATGGAGAATAGAGAAGAGCTGACAGTGGGGAAAAGGGAAAAAGGTCCAGATGGGGTTGTCAGGGTGTCACTGGGTTTACCCAAGCGGGAGTGTCACTGGGTGTCACTGGGTTCGGTGGGCCCAGTGGCGGTGGCAGTTCCTTCAGTATACTCGGAGTACGATAGTGAATGATATGATATAGTATATCTACTATACGATATCTAGTATACTACATCTAGCATACCACAGTTACTCCGTAAAGGGGCGATGGAATGACCTTCTCCCAGGAAAACTAGTATTCCTTGGCGCCTCTCCAAGAATACGACAAGCCCCAGCCCGCAGATATAAGACAGCTTGGCGCGATCGGGTCTAGGGGAAAGCCCCCTCGCGCCAGGGGAAAGACAAGGCTGTGGGACATTAAGGTCAATTAAGGATCCGAGATGCACCAACAATGAGTTCCCTAGTCCACTTATTGACCCACGTTGATCCGCTGAGAACCGGGAGATCGGTGTGCGTGTGCTGTGGGCTGTCTGGCAAGACCAGGTGGAAACTGCACAGAGCTTAGAGTACTAGAATGGTTCATGGAGAACGTATCACCACGGAGTACGGGTACAACCCCCCATTTCTTCTTTTTGGAGGAAATAATAAGCGTGGCGCTTCAGTCCAAAGGGTCCAAGCAGAGGGAAATTGAAATTGGACGCCCACAGGGTCCAAGCCCCACATTAGTAATCAACAGCTGACTCATATACCGAGGCATCAAGGCATCAAGGCATCAATGCATCAATGTATCACTTTGCCTTTTCTTACTATTTTATAAACCTCATACTTTGGGTATCACATATCCCGATTGGGATACAGAATTCTTGTTTCTGCGACAAATTTTACCATTGGTCTGAAGTGCCCAGAGACAACTTGAAGTGACTAGTATCTTCAAGATGCGGCATCTCCACGGCACTGCGGGCCTCATAATCCTATTATGCTTGAAGACACCGTGACGGCAAGCTATCGGGATACCTAAAATATATAGTATTGGCATTGTAAATCTAGAATTAAACTTCGATACTACTAGTAATACCACTCTCAGTTCCATCGGTTGGTTAGCCCGAGATGCTCGGCTCGTGCGGCCGACTTTGTAAATATACAACTTGAGTACCAGGCGTCATTAGCTATGAGTTCAAGCTACTACGAGGAATCTACATAGGTACCTACCTAAGTATAGTACAGACAATTTGATCAACCATACAAAATACAAATATTTCTAGTATCACATCTCTTGCATCACCTTTTAAGTGCCAGTGGTTAAAGATACAAGCGGCTTCTCCGCATCGCCGGAGGACATCCGAGCTTCCCCCCCCCGGACTTCCACTTCCGCCTCCATTCCACTTCGGATTTCCCGCTATAACTTCCTCCCCTCCCACTGCACCGCTATCCGACTTCTCATACTCCTCGTACCCCTTTCCCTTTCCCTTTCCCATTAACCACTCATCATGGCCTCCATCCGCGCCAATTGCCGCAAGGTCATGTGCATCGGCCGTAACTACGCGTGCGTGAACTCCACCCTCCCTCTGCCCTCTGTGCCTTGGCTGACCTTGACCTTCCATGAGATAGCGACCACATCGCCGAGTTGAACAACACCACCCCCAAGCAGCCTTTCTTCTTCCTCAAGCCCTCCTCCTCTATCCTTATCCCCGGCGCCGGCCCCGTTCTCCGCCCCAAGGGTGTCAACCTGCATTATGAAGTCGAATTGGGTCTGGTCATCGGCAAGACCGTCCGGGATTTAGACCCAGAGGACAAGCAAGGTGCTTTGGATGCTATTCAGAGTTAGTGCCCTGCCTTCTCATTTTCCCGTGCTCGCTTCAGGCCGACTAGATAGGATAGTCTGCTAATCATCATTTGTGCATCGCAAAGGCTACATCCTCGCCATTGACATGACTGCCCGCAACGTTCAAGAGGAGGCCAAGAAGAAGGGTCTTCCCTGGTCCATCGCCAAGGGCTTCGACACCTTTCTGCCCATTTCGCAGGAAATTGCCAAATCGCGCATCCCGAACCCCCACGACGCGTTCCTGCGCCTCCGCGTCGGAAACACTGAACGCCAAGCGGACTCGACTAGCCTGATGCTACACCAGATCCACCACCAGCTGGCTCAGATCTCACGTGTGATGACCCTGGAGAAGGGCGATATTGTGCTGACCGGCACCCCCAAGGGAGTGGGTCAGGTCCAGGCGGGTGATGTGATGCGGGCCACAATTGAAGTGGATGGCAAGGAGATTGAGGAGGGACGCATTGAGGTGGAGGTGCAAGACCGCGAGGGTCGGTACGAGTTTAAAGAGACCTAGATGGTCGATGGAGGTCAAGCTTCTCTGACAGGGTTTCGCTCGGACAACCCGGGGATGAGATGGGAGGGGATGAGTGAGTAAATATAGAGGCGAATGTTGCACAAATTTGGTGACACTGGGAAATAAGAATACTACCATGAATACTAGTACTATAGATATACTCTGTGAGTCTCCAAGTGTATATTTAGCTGTTGTATATATTATTTAGATCCCATGCATAGTCTGATGTTCATATATTCCCTACAATTCAACCGGGTAATTCCTTTCCCCTCCGGCACTTTCAGCGATAAGAAACCTCCCCACCTTTTCGTCCTTCACCTGTTTGCGGCCGGGGAACTTTCCTCTCCACATTTTCTCTTTCTCGAGATCTGCTATTGCTCTGCTCTACCGTGACTGCTACTACTACTGCCGCTACTGCTGCTGTGTAGCCCCTCAACTTCCCCTTAATGCGCGAGTTGGTATGCATGGTGCTGCCCCGATCATGGCACGCGTGTACTCAAAGTAGTTGAACCTGCCTCATCCTGCACTTTTACCTCGCCTCGACCTACAAATATTCCCAGGAAACTTCGAAACCGCCCTCATGCTTGACTTGAAGTCTCGCGTCCATGACGCGGAACCCAATTCTTCCACCTCCGCCTCCCCCACGATTCCTCCTCCCACAATTACCTCGACCTCCTCGACCACTCCGATCACCCCGATTATCCCTCGCGCATTCGACCCCCATGCCTCACTGGTGCTAGTAGGTATTCGCGGCTGTGGCAAGCGGTCCCTTGGATTTGTCGCCGCCACAGCCCTGAAGCGCCGGTTTATCACTGAAGATCACTACTTCCGCGAGGCGACAGGCGTCACCCGACATGAATACCTCAAACAATATGGCAGTCAGGAGTTTCAGCGCAGAGATATTGAGGTGCTCAAATTGATGCTGGACAATCATAAAACCGGCTGTGTCATTGAGTGCGGACTCGGAAGTCTTACGCGCCCGGTTCAGGACCACCTTCGCCTCTATTCTCAGACACACCCTGTCGTGCATCTCGTCCGCGATATCGACCGCATACAACAGCTTCTCGGGTTGGAGGACCAGTCGGTCCGACTTCTGCGTGAGGGCGATCCACTTCACCGCACTTGCTCCAATTTCGAGTTCTTTAATGTGGAGGACCGGACGCGCGTCGGGTCTGATGATGGTACTCCGGACCCACGATCCGCTGCTTACTCGTTTAAGCTGCAGGAAGTCAAGGAAGACTTCACCCGTTTCGTTCGCTTTGTGACAGGTGTCGATGTGAATCACTCGAGTTACGATTCGCCATTTGTGTTGCTAGAGACGCCCCCAGAACTTCGGTCCTATACACATGCCATTTTTATTCGCTCATCAGATCTCATCGCCGATAATGTCAATCTCCCCGAGCTGGAATCGGGAGGTGATGCCATTGAACTCTGCGTCGACCGATGGGGCCCCGATATGCCGAATGTGATCAGCAAACAGGTCTCGATCTTACGACGCAATGCGCAGGCCCCCGTGATTCTTTCTGTCGACACGTCTCCCACCGGCATTGGCGCGGCCGATGCGCCAGATTTGCAGTACTTCGATATATTGGAACATGGACTGCGACTAGCTGTCGAATACCTGGTTGTCGACCTCGAACGGAACCCGACCCGACTTGCCCGAGTGATCCGGGCTCGAGGAAAGACCAAGATTATCGGCCAACGGGTTTTTGAGCCGTCTTCCGATATCAAGTGGGAGGACGAGACGTGCGTGCACTCCTACCAAGAAGCAAAAAAGATGGACTGTCAGCTAGTCCGATTCCTGCGTGTCGCAACCTCACGCGAGGACAACGCGACAGTCCTAGAATTCACCAATCGCATTCGGTCAATGCCAGGCGAACATCCTCCCCTCATCGCTTATAATATCGGTCGCCTTGGACGGACATCACAAGTTTTCAATTCAATTCTGACCAGCGTGACGCACCCAGCTATCACTCGGTCAGAGGAGAACGAACGTGATTCACAGATTACATCGCGAGACGCCGTCCGAGCGCTTTTCCAGAGCTATGTACTAGACCCGTTACAGTTTTGCATTCTCGGCGCAAATGTGACATATAGTTTATCGCCCGCGATGCATAATGCAGCCATCCAGCATTGTGGAATGAGCCATCAATATAGCATCCCCGACTCCCCTCGCTCGCTATACTGGATCGCCTTCGCAAGGACCCCCAATTTGGAGGGTCGAGTGTTGTTCAGCCCTGGCGAGTCGACACATACCACAAACTTGCTGCCAAGAGTCAACACGCCGAGGCCATCGGTGCTATTAACACTATCATGCCGTTACGAGGCTCCTCTGACGGTACAATCTACCCCCTTCGAGAGCAAGCTAGCCGACGGAACCAGGCTGGCCCTGTGCTCGGATGGTATGGAGAGAATACTGATTGGGTGGGAATCATGACTTGTTTTACCCGCCACCTCTCCCCGCGTAACGCAATCAGTGCCAAAACCACAGGCCTAGTCATCGGCGCAGGTGGAATGGCTCGCTCGGCTATATACGCGATGCTCCGACTTGGCTGCCGGAAGATCTTCATCTACAACCGAACGCAATCTCGAGCCAACGAGGTGGCAAGGCACTTCAACTCATGGGCTTCATCGCAGGTTGATTCTGCGGATGTGGTGCGCATCTTACGTTCCACTCAGGATGACTGGCCAGACGATGCCAATCCGCCTAGTCTCATTGCGTCTTGTGTACCGGCCGACCCGGATCGAGATGAGCCCCCGGCGAACTTCGAGATGCCTCTTCAATGGCTGGGAAGTCCGACTGGGGGTGTTGTTCTAGAAGTAAGTCCTACCCAGAACCCCAACTCTGAATGACTTTCATACTAACCTAACTGCCTCAAGTTGGCCTACAAACCCCTAGACACCCCTCTCCTCCTGCAAATGCGTCGCATTCGGGCTGATACTGGACGACCGTGGGTTCTTTCTGATGGACTAGAGAACGTGATCGAACAAGGCATTGCGCAATTCGAATTGATGACAGGTCGGAAAGCGCCTCGTCGACTGATGACTGTTGAGGTGCTCCGCAATTACAAGGGCGATGATGGGCGGTTTGATGATAAGACTATCCAGGCCAGACTGGATGGTGTTTGTTCATAGACAAGGATGGATCGTCTAGCACAGGAATCGAATGCCATGACCATCATTGCTGGATCGACTAAATGCGTGTCGGAAACCGCTTTCTTGCTGTCAATATGACCGTTCTAGTAAGTTTATTGGCTGTCACGAGGTGATCAGTTGACATGGCCTGTTATACGGGTGTGGCAATGTGCATAATTGTTCTTATATAGCACAGAGATGAGTGAATGAAAACCATGGATATATAGTTTACTACTACCTACTACTAGTACTAGTAGTACCTACGTAGGTACTACCTGCCTAGGTAGGTACGTTTGCCAAATATCATGATGACAACCTTCCAAGGTTGGAAGCCCTTAAGCTGGGGACTGCCCGTGCCCACCTGGGGTAGGTTGTAGAAAAGACTCGGATTCTTTGGATAGAAATTCATTTTCGTACACTGACAGTAAACCTTGGAGTATTCGAGTCGTTGATACTTTGTGATTGTCTAATACTATACAGTTATCCTAATTGTCGTACAGTGTTTCCCACGGGCTGTTGATTCTAGTATGTCATGGCCGGTATGCCAAAGTTGTCAGATTGATACTCATGGATTCTTTTCACGCATTCGATCCATTGCGATGAGAGCCCAGTCCAGTGAAGAATAGCGAATCCCCACAGGTGTCAACCAAGGTCCACGGTGGCCCTTCTCTGGTTCAAGTTGTACTTTATCATAGCCAATGTGCCGGTTTTTAATCAGTTTGCCAATCACCTCGCAGTACACTAGTCAATGCCTAACATTCTCGGTAACACGATGCAGCTGTGATGCACCATCAATGCATGAGCATTGCAGTATAGATCCTACTCAGGATTGTGTGTGGGTATGACTAACTATTGACTGGGTGCCCAGGTGGATATTCCGTATTGACTACTCCGTAGTATTTATTGGGAGGCCCTCGCCATGATTAGGCATCCATTCGGTCTTACAGCAATGTTCGAAATTGGCTTCTATGTTTTACACAGAAACTATCTCAAGCCCCACCGCCAAGACGATAATGAAACTGCCTCAAGCAAATTAAAATAGGCTACAGATCATCCCTGTTTTGGATAGTCTTTGCGTATGGAGCAAAACATGAGACTTAATACGGCCCCGTAAGTTATCTATGGATATAGTCAAAACATTTTCTAGAACCTTCTAAGGTTCTAGCTATTGATGTTACAATCTTACATTTAGTGAGATATGAGCCGTTCACCTTCGTGATAACAGAATATGTTGATCTGATGATTTATATAAACTATCACCAAGAAAAGCTCCACTGCAGAGAAATTGAAAAGAGGCCTTTCCTACTTTCTGCCAAAGAGGCGAAATATTGTTGTCCGCTTACGACGACCGCCAGGTCTAGAAACTTGCTCGGAGGTTTCCGTGGAATTGCGTAGGATTGAGGCCTCTTTGGTGTCCGTCGGCGGTTTAGTGAGCTGTGAAGACAGGGAGTCAACCTTCCCGCGCCATTCGTTTAAAGCAGACTTGGAAGATATAGTATGCGGATGGTCAGGGCCTAGTTTTCGGTCGAGAAGCTGAACGCAATCCGCCATCAACCGCAAAGCGGCTGTGTATTGACCCGACGACCTAAGGGTATGAGCAAGGTTGTTCATGCTCGTCAGCGTGTCGGGATGGTCAGCCCCGAACTTTGTCTTGCGAGTCTCCATGACCTGCACCTCAAGCTGCTCCGCCTCTTCCCACCGGCCCTGGTTCCAGAACGTCAATGCTAGGTTGGCCATGCTCGTTAGCATGTTGGGATGGTCAGCCTCGAGCATCGTCTTGCTTGTCTCTATGACCTGCACCTCAAGCTGCTCCGCCTCTTCCCATCGGCCCTGGTTCCTATACGTTGATGCTAGGTTATTCATGCTCGTCAGCGTGTCGGGATGGTCAGCCCCGAACTTTGTCTTACGAGTCTCCATGACCTGCACCACAAGCTGCTCCGCCTCTTCCCATCGGCCCTGGTTCCTATACGTCGATGCTAGGTTGGCCATGCTCGTCAGCGTGTTAGGATGGTCGGCCCCGAGCTTCGTCTTGCTCGTCTCCATGACCTGCACCTCGAGCTGCTCCGCATCTCCCCACTGTCCCTCAAGTCGGTAAGCTTCTCCTAACATTGCAGAGCTACCAAGAGTCTTTTCACTATCAAATCCAAATATTAACAATCTTTGGTTCCGCGATTCGGATGCCATATCCCGTGATTCTCTAATATTCCCAATTTCCCGTGCATACCACGCCCCATTATAAAGTAGCGTAGCCCATTTCTCTAGAAAGTCATGTGATTCTGGTTTTTGTGACATGGCTGATTTCACATGTGGAAAGAGCGACTGGCACTGTGCCCAATTTTCATATTTACCAGTGGGAAACCGTTGCCACAAGGCCATGATAAATTGCTCCTTCCATCGTTCTAGCTGTCGATTAGCTTTCAACCATACGTGCACACTTAGTTGCACCAGCCGATGCATCATGAACACTGTGCTGTCCCTATTGATGGAGATAAATGAAAAGTCTCTTAGTGTTGTTATATCATCCTCAAAATTATGATCTGTATCATTGTCGTTGTACCCAAACGTGGTTTCCTCCGAGCTCGAAGTGTTGTTTTGTATCTTGTCATAGACTCGGAGAAGATTCTCTGAGACTCCCTGTCGGTCAAAAAAGCTCATAAGAGAAAGTAAATCAGTGGCCGACGGTCTTATACTTCGAATATGCTCGAAAGATATTTTCCATGTGACCAGGATCGAATTCTTTGCCTCCCAATCTCGATAGGGGTGGCCTGCCTCATAATCAAGAAGCTTTGTCGCTTCGCGATCACTCTTCTGAAACATCTCTAGGTACTGCGATACCGAACAGCGGGGCGCTCGATGTGCGATATAGCCGGCCGCCTGTATGATCGCTAGTGGCATAAAGTCTAGTTCTTCCACTAGCTTTAGAATATCAGGTGTTTCTGCTGGTAGCCCGACTTTTCGTCGGAGAAGTTCTATCGCCTCGGGCTTTTCCATTGGCTTGACTTTGATGATGTCCTGGTGATCGACAATTTTCAACGCCACTTCTTGGCTCCGGCTTGTAAGAACTATTGATCCGTTCGGGCTTCGGGGCAGAAATTCCAATAGTGGCTTTGTGGAGGTTTTGCTTTGGCCGACCTGCAGATTCTGCTGACCTGTTGCCGAGGGCTGGCGAAGAAAACCGCCATCATCAATATTATCAAGAATCAGTAACCACTTTCCTCTCTTGCCATCCCGGAGCCAACTTTCGACGAGTTGGTATATGTTGACTGTGGGATCGTGACGCCCCGGAATCTTGGCCTGGTCGGCGATATCCCGGAAACTTTGCTCGAACCGGGCCGCGTTACTTGCATGGACCCAGAAAACCCATGTCGACGGCGATTCAGATCGGACTCGGTAGGAGTACTCGATACTGAGTTGTGATTTCCTTTCGGCCCGTCAGCAACAACCCACTGCCTTAACTGCTTTGCACTCACCCGATACCACCGATGCCCACAAGGGCTATCCTAGATCCTGGGACGGAGACCTTTTCATGTATCTGATCGAGTAGTGTATCACGACTGACAAAGTCTGGGTCGCGACGGAACGGGACGGTTGAGAGGGGAGTGGGTGGGGTTTCCGGTCGCTCTGGGTCAATAATATTAGTCAATTTGAGCTTGGTAAGGGTCTTGTGAAACCTACCCGGGGGTAGATGGACCGATCCGTAATTGATTCCCACCTGGTTACCCCGATTTTTGTCACCGAACAATATATGTGAAGATGTCATAGCTCATATACCATGTATGCTCTGCCTTCCAAGGTTTCCGGGGTAGATGCAAGGTCCCAACTTGGGCGGAAAGTCCATCCTCAGCCTCACTATTCGGTGATGTTTCGGGCGCTAAAAATGTCAGGTGCTTTATTCTATATTTAGAAAAAGATATAGACGGCTTTTTTCTCTTCGAAACGAGGTGGTGACCCCAGACGTTGAGAATTCCCGATCCTATTGGTGGGACCGTATGGTATTTAAATGATGATTCACCAGGGCACACAGTCGATGTAGAGATCGATGTATTCCAGAAGTTATTCCCTTCACGGGAAGGTAGAACTAAAGCTAAGACTCCGTCATGTGACGATACCGACACCTCAACGAATAACTGGGAAAAACCTCGTAATCAGAGCGAACCCGCCACAACGTATTGTCTTGTCATATAGTTTACACTTCCGTTCTGTCACGCTGGGGTGATCTGTAGTCTAACTTAATTTAGCCTAGGCGGTTTCACGATCGGCTTGGAGTTTCTCTGTGTAAAACATGGAAGCCAATTTCGAATACTGCTGTACTCCAGAAGGGCGGTGGAATAAACGAACGCGAGTCAGTTTAGGGTCGGTTGTGAGACAAATCCGGCTAACGCAGCCATTTTGCTCGGACCTTGCGACCTTTGTTATACCGATATAGCCGAATTTGGCTGTACATAGCAGGCCGATAGGAGATGCATCGCCTTATTGATTCTTTTTTTTGGGGATTTTTTGCATCGGGGGGCAGCCAAACAGACGGGGTCCAGAGCCGCACTCCACGAAAACAACATTGCAGGGAGTGAAGGAGTGAACCTTTGGTCGCCGAACACGGGCTCTTCTCCTAAGAGAAGCTAGTGAAGAATTGGATGGCAAGAAGGAAAAATGTCTCATGTTGGAAGGCGATTATGTGAAGATTTTTCTTGACGAATTAAAGATATGACAGAGTAGGTGGAGGTTGATTGAGTTCAATGTATGGTGTTCCACAATTTAGTTACATGGGCTCGGATTAGAAGGGAGAAATGAAAAAGAATATAAAGAAACAAAAGAAAGAAAAGAAAAAAAAGAAATGCAGAAGAAAAAAGAGTAGAAAGCACAAACAGTCTAACCGCGCCTCGGGATTGGGGTGGGTCATGCAAAAGAAAAATAAAGAAAAGAAAAAAAGAGCAAGATAATTGCAAAGTCGTATGTATGTTGGTCTTGTGAACAGGTTGAATAGAGTGTGGTTTTTCAAGAAGAGTCACAGGTAGAAGCCCCCTTGAGTGTTTTCGTCACAGTTTCGACGGTGGTGGTTGTAGTCTTAAGCGTTTCAGTTTTGGTAGATGTGGGACGAGCGGTCACCGTCACGAGAGCTGCCTTGTAGTGCGTACTGGTTTCAATGGTTGTTGACGTGAGTCTTGGAAGAGTAATGGTTGACTTCCCTTTCAACGTCTTCGTGATCGTAGTCGTTGAAGGAGAGGGTTTCGTCGTGGTATTCAAAGTAACAGTCTCAACATTGGTTATGGTTTTAGTGGATCCAGCCATTGTAGTCGTGGAGGTTTCTGTTTTCACGGTGCCAATTTTGGTCTTTGAGGTGGACATCGTCCTGGTGATCGTAATGAATGAAACTCCGGAAGATATAGTCTTAGTGAAGGTCTTTGTGACAGTTGTGGTTGCCATTGCAATCGCGGCTGATGCAGCTGATCCATGGCCTGGTTGTGCTTTGGTCATCACATCAGTTAAATATGAAGTGGAACCTGGAACTGTAACAGTAGTTGTTGTCACGAAGGATGTGACTGTAGACAGCTCAATGGCCGTTGTAGTGATTGCGGGAGCTGCGAGGGGCGTAGGACCAGCGCGTTTTGCCTTTTTCGATCCAATACAACTCAATTCTGTGGTAAATCTAATCGTGGAAGTTGCCGATAGTGTGTTGGTCGAGGTAACAACCAAAGGTTTCCCTTCTAGCGTGCTTGTTCGCCCAGGATTGACATTCATTGTGATAGTCCGAGTTGTTGTTAAGGGGGAAGGTCGAATTGTGTGAGCATCGGTCACAGTGGTTATTTCTGTCATGGTGGAGGGCGACTCGGTCTTGGTGTGAGTTACTAAGAGTGTTGATTCAACTGTCTTGTTGATATCCTTCGCACGCACAGTCTCCACAGCGGGCTTATCAGCTGACGTTGCAGGGATGGCGGAGGCAGCGGTTATCGTGGGTTCAACGTCGATTGTTATCGTCAACGTCTTGGTCGAGATGTAAATCGGAACAGTGATGAGGATGGTCGTTGAGATGGTGGGGATTGTTGTGATAACATGGGAAGAAGAAGCGCCTGTCACGGGAGGGGTTTTTATTGATGTAGTTGTAGAGGTCCCGTCGGCTGCAGTGACTGTAATTGTAGAGGTCTCTGAATCGGTTGTAACAGACGTGCTAGTGGTGGTCTTTGTTGCCGGATTCTCAGGATCGGAGTCAGTGGTCGAGGACGAAGGCGACGGTGTTTCACCAGACTGACCGGCAACGAAAGGAGTGCCAGAAAAGTAATCGAAGTCAACCCAAGAGGTTTCTGAGAAAAAATTTGCTATTTCAAACTGAGCAGCGGTAGTATCGTCCAATTGAGTCGCGAAGTTGACACGCTGAGATGTGTCCGACCCCGGTCCACTATTCTTGTACTCGCCAAAAAGCACATGAGTCGTTCGAGGAATGGCACTTGAGCCCTCTTCCCACCCGGTTTCCTCAACAATCGAGCTCAGATAAGAAAATACATACGCTACACGCGCATATGAATTCTCAGGTCTTCCGAGGGATATGCCCGATATAGATCCCGAATGGTCCGCCGGCGTAATGGTGCATTGGTCGAAGACAAAACCCCCACGTTTAGTCCGAGTACCTCGCCGGTCAGCAGTAAGACTCAAATCACCTTGATTTGGTGTAATATGAGAGTTCAGGAAATATCCTGATCCTCCACCCCATATCATGTCTACATTGCCTTGAATCAAACTATTCGAAGCGAAGAATAATCCATTGACCAGGAGCGTATTCTGGTTGCCAATAACCTGGCAGCCATACAGACTGACATGGCTAGAAGGTTCAACTGCCAAAGCGAGGGACGCTTTCTTCTCGAATTTTCCGTTTGTGCTGGAAAAGTTGATATTGATCGCTCGCACGATCCCCTCCGTGAAGGAAGCAGTGGCGGTGTGGCTACTAATGTCGCCGGGAGCCGTGTCTTGTTCATCCACATGGAGTATTGTCACTTGATTATCGGAATACTGTCTTGGTGATTCTGAATATCCCATCAGTATGACGGTACCAGCTTGTCTGACCGTAATCTTCTCCTCGTATGTCCCCGGGAAGATGAAAATCGTGTATGGCCCAATAGCCGAAGCGGGCAACCTGTCCAATGCTTCTTGAATGCTGCTGAAACTCTTTGTACCAGGCACCTTTGATTGAGAGACCACATATGCACCAGGGGGTGGCTTGGTTCCATCATGAACAGCGTTCTCCGAGGAACCCGGGCTTGTACTGGAGGCTGCCAAACCAGGCAGTGCATACGAAGGAGCGTACATATAGGTTTTCCTGTCAAGCCATGATGTATCGCCGATCCAATTTGACAAGCTGTATCTCTCAGCCTCGTTCTTGTTCAATTTGGTCACGTACGGTGCGCGGTGGCCTGAACTGCCCGGACCAGAGTTACCGTACTCGCCGAAAAGGACATGACCGGTCCGGTGGCCGCTTTGTGACCAAATTGTCCATCCAGCGGGATTGATGTGCTTTTCCAAGAATGAATTCATGTAGACCACACGACTGTACTCTGAATAGGGTCTTCCGAGGTAGGTCGTGCCAACGTTATTCTTGTTGGCGTAGGATCGATCATTATCGCCGGATGAGTTCGTCTCGATTACCCTGCAGTTATCCATGACAAACCCTCCCGTTGAACTGTCAGATTCTCTCCCATGTGCCGCAATCGATCCACCCGGTGCGTTTGTAGCGATGGATGATTGGTGAAGAAAGGCGGTTGAGAATCCCCATATGAAGTCGGTGGATCCTTCGATGTAACAATTCGATAATACTTGGGTGCCTTGATTGGCAAGAAGAGTATGTTGATTACTGATGAATGAACATCCGTAAGCAGCCACCCGTCCATCAAAATCAGCGGCCAATGCATCTCTCACGGCCAAGGGAGAGGCGGTGTTGAAAAAGTCGATGTTGTACAAAGCCACAGAGTCCGTTGCGCCGGATGTATTGACTTTGATGACAGCCGAATCTCCATCTATGTCCGGACTAGATGAGGTGCTTGAGACTTTAATGGTGACTTTGTTCTGCGTGTAATCGTTGGGAAAGTCGGTTTCTCCCCGAAGGATAGTCTGCCCGGATCGGTTGATAGAGATTTGCTCCTCATAATCACCTGCTTGAATGAGGATTGTACAATCACCTTTGTCCGGTAGGGCAGAAAGAGCGGCAGTGACATTGTTAAACTGACCGGGGGAGGGGGAGATTGAGACGACGAGAGTTGTTGACGGTTGGGGGTTGCCCGTCACGGAGCCACCGCTGCCGCTGCCGCTATCATCTCCACTTCCTTTTCCACTTCCTCCATCCTCACCACCAGCAGTACCACCACCAGATGAGGAATCTGCACTCCCACTGCCATCTTCGGATGAACCGGTTCCAGAGCCAGATGGACTTCCGTCACCAGAGGATCCATTGCCGTCTCCAGAGCCATTGCCTGAGCTACTGTCCGATCCATCTCCTGTGCCAGATGAACTTCCATCTCCTGCGCCAGATGAACTTCCATCACCAAAGGATCCATTTCCGTCTCCATCACCAGAGGTGCTTCCATCACCGTCTCCAGATCCGGAAGAGCTTCCATCTCCAGAACCAGAGGAGCCAGTGCCATCTCCAGTGCCAGTACCGTCACCAGCGCCAGTGCCGTCTCCTGAGCCAGAGCTAACTCCGGAGCCAGAGCCAGTACCGTCACCATCACCAGCACCAGTACCATCTCCAGAGCCATTACCGTCACCATCTCCAGAGCCATTACCGTCACCAGTGCCAGTGCCAGTGCCGTCTCCAGAGCCATCACCAGAGCCAGCGGCAGTACCGTCTCCAGAGCCAGTGCCAGAGCCAGCGCCAGTGCCGTCTCCTGAACCAGTGCCAGTACCATCACCAGCGCCAGTACCATCATCAGCACCAGTACCATCTCCAGAGCCAGTACCGCCACCAGTGCCAGTGCCGTCTCCTGAACCAGAGCCGGTGCCGTCACCAGAACCATCACCAGAGCCAGCGCCAGTGCCGTCACCATCTCCGGAGCCAGCGCCGGAGCCAGTGCCATCTCCAGAGCCAGTGCCATCTCCAGAGCCAGTGCCATCTCCTGAGCCAGTACCGTCACCAGCGCCAGTGCCAGATCCAGAGCCAGTGCCGTCTCCTGAGCCAGAGCTAACTCCGGAGCCAGAGCCAGTACCGTCACCATCTCCGGAGCCAGCGCCAGTGCCAGTGCCATCACCAGAGCCAGCGTCAGTGCCGTCACCATCACCAGTGCCAGTGCCAGTACCAGAGCCAGAGCCAGCGCCAGTGCCGTCTCCAGCGCCAGTGCCAGTGCCAGTGCCATCACCAGAGCCAGCGCCAGTGCCGTCACCATCACCAGTGCCAGTGCCAGTACCAGAGCCAGAGCCAGCGCCAGTGCCATCTCCATCACCAGTGCCAGTGCCAGTACCAGAGCCAGAGCCAGCGCCAGTGCCATCTCCAGAGCCAGTGCCAGTGCCAGTACCAGAGCCAGAGCCAGAGCCAGCGCCAGTGCCATCTCCAGAGCCAGTGCCGTCTCCAGCGCCAGTGCCGTCTCCTGAGCCAGAGCTAACTCCGGAGCCAGAGCCAGAGCCAGTGCCAGTGCCATCACCAGTATCAGAGCCAGTGCCGTCACCAGTACCAGAGCCAGTGCCAGAGCCAGTACCATCACCGGCGCCATCACCAGAGCCAGCGTCGGAGCCAGTGCCATCTCCGGAGCCAGAGCCAGAGCCAGTGCCAGTACCAGTGCCAGTGCCAGAGCCAGCGCCATCTCCGGAGCCATCACCAGAGCCAGCGTCGGAGCCAGTGCCATCTCCGGAGCCAGTGCCATCTCCAGAGCCAGTGCCATCTCCAGAGCCAGCGCTATCACCAGAGCCAGTGCCATCTCCAGAGCCAGCGCTATCACCAGAGCCAATGCCAGTGCCAGTGCCAGCGCCAGTGCCGTCTCCTGAACCAGTGCCAGAGCCAGTACCATCACCGGCGCCATCACCAGAGCCAGCGTCGGAGCCAGTGCCATCTCCGGAGCCAGAGCCAGAGCCAGTGCCAGTACCAGTGCCAGTGCCATCACCATCACCAGAGCCAGTACCATCACCGGCGCCATCACCAGAGCCAGCGTCGGAGCCAGTGCCATCTCCGGAGCCAGTGCCATCTCCAGAGCCAGTGCCATCTCCAGAGCCAGCGCTATCACCAGAGCCAGTGCCAGTGCCAGTGCCAGCGCCAGTGCCGTCTCCTGAACCAGTGCCAGAGCCAGTACCATCACCGGCGCCATCACCAGAGCCAGCGTCGGAGCCAGTGCCATCTCCGGAGCCAGAGCCAGAGCCAGTGCCATCTCCGGAGCCAGTGCCATCTCCAGAGCCAGCGCTATCACCAGAGCCAGTGCCATCTCCAGAGCCAGCGCTATCACCAGAGCCAGTGCCAGTGCCAGTGCCATCACCAGAGCCAGCGCCGTCTCCTGAACCAGAGCCAGTGCCGGAGCCAGCGCCATCACCGGAGCCATCGCTGGAGCCAGAGCCAGTGCCGCCTCCAGTGCCAGTGCTAGTGCCAGTGCCAGTGCCAGTACCATCTCCTGAACCAGAGCCGTCACCAGTACCAGAGCCAGAGCCAGTGCCATCTCCAGAGCCAGCGCTATCACCAGAGCCAGTGCCAGTGCCGTCTCCTGAACCAGAGCCGTCACCAGTACCAGAGCCAGAGCCAGTGCCAGTACCAGAGCCGTCACCAGTACCGTCACCAGCGCCAGTGCCAGTGCCAGTGCCATCTCCTGAACCAGAGCTAACTCCGGACCCGGAGCCAGTGCCATCTCCAGAGCCAGTGCCATCTCCAGAGCCAGCGCTATCACCAGAGCCAGTGCCATCTCCAGAGCCAGCGCTATCACCAGAGCCAGTACCGTCACCAGTGCCAGTGCCAGTGCCGTCTCCTGAACCAGAGCCGGTACCGTCTCCAGTGCCAGCGCCATCACCAGAGCCGGCGCCATCACCAGAGCCAGCGCCGTCTCCTGAACCAGAGCCAGTGCCGGAGCCAGCGCCATCACCGGAGCCATCGCTGGAGCCAGAGCCAGTGCCGCCTCCAGTGCCAGCGCTATCACCAGAGCCAGTGCTAGTGCCAGTGCCAGTGCCAGATCCATCTCCAGTGCCAGAGCCGTCTCCTGAGCCAGAGCCGTCACCAGCGCCAGTGCCATCACCAGCGCCAGTACCAGAGCCAGTACCGTCACCGTCACCAGAGCCAGTACCATCACCAGCGCCAGTGCCAGTGCCAGTGCCAGATCCATCTCCAGTGCCAGAGCCGTCTCCTGAGCCAGAGCCGTCACCAGCGCCAGTGCCATCACCAGCGCCAGTACCAGAGCCAGTACCGTCACCATCACCAGCGCCAGTACCGTCACCAGAGCCAGTGCCAGTGCCGTCTCCTGAACCAGAGCCAGTACCATCACCAGCGCCAGTGCCGTCTCCTGAACCAGCGCCATCTCCGGAGCCAGAGCCATCACCAGAGCCAGTACCATCACCAGCGCCAGTACCGTCACCAGAGCCAGTGCCAGTGCCGTCTCCTGAACCAGAGCCAGTACCGTCACCAGAGCCAGCGCCAGTACCAGTGCCAGTGCCATCACCATCACCAGAGCCAGTACCATCACCAGCGCCAGTGCCAGTGCCAGTACCATCTCCAGAGCCAGTACCGTCACCAGTGCCAGTGCCAGTGCCAGTGCCATCTCCTGAACCAGAGCTAACTCCGGACCCGGAGCCAGTACCATCACCGTCACCAGTGCCAGTGCCAGTGCCAGTGCCGTCTCCTGAACCAGAGCCGGTACCGTCTCCAGTGCCAGCGCCATCACCAGAGCCGGCGCCATCACCAGCGCCAGTGCCGTCTCCTGAACCAGCGCCAGTGCCAGTACCAGCGCCAGTGCCATCACCATCACCAGAGCCAGTACCATCACCGGCGCCATCACCAGAGCCAGCGTCGGAGCCAGTGCCATCTCCGGAGCCGGAGCCATCACCAGAGCCAGTACCATCACCAGCGCCAGTACCGTCACCAGAGCCAGTGCCAGTGCCGTCTCCTGAACCAGAGCCAGTACCATCACCAGCGCCAGTGCCGTCTCCTGAACCAGCGCCATCTCCGGAGCCAGTGCCAGTACCATCACCAGCGCCATCACCAGTGCCGGAGCCAGTGCCGGAGCCAGCGCCATCACCGGAGCCATCGCTGGAGCCAGAGCCAGTGCTAGTGCCAGTGCCAGTGCCAGATCCATCTCCAGTGCCAGAGCCGTCTCCTGAGCCAGAGCCGTCACCAGAGCCATCTCCGGAGCCACCACCAGAGCCGGCGGCGTCTCCTGAACCAGAGCCAGTGCCAGAGTCATCTCCAGAGCCAGTGCCAGAGCCAGTACCATCTCCTGAACCAGCGCCGTCTCCTGAGCCAGAGCCGGAGCCATTGCCAGTGCCATCTCCAGAGCCAGTGCCGTCTCCTGAGCCAGAGCCAGAGCCAGAGCCAGAGCCAGAGCCGGTACCGTCTCCAGTGCCAGTGCCGCCTCCAGTGCCAGTACCATCTCCGGAGTCAGTGCCAGAGCCAGTGCTAGTGCCAGTGCCAGAACCGTCTCCAGAGCCAGTGCCGTCACCAGCGCCATCACCAGAGCCCGTACCGTCTCCAGTGCCAGTGCCAGTACCATCACCAGCGCCATCACCAGAGCCGGCGCCATCACCAGAGCCAGCGCCGTCTCCTGAACCAGAGCCAGTGCCGGAGCCAGTGCCAGTACCATCACCAGCGCCATCACCAGATCCAGTACCGTCACCAGAACCGTCTCCTGAGCCAGTGCCGTCTTCTGAACCAGAACCGTCTCCAGAACTATCCCCAGAGGATCCAGAATCATTATCTGTTCCACTGTCATTTCCACCGGTTGAGCTTCCATTTCCGCTAGCACCGTCGCCATTTGCATCTGATGAGCTCCCGCCAGCTGGATTGGTGGAAGATGAAGTCGAAGGAGCTATCACGTCCGCGCTTTCTATGGCAGATATAACGGCAGAGTCAACCCAAGAAGTGTCCGAGATTGCCACCTCTGGATCCGCATTGGCGAGTACCGCAGAAATTGTGAAGGGAGCAAGGTCAGCGGATGATAGTAGACTCACGTAACCGGAACGTTTGTCTATATTATTCTCATAGCTACCAGTACCAGTATCGTCATACTCCGCATATAGATTTTTATCGTCCTGAGTTATGTCGTCAATGTGTACCCCAGACTCCGCGATTGAGCTGTCGAGGCCAGAGCCACGAAACACAACGACCGAACCAGGGCCCTTTGCAGCGGCAAGGTATATTTGACTATCGGAACCACCAGACTTTCCAGATACAGTACATCGGTCTAGAACTGTCGTGGAGTTGAAAAGAGTTCCGCTTGATATACTGCCTTTGGTTTCTGCAACTCGGCCTCCGTTTTTGAGTAGAATGATTGCTGTGTTAAAGATGTATAGAGTTGCAGTTCCATCAATGGCTGTATCTGATGCTTTTATCAGGCTATTCGCTATCACAGCAACGCCCGGATTGGTGGCAATTCCAATCCCACTAGGTGAGATGAACTGGCAATTGTAGAGACCAATTCTGGTACCCCCGATACTCAGTGCTGTTCCCAAGCCGGTGTTGACGAAATTGATATTCTTGAATTCAATACCACCGATGCTTCCGTCCATTACCAGTGCGGAATTCTCATCTGTGATGGTCACCTTATTCTGGGAGTAATCATTTTGACTATTGGATTGACCTATCACAGCTACTGACGGTGTAGCAGAGACGGTAACCGCTGGGTAGGTACCAGCCAAGACGGTGACTGTCGGGATCGCATGTTTTTGGGCGTAGGAGATGGCGTTTCCAATATCCGTAAACTTCCCAGTGTCATCGGTTGCAACAGTGATCGCTGCAGCACCTATGCAAATATGACGTAAGTATCTACTCTGCTCATGGACTCAGACTGAGACGGGATAGGTTTACCAGCAGGCGGAGGTGTAGCTGTAGCTATTTCAGTCGATGTTGTTGTTTCAGTTACCAAAACTGTTGTCGAGCATGAGCTTTCAGCGAGCTCCAGTGCTACGGCAAGCCTGCTGAATGCCAATATTAGAGAGAGGCGCATCCTAAATGGCCGCTGTCGACAATTGGTTTGAGGTGTTTAGCGCTTAGAACACCGTAGCTAGCATGATATTGAATGATTCCACTTGGTAGATTAAATTTGAAAGAAAATCGAAAAATTGAAACTCAAAATCAAAATCAAACATTGAAGATCAGAGAAAAAAAAAAAGACTTTCTGCCCATTTTGATTACCTTAGGCTTAGCCAGTCCCGAAATGGACAAACCTCGTGGTTCCAGATCAGACAATTAGGGTGGGAAAACAGACAGACTAGTAGACCTAGACCCACTGAGAGGATTCAGATCCAGGATCGGGAATGTGAATCTAAGCCGATAGTAACCTCCACGCAGCATTCCTGACCCACACACCTACTTCACCTCGATTGTGCATATCCTGGCAGCTGGAATATCCCAGAGAATTGAGATATGCAAGTGTGCTCGATGTAGAAAGCCTAACTTGTTTGGTGTCGCATTGTTGATCCTCTACCCTTGCCGACGTGCATGCACATCCCCGTCAGTGAGATTTATCTGATCAATATTCAACCCCTTGAACCTAGCATTTTGTACTTTTTTTTTTATAACTCAAATACTAGCACTTGTACCCATTAAGCAGTCATGCCAAAGACAGCCCGGCATAACACCCCCATATCTCTTTTCTCTCGCCGAAGGATCCCTTCTATCATTGAAGTTGTGGCCAAAGCGAATTTGACATCTTTCCACCTCATCATGCGTACTTTGTATTATCTAAGGTCCATTCTCATTATGTTTTTAAGTTTTGGAAAAACAAGCTTCGGAGTAGACTTGTAATTGAGTTTCTCGTGGAGCGAATGGAGGTTTTTAGACTTTGGACCCTCAAACAATTCCAACAGAAAAATGTCATTACCATTTAATTCCTCGTGGCTGTGGGTTCATTTGCGTTGATCTAGTGCAAGTCCTTGTATTGGACTTGCACAACGCGGCTTTATCTCCTTGGCATGAAAAAGTAAAGTGGGAACAGTTTCTAGAGATCATGTTCCTATTAATTTGGCTAAACAATCGTCATGATGAAATCATGTCCATATACTAAATTAGTATAGCTTGAATCTCTAATTTGCGGCTTATTGACCTTCAATTATATTTCAGGTCTTCCAGGCCGCAGATACGGAACATCCCGGAGTAGATTAGGGCAAAGGCAGATGGTCGAGCTAGCCTTAATACAATCCTGATCGAGGTGCATTTTACGATTTAAGTTTCGGACTTTTGGCTTTAGACTTTAGGAGGAATTTTGTACAGAAGCCTCTTTAGTTCAAGAATTCGGTATCTATCCCTCCCTTGAACTTTTGCTAGGATGAATCAATCTGCCTTTTTCATGAAAATCACCTCACAACATGACACATCTCTATCGTCAAAGCTTGCCACAATTACAAATTAAACCCTATGACTTTCACTCCTAACATGATATACTACAACTATAACATATCATCATGATGCGCAGCTGCTGGTCCTAGTTGCCTAATAGCCTCTTTATCTGAACAGAAATTCCGCCCTCTGCGGTAATATATATGCCACTTGGGCACTGTGCTCTAGCGCACTGAGGAAACATCCATCCTCCAAGGTTTGCCTTAGTTAGCTCTATTTTATCTATCGTCGGGGGCTTTGAGGCAGTCGAGTTGATTGAGAAGGTTTAAAAGGCAAGATTGATGTCATGCGAGGAACACTTTTGATTCCCCAGGCGTTAGTAGTATGAGGGCTGTTCTTTTCGAACGTCTTCTGAGCATATAATAACTACCACCTGGGCGCTGGACGAACTTTTAGAACACGTCCAGGGCCAAGTATCGTAATTTGGGGGATGCCACCCACGCGATCGTCTCGTAACCATTTCTCAGTTTTTCATAATATCCATTGGATGTCACTTTGTCGGTCATCTTCAGCTAAATCCATCAACGTCTTTCATTACGTTGGTATTTCTTATATTTCACAGGTCCCCACTGGATAGTCTCGTATATCGAATAATGCTCTGGTAAATCATGAGACTCCTCTGAATGGTAAATATATAAGGCCATATCACATGCCTAGCAAGATAACCAATATAATACTAATAGTACTGCTTCTAGTAACTAGTAGCGCTCCATGCCCCGGGGTTATAAGACTGTGCCTATCTACTAGTAGTACAAGTAGTTAAGTGCTGGGACCTAGTAATGGCTCTTCGACTTCAACTTGAAGTTCCAACCTTGGAAGGATCTCGGATGGACACGGTCTCCACCTCTTTCAAGGTGTTCCCAGACGATCCATCTCGAATTCATTCGGGCCATAGTGGTACCAAGTTCAAACATTGGACACATTGCTACTAGTAACAAGCACGAACCGTGGAAGATATCACCACAAAACTTCCGGCCCATTGATTGATTTTCTGGTCATAAATTGGGGGCCATCTATGGGCGACGATTATTGGCGATGGTGTTCAACGACCCGCAATCGGCGGTGGGGGCTAACCAGCCTACGTCACATTCTCGATCGGCAGATAAAATGAGGGGATCGTCCTACACATTCCGATTATTCAATCATAAGAAAAATATACACACTGGACGGCTTAGACGTCATATGTCGACTCGCCAATTCGTTGTGGCGGAAGCCTGGGGCCCTCATTACACTGCAGCGACCCTTGATGCCGAGGGCTCCCAGCATCGATTGTTCATCGAAAACTCCCCGCACGCCCCTAAGAAGCCAGATCTGACACTTCATCATGCCGATGTTGATGGGCCCGTTCTCGGTCTGGCTCAATTCCGGCGCTTTTCATCCAACTGCAGTGTGAGACTGGAGAAGAATGACAATGAGATCCACCTCGCGAAGAAGGGTTTGGTATCACCGTCCTATACTTTTCAGATGTATATTCACGGCGACAGGAGGAGCCTGGCTTGGAAAAAGACACGGTCGCTGGGGAATCACCGCACACCTTATGGAGATATGAAACTTATCGACGAGAGGAGTCAAGAAGTCATGGCCGTCTTTTCCCGCGATGGCTTCGCCTTCGTCCCGGGCTCCTTAGATATATACGGCAATTATGGCGAATATTTCGAACAAGCGTCTCTGCTGACAGGGCTGGCCGTCCGGGAGCAACAACGACGCCAAACTACCCGATCGGTGCGTGCCGGTCGAGATAATGTCTACACGATGGGTGTTGTAGGGGTGGGGGGCGGAGGTGGAGGGGGTTGCTAGTTCAAGTTATATATTTGGACATAAAAACCTTGGAATATTCAAAGTTGTTTCTTGAACATGTCCACGGGCACTACCATCGGGCACTACTATTAATATGTAATTTCAGGGCTAGGGAGCTCTCCCGATCAATCATGGATGATCTCGGTAGGAGACAGGGCTACTTGTAATTTCAGGGTTAGGGAGCTCTCCCGATCAATCATGGATGATCTCGGTAGGAGACAGGGCTACTCTCAACTTGAAGCATCGTTCATGGCCGACCACCCCAGTGACCTAGTAGGTATCCTCGTATTTTAGTAGCCTACCTAGGTAGACATCGGCAGTCTGCAGGACTTTACGGCAGCCCCGGACTTACAACCCCTTTTTGTTACTTTGGCCGCCGGCTTATCGCTGCACAGATCGCCCCTCCACTTTGCCGTGCCGGTGCTAACTTTGGAAAGATGCCGCGGGGGTTTGGGCACTAGTATGATGGTTAATTCTGCTGCTCCGGAAGTTTATTTTCTCCTCTCACTTCGTGTGTTTCAAACTAGCCTGACTACTGATGGAAGATCGACAACAGAGGAAACGCAGTAGGTCGGGATGCTGGACTTGTCGCTATCGGTATGTAGGCTCACGTCCAACTCCGTACGGCTCTTCCTGCCCGGCACTGATTTACTCACCTTCTAGTAAAAAGAAGTGTGACGCTGACAGCTTTGCCTGCAAAAGCTGTGTCAGATGAGGACTGGTTTGTGACCGAGGCATGAGACTCGTTTGGGAGAACGATGCAAGGAGGAAAGGAATGCAGCGACGAGGCTCGCGGAAAACATCTCCAGGCGCAACCCCACGATCGAGATCAGAATGCACAGCCCCTGTTAAAACGCCAAATCGTACGATGCAATTCCCGATCTAGGTAAAACTGACAGCAATCTCTGTCCACTACCAGACGCCCATGCGTGCGCGGCGCTGATTACTCAGATTCGCCTTCCCACAGTGGAAAGGTTGACCACCCACGAATATTTTCTATTGGATGGAACATCATGTTCAGCGATTTTCTCGTATCTATCCGACATACTCCGGCCCGAACAATCTTTTTCTCTCCATTCTCTTCCCCGCACAACGCAGCATCATACTGTAATGAATTCGGTTCTGGCTTTGAGTGGAGCCCAATTTGAAGTCCACCATGACACAAACATCGCGAAAGCTACACTTCAGGCACGCCACCGTGCTTTAGAAGGCTGTAGAAACATTTTAACCATTTCGGTGTCACTGATGGATCCGAAGCACACGAGTCCAGATAACTCATCAGCAGAGGAGTCAAATAGCAAGAATATCCTCCTAATATTAGCATGCTGTATCTGCCTCATGCTCTATGAAAAGCTTATAGGAGATGGCAAAGCTAATTGGATGCCACATTGGGCCTTCTTGGCCGCAATCTTTGACCGACTAGAGATACCCGGAAATTATAGAATACTCGATTCGATGCAGCGCTGGGATCAGCAAAGACAAGCCTTTGCGTTCATTCACCACCTACTCTTATACAATGACCTATTGCACTCCACGGCTCGAAGGAAATCCACTTTGTCGAATTTTTATCTTCGGCCAGCGGGGCGCGCTGAAGTCAGGTCTAATATTCCTTTTGTCGAAGGCATGCTCCAAGCCCCCCCCCTATATAATAGAATGATGAAACAACCAAGTACGGTCGTGGCTATTACCCCTATCTGTTAGCTCAAATCAGCGCCAGGGACAGTATCCGATGGGTTCATTGATTCTTGGGATGGCCGACTCGATTTGCTTCCTAACTTTTGTTTGCTAGCAGTTCGCCTTCCATCAGACCTAGGACCCCCTGTCAGGAAAATTCGGAGTCCGAATATTGATCAAAGGTCCTACGCGGTAGATATGGACAGCTATTTCCTCATAAAATCTCTTTGCCGGGATAAAGTAAAGGTATATCCAAGACAATGCCTGTGTCGTCAGCAAGCGCCTCAGTATTTGTCTCAATGTGGCTTGAAGTTGGTAGATCTAGCCTGTCATGCTATATCCCTGATTTCTCAATTACCAGATGGGTCAAGTTTTGAGAATGCTCTACTTTGGCCAATCGGCATCATTGGTCCCGAACTCACTCCTGTAAAAATCTACGAGAGGGAGTACATCATCGATCGACTAAGGGCTTTGGAACAGCGTTTCCAAATGAAACACTTCGAACGCTTACGAGAGGTCTTGCTCAAGGGATGGAATCGGACTGCTCAGCTAGGTTCATTTGATGAAGACTTTCATGCCAATGATAGTTATGGTGACGATGCGTTCCTCTTCGGATAAATATAACTAGGCTTGCAATGTTACAACAAAACTGATGCGACAACACCTGCCAGTAGGCACCTATTGATCCAAGGGGCGCATTTCATGCAGTATCTGCTTCGTATACTTCATTTGATCTTCCACCCAAGCCTCGATGGCCTTAATTTCCACGGTCTCAACTCGACATAGGCCCTTTTTACCTTCTAGATCGGATTCATGCACATTCCTCTCATACACTTCTCGCAATTCTTGGGCCGCGATATGTGCTCTCTGAGCCAGCACATCCAGTCTGCAGGTCGTCCACTGGAAGTAGAGCTCCGTCAAGTGGGACTTATTCCTAACATTGGCATTGGTGGTCTCGTCCAAGGATGTAGGATTCTTTGGGCGGAAGGATGTCACGATTGTGATGCGCTCAGGCATATCCGCGGCTGGAGCGGCAGTATGTGTAATATATCGGCCCTGGAGGATGACAATACAACCCTACATCTGTTTATAAATTGGGAAAGCGTTTTGACAGGAACAACAACATGAACCATTTGTGGGACCTTGACTTTTAAAGTCGATCTGTCCGCCTTCTTCATGGTAAGCCTCAGGTACTCTTCTAAGAATGTCTTCCCTTAGGGATCCGGTGAACATATGGGAATTCTGACACATCTTGCCCTTATGAGGTTCTCCACAGATTCTGGTAAACACATAGTCCCCTTGATATATTGGGTTAACATGTTTCTCGTAAATATCACTCTGGTATATATTGTTTAATAGTTTAATAAGTCTATTCTTCTACGCTGAATTCCTAATTTAAAAAAGGAGCTCCGATCTAGTTACCGCTTTTAAATACGGTATCTTAGTTACCTCTAATATGTCAGGCTGACATTTATTTCCAGTACGCCTTATGTTTTGTAGCTCCCATCAACCTGTTTTTCAATAATGTTGCAGCCAGGTGGCGGGGTATCAAAGTACTGAGCTTAGTTTACTGCGACTCTATGACGTCGTAGTATCAAAATTATATCGATCTTTTTATGATACTGATGTAAAGTGCACGTCTTCTTCGTAGCACTCCTTAGACAAAGTGAAATGAATAATGTAAGAGCTATATTGTAGAATATGGGAGGTACTGGTGATGAAGGCAGATATCATTATGGTTTATTGAGAGTATTTATCTTTTCCTCAAGCAGGCTTTCAAGCTTGGCCGTAGTGCAACACAATTTTCGCTCTCACAGTGAAGCTAGTCCCATTAGTCGCAAATTTTTAGAACTAATTTATCCCCACAAGCTTTATCATGCTATCAGCCAGCATGCAAAATGAAAAAAAAAAGTTGTAGATAGTAATTTATTATTTTGGTCGGCAGAGTCGAGTCATAGTAGTCATAGTTCCTTAGTATTCTGTTTAAGATTATAACAGAATCGCAATTGTGCGAATACATATTTACATTTCAGTAGCATCTATAAGCATAAATTCGTGGCTATAGCTGGCTGTGGAAATACAATCAAGTTGTAGCTCGTTTTTTCTGCCGGCCGCCACTCGTAGTGATAATGAGCTTTGCAAACTGGCCCTGGGTCCTCACCAGGTACTCCGGGCTTATTGTAGCCGTGTGATCCGAAAAAGTCCATTTGGCCTCCCATGAACATGGTGGGCAGCTTCGTTGCACCCACATACTTCAAATATATGGTTGCAGAAATTACAGGCAAGTATTGATCGTGCAAACACCCCTGGATAACTGTTGTCTTTATAGAGTTGTATGTCCGGCGTAGATCCTGGGCAAATTCATCAGAATGCTTCAAGTTCCTCCAGAACATTTCAGTTGAGGCACTGGCTCTAAGAGATCAGATATACCATCAGACCGAATAATACACCCACCAAGCCAAATCTGGAGATCTTCAACTCGGTTAATTTCCCAATTTTCGTCATCTAAGGCTCAATTGATCAGTTCTAACCCTTGGCAGGATGAGGATAGAAAAGTGCAATATAAGACGTCGTGTAAATCGTCGACGAGACTTTCTTTCTCTTTGCGGTTGATCCCTTGTATGAGGTTAGGTTTCGGCAGTCGGAGTGTTTTGGCTGCCGCTAGCATTTCCTCTCGATCACCACTAGCGACGCGCAGGTAATAGGCTGAAGTGAGCGTAGGTGTCGAGATATGGCTTGATGCTGACTCCTTAATAGCCCAATGGGGAGTTTCTTCGGTATCATCGTCATCCTGGACCACTTTATCGAGGACCTTATCAAGCATACCTAGGTATGTTGCTCGGTACCGCTGACTGTATTTTTTGTGCGAAGCATATCGACCGCTATCTTGAGCAGGTAGTTGCCCCAAAGCTCACCATGGCTATTCCAACCGGCAAATATACCCGCGATAACTTCATAGTCAAATCCTAGGCCATCATGCATGAAAGACCGTACTTTTTTAAGGGCTAAGAGCATTCCTCCTTCAAAAGCATTATATACTATCTTCACATAGTGCCCGGATATATGAGGTCCGATACGTGCCGCGCATGGCTTCCCATGGAGGTATTTAGCTGTATAGAGCTCTAATAGCGGCATCACCATCTCCAAAGCTTTAGCATCGCCGGCCGGTGAAAGACTTGAACCATTCCGGCAGCCTGATAGCCTCCCGATACACCCATGCCAATCCAATGAGCACCGATCTCTGCGTATTTATTCTGTCTTCTCTGCGTGCGCGGGTGATTCTTGTTGCCCCCGGATAGAACGATGTCTCCCTTGTTGACTTTTTCTTTTATCATGCCTAGGATAGACTCTGCTGGATCACTATGGGTGATAGAGAAAAGAACTAGTTTTTTCTTTCCTTTCTCTTCTAAGCTTCCGAAGAACTTATTGATATCGTGGAAGCCCGTTATTTTGCCTTTGGTATTAATATTTTGCGACTATTTGATGACGTCGTCAACATTGCTTTTATTGATATCCTAGATGGAAGTTTGGAGACCTAGCTTGGAGAATGCGATCTTTATCTGGCTTCCTATGTTGCCGACACTGACGACTCCGATTCGTGGCCATTATTCAATTATGCTTTCCTTGCCGGATGATAACATGGTGGTACTTGCTTGCCGTTTTTGACGAGTTTGAGTCAGAGAAGTGGCTCGCTAATTACTGCGGTCGTCAAATTGTCAATGGCGGAGCAATTAACCACCGTATTTAGTTCCATTGGGTATTATATAAGACTTACATCATTGTATTGCATTCTTATAAAAACTTGATAGCTTTCAACTCAGTGCGTAGTGAGAACTGGAAGAGGACTGGTTTAACCGTTTCAATGAACCAAGCTACGAAAATGCCATGACGTTAAAAATAAAGTGGTGGTGTCGATCTCAGCGCTCACCGCAGCTCTCCATTCAGAGGATAATCTTTAACAAGCAGATTTTGCGCCGCATTTCTTTTAGACCTTCAATAATTGTGTTTCTAATTAACCATATGCCCAGAGAAGAGCGACTCTAAGAGCTGCTGGACATTTCAATTATAAAGCATGGTACCTAGTATTAAAAGAGAGTACACTATCCAGATCCGGAGTGGGGAAATTCCTGCTAAGCAGTTGATGGTATATACCCAAAGACTCCACCGTGGCAAGATTTCGTGGTCTTTATATCTCGATTAATTTCCATGGTTTCTATTTGGAATATCGTATATTCAGAAAGACTGTCTCTGTGTATATAAGTATAATAGGAAACTATCCCGCTTGCCCGTTCCTTACCGACAAGTTGACCGTCAGAAGTTCTTGAGCTCGGACTTTTGGAGTTAAGTTATGACGACAGTGCTCGATTTTCAGTGCATTGAAAGCCATCATTCCTTGCCCAACATGGTCTAGAGGAAAAAGATGCATTGGGAAACAGGAATCTGTAAGGATACTTGTAAAATCACTTCGATTTAGAGATATTGTCCAAAAAGAAGTAAAATATTTTTCAACTTTGTCAACCTCTTAGCAATAATAGGCAGCCACGAACAAAGAGTAACATCTTCAGGCTCTACAGCATCATGACAAAAGCCTGCCCAGGGGCGGACTCATTTGACTTTACCATCAAGGTCAGTGAAGAGCTCATATCCGAAGTCCTGGCTCGAATCATTGAAACGAAGTTTCTTGTCAAGCTTATCAATCTTGCTGACATCCTCATCCTCAAGTTTGAAAGCAATGTCAAAATTCTGACTAATTCGCTCCGGTGACTTGGACTTTGGAATGACAGATCGACCATGATATATGCCCCATGCTATAATCATATTAGTTCCTATATGGTCAGATTTAAGAAGAAATATTCTGCTTACCTAGAGCGACTTGGTTGGAGGTTTTGCCGTATTTCTTCCCGATCTCAACAAGGCTTTTATCATTCACTAACTGACCATGATCCTCACGGCTGCCATAAATCTCGTTTTGGTTTCCAAATGGAGAATACTGGGTCACATGAATACCATTATTTTTGTGGAACTCCACAAAGTCGGTTTGTTGTAGCCACGGGTGTAGTTCCATTTGGTGGACCGCTGGAATAATTTCTGCATTATCAATGACACGCTGAACCTCTTTCTTCGAGAAGTTGCTGATACCAATAGCTTTTGCCTTTCCAGATGTTACTAGAGCTTCCATCGCTCTATACGTCTGCGTTTGTTTAGTATGGCGTTGCCTCAGGTCAAGAGGAGATGAGATTTAACTCACGTCAAGATAGTCAATGTCGTCAGTTATCAAGTTACCATTTCCATCAGAAGGAAACATATCGTCTCCTCTCTTGAATGCGACAGGCCAGTGCATTAGAAATAGGTCGAGATATTCAAGGCTTAAGCTTTCTAGTGTTTGTTGCAATGCTGCACCAACATCCTCGGGGTGATGTTTGTTGTTCCATAGCTTGCTGGTAACGAAAATCTCGTTCCGCGGCACACCACTCTGTTTGATAGCGCGTCCAACTGCTGGCTCAGTACCATAGCTGGTACAGAGTTAATCAGCTTTTGTTTTATAGATCGAAGAACAGAAATTACCATCTCGCAGTATCTATATGACGATAGCCAGTTTGAAGTGCTTGAAGAACTGCGGCCTCCTGGGCATCCTCATCCTGCCATGTTCCAATTCCAATAGCCGGAATGTGGGCACCAGTATTAAGCTGGAAGGTTTTTTGACTTTGGGACGTTTTCTCGGTGAATAGATGATACAGAACGAAAGAACAAAACTTGATGTTCCCAAAAATAAAGCCCAGCTTGATATTATACTAATATTTGAAGTATGACAAAGCAAGTACAAACTGGAAATGTGATGTTAATATGACGCCAGGTCATTTCAAACGGGGGATTATCTTGTCGGCAACTTAAAATTATTTCAAGTGCAGTAGAACAAGTCGAAGATTCTATGATGTAAGCTCAGGGTTCAGAATCTTGATTAGGTCTGGGAATTCCACATACAGGAGAGCATGTATGTAGAATGTTGAGGGTTATCTGGCCCGTTACCATGGTAATCACTAGTTATGACTTGTCCTGCTGACTTCAGGAAGACATAATGTGTCTTTGGACACCAACAGTCGTAGTTGCGTTACCTTGCACCCTGCGAAGCATAGCGACCTACGACTCTGACATTAATGGCCAAATTAAAAACACTACACCTGGTTCCTGGAATCCAAAAGTGCGACTATCAGGCAGACGATAAATTTATGGGTTGGCTGCTGACGTAAACGCACGGAGAAGTTATGATGCGAGGCGTGGATCAGCACTTGCTCAAAGCGTATGAACTAGACCGCATTCAAGACAAATGAGACCAAGTGGAAAGCAACCCAGAATAAAACAATATATTGATTGAATAAGAAGAAGCACGCGGATGAGAGTACTTGAAATAACCCCTGTATATGCGTATACTCGGTGGCTAATACATAGACCAGTATTTCCAGTTCAACTCACTTGCCATAATGTCCCAAAGGTGGCCCCCCCTGGGCTATAGATCGCTTGCTAGTGGTAAGTTACCACCCCATGCGCTAATAGATTCGAAGAACATGATATGAGCGATAAGTTCACTTAGAGGTGAAACTCATAATTCGTGGCTGCGTCTTGGGCGCATGATCAATAGACCTGTGTATCCATCCTTTCATGCTCTTGAACGGATAAAATATTGGAGTAATCATATAATTGAGACTTTCTCTTCCGTTGAGGCGATACTTCCCTTGATTGATTCTTTTTGTCGGTTTTATAAAACAAAACATAGGAAGTTAATATTTGCTTATTGCTTTAGCCTTTTCGTTGATATGTGAAACCTGAAAAGACTCTTGTAGACTCTCAGCCATTGCATTGTTGTTAGAAGTATTGTCGGTAGTAATAGCCAAGATCTGGTCGACCTGGGTGCACCTTAAGCAGTTTCATCAGAGGAGCACCCAGGTTTACCTCAATATGCGCCACTTCTAGAAGATGGAAGAAAAGTAGCACTCCACGGGGCTTCCAGTTCACATCAATATACAACCTTGGAAAGTACCCAGTGATGACCACAAGGTTTGTTGGAACGGAGAGGACCAGCAGTCGAGTGGGATTAATATCTGAGCACCTAATGGGATCTTTTGTAGAACCTTGTCCCATTCCTAATGAGGTATTGATAAAGCATACAGTACCAGACCATTTCAGCAGAACAAGCAATCATTTTCAGGCCCTCGAATCTGCTGAACGCGATTGCAGGGTCTGAGCTAGACCAGCGGCAGAAGAAGGCTGCTTCTGGTTGGCAAAATACAGCAGTAATTGGTCCAAGCCCTCACCAAATAAGGACTCATTATTTAGTGGCAAGAAATACTATTTTCAGGAATTTGAAAACTTGCCAATCTTTTTACGAGACTGGTTCTGCATTTGAAATAGTTGGTTGGAGTGATACACATGTGACCTAACGTCATTCATGTGTCATAGGCGTGGAGACCTTTTTTCTATCAGTTATCTTATTTATCTATAAAATAGCAAAAGCGTCTCAAAATTCCTAATAATTCACACTTCAACGGCTCATAATGTCCCAGTATTCCCTTCACAGAGGTGCTCACGGCTTTAAGGTCGCGGATCCAGTCAATGCTCAAAGTAGTAACGACAAAGGTGTGACTTGCCTATGCCAGTGTCTCTTTATTACTGTCAAATACAAGGAATGACTGAATTGACCGGAGAAATATAGTCGTTGGAAACGCACAAGAATCACGCCCAGAACGTCAACAGCATTCTAGCACAGAAGATGCTTCCATGAACACCGACGGGCCTTACGACAAAGATCAAACAACAGAATCAACGAATGATGAATGCCCCCGCGAAGACATTGCCGCAAGTTCTCGATTTATGCCTCAGTCGGGGAAACCTGCGGGAATTTATAACACTCAGACTGAGAGCGTAGAGCGAGAAGAGACACCCCATGATGAACGGCGGGGTGAAGAGGTCGCTGCAAGCCATCGCTTCATGCCCCAGGCAGGAAAGCCTACGGGAACATCTTCACTTTGAAGCAGAGAACCTTGAACAAATCAATTTTGGTTCACAAACTTGGGTTCGCCTTTTGGATTGTCGCTACTCAATCAATGATGTAATTATTAGTCAATAAGTAAAATTTCTAAATTGGATAACTAGTGCACAGGAAGGTCGTCTGACTAAGGATCTGCGTAGACCCAACCATTTAATCGGTCAGCGGTCGCCAAATTTTGATGTATGATAGCGTAGATGGAAGTGGAGTCTTTTCGCATAATCCAGACATCTGTTAGAGGCATTTGAAACTTTCTCAATTTGAAAACAAGCAAGCTCCAATGCATGACTGCAAATTGATGTAACAAATAAATTTTTTTCTTTTTCAGTTGCTAGATACGTTCTATATAAGCGGATAAAGAAGAATAACGAAGTTTAGTCACTATCATATTAGACAAGGGTATTTACAGCAAAATAGAAAAACATTCACAGCCCGACAGTAACTCTATCAAGGAACGTCAAAATTCCGAGAAAGCAAGGTAACTTGGGATACAATTTGATGGAGATAATAGTAAGTGTTCTCTTTGGAAACTATTTCGAAGCATAGTGCCTAACTGGAGCTATGACAGAGCAGCCAAATACCACATCTGAGTGTGTAGAGGACGTGGGTGACACTGGACGGCCGCATCCTGAAGATAGAGGTTGGAAGCCCCGTCACTTTAGAGACTGCAACGGAGGTCCCAACCTTGTCTTTGCAGCCAAAAGTCCTCCGAGAGATGGTCTGACCTGCTCGCATTCTTCTCAAATTGCAAACAAGCTTGACCCTCGTGTGAATTCAAGCAGATGTATTGAATGTCGTCATCATGATTCCAGGACACGTATGCCGGGCAGGATGCTAGCATGAATACAATTTAGTTGGCTTACTTAGATATGTATACTTGTCGTAAAATTCAATGAGAATGAAGTATGCCTTTCTTGATTAAAGCGCTGCGTACAAAAGATTAACTTGGCGACCGGGGCTCAAACAGCGCGCTGGCACTGAAATCACCGCCCTATTGGCCTAAGTCATCGCTCAATCCCTCAATCTTCCCTTACGAAACAGGTAGATCAACTCTAATGTCCTAGCTACAGGTACAGCGTCTTCATCGATGTGGTGACAGTGGTAATGGTGATCATTCTTGTCCTTGTTACGATCTTATGACTATGGATGTTGTCATTACGAGGACGATAAGATTTTTGAAGACCAAGTTTGTAGGTAGCAGGGTTACAATCTTGGCAACTAGAGTGGCCCTGCCCCTTCACCAAATAAAAAGGAGAAACCGAGGCAAGGCCACTATTGCGTAGGTAATTTCAACATTTGGGCGACGATGGTTATTTATTGACTGAACTTCATTCGTATAAGGGGAATTCTGGTCAGCTAATATCCAACGCCGGTATCTGGGTGGTATGGTGCTGATTGATTTGACAAAGGCCAGCACTGGTGTCACATACATCTCTTTCTTCTTTTTTCTGGTCGTTACAAACAAGGTCCAGGCTGTTTTCCCTCTGCAGGACCTAAAAATCGCACCTTTAGAACCAAAGGATCTGAATCTTAAATCAGATCGAAACGAATACCCTGGCGTGCAATACACGAATAATAGAATCTGTTGCATAAAGCCTTGTCTCAAGGATATTCTACCCCCGTCCAACGCTTTTTACCCTTTGCAAAAGAACCTTGAGAGATTAAAAACCCAAATGAAGATCGATCAAATCCTTCTCCGCAGGCTATCAGTCATCTCGAAAGAGAAGTTGGAGCGTGAAGCTACTGCTGAAGACCCAGACCTCCGCCGCTGCGTTGCACATTTTCGACTACACTGTGTCTTAGTCCGATGGGCTGAGAATATCATACGGTCTCACCTCGATTCAGAATGAGCTGATGGCTTTCTTCCCAACGCTTACCATAGAATATGTGTAAGCGCTTCAACTATATACGACAATTATGATTCCTACGCACTTTCTTTGATATCATTGTTCATAGTCTGTTGGATTGGTAATCAGCTGTTTGGAAAGGCGGCAGTTCTCTCTCTACCAATTAATTTATCTTCCCATCCTACCGCCATCCAGTGAAACATAATCGGTCAATTCAGATCTCCGAATTCCCAGCATTGAATTTGGGGGATAGCGACTCCTCCGCACACGTGTGCACCAAATTCTGGCCCAGGAACCTCATTCTCAGTAACAATGCTGCTTCACAGCTCAGGCTACCTAGTTGGTAATTGCCGAAGACTCGATCGTTGGCAATATTTAATGCCACGCGCATTTTACCAGCCTGTTAGTCGACACTTGAGCTCCATGTGCAATGAGAAGGCTATGATCGGCTCAGCATGGACGCTGAATTGTTATATCTGGATCGTATATCTTCCATCCAGCGTGGAATACCCCGCACCAGTACTTGCTCACTATGCAGTTGGGGCTTTTGTCCCCAGGACAAGCAGTGGCAGCACTCGTGGCTTGGTAAGGATATCATCGATCTAGCGGAGAATTCGTATTTTCAAAAACTCATCCTTATCTAGGTCATTGATTGTCAACTTCACATGCTCATCAGAAACCGAATGCACATTTCAAAACAATCTCGGTTAGCGCTATAATTAATGGACTTTTGGTGATCTGACTCTAGCCATGTACTTTGCTCGGTTGCTTTTCCACATCCATGAAACCCCCCAAGTATCTCTTGGGTAAGGCCAAAGATAGAGAGGCAACAGAAGTTATTCAAAGCATAGCAATGAGGGACGTTACTACCACCTGGCTTACAGTTGATCACTTCCATTCTGCTTCCGCGAGACTGCAAAATTCGGAAGCAGATGAACTCGTGTCTGCTGATTCCTCGCCCGAGCCAGACAACATCATCCGTCGTGCAGTAAAAGCTTGGGCTCCCCACCGGATGATGGCCCTTTCAACTTCCATGATGCTTTTTCTGTGATGTGCAATGGGAATGGCGTACCCACTTTACAACTCTTTCATCCTCATCTACTTGCAGACCAAAGGTGCAAGCTCCAGTGGGGGTCATTGAGTCAGACATATCGCAACTATGCCATTCAAGCAGTCTGTGGAATTCAGGCTTCCATCACCGGTGGTTTCACTCTTGAGATGAAACGCGTTGGACGAAAAGGAACTGGAGCCATCGCTTATATATGTACCCGCGTCTTCTTGTTCCTGTTCACTAAGGCCAATACCCCCGCCAGCGTTCTCGGGTTTTCCTGTGTCATTGCCTTTCTCCAAAACTTGGTATATGGGTTACTCTATTCAAACACACCTGGACTATTCCCAGCTCCAATCCGCGGTACTGGAAATGGTCGGGTTGATGGCCCCAATAATCGCGGCATACGTTGGCGTGGAGACCAGCATGCCGATCTGGATCTCAGCAGTGCTGTTTGTCGTCACAGGGATTGTGTTCCTGGCATTGCCATACGAGATGAGAGGTCGGGCAGCTGCATAGTCTATTACTAGTGCTAGTTCAAACAGTATATCGCCAGTATTAGTCACTCGTGATAGACATCTCGATATTGGAAGTGTTGATTTTCACCCGAAGTTGCTCTACATTCACAGAATAGTAAGTTTTCCTGACCGCAACAATCTGCAAGGACAAGCATGTAAGCTTCAATGGCTGTGCAAATCGACCGATCCTCTGATCTCACCGCCTGAGCAAGACGCGAGGCAAGGGGGTAATAATCCAAGACAGCAGCCTGCCTATATACATGATAAACAGGGCGCACTGAAGATGCAATTTACCATGCGTTCATTGCAGCTCATCGTAAATCCACACCAGGGCTGATTGTAGTATATGTTCATCTTTATAGTTCAAGTTTTACTATTCATAGTTGCTATCCTATTAGTCAGTTACTAGTAGTAGTGTATTCTTTTCGGTAGTAAGTAAGATTCAGTAATGCCAGGCTGCTAAGATCAGTTGAGGCTACAAGTCTTCAAATCATGTTTATCTGTACGTATCCCTTCGGCAGTAATCACTTAATTGCGTAATTACCTATGGTCTCTTCCTCTCTACTATCCCTACCCCCTATTCTACCAAGTAGCAGTTCCACTCGGAGCATCGCCGAGTGTTTTATGGAGCCCCGATAGCACAGAGTCGCAGGGGCGTGTTGCATCCGCCGATCGCTTCCCACTCGGAGGCTCTCGGACTCTTCTTCCTCTTCATTCCTGGACGATTCTTGGTGGGCATGGGCTTCTGGTACAGTGGACCCCTCCAAATGACTGCCCCTCTTCGGTTGGCACTCCCCGCATCCCGCGGTCGCGTGGGGGTGGAATCTAACAGGGTCTTTATGACTCCATCGCCTTCCCCCGGATTTCGTCTTCGTCTTTGAATTCATCCATTTATCTATTAATTTCATTTGCATCTTCCTCCGAAGAATTTCCTCAATTTCCATCCTTTCTGAATTACATCCAACATGGCCGGCCCACAACCTCCATATCCGCTTCACGAGTCCGTCAAGGACCTATTGGATCCGGAGTACGTCGCCTTCTACAATGAGCATGTCATCAATAATCAGCAGGTTCATCTGCAGCCTGTAGCCGCATCTCGCACGGGCGGTGTCCTGATCCCTGGTGCTGGTCCCATGCTGGAAGTCGGTTCTACCAAGGATATCTCTGTTACACGCCGAACAACTGAGGGTCCCTCGGTGCCCATCCGCGTCTTCACCCCCAAAGGTGATGCCCCCGCTGGCGGGTGGCCGGTGATGCTGTACTTCCATGGTGGTGGCTGGGTGCTGGGAAATATCGACACTGAGAATGTTGTCTGCTCCAACCTCTGCGTTCGTGGCAACTGTGTCGTTGTGACCGTTGACTACCGGTGAGTTCTATTATTCCTAGCGTAGCATTGAATATTGTCTCCATCTCCCAAGGGGTCCCAATGGGAAATTGAGGATCTAATACCAGTTGTTCTCCGATAGTCTCGCTCCGGAAAACCGTTGGCCGGCCGCCGTTCACGACTGCTGGGAAGCCCTGCTGTGGCTGGTCCAGGAAGGCCCTACGGCCATTGGCATTGATAAGTCCAAACTTGCGACTGGTGGTTCCTCGGCTGGGGGAAATCTTGCGGCCATCATGACCCACAAGGCCTTGACGCTTTCGCCGCCCGTCCTTTTCAAGGCGCAGCTGCTCTCCGTCCCAGTGACTGATAACACGGCCACCGTCGAGAACAACGAGTCCTACCGTCGCTACGAACACACCCCGGCCTTACCTGCTCCCAAGATGATCTGGTATCGCGATCACTATATACCCAACCACGCAGATCGCACAAACCCAGAGGCTAGTCCGCTCTTCTACGCCGATGGATACGCGCAATGCCCGCCAGCCTTGGTCATGGTGGGCGAGCTGGATGTGCTTCGGACTGAGGGAGAGCAATACGCCGAGAAGCTGCAGCAAGCCGGCGTGGAGGTTGATTTGCAGGTCATGAAGGGTATGCCTCATCCTTTCCTGGCCATGGATGGTGCTTTGTCGGAGGGTAAACGATGCATTACCCTGATGTGTGATGCCCTCCAGAAGGCTTTCTGGAGTTGAGCGATGAACCATTACGAAAATAGATATAATTGCATAGATCTTAGATTATACTAGAATTCTTCTTTTGAATAAAGATTTCTGAAATTCATAACAACTCTAGAAACAACTTTAGAATCTATTGATGAATTAAGCTGTCTATTCTGAGTTGCTCTTTTTATCTTCTTGACAGTACCAGTATTAGAGATGACCATCGTTCACCTCATATCCAGAGATCTATCCTCAATGATGCCAAGGTGGATCTAACATAACAACCATGATGATTGAATCAATGAAGATAACAAAGAAAGGCAGCAGAAACTCATAATCAGGTTGCCAAATTTAGTGACAGTGTTGGATTCTAGATCGACCACCACTGTTTCGTACCCACAGGAGCGACAATACGCCCGGGCAACTCCGTAAACACGGAGCGCATTCCTGCTACAACCTCCCTTCTTCTCGTGGTCTCGGCTATCATTTTGTAGGCTCACCTAGTTCTTAGCAAACTTTGAGAATCCCAGTTCCGTATCTCTCCTTTGCGTCCAGGATTCCTGTGGTTTGCGAGAATAGCCAATACTTCGCGAGCCCCGCCAGAACAAATCACATCCAAATAAGTGGAAACTTGTACTTGTACTTCGGCAGCAAATGACTGGACTCCGACTCTGAAGTTTCACTAGCATAGAACCTTAATTAGACAATGCCTTTCTCGCTCTACTCACATAAGGCCGGGTCTCGCATTTCCCTCGCAATATCGAAATTCGCGAAAAGGACAGCCAATGAGCAGGATCTCCCGAACTCCTCTCTTGTCCAAGAATGATCTGTATTCAAGTTGGATTTCATGGCCATGGGTCCATCCGACAAGCACATTATGTTACAAAGATCTCGCTTTTAGCGGAAATTGGGCATGCGTATTCCTATCATGCCCCGTCATAACGTAACTTATGAAATTACACAATAGATGATTATCACCTATGGTGCACAAATCCTCCACAAACCCTTGCTCGCATACGCTGCTGTCAAATTTACTTTTCAATATGATATTTCTTCTGGAATCGCTACAGTGACCACGAGAAGCATCTACAGGGACAATAGCATAGCTGGGTCGACTCGATCTTATACTTTGGTAATACCTACCTACTAGTACTAGTATGTAGTATGATGTTTGAATATCCATGCAACTCTTGTCCGAAATAAATAGATTCCTGATTAGGTACATTTCGGAAATTTGCAGACATCTAACTTGAATTCCATATTTCAATCCAATCCTTTGAAAACCTCATCGAAACGAAGCTCATTCCATCGCACATGTGGCTTCAATCCGGCAAATTTCCAAACCCCATCCACTTTGCGATAGTAGTGCTCATTGGTAGCATGTCCGTGCCCACGCAGTTTGACCTCCTTCAGGGTTTCATCTGTATACACCTGGTGGGCAGCGCGCAGCTGATGGTGGCCAATGACCTCGGTGTCGGAGATCTTCTCCCACCATGTCTGACCTAAAAGGTGCTGTGTCTTGATGGTTGGATCCCCGAGAAAACCTGGATGCGTAACCATTCCCATATACTCCTCGGCTGACATGTCATCCCATCTTCTCAGGCCGACCTCGGTATAGTCCACGGTCAGAGTCGGGGCAATGATGCCACGTAGGCGTTCCCAGTCCTATTCATAACTGCGGTTAGAAGAGACTCATTCATGGTTGACAGGAAATAAATTAAGTCGATCGTACCTTAGCGTCATAGCTATCTGCCCAGTCAAATACAAGCTTGGATAAAACTAGGTAGTCTAAGGGTGGTCAGTAAACAAATCAGCCTCGAAAGGAAAATCATATTACCTTGGAAGCTAATGTCCAAGTTAGGCTCGGGGTTTTTGATGGCTGGCGACATGATAAAATTAACTATCAAGAGTCTGATAAAAAAAAAGGTGTAAATTCGTGAAGTGAGGTGGGTGCGAATGTATAGCCCCGCGATGGAGTCTACACTGTGATGTGTAACCTGCAATCCATCTTCGTAATTATTAGCCCGAATGCGGTCTGAGTCAAATGCAATCCATCCATTGGGGATACAGATCTGTACGCCAATGCTTGGCGGAATGCAACCGGGCTCACGATGTGACATGCACACGCGATGTAGATCGTACGGCCTCCCGGATGCGGCAAGGAACCTGTCAGCGGAGTCGAACAGCACTCGAAAGCAGCCTTGGTCGTCTCCAGCGACTGAACAGTAGTGTAGCCTTTTCCACCCAGTGAATCTCAATGCGGGACTGAATCTCCAATGGGTAGTCGAGGAGTCAAATGCGACATGGGGCGGATTATCTGATTCCAGTTGGATGAATCCGACAATTCCTATTATCTGCCAGTAAGTATATACATGTTCCAGATTATCCAGTAGACCGTGGTTTTTGCAATTCCTCAATTTCTGAGCCCATTGATCTACTAGTTACGTTCCCTGTGACATTCATCTCTCGTTAATCATGGTCGTCACCAATCCCAACGCCACTCAGGGCGAACTCGCTGGCAAGGTCGCCCTCGTCACCGGTGGGAGCCGAGGCATTGGATCTGGCATTGCCCTCGAGCTGGCCAAGAAGGGCGCCTCAGTGGCCATCAACTATGCCGGTAACACGGCCGCAGCAGACAAGATGGTCAACGAAGTCAAGGCGTTGGGTGTGCACGCTGCAGCCTTCCAAGCCAACCTGACGAAAGTCGACGCCATCGAGAACCTCTTCCGTGAAGTCGTCTCTCACTTCGGCCAATTGGACATTGTCGTGTCCAACTCGGGAACTGAGAAGTTTGTCTCCCTGGCCGACACGACTATTGACGACTTCAACGCCGTGTTTGACCTCAACACCCGCGCCCAATTCTTCGTCGCCAAGTACGCCTACGACTACATCCAGCCTGGCGGCCGCGTGGTCCTGATGTCCTCAATCGCCGCCGGCGTGGGAGTCCCCGGCCACTCACTTTATGCCGGTAGTAAGAGCGCTGTCGAGGGCTTTACACGGTGCTTCGCGGCGGACTTCGGCAAGAAGCGATGCACTGTCAATGCGATTGCGCCTGCCGGTGTGAAGAGCGACATGTGGCTGAGCAACTCGTGGCGGTATGCCCCTGGCTGCAACAAGGACTCTTCGATCGAGGAGATCGAGGCAGCGCTCGCTGGCGGTAGCCCCTTGAAGCGATGCGGCGTGCCGGCGGATATTGGGCGCATTGTGGCATTCTTATCCAGTCCAGCTGGAGAATGGATCAACGGTATGTGGAATGCAGGGAGAGACGTCAGGGTATCCAGATACTAACGAGGAATAGGTCAAATTCTCCCGTGCAATGGAGGTGCGAATATTTAGAAATGCTTTGTTGTGAAGGGGAGAGAGATTGAAGGATATTCAGGGGCAAATTTTTCACGGGATCCTTATGAATGTACAAAACAGACTCAAGATTGAGAATTGAAGGTGAATAGGCGTCAATCGGCAGAATAAATGAATTTAGTTTGTCTTTTTGGTGTGTTTCCAACTGGCCTGTCCATGCTGTGGCTGAACAGGAGTTGTTGCTACTGATCTCCTCCGTCATTGGGTCAAACGAAGGGGGAAAACATTCATTATCGAATTTCTGGTGCTCTGCAAATTATTTTAACTGTACACTACCGCAAGGAATCGCATTTTGTCGCTGTCATTAGGCATTATAGTGGCTATTGCAGGCAGTCTCGATCTGAGAATAGAAGGAGACGCTTCATGAGAGTCGTCGGGCTCATTTCAATTTGTACGATGATCGCGACACTGATCACCAATGTCACCAAGATGATCTATTTTTCAGTGGTTAGCATGGACCAAGCTGGAGACGACGACATGGATGCGATGGCTCCTCTACTCACCAGAAATAGCAGGATGCCGACCGAATTCAACTCCCATCCACCCGCATGCACCTTGCCGCGGGCAATCGCACTCTGTTGTCGCCAGAAACGATAGGCTCCGATCAGGGCAACGATGACGGCAACGCAGTGACAGGTCACCGAGAGCGGGATCCCGACCTGGTAGAATCGCAGTCGGTCCTGATCCTGGTTGGATCGCTGCAGGCGAAAGAGCTGGGCAATCAGGACCCCTTGCATGGCAATGACCACCGAGGTACGGATGTAGGCGAGGAATGTTCGTTCCAGAGCTAGAAAGCCGTTAGCGGGTCCGCTTGCATCGTTCGAGGCTCAGTCCAAAGCTCCTGCTTCTTTCTTTCTTCTCCTTCTCTCTTCCACTATTCTGTGGGGCTGTGCGGGACTCACCAAAGTGATCGCGATTGCTCTTCTGCGGGACAGTGAGGGTGACATGATGTGTCCAGAATCGACACAGCCGACTCCACGGGTCCTTACCCCGGTGGGTAGACTGTATACTGGCGCGCGAGCGTGTACGGCGAGTGGTGATTCGGATCTCCTCACCCGACGAGACTGAGGGGGAGGAGTCGTTGAAGTCGGCATCTTCGTGGGTCTGAATCTGATGTAGCTCTAACGCCTCGCGGTCATCTGCTTCTGCGTGTGCGTGGGTGCGTGTGCGTGTGCGCGGAGAAGGCGGTGGGCTGTCATGCACGACAGTACTGGAGTGTGCCTCATGGGGAACTTGGATCGAGTCGGTCATGGTGAATAGTGTCCCAGGACATCACGCAGGGCTCAGTTCAAGCTGATGGAGTTGGAGTTGGAGTTGCGGGGGTGGCCAGCAGAGCAGAGCAGGTTTTCGGTTCAGTCGGGTTCTTCCCCGGATATTTCGGCTGCAGCCGTCATCTCCACATGGGGTTGGGATGAAGATGGATGGAATATGAATGACATGGTCGAGATGTCAATGTAGATGAAATGTGGAGGTGAAGTAGGAGTCCGAGAGAAAAGGTCAACTGCATTCATCACTCCTCCACAGTCCATAAGGGGTAACTCAGCCAACTCCACCGCATGCGGATGGCATCATCGCTGCTCCGAATGTTGCCAGCAACTGCCAATGAGACTAACAAATCAGAGGGAGGGTAATTTGAGAGTCATTGGTCAACATTGGGGATCCATCATGATCCACTGTGGAGTCGAGCTGGCTGGATTTCGGTGAACCTGGTGGTGGTGCGACAGGTAAATAATAAATAAATAGTCCATGACAGATGGTAAAGAGTAAATAGTAAATAGCAAATAATAAGTAGTAAAATTTCTATGCCGTCTGTCTAGCAAATGTCTAGTTTATCTACAGAGTCAACCCTTCAGACTCAACGTTGGTATCTATATGTGTATGTGTAGTAGCTAGGAGAGATCCACTGAGCCCACCAGCTCACAGCCCATCTCATCCCTTCTATTTAGGAGGTGCCGCCTTCCAGAATACCCATCCAAACGCAGCAATAATCTTGAGGCCGGCCGCAAGCCACAGCGCCGACTCCATGCCACCGCTGCTTCGACTGAGCCATCCACCCGCAATGGCGCCCACCAAGAGGCACACCACTCCACCAATACGGCGGTTCCGCTTCACATTACCCGTCGGCTTCTCAGTGATTTTGGGGTCCGACGCAATATCAAAGTAGACACTGGTCAGAACCACAGTCGGAATCTCGTTGTAGCCCAGAGACCGACTGCAGGTCATGGCACCCGCCGACTGGAAGGCCAGGAGACCGATCGGAATCAATTCCAGGAACAATGGCCCTCCATCGAGACTCATATCGGCCGAGCTGTGGGGGATCAGATCGGCTTCGATAAGGGCAACCGCAATAATAATGAGAATCGCCTGGATGAGGAAGGAGACCACAAGGGTACCGCGGCGGAGGGCACCGACACTACGCATGATGATGGAGAAGACCATGGCGCCGGCGAAAAAAGTGACAATGGAGATAAGCGACTTCAACCAGCCCCAGGGCTTGCTGGTAGGTTGATTGGAGGCACCCAGACCGAGGAAGATGGTGTTGCCTATCGAGCAAGAAAAAAGGACCGACGATCAGTATGCGACACAAAAAAAAAACCTAGTTAAACTTTAGGGAAGAGAGTGGAATCCTACCAGTCTGCATGCCCAAGAAACACGACCAGGCATTGTAGGCACTGCTATCACAGAGACCGGTCAGAAAGCATAGCAGCAGACAGACCAAGTCTGCATTGGCCGGGTCCACGGTTTCCTTCCATCGGCGCATGAATGATGATTGCCGAGGAGACTTAGCCTCGGGCGAGGGGCTCGCCTCAAGGTCGGGCATAATTGGGGGTTGTGAATCTTTCTCCATTGGCGATGGTGGGTGGGAAGGGGCCGAGGGAGAGAAGCAGCACAAGGCCGAGAGGGGGAGAGGGGAATAATAAGGAAGGGAAGAAGAAGCAAAGAGGCAAGGCCGGAGTTTAAGTTGAGGAAAAGTCGGACGCGGCCGAAAAGCCCGCGGGTTTCTTTTGACTTTTAACCGTGGGAGTTGCTCCGATCGGCAGTGGAGAAGGGCGTAGGGCTGAAAGTGAACTGAAGTGGACTGCGTGTACATCGAGGCCCGCTCGAATTTGGCGAATTCAAGGTCTGCAGACTCCGTCATTTAATCCACTCTGGACCTCTGCTGTGTTCTGTACTCTGTGCCCCGTAGTTGAGGCATGATAGGCACACGGTGAAAGATCGATTCAAACCGGGCCGCCATAATCTTGGCTGCAGATAATTGTCTTGGTCACGAAAATGAAGCGGAGGAAGAGGAAACGAAGTAGCACAAGTATGACAAGTACCACATCCGATATGGTGTAATCAAGGTGTGAATCAACGCATGGAGAGAAGGAAGGAAAGAGGAAGGGAAAGTGAAATGATGCCTGATTGTCACCTGACAGATTAGGCACCATATGACACCTGGTTCCTCAGGCCGCCAATTAATTTCTCCGTCCTCCGCCTTTTCGATCTTCCAGAACTTCCAGAACTTCCATCTTTTCTATTGTGATGCACCACCATGCGTCCTCATCCTAGGTGTGCCCAACGCCTTCAACTTTGGGCTCGACCTACTTCATTTACAAGACTCTCAATTCACTCCATTCGTTGCCAGAGCTCAACCTCAACCTCAGCCTCCCACCGTTCACCGAGACCTCCGCGCCGACCGCACTCCAGGCGATTCGAATCCGTGCAACAATCTGAGGCCCGCCAGGTCCAGCTGACGGTCGATTCCTTAGGAGAACCTGGCTGTGTCACTGTCATATCTTCTAATCGCCCCAAATTGCCTTTTCGACCACGCAAACCCCGCCCGGCGCATCCTCGCAACCAAACTGCCACGACAGTCGACTCAATACTGGATGATTTGGACCAGGAGACTGTTGATCTGGATGAAGAGGATATCCGTAAGACCATTGAAACACTTGGCCAGTTCTCCGAACAAAGTGCCAAGCTGGCATTGCACGAGTGGGAGACCCTCCGATCAGACATCGCAACTTCATTCACCTATAAACAACTATCCGACTATATCGCCGCCCGCAACCAATCTGCGTCAGAAGAACATCAAGAAGAAGATGTTTGGAGACCAGGAACTTCCTCGTTCTGGCATGCCAGTCCAACCGCGCATAGCAACACCGAACGATTAGCCGCGGCTCAGGGATTAACGGGAAAGCCCCTCCTCGCAGAACATATCCTTCGAGATTGCTGGCATTTCTCGGTGATCAGCGAGGTTGGCCAGCTGGATCTTCGCCTCCCTCCGCTCTCAATTACCGTGCTGCTCAGTTCCACAAATTTCTCGTTCGATGAAGTTGCCGACCTCCATTCTTCCAGTATCGATGTGACTAGTTCTCTCGGTTTGGTCCGAGTTACCGGTACACAGGAAGCTTGCGAATCGATCCGCGATGTCATCGAAGACGCCGTGACCCGTATTCGTACGGAAAAGACCGGCATCAGTGTCAAAACCTCTGTCAACCCGGCTCAGGTATTCACACGGCCATTCATCGATTGGGTTTGCCAAACCTATGGCGTGGCTATAGAGCAAGATTCTTCGTCTATTCCTACCAAGATCCTCTGCCTCTCGGAAAGTATTCAAGATGCAGAGAGTGCTCGCCGAACCCTTAACTATGCACTATCTGATGCGAGCCAAACCTCCGTTCCCTTCTCCACATATATGCCTGCCTCGGAGCCGGCCAATCTCTACAGTCAAATTATCCAGCACCCTTCCTGGTTGGATCGATCCAAAGCATGGTTCCGATGGGCTATTTTATCCACTCAAACGACATCAACCGAGATACAGCGAACGCCATTCTTCGACGGTCACCAGACACGGCTTTCCGATGAGCTGCTCAAGCTCCTTCGAAAGGACTCGGCTGTGACAAATAGAAATGTCTCAAATGGAGCTACCATACAGGAGACCGTGACAGCGTCTGTTGGTAGGTGTCTTTTTTCTTCGAAGCAAATGCCTGAAGATGCAGAAGCTACTCTAAGTGCCTCGGAACTTGGGAGATCTTCCATGACTCGGACTTTTACAACCGAAGTACCCAATCTGGCGTCCTTCCTGGAGTCTCTTCCGGAACCTAAGCCGGAATCAGGGACCGGGAGACTTTGTCTCAAACCATCTTCGGAATACTCTGGAGTGGCCCCCGAAATTGAGGTTGAATATCGTCTCTATGAATCAGAAGGTGAAGATTCTGGCTCTAGTGTCCAAATAACTAGCTTGAAAACTATCCTTGAAAAGAGCAGTGTGGACTACCTTCTCCCCGAGAATTCGACTGATCTCCGTTTCACCCGCACTGCCCATCGAGAGATCACTAAGGAGGTCCTAAGCGAGTCACCTCATTACAGGCAGCTGGTCCGCAACATCGAGCAATCCCTAGTCCGTGATGTAGCTTCGGCTTCCACCTCCGCCGATTCCTCGCCTTCTTCCGCTCTACCCCCCCTTCTTCAAGGTCTCGCTTCCCCGTGGGCTTCTCTTATCTCCTGAGAAAGAGGCTCTTGGTGATTCTATCTGGGACATCTCGCTCGAAAACAACATCGAGGTGGAATACATGTATCCCCCTCTGCAGGACGTTCGCGGTTCTGTCGTTCAATATTATGACCTCGATGGCCGAGAATTAAGCTACCGTTTCTATGAAAGTGATCCTTTCTACGCTAGACTCACGACAGAAGTCACATTGGCGGTTGACATTCCGCAGGCTGACGCCAATCTACATGCAGACGCTGAAGAGTTCCAGCGTTCTGTAGAGCATTTATACCACGAATTCTATACTGCGGCATGCGACATGGCATTCAAGGTAAAACCCGCCAATCGTGAAGTCGAGGGCGAGGTCGAGGGCGAGGTTTCATAAAGGACCTTGGTCCCTTCCCCTGTATTAATATTTTCTTGGCGCCAAAACTCGTCGGCGTACAGTCATAGTTTATCTGTCAAACATACAATCAAGAAGAATTGAAAATCAGATTCAATGCCGATGGAAATGAACTCTTCGCTAGTAACACCTATTTTGCAAGGGAAAAAGCTCCTCCAAAGCTCCTCCCCAAGTACTGCTGGTGAGATTAAGGTACAAAGATCGTAAGAATACTGAAGGATACTCGTCTGCGCCCCGGTATGGGCGAGCATTAGGGTCTGAAACCGACCATTCTGTTGGCTCACGAACCCAAAAAAAACATTTACGAATTGAGTTCTTCCCTTTAAAGGCAGAGTAGTCCTCCACAGTATCCTCTTCGTTCATGAAATTGAGCCCACGAAGTATTGATTTGAACTCCGCCCGGACACGATCATCCGAAGCGCCTTCTAGAGCTTCTTTATCTTGGACCACGTCAAGCTTTAAGCGGCGGGCTGCTTCACTTGCATAGGCTGGTAGCCTGGGGCCCAGGTTGCGTTCAGTCACTTTCACTAGATTTTCTATCGCCCGAGGCGCTTTTCCAAGTCAAAGAGGAATATTCCGCGACGAGAACCCAATAGCCCAGGGTCCAATTAATATTGTGGAAATTTAACGTCGGGCCGGGTAGTTAAATCCGAAAATCTTGCGACTCTCGCCCTGCAGCGCAGATAACCTTAGAGATAGAGGTCGTAATCTACAGAAACATATTTCTTGCAGCCCTGCGGCGCAGCCAGACGCCTGTAATGGAGGAGTATCTAAAGGAGTTTTGTCCAGATAGAAATATATGGATCATTGGCTCAGTTCAGCAGCGGCCTGGTGAGGAAACGCTACGGCCTGGATGAAGTGGGCTTCATGTTATCGCTTTACAGTAGGATCGAGCAGGAAACTTCTTGAAACTTAGTTTGATACTCAGGACAACTTGACGTTTACCAGCGACGCCTCCAAATGGGCTCACTGTCTTTATCAACACCTTCAGTCACTCCGTTATCCCCTCTCACTTCACACGCCGTTTCATCAGGGCCTCCACTACCCAGATAAGAAAATGTCTTATGTTTCAATGTCCAGGGACATCCGATACAGATGAATCCCGCTCGCGCTCTTGTCATGACCACATTGAATCGCCTCAAATCTCCCAGAAACCCAATATCGCCATGCGGATTGCAGTGAACCGTAACAAAAATGACAATGTCAGTTTCCCGACCTTGGAATTCGTCAATACTGTGAATCATAGCAGAAACTGGAAGGGATTTCCTTCGGGAGAAATTTCATGTCTGCGTGGCCAACTCCACTATTGGTTGAGCTCTGGCAGCGAAAGGCTAGTCCAAGAAGACAGCCCGGCATCAGGCGAAGGAACGAAACGCGGATTTACGAGACTACTACCTCATAATCTATCGGAATTTGAGTCGTATCACCTGGTCTACATAGACGAATCTGGATGTGACAAGCGGATAGGGTATCGGCGAACAGGTTGGGCCCCGCTTGGGGTCACCCTGGTTCAAGTAGCCAAGTTCCATCGTGGTCAGTGATACCAGATCTTGCCGGCATATTGCTAATATGGTGTTCTTCTTTCCTGCTTCTTCCGTGGCTCGACTAATGCTCTGCTATTCGAAGACTTTATTAAACAGCTTCTTCATTATTGTGGTAGATAGCCGGAGCCTGAATCGGTATTAATGATGGATAATGTATCCTTCCACCATTCTGAGCGAATACATCGAATCTGCTCTGAAGCAGGAGTTAAGCTGGTATATCTTCCACCGTATTCTCCTGATCCCAATACGATCGAAGAGTTTTTCGCAGAGCTAAAAGCTTTCATCGAACGGAACTGGCAGTTGTTTGGGGATGACCCGGATCAAAATTTCTAGGAATTTCTGGAGTCGTGTGTAGATGTGGTTGGTGCAAGAGAAGGAAGTGCTGAAGGCCATTTTCGTCATATAGGCCTAACAATTGAACATTGTTGATTGACTTATATAGACTTATAGAACTTACGTATATCTACATGTGTACTCGCATTTCATAGTTTGCTCTGACAGCACTAGTCATTTTTTCCCTCTCTTCTTAGCCTTATTTGACTCTCCTTTCCCCTAAAATGACAAGAAGCCTTTATTTTCATTTGGGTGGAATTTACATCTGCTGGCATTGTGAGACCATTCAGATTCACATAGGATGCCGCCTGATTGTGTTCTTGGGGATGGGAAGTTTGATAATCCGACGACCTGAGCCCCACATCCCAGGCTACTGGTTGGTTCTGCAACTGCGTGATCATAAGTCAGTCACCAATAGTACGGGATCCCTCATGCACTCCGACATCGTTGTATGCAATGACTGGTCAAAACGGCTTGTACGCTGACTGGGGCGGGCGCTTAGGGACTAACTATTGTAACTTAGACAGTTACCCCTCTTCACCTTGGTGCCTTAGGCTGACCAGAAGGCGGTTGCAATCACTCAGTATCACCCCTCTTGATTCTGATGAAAGGCCGAGTTCATAGCCTACGAGTCATTTCAAAGCTGGCGATATATTGATATTTCTGCCCCATTACCCTTGCCTTCTCGGCCACGGCAGCGGCACGTTACGCCAGATAGTTGTGTCCCCAAGTCTCCATTGAAGAAGTTAGACTTATTTCCGTGACGAGCATGACGTCCACAATATCGTTTGGGGGTTCAAATTCGGGGGGTCAGATAGGTGTGAGCCACGGCCCAGTCTCTTACCACTTCCATGCGCCAGAAAGAGAAAAGAACGAGGCAAACACCAGGCCTTGTACGTCAACAGAAGCCCCAAGTACAATTATAGACGCACTAATTCTCTCTAAGGCGACCAGTCTGCAGTTCACCATGTCATTCCATCCTTGGAGAACCGTCACTTTACGGGCCGTGAATCGACGCTAGAAGAGCTAAAGCAAAAGCTATTTTTCCAAGGAAATACTGAGAAGGTAGCCCTATTCGGATTATATGGCATCGGTAAAACCCAGGTTGCTCTTCAGCTTGCGCGCTGGGTAAAAGCGCATATATCGGACTGCTCAATCTTCTGGGCGCCTGCCCTTAGTCTCGAGAGTTTTGAGCAGGCTTGTTCGCAAATTGCTAAAACGCTTCAAATTGATCGATATTCAGACGGTGAAAACGTGATAGAGTTAGTGCATCAGCATCTAAGTTCTGACAAAGCCGGAAAGTGGCTCTTTATTGTCGATAATGCCGATAACGGGAGCTTGCTCTTCGATGATCTTTATCAGTATTTCCCTGCTAGCAAGACTGGTATGACGTTGCTCACTACTCGTGACCACGAGGTAGCGTTTTCGTTCGCAGGAAGGGATACAATTAAGGTCGAAAAGATGACAACAGAGGAAGGGGTTGCGTTTCTTACCAAGATCATCGGACCCGACTCGCTTCGTGATCAAAAGTCGACTATACTGTTACTTGAGGAGCTGAACTTCTTACCACTCGCTATTTCACAAGCAGCTTACTATATGATCCGAAATAATGGAACAACCATACGGTACCTCCAGCTTATGAAGAAGACCACAAACGACCGGATGCGCCTAGCGACCAGAGAGTTCCATGATATAACTCGCTATCCAAAAATGTCGAACGCGGTGGCTACCACATGGCAGATCTCCTTCAATAAAATCAAAGCCTCTGATCCCTCTGCCGCATATTTGTTGGAATTTATATCTTATCTTGAGCCAAAGGGAATACCCCGACTGGTCCTGCCTACCCTTGATTCGGAGGAGGAGATGGAGTCTGCGATTGGTACACTGTGTAACTATGGGTTTCTGACCAGGAGAAATGATTTGGATATTTTCGATATACATAGCCTTGTGCAGCTATCAACACAACTGTGGATAAGAGAGGCACAGAAGATGCAGCAGATCATCGCGACCGTGACACGATACATGGACAAGTGCTTTCCGTCTGCTGAATACACAAACCGTGAGACATGGAGGATATGTCTTCCACATGCCCTTAGAATTCTTAGAAGAGAGGAAAATAAAGATATAAGTGAGCGGTATAGCTTACTTTTGAAGGTTGGGAAATGTGTTCTAGCGGATGGCCGAGCAAAAGAAGCTGTTACTTTTTTCGAAGATGTGTGTGCATGGGGTGAAAGGCACTATAATGAAGAACATCCCTCTCGGCTGACGTCTCAGCATGAACTCGCAGGGGCATATGAATCCAACGGGCAGATCAAGCAAGCCGTGGAGCTACTCGAGCATGTCGTCGCAGTGCAAGAGAGAACGCTTGATGAAGAACATCCCTCTCGACTGGCGTCTCAGCACGCTCTCCAAGACATGAAGCAGTCGATCAAAGAAGGATCACTGTAAACAATTTTTATCATCACTGATAGTGGGGCTTAGCCTAGCTGATATTTCTGGAATGAACCTTCTTCGTAGTTTCACTAAGCACCAACTTTTACGGCGACATATGGCTCACGGTGGCAACCCATAGAAACAAAATACAGGTTGGCGAAACAGAGGTAAGCTTGGAATGAAATATATTACGGTTTGTAACTATACTATGTAATACAAAGCTAAGAATAGTTCAATACCTAACCGTATTAGGTTAGACATAGCTTGGCAATGACGTGGGCGAAACAAAGAGTGAATGCAAAAAACGCAGGGCGATTTTGCAAGGTACTGTACAGGGCCGCTCGAAATCAGCTTCACCTGTTTATTCTTTTCAAAACTTTTTGAAACCTTATCTTGCATTGCACTATACCCGTTTAGGCTAGACTAACCCTGACCCACTATGCGGCGGTATGATCATACAAGCGTAATTAAATGAATAAAAGTAGATTCCGTAACGTGCTGTACGGACGATTTTGTTTTCTAGAACCAACTTATTGCAAACATGTCAAACAATGCCATTGTTGTCCGGCTACCTCTCCAGCTTGCATTCCAACATTCACCCACCCCCCTCCACGGCAGATCCAAGCGGATAAGCGAACGGAAATACTCAGATTGAAAAAGAAAGGAACGTTGTGTCTTGGCGTTCCGAAAGCTGCGGGTGTTGATCAGTGCTAACAGAAAGCAGACCGGTACGTTCACCTCACAAATAGACATTGCACTTGAAGCATCATTCCAATGCCGAGGAACTGGATATTCAAGGGAAACTGATTTAATTGGTATGAAAAGAAGTGAGCTTTAAACACAAAGCTTGATCGCGCAACGTCGGTGGTAATCATTAAGGAGGTTTGGGTGAGCCTGGAAGAAGCATAATATGATCCCACTTTACAAATGTAGACATATATTTGTGGATGTCCAAACACAGATCAAAGGCTAGAAACGGGATTTTGTTTTGAGAGCATGAGCAATATGACACGACCTGATGAGCAGCCGATCGCCAATCTGGTTGCATATGTAGCGAAATTATCGTGATAATTTGGGCGATATTCTGAAGGCAGCCACAACAGCTTGAGTCCATTATAGGTTATCCAGGAAAGTTCCTGGCTTAATCCGTATACATACTGCTTAGGCGGCGAGATGAAGTCGTCAGACACAGGCGTCATCGGAGCTTTTGAGCCTATGTCATATGTGCCGTTAGTTGTGTGCAGAAGGTTGATATCATCGTTGTCGAATTGAAGAGAGTCGATGAAGCCGATAGGAAGATTTGACACGCTCTGGCCAGTAGCCGAATCCCAGATCCTGACCGTGTTATCATAAGACGCTGATGCGAGTCGGCTTCCATCTGGCGACCAGGCAATCGACCTGACCGAAGCACCATGGCCCTCAAGGGTTGATATACTCTGGCCGGTAGCCGGATCCCAGATCCTGACTGTCTTATCACGAGACGCTGATGCGAGTCGGCTTCCATCTGGCGACCAGGCAATCGACCTGACTGAAGCACCATGCCCCTCAAGGGTTAATATACTCTGGCCGGTAGCCGGATCCCAGATCCTGACTGTCTCATCATCAGACCCTGATGCGAGTCGGCTTCCATCTGGCGACCAGACAATCGAGTCGACCCAACCACTATGCCCCTCAAGGGTTGATATACTCTGGCCGGTAGCCGGATCCCAGATCCTGACTGTCTTATCATCAGACCCTGATGCGAATCGACTTCCATCTGGCGACCAGGCAATCGACCTGACTGAAGCACCATGCCCCTCAAGGGTTGATGTACTCTGGCCGGTAGCCGGATCCCAGATCCTGACTGTCTTATCACGAGACGCTGATGCGAGTCGGCTTCCATCTGGCGACCAGGCAATCGATGTGACCGAATCACTATGCCCCTCAAGGGTTAATATGCTCTGGCCGGTAGCCGGATCCCAGATCCTGACTGTCTCATCATCAGACGCTGATGCGAATCGGCTTCCATCTGGCGACCAGGCAATTGATGCGACCGGATCACTATGCCCCTCAAGGGTTAATATACTCTGGCCGGTAGCCGGATCCCAGATCCTGACCGTGTTATCATAAGACGCTGATGCGAGTCGGCTTCCATCTGGCGACCAGGCAATCGACCTGACTGAAGCACCATGCCCCTCAAGGGTTGATGTACTCTGGCCGGTAGCCGGATCCCAGATCCTGACTATCTTATCACGAGACGCTGATGCGAGTCGGCTTCCATCTGGCGACCAGGCAATCGACGTGACCGAATCACTGTGCCCCTCAAGAGTTTGAAGACAGGGACTCCAGTTTTCCTCTATCACAGGATATTTCAAGACCCAGTCTGGTCTCTCATCCTGAAAAGATATCCTTGTGGGACTCTTTAGTGGGCTAAAGATGAGAGGTGAGCAATATACTTGCAGAGGGCTGCTTTCAATTGCTGTCCTGTGATATCGAATAAACCTAGAGGCGTCTCGAGATCGATTCACTAGCATTCCTGACTCTTTTCCCTTCTGTTTAAGTGCGCCCCGTGTCAGAAGAGAAGATCATCTCTATTCAATTTTAACCACTCACCTCAATCAAAATCTCGAGCTTTTGCATCACTTGGATACCATCCGAAATACTTCCCAAAATACTAAGAGCTTCGAGCCAGTGGAGGAATTTCTGCTGCAGAAACGTATCCACGCGACCTCTGTCATAGACTCCCAGCTCACAAGCTCCATTAAGCAGGCTAGCTTCAAGATGGTCCATCCAGTAGACACATGAGTACTCTACCGCTGCAAGTGGATTTGGGCTAGGTTTGCAAATATCCTTCGGGTGTAGTCCAGGTAATTTGATATTCCAGATATCACGTTGAAGTGTCTTGAAAATAACGTCGAGAGATCGTATAAATATCACGTTGTGTTCAGCCTCTATACCTCTAGGAAGTATCTCACTGAGTGCTTCCTTGAGTAAAAATTCCTTTGCAGACTGATGAACAAACACAATAGTATGTTCCCGTAACGTTAAAAAAGATCCACAGATTGCGATTATCTCTTCAAGAGAAACAAGATCATCGTCGTCGTCGTTGTCGTCCGGTAGTCCAATAAATGAAGTCAGTTCGTGTAGCGTAATAGGCCGAAAAACTGTTGACATGATTGCCAGTATCTCCTTGCAGAGCTTGGCATCTTCAGATTCGCGAACTCGGTCAATCATTCGACCATATAGAGCCTCCAACCCAGGAGGAAATGATTTTAGCTTCTTGAGTACATTTATTCGTATCTTTTCAAGGTTCTGACACACCAAGGCCACCCAGAGGAAGGTACCTTGCGAGTTTGACAATAGGTAGGATTGAACACCATCGCGAGTTTTTTGGCTGTACTTTTTAGCCTTTACCAGTTCCTGAACTTTGTGGTGGATAAAATGATTCACTGCTCCAGACACAGAAACCTCATTCAGCTCTAATGAGATCGGAGCTAGCTGGGTAGCAATGTCAAGCCGCTCAGTGATTTCAGGCCAGTTGCGGCTAGAAACAACCCACTTTATCTGTGGACTGACTGATGATTCCTGGACAATTAAGTCTAGAAGAAAACGGAGCCCATTGGTGCACTCATCTAAAGCATCGATTACCAAATAAGTCATCTGCAGTGTCGGGTCGTTTAGAATGTCCCTGAAGATTGCTGACAGTGCGTTCCATGCATTGACATCCTCAAAGAGGGTCTTTCCTACATAGTCGTACCGAGCTCGCACATGGTGGAGAAGAAATGGATGATTATTGACAAGTAAATATATCAACCCCCTTAGGACAGATGTAGCACTGTTGATTCGCATGTCGGTAGCCTGACAGAGAAAGAACGAGATGTTCGTATTATCCCCATACGATCTTGTCAACTCGTCAATGATACCACATACGAGCATCGTCTTGCCCTTACCAGGATCACCCCTGATCCAGAGAAGGCGATTTCTCTCGCTGTCTTGCCATTGTTTGAATTCTTTGTTGTCTAGAATCCAGCGATATGAGTCTTTGAGTAGTCCGCCCTTGGTCTTCTCGATACGTTCTTTATCGTCGACAGGGTTGGTGGCATGCAAATCACGAAGGCATTCTTGATTCAGCGTTTCGGATTGTACTGAAGCCGATCACTATTACCAGCCGTAGATTACAGTCACATCTATTTTTCACTTACCAATAGTGACATTCCCGACATTCCCGTGTATTACTCCTGCCTGGAATCCAGAGTTGTTTTCGCCGTAGGAAATAGTAGTTGCCATGGCCGTTGCGTAAGAGTTTTGAGGAGGCTCAAATCCAAGCTTGGATCTCCCAATCCCCAGTCTACCCCGCTATCAGGTGATCTGATTCGAGACAGAAGAAATCGACCGTCTTGATCATATTCCCTTTTAATCACCTCGATAGATAATGTGTCTTTCGATTTACATTATTCAGGAGGTCAATACGTGAACGTAGCGCCATCTTCCTCGAAGTTGCCGCGGAAGACCAAAGCTCTAATCGAAGTGACGAACCTTGGTTGACCGCAGCGTAACGATTGTATCTGTGTTTTGTAGGAAAGTTACAACCCCTCATTCGTGTAATTTATCCTTACAAAACATTTCAAGACTCCACAACAGACTAAGCCAAAGGGGGACTGGCGTGTTTCAGAATAAAGTTCAGAAAAGAAAAGAAAAGTAAAGAAAACAAAGGTGAAGCTGATTTCGAGCGGCCCTGTATAGCAAGAAAACATCAAAAATACTGGAAAGGATGCACAATTTTCGGATTCCGATTTTAGATCAAAGTGTTGGCCAGTTTGCCCTGATTGTCATAAATTAATATAGGTTCAATATCCATGGAATTTATGGATACTGCCGTAGCCTAATTTATTATGTCAAAACAGTCTGCTCGAAGGACGGGAGAACAAATTTCTGCAATAAATCCTCCGTAAAGTCCCAAACCTGCGGTGTATTATGAGATTCAAACGCTGCCCCTGTATAAAAGGTGTGTCGAATGCCTTGAAGAGTATTTATCTCGCGATAAAAGCCCTTCTTTATAGCGTCAGCTGAAACGGTCAACTGATAAGGGCTATGATCCGCGATTGCCAGAAACTCGGGATTAGAGAAGTTAATCCCAAGGCACTGCCTGAGCCGCAGAATGTCCTCAAAGACCACACGTTTGAGCTCCTCCTCCGAAAGGGACGTTGTGCTTCCAACCTGGACCGTCTTCAGATGCGGCGCGTCGGTGGAGGCCAAAAACAAAATGCCAGGGAGTCGAGGTCGTTTGAAGGGATCATCCGCCACTCGGTTTGCGTAATCTTTGACCGGAAGACCCTTAATACCAACAACCATAGTGTACAGGTATGTATTCTGAAATTGGCCGAAGAGTCGACACTCATCGCTTCCCAGGTCGAAACAACGCATGTTCTCCAGCTTAGGAGGAATAGCCACAATTATCCTCCTCGCACGGATCAGCCAAGGTTTCCGATTTTCAGCTTTTCGCACGGTGACAAGGTTCCAACCATCATTGCGGTCCCGGTCTACCGCAACCACGCTACTACTCAAAAGCGCATCCTCCCCTAATTCCCTCTCCGCTGCACTATAGATAGCGCTATTGTTGTGATCACCTGATCGAACGAATCCGGATCTCATGCCCTCCAAAACGGTTAAGTTTGCGTATTTCATAACGTAGAGAGTGGGTAGCTGTGGCCAGTCGTCGCCTAGCGGGTTAATGAACGCGCCTAGCTCGTCTATATAGGCCCATAAATTGTGCTTCGCCATGAATTGCCCAAATGGTAACAATAAATCCTCTGGGACAGGTTCGGGTAGTTCAAACCCTCCCTTCAGGTAAGGATATCTGTTTAACTGAGCAACGTATCTTCCTGTTGCGGCATCTGCATCTGATTGGGAAACTGGACTAATTTTCTTGCCGGCGCGAAAGTCGAACATTTCCCGATCGTTACCGAACGGCAATCGTTCTAGCGGGATCCCAAAATATGCAAAGAAACTTCGTACCGTTGATAGGTTCTGGAAATATCTGACGCCATAGTTAACTGCTTTGCCACCAGGTTCAGAGTCAGAGTAAGTCATGGTGTGTCCACCAAGGCAAGGCTCTTTCTCAACAACGACGACATCCTTATTCATCTGGCGCAAACGGATAGCAGCGTAAGTTCCTGCAGCCCCACCTCCAATGATGCAGACATCACGGGTAATTACTTCGGATGATACTCCCTGAGTGGTATCAATTGCAGTCTTCATCCTAGTTTGATGAGTAATTGTGCGTTAATAGGGCGAAGGCTAGATTTATATCAAACTGCGTGATGTAATGACTTTGAAGCATTTAACATCAAGCAGGTGGTCTAGAAGGAAAGTGTTCGACACCTGAATATAAACATTTGGCACGATGCAATAGGTTTCTCTTATGTTTCCGGTGCAGGGGTGTAGCAACACTATCTTACGTGAACTGCATATGTAACTTGCCGCCAAGAAATTCCGGAACCAGCTGACCATGTTTCTAACGAAGTCTAAATACCTTGGCTTCTAAACCCTAGAACATGAAGATATTATTATATTTTATGTTACTCAATAATCATGCCAAGATCCGGTAAGATCCGGTAAGCCTCTGAAAACATTGTAAACTATTACATTTATATATGGGAGAGCCATGATGCGATGCAAATATTACATCATATGAACATTTTCTCGCATGCAGGGAGATGCAGATGAAGGTACTTACGATTAATGGTGGGTGTTTCTGGTTACCGTCTCTCTCTCTCAACTAAAGAGCCCGTTGTTCTACATAAACCGGGGGTGATGTTAAATCCTTAGAACTAGCTGTGATCCATTCCTATATCCTTTGAATAACCGTACGATGTTTTCCAATGCTCTCTACTGCGTGGTTAAAATTGATAGTTGCGCAGAGACATATTTCCAAGTCATTCCGCCGAGGCTCCAGATCTTATCCATATAAGTTCGCTGATTGCTTTGTGTACATTCACAAGTCACTGTTGTACAATCACTTGATCCACCTGGCCCAAACAAAGATTTGGCAGTGGAATAAGCCTGGATAATTCCGAGAAACATAATCATTCTTGTACATGCAATTAAAAATTCGCCATCTCTTGCAAAAATCCAGGCCAAGTTAGCATATCTGCATCGCTTGACCTAGAGGGAAAGCGAAGTGAGGATAAAACACCAGGCTCCTGATTAATACAGTACATTAGTTTACTGTCTTACCAAAACACAAGCGATAGTCCAGCCAGCATACATCCTAGTCGACACGTTCTAGTGTATGGTCGTACAAAATAATTAAATCGAATCGTCTTATACTGTGATTCTCCTTTCGGCCATCGCAAAACTATTAAGTAGATCATACTATTTGATTTACGTTGTGGGAATGAATATAATATTCGAGCATAGGCACATATTGGGCGTAACCCACATCTGATCTACTGATCGCTTGAGCAAGGGTTACAATGTAGAGCTCTATCAAAGTAACTACTAATTGCGTGACGTGTTTATAACATCATTCCATTAGCCCAAAAGGAGAATAGACTTTGGAGTGTTTGCTGAGGTACTAATTACCTAAAACATTAATATTCATAGACTTTAGGCAACGTTGCTGACAATGGTTACTTCATAATCGCCACATGAGGAGTGTCTGAGTGACCCGAGCTCATGGATTTCGAATCGTAACTGGTTGTCGGCGTATACCTACGAATCTGGTTAACTACAATAATGCAGACGAAACAGATCACCCTACTCTGATGGTATATCGCGTGGTACAGGAAGTAAGCGCGTACTATTGTCAAATCTAGATCTTTAGTCACTGCAACCGTTGCTTGGCAGACCAGTGGTAGATTTCCATGCACGGTACAGCTAATCCCAGCAAGCTGAGAGGGTCTTTTTTGTCTTTGATACCTTACACTCGGATGGATGGATGGATGGATGGATGAATGGTTTCATTTACCATGACCCTTCGCAATTGAAAGCGATACACAGGCTACCACTACTTTCTAGATACATCTTGATTGATCCTTGAGATTGATCCAAACTGCCTGAACGGTAAACATTGAGCCTCACCTGGTAAAGCTAGTCGTGGCCTTATTGCCATTTGTGGTATTAGGCTGCCTTCATGGCGCGGATATGGTGAAATTGCGAATAAAACGGATCTAAGAAGGGAATTGAGGCAGAAAGTGGAGGACGCGTTCGGCAGCGTGTCGAGTCTGCTGGGAGGCTCAAAGGTGAGAAAGGTAAACCAGGCACCGCCTCGAGGACGAAGACATCCCAGGCCGTATTGAACTTCGCCGAGACGTCACAACGATTTCGCAGTCGCGCGCCACGAGGATAGTCTAAAGATTGGAGCGTCAATTGGGTTACGGCAGGCCATGATGAAGTTGGACATTTTACATGTACGGATAGGGACATGTATAATTGAAGTATCATGCATATCACCGTTGAGAATTAATTATAAAACTCATCGACTAGGCTGAGAACGGATTCGTTTTTAGTCTAGTTGGGTAAACCAACTTTGAGGTAAGGGGTCAGGGCACATGAAATCATCATCATCATCATCATCAAGTGTAACCCCGAAAAAGATGAACAAAGTCCCCAGTCTGGAGTGCACGACAACGCAGTACTACTAAAGACAAAGTGAAAGTGTAACCTTTGTTTCCTCCTCATATCAACAACTAGGTGCATCAGAATCCCACAGCTCATAGTACCGGACTTGGGGAAAACGTAATGTCACATAAGAGTAAAAAAAGACATAATCTTTGCGACTAGTGGTTGGAGCCTTCAGCCATTTCAATCTTGATCACTCGTGCGGAGGTATTATCGAGTAATCTTATTTTCTAAGCGTCATACTAAACTTGATAATGAGGACTTGATCCTTGGTATAAATTCCTCGTTACATAGGTCCATATTAGGTTTAGTATTTCATCTTGATTCGTCTATTTGTGATATCAATACAACTGGGTTATATAAACGGCAACCTTCCCCGGATGCTCTCCCTCGAAGCTCGAGGTGTAAATTACTCGCGGACTAGTAATCACATACTTGATAATTCATTCTATCTGCTTCATACGTGGGGCTTTGAAAGGCGCAAGAGAAAAGAGAAAAAAGGATCGGAAAAAAACAGCAGAAAACAAGAAAACAAGAAAACAAGAAAGGACAAAAAGGCTTAACGTGGTGAATTGAATATCGAGTCAAAAGCAAGAAATGGAGAGCGTATCAGATCAGGATACTTACCTGTCCCCTCAGCAAATTGGGGAGCACTCCTGGAATGCAGAGGCGGAATTCAAATCATGTATCTTCCCAGTCCTCGACGGTGACACGTCAAACGTACCCCACGCTGTGTCGCAAGATATTACTATCTACAGCCTGCAAAAGGTCAGAGCCTTCTGCGATAGTAATGGGACCGACCTGACTTCTCTACTCATCGCCGCGTGGTCTATTGTTCTCCACCGGTTTTCTGAAATGGAAACGCTTTACTTCGGTCTTAGTTTGCCAGGTGCGAGAATTGGCATGACGACTTGTGTTCCTGACAACGTACAATTGCTTGCGGTGACAGTAAACCCCCACGCCCCCATCAGAGAGTTACTTAAATGCAACAGCAGTGTATATGCTCTGGACCTTGATGCAAGCCGCATTCACTTCAACACTGGCGTTGAAATCCGGAAGAACAGTACAGGAGGGCCACTGCAGCTGAAGCTGAATGACAGATTCAGCGTTTTAGATGGTCAGGTCGGTTTTAGCCTAGACTCAGGGTGGCAGCAATAGACTGACAGATTCCAAGGCCCGGCGATATGACTTGTTGCTTATCATGGAGATACGTGGCGATCAGGTGCACATGCAGCTAGAATACAGCACTTCAGCCCTTTCCCACTGGCAAGGAAGAAGCATAGCGGGCTCTGTAGCACAGGCAATTCAGTGCTTTTTCCGGAATCCAAGTCAGATAGTACGGAATGTCGACCTGGTCGATCAGCAGAGTCGGCATGATATATCGAAATGGAATAGCCAAAATTTGGCCACTTCTTATCATCGCTCAATAACGGAAATAATCGATGGAAGATCGCGTGCTCAGCCAGACGCACCAGCGATTTGCTCCTGGGACGGTCAGATGACATATGCCCAGCTGGAGAAGCTTTCCACCAAATTGGCAGTGCATTTGCAAAAAGCGGGGATTGGAGCTAATGTGATGGTGCCTCTTTGCTTCGAGAAATCTATTTGGGCAATTGTGGCAACACTGGCTGTGCTCAAGGCGGGAGCAGCATTTGTTCCAATGGATGCTTCCAACCCGGTGGCGCGTCTGCAGCAAGTCATTTCGCAAACGCATGCGACATCTATCTTGGTATCGGAACAATATGCGACGTTGCTTACCGGGACCGCAGACCACATACTCACCGTCTCTGGTTCCTTCATGGGGAACCTGCAGGATACCGACTCACTTGCACATACCCACGCCCAACCACACCATATAGCATATGTGCTCTTTACGTCGGGCAGTACTGGGAGCCCGAAAGGATGTGTAGTCGAGCATCAGGCTTTAGCTGCCATCGCAAATCACGCAGCAGCATTACAGATCAGCTCTGGGTGTCGGGTGCTACAATTTGCGTCGTACAGCTTTGGCATTTCGTTGGTCGAGATATTCTGCACACTAGTCGCGGGAGGGGTGGTTTGTATTCCTTCTGAAACTGAGCGCATCAATGACCCCTCGGGAGCAGTGCGTCGCATGTCGGTCGATTGGGCTCTACTGACTCCTTCGGTGGTCAATTTGCTCGATCCTCGGAGTGTGCCCACGCTGAGAACGTTGGCGGTGGCCGGCGAACCCTTAAACAAGCGCATTGTCGAGAGTTGGGCGGGGTTGGTCCGTCTAACGCCGGTGTACGGGCTGACGGAATGGGCAGGAATATGTACAGTCCAGCCGCAGATGACACCGACCATGAACGTCAAAAACATCGGCTCGTCGCCCAGTGCAAACCTCTGGCTGGTCAATCCGGAGAATTATGAACGGCTCGCTCCAATCGGAGCTATTGCTGAGCTGCTCATCGAAGGCCCTTGTCTGGCACGAGGTTACCTCGGTGATTCTGAGCGAACAGCTACAGCGTTCATAACGGATCCGCCTTGGCTGCATTTCTTCCGACATAAATTGCCGTCTACGCTCTATTGCACAGGCGACATCGTCCGGTATGGCCCTGACGGGACCATCAACTATGTCGGACGCAAGGGCCTGCAGACCAAGATTCGAGGCCAGCGGGTTGAGCTCGGAGAGGTGGAATACCACGTTTGCCGCCACTTCCGCGATGCCACCAAGGCCATTGCCGAAGTTGTGGTCCCAGCGGGAGGGTCTGGGTCTCCGATCTTGGTGGCGTTCATTATATCTCAGGAAAGGGAAAGCCCGCGAGTGCCAGCAGATTCTCGGAGATTCCGGCTCTGGTCTAATCCTCGATGATTCCGATCAGATATTCCGACTCAATGCTGCGACGACGGATTCCACCATCCGTAGTCTCTTACCCGATTATATGGTTCCACAGGCTTATATCCCTTTGAAATATGTACCATTGACCGTAACCGGGAAAATTAACCGCCGCACGCTGAGGGAAACTGCAGGTAGACTGTCTTATGAAGACTTGATCTCATTTACCGACACCAGAATCCAGAAAGTGAAACCTGACTCGGGCATTGAAAAGCTTCTCCATGAGCTGGTCTCACAGACTCTCAGTCTGCGATCTGATGTTTTTGGCGTGAATGAGAGCTTCTTCCGACTTGGAGGCGACTCCATCAGGGCGATGGATTTGGCGGCTCGATGCCGGGCTAAAAATATATCAATCACTGTGCAGGATATCTTCCGTGAGAAAACAATCGCCCGTCTATCCCTGTGCGCAGATATGGAGGAAACAAACCTGCCAACACAGTTCAACGATGATACTGAGGCAGCGTTTCCTCTATCCCCAGCCCAGCAGAACATGATTCATGCAATATCCAGAGGCCAATGTCAATCTACCCAGGCAATTTGTCTTCAACTGGAGAGGTATACTTCTTTTGAATTAATGGAGACCACAATCTACGAGGTTGTCCAACGCCACCCAATGCTGCGCGCCCGTTTTGCCCAGGACCATAAGGGTTACTGGACTCAGAAAGTTGTTCACGAACTTCGAGAAGCATATGGTTACAGCAACCGCACTGCAACAAGCAAAGAAACCGTGTCCGACATCACGGCCTCCGCTCAGCAAGTTCTGGATATTGAAAAGGGCCCTGTCTTTGCTGCTTTATATATCTGCGCTGACGGAGGTAGTCAGTTTCTGGTGCTTTTCGCCCATGAATTAGTGGTGGACCAGACTTCGTGGAAAATCATTCTGGCAGATATTGAACACCTTCTGAGCGGAGGCATCCTGTCAAACAGGCCAATACCCCAGCCTTTTGGGGAATGGTGCTGTACGGAGGTGCAAAACAATCGTGCTCATCACGTTGTTTCCCGCCAGGCTATGGCTTCAAAAGTAGCAGATTCAGCAGTGGACGATTCTCTGGCCGCTCACAAGTGCCGTACGACTGGGAGCGACTTCACGATACCTCCAATGATTTCGCACTGGATTCTCACCAAAGCGAGCGGAATTCTCCAGGTGGAGCCCTTTGAAATCTTTCAAGCTTTGGTACTCCATTCCTTTGCACGGAATTTTGAAAGTCGAGAGCTGCCTATGACAATAGCTCAAATAGATGGACGCGAGTTGTACCGCTGCTCTGGTGGTGATTACTCATGGACTGTTGGTCATTTTAATACGCTTTTGCAAGTACAAGTGCCCTCTCATGGGCAACCCGATCTTCTAGACTTTCTACGCCAGACGAAGGAGAGCTGCCGACAGGACCACAGCAGAGGGGACACACCGCCTGCAGTCAACGGGGACGCGGTATTGTCGAGAAAAAAGCCAATAATACTTTTCACCTTCGCCACACCTACGCAGTGGCAGGAAGCGCGTGGCAGTACACTGTGGCAACAGGTGTCTTTCCAGGCTCTAGAGTGGCCGCGGTACATCCATGATACCCTGCCTCCCGCATCCATGGCGGTTAATGTTTCCGTTATCAATGATGTCCTGCAAGTCTCTTTTAGTCGCAGCGACATACTGTCTGATACAGAACTTCAGGGATGGGCCCATGAATGCGAGCAATCTGTAGACGAGTTTGTGGAAATACTACGGCAGGGGAAGCCTATTCTCACCCCCAGAGATTTTCCGCTTCTCGAGATAAGCGTCGCTGACCTTGACTACCTCCTGAATCACCGCCTGCCAGTAATCGGTCTTGATCAGAAAGATCTGGAAACGGCGTATCCATGTTCGCCCATTCAGCAAGGAATGCTGCTGAGCCAGGCACGCCAGCCTCAATCCTATCAGTTATTCTTTATTTGGGAGGTCACTGCTGTAGGTAACACTCCTAAATTCAATAGTGATAGGCTCAGGGCTGCCTGGGTGCAACTGACCCATCGCCATTCCGTCCTGAGGTCAATCTTTGTGGAAAGGGTTTCAAAACACTCATTCATACAGGTGGTTTTGAAGGCTGGCGCAGTGCAGACAGCACTAATACGATCCGCTGATGCTGATGTATATGGTTCCCTCTACGCAAACCGGCAGATCCGAGAACAGGGGCGAGAGTCGCTACCACGATTCACAGTCTGTGAGACGAACAGCGACAGAGTCTTCTGTGCTCTGGAAATTAGCCACGTGCTTACTGATGCCACCTCAATAGCCATTTTGCAACGTGACCTGACTCTAGCATACGACGACCAGCTCCCCATCTGCGGGGGAGCAAGCTACGGAGACTACATCGCATTTTTGCAAAATGCATGTGAAGCTCCTGCCATCGAGTATTGGAGGAAGTATCTAGGTGGCTGTGGCCCCTGCCTATTCCCGCGGCTGCGCAACGCCTCATTATCTTCTGGCGACGCCACGGAACTGCAACGAACCCATGTGCCACTGAAAAACGTATCTAGGATCTACGATTTCTGCGCTGATACAGGGTTCACAGTATCGAATGTCTTTCAGCTTGCTTGGGGACTGGTACTGCGAGCTTACACAGGGCTAAACTCGGTGTGCTTTGGTTACCTCGTGTCGGGGCGAGGAGCTCCGGTATCTGGAATAGGAGACGCCGTGGGCCCATATATCAACATGTTAATCTGTGGTTTGGATTTCAATGAATTCAGGACACCCTTGGAGATACTGAGTAAGCTCCAAGTGGACTTTGCAGCGGGGTTGACTTACCAGCACTTCTCGTTATCCGACCTTTTTCACTCAATGAACCTCGCAGAAAAGTCGATGTTCAACACATGTATGACTTTCTCCTCGGAGAGAGCTGAAGACAAAGATTTGGGAGAAAGAAGTCTGGTGCTTCGAGAGATGGAATCTTACCTGCCGAGCGAGGTGAGAATATTTCCACCAGTGATCCCGAGGGCAAGAAGCGTCGCGAGGATCATTACCCCATAATCACACAAGCTGATAATGTAATAGTACGATATCATGATCGAGTGTAGAACAAAAGGCCGACAATTTACAGCGGCGCTGCGTTACAAGACGGCGACCCTATCGGAGAGACAAGCCACGGAAGTAGCACACACTTTGTACCAAGCAGTGTGCGGTATTCTGGAGGGCGAAGACATCGGCCGAGTATCACTGTTAAGTGAATTAGACAAAAAGCAGCTAAGAGTGTGGAATGGAGAGGTGCCAGAGCGGACAGAGCGGTGTGTGCACGAGCTGATTGAGGAACGGTGCCGGTCCCAGCCGGCGGCGCCGGCAGTGTGCGCGTGGGATGGTGACCTAACATATGGCGAGCTGGATGCACTGTCTTCGGCACTTGCAGCGCATCTAGTAGAGCGTGGGGTCGGACCCGAAGTGTTCGTGCCACTATGCTTTGAAAAGTCACGGTGGACAACAGTGGCAATGCTTGGTGTGATAAAGGCGGGTGGCGCATTTGTGTTGTTGGACCTATCGCATCCGCAGGCGCGGCTTCGGACGATCTGCCGAGACGTGTCGGCTAAATTGATTGTGGCATCATTGCACAACAAGGCTATGGCGGCAGACCTGGCAGTCAAGCAGGCAGCACAGGTGGTAGTGGTAGGCGACCACGAGACGGCATGGCAGAAGGATATCACCAGCTGTGCGGTGTCTGCAGTGGCGCCCGACAATGCACTTTACGCCGTCTTCACCTCCGGCTCCACTGGCTCCCCTAAAGGAGCCGTCATCCCCCATAGTGCTTACACCACGAGTGCACTGTCCCACGGTCAACGTCTGTCCCTGTCCAGCCAATCCAGAGTGCTTCAGTTTGTTTCGTACGGATTTGACGTCAGTATTGCTGACTCGTTAACCACTTTAATTTTTGGCGCGGCAATTTGTGTTCCCTCTGAGACAGAACGAAGAAATGACCTGGCCATGGCGATCACGAACTACCAGGTGAACTGGGCTCATCTTACCCCGTCGCTGATCAAAATTCTAGAACCAGAAAATGTGCCGAGCTTACAAACCCTGGCTCTGATAGGGGAGCAGATGTCGAAGGCAGACGTTGAGGTATGGGCTTCCCAGGTACAACTGATAAATTCCTACGGGCCAGCAGAATGCAGTGTCGTCGGTACTGCACTATCAAACATGAAATCGGGTACGGACCCTCAGAACATTGGGTACGCAACAGGCTGTGTGCCCTGGGTAGTAGACATGCAAAGCCATGAGAGGTTAGTCCCGATTGGAGCCGTTGGTGAGCTGCTCATTGAGGGCCCGATTGTTGGTCGTGGGTACCTCAATGACCCAGAGCGGACAAAGGCGGTATTTATCGACCCGCCGGCCTGGCTGCACCAGTTCCGTAAAAGGGACGTCAGCGGACAGTTATATAAGACAGGCGACCTGGTACGATATGCGGAGGATGGCTCGCTGCGCTTCATTGGGCGTAAGGACACGCAGGTCAAGCTTCGCGGCCAGCGCATCGAGCTCGGTGAAGTGGAGCACCACGTGCAGCGGTGCTTCCCGCAGGCACGCAATGTGGTGGCTGAGGTAGTCAAGCCAACAGAAGCAGGGCGGCCACCACTACTAGTGGCATTTGTCCAGACAGATAAACTGCGCCAAGGACTGCCAGATCAGACAATCACTAATAGTAATTTAGAAGATGTTCTGGCTGCACCTACTGATGCCTTTCGCGCGGATATCACTACTGCCAAGGCTAACCTGTTTGATGCCGTGCCAGCCTATATGGTGCCAGAGCTTTTCATTCCCTTGATAGCTGTGCCGCTGACAGCTACCGGTAAAACTGATCGTCGCCGACTGCGAGACCAGGCAGCCAGCCTATCTCGAGCGGATTTCGAGCTGTACCATGACGACGCAGCGGCTAAGCGCGCCCCCGCCACCCCAACAGAGCGGACGCTGCAGCAGCTCTGGGCGCAGGTGTTAGATGTCGCGCCCCATACTATCGGTGCGGACGATAACTTCTTCCGCCTCGGCGGGGACTCCATCTCGGCGATGAAGCTTGTTGGCGCTCTCCGCGAGGGAAGTCTTGCACTTACCGTGGCCGATGTGTTTTACCACCCGAGGCTGTCAGATTTGGCACATGTTGCCCAGTCGGCGTTGAGGACACCCTCGCACATCTCCGATCTTCCGTCCCCGTTTTCTCTATTAGAACACGGTGGCGTGCACGATGCTGTCGTTCAACTGGCCATCGACCAATGCCAGGTATCTCGCGACCAGATTACTGACATTTACCCTTGCACCGCCTTGCAAGAGGGTCTTATTGCCCTTACAGCCAAGACATCGAGGGCCTATATTGCTCATTTCTCCTATCGTATCCCGAATGACATCGACCTAGTTCACTTCCGAGCTGCCTGGAATGCGGTGGCAATCGCCAATCCTATTCTCCATACGAGGATCATCTCACGCGACCCGCTGGGAAGCTTCCAGGCAGTTGTGCCGGGCGAGCTTCCGTGGATGCTCTACGACGACGAGGAAGCGTATAAAGCCGAAGCCGCATCATTATTCGGGCTGGGTGAACCCCTGGTCCGGGCGACTGTCGTCTCGAGCCGAAGCTCGAAGAAGGGACCACGGTTCATCCTCACGATGCATCACGCTTTATATGATGCCTGGTCTCTGCCACTGCTTCTGGTACAAGCCGCAGCGGCCATCCGGGGCGACCTGTTGAAACCCCGACCTTTCAGCCCGTTTATAGCGTACCTCTGCAACTCCAAAACTGATTCAGAGGGCTTCTGGCGGTCACAATTCACTCAGCTGCAAGCTTCATGTTTCCCACCGCTCCCGTCGCCGATGTACACTCCGAATCCAACCATGTCCGCCACACATACGATAAGCTTACCTCACGGCCCGGTGGACGGTTTCACAGTGTCCACCAAGCTCCGGTTAGCCTGGGCTTTGACCGTTTCACAGTATTCCAATACAAGCGACGTCGTTTTTGGCCTGACTGTCACGGGCCGTGGGGTGCCGGTGGAGGGCATTGGGCAGATGACTGGACCGACCATCGCCACTGTCCCTCTCCGCGTCCAGCTGGACCAGGATACCACGGTCACCCAAGCACTTCAACGGGTACAAGATCAATCAATCGAGATGCTGGCATTTGAGCAGGCTGGCCTGCAGAATATCCGCCGTTTGAGCGACGAGGCGGCCGCCGCCTGCCAGTTCCAAAACCTCCTGGTCATCCAGGCGAGCCGACGAGATGACATACCAGACCTGTTTACGGAAGCGGATGTCCTCGCCGAGCAAGACGCATTCACTACCTACGCACTAACCCTACTGTGTAAATCCGAGAGCGGCTCGGTGAGCATACAAGCGACATATGATCCGCAGACAATTACGACCACAGAAGTGCAGCGAATGCTTTACCAACTGGCGCATGTGATGAGACAGATTTATCAGCAGCCGAACAAGGTAATCAGAGATCTGAGCAAGATAAGCCGCGAGGATTGGAGGCAACTGAAGGAGTGGAATCGAGATGTGCCAGAGCGGATGGAGCGGTGCGTGCACCAGCTGGTTGAGGAACGGTGCCAAGCCCAGCCAGCGGCGCCGGCAGTGTGCGCGTGGGATGGTGACCTAACATATGGCGAGCTGGATGCACTGTCTTCGGCACTTGCAGCGCATCTAGTCGAGCGTGGGGTCGGACCCGAAGTGTTCGTGCCACTATGCTTTGAAAAGTCGCGGTGGACGATAGTGGCAATGCTTGGGGTAGTAAAGGCGGGCGGCGCGTTTGTGTTGTTGGACCCATCGCACCCGCAGGCGCGGCTGCGGGCGATCTGCCGAGATGTGTCGGCCGAGCTAATCATAGCATCGACGCACAACAAAGAAATGGCGGCGCATCTGGTGGCGGACCGTCTAGGAACTGTGGTGTCTGTTGGGGTTAGTGACACTACATGGCGAGACAGGAGCAGCCTATCTATCCCATCTTCTGTCAGCCCAGAGAACGCGCTCTATGCCGTGTTTACGTCTGGCTCCACTGGGACTCCTAAAGGACTGGTTATCCCACATGCTAGCTTTTGTTCTAGCATGCTACCATATATGGACGCTCTCCGCCTTACAAATCAATCGCGTGTTCTCCAGTTCTCGTCATACGCCTTTGATATCAGCATTATGGATGTTTTCATGTCACTGGTGGCTGGCGCATGTGTCTGCATGCCCTTTGAATCCTCCCAGCAGACTGATATCAACGCCGCCATAGAGGCATACCAGATCAGTTGTGCTAACATTACTCCATCCTTGTTGAGCACATTGACACATGAGAGCCTTCAGATATTACAAACAGTGGCTGTTGGGGGTGAAACTGTCTCCGCTGCTGCGATGAAAAACTGCAGTCCACATGTTCACCTAATAAATGCCTATGGACCTGCTGAATGTTCTGTGTCGGCCACCGTTCAGACATCCTTGTCTGAACACTCAGATCGGGGGAATATTGGCTATGCGATAGGATGTACATGTTGGGTGGTAGATTGCGAGAGCCATGCGAGATTAGTCCCGATCGGAGCCGTGGGTGAGCTGCTGATCGAGGGACCAATTGTCGGGCGTGGCTACCTCAACGATCCAGAGCGGACGAAGCTGATGTTTATCGACCCGCCGGCTTGGCTACGCCAGTTCCGCGGGAGGAACATTACCGGAAAATTGTATAAGTCAGGCGACCTGGTGCAGTACGCGGAGGACGGGTCGCTACGCTTTGTCGGGCGTAAAGACACGCAGGTCAAGCTTCGCGGCCAACGCATCGAGCTGGGTGAAGTGGAGCACTATGTGCAGCAGTACTTCCCGCAGGCGCGCAATGTGGTGGCCGAGGTAGTCACCCCGACGGACACCGGGCGGCCGCCGCTGCTGGTGGTGTTTATCCAGACAGATAGGCTACAACAAGAAACCCCAGGCAAGGAATCGTCAGGAAATGCTACCTCTAACAACAATACACAAGATATCCTGGCTGCGCCTACTAATGCCTTCCGTGTGAAAATTCCTACTGCCAAGGATCACCTCTATAATGCCATGCCAGCTTATATGGTGCCAGAGCTTTTCCTTCCATTGAAAGCTGTGCCGCTGGCAGCTACTGGCAAAATAGATCGTCACCGACTGCGAGATCGGGCTGCCCGCCTGTCTCGAGCAGAGATCGAGGCATACCACGGCCTTACAGTAGCCAAGCGCTCCCCTGCCACCCTGACGGAGCAGACACTGCAGCAGCTATGGGCACAGGTATTAAATACCGCGCCCCATACGATTGGCGCGGATGATAATTTCTTCCACCTTGGTGGTGACTCGATCGCGGCGATGAAGCTCATCAGTCTCATCCGCAAGGGTGGTCTGACGCTTACGGTAGCTGACGTCTACCGTTTGCCAACTCTTGCCCAACTGGCCGCATCAAAATCTTTTCCAACAGGTATTTCATGACTTGGATCAGGACCGGCTCTGGTTGAGCCAGGGGAGGGTAGAGAAGTTGAGGACTTTCGAGGATATATGATTTTCGGCGACAGCCAAACCGCCTTTGGGATAGTGCCAAGCTATACTTATTTTGGCAGCTAGTGGTCTCATTGTCATTGTAGCTTTCAACCTAATCATATAAACGAATAAAAGATACCTTGTTTTCTCCATTGGTTACGTTCCTTCACATACAAATTTGTTTGGCCTACGGTCAAGGAACTTTTGCTAGACTAAAGAATAGATACTGTTCCTGGGGCTGAACCAATCCATAGGATAGAACCAAAGACGGCAACCAAATTCACTTTTTTAACCCTCCGTCAAGAAACTTATATATGTCCATGTTGAGATCTTCAAAGAGTGTATTGTAGGCATTCGTTTCTGCCACGATATGGAGAATTATAATCAATAAGCAATAAAGCCGAGTGAGCAAGCGCCGTAGAACATCCACCGCGCTCAATTAGATTATATAATTACTTGGGCTCCTAGGAGGAATCGCAGACAGCAAAGCGCTTATCATCGGAGGACGTGAAATCAAAAAGAAGCATTTTGTGGGCCGATCGGAGTATCCAGGGTGAAGGGCTCCGGGAGTGCTCCGGGAGTACTCAGGGTCGCTCAGGGAGCAGCTCAGGGCGGCGGGGGGGACTAACTCAGGTTAGGCCATGATGAACTGCACGCGGATTATCTCACACCAATTTTGCTTTTAATTCGGCAAAGACTAGCGTTAATAGCCAATGCAAAATAAAACACACAATAGTATACTATACGTTATTTTGATTCGTCATACTGGCGGTGTGGTGGTTATAGTTAAGCAGGAAATGCATACAATGTTGAATAATCCCCTTCCATGCACATATTTCCTTGGACTTGATGCTCCGTTCCCATGCTTTGTGTGGCCCTCTTATATGAAACAGAATATTTTTCAACAAGCGGCAGAAATTGCTGCAATGCATATAATTAGATATGAGTAAGACATTTCAGGGGGGGGCACATACTGTAATTATTGAAGCTTTGTCGGTGTCTGGGCACATGACCCAGGCAGCCACTCATATATAGATATTTTGATGGGAGCTTCTCTTTCTTTATCTCTGTTCTCAGCTTAATACTTTCGTTGTTCGATCGTTACACCGAGCGCTTCTGGGGGGCCGTCCGCGGGTGCTTACGCTGGTAGGGCGTGAGTTCTAGAAATGAGAAACTTGAAATTTGGAGGAGAACAAGCTTGAGGCAAATTCGATTAAATATCCTTCGAAGGATGTCACCTGAGATTAGGTCTCATGCTTGGCTGATGGGCTTACCATGAATACCTTTGTTTTTTTGTTGAGTACCAAGACCCCAGCATAGCCGCCATATCAACGTGAGCAAGCTAGATACCGGGTAATTGAAATATTGATTGGTTGATTGACCCCTAACCATTTCAAGAATGCAGAAACTAAAACCTCTTTTCAAATGGTCTGGTCAAATGAGAATATAAACCCAGTCGTCCCAGGCTTCTTTCCGCGGGGGCCAGTTGAAGTTCGTGCCGAGCGATGAGTAAAGTGGAGCCAATTGGATGGAAAATCATCTAGGTAATAGATATCGCTTGAAGCACTAGAGTACTAAGTATTTATACCCAACCTGCAGTAGCAATTCTCATCCTTTTGCCCCAAAGCCAGACCGGGATCGTGAGCAACGAAAATACCCCCATCAGCCCTCCAAATACTCCAAATGGAATGGCGGGTCCCGCACTTGTCACCCATTCACCAGCGAAAAAGGTCCAAGAGAAACTAATAATGGCTCTCATACATGTGACCGAAACAAAGCAGTCCGCGGCGTGTTGTCCATAAGCGTCGAGGAGCTATCATCGAGTGAAGCAAGGTAAGTCAGCATAATCGGTAACCTTTCAAGGTTTGAACATCACCGGTTGACTTGACTCACATAATTGAATCCAACTGAGGGTGCTTGCATCAGGCCAAAGCAAAGCATACCGGTCCCAAATTGCATCCCAATCCACATGTGCTGATTGAGGCTCTGTGCACAGAAACCAAATGTCCAAAGTCCGGTCGTAGCTAAAACCAAGCCCGGAATTGCGACAGGTAGTCGTGCTTCAGGTTCAACGAAAGCATCACCCTGTAACACGCGCTTGCTGGTAATAATCCAATCTGCGCTTAGACTGGTTGTAAGAAACCCCAGAAATGCGCCAATTATTCCACCTATCATAATCAAGCCAGCATTATTTCCCCATAAGTATGGCGGCTTGGAGACCAAGGTTGGGGCCACAGTTGTGATCGTAACAACACCCCCAACAAGTCCAGCATACCAGAACATAACAAGCCACACACCTGGTAGACGAAGCGTCTTCCAAGGTGCTAAGAATTTGCTCCAGATTTCTCCATCATGTTTATGAAACTTCAACATCGATGTAAGAAGTGGATGACTTTTTCGTGGACCGTTTTGGCACCCAGCGGCCACATCCTCGACTGTTTCCGTGTTTCCCTTCAGGTCGGTTACTTGGCTCGATATAAGTGGCTTTTCCCTGCTGTATAGAGTCTCGGGGACGAAAACGAGACAGAAAACAAATAATATGGCAGACAGGATAACGTTGACCCAATGAATCCAAGGGAGTCCTTTGTTGCCAGCAATATAGCCGCCTGAAAGGCCTCCGATGATGGGTCCAAGGCAGATACAGACAGTGTAAACTCCCTGAGCAAGTTCATTAGTGAGAGTTGCTTCATTCTATGAGTCAGAATCTTGACGTACCATCGCTCGACCCCGCTGATGAGTGAAATATATCTCTCCAATTACATTCGGTGCAACTAAAAATATTAGTCCCATGAGATGGTACCAGTAGTTTTTCAAAAGGATATGTTTACTTGTATCTGCAGGTGCAACCGCAATTCCCATAAAGGTCCGGGCAGCCAAGAGACTTCCAAAACTTTTAGCAAATCCAGCCCACATGGAGCATAGTACTAGAAGTAAAATATTTGCCAGGATCACAGGCCGTCGACCAAAAATATTCGCCAGCGGTACCCACCAAATATTTGCTGCGCCCATCATCAGCACGTTGACCTAATATTGGTTAGCAGCCGCAGAATGATCTCGCACCACCCATTCTATAGACCAAATAAGGCTTACAGCGATCAAATGAGTCAGAGTTCCAATAGAGACTGGCGGCTGAAAGGCCAGTGGTGTGGCGTAGAGAGGAAAGGCGCTTGCGATGGAGGCCGAACTAAAGTTTCCAATCGCAGCATAGAATGACATACACGCCAGAACACTGGCTTTGAGCCAAGGTTGCCAATTTAATGGATCTTCCGGGTCCGAACTAGGTTGAGGAATGAGAACTACTCCATCGCTCTGGAAACTACTCCCATCTGCTGCCCGCTCTGACTGAACTGAGGGTAAGAGTTAGGCTTTCCAACATATTCATTTCAAAGGCTTAACTGAGATGACCTGCCTGATAGAATAACAGTGCCAGGAGGAGTGGCCGATTGAACCTCTTCAGAAGGCATTGAAAGAGCCTGTTTAAGATTGGACATGATAAACTTCGGGCAATGCGTCGTCGTTAAGGGTTACCGAGGGAAAGAAAGGTTGAAAGTGAAACGGCGGAAGTGGACGTTCTTGCTTTCCTTTTATCATTCAAATGTCACACCCATGCCAGTGAAAAATGTAGTACATAAATACCTAGGTATGTATCAAGTTTGTAAATACTGCGCCATGGCACACAAGGAAACCTGTCGGGAAGTGGGCTGCTGATCCGACACTTTAGGGGGATTATGGCTGATGGCGGAATACGATTGCAACCACGTCTGAGTGTCATCAACCACCTGGATTCATCCAGCCCCCAATGACCTAAACCAGTTTTGGCTCACTTCTCAGATTCTCTCTATCCTTAGCTCGGTCACAATTGACGCGGGCGGGCTATACATGTCCAAACGCATTGCCCCTTTATCCTATCACAGCTTAAGAGGCATCCGAGCTTCCATACAAAAAGGCCGAGATAACCGCAAGTCTCTCCTCTTTCCTTGCCATTTACATGCAGCGCTGATTACACTCTACATTGTTGTATATCTTCTATTCAGCCCTATCCACTCTATCCGCCATGGAGAAAGCCAATGAGCAGGTCCATGCCGAGAACGCAAATCAGGATGGAACCAATCCATCTAGCTTTGGGTTGGAGTGTAAGGAACTGCAAGGACGCGCCATCCAGAAACAAGAACATAATCGAGGATACTTTCAAGCGCTTCGAAAAGATCCTTGGCTGCTGTTCTGGATCGGGGTAATGCTCTGGACTCTCATTGTGAGAGGTTTTGAGAATCAATCATCAGGCTCTGTTATCAGCATTCCAGACTTCAAAAAACGATTCGGCTCTATTCAAGACGGCGAGTTTTTTATCGAGACCAAGTGGCAGTCAGCTCTGAGCGGTGGCTCTAATGCGGCTGCAATTGTTGGCTCCTGTATTGCCTCCTATTTTGCCGACAAAGTTGGCATGAAGCCTGTTACTCTGGCTGCAGCTGTCCTTAATATTGCATCCGTCGCTATCGAGTTTTCCGCCACGTCGATCGGGATGTTTTTTGCCGGCAAAATGCTGAATTTTGTTGCTATTGGAGCCTTTCTCAATATTTGTACTGCATATGTGGCCGATCTCTCCCCCCTCGCCATCCGAGCATCCGTCATTGGATTCTGCAACCTCTCTCAATGTATTGGGCCGTTTATCTCAGCCATCATGTCCTACTATACATCTCAGTGGGATAGTGCTTGGTCCTGGAAGTCTCTCATTTGTGCCCAATGGGGGGTTCTCCGCCGTGGCTTTGATAGGGCAAATCTTCATTCCCGAATCCCCGGTATACCTTGTCCGAAAAGGAAAGATTAATCAGGCTCGGAGCGTTCTGACTCGACTCTACTCTGATCCACACGATGCCGAAGGTCATCTTGAACGAATTAAAATGACTTTGGAGGAGGCAGAGACACAGAAAACCACTGCCTATATTGAATGCTTCCGAGGCACAAACCTACGACGAACTCTTATCGCTATTTTCGTCTTTCTTTCCGAACCTATGTCCGGATTAGGCTTTGTCTCTAACTATGGGGCCCTGATGTACCAGTATCTGGGTATAGGTGATCGGCAATCGTTTCTGATCCAAATCGGCGCTCAAATCCTTTCAATGTCGGGCGCAATCGTTTCTTTCTCTGTTAGTGATGGAATAGGACGACGGCCTATGTTCCTTGCGGGTTGCATCGGGCTAACAGGGCTGCTCCTGTGTATGGGAATTGCTGGCTCTGTTAGTACATCTACCGCAACCAGGGCGGCAGTCGGATTCTACACCATGTATAATTTTTTCTACAACGCAGGAGTTGGATCTAACGTCTACACCATCGCCTCCGAGGTACCTACCTCAATTCTCCGCACCAAGACCCTTGCGATAGCACTTTCCATTTCTGCGGCGGTTAACACCATGTGGTCTTTTGTTGCTCCTTACATGTTCAACCCCGGTTACGGTAACCTCAAGGCCAAGATTGGGTTTGTTTACGGCGCATTCATGCTTATCTTTGCCGTGTTGGCATTTTTCTTTGTCCCAGAGACTCGACGGCGCACATATGAAGAGCTCGACGAGCTGTTCATGAATCGGGTACCAACAAGGCAGTTCCGTGGATATGTAACAATGGCAGAGCAGCGGGCAGAGGAGGCTTATACAGCAATCGGGAAATTGGCAAAGGATGCAATGGACTGATCTTGACGATCACCATGTCTGAAGACGGAAGTTGAGCATTCGTATGAATGAGGAGCATTTTTGGAGCCAATTTCTCCTAAGTCTCATGTAAATATTTGACTTCTGTCGCTGTGGGTCCTATGTGTTGACAGAACCAACTGTGCGCACAAATACATTGATGATATACCAATCTTGGAATGGTGAAGAAGTACTTGATATTGAAAATTCAATGCGAATGGAACTTTTCACCTTTATCAATTTTATCAATTGATTTAAGTTCGTGCCTTTCTTCTCTAATCTAGTTTAATGTGGTCTTTCAATGCTTCCAATATGCCTAAGAATTCCCTCGAGCGATATTATTCCAGACTTTGTGAGTGGTAGGCGGTTCTGCTCGCCTATAAAACCCCTACGTAGTTAGAAGGGGTACTCAACCCTCTTGTGAACGGTTTGGGCTAGTGGATGTATAATTCGACCACCATTCCCGAGATCAGTCGATGTTTCCCTCTAAACCCATCACCCTCGCAGGCCATGATGGTTGTGAGACTGGTGGCTGGAGCATTGCCAAAGTAAGTGAAGGGTCTCCAGCTCATCATTTCCATCCTCGCCAGCCGCTAATTTGCCAAGCCTTGAAACCCCATTACAGAAACGCCATTCTCGCTTTCATTCGTTAGGCTTCTATTACTTCGCCCCCAAAGAACCCGAAATTAGTCTGCGCTCCACTCCACCCCCACCCCCACCCCCTCAATCACAGGCACGCCTATTGGTCGATCCTACCCCCGACTGCTCAAGCACCGCTTCAGTCAGGGTCCTGCGCGCTGAATACGACCGTTTACGGTCGTCAATTCGTGACAAAGTATACCGAGAAGGTGGAATAATCGTAAGTCGGGCACTCAATCCACCGACACTTCTCTCGGAATGTGGAGAGATTTATGTTTTTTTTTGGCGCCGATCATCGTAATTTCCAACGCAGGGGTATCTAGAAACACCGGTACTATGAAGATTGCGGGGTGCAGAAACATCTTGACCCAATGCCAAAAGCCGTTTGTCTGGTGAATATCAAAAATACCGAAACAGTGAAGTTCTGGTGGGAGTGGACTTATTGCTACCGTCGACGATCCTCGCCTTTTGCAACGTTGCTCAATTTCGCGAAGAACTACATAAGAAGCTACAAAGTCCGGGAATTGAGGAACGTTAATCTTCAACATCCGCAAACAACAAGGAGCCTTCAGCTATTTTATCAGTCAAATTTCGTGAAGAAAATAAAATAAAACAAGCCATGAAGTCCGTCATACTGCTATCTTTACTGGTAGGCCCGTCTCTTTGCCTCGCTGCAGCATCCAACGCCTATCTGGATTGGAAGTCCTTCAATGCTGTCGGTGCCAACCTAGGCGGCTGGCTCGTACAGGAATCAACCATCGACACTGCATGGTGGGCTCAGTACTCTGGAGGTGCTGTTGACGAATGGGGTCTTTGTGCCCACCAGGGCTCTCAATGTGGACCAGTCCTTGAACGTCGATATGCCACTTGGATCACAACTGCGGACATTGACATTCTGGGCGCGGCTGGTGTCAACGTCCTTCGCATCCCAACTACATATGCGGCTTGGGTTGAAGTTCCTGGATCGCAATTGTACCATGGCAACCAACAGGCTTTTCTAGCTAGCATGTCCTCATATGCCATCAATAAATTCGGCATGCATATCATCATTGACATCCACTCTCTTCCGGGTGGAGTGAATGGCTTCCCTTTTGGTGAAGCTGATGGACACTACGGCTGGTTTAACAACCAGACTGCTCTCAAATATTCCTTGGAAGCTGTTGATGCGGCCATTTCTTTTATCCAAAACTCAAACTCTCCACAATCATACACTCTGGCGCCAATCAATGAGCCTGTCGATGTCGAGGATCTCTCTCTCTTTGGAACACCGTATTGCCTTACCGATAGTGGTGCCACGTACTTAGCAAACTACATGCATCAAGTCATTGCTAAGGTGGAGGCTATCAATAGTAAGATCCCCATTATGTTCCAGGGAAGCTTCAAAGGCGAAGCATACTGGTCTGCCAACTTTACGGACGACACAAATCTCGTGTTCGACATCCACAATTATTATTTCGAAGGTCGATCCGCGAGCCCAAGCAACGTGACGCAGCTTATCTGTGCAGATGCTGTTAACTCGGCTGGCGATGGAAAATTCCCGACATTTGTGGGCGAGTGGTCTATCCAGACGCAGATTGCCAACACCTTTGCTTCTCGTGCGAAGATACTGGAGACCGGCCTTGCTGCGTGGAAAAAGTATACTCGAGGTAGTGCTTACTGGACCACCAAATTCACGGGAAATACCACAGTTGACGGGGAGGGAACCCAGATGGATTATTGGAATTACGAGACGTTCATTAATTTGGGATATACGAAGTCAACATCCGCAGCTGTGTCGTGTTAGACTGTAGCCTGACCGCCGAACCAGATGCAAGGCCAAACTTTGGAACATGAACAGTTTAAAGTTGAGAACCCCAATGATTACTCTTTCAACCGGGGGTAGTGCTGGAACCTTGAAACTAGTGGTGATGTTGGTGTTCAACTTGTTTGTGATTGCTCGGCATCGTTTTTCAAGTCCACGATTCTTATATATGCTCCGTAACAACAATGATAATACTGGTATATTGAGCTGAACTAGGAAATTACTTCGCCTTGTAGAATCGAATGTTATCTCTTTTCCACATCATTGCCACGGCAAATAACTGAGCAATTGAAAATGAACCAGCAAGTTTCATTTGAGTGTTGTAAGCCATTGCATAAACCTCACGAACGTGAGTTTGAACATTCGGTGACAGCGACATGATTGACTCGGTTGTTTCGGACAAGGCAGCTAGTTCTGAAGGAAGCAAGGCAGAAGAAAGTCGGCTTTGGATATAGTGGTTAAGAATAGTAGCCGAGGCGGCGACACCAAGAACACCTCCCAGTGTTCTAAATTGTATACCGATGCCAACTGCCGCTGACTGGTCATCCTGGTCAACCACTAGCGGTGCCGCCATGTAAAAGGCGGCTACACTTAAGCCAACCCCTAATCCGGCGAGAACGAGGTATCCGAACTGTCCAGGCCAAAGATGTGTCACAGGTTCGAGTTCAGAATAGAGAAAAAGACCCGAGACTTGACAGGCTATTCCGGCAAGAATGATATAGCAAAAGGGGATCGATAATCTTCCCGCAATGATGGAGCAGGCTATAATGCCGATCGGGCAGCTGACCGAAAATGAAAGCAATTTAACACCTGCTCCGATCGGGGAGGCTCCGTTGACGATCTGAAATCGCTGTGGAATATTAATTATGCAAACAAATAAAGGCAAGCCTGTGGTAAAAAACCCCCTAAATTGCCCGTTTTAGCTCATATCAGGACCGAACAAATCAATAGCCAGGAGTAAAACTTACAGCACAACTCCCATGAACACACGATTGCGCGCTAGCCACCATGGAAACATTGGGACGACCCCGAGATTTTGGCGGCATATAAACCACTCCCAGTAAATAAAGGACATGCAAGAAACTCCTGATACGACGAAGAATGCGACAACTAGCCCAGATCCCCATGCATACTCCGAATTCCCTTCCTGGAGGGCGGCGATAATAAATGAACAAGAGGTCAAAGTCAAAAACGATCCCAGGATATCGACACGGCGGAAGAAGGATTTTGTAGCCACCCAAAGTTGCGACTCACGATGAGAATCATGATCTGGGCTATCGTGCGGAAAGTGGATGGGAAGAGCAATGAAAATGAAAACCCAAGATATGATACCCGCGGGAACACTATTACGATTAGACAGCTTCAAAATCCATCAGGATAGACATACTTATAGAGAAACACCCAGCGCCAACTACCGTTACTGGCAATGGCACCGCCCAGGAGTGGACCGAGGACAAGGCCCAGTGACGAGATGCCACCAGCCAGTGAGCTAACTTTGTCAAAGTGCTGATAAGGCACGATCCGAACAAATGAGAAGAGCGTCAGGGAATAGACGCCTGCTCCCCCGAGTCCCTGTAAAGATCGGAAAATGATCCTTGATATCGAAAGACTTAGCTCGGGAGAGATTTCGGACTCGGGACTCACTTACAGTTGATTGAGTGTGTGAGCTACTGCACAGCCGGCAGAGAAAACAACAAAAAGAAAGAGAGATGCGAGTACGGCAGCCTTGACGCCTAGAATTGTACTGCAATTGGACCAAACGATCAGAAATCCTGGTCGGAAATGTATCAGTACTAAAAATCAATCCCTAAATTAAGTCATAGTTGTGCGACAAACCTGTATACGTGAGCAGATAGGCAGTGATGATCCAGCTTCCTTGATTCGATTCCTCAAGATCATTGGTAATCGTGACAAGTGACGTGCTAACGATGGTTGCTTCAAGACACGTAAGGAAAAGAGCCAATCCGAGGCTAAAGGAGCCGGTCAATTAATTTGAATGGGGAGGAACCATTTTGATGTGGTTTACTTACCCTACCCCGGCAAGGTATAAGCGAGCGCCATGCAATGTGCTACTCCATTGAACAGCAGATTTAGCTTCTTCTTCTTCTACCTTCATATCAGAGGATAGGACAAGATCTATACAGCGGCGTGGTAGGGGTGAGAGGAGGCAGTGTGTCGCGCAGAGTGCAGTTGTCAATAAAGAAACGTGGGTTGTCAGCCGGGTCATCAGTTAAGACGAAGATGACGGTTTATGTAGCTACGCCCGACATGCCGACTAATGCGTTTGGTGTAAGTTACGGTATCGCATTAATCGGTGATAATACGGGCTCATCAAATTATTGAGGCTTGCATATAGTCCTTGCAGGCAGATGACTCCCTAGTCAATATGATAGATCGCCTGGTTCGCTCTCACACGGGCGGGTACGTGGATCATCCTTCGTCCTCGATTACGCTAGACTAAATTAGCTTGATCATCGCACGCTAGCATCTCGCGCTAGCGTTTTTCGTCGATCGCACGATCGGCGGGACGCGTAGCCGCCGATGCCGATTAGAAAACTTTATTGGAAACATGTAACACGCATGTGTGTGTGTATGAGGGCAGCGTCGTGCGGCCGGCAGGTATGGCCAGAATTTTCTATCAAAATATGCAGCAGGCTTTAAAGAGTGGCTACGCACTCTTGAAGTTCGTGGGTGTCTGCCAGGTGCTTGGCCATGTGCCCGGCCACCCCTGCTTCCTTGTGTGCAAAAATCATGATATTAGCGCAATATGCAGTGGCAACATGGAGCGGGTCATTGACGTGGCTTTCTTAGCGGCATAGAGAGAACAAAGACCACGAAACTGAGTTCTGCGAGGGGTTAACCAGAATCTCCCTTGGTACGGAGTACTCCGTACCTTTCTGGCTAGTGCTTTTGCTACAATGAATGGCATACGAAATCGCTCAAAGCCCGCCCAAAGACGCCTCGGGGCTGCATCGCAGGTGGATTCTTAAATATGAGTTCACTTTGCGTTCAGCTACTAGTAATCCTGCCTAACTTTGTACTCCCAAAAGCGCGAGAGATGGCTCCTAAGATAATAAAATCAGGGCTTCAAGTTGAAGCTGAAGCTATCCGCAAAAAGGCTGAAGTACTAGTAATTCCAAGATTATTCACAGATATATCGTGCCGCAACATGTTAGCTAAATCAGATAATAACAAATTCCTAGTATATTAGGTCCGAGGCCTATGACGCCTGGTGATTCCACTGCTTCTCTCCCTAGTTTCTAGTAGAGTCTATGGATGCATACAGGTACTAGTATGCATAGTTATCCACACATGTCTCTGCTCGGCGACTTGCATTTGTGATTACCACAAAAAGCCCAAAGGATCTATGATCTGGCGTATGTGTTAATTTATGCTCCTCGATTGCCCAACCGGTATGTACACCTAGTGCCCCGAGGTGCTCCGAACTGAATTAAAATTATTGGTGGCCGGTTTTAATACAGAACTTACTATCTACGTTGAACCTCTTCCATCATTAATAACACATGTAGTTCCAAATGCAAAAGATGGAAAACTTTTGTTTCGATTTTCCGTTCGGTCAGATGCATCTACAGAGATAGATACTCTGAAGAAGCGGATTATGTTAATAAAGATATAGGACGATCCAAGAAGTCGGCGTCTTGAAAGGGAATATCCCTAGCATCAAGTAAAGTTTTACAGGTCGATTTGAGGGTTCCCACTACTATAAGCGAGCTATGTATGGGGTTTTAAGCTAGTGCCTCTTTGTGGAGTACTATACAGGGCCATCCCAGCTAGGGGCTGTATCGATCTCGAGGAATCTTATCAATGCTCGACAAACCACTGTCCTCAGTTCGTAGCATCAAGGTATATAAGCATGATTCACTACCCTGGAAATTTTTAGAGAAATTCCCCTTGCCTTATTGTCAAATAAACTCCTTTCATCAAAATTTCCGCATTGAAACGATCTCGATTATTGCGACAAAGAAACCATGTCTTATCAAACTGTCGAGGGTAATGGCTCAACAAAGCCTGCTATTCGTGTAATTGAATCCAAGACTTCTGAAACTACCTCGACAAGGCACCCAGGCCCCGCCACAAATGCCGAATCCAACGTCAATGGTATAATATCACCAGGGGTAGTAAGTCCTGTGCCCATCGCAATATGCGGAATGTCGGTTCGCCTACCAGGAGGAATACATACACCACAGGATTTGTGGGAGTTTCTTGTTTCCAAGAGTGATGCACGTGGCCCTGTTCCAAAGTCAAGATACAATGCATCTGCCTACTTTTCTGAAACGACCAAACCAGGCAGTGTCAAAGCCCAGCATGGTTACTTTCTTGACGAGAGCATTGATCTTTCAACGGTGGACACTTCGTTCTTCCATATGGGAAAGGCCGAAGTTGAGAGAACTGATCCGCATCAGCGTCAAATGTTAGAAGTCGCCAGGGAGTGTATTGAAGATGCCGGTGAAACCGAGTGGAAAGGCCGGCCAATCGGCTGCTACATGGGCAGTTTCGGAGAGGACTGGACAGAGATGTTTGCAAAAGAAAACCAGCAGTATGGCCTGCACCGAGTCAGCGGCTATGGTGATTTTGTTTTAGCCAATCGAGTCTCGTATGAATTGGACTTCACTGGGCCAAGGTTAGTTAATTCTCGTCTCATGCTCTTATAGATAAATCACTAACAACGCTTCAATAAGCATGGTTATCCGTACAGCTTGTTCATCATCGCTTGTGGCACTACACGAGGCATGTGTGGCAATCGAGAGAGGCGATTGCGAATCCGCAGTAGTGGGAGGCGCCAACTTGATACTTGGGCCGGGCATGACCGCTGCCATGTCCGAACAAGGTGTTCTGTCGCCTGATGGATCATGTAATACATTTTCCGCAAATGCGAATGGCTATGCTAGAGGAGAGGCCGTTTCAGCAGTATTTATTAAGCCGCTTTCTGCCGCTATCCAGGACGGAAACCCGATTCGAGCCGTCATTCGAGCCACTGCCTCCAACAGCGACGGGAAGGGAACTGGTGGCATGCAGGCTCCAAATCATGTCTCACAAGAGGCAATGATCAGGAAAGCATATAAGCTGGCAGGTATCACAGATTACTCTCAGACAGCATTTGTGGAATGCCATGGAACAGGGACCTCTATTGGCGATCCGACAGAAGCGAGAGCAGTCGGCCGTGTCTTCGGCCCACATGGAGGCATCCAGATTGGATCTGTCAAGCCTAATCTTGGACATTCCGAAGGTGCTTCCGGTCTGACATCTGTTATCAAGTCTGTCATGGCGCTTGAAAACAGTATTATTCCGCCAAACATCAAGTTCAGCCAACCAAATCCTGATATTCCGTGGGATGAGTGCAAGCTTTCAGTCCCCACGGAGCCAATGCCGTGGCCAAAGTCTCGGTGCGAGCGTATCAGCATAAATTCCTTTGGAATAGGAGGCACTAATGCACATCTCATTCTTGACTCCGCGAAAAGCTTTGGTATTCCAGCCATTCCAGACAGACCTCTGACGTCACCACAGCTACTTGTTCTCTCTGGCACCAATGCTGATGCCGTAAAGAGGAGTATTTCAGTCTATAAAGACTACGTATTGAAAAATCCTTGCAAAATACATGACCTGGCATTTACATTGGCTACAAGAAGAGAGCATTTATCTCATCGCGCATATGCCGTGGTCAATCTATTCGGCGGCATGACAGCGTCGGTGCCATTCAAATCCTCCAAATCTCCCCAAATCGCGATGATATTTACTGGTCAAGGTGCCCAATGGCCTGAAATGGGTCGTTGTTTGATCCTGGATGAAACATTTCCAATATTCAAGAGAACTATACAATCACTCGACCGCCATCTTCAAGCCATCTCCCCGAACATATCATGGTCCGTCGAGGAAGAATTGCGGAAGTCTGCGAAGCATAGTAAGCTTCACTCGGCTGAATTATCTCAACCTATTTGCACTGCAATTCAAGTTGCTCTGGTTGACACCTTGAAATCTCTCGACATACATGCCTCGGCTGTTGTTGGGCATTCAAGTGGCGAAATTGCCGCGGCATATGCCGCTGGTGCCATCGAGGCAAATGATGCGATTGAAATAGCATTCTACCGCGGGCAGGTTACTCTAATGCAGACCAAGCCTGGATCAATGGCGGCAATAGGCATGGGATATACTGGTATAAAAGATCATCTACGGCCAGGTGTAACTGTTGCCTGTCAAAATTCCCCCCAGAAGCATTACCATCTCCGGGGATACCGATGCAGTCGATGCAACAATCTCCAACATCAAAAATGCACATCCTGAGATTTTGGCAAGGAAGCTGAAGGTTGACAAAGCATACCACTCTCCACACATGGTCGAGATAGGTCCTTTATACCTCAAACTCATCAAGAGATTATCTAGCGGACAGCCAAAGAAACTGTTTTTCAGCAGCGTTGAGAAGGGCAAGCTTATCCAGGACGCGAGCCTCGGACCCGAATACTGGCAGAAAAATCTTGAGTCGCCAGTCCTCTTTCACTCGGCTGTGTCATCACTCCTAAAGCATGAAGTCTCCGAGAATATGATCCTTATTGAGGTCGGCCCACATGCAGCCCTCGAAGGTCCCTTGCGACAGATCCAGGCGGAGATTTCAAACACTTCGCCCTACGCATCGACCCTCCTTCGAGGCCAGAATGATGTGGAAAGCCTTTTGGCGATGATAGGAAAGGTTCATGCTCTTGGATATTCCGTCGATCTAGAAGAGACAGTGTCTAAAGGCCTCACTCTTCCTGATCTCCCGAGATATCCCTGGGACCATACTCAAAGCTTTTGGTATGAGTCAAGGCTGACCAAGGAATGGAGGCATCGGCAACACAAGCACCATGACCTTCTAGGGGTTCGGGTTGCAGAAAGTACCGAGTTTGATGTGCTTTTCCGCAACGTTTTCCATCTTGAAAGCGCATCATGGATGCGTGACCATAAGGTGGGCGGCGACATTGTGTTCCCATTTGCGGGCTATGCAGAGATGATAGGAGAGGCAATGTCTCAAGTATCCGGTGCCACCGACGCATTTCGCTTGCGTCGTGTTGTCATTAGTGCCGCGCTTGTTCTAAAAGAACATCAGCCAATGGAGATAATGACAACCATTCGGCGTCACCGTTTGACCCAGAACCTTGACAGTGAATGGTGGGAGTTTACCATTTCCTCTTATAATCGATCCACATGGACAAAACATTGCTTTGGGGAAGCTCGGATGCAGGTTGAAGAGATCTTTTGTGACGAAAAGCCAGACTGCCTGGTACGGAAGGTTACAACCCGCCGCTGCTATGATGCTATGGCGAGGGCTGGCCTCAACTACGGGCCCTCGTTCCAACGGCTAGATCATGTGCGCGCTGGCACAGCTAGTCAGATGGCCACGTCGAAGGTTGCGAGCAGGAAAACAGACAGCAGGTCTTATCGACTTCACCCTTCGATCATTGATGCCTCCCTACAGTTACTCAGCGTCGCGGCTACGAAAGGCTATGTGAACACCACGGGAAAAATGATGGTTCCAACAAGCATCGAGGACATTTGCATATTTCGTTGTCATCAAGACATTGAGGTCCGAGCGTCTGCAAGCTACTCACCAAGCGGCTGCATATTGGGATCTGGAGAGTGTGTGACAAGCGAAGGCAAGGTTGTTTTACGAGCCTCTGGTATAAAACTATCTTGTGTTGACGATGGTGGCACCGAGGAAACCCCAAGCGGTTTCTCTCGAGCAAGATGGGCACCACATATCGACTTTCTCGATGTGCAGTCACTAATCAGGCCATTAGCTGATAACAGCACGCAAATACGCATGCTCACAGAGCTATCGCACGTCTGCATGATTTACACAAAACGCGTACTCCTGAATCTTGAAAGCCCCCTTTCTCACTTGAAAAAGTATCGATCATGGATCGTTCGCCAGCTTGAACTCTCTGATCTTCAACATCTCGAGTGTCTTGATAACGATGCAATCAGACTCCGAGTCCAACAAACTGTTGCCAATCTATCAGGGACCAGTGTGAAGGGCCCTGCTATAGCCATTCAAAAGATCTTCGACCACATCGAGAAGATCTTTATTGGATCTGTTGATGGCCTTGACTTGCTTGTTTCCGAGAACACCTTAGTCGATCTTTATTCTATAGTGGATCAATGCGACGAGTCAGAATTCTTCGAGCATCTTATCCACACAAGACCAAATCTTCGCGTTCTTGAGATCGGAGCTGGAACCGGCGGATCCACTGCTACTATACTCAAGCTCTTGACTCCTGGAAATCAGAGGCATTACTCGAAATATACTTTCACGGACATATCTTCCGGCTTTCTCTCTGCTGCAAAGGAACGTTTTGGGACATATGCAAATATTGAGTATGCAGCTCTAGACATCAGCAAAGATCCCCACCTTCAGGGCTTTAAAGATTCTGAATATGACCTCATCGTTGCGACCAATGTGATACATGCAACTCCGTCTCTCAATGAAGCCTTGCGCAATGTACGAACATTGCTTGCCCCAAATGGTCGTTTGCTTTTGCACGAGCTCACCCCAACGTCGAAATGGGTTAACTATATATGGGGAATATTGCCCGGTTGGTGGTATGGGGAAGGTGATGGTCGAGTTCATGAGCCCTATGTTGATATCAAGCGATGGGAGACCGAACTACAGGCTGCTGGGTTCCGTTCTCCTGATGCGGCAGTTCTGGACTCACCAGAACCGTATCAAATAGGATCGGTCATTGTTGCCAGACCAGCACTTGACGTCGCTCCAATCAAGAGGGTAACCCTCCTCACCCTATCCAGGTCGAAGAATGTCGATCTCGTAACAGAGGGTCTCGAGCACAGGGGTTATACGGTTTACCCTCGCGGCTTGTATGAAATGCCGCTCCCCTCTGGTCAGGATGTGATTGCGATGATTGACGACGAAGTCCCGTTCTTCGAAGATATCGATGAGGAGAGATTTTCTGGATTCAAATCTTTGATTGAAAACCTCGAGGATCGCGGAATTCTTTGGGTAACTGGCCTCTCCCAAATTCAATGCCGGGACCCAAAATTTGCCCAGATCAATGGGACTGCGAGATCATTGCGGTCGGAAATGCTGATTGATTTTGCTACCTGCGAGGTCGACAACGTCCCTCAATCGATCGGTAAAATCATTGATGTTTTCGAGACCTTTCAAGTCCGATATGAGGAACAGTTTCTTAAGCCCGAGTTTGAGTACGCAATCGTGAGTAACACTGTTCATGTTGGGCGTTATCATTCTTTCCCGGCACACGAAGAGATTCTATCTTCAAGGGTTAGCGACAGTATATCGCTTCAGACCAGTAAAATTGGTCGTCTGTCCGCCCTGAACTGGGCCGATCAAGAAACGCAGGCGCTGGGTGCCATGGAAGTGGAGATTGACATCCACGCGACTGGCTTGAACTTCAAAGTAAGAGATCAATCAATATCTTACGTGCAATAGGAGAATATTCACTGCTGACACTAGTTACTATAGGACGTTCTAAGTGCCATGGGAATTGTTGAAACCCAAGAAAATGGATTTGGCCTCGAGGCCTCTGGTATAGTCCGCCGCGTTGGTCAAAAGGTTAAAGATCTTACACCTGGTGACCGGGTGATGATTCTTTCTTCCTGTTTATTTGGAACTAGGGTTGTCGTCCCGGCGGACGTCTGTGAAAGGATTCCTGGTGGTCTCAGCTTCGAGGATGCCGCCACGATGCCTTGTGTGTTTGCCACAGCCCTCTACTCCATTTTCGACGTCGGGAATTTGCAAAAAGGCCAGGTATGCGCAAATAACGATCAAACCGTAAGAGTCAAGCTCAAACTAACGATATTTTTGCAGTCTATTCTCATACACAGTGCATGTGGTGGGGTTGGCATTGCCGCCATTCAACTGGCGCAGATGATTGGTGCTGAAATATTCGCCACGGTTGGAAACGATGACAAGGTCAAATTTCTAATGGAAAATTTCGGTTTACGACGCAATAGAATTTTCAATTCTCGGGATACATCATTTGTGAATGATGTCATGAGAGAGACCAATGGCGATGGTGTAGATATGGCACTGAATTCGTTATCAGGAGAATTGTTGCATGCAACCTGGACCTGCATCGCAGAATTTGGAAAGATGGTCGAGATAAGCAAACGCGACTTGATCGGTACAGGAAAGCTTGATATGAGACCGTTTCTTGCTAATAGAAGCTATTGCTGTGTTGACCTCGACCAAATTTGCCGCAAGCGATCGAAAATCACAAAGAGGTGAGTGTGCATGTCTGGCAATCAAACCGCGCACGGTGGCTGACAAAATTACAAAGACTACTCCGAGAAATCGTCCATCTAGTCAAAGAACGTTACATTCATCCAATAAGACCAGTCAGAATATTTCCTGCCAATGAGATACTCGATGCGTTCCGCTATATGCAACAAGGTGTCCATCTAGGCAAGATCGTTGTTTCAATCCGAGACAATAAGGGCGTGCAAGACCTTGATAATAGTGCGCAACGTCGGAGATCACATACACAGTTTGATGACTCTGGCGCATTTTTGCTTGTCGGGGGCCTTGGAGGTCTGGGTCGCTCCGTATCAACGTGGATGGTGGAGCGAGGCGCACGGCACTTCATCTACCTTTCTCCAACCGCTGGGACAAAAAAGGACCACCAGGACTTTGGTGAAGAGCTGATGAGCATGGGATGTCGGGTTTCATTCGTCCAAGGCAGTGTTTCAAATCTCAAGGACGTTATAAAAGCCGTTGCACGATCTGAAGGCCGGCTGAAAGGTATCTTGCAAATGTCCATGGCACTTGGCAATCAAACCTTTCCTCGGATGACACTACACGAGTGGAATACGGCTGTTGACCCGAAAGTCCGAGGCACCTGGAACTTGCATCACGCGTCCGTTTCCGCTCAGGCAAATCTTGACTTCTTCGTTCTATTCAGCTCGATCTCCGGTATATGTGGGCAGCCTGGCCAAACCAACTACGCCGGCGCAAATACATTCATGGATGCATTCGCACAATATCGGCTAAGCCTGGGACTGCCAGCTTGTGCGATAGAAATTGGTGCAGTTGAAGAGGTCGGATTTCTCGCGGAGCATGGGGATATCAAGCAAAAGCTTCAGGTCGCAGGTGCTTTGCCTGCGCCAATTTCGGAATCAGAACTTCTTCTTGGCTTAGAACTGGCGATGAAATCCAAAAAGATAAACTCCTCAAGTACTGCCAACAACATCTGTCTTGGTCTTCGCACCAGCATACCCCTCCACGATCCCAACAATCGTTTGATTTGGCGAAAGGATGTTCGCATGGCTATATTCCACAATACCGGTGGCTATGAGGTATCATCGGCGGGCGCGATCAATAGCGGCCTAAAATCATTTATTCTTGCCGCTAAATCAGACGCCGCTCTTCTTTCTGACAGCCAGTGTGCTCATTTCCTCGCTCTTGAGATCGGAAAGAAAGTCTTCAGTCTCTTGCTGAAGCCGGAAGAGGATTTAGTAACTTGGTGCTCTCTGACTGAGTTGGGTATGGATTCCCTTGTGGCAATAGAAGTGAGACAATGGTGGAAGACCATTTTCGAGTTTGATATCAGTGTGTTGGAGATGCTGGGAATGGGAACTCTCGATGCGCTCGGTGACTATGCTGTCAAAGAAATGCTTCATTTGTTCCATAACACACGTGGGCAGGAAGATAAGACTTCCGAGTGACGAGTCTAGGTCAAAGTTGTCATAGGATTCCAACTTGAAGCTTCTTATCTATCTAGATAGGTACCTGCTAGTGAATTCTTTTTTTCTCCAACTTGAAGGTCTTGCAATAATTGCATTACTCAATGGCAACATATATACCGCAGCACCACTGCTGTTCGTAGATTTCGTACCTAGGCAACCCATCACACCTTGCACAAAGGCCGCTGTCAATCGCATCTATTACGAAGATCAGGTCAATGAGTGCACCAGAGGTCCTTCGCACTCGTCAGCATGGCATACCTGGACTTGCGCACCCGGCAGGTATTGTATGCCAGACCGATACGTCGTCGCTTGCTTGCCCGGGGGGGGGGGATCCAGTGCCGACTCACGGCCATGCTCTGATAACAATTTGTTTGAACCCTGCTCCGCCATTGAAGTCGCGTGTCGCGTTGCGTATATTTTCAAAGCGTGCGTGGATCAAAAGGCTGTATGGGTCAGTCGGGGAAGTTCAAGAAACACGAGCCTGGGATGCCCCGGGCGGCATATGCGAATACACGCGGATCGTCCCGATTTCGGACCGCCAATATGCTGATAATATGTACTCCGTATGATATTCCCAGAAGGTATCAAATGACATCGCATTATCTAGACATATGAACTTGTGGGGTCTATCGGTAGGAGACCCCTCATTTCCCCTCTTCGCGATTTAGACCTTTTTCGTAAGTTTGTGACCGCCGAGTTTCGAGTGTTTCCAATCTTGTACAGGTCCATGCGCACGGGCCCCGAGCAACGGGGAGAATGGGGAAGCGTCGGGTCAGCTTTCCTCGGTCACCTTAGCATGCAGAGAAGTCTAGAATGCTTTTGGCACTTCAATATCTCCTGGGAAGGATTTGGAAATTTCGATACGACTAAGTGGCCAGCTACATAATTGAGCTAAGTTCCAGAGAAACCATCGAGATTGGCGTCGAAGGATTACAATTGTGTCTGACAGGGCGGTCAGTACGCGTAATAGTGCCTAGTAGGAGAACCAGGCGGTCGGCCACTTCGATGATGACAGTCTGAATTGGTAATTACTCTAGGGTAACTAATCAGGTCAGGGTCAGTGATCAGATCATGGTGCTCAGGGCAGGCTCACTGAGCATGACTCGGGAAGAAGGTTTCTGTTGGGACGGTGGAGGCTATTTTGGATTGGTCATGATATATATAGCTGGTAGTCAAAAGATCCCACCTATCGCGTCATCCTTGAAAACGGTGGCTTTCAAATACCTCAAAAAGGTTTCAGAGATTAGATGGGTTGTTAATTTGCGATGATACACATTACCCCCTGTCTGCCCCCTTATCTTTACTACCGGAATTCACCCTTGGGTCAATTTTGTTAATGATGTTACTGGCATACGGACCAGATGCTCCACCCTTGCCGTAATGCCGCGCTGAACTCAAGTGTTCGGGGGGTGTATCTTGCCCTGAGTGAATTAGTAGCTTTTCCGGCCTTGTACCTACTATCCGGAATACTTACGCTGCTCTGTTCCCCAGTCCGGTAGTGTCTTCTTTAGGTTGTTGGTATTGTGAGGACCGATAGCCCCCTCCTCCGCCTCACGGATATCTTTATTCTCTGAATAGATGTTTAGTGACCGCTCCAACCCACGAGTTTGCAACATCGGAAGTTGAGCTTACCGACATTGTTCGCGACTCGGGGGTCCAGAAGGTTGGCGACCTTCGATCTGTGTACGATTTGCTCACTGGTGTCCACCATGGTTAAATTTCGGTCGATTTTGCAGCTCCTACCTTTCGTTGTATTGCGAAAAGTGAGAGGTGAGACAGGTAGGTAAAATGGAGAGTTTCCTAGCCTTAAATAACATGTTACCGTTATGACATCAGTTCCGACCGACCAGTCTTTCCTATTCAAGTTTGGTCGGGGGTTGTAGTTGGGGCATTCTTGTATTTTGGGCAGTTTTCTAAAATCACCACGATGTTTTAGCGGTTTCTGGAAACGAATCTGAGAGGCGTAACCCAAAGTGGGTATTGTAACCCGTGTCGAATTGGTGTGCATTGGGTCTGAGCGCGGTCGTGAGGTCATAAATAAATGTTTTTTTGACCTTTGTTTTGCCAAGAACACCTTACATCATTCTTGTTGGTGGAATTGGATAAGATTGGCTCTCAGTTCAATAGTGACCCTCAAGAATTTCTTGAGCACTTTCAAGAATTGAGTTAATGTTGATGTCAAGTCGATCGAAGACCATGGGAGCATAGTTCATACATAAGGCAGATAAAAGAAAGTAGTTCAAACTCGCACGCGATTTTCAGCCGCCCAATAAGTTATCTAGGGAGCGGTTCTCCATCTCCAAAACGACAACATTCTGGATATTTCTCTTCAAGTTCTTGATAGAGCTTGACGAGTGCGCGGCGTGAGATCTTTTGGCCGGCGCAGCAGACTGCGATCGTGAATACGATGAGTTCAAGGAGAAAGCCGGCACGCATTATCGACATTTTTGGGGTTTAAATGGATCCAACTGGCAAATTAAATATACGAGGCAAGTTCTCATCAAAAAGACATACTATCTTGATTGATAGCTACCTAGGTAGAATCTGGATGTAAATAGGGATAAATGGTACAGAGAAGCCGTAGGACAGCGATCATAATACAGTTACGATAGTCAATACAATAACTGGTACTCCGAAATATGGCGTGCGTGACTCATTGTACGATACATATCATCCTATCATTTTATATCTTCCAAAATATTTAATTACTATGCCTTCCTCGCAAACATTGCTATGGTAGTTGCCATTCTGCATCCAGACCTCTCAAATCGGCAAGCAGCTTATCACCAAATGATAGCGATAACTTGGATGAAGTTGCATCGTCTTCAGGGCGAAGAAATCTTAGTTTTTAGCGGCTTCTGCAAATATGTGAGTTTCAAAATGCTGTAATAATAAGACGCGGGACCTCAATTACCCTTGTGAGCATCAGCTTTGGCGTCATGCTTCTCTTCTTTGGTCTTATCCTTCAGAGCGTCCTTTGCAGCACTAGCACGGCTGCCAATGCCTACATCAGAGTCCTTCGCGACATTTTTGTTGGCCTCCTTGGAAGTCTCATGACCAGTGCCCTTGACGGACTCCGAGACATAGTTGGCCGCGTTCTATAATAGAATTAATTTAAAGTTCTCATGGCGTCTGTATCCCTATTAGGGTAGGTACTTGCGAACCTTAGCAGTCTCCATTGTGTGGGATAGTGGCTTTGAATTAGATTGGATGTAGTATGTAGTAGAAATTGTAGTTCTGATAATGCTGAAAAGCTCTGTTTGAACTGGGTGAAATCGCCAATTTATATTATTGGCCCTATAGGTACCGGGGATGTTCGTCACAATTGAGTCATGGAAGGTACAGCTGCGGTGTGGTAAGCCTCATACATCATTAATCAACCATCCCAACCTGCTGTTTCTGGATTGGTTGTGTGACCGGCAGGTGTCATTATGGGTACAGTATAAGCTATTATCAGGTCTATGTCAAGTCATTACCGGAATCGCTTGTTTTTGAGGATTTAATTCAGGTGACGGTACACCTTGGCCAACTAAAGTTGAAAACAAGGAAGGACTACGGTGTGGGGAATCACATGTCTGGTACATTATATGCTTTAAAGAATCTAGGCACCACAGGGAATCAAGTGTATCGAGGTGCCGAATCTGCTGCCTGTTCTTCTTCCTTCTGCGATCTTTAGTATCTTCGTTGATTTTAATATTCATCCTACTGGGTCTCTGCACACCCGGCCTTAACTACCCGAATCTGGACCAGCCATACAAGAAATTGGCTTATCCATACTAGTATGCCTCCATATATCATATGAAAATACCATGACGATGCAACTTTCATGGTGTGATTTGAGAAAGGAGATGCCGTGTTTGGCAATAAATTCGTTACTCTGCTTGGATAATAGTGCCAAAGGATCCCGGGATTTCCGTAAATGTCTCTATATCAAAAGGATGGCTGCCCGTGTGGAGGTAAGAATAACTGTAAGGACTCAGATGCTTTGTAAGATAGCAGTAGTATTGAGCGAAGGTATTAAGCTGAGAGAGAGAAGAGAAGAAGGAGAGAAGCTCCCATCCCAGCTGTCTACATGAGTGGCTGTCTGGGTCACGTGCCTAGTCACGTGCCAGGCAGGCTTCAATCGTTACGATAACCCTTCAAATTTAATTTTGGGGAGAATTGCGGACTGATTACAACGCTTGGGCTTCCGATCGGATCTTCATATGTGGCTGCTTAAATACGCCATCTGAGTTGCCTCTAATGCGTCAGACTGAAGTTTATTTTCAGTACGCCTCATGTTTTGCAGCTCCCGCTGAAGTGTTTTAAAACAATATTGCAGCCAGGTGGCGGGGTATCAAAGTACTGTTGTTGGTTTATTGTGACTCTTATGATATCGTAGTATCAAAATTATATCGATCTTTTTATAATACCGACACACACCGTGTGTCTTTGTAGCGCTCCTTAGACGAAGTGAAATGAATAATGTAAGAGCTATATTGTAGGACATGGGAGATGAAGGCACATTTCGTCATTATTTATTGAGAGAGTATCTGTAACGATCGAAGCCTTCGGTGCCCAAAGCACGTGACCGAGGCAGCCGCTCATGTGTAGATAGTTGCGATGGGAGCTTCTCTCCTTCTCTTTTTCTCTCTCTCAGCTTAATACCTTCGTTCCATACTACTGCTATATTTCAAAGCATCTGAGTCCTTAAAATACATGTGATAAGCTTCCTCCGGCGAGTGGCAGACGACGATGACCGGTGAATTGTTTGTGTCTCCCAAATCCAGATTACTAGCAAGACCGAATATGTCTCTTCCTACAACGTCCTCACAATCTAACTCTGTCTGCACAGCGAAGTGGAAATCAAAACTAAAGCTTGTCCCATCCGATGGTGAGATATTGGTCACTTCAAGACCGAACCATTCATGGCACATTCGTTCCAATGACGAATACAGTGCCGTATCACGTTGCGACTTGAGAGACTGCCCGAATCCTAGGATTCCCACTGTGTGTCCTTCGATTTGACCTTTCAGGGAGGAGATGGACCTCAATGATGACGAATCTGTTTCATTGACTTCATAAGTGGTGCGTGAATTGAGATTTGAGTGCCCTGTCCCACAGTTGATTCAATTTCAATAGAGCCCCCCGAGTAAACCGAACATCATGGCGAACAATACTCAGCCCTAGCCCGCTGCTGGAAACAAAAGGATCCTCCTGCTTGAATGGGCTGAACAGGTCGCTTTGCAGGAACTTCGGCCCAATACCCTTTCCGGTATCTTTCACGGTAATAATGACATCAAACCCCTGCTTTTGCTCACTAGGAGACTTCTTCGCAATTGAGCTAGAAGAGCTTGAAGATGATTTCAACCCAATGTAGATATATCCAGAAGGGCTGTACTTAAGTGCGTTGCCAAAGACATTCATAAGAATGCGTCGCCAGGCACGGCATGAGTCTCAAAATCCCATTCTGTGCTTGCGTCAATGTCAAAGATGACTGTGACCTGACTAGCTTGGGGGCCAACAAGATCTGCTTGATTAGCTTGGCCGGCGGATCGTGAGGAAGGCTCTGTAAGAGCCGGGGGAGTCCGGTATATATATTAGAACTTAGGGCTAATTCCCCGCTTTCCAAGGTTGGCGGCAGAACCTCCAGGGCGGTGGGGGAAATCCGCCTTACATAACACTAAGAGTTTCCACCTGATAACAAGTGAATAAGCACGTGAACTCCGCAACTTGCCATCTCCCATCACTCGACTTGAACACCTCACGATCTTTGAGCACATACACACACGCGCACAGAGAGAGAGATATAGAAAGAGACTTCCCACCCTCACCGTTATCCCACTGATTTTGGCAGGACTCCGGCTCGATTATGGTACTCCTCTCAGATCCATGATCCCGATCCTCGCTCCCCGTCTTCATCAAGTCTCTGGCCGAACTTCCCTTCGTTTCTGTCCACGACCGGAGGAGATACGTATTACAGTTTCTGCCTTCACTGGTGCCCTATTCCCCGTGGATCTCCCACCCGAGAACTGCATAAAATGCTCTCTTTATGAACCCCTCGCCACCACCCGAGAGTCATGGCTCCCCAACAGTCGCATGCCCTAGCAAAGCGGTCCGACGGCCAGCTCATGCCTCCACCTCCACCTCCCAAGCGCATCAAACGTCCCACAACAGCCCTTGATGAAGATGTCTACACTGATGCCCTATCGCATATCATCGCTCGGGATTTTTTCCCGGGCCTTCTCGAGACCCATGTCAAGCAAGAGTACCTTGACGCCCTTGAATCCAAAGACAAAGACTGGATCATAAGTGCGAAACAGAAACTTACTGATACCATGCGAACTCCTACGCCCGGCTCGAACACACGACGCAGAACCGGCTCGGTATCTCTTCTCGGCACCCCTCAACATATTCCCGCTGGTCATCCAGACAAAACGCCTTGTGGATGGGGAGGAGACACCCCTCTATCGGTTGCCTCTGATGTTACTACCGCCACCGAAACCCCCGACCGTAATATCCCCGACGTATCGAATATGGGACTGATGGCATTCCAAGCTAAGTATACGAGCGAAGATAATGAGTCCTTCAACAAGGTTCTCGACCAGCAAAATACAAAGCGACGAGAGAAGTACGCCTGGGTCTGGAACAATAACAAAATCCCGACTGCGCGGCAAATTGCACACCACCAACGAGAGGTGAAGCGCATCACTGCACAGGGGGGGTAATCCAAACACCGAGCTGGTTCAACACAATGATGGCACTCAACCCGCCATCAAGACCGACCTTGATGCACGCCCAGCCAGGCCGGATGCATGGGAGGCCCGGCCGAATAATCCCCTCATGTTCTTACCGTCATCTGTCGAAGATACGCACGAGACGCGACAACAGAAAGCAGAAGCATCCTCTCGAGCTGGTCCCAAGCGCGTCTTATATCAAAATACACGACTCTTGGATACCGAGGCGGCAGCGGCAGCGGACGCCTCGCGCAATGTCCCTCCATCTCCTTCTATCTCTGCGATCCGAGACGCCATTGCCGGTAAACCCCACCTCGACGCCTCGGAGGCTGGCTCTGTGGTGGCAGGCAGCGAGACACCTCGTATCAATGGATATGCATTTGTGGATGAAGATGAGCCTGAACCAGCAGGGGATTCGACGGATGAGCTGATGACAACTGACTGGAGTCTCCTCGGGTCTGCCGATTCCACGCCAAACCCATTCCAAATCAGCGAGTCCCGTAAACGTGAGGCCTTGCACCACCGTCTGGTGGATCGCGTCGCGCGGAACAAACGCACAGAACAAGCCGCCCGTATCACCAAGACCCCGGTTCCGGCGACCCCCCGTTTTGCCAGCAGTCCTCGGCTCAACTTCGGCCTGCGTGGATCGACGCCGACAGTGGGATCCAGTTCAGGGCCACGGAAAATGCTCACTCCCGCGGCGCAAAAATTACTGCATCAAGTCGGTGGCAACACTCCGCGATCTTCCTCCAACTCCAAGTCCAGTTCCGGGTTAGAAAACATGTGGACGCCGACGCCTCGAAAGAAATGATTCCGAGCCATACTTTTGAGATTTTCTTGTAGTAGTAGAAATCAAGCAATCAGGTCTTCTATCACTGTGTCTAAATGTATGTAAGTCCTCTCAGTCGCTCCGAGCGCACAGCTCGTTCGTTCCTCAAACCCACTCCCAACTTCCTCCTCGGCTTCCTTGAATCACTAAGGTCTGTGTCACCGTCTCGCGGACCTGCGCTTCAACCCCATTGCCGTACCTGTAGAAGGGGGAGGAGGCACGTTGGATGTGGTAGAGGTCAGAGGCGAGCCTAATAATCCCTGAGCGTGCTTGGATCATGACTGACGATAGTGCCCATTCTTAGGCCCTGCCAGTACTCCATGTTTTTTCTTGGATGGCTTCTCAACCACCACTGGTAGGCCTTCGTCCTCTTCCCTCTTCCTCCCGTTCGGCCCTCGCGATCGTAAACCACCACGCGGCAGCTTGAATTGCCAAATTTCGAACCACCAAGATTCCCCTCCATACTATCGATGCGTGTTCCTGACGCAGTTGCGCGCCCGAGGATCCGACTCCCCTGCGAACGATTTATCTTCGAGGTGTGCCATCCTCAGTACCCTAGGACCTATTGGCAGGTACACTCAAGACACTTATCTTGACCAGCGAAGGCCGAATCAGTGGAGTAGAATATGTTACTCACTCGTTGGTAACTTTTGCGAACTTCTGTGATCAGTTTGCATTGAACCCCACGCATGCATTCTTGTGGGCGCTTGGTTTTGATAGGTTCACCAGGGCGCCAGGGGTCACGCGGATAACAGTTCCAGATTAATTGAATTCTCACTTTCCTATCAACATCCTTTATTATCGCAGCTCCCCAGACATGCAGGGGCGGATCCTAGGAAGTCCCACTGAGACTCACCAGACAACTATATCTTGGCGAAATCGATTTGTGCTCTATCTCGACAAACATGGTTCCTAGGCTCTTCGGACCTAGTTCATCTTAATTGGCGCGTCAATAGCGTCATTTTGATCCAGATTATACCTATCAAAATGGCCGCTGTCGACGTTCCGCGCCCAAATGGCGATTTTGTGCATCCGGATCGCCAAAAAATCCGAGTGCGCCCGCAACACCGAAACCACGCGATTCGAACGCCACGCAGCCCAAAACCGCGATTACTATGGATGAGATGGCAGCGTATACGAAGGCGACCCTCCGGCCTCCGGGGCATTACTGAGGATGCAGGAGACTCTCCGAGCGCTAAGACCATGCGATTCATCCATTTTGTTGACCAGTTCATGGTTGAACAATGGTTTTGGGGGTTTGACTCAGTAGTGGCACTTGTTGACGTGTCCCATTGATGATTGGCAGTGGAGGTAGAAATTCATAGTGCCGAGGAGACGAGCGGGATGGCAGGGCGTTGGAGAATGTAAGGACTCAGGTGCCAAAGAATAGCAGTAGTATTTCACAAAGGTATTAAACTGAGAGAGAAGAGAAGAAGGAGAGAAGCTCCCATCGCAACTATCTACACATGAGCGGCTATCTGGGTCACGTGTTTAGAGACGTGCCCAGGCACCCAAGGCTTCAATCGTTACAAACTAAATTGGAAGAAGCTCTTGGCAGATTTGAAGCACTTTACAGTTTAAGGATCAGAGTTGAGAGGGAAAGAGGATGCTATTTATATACTATCTTTCAGTCAGTTCTCTGGCTTTCCTATGACTTGATGGTATCGGTCGTTAGCATCGCTTTGGTCTAAACCGTCAAACGTGTTAAAGAACAAAGAAAGGGGGAAACCCACCTTAATGAGGGGATCTGTCTGATTGGTGGCTAAGGTTGCAACCTCTTGCGCAGATAAATAGTGACCGTAGCGAGACACGTGTTGAGAGCCCAATCCGAACCGTACTTCAAACAAAGAAACCCGAGCTTTGTGACATGCGGAAGTGGGTCAATGTTTTGTCACGCAGCCTTCCTTTTGACGCAACTGAACAAAGAAATCCAATGAATTTGTCAATCGAGGCGGTCGCCTGGTGGCTCAGGCTTGGCGCTTACTTCCTTTCAGGTTTGACAGGAAGCCCGATATTCTCATCCTCAATGATATACGGTCAATCTCGCGAGTCCAAAACAAAAATTATGGCAACCCAAGTTCACAAAGTCACAAAGATTTCTTGATTGTACTTCGTGGCAAGTGGAAAAAAATATTCGGACCATTACAGTAAATTTGGTATCCCTATGCCACAGTTGTAATTGTCTCACATGATATCCATCGCTATCGACGCAGCCGTCCGGAAGGGATCTTCTCCAAAAAGTGGGTCTCGTCCTTGCCGCATACTGTACATCAAGGTATTCAGCTACCCGAGACAAACTATGAGCAGAACTCAAGCAGACTATGCCCCCTCCAATGGACGCTGCAACATGGTCTGAATTGGAGAAGCTACCATATTTGGGAACCCCCTACACCTCGAAATCGAGCTCAATTCTGACCCACAATCTCCAGACTAGATTTATCAATGAGTTCCTCGGCATCTCGGATTCACCGCTTATCTCCCCTGCTGCGATAGCATTTGCCGGGGTTCTCAACCATTTTTGAAAATAAGTAATTTTGCATCGTAGAAGTGAGCGGGGCTTCAACATGGCGACGACTGGAGCGACGACGCGCATTCGGTGGCCGGAGGCGAGGCGGCGAATGGTCTGGGAATGTAGGCGGCGGATGAAGGGCCGGTGCATATTCGATGCAGGTCGATGTAGAGTGGACGCGTCGAAACGAGGCTGTTGAGGCTGTTCGGATGTATTGCGATGTTCTCGAAGGGGGGCCACACCGAGGCCGACGATATAAGAAACAAACGACTTCCACAAAGAATGATACAAGTATGCGCAATGATTTGCCCGGCACTGTAACTTGAGCGCCCTACTTGTCAACAGAGGAAAGAACATCGAATGCAGAAGTTCGAACGAGACAAGATACGAAACCATTTGAATGCTTTCAATGCTACGGGATGAAGCACTACTCTCGCCAGAAGCATCGTCTGCGTCATTTTCGAAACTCACACTTTAATGACCGCCAATGCAACCAGTGCAACGAGGCTGTTGAACATGAAATGGACCTGCGCCGACATAGGCAGAATAACCACGGATTGAAGACCTATGAAAATTCTGTATTAGCCAGAACCATTGCTACTACCTCAATGAAGCCTGGTCAAAGGCAAAATACGAGAACTTTGGCTCACCAGCTCACGAGTGAAGGCTGGCAGTGTTTCTTACAGTGAATACCAAATATAATAAAAACAAGTTTGGGGGCGTCTATTTGTATCTCTATCTACCAATGTACATTGACACTCCGAATAACCACCATCGCTTGCCTGAAACCATAAGATGAAGTATACACGACAGCCAAATCATTCCACCTCATTTTCTGCGTTCCCGTCTCTATATGAATACAGGATGGATCGAAATCAGTTTCACCACTTTGTTTTCACAGAGTTTTTCTCGAACCCTAGCCCGAAACACACTAATCCATATCCGGCCTTGCTTAATATCAAGTATTGAATCGTATTGAAAGGCATATCACGTGCTACAAAGTCCATTAATATGCTCGTAATACTCTGACAAAAGATATAAGCAATTTGCAGCGTCTTCAATGTTGACGACATTCCATCCATTCGTCTTGTTATTCTGTAAGGGCTTCTGACTGGAGCAATAAGGTCAATAAATTTCAAGGGGCACGCATTAAACCAATTTAGGATGGAACATTCCTGTGGGAAGTACACAATTAGCAGAAAATGCAGTGTAAAAATAAATTCTGAAACCTAGAATCTATGCATCTATGTCCAGTGTCTTGTTTACCTATTTATTCGCTATCAGTTTCCCACTCCTGATCTGTTTCGCATTCGCCTTGGTTGCTCAGTGTCACTTCTGTTTCCCATTCTGACAACGTTTCACAATTAGATAAAGTAGTGGGATGGCTAAGGCCGAGTATCTGCTTCTGCTTGGTTAAGCACTTTCTGAGTAGAGCAATGGCTTCGGCATAATAAGATAAAGATTTCCATGTGAAAGCAAGATTAGCCATACTGTTCAGTGTGTCGGGATGGTCCTTGCCGAGCTTCGTCTTGCGAGTCTTCATCACCTGCACCTCGAGCTGCTCGGCCTCCTCCCACCGGCCCTGGTTCCCGTACGTTGATGCCAGGTTGGCCATACTGGTCAGCGTTTCGGGATGATCCTCGCCGAGCTGTGTCTTAAGAGTCTTCATCACCTGCACCTGGAGCTGCTCGGCCTCTTTCCATCGCCCATCAAGCCAGTATGCTGTTGCTAACATACTTGTACTATCAATCGCCTCTTCATGCTCTTCACCTAACAAGACCGTCCTTTGCTCTTTTGATCTTGCGGCCATATCTCTTGTATCCGCGATATTACCGCTCTGCGACGCATACCACGCAGCTTTATAGAGCAATGTAGCCCATTGTAGTAGACACTCAGGTGATGCGGGTCGTTGTGACATTGCGGATTTCACGTGGGGAAATAGCGCCCGGCACCTCTCCTAGTTCTCGTATCCACCTGTGGGAAATTCTTCGTATAAATTGCTTATAAATACCTCCCGCCGTTGGTTTATTTCTCCTTCGGATCTTAACCACGCACGCATCGTCAGTTGTACTAGCCGATGCATTGTAAAAAAAGTGCCGTCTTCACTAATAGATATAAATGAAAATTCTCTCAGTGTTGTGATATCATCTTCAAAATCGGGCCCTATATCAGATCCAGAAGTTTCCCCATCACTAGAGCCATTCAGAGGCTCAGAATTTAATGTATAGTTGGCCCGAGGTCGTGGTCGGATAATATTCTCTGGTATTCCTTGTCGATCGAAAAGGTTCATCAGCGAAAGCGATCCTGCTGCAGACGGGTTGGTTCGGCGTATATAATCGAATGAAATTTGCCATGTCACTAAGATTGAATTCTTTGCTTCCCAGTCCCGGTGGAGGTGACCTGCCTCTTTTTGCAGAAGTTTTGTTGCTTCACGATCACTCCCTTGGAAGTCTCTTAGGTACTGTGATACCGAATAGCGAGGCGCCCGGTTTTGAATATAGCTAGCGGCCTGTATGATCGCTAGCGGCATAAGCTCTAACGCGTTCACCAACTGTTGACCCTCTTTGCTTCCCCTGGGTTGACCGAGCTTCCTTTGGAGAAGCTCTAGGGCTTCGGGTTCCTCCATCGGTTTAACCTCAATAAGGTCCTTGTGATCGGCCATCTTTAATGCAATGTCTCTGGTGCGGCTCGTGATGATGATAGAGCCATTTCGGCTCCTGGGAATGTATTCTAACACTGGTTTTGCCGAGGCGTTTGTTTGGCTGCTTATCGGATCTTCCTTCCCTGCCATCGAATACGAGCAGAGAAGTTGCTCATTATCAACATTATCAAGGATTAGAAGCCATTTACCTCTGTTCTCATCCCGGAGGCAATTCTCGATAAGTTTGAATATGTTGACTTTAACGTCCTGACGGCCTGGGATTTTGATCTGGTCCGCGATATCCCGAAAACTTTGCTCCAACCGGGCTTCATTACTCGCATGGACCCAAAATACCCAGGTCCCTGGCGACTCGGATCGCACTTGATAGGAGTATTCGATGGCGAGTTGCGATATACTTCGAATTATGAGCCACAAAACAGTATATCGGTCACTTACTACTTACCCGACACCTCCGAGGCCGACCAGCACTATTCTTGACCCTGGCACTGAGATTTTCTCGTGGATCTGATGAAGTAGAGTGTCGCGACTGACAAAGTCAGGATCACGCGCGAAAGGGACGGTTGATAACGGGTTGGTGGGAGTTTCCGGGAAGATTGGCTCCTCGGTCAAGTTGATTTGTCATCTGATTGCGGGGTAAACCGCCAAGTTGGTAGTGCCAGGTAAAGCTGAATTCTGCCGCCTCAAATCGAACAGCCTAAGGCGCCTGATTGGTTAGGTTCTTTATAGCCTTGTCCATTTGGGACTGGAACGATTACAAAATTTCACGGCCTGTTTGAAATTTCATTTCAAGACACCAAATTTCTGAAATTTTGAAATTTTGAAATTACATTTTGCCTTCCTACTTTCTATGTCACCTGCAAACAAAAGTCAAATACTAGGAGCTGGATTGGGCCTCGAGAATTATGCAGTCTGGTAAGATGTCATTTCCCTCTGCCACCACTCCCGTCCGTATACAAGCGACAGTCTCAAGGCAGGCTTCGTACATACTAGATAGCACAAACAGTGACATCGCCGGTCTATGCTTAAGCACCATAATGGACATACTGGGCCCAATGTAACGGCCGGTTTCGATAGTCAACACTCTTAGAAACGTCGGAAACCGCTTTATGAAGCGCCATCGCGACAGCTCTGCCACTATAATCCAGAGCACCGTTCCGGCAAAGCTCAGTATAGAACGACCTCGCAACCTCCACGCACACACTGTCATCAGATGGCCACAAAGTCCCAATGACGTGTCTGAATCCGGCAACCTGGAAGCCACTCACCACATGGAGGACCTCGTCCACAAGCTCTTCCACCCTGTTCTCTGCAGTTGAGCATGCAGAGAGGTATGCTATCTCTCCAAGCGTTGGATGATTTTCACAAAGTTTCAGGACACTCAAGATATCCTGTTCTGGATGTGGACTGGTAGTCTGTAGTAGAAGGCCACTTTGAGAAGGATCAAGCGAGTCTGAGGTACCGTGGCAAGCAAAATGGGCAATATTGCATTCTTGAATCTGGAGCATAACGCTTGCGGAGTCTGGTTGGTCGAGAGCTTCCACTTGAACTGTTGTTCCAAGTGCTGCTAGGACTGTAGATCTTTCAGCCTTTACCCCAGGTAAATCACCAGCGCCGGGCGTGTTGGCCATGGTAACCATGAGTAGCTTTGAGGGGGGGTTTTTCTGATGGGATAGAGATAGAAACCCGCTCTCTGGCGTGTAAGAGCGCCTTAATCGAAGGGGCGTAAGAAGATAGTACGCGACAGAATGTATTCTCTCCTGGAAAGGTGTCACCCGCAGCGTGAAAGGGAAATGAGCTGGCAAGTCCAGTCCCAATCCACCAGACTCTTGGGATATCACCCGGAGAAGATTGCACAGAGTGACCAAGTTTAGTGAGGACAGGCTTTACGCACTCCCGCCAAAGCCAGGTCAAAAATCGGCGATATGATTTGTTGTTCACACCACGTTCCTTAGATGAAGCTGAAGTCAACTTCTGGTTGACCCAACTCTGCGCCTCAACCTCCCCAAATCGAGGAAGAGGGACCAGGCTTATTCCGGATGCAGAGACGATGATAGCATCGCTTCTTAGGCTAGTGATGTTCACTACAATGATACTCCCCTCATTGGATGCATCCTGTAATTGCTCCGCCGTAATGCCCTGTTGAAAAGAGTCGAGGCCAGGGAGCTGTCGTATATCCTGTATGCATTTTTCGAGCTCCTCGATTGCCTTTGGCCGTCTGATGGAGAAGGATTTTCCCTTTCTATGTGATGTGGTGCTCACCGTTGAAGTATTGACTTCGAGGCGAAGGCGTTCGTACAAAGCACACAAAGCGGGGTTCGCCTTCCTTAGCTTAGACGTGTCACTCCTGTCATCCATAAGAAGACTAAGGATGACACCACGTCCTGTCTCTAACCATCGTACAGCTTCGAAAAGGGGTTGCCCAATTTGAAGGGCAAGAGAGCAGGCTTGGGTTGCTAAGCCAGACGCATGCGAAACGACATATTGTCGATCTTGTAACGTCAAGGACCTTGTGTGAACCAGCCGAAGGATATTGATAGCTTCAACAGATAGTTTATAGCCACCTTCATGATCTCCTCGCTTGAGAAAGAGTCGAAGGGCCAATGTAGAAGCCATAATCCGAACAAGAGGTGGTGCTAGGCTGATCTTCACCGCCTGTTGGGAGACCAGGATCCCCTCTTCAAGGTCGTTCATTTGTCCTGTGCGTTCATATCGAGTTTCGAGTTTGTTTGCAAAGTTGTATAACAATGTTGCAAGATCAGGATGGTCAACAGGAGTGGTCTGAACTGCCTGGCGAGACACCCGGATCGCCTCCTCAAGGTCTTCCATCTGTCCGTTTTGATTGTATCGACCTTCAAGTTTGTTTCCGAGGTTATTTAACCGAGCTGGAAGATCTGGATGATCATCGGGAGTGGCTTGGACTGCCTGGCGAGACACCCGGATCGCCTCCTCGAGGTCTTCCGTATGTCCTGTGCGTCCGTGTCGACCTGCGAGCTTGTTTCCAAGGTTATTTAACAACCCTGCTAGGTTGGGATGGTTATTAGGAGTTGCCTGAACTGCCTTGCGACATAGACTGATAGCCTCCTCAAGGTCTTCTATCTGTCTGGTTCGTTTGTATCGAGTTTCAAGCTTGTTCCCAAGGTTATTAAAGCGCCCTAGAAGATCAGGGTGGCCATCGGGAGTGGCCTGAACCGCCTGGCGAGACACCCGGATCGCCTCCTCGAGGTCTTCCATCTGTCCGTTTTGATTGTATCGACTTCCGAGCTTGTTTCCTAAGTTATTATACCTACCTGGAAGATTAGGATGATCACCAGGGGTGGCCTGAACTGACTGGCGAGACAGACGGATCGCTTCCTCGAGGTCTTCTATCTGCCCTGTATATTTGTGTCGACGTTCGAGGCCATTTCCGAGGATATCCCATAATCCTACCAGACTAGGATGATTATCAGGTGTGCGCTGAACTGCCTGGTGATATAGGTATATCGCCTCTTCAAGGTCTTCTGTCTGACCTGTTCGTTCGTATCGACTTTCGAGCTTACTCCCAAGGTTATTCAACCACCCTGCTAGGTTAGGATGGTCATTAGGAGTTGACTGAACTGCCTCACGACATAGACGGATAGCCTCCTCAAGGTCTTTCATCTGTCCGGTTTGTTTGTATCGATTTTCAAGCTTGCTCCCAAGGCTATTCAAGCGCCCTAGAAGATCAGGGTGGCCATCGGGAGTAGCCTGGACGGCTTGACGAGATAGATGAATACCCTCTTCCAGGTCTTCCGTTTGTCCTGTTCGATCATATCGACATTCGAGCTTGTTTCCGAGTTTATTCAATAATCCAGCTATATCAGGATGGCCATCAGGAGTAGCTTGAACTGCTTGGCGAGATACCCGGATCGCCTCGTTGAGATCTGTTGTCTGGCCTTTTTGATCGTATCGATTTGCTAGATCTCTTCCAAGGTTACTTAACCACCTTGCCAGATCAGGGTGGTCGTCAGGACAGGCCTGAACAACCTGAAGATGCACTCGGATCGCCTCCTCGAGGTCTTTTATCTGTCCTGTGCGTTCGTATCGACTTGCGAGATTATTTCCCAGATTATTGAGCCTCCCTAGAAAACCAGGATCGCTATCAGGAGTGGCCTGAACTGACTGGTAAGAGAGGCGAATCGCTTCTTCGAGGTCTTCTATCTGTCCTGTACGTTCGTATCGGCTTACGAGCTCATGTCCGAGGCAGTTTAAGCGCCCTAGAAAACCAGGATCGCTATCAGGAGTGGCCTGAACTGACTGGTAAGAGAGGCGAATCGCTTCTTCGAGGTCTTCTATCTGTCCTGTGCGTTCGTATCGGTTTGCGAGCTCATGTCCGAGGCAGGTTAAGCGCCCTGGAAGATCAGGATGGCCATCAGAAGTAGCCTGAACTGATTGGCGCAATAGATTTATCGCCTCTTCAAGGTCTTCTGTCTGACCTGTTCGTTCGTATCGACTTGCAAGCTTGTTTCCAAGGTTATTCAACCACCCTGCTAGGTTGGGATGGTTATTAGGAGTTGCCTGAACTGCCTTACGACATAGACTGATAGCCTCCTCAAGGTCTTCTATCTGTCTGGTTCGTTTGTATCGAACCTCAAGCTTGTTCCCAAGGCTATTCAACAATATTACAAGATTATGATGGCCGTCAGGGGTGGCCTGAACCGCCTGGCGAGACACCCGGATCGCCTCCTCAAGGTCCTCCGTCTGTCCATTTTGATTGTATCGACCTTTAAGTTTGCTTCCGAGGTTATTTAACCGAGCTGGAAGATCTGGATGATCATCGGGAGTGGCTTGGACTGCCTGGTAAGACACCCGGATCGCCTCCTCGAGGTCTTCCGTATGTCCTGTGCGTTCGGACCGGCTTGCGAGCTTGTTTCCAAGGTTGTCTAGCAACCCCGCAAGGTTGGAATTGTTTATAGGAATAGCTTCGACTGCCTGGCGAGACACCCGGATTGTATCATCAAGGTCTTCAATGTTGCCAGTTTGCCTGTATTGATTGTCCAGCTTGTTTCGGAGGTTATTCAACAAAGTTAGAAGATTGGGGTGATTTTTAGGAGTGACCTGAACCGCCTGGCGAGATATCCGGATCGCTTCCTCGAGATCTTCATTCTGTTTAGTTAAATCCCATCTGGTTTTAAGGTTGTTACCGAGATTGTGTAACATCACTGGAAGATTTGAATGGCCATTGGGAGTGGCTTGGACTGCCTGGTAAGATACCCGGATAGCCTCCTCAAGGTCCTCTGTCTGACCTGTTTGTTTAAATCGACGTGAAAGCCCTCTTCCAAGATTATTCAACAGCCCGGCAAGGTCCGGGTGATTATGAGTAGCCTGAATTGACTGGCGAAACAGACGTATCGCCTCTTCAAGGTCTTCTGTCTGACCTGTTCGTTCGTATCGACTTGCGAGCTTGTTTCCAAGGTTATTCAACCACCCTGCTAGGTTGGGATGGTTATTAGGAGTTGCCTGAACTGCCTTACGACATAGACTAATAGCCTCCTCAAGGTCTTCTATCTGTTTGGTTCGATAGTATCGACTTTCAAGCTTGTTCCCAAGGTTATTCAACCACCCTGCTAGGTCGGGATGGTTATTAGGAGTTGCCCGAACTGCCTCACAACATAGACGGATAGCCTCCTCAAGGTCTTCTATCTGTCCGGTTTGTTTGTATCGATTTCCAAGCTTGTTCCCAAGGTTATTCAACAATGCTGCAAGATCATGATGGCTATCAGGAGTGGCCTGGACCGCCTGTCGGAGTAGACGAATTGCCTCTTCGAGATCTCCCATCAGACCAGTTTGATCGTATCGAATTTCAAGCTTGATTGCAAGGTTATTCAACAGTACCACAAGATCATGATGACCGTCAGGAGTGGCCCGGACCGCCTGGCGAGAGACCTGAATCGCTTCCTCAAGGACTTCTATCTGTCCGGTTCGATCGTATTGACGTTTGAGCATGCTTGAGAGGTTATCCAACAACACTCTAAGATCACCATGGCCATCAGGAATGGTCTGGAGCGCACTGCGAGACACCCGGATCGCCTCCTCGAGATCTTCCATCTGGCGGGTTCGTTCGTAACGACTTGTGAGCTTGCCTCCGAGGTTATTCAATCGCCCTAAGATATCAGGATGGTGATCAGGAGTCGCTTGAACTTCCTGGCGAGACACACGGATCGCTTCTTCGAGTTCATCCATATGTCCTGTTTGTTCGTATTGATTTTCGTTCTGGTTTTTTATTCAATCTTTTTGAGGCGTTATGCTTCCAGGATTTGCGGTGATAGAACTCGATTTGGATCAAGATACACGCCTACTACGGTGTGCACTTGTCAGCGTAGACTCATCTAGCCAACATCGCCAAAAGCTATGGCCTAAACGCATTACCATCACCATCCGTGTCTCAGCCTTCACCGCCTGGGCCCAGCCGCAGCTGGATCCACACTGGCAGATCCCCTGAACAGTCAGTTTTATCGGTGGCGAGTCACTTCCAGCATTCTGCGCGAAAACGTAAGGACTTAGTAAGCGTCCTCTGGGATTTCTAATTGTATATTGCCACGTCATCCTCCCCTCCCTCCCAATCTATCTCCTGCGCATGAAAACGCCCAATGTACTGGTCAGTTATTTTCCTTTATCACGATTCTTGAATTGTGTAATTCTTGACCGCCTAGCCATAATTATTAGATCACCATCCATTTTGTGCGTACGCTCGTATCCGCTTTAGACCAATCGCCCTTCCCAGATTTTTATCTGGTGTACAAAAATCGGAACGTTAGGGGTAGAGTTTTGCACCTGACGAAAGTTCTCAAAAAGCTAACCATCATGCATCCCCGTACCACATGAGGAAAATGGTTTCTTAATTGCTTGGCTAGCCTGAACAATAACGACGATCATCTGTCGTGATCTGAGCTGTTAGCGAACTCGATCTACTTCGCAAACCTCCCTCTTTTTGACTTGTTCACAACGATGACTGATGAAGATATGAAGATCCCTGGATACGACTCAGCCCCAATAAGCGACTGCGAGGGTCTCTCGAGAGGCCATAGCGCGGCCGATCCCGTAGTTGACAACTTGACCCACTCTGCCACGTCGCAGGCTATGTCTCCTCATATTTCCCTTTTGTGCCACGCAACTTGCCTATCCTATTCATACCACTCCAAACATCCGATTTCGTTCCAAATGCGTGCCAGCGTTCTTCTCCCGCAGTTCTTCCTCCCGCCATCTGCTATTAAGCTGGGACGTTTTGTCACCAATATTGATGAGCCCCACCGAGATTACCATGATCCAGTACTAGGCCAGGGTCTCAATATTATTGAGAAAGTTGCAAGGCAGTACGACGGTGCCGACTCTCTTGGGACCCAACGTACATTTGGTTCTGAACTTACCGCCTTCCTGTCCTCCTCCATGTCAAGCCGTACGAATGCCAGGATCCACGTCACTACCAAGCAAGTGAAGACCTATTATTTGGACAACAATGGACAGTGGTTTCGGGATATTGTGAAATCAGAAGATGTCCGGAAGTGGATTGAGCGTACTATCGATGAGGGGGAGGACATATATGTTGTGGTTGGCTACCATACTGTATTAGATGCTCGAATTGCCGAGCAGGCACTGGAAGAGAAGCTTTTGGATGGAAAGCTGGCTGTTTCACTTTCGAGTGCATTGGCGGCATCAGGGGTTGTTGTGCCATTTGGTGAACTTGTTGATCCTAGACTAGTCGGGTCTAGTGGACGTGCCGAAGACTTGCAAAGGCAGTTTGTGGCCCAAGGCGAGCAAATCATCGCGGTGCAATATCGCAAGGTCCGCTTTCGGTTTCTATCAAGCAAAAGCGTTGACAATGCGACGCTAGCAAAAGAGGCGAGATGGGAGAGATATGACCGCCCTCGTTATCTTCAGAGCTGTATGGAAGACATCATGGAGGTCGCACTGGATGATGATGATTTCTCACTTGAAGGTGATCGTGACAAGTATATAGCAGGATCGGAGGAAATCGTGTTTTCGAACGTTGGTATTGACTAAGATAGTGATCTCGGTCTTCTGATCGCAAATTCTCAGCATGATATAGATTGTAACGATCGAAGCCCTCGGTGCCTGTATCACGTGATCGAGCACGTGACCCAGGCTCATGTAGATAGTTACGATGGGAGCTCCTCTCCTTCTTCTCTTCTCTCTCTCATCTTAATACCTTCGTTCAATACTACTGCTATCTTTCAAAGCATCTGAGTCCTTACATAGATTGCTTTCTCGACACGCCTAGTTCAAATAGTAGCGTAGCGTGAAAATCTCGGAGTTTTTTTATAATAAGCGCAGAGTAAACTACATATGTTTGCGCCGTAGAAAGCGCTGCCTACTCGCCTACCACCGCGTGCGCAGGGAGAAACTGGAGGAGTTGTGTTGATTTGGTATTGATTTTCTTTACTATCAGCAGCATCAGTATGCTGAGAGTGGTGCTGGTGGTGGGAAAGGTGGAGCAGGTGGATAGTTGGTTACCTTCCAACAAACATGTCTGCTGACTAAGATATATAGATCGGCACGTGCGAGGGGCTTTGACCTATCAACGCGCTATGGCCATTGGCACTATGCTACTTAAAATAAGCCAGCCTGACAGCGAATTAGGCACCGAATTGGGCAGCAAAGCCAACTCCCCTCTCTCCACAACCTAGGCAACGAGCCTCAAGTTCGATAGGCTTGGAGCTCAGTCCAAAATCACTGTCGCAATAGTAAATGATTGGCTATTCCACTAGCCTTTGTCCGCCCGATGCGCAGGTCCGTGCATATCCTAATACCTCTGCACCCCCGCGACCAGAGCTCATGCACTCCCTGCCGTGACTGCGCGTTCTCTCCTTCAACGACACACTCGCGCCCATCCGATACTCCTTATCCATAGCAACGTCGATGGACATTTTTTGATCGGAGTCGGACTCTGAAGTCGGGATGGGGGCGTCGATATGCCTGCAGTCGTCCCCAAATGATATATCGGTCTTCTTGATTCTCGATCGACGGAAACAATGTCTGGTCATCCATTCTACCTTCTAACAACTTCTTGTCCTGTTCTCAGATTCCAGGTATGAGGGACTGCAATTCTTTGACAGTTGCAGCATCGGGATGGGCGGCCAGCCCAGTCCTATTGTCAAGAATATGCACCATCCACACATTATGTATCCTCTTGAGAAAACACAGGATATGCTACAGTGTGACCAAAAATCTAGGACCCGGAAAGTCGGATGTCTAAAGAATGCTCACAGGTATTGAGGTTTTTTAGTCCCTGCCTTGTGTTTCAAGATTGCCCATCCTACCGGGGCCACGTCTGTCTCTTTAGGCTAACCCAATAGTCCTCGTAGAGCCGAAGCCGCTCATATATCACCTCGTTTTCAGGTCGGTATTCACTGGGAAAACTCTCCTGCAGTTAAGGTTCGGAAGCGCCCGCGTGTAGGTTCGCGACGATCCGACGGAAAGACCCACTTTGTACACAGCCCCAAGAATTCATACATTCGGTTAGATTTTCCGAGCCCTTCTCGGGCTCCTACTTTAGTGGAACCCATACAGATACCAGAAAGCAGCCATTGCTACTGAATAAATTTTCCCTTTCCGCAGATTCGACAATGACACGTCATTAGGAAATGGCAGCGGGGTCTAAGATTCGTCAAGGGGTCGTTTGTAGCTTACTGCAGGCTTCAGAGCTCTGAATACCGGCCATTCTATCCCAAGGTTGAGAAACATGGCTAAGCGAAAGAAGACAGAAACATGTTTTTAAAGAGAGTAGGTATGAGGCGATCCCGACGGCCTGGTGTCGGTCATCTGGGGCTGCGGATAAGCGGCAGAATGCATGCAGCTACTCCATTGGAATGAGTTCGGCCTTTGAACTGTATAATGCGTGATTGGCTGAGCATGGAGGAGAACGACAGAGTGGAACCGCCCACCGTTTTGTCATGTTATGCAGCATTGGAAAATGAAGGTCATTACGTGTCGATGCGGAGCTTGCCCCATCAATCTTGAGTATGATTCAAAAACTTAGTCTTATGGCCCACTGTGAAGCCTATTAGAGACAGGCTGTAACATTTCAGGTATCTTGCGTCGGCGTGTTCCGCAGCACTGTATTCGGCTACAACTGTGTCACTCTCTACATGCCGCATCTCTCCTAGTGCGATGCTTGGAATGCGCTGTGAGAATTTCGTTATGATAAATGCCGCCGTGTGGGATGTAGGGTAGTACACCATCCCCATCAAGTCACTAGGAGTCCACATGTGAAATACTTTGATGATGAAACTTTTACCAAATTCAACCTGTTTGCAGCGTATCGAGGAGGACCCGGTCGATTACCCACAGATAATAAACATCTCAGGTGAACTTCCAAATGGTAAAACCCTGTGGGTGATCACCTGCCCAATTAGATAAAATGGGTAATACTACAGTGGTCTACTTATGCGTGTGTCTATCAAGTCAGGTCTAGACTTCCTAGAGTCTTTGACGCAATCTAAGGCCCTGTATCCGAATGCATGCACCGGTGCATACAGTAGCCATGGTTATCACTGTGTAAGATGTGGTGGCTATACAATGCCGTTACGTCAGTGATGCGGGGGTGTTAGTGCGGATATGTCGGAGCTACTTTGACGATTTACGTATGTTACATACATCCTTTAGTTTGTGTGCGTCACCCGGCGATGTAAAAGAGCTGCAGTCTGAGTATTTCCGCAGGATACATAAGGCCACATCTTCTCCTAAACTTGGTCATTTGTTCAGATGTAAGACTTCTCGTGTGTTCGAAGACTTTATAATCTAATTATTCCTCTGAAAGCCACTATAATGGCCTGTGCAACGCCCAACTATGCAGAAGGAGATGTACCTCCTTCGTACAGTGAAGTTATCAAAAGCATTGAAGCGGCTACCGGTAATAATACCATGCCCCAGCAACTTCTCCATGTTATTGAAGGGCTCAGTGCACCAGAGCGGAAGGTGCTCTCGGATATTGCTCAAACCAGGCCCCCCAAGATGACAGACGAAGAGAAGAAAAAATCTGCCATTAATATGGCAAAGGGACTCTCAGCGCCTGAGGGCCAGGAGCTATTAAAGGGTACGGCCAAAGATGTTGCTAGGGCTGCTAGCAGTGTCAAGGGCGGATTCCAATCACTTAAACTCAAGCTCAGTGAGCTTGAGAACACTGCGAAATCCAATTTCCTATCGAAGCTTCAAACCCATGAGCAGGTAAGGTCAATTTGTTTCTTCCACTGCCATGGTCAAACGGTTAACGCAGGTTTCTAGACGTTCGATTTTATTGTGAAAGAGAGTCGACTATTGGCGATAAATATCAGCCAATATGGAGAAAGTAAGCTCACCCAGCTCCAATATGCCTGTACAGATATTTACGGATTAATACACAACAGAATTCGATACGCTAGTGGTTCCATTGACTTCGGACAAGAAACTAACTGTCGAAAGGAGATTAAAAAAAATCAACGAGCACATCGAGGTAACGTACTAATTCTGCAGTGTACAGTAACATAAACTAAATATTACTTCCGGGAAAAAAAGGAAGCCAAGGGTTTCCAATCGGATGCAGATGCAATGCAGACGCGGTTTGCTACACTTATGAACGATTTTACACTTTTTGTTGGCGATTTCGCGAACTGGGCTAAGTCTCATGAAGAAGGCCTTGACCAGAAGATCGCCGACCTGAACGAAGAAATCGCTGAGCTGCAAGCCTTGCTATCCCGTTTAGAGAAATCTATGTACGGCATGGGAGCTGGGGTTGTCGTTGGGGGTCTACTAATGAGGTTTGCATCGCTGACTGGCCCAGCTGCCCCGTTCGTAACGGTAAGATTCTCAATGATACAACCAATAATAATGCTGTGACTCTGACGAAACTTACCACGCCCAGGGGCTTGGGGCTGTGATTGGAGGTGTCTCTGCCATAGCTCTTATTGGTCTTGGTGTACAATTCTCAGGTAGGTTCTTTGCTACATAGCCCCAGAAAAGGTTCCCACTAATCAAGAAACAGAGACAAAGGGAAAAATTGAAAGGAAGCAAAGTGAGAGAGATGAGCTCACGAAAGAGAAGAAGACCATAATCGCTTCACGAGAAGAGTTGAAGAAACTTGGAAAAGAGCAATTATCTGACCTCCACAAGAATCTGGACTTTCTGGCTAGCTACTGGAAAGACACTGATAGTGACACACGACGTATCCAGAAATGGTTGGAAGCCGGTGCTAATGATGCGGTAAGGCCCCTAGGTCATTTACGAACTCTAACTCACTGACACTGGCTGTCCTCTATTCTAGGACCTACCGGAGTATATGAAAATCAGTATCGATGGGTCTGTTACCATATGTAAGCTATCAGAACTCATATATAACGTTCCGTGTACCGTGCTGATCCATCTGCTAGATAAAACCATGGCGACATACCTTAAGGCCTATGCCGATGGACTACCAAGTGTCTAGGAAGGGAAACACTCCAGGAGCGTAGAATTTGTCGATAATCCTTGCCGGTTTTCAGGGGTTATACAGACTTGACAGCGCATGTTTTTCTTGCCTGCCTTGGTACAGGTTTTCCCTATTTAGCTAGGTTTCCCTACACCGTTTTGTGAATGCAGAGGCTCAAAATTTGACCTAAAATACCGTATGATATCATCAAGCATTACCCAACAGATAAGCATGATTCTGTAGTCTATATTACAACCCAAGCTCCGCCTGGAAATTGTGTGGACAAAAGTGCAATAAGCACAATGAACAGGCTTGACAGCGGGAGGAGTAACTGATTTTCTTTCCTTACGTTGTATCAACTGATTTTCCCATTGCCCAAAAATTACCTCAGCACTGAAAGCCGGCGAGCTTGCTCACGAGTCTGCTGAAGCACCCTAGACAATTTTCATGCGAACCGAGATGAACACTAGTGTATCGGACTCATGGGAGATTCCGAACAATAAAGCGAACCGAGATAACGAACCTTGTATATGAGTAGCCGAAACTAATAGAAAGACTTGTAATGGAAATTCCGTGGACGTCAGAGCCTCGCAATGTTAGAGTATCCATGTATAATACAACTAATACTAGTCCGGTGTGTTGTAATCCATGGATGTTTCGGCTGTACTATGTACTATGGTGTTATCCGACGAACCACTTTGCTGAGATGCTTCTTGGGAACAGAGTCTATAACTTTTTTTTCTTTCTATACGGGACCCTCTTCTATGACCTCTTCGGGGAATACTAGTATCTTGGGTATAGAAAATTTCGTAAAATAGCAAGTACATCCCTATTGTCTCCTTGGACAGTAATTCCGAGTTATGATTACGCCTAGGCAGAACTCATGATATACAACAGCCTGCATATCAATGACGACGGGATTTCATCAGGCACCTGGGCACTGGCACAAACATCAAAATATATCATATCAAATCCATATTCTCAGACTCGGATTCTGAACTTGAAGGTTCATCTGGATAATCTTCTGCATGAGAATCAGAGGACCACCCATATTTGGCGCGATCAGTACCATCTCTGTCTTCTGCTTCCCACTTCTTTCTGTCCCTATCGGAGAGTGTATCAATAGTCGCACCATGAAGCTTCAGCAAACAAGCTATTTCCTTGTAACCTTTCATTTCAGCAACATATAGACCGGCATTGCCATGCTCTGAAGCTCCCAGGCCACCGAGCAGCAGAAATTCAACCATAGAAGAGTTCCGTCGTAATACAGCAAGTTTCAAGGCTGATTTCTGGGATCGTTTATCTATTTTCAGTAAAATAGAAACGATATCCAGATTATCATCTTCAACAGCGCGGTATAAGGGTGAAGGGGTATACCGCTCTGGATCAGCACCACACTCGAGTAACTTGCTCACCATCTCAGTGTGGCCATACTGCACAGCTATAAACAATGGTGGGTTGTCAATGTCAACCATCCGGCTATGCCATCTTGTGCTAGTATAGTCTGATGGAAGTGGGTTGGCAGTATGACTTCCACGATAGAAGTTGACTTCTGCACCAAAATTCAACAGAGCATGAACAACCTTGGTATGTCCAGCACGAATGCCTATCGCTAGGGCATGCTGAATATTAAGAATATCCATAAAGCAATATCCTTGCGACAAAAGAGGATGGGTATATAACGTGTTTCATGGGTAACCCGGCCACCCGGGCTATCCGGCCACCCATCTACACCACCACTATATTTAACATGAATAAATCCACCAACACCCATTAAATTGCAAAAACTAGGTGCTATTATTAAGCGGGCACCTATTGCACTTATGCCCTATCTCGCGGCAATTGCCACAACGCTGTGGCGCTCTCTCATTGCCTGATCTTGCTGCGCGCGGAGGTGCCGATGGTGTTGCTATATTGGTCTCATTTGCCAATTGTAGGCGTATTTGCATCTCTTCCACAGTAACACCACCTTCGTAGGCCATTTGGACGTTAGGTAATGCATACTTACGCTGCTTTCGGCCATTTTCAGCCATTGCACGGCTATAATTAGCAGCTACAATAGCTGCGTTATTTGCCATGGCTTGGGCACCTCTGCTAAGTTGATCCAATTGTAGCTGTATCTCATCATCGTATACAAATGAATCCTGCTCAATTCGTTGTTTAATTGACGATATCTGTCGTCTAAAATGGACGGATTTGCATGGCGTATGTGGCACGAATTCATGGCTACTAGCACTACCACGAGATGGTGGTGGTGTAGGTGTTGGAGGGCGTATATCAAGCTTTTGTAGTACCCTCTCTGGTGAATAGGGTATAATACCAGAGCCTACAAAGCTTGCAGTAATAATAGAGCTTTTGTAGGTTGCTGCACGTGCTGTAGGATAGATATCGAGGAAATCAAGCTTGTCAATATGGGTAGTACCCACACGGGCCATATCCTGTACATATTGGCCATAGAAGTGCTTCAATATACCAAAACAGCCGACATCTAGTGGTTGTAATAGATGTGATGAGTGTGCAGGCATACAAATTGTAATAATATTATTTGCCATGCAAATTGTGTCAAATTTTGGGGTAAGATGACTCCCATGACCATCCATCACTAGCAGTGAGTAGGTACCACGTTGCCTCTTGATAACATGCGGAATGAAGCAATCTTCGAGCCACGAAAGACCTATAGCATCGGTCGTCCATCCATTATCACTGACTTCGAAGCGCCAATCTCTTGGTACAGTATTAAACCAGCCTGACATCAAGTTTTTGCCTTTAAAAATGATGGTCGGAGGTAACACCTCGTTCAGATTGATACATTCAATCACAGTTATGCACTCACGGTTACCAGGCTGTAGGAGTTTTCGCTTCCCATAGAAGTCCCTGCCAGTAATAACCTTTGAAGTACTAGTGATCCCCATTGCGAATCCAGTTTCATCAAAATTGTAGATATCATCGTCAAGGATACCGTATTCAGCAATTTTGTTGGCCAAAAGTTGAAACCATTCCTTTATAACCTTCGGATCCTCACATAAGGCACGCTGTGCGTTATATCGACGTGAAAACCTCGATTTCAGCGTATCCCGACGTTTGATATATTCGTATACCCAGTTTTTGCCCACAGTAATAGTCTTGCCATGGTGTAGCCGTTCAGCAAGCAATATATTTGCCATATCTTTTACCATAGTATGTGAGGGGGGCTTTGCCACGCGAATCAAGGTCTAGTATCCAATTTTCCAATGAATCCTCTTCAATTGGATTCAATTTCATGTTGTTTGGGCGCTGAATTGGCTTATGGATTGCACCCTTAAGCCGATCTTGCAAGGTTGTGCGCGGCACGTCAAATACGCGTGCAGCTTCACGAATAGAAGCTATTGTATGGTTTTTTATTGCTTGGATAGCAAATTCGATCCTACCCTCTTGTTCAATCAATTTTTGACGCTTTTCATGGCGAATTGGTGGCATGGCGATGGTTGAAAAAAGGAGGTTGCTACACGCGACGCGTTGGTGGAGACGTGTGGCCGGATAGCCCGGGTGGCCGGGTTACCCATGAAACACGTTATATCTTCCCAGTAGGGATCTGATCTTCTTTCCTGATCCCGTTTGTCATCGTCATCGTTATCGTCATCGTCATCCTCGTCCCGGTCCTGGTCCTGGCCCTGTCGCCCTTCTTGAACACCCAAATCTCCTTTACGCCGGGTCAGATAGTGTATCTGGGTCACTTTCTGGGGAAGCGAGTCAGATCTAGTTCGGGCAAGATCTAATCCGACTAAAAGATCGTGGAGCTGTGGAAGGATATTTAACTCGGCTGCAACAGGGACCGCCGACCCGGATTCGTATTGAGCATTCCAATAGTAAAGACAACTTTTCAGCTCTTGGTACAGACGACGATTGGTTCTAACCAAGCCATAGATGTCGCTCCGGCGCGAAAGATAGGATGAAATGATCCACAGGATTTCAGTGGGTAGATGAGAAAGGCTCATTTTGATGTGTATGACCAGAATTGAAAAGAAAAGAAAAAGATAGATGATTTCCCAGATTCACGTATGTTGTGTGTAGGAGCAAGGTGGAGATGAAAGGTTTTGAATTCCTTGAAGCCCCTATGTCCATTTTTGGCTCTCAGTTGGAGATCCATTACTGACGCGTTCGGGCAATTCCGGTATTCGGTGTAAAATACAGTGTGTGCTTGGCGTGTTGAAGTCATAATGTGGAGCACATACCAATTCTATTTCCGTATTTGGATAACGGACCAGGCTGACCTCGTGCATAACTGGTGCGGAACACTAGCAAGATAATAGAACAATGCCATGGATGAAGGACTTTAAACAAATCTCAACCCCTATAATATACATCAAAAGATTCCTAAAGCTCTCTTATCGTAGTATGCCACGTATGTTATATAGTAATAATTCGAACCTGGGCACTCCCGTTAGAAAGTAATAGCAGCCCAGTTCAATTGATTTACTAGTATTGCAAGACTGGAAAAATGGAGATAAAGGGTGATCTGGTTGGTTTCTTTGAAGTACCCAAATGTAATTATAGAGGATGGAGGGTTCGGAGTTGCTTGTGATCTTATCGCGGGCCAGAAGCCCTGCCCCAACTGCCAACCCGAAAACTTCCTCTTCCCTAATTCATGCCAGGGCCAAAGCCATCTCCAAGAATCAGGAATTATAGAGAGATTCCAGTCTCATCAGTTACACAAGAAGATCTTCAGCTTCGCGCTGACCCTAACAGTTTTTCTTTTTTTTTTCAATCTAGTTATCTACCAGTGCATCACCACTTGATTTTCCAGATTAGATGAAGTTTTCTGTCCAAATACACAAGTCTTGCTGTTTGACCTTTAGACAGCCAAGTTAGACCGTGATTCAATCGAAAAATTTAACGCAGTTTCTCCTGCCAGCCTGATCTGTCGGGCAAATAGGATCTGGCGAGTCACCAGCGCATTTGCCGGGGTTTGCAGGATTAGCCCAGTTACACTGGTTAAAGTACACCCCAAGCGCAAACAAGTTCAAACTGTCTGCGAAAATTTTAGCATTATCAGTTAAAGATTTGGCTCGTTTGAGACGAAGAAGTTCCATTCACCAGCATTATTAATGGGGGTACCAGTGCTTGTGAATACCTTGGCAAGCTCTCGGGCAAGCAATGACCCATAAGCCGCCCACTTTTTCCCGTTATGAACAATTGTCAGGTCTGAATTTGAGTGTTAGCTGAAGAAAATTTACTCCAATTTTGATATTTGCTTGTAGAATCCTTACCACGAGTGAAATTGTCACCAAAAATACCTTCGCAATGGGTGGACTCATGAAACACTGTGATGGCCGCGGAGTACTCCTTCACGTATGACATGCGCTGGCCCTTCAAGGATTGAAAGGAGGAGCTTTGAATTGCAGCCAAGTTCTTTCCACCCCAAAGATTGAAACTACCTGGGCAATATACGGTCTCGTCCTTAATATCCGTATTATGATAGAACGTATAAGCTCGCGCTTTGGGATTCTCATGGCAAGTCACATGATGCTCGATGAGAACTTCGCGATCTTCAATTCTTGTATCGTGATAAAGTGCTACATTCATTGTTAGTAGTGGTCGAAACAAATCAAATATTATTGAAGTATTGAAACTTACGAGCCCCCATATCACTCACTTCGCCCGTGTTGATAAGCCTTTCATCAGAACAATTGATTATCATTTCAAGGTCTGTGTTAGTTGCGCTTAATTTCTTCTTGACATCATTGAAGATTCCTAAAGTTTCATCTAGGTCAGGACCAATAATCCAGCGTTGATATTTAAGGCATTGACTTACTTTTCGCCAGCTTCATTGTGGCTATAGCATCCGCCTGTGTGACCTTTCCACTCGCTCTTCCAAGCTCTATCTGTCCAAAAAAAGAAATCCAAAGAAGAAAATTTCGGCTGTTTCTAGTGTACGTGGCCGCCGCCCAGGTTCTAGGCTGTTCTCTGTTTTCCATTATTTCCAAAAGCTCGATAATTGCAGTACGAGCTCTGGAGGCCTATTGAAAAGTTTCAGAGGTTTTCTAAGATTTTTGATCAAGGTGAGAACATACCAGATCCGCCGCGTCTCTCATGGCTGTTTGAAGGTAGGCAATCTGATCATTCGAACAAGTCGATTGAAAAACAACCTTGGGCCTTAGGCTTGTGTCCGCGCGTGCGTGTAGAAGATTTAAATATTCTAAAACCAAACTTGTATTGGCAGAACTTTCAGTTAACTCGATATCAGCTGGAAGGCTCCCTGTGTTGATCATAGAGGAAGCGGTCGCAAGAGCGTAAAAGGCGATCACCAAAAGCATCTGGACAAGCAGATTAGCTTTTGAAGCTTGTTTCACAAAAGCCCCGACCAGAAAAGCCATGGTGAAATGGGGTATTGAGAGAATGGAAGATTTGATTGAATTTCACAGCGACGTCGCATGTGTATTTGAGATCTCGGCCTTTCTGGTATTCGCTAAGGGGCTCAATGACAGGAGGAAACAATTTAGTGCATTGGTATCAAATCCTTTACCATATATTTCTCCGGGAATAAAAATAAGTTAAATGTTCCTTTCCTGTACGATGTAACGTGGGCTTCATGAGGGCTTTTCGACTCATCCAAGTAGCTCGGAGTGGGACTTCTTACTGCTAGTATGTGGATATCAAAGCCACCTCATTTTGTTTCAATAATATAGGTATAACCGAGCCAAACTCTCGTGCTCGGAGGGCTTTTGAGTCCGGTAGACTCGGATGTACTTGCAGGGTTGCGTGGATACCAGCAGCCGAGGGATGGAGGCTCGGAGGCGAAGACCCTTGGCAGAAGCGCCGCCGGCCCCGTTTTATACACACTAGTGCCACGCTAAGCTCTGTCGCCCCCAAAACTACATAGTACAGCCGAAACATCCATGGATTACAACACACCGGACTAGTATTAGTTGTATTATACATGGATACTCTAACATTGCGAGGCTCTGACGTCCACGGAATTTCCATTACAAGTCTTTCTATTAGTTTCGGCTACTCATATACAAGGTTCGTTATCTCGGTTCGCTTTATTGTTCGGAATCTCCCATGAGTCCGATACACTAGTGTTCATCTCGGTTCGCATGATAATTGTCTAGGGTGGTCGATATAGTGATGTGATCGCTAGGGGGGTCTTCCTCTATCTTCTGGATGGCCCTGACTAGGCACTATACGTTGTCTTAGTATATATATAATACCGAACATCAGATAGGGGTCCCACATAAGCTATGATAATATCTCTAAAGCTATGTACGATGAAAATCAGAGGTCTCTACTAGAGCTAGTCCAATAATCAGCCTAAACTTGCTATTAATAGATAGTCAAATTACGTCTCCTACCTCCTTCGTATTTCGGATTTTCTTAATCTCCTCTATTAGTTCCCGCCCGTAGTTGAGGATTGTATCGACACCGTGGCTTGACAGCTTGGAGTTATAGCTGTAGATTATATTACGGCACTACGGAAGATCCTTCGATAGAAAGTCGCGGAGCCACATCTAGCCAAGATTTCCTCTGTCCTGCTATAATCCGTACGTATACCTATCCAGTCTGGGAATAGCAATAATGTTATATTGCGCTATCAGTTATTATGAGTCTGCTAGATATAGATAGAGATACATGTCTATACTCAGTAATCACTGGCTTACTATCGTCTGGTGTATAGAGCTAGGTGAATCCAAAGAAGTGGCAGTCAAAGTTAATATTATTGTCTCCTATCTTAACCTACCAGTTTCTGAGAGGGTTAACTCTTAGCTCGTAAAGGAACTAAGGCACTCCACCGCGAAATTTCACCAGCGCTACCCTCTGTGTTTTATTTTCATAGTATAACGGTGTGATTATGACCTTAGCTTTAATTTGTAATCTCTTGTTGTCAGTAAAGTTATCGTCGAGTACCTCTTGTAATACTATGCTGAGATCCCTATCTGTCTTGAGGTTGCTATCGGGCAGTTCCCTCGACAGGCCTGTTACCTGAAAGGTATATAACTTTATGTAACTAGCCATCGTGATTTGTAATTATGCTCTATGGTAGAATAGTAAATCGGATAAGTGCGAGCTGTATGTTGTTTGTTCACGGGCAACCACCTTAGCCTTCCAGCAAGGCTGAATCCACTAGCAGGTGTGGGGTATCGAGCGTGCACCTATATTCATCACTTTGTAGAAATGTACTGCTGTCTACCAAACACAATATACTCCCAAATCATTGATTGATAGCGAGAGTATTCAAGCCACATATAGTATCAGTCTGTTACTATCAAAAGATTATTTTCCTATAAAAACTAATTACTATAACCTTCACTTCGATTAAGCTTTTGACAACCTCTATACTCCTGCTCTGATATCACGTACAGTAAATTGAAGCTAAGTTTCCCTCGGTTTAGCTTAGAGCTAGCTGTTTTAGACTAGGACAATATTACGTAAGAACACATCCAAAGTGAGTGAAAAATTTTCCTGTTCCTCGGGAGATCACTTTGACCCTGAACTCCACGTGACCGATGCCCTATTTCAAGGTAGCCAGATACACCAAAAACGACCGTTTAACTTGAATGTCTTGTTAAAAGCTTTTGGTAAAAACTGTCAGATAGTGAAATTTGCCCGGGCGAATGTATCTATCTGTATTTGCTCGGCCGTTGATGGTCAAGTATCGAGTTTGCTTTCTCCTATCAACTTCTGCTTGAGACTATTCTACTTTGATTAAGTGACCGTGTTCAATTTGCCTCTCGGTGTCCAACAGTCAAAATGTGGGGTTTGGGCAGATAATCTATACAGTATCGCCATTCTCGACCGACTTGTAGGAAACAACTGTGACTGTTAAACACGCAGCTATTTTTTGATGTTCAGAATTCTTTAGACATCATTATTAGTTAGGGTGTGAAACTTCATATGGAGAGACCATACATCAAGGACTTGGGGTCTTACTGATCTTGAAGTCCTCGCTCAGCAAAAGATGCAGCGCTGTGATGAGAAGCTTCCTATTATTGAGATACTGCGGGTTATGAGGGCAGTTTTTTTCAAGCCTCCCTGGTGGTGAAACTTGGCTTCAGGGCTACATTCAAAAAAGCTTGCAGCGACTACTAAGGCCTAATGATCCAGGGCTTGTTTTACGCGAATTTTACGATATCATCGGCGAAGACCACCAATTTGATAATATGGTGATGAAATTGATTATCGAGATACTATCTATTCGCATATTTTCTATGAAAGATCAGCACGGTAAGCCACTTACAACAAATCAACGATATAGTGATTAGGCCGAACCAATGTTTCGTACATTGTTAGTGAAGACACCGAACGGCATTATCTCAAATGAATCTCCTCTTCAAGGGCCTGCCTCCGAAGGGCCTCAGCCTGCCCCAGAAGCGACTAAGCGTTTTCCTGAGCCTGCCCCTGAGCCCGCCCCAGAAGAGACTGGTGCTGAAGGAGATAGCGAACAGTGGGCTATGCACCAACATTCATCAAAATATTCGAGTCGTTCGATCAGTCACCGTTGGAATAAAGTTTCCCTCCTCGTCTTGCGCTTTCCCCATCCCACTGTCATAAAACGGAATCAATCCTTCAGGAACAATCTCGGAGGGGCAGAGCTCCTGCATATTTCTCCGTTTCAACTCATTATAGAGATGCCATAGAGAAAGAATATCCACCCGCATATAGCCCGTATATCGCGCCTTCCACCGATTCCCCGGATACCGCCCATCGATCATACCAACAAAACCCCAAGGCTTAATAGGCTCCTCGGGCATTTTCCCCTTAAGCCAGGGCTGAGGGTCAGGACTAGCAACGATTGACTTCAGCGACCGCTCATCAATAAAAAGACAGCCTTCGAATCGACCCGTTCCCCGGTCCTTGCTTGCACGAAGATACTCAGCAAAATGATCTCGAACCTGCTCGATAGTTGCTCCATCCCAGAACTGCTTGTCTGAGAAAATAACATCCTTATGTGTTTCCCTCACTAACCGTTCAGCATCACCATCTGGCTCTTCATCCTCAAGCCCCCTCCGTCGAATTTCGGCTTGAAAATCAGAGTCGATCTCGTCATCCATGATTTTGGCCAGTTTATCCATAGCAAGAGGCCATAGCTCATCAGATTCGGCAGTATAGACTGTTCGGTATATGATATAACCCCAGGGGGGATTTAGAGCGGACCGACGGGTACAGAAAGTTTGTTGGACTTCGTTTGGTCTGGTTAAACCAAGGAGCTTTACGCCAGTTGTTTGAGAAGTGGCCAACAAACTCGGGGTGTGACCATCGCTCCGGCCATGAAGGGTGATGGTAGAAAGACTGGTCATCCTGTTCGGTCACTAGTTTGTTGATTTCAGCTGGATCACGTGGCGGGGAAGAAGTCGGGGCAAGGGCGTCGGAAGACATATTTGGATAGTGGTAGACGACGAAGTAGCCGAACAGCAGGAATAGTGAGAGATAATAGAGTAGTATGGACAGATCCATCCCGAGTCTGCGGGGCAATCAAGGGTCTTTCTACCCTGGTGCCTGGTGGTGAGACCCACTGGCAGTGTAGCTCAAGGCAGAACTCACCTGGGCAGGGCGTTGAGAAACTTAAAATTCCAAGGTTAAACAAGTCCTTTCATTAGAATTCGCAAGTTCATCTGGGTCTTTATTACCTTAAGTTGTACTATTATCTTTTGTATTTCTTGTTTTGTTCCAAGGTTGTTTTGTTGTGGCTGCATCACGTGATGAAGTACGTCGCGTTCTCCAGCGATGCCCACTCTCTTCTACTCTTCAACCTTGCAAGTGTCAAGTTTGCTTCCAACAATCTTGGAAAGTTACCTCGATGGACTTGGAATTTCAATTATGCCTCGTCGGCTGCGTTCACACGCTACATCATCGGAACTAACAACAAACAGCCACTCACCTATCCGCTTCGTCCCAACTTTCACTCTGAGCGAACCAAGGATCATCTTCAATGAATCACTACCTGATCTCAATAGTACCGAGATTCAGACTCTACGAAGAAAACAGCAACGACTGCGGAATTCAATCCCATCTACAGTTGCCTTAGCCCGTGAAACAAGTCCGCAGGCAGTGCGCGCTCTGAAATCCACGTTGATATTCGGTCAAGCCGAGGCAGGTACAGCAGTGTGTATCGACGCAAGAGGCTGGATCCTCACTTGCGCACACTGTTTCGGTGAAACGCGACAAGAATGGCAAACATACCGACGGAAATGGCTGCTATACTACACAGGGCTGGCGGTGCAAGTGGAATGTCGCGTCTGGGACCCACGACGCGATCTCGCGCTGGCCAAGGTCATCCACGTTGAGATGGAGCAGCCCCAGCCCCAGCCGGGTGATACCGACGTGCGATGCCCCATCTTCAGTTATGTTTCCCCCGCAACAATACAGGACCCCACAGAATCGATATTATGTATCGGACAACCCGGCGCAGACGACCTAGAGTCAAGTATGCCCCGTAAGACGGCATACGACTTGATCGAGGTATCCGGGGGTCGACTACGTGGGCTGATCCCCAACGTGGATCCACACGACAACTCGGAAATTGGCGTTCTCAAACATGATGCCTGGACGTACTGGGGCCACTCGGGGGGCACCGCTGCTAAGGTCATCGGATGGGACTCTCGTCGGATTGCATTCCTCGTGGGACGATTCTACGGGCATAAGGCATGGCGTCCCGTTGGTTGCGATCCGGGCTTTTCTAGAAGCGAATCTGCCGGCTAGACCGGCTGGACCAGCTGGGCCAGTACATACGCCTATTGAGTTTGCCGGACAGTCTGAGTCCGATGCTATCGTTATCAATAGCTCTGAGTGACCTGGTCACCGGGGATTCTTCGTAAAAACGAAGCTGAAGGACTGTAGATCAATGCATTAAATGGCAGGTATATATAAAGATGCTTATGTACATCTAAAACTCCGTGTAAGCTACCTTAAAGGTACGATCCAACATTGGGCTTCAATGGCGCATCTGGTGGTGAGGATGTTGCATGGGAATAGGCGCCTGGAAGAGATCGAAACGGATGAAACAGGCGAGACGGGCGAGATTCTAGGATCCTAAGAGCGCAAGGCAAGCTGAGTCCGAGTCCGAGTCCGACTCGTGGAGGTCCGAATGCTGCCGTGGGAGGAACAGGCCGTGAAGGGTGGTACCATGGGTCCTATACTGCTGTGGTATGTTATTGCGATAGCGCTGTGGTATGCGGTGCTGCGGTGCGGTAGTGCTGCATTGGTGCGGTGTATATGAGCGATTGTAGTAGATGATTGGGCGTTTTTTGCTGTGATTTATGGGCTTTTCGTCTTGGTGACCTCCTAAGTCACGTCAGGGATCGAGTCAGTCATCAAGTGGTTATCCACCGCGTCAGTAGAAGGTCCACGGTGGTTGTTGTAACCCTAAATTCCGTACCAGACGGCAGCGATAACAATAGTCCCGAAGAGGACTACCGAGGCGTAGTTCATGCTTTTCAAAGTGACCTTCTTCAGGGTTAGCATGCAGAAGAGGGGGATGGCGAGAGCACTCCAACCTGGGGTTGTTAGCTTAGAAACTGAGGGAGGGGCGTTTACACTTACCAAGAGCAAAAATGTTGGCAATCAGACCGAAGATGCCGAAATTGAAGCTGCCGTTCTTGATATCCTCACGACGGCGGAAGATCAGAGAGACGGCGATGGGGCATGCATAACTCATGGTTAAGAAGATAACACCAACACCGGAGAAGGCGTTGTAGGCAGCTTAGGAACCGAAGTAGATCAGACCGAGGCAGATCTCGACGACCATTCCAAGGACGAGGGCATTGAAGGGGATGTCTAACTTCTTATGGACAGTCTTCCACCAGCCAGAGTCGGGAATACAACCATCACGAAAGGCCCAAGTGCAGCGCGAGGGAGCGGTGATAAAGCCAATACCACAAATGAGACCAGGCACGAGAAGCGGGATCATCAGACAGAAAGCTCCGACGCTGGTGCCAAGGGCATGCTTGAAAATGACAGGGGTAGGCTGTAGTTTCTTAGGTGCACTCTTAATACAATGGACCTATACTAGGAAGATCGACGATAAATTTAAAATATTGACAAAGTAGTTTCTTCTTTCGCCAAAGCTAAAGATGGCTATCGAGGAGCTAGATCACAACAAGGATCTCTTGAGAAAAGATTACTTGCAGATTTGAAGATAATCCAAGCCACACTAGCTGGTCTAGACAAAGAGAGCCTAATACACAGATCACCATAGTTGACGGCCACATGTCTGACTGAGAGACGGGAGACGATTGTCCAGAAACTTATGAACGGGTCGAATGTAGCCAAAGGATTGCAAGACCGCTAGAGGGCGTTTGCGATAGCGTTGTATGCAGCCTTGGGATTGTAGTTATTGTCGAAGAGCAAAGGATTGGAACTGGCCCGCCACGAATCCTAAACATCGTCCGGTGTCAGTATACAGTATAATCTAAACAGATTTGGCACTTGGCGCTTACAGGGTCAGCCACTCCCCAAACCGTGATTCCGACACACTTTGGCTGGTTCAAGCAGGCTTTGACCACCTGTTAATTGGATGATTAGCAAAGGGTCATCACGCGAGTAATTATATTGCAGAGGGAATAGGGAATAAGCTGGGGAGCTCACGTTCACATAGTCGGTAGAGCTTGCGCCAGCAATATCAAGCTCGGTGATGGCAACCTCCTTCGTTCCCGCACTTGCTAGAGCATTAAGAGCTGTAAGAGGCCATAAGCTACTACTCGATTGAAAAAAAGGAGGGCGGTACTTATCCTGAAACTGCAGCACCGCCACCGGCGCCTAAGTGGGTTTGCGAACCTTTGACGAGTAAGCAATCATGTTCGGTGAGCTACTATGACAGGTGTCTTACCAATTCCATCAATTGGAATACCGGCAGCAATCCACTTCTTGACATGGCTGACCATACCCTGCACTTTAGAATAGGAGGCAGAATCCAGGCTTTACAAGATCAGAATTAGACACGAAAAACAAATAACAATGGGGATGGGAATATGAATGGGCTGAGACTCACTTGTAGTCATTGATGTAGAGCTTGGCATTTGGATCAACAGCGCGAGCAGTTTCAAAAGCGATTCGTACGAAGTCCTCTCCGAGAACATTGTAAAATACACTGTTGCGCAGGGAACCGTCCTCGTTGAAAATTTCATTCACAACATCCTGAAATCGATCAGTAACATAGCTGTATAGAAAAGAATATAACCTACCCAGGCATAGATCTTGCCCTTATAACGGTTCATGACTGTTGTAATGTGGTTTTTCATGACATTGGTCAGAGTGGTCTTGTCTGAAATGGAAGACACCCAGGATGGGAGCTGAGAGTGCCACACTTGACGAGTTTAGTATTTTTGAATGTATTATATTTGGGCCCTTAGGGTGCGAGAACTTACCTAGAGTATGGCCACGGATCAACTTCCCATTTGATTGAGCAAAATTGACCTAGAATTTGTAAGCATCGGCCAAAGAAGCGTTTGTCATATTAAAGACCAGCTGGGTACGTACCAGATAGTCCGACCCAGAGAAGGAGAACTGTCCTTTGTTCGCTATTTCGCAAATAAGCTTTTGATAAACAAGTATCTCATACAAGTCAGTCCTCACGCTCAGTAGCATCCCACTTCATACTGTTCTCAGGTGTCAATTGACCGAAGTCGGCTTTGATAATAGCCGGGGTTTTTGCGTTCTTGTTGAAAGTGTACTGTTCACCAATAGTTCCAAGGTATTTTTTGCCGTGTGCCTTGAATTTAGCATCAATGCTCACAGATGCCTGTCGGGGATCAAGAGGCCCGGAAAGCGCTTGGCCAGCGAAAAGAATAGCCAGGGCAACTGCCTTGATTTGAACCATATTGAGGAATGTTTTTACGGCCAAATGGATAGAAAATGAGAGTAGAGAAGGATATCACCTAAAGAGCACGAAGACAATATTTATACAGAATGATACTCAACTTTTCTTGAGGCAGAATAGTTCATAGCTAAAGCAACCAATTAGCCGGACGGACATATTTCCCGATTGAGAACGGATGTTGCATCATCTACGAAGACCCTGTTTCACTGATGGAGAATGTATGTATCAAGTCGATTCAGCCCCTTAAAAAAAAGAACTCGGGAAAAATGGTATTTGTTATTTTTATCAGGCTAAATGATCGCATATAAGGTTTCAGGCTGGATACTAACAAACATCCAGGCTCATTCACGTAAGCCCAGTGCAGGCCTCAGCTCCAGCATTGACCAATCAAATAATATCAATTTGAGCATGTGCTCAAGAGGGTCCTGACGATGCGGTCTGCAGAAGCCAAGCAAGGGTCCAAGTGTGGAAACTGTGGCGATCTCCAATACGCTGAAGTCCAAATTAAGCTACTCTAACCTCGCTGAAACTAGTACTTCAATTTACCTCGGCTAATTTACCCGAGGTATCTCCGAAACAAATCTGTTCCAACTTTCTTCACGGAGCGTCAAGTCTAGCAAAACATAACCCCTACTTAGAAGATTATAGCCCCCAAGCAGAAATAATCATGAGATACAAGTGTGATTATAATGAAACAATTCTATAATGATAACTATCAGAACAAGTTTAATTTGTCTAGCGTAACCATCTAGATTCGCAATTCCTTTGATGAATTTACCCAGCCTCGCGGGCCGTTCCGCCGTTCCACGAATCTCTGTCACAAGACGGTGCTCTATTTCAAATACGAGGATGGAATGGCTAAACTGGTGCGGGGTCCATGTCGGAATCTATACCTAGAAAGGTGGCCAATGATTGTTTCTGCCTAATGTAGTTTATCCAGTAAGCACTCCGAAACGATTTCATTGAGAAAAGAAACGTATCAAAAACCATAATTTGAATCAAAACATTGCGGAGTTTATCCAAAAGGAGGAAGGATTAGGATAATCTATTTTCTCCCACGAAACTTTCGCTGCGAATCTTAAAAACAATTTAAATTAAAGGTCGTACTTGGAGTATTTATACAAGCTAGGCTCCTGGCTAAATACTTCTGGGCTTAACTTGGATCATTCATTCTTCCAAACAATCAACAATCGGAATCTCAACAACAATGAAGCTCCTCGGGACGAAAGCTGGCCTGGTGACTAGCATAGTCTTGCTCACATCAGTGCCGGTTGTCGTCGCTGACTGTGCTCTTCCATCAACTTATAGTTGGACATCAACTGGCGCTCTTGCAAATCCCAAGTCTGGGTGGACGGCAATCAAGGACTTCACCAACGTGGTCTTCAACAACAAACATTTGGTCTATGCATCAACCTCCGACGCAAATGGGAACTATGGCTCGATGAACTTCGGGACCTTCTCAGATTGGTCTGGCATGGCATCTGCAAGCCAAAGCGCAACGAGCTTTTCAGCTGTTGCGCCTACCTTGTTCTATTTCCAGCCAAAGAACATCTGGGTCCTAGCCTATCAATGGGGCTCAAGCACTTTCACCTATCGAACATCAAGTGATCCTAGCAATGCCAATGGATGGTCATCGGAGCAAGCCCTTTTTTCAGGGAAGATCTCTGGTTCAAGCACTGGCGCCATTGATCAGACTCTTATTGGTGACTCTACAAATATGTATCTTTTCTTTGCGGGGGACAATGGCAAGATCTACCGTTCTAGCATGTCTATTCAAAGTTTCCCTGGAAACTTTGGAACAACGTCAGAGGTGGTGCTGAGTGATACTCAGAACAATTTGTTTGAGGCAGTCCAAGTATACACTGTGAAAGGCCAAAACAAATATTTGATGATTGTCGAGGCAATTGGATCACAAGGGCGGTATTTTCGTTCATTTACTGCCAATAGCCTTGGTGGTTCATGGGTGGCTCAAGCAACAAGCGAGAGCAATCCCTTCGCCGGGAAAGCCAATAGCGGCGCAACCTGGACCAACGACATCAGTCACGGCGACTTGGTTCGGTCTAATCCTGATCAAACCATGACCATCGACCCATGCAACCTGCAATTTCTCTATCAGGGACGAAACCCAAGTTCTGGTGGAAATTACAATACCCTACCCTGGCGGCCGGCTGTGCTCACCTTGAAGAACTAGATGAGATTTGGTACTAAGAAGGGAGAACGAAGCTGTGTATACGAGACTCTGATGGTTGTGAGACAATGAATATGTGAATTCAAAATTTTATGGAGAGTAATTCATTCATGAGATGTACGTCGGCGGACAAATATGGAACGCTCAGGTCCAATTTTATTACTATTTTCTGGCTAGCTTCAATGTAAAACTCACCGGTCAATATAACCTTGAAACGTATATTCTATCATTTGAAAGATACCGCTGTAGGTTTGGCGTTAATATGTCTTTGTTATGTATCCTTTGACATGAGAACTTCTACTGGAGCTCTACTAGTAGTACAAAAGTACATTCACCACTGGCAGGTCATATTTATGAATTATCAACAGTACCCAAACTATCAAATACTATTTCCTATTCAAGCACCCATGAAAAACTCCCAAGTCGCATCCGGAGCAAGAGAATTCCCAACGCCAAGGGGTGCAGCGTCGTGTCCTCCATCATAGGCAATAAACGAAACTGGCTTGGAACATCTTTCAAAGTCCGTTCGAACGAAACTATTGCTCCCGGGACCAGGTTTACCGATGTCTTTTGGCTGGCACCCATTATTCCCAACAAACTTATTCGCCAGACTCAAGCCCCCGTCAAAGGGTAGCACTGGGTCGTTGATCCCATGGATACCCAAATAAGGGATAGGATCATTACCCCCATCACACCCGCTGATGACCCCACCGCTCAACACGCTCACTGCCTTAAACTCCTTCGCCCGCGAGCAAGCAAGCGCATAGCTCATTCCCCCGCCCCAACTGAATCCCGTCGCGAAGCGAGAGCTGGAGTTCACACAGAGGTCATCCTCAACCTGCTTGATGATCGCGTCTATGAAGGATACGTCTTCGCCGTTGGTGTTGGCCCAGCCAGCGTTCCTGCCATTGGGGGCTACCAGAACCGCACTGCCTTGCGCTCGGCTTTCGAGACCGTACCAAGGTTGAACACTCTCACCGCTGGTTACAGAGTTCATGTTTCCGCCTCGCCAATGGAGGCCGAAAATGAGGTGATATGGTTTGTTTGAGTCGTAGTTTTCGGGGATCTTGAGGATGTACTCGCGGTCATTGATATTGTGAACTCCATTCGTGAGGGTCGGTTGTTTGCCGCAGCCCGAGGATGTGGCGGCGTCAACTGAGGCTAGAAAGCTCAGGGATAGGAGAGAAGGAAGGAAGATCATTGTCAATCGACAAAGAGACAAGACAACGGATAATGAAACTCTTGTCAAGTAAAATTATAGATTTTGTCTCAATCTTCGAGATTCCAAGGTTGTTCGTGAGTGGGAAGATAAGAGAGTAATTTGAAAATCCACAACTATGAGTATGTACTTGTATTTATATCCTCAGCTCTTAATATTAGATGACTCAGATTAAGATGATAATATGTTCACCGAAACTCCCTTCCTTGACTATAATGATGCTCTGCATGATACACTTTCGGTAGGAGACCCCTATTTCTCCGAGTATCATGCGAGGCCTTTGTTTTACTTGATGTAACTAAAGCTCTGCCTAGACCCTAGCCGGGTAAATTCCGTGCAGTGACCCGTAATATCTTTTACACAATGGTATCTGACCGGGGAGGAAAGAATTGCCAAGGTACAGGGTTGTTGACCCTGTTTCTTCAGTCCCCGCAATTTACTAAGAAATTAAGTAACTAGTTTTACTCGTGGATCACATTCCCACCCCCCTTGTTGTGTATACTAAGGACCGACGCAGGTGTTGCCATGAACCTGGTCAAACTCTGGATAAATAGCTATAGCTCGCTTCAAAACGCCCCACAATTTTTCTATGAGCGTTACAAGCGTACAATACTCTCGAGCAGGCTATTATGTCAACTGTCAGAGGGGTAAATTGCTGCGAAGTCCAAACAGCAATAGGAAATTTGCGAGCCCTCAAATTTCTATAATAAACTTTGTAAGACATTCGGACTTTCATCGGTAGAAGTAATATGGTAACACGTAGAAGACAACCCCTTGAATCGTTTCCACCGATCATATTTAGCACACTAACACTTTCAATCCAACATGTCGATCAAATTGCCATCCTTGAGACCAGCCCGTGCACATACCCCGCTTTCCGGCGTAGTACTTCATTTGACTCAATCTGTAACAGACCCTGTAAATCGAAGGATTCAACTGATTTCGCCAAGACCCTCGATTCTTGATCTACCAATCATAAAGCCCCCAGTCATGGAATAAGGATTTAGTATTGACATGCCAAGGCTCTATCGGCAAGTAGGGTCATTGCCTTTGCCGAGATATTTTTCTCAGTAATAGAGAGCCCATGTCAATGGCATCGATCATACCCTTTTATATTTATAGGAAATGGTGTGAGTTGATCCAGGAAAGGTGTAACGATCGAAGCTCTCTCGGTGCCTGAGCACGTGCCTAAACACGTGACTCAGACAGCCGCTCAAGTGTAGATAGTTGCGAAGGGAGCTTCTCTCCTTCTTCTCTCGCTCAGCTTAATATCTTCGTTCAATACTACTGCTACCTTTCAAAGCATCCGAGTCCTTACATAGTATTAAGCTCACCCCATTCTCATTCCCATTCCCCCTGAACACCTGAGGTTGTACAGACGCGCGCTTGCGCGACGTCTCAGCCACTCAGGACTGTTCCATCCAATCAGACCCACGAACCGACCGATCCACGCGCCAACATGGTCCGTGATCATTCCACGAAGCCTAAGAGCAGCGGCTCGAAGGCACGAACTGAAGAACCTCGTGTCGAAGAGGTTAGTGACGACGCTAACGGTCGCTCCGCTCACGACACGACTAAGTCTGAAGCCGAGGATGAACTGACCACTCCTACTCTCGAAACCGCGAGAAAGGTGACCACTGCCGCGGTCGACAAGGGCAAGCAGAGAGATGACCGCCGCGGTTCATTCTTCATCTCACACGAACGCAGCTTTCGCGAATTCACGAACCCTGAAGACCTTCGGACATACCTCCAGGAAGATCCTGAACACTTTTATCGTCTGATCAACGATCAGGCTGAAGTCACTAATCGACACACTACTGATCAAGAGGCTCTCTCGGAGATCCGCGAACAGGTCAGACAAGTTATGAATGATTTGCGAGAAGCTAATGAAGATCGCGACCGTCTGCGAGAGGAACTCCGCCGGAGCCAGCAGCCTGAAGAAAGAATCCCTCATCGACTCCGTCGCGCTCGAGAAGCGCCTCAGCCACACGTGCGCTCTTGCTCTCGCTCTCGTTCACTGCATCGATCACTCCATCGATCACACCGTTGCTCCCGCTCTCGATCCCGCTATCGCTCACGCTCGCGGGGTAAGTCTTCGAAAACCTACAAGCTTGCTGATCCCCCCTGTCTTTTCTGATGGAACTGGTGATATGAAGTTCCGAAGCTGGCGTACCGCGATGGAGGGTAAGCTGCGAGCTGACAAGGATCACTTTCCGACCGTGGAGCTCCGTAAGGCGTACGTTGTGCGCCACCTGAGCGGCGCCGCGTATGACCAAGTTGTTTCAGGGCTGAGCATCTTTGACGACGACGATGACAACGATAGAGACAATCCCTCCTTCGACGACGGAGACGACATCTTGGATTACCTGGAGAACATCTACGGAGACCCTGTTCGCCAAGAGAGAGCCGAGCACGAGCTTGAACAACTGAAGATGAAGCCTACGGACAAATTTGCTATCTTCCTTGCTGATTTCACTCGTCTGGCCAATGATGCGCAGATCCCTAACCACAAGCGAGTGCGACTGCTCCAGCGGAAGGTGAACGCAAAGCTACAGCACAAGCTTATTGGGAAGGCCACTAAAGCAGGCGTCACCTTCAGTGAATATGTTGACAAGGCTCACCGCACTGCTGCTCTTCTGGATATAATGGATGCTGATGAACAAGCTCGAAAGTCTCTCAACCCGAAACCGAACGCCAACACCAACGCTAATCAATTATTGTCTCGAAACTAACGATCAGGAACCCTTTCCTCCTCCTCCTCCGCCGCCGCGACCGGTAAACCTCCTCCTCCCACTCTTGACACGGCCCGAACGGCTCAAGCGGAGAACCGAGGGACGTTGCTTCGAATGTAACGAGACGGACCATAGTGGCAAGATTTGTCCGAAGCATGCGCTACGCCTCTCGAAGGAGCCCAAACCTATTGCTGCCGTTAACCTCATTGACATGGAAGCACCTGCTCCCCCTGCATTCGCTGCCGATGCGGGAAAAGCCTAAGCCTGGTGAAAGTCTCCTTACCAGGCGGACCGGAGGTATCCCTAATGGATCTGGATCTATCTCAAGTAATGACCGCAAAAGCCTTTGTATTGAAGCCACAGCTAGTTGACAATGAATGATCATTCTGAATTTCAACCCTTAGAGACACCGGAGCACAAGGATTCGTGTATATCAAGACCCTGTTGGTAGCACAGTGACACTTGAATAGTGGCATATATATTGAAACGTTTGATAACCTGGTCCCTGTGAAGTGCTATGACGGATGTCCTGGCACACCAATAACCCACTTCGTCCGCTTTACACTGCATATTGACGGACGGCGACAATTGCAAGTCCCCATGATGATCACCGATCTGGGGCAATGAGATGTTATTCTTGGGCGGGACTGCGATTACTTCCTGGTTCTCGCCGATTGTCATAATAACCGATTGATCTGGCCTGATGAGGTGTCCTTGCTAGCCGAGGTTGCAACGAAGCTCGTTGTCCTAATGCCTCGCGCGATATTAAAGGGGCTCGCTATCAATGCTGACCACCAAGCAGATGCCGATCGAAGAATTCTATTGATTAAATCAAAAGCCTCGCAAGAAAAAGATTACCGACAAAGGATGGAGAAGATGGATCGAGCGCTCTATCAGGACGACGAAGAGGTCCAAGAGGATCTGACAGAGACAGAGTTTCCGGCCCAAAAAGCAACTACCTCCTCCTCTGGTCAAGTAATTCCTCGCTCCCCCTGTCGAGATTGCTGCTATCAGAGCTGCAGGTTTCCGTCGCCATATGGATAAGGAGGGCACAGAAATATTCATGACCTCTCAACGGGATTGATCGAATTTTAGAGGACAAGCGTAGCCCCCGAGAGCTCGAAAACGAAGAGAACTGGAAGCTGATCCCCCCCCCAAACACCACGACTTCTTTGACGTCTTATCAGCAATCGAATCAAATGAGATGCCGCCATATCGACAGGGCGCAGATCCCCAAATTCTGCTTGAAAAGCTCACTTGGGCACTACACACTCTGAGATTGAATTAGCTGGTTCGCATGGTTAATTGAATTACTAATCGTCTTTCTAAATGCATCGATCCATGTTGTCTGATAAGACTTTGTCTTTGTCTATGTACATGATTCATCCAACACAAAATCAAGGCGCCTGATTTGCTCCATTTCCTGTACCTTCCTTGTACTTGATAGAGAGAACCTAGATTATTCAATATCTTAAGTATGAATATGTGGCCTTTCCCAAGGGTCTTAATTTCCCCTTTCAAAGCCAATGAATAAAATTTCTTGGCTTGCATAAAATTACCCTTATAGCGATATAGAATACCAAGATCGTTTATGGTATTTAATATAGAGAAATACTTAGGACTAAATACCTTAAACTTCCCGGACAGGGCCGTATGGTAAAATACTTTAGCCTCTTCTACTTTACCCTTATAGGTATAAAAGCCTCCAAAATTATATATTATTATTAATGTAGATAGATGCTTAGTGCCGATAATTTTAAGCTTGCCTCTGAGAGAAGAGCTATACATTAAGTCTGCTTTGCTTAATTAGGATTAATGAGCGTAAAGTGTCCCGAGATTGTTTTTTGTATTAAGAATGGGGAGGCTATTTGGTGCGAGTACCTTTTTGTAGCCTCTTAAGGCATAGAGATACAAAGCTTCCGCCTTTTTATATAAATAATGATTAGTGTATTGATTGGTAAGTATAACTAGGCTATTAAGCTTTAGTAAGTTATTGGAGCTCTTATTTCTAAAGGAATATAAAGACTGAGAGGGTAGTCTGGAAGGGCAAACTTTATCTGTACTTCTGATATTTGTTTTGACCAGGGAGGTTAGTTTAAAGGCTATAGTACTAAGTAAATAGAGCTATATTCGAATACAAGATATAAAAAAGATAGTGTGCCCAAATAGCTACTAGGAAACCGCTTTTTAATAGAAAGACTATATAACGGAATAATAATAGATACCCTGATTTTTTATGCTTGGTATATCTTAGTCTTAGGATCCGGATCTATGAAGGTCCAGTACTGGAATATATTCTACTTTGATTACAGTGCTAGATTAACAAAAAAAAGTGGGGCATATCTACTATACGTAATTAAATCATATTGTTCCAAATGACTAGGGGTAAAAGATTGTCTTAAATCCGGATCCTGCCCTCCGTATTTTTCAACTATTAACCTTACAAGCTTCTTCTTATCTCTTTCCTATGGTAGAATTTGCTTACGGTAACTAATAGATATAGTAAGATCGATAATCCTACCTAATATACTTTTAAAGGGTTGCTTAAATAAAGAATAAAATCTAATAAAATAGATGCCAAAGTTAAAGTAAGTATATTAAACTCTGTATTAGGGCCTTAATACGTTCTGATCTTCGAAATTTATAGGTATACTTTCCCCTATTATGAGCACCCCTCCAGAAAGTACCTAAGCTGTTAGAAAATCAAATAGTCTGGTAAGGGGTCAATCAGTATAGGGAACTACTTTGGTTAATCTACTATTATAATAAAGAAGTTAGGTTTTGAAGGCAATATAGCCGTACTCTCTAGACTAGGAATAGCTTCCTATACTAATATAGTTGGACTTTTAGAAGCCTTTTATGATAAAAGTATTTTATATTTTGTCTATAATTACTCTAGATTTACTTTCGATTTGTTCTAAGTTACTTCTACACCATCTATAAGCTTCACCGAGCCAGATTTATCTTATATCTCTAAGGGTATTCTAAAGGGTCTTGAATTTATTTATAAAAGTTTGAAGATAGGGTATAGCTATATCAGCGGGAATACTACTCTTTTATTTAAGAACAGCGATATCAAAATTGGTAGTTAAATATCTTCTGTTTCCCTATATTATATTAAATCTGATATCTTACAGCCAATATCGGTAAAAGTATGCTTTTTCTAGGTCTTGACAAGAATCTGGACCTTGAGAAAAGAATAAAACTTAACCTAGAAAATATCAGCAACGTCATAACTGAGCTTAGCGAGTCTTGTATATTATAGAATCTAGCGACAATAAATTTACTCTCTAACCTTTCCTAATTCGGTATTCATTTTGTCAAAAATATCTCTTTAAGTTCTTATTCTTATATTTTTGAAGTAGGAGACTCTACCCTATCTTCTCTTACTCTATGATAGTGGATTCATGAACTAACAATATCTAGTACGCTTTTCTGTAGTAGGTGGATAATGAGATGGGAAGCTGGTCTCTTTTCAGATACTACTTGGAGACAGTAGCTTACTTTGGGGTCTGGGTAGAAGATATAGGGCATGGATTTATATGATCTGGATTGCTATATATAAGTCTAAAAAATAGAGATAGAATATCTATCTTGAGGTTATTAAATTGATTATCCTTCTCCAGCATATAATTTCCAGTAAGGCAGACTGTAATTATATATCGACTTATTGACTTACTCAAAATCTTACATCTAGTGATCTACAGTATTATTGAAAAATTTAAGACCGAAGAGATGCAATTAGCTCAGACTAAAGAATAAGCTCTATATATGCTTGATTGGTGTCATGTTCCAGTATGGCATCATAGCCATATGCACGTATTCCGGCCTGCTTCCGCGGACGATTCTCATTGTTTAAATTGACTATATCAACTGCAGAGGCCGCGCTCATAACATAGATTCAGTATAATGATCTATTTTTTCTGGCACCTGATCTCTGTTAGTATTACACTTATTATTGTACAATCTGGTAGAACATCGCTACTGTAGCCTAATAGGCCTTGTAAAGATGTACGTATTCAATCTCCGACTAGCATATTATACACCTAAGCTTTGAGTGAAAATTTTCCGTATTACTTATTATCAAACAAGATATTATCTATTTCTACGACTACTGTATACTATAAAGAAGAATCTAGATCCAATATCTCAGGAAGTAAGACATCTACTGCCTTTTGCGCTGGATCCGAGGTACTATATGTCGAAAAAGGACCGAGTTCTGTGTCTTTATACCTCCTTAAGTCATAATTATTGAAATTTGATTCTTACTTTCTACAGTATACCACAATCTCCCTAGCAAAATACGCCTCTATACTATGCAGAGACTTACGGCCAGTGCTTATTAGCTCTAGGCAAGAATATAAGGTAATTCTCGGTGGCTCCCCCAAGCGCTGAGACAATCTTTGCCCCTATATCTGCTCCTACCTCAATCGCAAGTGATATAATAACCAATCCAACGACAATACTATCAGTAACTTTAACCGCTGGAGCACTAGCAACGAAAGATACGATATTGGTAATAAGAGTATCCCATGTATTATATAATACTATGGCTTCAATGGTAATAGTGTCGATGGCTTCGATTTTGATGCTCGTTTTTGACTGGCAACTACCGCCATTACCCTTTACCTAGATCAGTTTTATAAAGCAAAATATCTCCCTGAATTCAAATTGGCATTATTATTTAGTATGTACCAACCTTCAAGATATCAAAAACTGTCCTATTAGATCATTCATTTCCTTTTCATTCTCAAAACCTTCTGCAGGATGGTGAATAATAATATCTTGCTCAGAATGGTCCAGCACTATCTGTTTTTTTCGCCAGACTTAGGAAGCAACTGGTGTATTGAGGGACGTATACATAAATCTAGTCTCGAAATTAGCTGGAGCAATGTAAAAGTGGGTACCCTTTGCTTTCGTAGCTCGATTACCCAGATATTAGTACAGGCCATTAATTTAAGGGACCCCACACTGCGAAGATGTGTATTTAATTTGATATATTAGCTAGCAATATACACATCTAGCATTAAGATTGAAGTATACATTTTCACAGAAGGAAGCTACGATAACATGAGAGTTTCATTGTACTAAATAATGTACACATAGACCTTTGTCTTTATATCGGGAGACGAGGCCCGATCTAGGAACATGTATTAAAGCGGAAGAAGCAAAAAAAAGGTTGAAAATAAAAGGCTGTGAGTATAGATATACCATCCTGCGATAGATTACCAACATTGAAGTAATAAAGGCTCCGGAAAAGCCATTCATCTCATTGGGTGGATGGCAATGACATTCCTTCAACCGGAATATACCTGCGATCTATCTTAACTCGGTGATGTAGCTCTTTATCCTGCTACACAAGAACAGGACAAGAACAACAAAATGACCTCAAGCAGTCACTTCCGGCTGAACCAGCAATCTGGAATTCCTTTCTAACTTTCCATCTTTGCCATGCAAGGGGTATCTACCAGAGGCCATAACAGGCCAGCAGCGAGTATATACAGTACTAGATAGATTGTTAATAATTAGAATCAAGAGATAGTAAGAGCCCAATCCATACATTTGAATTGTAGGAACGGTGGTTTACGCGTTCATCTGACAAATGGCGTTTATTGATAGAATCTAGTCGTGAGGAAACTCTACCAAATATAAGGTATGGTAGGAATGTGGCGCTGCAGCCTTCCAATTATTATCTCTCAGCTGAAGCTCGAACTTACAGGGACATCAAATAGACTTATATGTTCCAGCAGGCTCACAACAATCCAAAAATTGATATTTCCAGGCTTGACCAGTAGGCCTGGTGTTACTTGGAAGAGTCGACATATTGAAAGTTATGAGAATTCAAGGGTATGGCAATCATGCACTTTACTGACCGAAATTATGTCACCTATCTATGTCACCTATAGAGGACCTGGCGCACTAACATATATCTGGCGAGTATCATATTTCATTTGCTTCATGTCCTGTTTCACTTTCATGTCCTGTTCCATTTTCATGTCCTATTCCACTTTCATGTCTGTTCCACTTCCATGTAGCTCGGGTTTTGTCCGACAATCTAGGGGCCTAATACTTATTTCGCGGGGCGATTCAACGATATTTGTATCACTCGGGATAATACACAGCCCCACTCGAATACGGGTCTGTAGTACTGGAAGAGAAAAAGATCGAGTAGCGGAGAATCGTGTAGTAATGCTTCATAGTGCATTCGACGTATAAAGATAGCTGCTGGGTTCAATGTAATCTCTTATCGCAGGAACTTCATTTTCAAACTGCCAACCCCGTCAACATGTATTTTGCAATCCCCGCGTTTATTACGGGCGCTTTGATACGCACCTCCCTAGGAGGAGTCCTGCAGGTTATTGACGAGGACCGTGTGTGTAAAATATACTCTAATAATGTCGATGGCTGTACCGGCTACTCTGTATCATTCTCAAAGCTAAACGGAGAGGATTGCTTAGGTATGTATAGCAAGCTTCGGGTCATGAATGACTAAAGTACCGGAATCACTAATAGTAATCATTTCAGATATATCTGTGGCCGTTAATGGCACTTATATTGACTTCTCTTATCTTGATGTCGCAGTATGTGGGCAGGTGAACGGCAAAAATATCGCTTGGATTAGGGTGAACGAGACGGGAGAGGTTACCTTCTTTAATCAGAATGGTGTGAAAGTCAAATGTAGACTTGATAATGGACTCAGTACTGGAAGCTCGTGTAGCGTTCCTGACTTCTACCCTTTGGCTGTTTCGAGCGTTAATATGCCTTCAAGCCCCGCAACACCAAGGACTTTGACGGCTGAGTCGGGTTCGTCCTTAACGATGACATCTGATTCGATCTCGACTACTAAGTCAGACTTATCTTTGGCTGATACTGCTGGGTCGGTCACTGCTACTGATTCAGACTCGTCTTTGGCTACTAGTGCTGGGTCCACCACGTCTACTATGTCCGATGCCTCTGGTAGCTCTTACACAGTATGATATTGACTACATGGAGTACTTGGACTTTAGTTGGACAAGCTGAGTGGAGAACATCGTACTGTTTTCTATTCTGAGGCTCAAATGCTTCGTTGTTTTATTTACTGTTGAATTCTAAATTGAGTCTGCTCTTTTGTTGAAATGAAATTCCTTCATGTATGTCCGAATGATTTCAATGAGCGCTCTAGTAAATAACTACCTCGAGATAGCCGCTACCTTTCCTGGATGCAATTTAGGACTGGCTCTTTTGAATGAGAGTATGGCCGTTGATTCTTGATGTTTACTGTAGTAAACATTACAGTAACAACGCGGAGAGGCTTATCTTCACATGATTAACTACCAGCACGGTTCCTCTTTAGATATGGCTTAACATTCATCAGATATGCCTTACAACTTCAAACCGATTCCCAAAACATCGGCAACCCTGAAGATTTTTATTTCCTGCTTCCCCATTTTCCAACCATGGAATTTCATTTCTCAACTGCAGAATATTCTTTTTTGATGCATCGAAGCGCTTCCCATCTATACAGTAAACTATATTCGAATTATATTGTACTTTCCATCCATTCCACCGTCATATGTAGCCTCAAGTGCTTTTGTGTGAGGCTTTCTGGAAATCGCCTTCAATTTTCAAATTGACCGCATGTATCCAAGTCTGATACCATATCTCATCTAAGCGCTTCAGACCTTTGCGTCCCATAAATGCAAATATGAGCTCTTTTCGCAACCAGGACGGGTGGAGTCGTTTGCGACCTTGATTATAGTACATTCCGTGCCACTGAGAGTCTTCTGGTAGTGCGAACTTGATGTTTTCCTCTAAAAACTTGACTTGGGCATCTATTTTGCTCGAAGAGACGCCATGCTGTCTGCTAATGACATTTACAATACGTAGTAAGTCATGTTTTATAAAGATAGACCATGAGATTGCTGTCGGGTACTGAATCTGGAAAGAGAGCGCCGAGCCCATATAAAAGGATTCGTTGACATATGAAACTTTCTCTACAATATAGAAGCGCTGTAGGCAAGTGAAAAGCGCTGTAGGTAAGTGAAAAGCGCTCTAGGTACGCGAAAAGTGCAAAGCCCTGTTATTTGTGACTGCAAACTAAGGAAAAGTAAAAACGCTCGAAAGTAAACGGGGTTTTTGGGGCTCTAAAATGGCTTGGTGGATTTTTTATTTCTGTGCCCTGTTCATTTCAGTTTCCTGTTCCGTTTCTGTTCCTTGTTCCATTTTTGAACCTGTCTGATGTATTTAGGCGGCCCACAGTTGGTCATATAAGTGCAAAAATCCTTTTATTCACCTCCATCGATGTTTTCCTGGTTGTAATACCACACACTACTTGAAATTGTGCAATAAGTCTTTCATTTAAAGTTAGTATATGTAAATCGATCAAATACGAGTTTTGTAAATTGACTTATTTTCTCTCTAGTATGAGGGGTACCATATCATAGTCATGTGTCTCATGCCACCAGTATGCTACGAAAACAGTCAATATCAAAATACTTCCTCGCGACCCTGGATCATTCATTGTCGCATTGTGGTCTTTTTGCCTCCCTTCAAAGCGTCGAATCAATCTCTATACCCTGTGCAAACGCTGTATTGATGATTAAGGATGGTATACTTCACAGGAACAATTGATGGTCATTTGCAAGAAGCAAGACCAGTTTTTCCACGGTGAAAGCTTACCATGGGTCAAACAGCAATGGAATTTCTGGCTTTCCTGTTCAGAAGTTCAGAGAATCAACGACGCGGCAGCACAGGACGGATCGATTATTTTTAATCTTTGTGTTAGGGCGGCGATAGCGTAGCAAGTTCTCTAATGCCCTCTTTACTGATAGGTTAGTCGTGCTGCCTCTTCCTACTTTGGGCACACGCGAGACATCAGGGTTTATATTGGTTTCTTGGTTGAAAATATACAGTATAGTAGTGAGAACTGGCTTCTAAAGCTGCTATAAATATATATTTTGAAGATTTAAACTTTTTGTTATGATCTCGGCCTTGGAACTACTGAACATTCACTTAGCCTTTATATTGGAATATTTTATATAATAAATCAATGCTATAGGCTGATCCTGCTTCGGGCACGCAAGCCTTCTTTGGAAACACGTAATAAGAACGAATCGGATCCATACAGTATAGTCTCTGTATATCTCAATCATTGCAGAGAACTTATTTGGATTTCGATAAGTCGCGCAGGCACGCACTTTGAAACAACGCTGAGATGCATCAAATGTCGGAATATCTACCAATACGAATAATGAAGTTGGAGATGGTATGAGAGCTGAGTTTCATTACACAATTCTCTTCCTCCGCACGATCTAGGAATGTAGTTGGTTTATATCCAACCACACCGCGCGGGGAACTATGAATGGAACCCTATCAAAGCATCTAAAGATTTCTCTGACTCCTTTGGATTGGGGCTGGATAGTAAGACTTCTAGTAGAGTGAGTCCATGCGATGGCGACAAAGAAGTCTTTTGGAGTGAATTACCAATTTACGGCTGAGAAACGACCAAAATCCAGAGTGGTCTGCTGAGAAAATGTAAACCTGCCCTGAATCTCGGATTCGGATACCCAGGCAAACATCGGCCCCGCAAAGTTCGCTGTACTCATGCGACTTCTTCTCGAGATTGAGCTTGCGCCGGTCACGCTTTTGTCGGATATATTTTTTCTCCACGCCCGCCTTTTTCGATTGATTGTGAAGTTTTCCAGCCATGTTTATACGAGCTTGCCGTGGAGAGATAAAAGAAACAAAATAACGCAATCTTTTGGAATTAGTTACATGAGAAGGCTACTAGACCAAGTAAGGGATTTTGGGAACTTACTTAGCCGTCTCCAAAACGAGCCGCTTCTGTCGAGATCGATCTAGCGCCAGTCGGAACAGCGCGGGAAGTTAATGCTTGGGATAGAAAAGATAAACCAGCGATAACTGAGCAATATTTTTATACCTCAAGGCATGGTATGTAGAGTCATGTTCCGGAACAGAACTCTGAGTGAGTAGCAGATACTGCCGGCTTCAAGTCAGAGTGCCGTACATCGGCTATCCTTACAACACAGGAGGGCATTTGCTCCACTGTTCCAAATCTGTAGTCATTGATGGGAGGTAATTTTTGAACTTCTTCCAGGTGATTAGAGGCTAGGGCCAAAGTGATGGTTCTGTTGTCCAAAGATTTCTTCGACCCAATCAAGGCATTGCTCAATACCTGACTAATGTGGTTTATTGGGGTTTCCTTTTTTGGCCTCTGTTCCATTTCTGGCCTCTGTTCCATTTCTGGCCTGTGTTCCATTTCTGGTCCCTGTTCCAGGGTTTAAGGTTTACTCACATCTTTCTAACTAGTTCCTGTGCATTTATGTAGAATGCCATGTCGCGTATTCACAACAAGTGCGGCCATGAACATGTCTGAGTACTGTACAGTACGATTCAAGGTCAGTGAATAATCTTCAGTCTGAAATCTCAAGTCTAACTCTAGAATGTACGAAGTATCTTTGAGTCCTCCGTCATTTCTCTCCAGGTCCGCCCGAGTGGAAAGGAAGTCCATACAGTGGCGACCGGTACAGTACACATTGCATTCCATGTTGGGAACATAGATTCACGCTTTCAATTCCTAATCACATGAAACGCTACAGTAAACCTTATACTGTACTGTATGGATACTTCCGTAATGGATATTTTGTTCCAGGTTTGTATGTCTGAAAATAGCCGCGTCCCAGGAGCCCTAAGAATATTCTCCCCACGATTGCATCGTCCGCTCACACTCCTTCTAATATACTGTAGATCCCGGCGACCTGAACTAGTGGGTCGCTGGGAAAGAAAGCGTCTATCTCAGGGGGGGTAAACTATTTTCGAAATCTTCCGTAACTAAATTCTGAAACATAAGCCATTAGTCAAATCAAGGCAGAAAAGAAATTTTGATCACAAATCATCGTCTTCGAAAAAGAAAATCCATGAGGTCACGCCGATTACGGCCTGCAGGGTTTGGTTTTAGTGTGATATGATCACTCGCGTACGTGTGAACCCGTGGTGGAGTAGGAGCGTCTGCTGAAGCTGGTTCGCTGTTCGTCTCCCAGCTAAGAAGAGTATTGAATGATAGGGCGGCTTGTGGGTGATCTGCGCCTAATACTTTGTTGCGGAGGTCCACGCATTCCCTGAGAAGGCTGAATGCGTTAGGAGCCATCCCTAATCCTTTCCAAGTAAGGGCAAGGTTGTGCATGCTGGTCAGGGTCTCGGGATGCTCTGGCCCTAGCATCCGTTTCCGCGACCCAAGCACCTGCACCTCCAGCTTTTCCGCTTTGACTAAGCGTCCCTGGTCAAAAAGTACGGTTCCTAAACCGGCTATGCTCGTAAGAGTATCAGGATGCTCAGGACCGAGGACCTTCTCACGAACTTGGAGTGCCCGTCGGTGCATGGCCTCTGCCTCCTCATACTTGCCCTGTTGTGTAAGCACTGAACCAAGCTGGCTGACACTGGTAAGAGTCCTAGCATCCTCCAGTCCGCAAGCTCTTTCCCGAATTTGAAGGACATTTCGAAACAAAGTTTCTGCCTTAGCATATCTGCCATCACTTTCCAAGCACCCTCCTATCCTGGTGAGGAAATCATCATAATCATGGTGGTGTGCCTGAAATTCTGCGCTGTCTGCTAGATATAGTGCATGAGGTAGGTATTCCCTCCATGTTCGTCGATTGCTATGGCTGTAATCAGGAAAAATCTTGTCCAGCCGTTGAGTGGTTGTCTCTACCCATCTCGCAAATGTCCTGTGTTTTCTTAACCAATTTCGAGTAGCAAGATGTACAAGTCGATGAAGACTTAAAATGCTATCATCAACCTGTGCGCTGACAAAGGAGTATGCTTTGAGAAGACCCAATGCTTCCACTTTTCTCTTCGCTGACACTGTGGGTGGAAGAATGGTATCTGGTATCTCCCGTGGACTAATGCAGGCCATGAATGACAAATAGTCGCTGGCGATTTCATCCAGTTGCTTGATCTGCGCAAAGGAGATTAGCCAGGTCGTGGCCACTGGATTCTGGGTCGCTGTGTATCGTCCATCATCTTCAAACTCCTCGCTCAGCAGTTCTATGCTTGCCCCTTGTTCACCCAGTAGTGACATATATGTTGCCAAGGAGATATAATTTTGATTGATATAAGCCGCGGCTTGGCTGATTGCCAAAGGGAGATAAGAAAGCTTCTCAAGGAGCGCATTTGTCACATAATCATCTTCTAGTAAATCCTTCCGCATTAGTAATTTCCTCAATATCTCCTTGCCAGTTTTCTGATCCACATCGGGAACAGACACCACGTTTACTGCTGCTAGTTTCAATGCAAGCTGACAGTTGCGGGAGGTGAAGATTACACGACCATTTTCATTTCGAGGGATCATATTCTTGAGTGGTGGTGCTGTGGGGCTTCCCCGAGTCCAGATGTCCATTTCATCTGCGTTGTCGAAGACCAGGATCCACTTTTTGTTGGACTGGTTGAAGTAAGTCCTGAGACACTCCTTCACCTCTGCCGGCTCCACTTCTTGGAGCCCTAATATCTGCGCAATGGTCATGAAACCCTGTTCAATAGCCTCGTAGCTGGTACACGGGATCCAGAAGATCGAACATTCAGGGTGTCTGTCTCTCATGCGGTACGCTACCTCGAGCGCGATTTGAGTCTTACCCACACCGCCCAGTCCGGTGATGGCAAGCTTTCTCGGTCCATCTGGCACAGTGATCGAATCCTCTATCTTCTGGATTTCCTCCTGGCGGCCCACGAAATGTGGATTTCTCGCAAATGGGATCATCACGTGGGGATGTCTGCTTGCGTCTATCAAGAAGAAACGATATTTAGCAGCGGCAAACTCTGACTAGACATTCCACTAACCTTTACGGTTTGCCGGCATCTAGTACTCCAGAAAAGCCTTTGCCACTGACGCTCCGGTCGCTGCCGCATATGCCTGCCATACCTTGCTCTTGTGACTGTCAGAATAGTCACACACACCCTTGATAATAATACACGGGCCATTATCCCAGACCCCTGCCCCCTCCATCTCAATCCCAAGGACCATCTCTTTGCTGGCAATCTCATCCCGATGCTGTCCAGACTTCATGACCGTGTCAGCAGATGCAACTGGTCCGATATGGATGGAGACCGGGATGGTTTCTGAGGCCTTGCGACATCGGATTCGTTGAGCTTTGTCGCAATTGAGGTTGTTGCAGTCCTTACCTAATGCCTCCTCGCAGATTTGATCAGGTGAGTCACTTCCAAAACAGGCGCACCCAGCAGGAGAAGCATCACTATAATGCTTATGAAGATAGCGGGCATTGAAAAGAATGTCATTGACTCCCGGATGACACCACTTAGTTCTTGTTTGTTGAAGGGAGTGAAGATGGTGCTGCGCCTGGTTCTGAAGTTCACTGCGAGCATTTTCCGCACGAAGGCCATTTAGAAGAGCCCGAATCTCTCGACCTGGCCTGCCAAGCGTGTCCTTGACCCCAGTCTTCTGTTGAAGACCACCAGGGTATCGTCTGCCGAAGTCAAATTCGATCACCGAGTCACTGATGATCACATCACCAAGGAATATCTCTTGATACTCTGGTGGTGGTGGGGCACCTCCGCAGATCCCAACGACTAGAGCAAGCCTGACGCCCGGGTAGCTGACTAGCAAGCTGGATGCAACACCTGCTGCGTTTCCCTTGCCCATTCCAGGCATATAGCACAGGGCCACATCGTGCTTGCCAATCCGTCCATTCACGTATGCGTTCGCGTCGCCTCGCTTTTTGCTGTAGTATTTTCCAAGCCGATCATAGGTTTCATCAAACAGGGCTTCGACCGCTTCCGCCTCGAGAGGGAGAGCGCAGATAATTGCGATCGCAAAGTCGTCGCGGCTTCTCGGTCGCATTTTGCAGGACAGGTTTTGGAAGGGTTTAAAATAGAGATAGAGATAGAGATTCAAGCTGATTTTGGTATGTCAAACATCGATGAAAAGGCCTGGAGATGGAGGGTAAGTAGAGCTGAAGTCGTGAGAAGCTGAGGCAGTTGCGTTCGCAGTCTCACAATCTCTCCTCACCAATCATAGGGCTGGAATAGCCGCCCCGGAGAGGGCAGTGCAGATGCTGGTATCGCATCGTTATACCGGATGAGCCACCAATTGATAGTTTCATACATTTTTTATACAGGCATAATTTGGTGATTAGGACATCATAATGGCGAATTTGATATGGTGTGGGAACCGGTCGTTGTTTCCGAGGTCTCGTGTGATGGCCAAAGGCCGCTCTTGCACACAGGCTTCCTGTCTGGACTCTAGGCCTTTGTATTCATACACAGATACACAATCTCAGATATCTTTACAATGTACATAAAAAACCCGTAATATATGTGAAATATATATTGGACTTAGATTATCACGTGATTTTGTTTTGAAAGAGGATCTCTGTCTCTAAACATGTAAGGCAATAACGGCCGCCACTTGTATCCACGCGGGACTGTTGAAGAATCTGGCATCAGTCGTTGGTCCCGTCAACGACCCCATCAGAAATTATTCGGCTCATCTCGGGGTAGAAGAGACCTTTGACCAGCTTCAGTGAGATAAAAGCAATGGCTTCTGACTGAAACAGAAATTAACTAGGTCTTCAATCCGTGATTATCCTGCATATGTCGGCGTAGTCCCATCTCATGCTCAACAGCCTCGTTGCACTGGTTGCATTGACGGTCAGTCAAATGTGAATTTCTAAAATGACGCAGAAGATGCTTATGGCGAGAGTAGTGTCTCATTCCGTAGCATTGAAAGCATTCAAATGGTTTCGTATCCTCTCTCATTATCGCTTCTGCGCTTGATGTTCTTTCCTCTGGAGAGGGCGCTCTGGTGACAGCGCGGGGCGGATCATTGGGCATACTTGTATTATTCCTCGTGGGAATCGCTTGTTTCTTATATCGTCGACCTCGGCGTGGTCCCCCTTCGAGAACATCGCAATACATCCGAACAGCCTCAACAGCCTCAACAGCCTCATTTCGACGCGTCTACTCTGCCTCCACAGATAGCGTCGTCGACCAGGTTGTCAATTTTTCCAGCAGAAAGATTTGCTTGGGGAGCATATGCTCCTCCGTAAGAAGTATCTCTTTTGTTTCTTGTTCATAGAGTGCACTTCCAGCGAGCTGCCTTTCGATGTCAATGACAGCCTGTTGGCTATCAAATTCTTCTCGTACACGCTTCCGCAGGTCGTAAATTAGTCTGTTACGCGTATTTGTGACCTTCCTTTTCAACTGGTCAAGCCTTTGGAGCTGAGTTGCAGTCTTTTTCTTGCCTCGATGAAGCTTTCCGGAAAATATATCTCGTTTTTCAATTGCTTCCTTGAGCTCGGAACCTTCCTCGACACTTGCCTTCTGCTCATCGGTGAGCTCACGAGGCCTCCGCGTGTCTATCTACCTTCTCATCCTAGTGACTGCACGTATCGTCGCAGAATCAGGCTCCAAGCCCTGTATCAAAGACTGCATGTCCGTGCCAATCCGCCGTAGCAGATAGTGATTGAGAAAAGTCCGAATGTCGGTATATTTCATAATCAAGTTTATTGTACATCACTGACAAGCCTTACTAAAGTCAGTCTCTGTAAACTAATCCCGTACTAGTCTTTATCCTAGAGGTCAGGCATAAGAAAACCTACCGCTTTCGTTCAATATAGTACCGCCGCCATATCTGAAGGGATGTATAAATAGGCTCTATTTGAAGCCAGTGATTTCTCCGAACGTTTGAAATTGGCTGGATGGAGAACTTTTCGAGATGGGTTGATCACGATAGTATTTTATTTGGCCTTTGATCCCTTCAATTTTGTAGAACATATAGTTCTCAGACTTTTCAGACTTAAGTAGTATCTCTATCTACTGCCGATCACCCTCTAAAAATAGACACCTCAGATCACCTATAGAGCGAATCCTAGGAGCGCGGAAGACGTTATCGTGGAACAATATACCTAGCAAGAAGGTATGCGGACTTAACATTAATGATAGGTCATATATGATCTCGGGAATTAGGAAAGTATTTCTAGAAGAAAAGTTACAACACTAGTCATAATATTAAAAATAGTAGATAAGCTATACCCTTGAGTGATTTTAAGGTATTTCTTTGTAAACTTATAAGTAAACTCCAGCAAGATCTACGGTGGACCCCCTTTAGGATTACATTGAATTAAGCAGAGTATATACTTATATTGCAAGTTTCGCATGGTATTGATTCGATTTACAGTAAAGTAAGCCATCAGATTGTACAGACATTACTGTATTCTCTGTAATCCGGTATAAAATCTTTTTTCCATAGTTCGGAGCACTGTTTCCTGGAGAGGAACCAAATCCTCGATATACATCGGTATCTTTTCTTTCTTTTCGGTATCCAGTCCTGCCCGTAGGACAATTCTCTAAATACTCTGTACAAGAAGAAATTAATATGACTAAGAAAATAGATACGGGCAGATTTAATACCTTTCTCATCCTTCGACCCAGACTCCCATCCATTAGTTCTTTGTTAACTTTCTTGTAATATCGAAGAAAGTTCTTCCAATTAGTGTCCAGGGTACTAGTATTTTTGACTCCTTTTACCTGTCAGCCGTTCTTACCGCGCCGGACCTTTAGGCGCCAGCGCAAGAACCATGTGAATTCAGTTTTACCAGCTACTTTCAGAGCGTTATTTGGATTCACCCACTGGGGGAAGATGCCAATCCCGCCTTTCTTATACTGCTTCCGACAAAATCTGTTTAGGAGTCAGTTAGAGTAAATTTGATAATTGATTGTGTTTCTACATACCTTTCCCAAAGATCACACATTCCCGCTACATTCTCCTTGGTCGTGTCGGCATAGCCATCATCCTCGCTTTCAGACATCGTATCATCTATATCAATATCTGGATCAGTCTCAGAACTATCCTCATTGTCAAGCCCATCGGACTCATCGGAGCTCAAGATATTCTCCGTGATATTAGCCCCCACTTGAGGCTTGGTCGGACTGTTTTGAGTTTTAGCAACTCGATATTTCACCCTTTTATGCAAAGTATTAGGGGCTACATCATTGTCGGAGTCACTGCTAGAAATAGATTTTGCAAGACGCTTGCCTGCCCCATTGTCAACCTGAGAAGCACGAGAGCTTTTTCTGCAATAGCGCGCTGGAGAGCGATCTGGATTGATGAAACCAGCTTCCCAGTCAGAGCCACTACTGTCGGATTCTGGGAATAGCTTCAATATTGATTAAATAGATAATTCTTCCAGGCGATCCGGGCTCATAACTGTCGGAGCAGCTGTGGGCCCAAGTAGCATACACGAATGAGATAGCAAACAGTCTTGATTGTGAACGTCTCCGTTACCATACGATTTTGTATGGTAGCTCGGACAATCTATCTACCGAATATTACAATCACGTTACTAAATACAACATATGACAAAACAAAGCTCCACATATTCCGACAGATAACCCCGCACCAGCAATCTGACTGCGTTCCTTCCGAATGGCCTTTTGAATCAGTGTCTTGCACTTCCCTCGCTCCGTAGATGTAGAATATCGTCGTTCGATGCTATCATACTACGAACATCGTCATTCATTTGCTCTATAAGCACCATGCATGAACCTCGCGGAACGTTCACACATGGCGACTATACTGTTGGCTGGATATGTGCTTTACCTGAATCCGAGCTAGTGGCTGCCATGGCCATGTTGGACGAAAAGCATCCCGTTCTTCCGACAATTGATCCACATGATTCGAATTCCTACGTCCTTGGGCGAATTGGCGACCATAATGTCGTGATTGCCTGCTTGCCAGCAGAAACAACGGGCAGAGTGTCTGCCGCTACTGTTGCAAAAGACATGATTCGCAGTTTCTCAGCTGTTAGATTCGGGCTCATGGTCGGGATTGGTGGTGGGGCGCCATATTATGGCCCCAGGAGAAATAATGATCTCGGCACAAATAAAGAGGAGGAGGATTCCGAAGACACTGAAGAGTCCGACGATAATCAAGAGGATCTGCGAGACATACGACTTGGGGACGTGGTCATAAGCCTCCACTCCAAGTCTTCAGACGCTGTTGTGCAGTACGATTTCGGGAAGTCGTTGCAGGAAAGGGAGTTTATACTTAGCGGTGGCAAACTGAACAAACCCCCAAGCATTGTTCTGAGCGCCGTTGCTCACCTCAAGGCACAGCATGAGATGGAAGGGCATCAAATTCTCAAAACACTATCGACTATCATGTCAAATTATCCGGCGCTCGCGACAAAGTTCCAGCATCCAGGGTCTCGGAAGGACTACCTCTTTAAGCCAGGATATCTTCACGAGGCGGGGAAGAAGACGTGTAAGTCTTGTCGCAGCCTGGAAAGCAACTTCGTGAAGAGGGATAATCGACCCGATGACTCTCCACGATTACATTACGGAACCATTGGGTCAGCGGACCAAGTGATGAAGGACGCACTCCTAAGAGATAAATGGGCAAGTGAAGAAAGCATTATCTGCTTTGAAATGGAAGCTGCCGGTTAGTATAACGCTCTATTGGACTTCAAACTTCGAGATCTAACTCCTGAATAGGACTCATGGACTCATTTCCGTGTCTTGTCATCCGAGGCATCTGCGATTACGCTGATTCCCATAAAAACAAGGTCTGGCAGCCGTACGCTGCGGCGACAGCGGCATGCTATGCAAAAGAACTCCTAGACGTTATTTCGGGGCAGGGAGTTATGAATATGGATCCTGTCAAGCAAAGTATGTGGAACTTAGCTATATAATCTGTTCATCTATCAGTTTCACGAGGATGATGTATTAACTGCGTTTCAAGTCAAGAAATCTGTAAGAGAAGTCCATTCCATCGTCAAAGACCTTAGTAGTCGATCCCGGCAGCGCGAAGTCTTCAACAAGCTGCCCTACGCAGAAGGTTCTAGTTTCGATGCTTTAGATGCTGAACATGAAGCAAAATGCCACCCTAAAACGCGGATTGATTTGCTCCGTCAGATCATTGAGTGGGCGGATGACCCAAGCCAAGAATTTATATTCTGGTTAAATGGTATGGCCGGAACTGGGAAGTCAACCATTTCTCGGACAATAGCCCATCGCTTCAGGGAGAAAAATCAACTTGGTGCCAGCTTTTTCTTCAAACGCGGAGAGGGTGAGCGTGCTAGCGCCAAGAGGCTCTTCACCACCCTTTGCGCGCAGCTTCTGCTTCAAGTTCCTGCATTAATTCACCATGTTGAGATGGCTATTGATACCGACCCATATATATCAGGGAAATCGCTGAAAGAGCAATTCACCAAGCTGCTCCTTGAGCCACTTCTCGAACTGGATCAAAATGAGCCCACAGCAATTGTGATTGTGATCGATGCTCTAGATGAATGCGGCAATACTGATGACATACAAACTATACTCCAACTTTTGCCGGATATGCAGAAATGCAAATCTAGGCATGTCCGCATATTCGTGACAAGCCGCCCCGAATTGCCAATCCGTCCTGTCTTCGAGAAAAGCAACAATCATCAATGTATCGTCCTCCACGAACTCTCTAGCACCGTTGTTGGAAAAGATATTCGTGCTTTTTTAAGCGACGAATTTTCGCTGATAAAGGAACGTCGAAAACTCCCTAGTGAATGGCCGGGAGATGATGTTCTTGAAACTCTAATAAAGAGAGCAGTGCCATTGTTCATCTCCGCGTTTACCATCTGTCGATTTGTAGATGACCCAAAATGGCTCCCTAAAGAGCGTCTTTTAGCCCTTCTGAATGATCCAGCAACAACTTCAGGCTCCCAAATGGACAGAACGTACTTGCCTGTCTTGAAACAACTCCTGGCTGGTGCAGATGAAGGCGAAGAAAAGCAGTTGAAGCAAGAATTCCACGATACGGTTGGGGTTATTATTCTTCTTGCTACCCCACTTTCCGTCAATGCTCTTGCGCAGCTGACAGACAGGCCAAGGGAAATGATCACTAACCGATTAAATGGATTCTACTCGGTCCTCAGTGTGCCAGAAAATCTTGACTTGCCAGTTCGGCTACTGCACTTATCATTTCAAGATTATCTTCTAACAACGAAAGAAAGCCCTTTCCGTGTCAGTCCGGAAAAAACACATCAGAAGATAGCACTGCATTGCCTCCGCGTTATGAACGACTCCAAACGTGGTCTCAAACGCAATATATGTGGTCTGCTAAGTTACGGGACCCAGTACGAGGACATTGACCGTCAGACTGTTGATCAGCATCTTTCCGCGGCTCTACAATACTCCTGTCAGTACTGGATATACCATTTGCAACAGAGTGAAGGCCACGTATCAGAGCCTGAGGTTTTTCCCTTCTTGGAAAAACATTTCCTCCACTGGTTAGAAGCACTGAGCTTGATGGGTGTTATATCTGAGGCTGTGGGAATGATAGATATGCTGCAGCGGGCTGTTGGCGTAAGTCTCTGTGTTGTCCATACTTGAGTAATAGCTAACGCCGAGAATGCAGAAGGGCACAGATAGAATCGCCACACTTCTCTATGACGGAAAGCGATTCATCCTGAAGAACACTTATATAGCAAGGGTTGCCCCACTCCAACTTTACTCTTCTGGGCTAGTATTTTCACCAATGCAAAGCACTATTAGGAATATATTTTCTAACAGCAGACCCAAACGCATACGAATAATACCGCAAGTGGAGGATTTTTGGAGCCCAGGACTACAAACCCTTGAAGGCCACTCGCATTGGGTTTCGTCTGTGGCCTTCTCCCATGACAGCCAGATGCTAGCCTCAGGCTCCTATGACAAAACCATCAAGCTCTGGGATATCAAGACCGGCTCTGAGCTGCAGACGCTCAAGGGCCATTTATATTGGGTTTTGTCAGTGGCCTTCTCCCATGACAGCCAGATGCTAGCCTCAGGCTCCCATGACAAAACCATCAAGCTCTGGGATATCAAGACCGGCTCTGAGCTGCAGACGCTCAAGGGCCATTCACATGACGTTCTGTCTGTGGCCTTCTCCCATGACAGCCAGATGCTAGCTTCAGGCTCCAAAGACAAAACCATCAGGCTCTGGGATGCCAAGATCGGCTCTGAGCTACAGACGCTCAAGGGCCACTCGCATTGGGTTTTGTCAGTGGCCTTCTCCCATGACAGCCAGATGCTAGCTTCAGGCTCCTATGACAAAACCATCAAGCTCTGGGATATCAAGACCGGCTCTGAGCTGCAGACGCTCAAGGGCCATTCACATGACGTTCTGTCTGTGGCCTTCTCCCATGACAGCCAGATGCTAGCCTCAGGCTCCGAGGACAAAACCATCAAGCTCTGGGATACCAAGACCGGCTCTGAGGTGCAGACGCTCAAGGGCCATTCACGTGAAGTTCTGTCTGTGGCCTTCTCCCATGACAGCCAGTTGCTAGCCTCAGGCTCCGAGGACAACAACATCAAGCTCTGGGATGCCAAGACCGGCTCTGAGCTACAGACACTCAAGGGCCATCCAAATTGGGTTCTGTCAGTGACTTTCTCCCATGACAGCCAGATGCTAGCCTCAGGCTCCCATGACAAAACCATCAGGCTCTGGGATGCCAAGATCGGCTCTGAGGTGCAGACGCTCAAGGGCCATTCACGTGACGTTCTGTCTGTGGCCTTCTCCCATGACAGCCAGTTGCTAGCCTCAGGCTCCCATGACAACACCATCAAGCTCTGGGATGCCAAGACCGGCTATGAGCTGCAGACGCTCAAGGGCCATTCACGTGACGTTCTGTCTGTGGCCTTCTCCCATGACAGCCGGATGCTAGCCTCAGGCTCCTATGACAAAACCATCAAGCTCTGGGATATCAAGACCGGCTCTGAGCTACAGACGCTCAAGGGCCATTTATATTGGGTTTTGTCAGTGGCCTTCTCCCATGACAGCCAGATGCTAGCCTCAGGCTCCCATGACAAAACCATCAAGCTCTGGGATATCAAGACCGGCTCTGAGCTGCAGACGCTCAAGGGCCATTCACATGACGTTCTGTCTGTGGCCTTCTCCCATGACAGCCAGATGCTAGCTTCAGGCTCCTATGACAAAACCATCAGGCTCTGGGATGCCAAGACCGGCTCTGAGCTGCAGACGCTCAAGGGCCATTCACATGACGTTCTGTCTGTGGCCTTCTCCCATGACAGCCAGATACTAGCCTCAGGCTCCGAGGACAACACCATCAAGCTCTGGGATGCCAAGACCGGCTCTGAGATACAGACGCTCAAGGGCCATCCAGATTGGGCTCAGTCACTGGCTTTCTGCCATCTTCATGCTGAAAAAGGTCATGATAAGTATAACTATATTTCACATAATTTGAAATTTCAAGTATCTGTTTCAAATAATTGGGTAATGCTGGCTGGTGAAAATATACTGTGGCTCCCTCCCGAGCATCGTCAATTCACAGCTTCCGCTGTCAAGCAAGCCACCCTTGCTCTTGGGTACGGTGATGGAAGGGTTTTGATTATAGGGTTTCATCTAAGCAACTGAAGGCCTCAATCCGTATCCTTGCAATTGAAGAATCTCGAGTTCTCTATACAAAAGGATCCTCAAGGCAGTCCTTTCGTGCTTCTGGCCGAGGTCAGGTCCAGAGCACACGAAACCATTCTTCGGGTTTGAAGCAATGTGAGTATCTACTATTCCTTGATCTCGAAGGGCCTGATGATTGATTCTTCTTAGTAGCACTTTTGCATTCCCTGAAATTATTGATGACCCGTCGCTTATCTTCAGCACCCTCGTTTTCATCTTTGGTATACTTTTCTGGCTCCAGGCTTTTGAATCCCCAGCCCTCTCCTCTATAGAAAAACTCCGAAACCTATTTGTCGAAAGCGGTCGTCAACAGATGCTACTCCCGTTAAACCCCGAGGTGGAGCGCTATTGTATCTTTTGCAAGACTGGAGTGGTCAGCGGGCACCCGGTTCTTCTGTGGGATCAACCTATTCTTAGTGGCACCATGTCTGCTCGACTGAGAAATCTCGGGGAGATTCATGGTTGGCTTCAGTCGATGTTTGCGCACCGTATGTGCTATGGAGGTGGAAATATGCTGAAAAATAGTGATACGGCCAGTGAAGCTCAGCAGAATTTGATCATAAAGCACGCAGATTCTCGCACCCTCCAGACCATTTAAGTCACCGGGATGGGGGTTAGTTCGAAAGGGACTTGCATTAGCGGGATTGCGATCACCTCAAATACTCCCACAATGTGTTTAGCGAGATTCTTTCCGTCCAGACAAGTACGAGTATGAGTTAACCACGCCGCATGATTTGATTGAGATGGTCTGGGATCACAATTTACCATTATCGTTCTTGTTTTTACTCACTTCCCAGGCTTTCTGGGGTTAGAAATTGCCAGGGATCTACGGAGTTTAATAGATTAGATTGATGGTTTCTTCGTTAGGAGCTGATCTAACAATTGTGTATTAAAGCAGCTCACAGGCCTTGTTTTGAGCGGAGGAAAATTCCACTTTTATCTGACTAAAAAGACATTGAGTTAGATTGCACCAGGTTCATAGTCGAATGAAATTGGATTGAACTATTTTTGAAATTTACACCCCCTTAGGAAAATTGGATATGGAGAGAATTGAACGATAAGAGAACAAGGAAGAAAAGAGACAAAGACTATCGAGTCCTCGCAATAGAGTTGATATTGAATACCTTGCTGGAGAATTTCACTCAAATGATTTCAGTGTACTAGAATATCACTGTTCAACTAGACGTACATAGTGGTGGACCGCAATGTAGCCATGTTGAATATTGAGGCTCTTGTGTCTACATATTCTTGGGGGTTTGTGGCGCTAAATAAGCCCCACTGATCCCCTCCTGACCATCCTCTAATAAGGCAAAGTAACGCCCTTGCCCTGGCTCGATCCAGAAAATACGCTGGGAACTGCCATGGAGGTCCCATGAACAACAAGGCCCCTTAGGACACTGCCAACAGATCTTACTCTAGAAGTACCTTCCTTGCTATTTGCTATTTGCTTTTGACCATGCCAACCATGAACGTGTCTTTCTTGTAGAAAGTTAGTACGGAAGAGAAATAAAAGAACTTTACTGTATTAGTTTTCATCGCGGGAGCTGGTGTCACCTTTGTAGATCTTGTGTCGGCGCAAGTGCACGAGATTTGGGGATCTGGTGGAGCACGATCTCCCTCTAAGTGGGCGAATTCGATGGAAACGCCGGTACACGGACCTCGCGCTAAGGGCTGGTGTCCAACCTTTACGCGCGCCGCTCAGGCATCCTTCTGGGACGCCAAGTACTCGTGGCACTTTTCCATTGGTTTGCAATACCAGTCAGGCGAAGAGCCTCATTTGCGTGAGATAAAAGGCAGCTCAAAGTTCTTTCTAAATTGAGTTTTAGCTGTTCAGTAAATGAAGGTGCCTTCATAATGGAAGCGTTTAGTACTGTTGCTGCCGGGATCGCATTACTTAGCCAACTCGACGCATGTAGTATCAGCCTTCGACGCTTTGCCCGAGACTTTCGCATGGCCGAAGAAGATCTTCGGCTTCTTCGTTACGAGGTACAAAACTGTCGAATATTGGCCAGTATGTTCTACGACGCTGTCGCGCCACTTCCTACTCGCGTAATGCAGCAAGCCCTGGAACAAAAGCTTGATCAGCGACTCCGGCGCCAATCAAAGCTGGCTCATAACCAGATACGGGGAATCAAATTGAAGCTGAAGCCGCTATATCGAAGTGATCATGCAACTTCACTCGGCAAGGTATTAGCAAAAATCCGATGGCACTTCACCAAAGATGAACTACAACTTCCATTGGCCGCATTGGGCAGTGTGAAAGCTAGTCTCAATCTCTTGGGAACCATTGCCATGCTTGAGTTGGCCACCATCAATTACTCAAAAATTCCGGAGAGTGACCTTGGGAAAAAATCACAATTGCTTTCTAGAATGTTAGTCACCTTTCCCCTCATCCCGAAATACTAGCTTACATCTGGATCAACCAGAAAATCCTTAGAAAGACAGACATTTAGAACAGAACGCGAGCTTAAGGCATCCATAAACAGACTTGACAATATTGGAGATTTTACCAAAGCTGTTGACAACATACGACTCATTGCTGTGATTATCAAAAACATCGAAGGACCGTCTATTGAAAATGCCAGGGCTGTCATCAAAACTGGACTTGTTAGCTCCGATAAGTCTGGATTTAATTCGATACAAACCGAAAATCTTAGTTTACCTCCGTTTACAAATTCTTCTTTTCAACCCGCTGCTCCGGAGACCGTCAGCTCTTGCCATCTATCTACTCCCTCCCAGAATTTCTATGAATCTGCCAGGATTCGCCCTTTGGCCAATGGAACCATCAGTGGAGGAAAGGAAGAAATCCAGAACAGTTCAAGTTGCCAGATGACGGGTGCACTCGTGCCAACAAAAAAAACGGATAAAAAAAGCATTTATCATGATTATGGTGATGGTGCTCGAGAGATCTATGAGTTAGATTCATCCGACAACGATTCTCCCGAAGAGTCCGAGTTAAAAACGGCAAATTATCATCCTTTACCACCTTTTAATCCGGATGACCTTCGCGAGCTAAAGAAACGGAACATCAGACGGCGCCGAGCCTCCTCAAATGGCTCATGATAGTTTTCTATGTTTCGATCAGGACTTTTCCACACATCCCCCTCTTAACACGGCAGTCTCGCCACTCACCTTTGTCGTCTGTTGCTAGAGCGACTGCCCCCAGTTCGCGATCGCGGTCGGCGGCGTTCGAGTAGAAGACTAAAGAAACCGCATGATATTTGCAAGTCTAGTTATTTATGTAGAGGTGACTACCGCAACTTTGGTCTAACCATAGCTTTTACGACGAAGGCCTTGAAATCTGAACGAATATTCCGGAACTATTTTAGATATTGTACATGATTGGAAAAGGCCAAAATCTGGAGGTTGTCAGTCACCTATTCGTGGGCGACTTCCTCTTCGTGAGCGACCGTTAGCCGACACATGTGCTTGTTTATGACATGCAGCTCTAGCAAGCGCTCGCAAGATACGTAGCTGGGGGCAATCGCTACGTAGACGCAGACTACGAATTCTAGCTGTTGCGGGCTTGCTCAAGCTCTTCATGCTATTCATGCTTCATGTCAATGGAAGTACAAAAACGTATCTATTGTCCCCACCAAGGTTTATTTTCTGTTTAAAAGTTTTTCTCACTTCTCTGTATTGGTGGTGGATAATAAGCCTCGATCAAAGTAAGTATATGTATTCCATTGTGATCGAAGCTTCTCGAGATATACAAGATGAGGACCAAGAAAGGACCAAAATCCTGATGCCTAAGCATTCGGATTCGAGAATCGGGAAGTTATTAATTTCCTCCGCGGATACATACATCTACGCCGTATAACTTGCTGTACTCGTGTGACTTTGTTCGCCCAAAAATTCATCTTGGCTTTTCGCCGGTGTTGGGTCACGCCAGTGTTCATTTCGTTTTGTGCCTAATCTATGCGGATGTCCATCTCATTATGTATGAATTCGAACCTTGCACCCTATGTTCGATCTGTAGTCACCAGTTACACTCGCCTAACTTTTTGTAGGGATCTGGATCAAACTGAAATTGTGTTGCCTTGATTTCTATGAGACATATAGATGCTAAAATAGTTTATTGCTATGTCTTCAATCCATGTCTGTCCTGCATATGTCGGCGCAGGCCCATTTCATGTTCGACAGCTTCGTTGCACTGGTTGCATTGACGGTCATTCAAATGTGAGTCTCTGAAATGACGCAGAAGATGCTTATGGCGAGAGTAGTGTCTCATTCCGTAGCATTGAAAGCATTCAAATGGTTTCGTATCCTCTCTCATTATCGCTTCTGCGCTTGATGTTCTTTCCTCTGGAGAGGGCGCTCTGGTGACAGCGCGGGGCGGATCATTGGGCATACTTGTATTATTCCTCGTGGGAATCGCTTGTTTCTTATATCGTCGACCTCGGCGTGGTCCCCCTTCGAGAACATCGCAATACATCCGAACAGCCTCAACAGCCTCGTTTCGACGCGTCCACTCTGCCTCCACAGATAGAGTCGTCGGCCAAGTTGTCAATTTTTCCAGTAGAAGGATCTGCATTGGGGAGCATATATTCTTCTATAAGGAGTATCTCTTTTGTTTCTTGTTCATACAGTACACTTCCAGAAAGTTGCCTTTCGATATCAATGACAGCCTGTTGGCTATCAAAGTCTTCCCGTACACGCTTCCGCAGGTCGTAAATTAGTCTGTTACGCGTATTTGTGACCTTCCTTTTCAACTGATCAAGCTTTTAGAGCTAAGTTGCAGTACTTTTCTTCCCTCGATGAAGCTTTCCGGAAAATAAATCTCGTTTTTTAATTACTTCCTAGAGCTCGGAATCCTCCTCGACGCTTGTCTTCTGCTCATCGGTAAGTTCACGAGGCCTCCGCGTGTCTATCCACCTTCTCATCCTAGTAACTGCACGCATTATCGCAGAATCAGGCTCCAAGCCCCGTATCAAAGACTACATGTCTATGCCAATCCGCCGTAGCAGATAGTGATTGAGAAAAGTCCGAATGTCGGTATATTTCATAATCAAGTTTATTGTACATCACTGACAAGCCTTACTAAAGTCAGTCTCTGTAAACTAATCCCGTACTAGTCTTTATCCTAGAGGTCAGGCATAAGAAAACCTACCGCTTTCATTCAAGATAGTTCCGCCGCCGTATCTGAAGCGATGTATGAATAGGCTCTATTTGAATCCAGTAATTTCTCCAAATATTTGAAATTGGCTAGATAGTAAGCTCTTCGAAATAGGTTGATCACGATAGTATTTTATCAGGCCTTTAATCCCTTTAATTTTACAGAATACATAATTCTCAGACTTTTCAGGCTTAAATAGTATCTCTATCTGCTACTGATCACCCTCCAGAAATAAACGCCTTAGATCGCCTATAGAGCGGATACCAGGAGCGCAGAAGGCGTTATCGTGGAACAATATACCTAGCAAGAAGGTATACAGGCTTAACATCAATAATAGGTCATATATAATCTCAGGAATCAGGAAAGTATTTCTAGAAGAAATATTACAACACCAGTCATAATAATGAAAATTGTAGATAAGCTATACCCTTATGTGATTTTTAGGTATTTCTTTGTGAACTTGTAAGTAAACTCCAGCAAGATCCACAGCAGACCACCTTTAGGATCATATTAGATTAAGCAGAGTATATACTTATATTGCAAGTTTCGTATGGTATTGATTCGATTTACAGTAAAGTAGGCCATCAGATTGTACAGACATTACTGTATTCTCTGTAATCCGGTATAAAATCTTTTTTCCATAGTTCGGAGCACTGTTTCCTGGAGAGGAACCAAATCCTCAATATACATCGGCGTCTTTTCTTTCTCTTCGGTATCCAGTCCTGCCCGTAGGATAATTCTCCGAATACTCTGTACAAGCACAAATTAATATTATCATGAAACAAGATACGGGCAGATTTCAAACCTTTCTCATCCTTCGACCCAGGCTCCCGTCTATTGGGTTTTTATTGACTTTCTCGTAATGCCGAAGAAAGTTCTTCCAATTAGTATCCAGTATACTAGCTTTTTTGACTCCTTTCGCCTGTCGGCCGTTCTTACTACGCCGGACCTTTAGGCGCCAGCGCAAGAATCGTGTGAATTCAGATTTACTGGCTACTTTCAGAGCATTATTTGGATTCGCCCACTGGGAGTTGATGCCAATTCCGCCTTTCTTATACTGCTTCCGACAAAATCTATTTAGACTTCAGTTAGCGTGAATTTTATAATTGATTGCATTTCTACGTACCTTTCCCAAAGATCGTACATTCCCGCTACATTTTCCTTGGTAGTGTCGGCATAGCCATTATCCTCGCTTTCTGAGATTGTATCGTCTGTGTCAATATCTGGATCAGTCTCAGAGCCGTCCTCGCTATCGAGCTCATCGGACTCATCAGGGCTCAAGAGGTTCTCCGTGATATTAGCCCCCACTTGAAGCTTGGTCGGATTGTTTTGAGATTTCGCAATCCGATATTTCACTCTTTTATGCAAAGTTTTAGGGGCCATATCATTATCGGAGTCGCTGCTAGAAATGGATTTTGCAGGACGCTTGCGTATCCCCTTGTCAACCCGAAGAGCCCGAGAGCTTTTTCTGGAATAGCGCGCTGTAGAGCGATCTAGGTTGATGAAGCCACTTTCCCAGCCAGAGCCACTAGTGTCTGATTCTGTTTGAGATGATTCGAAACTTGCGCTCTCGTTGTAATCGTGGTTTCGGTTCATTACCATCTGTATTTATCAGCTGGGTGACCACAGAAATAGAAGGATGAAAATAATTACGATGGACTTCGGTTCTGTCTATCATGCGAATCCTAGTGCTAAACAAGACAGCCACTGTTCGTATCGAATGGGGAGTAAGTGCAGGAGCTCAAGAGGCGGTCGAGAGTGAGTGGACTCCATCGGCACGATCGAAACTTATATGTAATAAGTAGCTGCTCGCGACGACTCATTAGCAAAGCCATTGCGCCCTTGTGGGTAATCCATTTTCGGTGGCATGGAACTGAGGACTGGAATCGGAACATCATTGAGACGCTTGGGCGCCTTGGGTGGGTCGGGCTTGCATTAGCCGGTGCGTGCGCGAATGGCGACCGCGGTCGTGGCAGAAGCCACCGGGGCCAAGGACGCCATTTTCGGCGTCGAATGACGCTGAAGATGGCAGCTTCGGCCCAAATCGAAAAATACAGGAAGTAATATCTCGATTTGGGCCGCCGCCAGAAACGGCAGCTCCCCAACCCCGGTTAGCCCCCGCCCCCACGCGCCCTCAGACCGGTTTAGCGCTCTCCAGATGAGGTTTAGCCCGCACGCTATCCCTCAACGGGACCACCCTGGTCCCTTACCGCCGGGCGACTTCGCCGCCCGACTGTATAAAGGCGCGGTGCGTCGCTCTATCGTCACCCTCTTTGACTATCTCGCTCCTCCCCCCCTCCCAGCAAGCCCACCATGAATCCGATTGGGGCATTGGCCTTGGCCTTGGATGGATCTCTTTTTTCTAGGCTGACTGCTAGCGTTTCCTGGCAGCACTGTCATCCATTTCCACTCACACCATTCTTCTAGCGATACTTTGTTCTCTTGGCTAAATGACTACTCGCTCTGGTACTTACAAGGCTCTGCCGGGCCCCCTTAATATCTTGTCCAGAGCCATACAACCCGCAGTCGAACTGGACACTTCAGAATTGGATCGTATTTAATTGTTGAGTTTTCGAGCTTGTCTCAGACTCCCACCTGGCGGAACGATGCCACCCAGACCCTACAACGACGGTCAGCAGACGTGGTGCTTCCTGTATATGATTCAGTAAATCTGACCCACTGCACCTCGGGACGGCCTGGGCGACCATGTACAGCCCACGGAAATCCCCACCCCCTGTGCCACTTGTCTGCTTTGTGTAGTTGGTGCGCGGTTTTTGGCATTGGTCACGGATCGCAAATTACGTTTTCAGCTTTCTGCGACAAACCTCATAGCTTTATATCGGATCTTGAGGTGAGATGACGGATATGGGGAGGGTTACATTGTGTGAAAGCAGGAACACACGGGCCAAGCTGAATTGGAAGAGAGTCCGCTAAAGAAGCCCCTTTCTCACACGTGCCAGACATATTTGGTGAGTATGAACAGTGGATAATTAAATCATTGCCGGAAGGAAGTGGGGAAGGAGAGGCTGATTTCGGCTTATTTGACCTCAGAATCATTCACCTCTTGCTTCAAAGGTGTACTTATTTCATTCTTGAACTCCTCTGTTTCAATCTGCAATACCAGCATGCCTGTGACTCTCGATAATATCCAATTTTATGAAGGCCCTTCAAAGCCTCCCAAGCCACCGCATTCCGCATTCAGCAGCAGGGGGTATTTTACTGGCGTATTTCCGTCGTCTGAGAGACCTACAAATAATCAGAAGCACCAGCAGACTGCCGTTTTACAGAACGAGTTTGATATGGAACTGAGAAAGAGCTTGGAGGAAGAACTTCCGCCTTTGGCCAATGACGATGCCCTCGAAGGCGCTTCTTGCGATTCACTGCCGACATTTGATTTGGGTTACCAAGAGGATTTTGACAGAGACTTACCCCTTGATCGTATGTATCAACTGTAATCAGAGCTTCCCTACTTGCTAATGGTTTTTCACATAGCGCCGTTTTCAACGAGAGTAAATTGTGTCTGCGAGCCAGGCGATACAAGCCCCTCCAAACCTCCACCACCTTTTCGTCCCAGCGCCAGCAATCCGCCGCTCATCGAGACTAATCCTGTGGTACTCGTCCGGCCGGACTCTGCAAATTGGATTGGCGATGCAAACCAATCGACTGAAGTGGAAGTCGCGCGACAGAGAGAAAAGACGTTTCCTCTTAGATACCCATGCGCGGTGCGTTTCATCTGATATATTCACTTCTGTGTGTGAGCGCTCTACAGATACCTCGCCTTCTTCCCGATCAGTTTCTCTCGCAGCTGAACCCTCAGAAGAGGATTCTTTGTTGAGTCTCGCTTCGGAAGATCACAGCAAAGAAAAATATGATACGCACCCGTACGCAGGAAAGGAAGCTATGCGCGATTCGAATAGTTGCTCTGTGACCACTACTCTTCCAAGCAGCCCTGGACAAGTCACCCCGGAACGGGCGGACACGGCTGAGGCGATGGATCTTGAGTCGCCGGCTATGTCCAAGTCATTATGTATTCCGGATGAATATACTACAGGTTCGAAAAAGATAAAAATGAGAAAAGGGAGAAATGAAAGCGAGAGGACAAGCAAAAAACCATGTCACAAAGGGAAGTACCCTTCTGTTACTGTTGTCATACCCCCGTTGCGATCACGAACAACAGGAATTGCGCGATCGAATTCTCAGTCAGTCGCATTCAACATGTCTCTTTGTGGAGGCGGTGAGAGGTCTGACGATTCCTCGGAAGGGGACTTCACAACAGACAATCTCCAACCAGGATTCTCTGATAGGGAACGCATTGAGGTCTTAGATTGCAAGCACACTCGTACAAGCACAGCCTCTTCATACTAATTTCAGAGTTCTTGTGGTAGCTTACTGGAGTGTCCTAACACGAGTCGCGATTTTATTGGGCGGGCCATTCTTACAGTTGAGTCAGAAGGACCAAGGCCTACATTCTTCTTTACACTAGTGCCCGACAACATACCTTTGTCCCGTCGCCTCTCTACACAGTGTGCTCCTGAAATCGTGGCGCCGAGCAGCAGACGAAAGCAGCCGGTGACCAAATGCCGCGCCAGTCAGGTAAAGGGCAAACGTCGGTCATACTCGGCCAATGAAAACCACCTGCTGGTCGAGTTAAAGGAGGAGAAGAGGCTGTCATGGAGCGAAATCGAAGCACATTTTCCTAGCCGCAAACGTTCATCATTGCAGGTACATTATTCTACCAAGTTAAAGAGGCGATCTACTAGTTAGAACTGGCCATGGGCCGGGAATGTAAGGAAATATCCACAAACAACTATTAGTATTCACGCTCGAGAATCAAACCAAACACAACGGAGATCGCCAATGTAACACGTTGAAATAGATTTCCTCACCCCGAGATCCCAAGACGTTTTGCATTTCCGGCGTCCACTTGATATAGTCGTCGTTTTGCCGGCCCCAGTGGCTGCTTAGCCAGTCGGCATCTCAGAGTCGAACGATGAAAGTCGATAATCAAAGCACGACCGAGCTCTTCACACCAAAGTACATTTTCTTATCTGAGGTCTTCATGAATTATACCCAGGGCTTTAACTTCTTTGTTTGACCTGTGAATCTCTCGGCGGAGGTGTGCAGTCAGCTCCATCGTGGCTGTGCTCTCACTGCCCCAGCCCATAAGCCGCTGACCGGGGGGTGGGTGGGGGTGATTCGCGTTCGCCCCTCAGCTGAGGATCCCACAGTGATTTTTATTGGCTCTATCTACGTATCTCAAAAATTAGCTTCTTGTCATATGTAAACAGCTATTTCAACCCCGCGCCGGGCTGACGTGGACATACATCCTACTGTGGATGTCTCGGGACGTACCGTCGAAATCTTCTATTGTAGTTTCGTTTATGTCGATCTACCACCTGCCCATTCTCACATCGCTAGTAGTGAGGAGTTTCTTTATGAATTATTACGTTCGGCGCGAAGAATTTTCGGGGAATTCAAGGAAAGGTAATACTGGACCACTTGAAAATGGTCGTAATCTTTCACTATCATGCAATTGGACATCTTATCATACCCACGCTGACCCAATAAAACCACGGAAGTTTGGGTCAAACGCGACCAGTATCCGACATGAGAGAAATTTGCCTAAATAGAAATTATTCTTGAAACTGTGCACCACCATGAGCCGCACACCTTCCTTAGCGATTCCCCAATATTTCTGCCACATGTTGCCGTCTCTGTTAGTTATTAGGTTTGCAGAGTTCTGGAAATGTACAAGAGTAAGAAGCGCGCTATTTCTGCAGCACTGATCGAAGATGACCGAAACTAGCCAACACAATAACGTAATTCCCGGTCACCCTGGCCACCCGGTCACCCTGGCCACCCCATCAGAAAACGCGTCAACCTACCAACCTACCAACTTCAACCAACTACCATGCCACCAATTCGCTCTGAATCCTTACAAAAATCGGCCAATCAAGAGGGCAGGATCTTATTAGCCCTCGATGATATTAAAAATGGCCGTATCAAATCTATTCGTGCAGCAGCAAAGCTATACGAAATTCCACGCAGTACCCTACAAACGCGTGCATGTGGTGTAGTCTCTATCGCAGAGAGACGTAACCCTAACCATAAACTGACCCAATTGGAAGAGGATTCGCTTGTTGATTGGATTATCTCTATGGATTCACGTGGAGCAGCCCCTAGGCCAGCTACTGTAGCCAAAATGGCTAATATCCTACTGGCTGCACGCGGTAGCTACCCTCCACCTACGGTTGGCAAGAATTGGCCATCAACCTTTATAAATCGACGTAAAGAGATTCGATCACGCTTCTCTAGGCGATATGACTACCAGCGCGCACTAAACGAAGACCCAAAATCGCTACGAGAGTGGTTTACGACCGTACAGCGTGTTATCGACGAGAATGGTATACAAGCGGAGGATATCTACAACTTTGATGAGACAGGATTTGCTATGGGTCTTATATCTACGCAGAAGGTGGTTACGCGAGCTGAATACTACGGTCGGCGATCGATACTACAGCCAGGAAATCGTGAATGGGTTACTGCTATCGAAGCAATTTGCGCAGATGGCTATTCGCTACCGCCATGTGTGATTTTCAAAGGCAAAGTTGCTATCGCTGGTTGGTTTGAAAACCTACCACGAGATTGGCGATTTGAGGTATCCAAGAACGGCTGGACTACTGATGAGATTGGCCTACGCTGGCTAGAAAAGCTATTCATCCCATCAACGAATTTGCGTGTTCGTGGCCGGTTTCGGCTACTAATCCTTGATGGCCATGGTAGCCACCTTACACCTCAATTTGATAGAGTATGCGCCGAAAACGATATTATACCTCTTTGTATGCCTGCACATTCATCACATCTACTACAGCCACTAGATGTTGGCTGTTTTGCAGTGCTAAAGCGTACGTATAGTCGCTTTATAAGCGATCTTGCACGCAGAGGATATAACCATATCGATAAATTCGATTTCCTAGAGGACTACCAACGCGCACGGCTAGAAGCCTACCAACCTAGCACTATTCAAAATAGCTTCGCAGCTAGTGGCCTAGTACCAATCAATGCAGAAAGAGTGCTCTCGAAGCTTAATATCTCTCTACGAACACCTACACCACCAAGCAGCCGACCGAGCAGCAGATCTAGCCAATTCACACCAAAAACACCTAGAACCGTTACTCAACTATTCAAACAAGCTTCTATGTTAAAAGATCTACTAAAGCGACGGTCAATGAGTCCTCCAAGCCCATCAAAAACTATCTTGGATCGACTTATCAAGGGTCACTACCTATCACTACACAACACCGCATTGCTTGCACAGGATAATGCGAATCTACGCGCAGCGAATGAGAAGATCGTTAAGAAGCGCAATCGGTCGCATAAGCAGATACCCTGCGAAGAGGGTTTGACTGTTGAAGAGGGCCTACAGCTAGTTGCGCAGCTCGATTCGCCAGCAGAAGCACCGGTAATAGAATCGGATACGCAGGGTGAATTTCCTATTCAGGCAGATAGGCCGGCTACTAGGGCTCCGCCTAGGTGTAGTGGGTGTAGGGAGATTGGCCACAGGATTAATACATGTAAAAATCGCTATATTTAGTTGAATTAATGGGTGTTGGTTGAGATAATTGATCTTGAAATTTTCTAATGGGCGTGGGTGGCCAGGGTGACCGGGTGGCCAGGGTGACCGGGAATTACGTTATCAAAATTTGCTTAGTTGCAAAATGCACAAGACAGCCAATTATAGGAAAGCCTAGAGCCAATCAGAAAGGCAAGGCTTAGCGCTGACAAGGAACGAGTGACGTGGCAAACCCAGCCCACAGAGACCCATGAAACTGCGTTTCAGAAGGCGGAAGACTGAGCACAGGCAGGATTTCCTTCACTTTGGTGCCTTAACTCCCCATTCAAATCATTTCGTCTACATTAACACCAAAACACAAAGAAATCAATAATATCTCACCTTGCGTAATCATGGACAGTAGCAAGCAGACTACTGAGAACAGCAGGACTGTGAAGACAAAACTTATGGAAGAAGGGAGAAATACTCATGGTGGGTTGTCAGGAGTAGTTGCTCTTTTGGATCACGGAGACGCGATTCCAATCACCAAAGACATTATGGAGTTGGCCGCTGCGAATGAGGGAAAGGGAGACCGGCTGATGGCTCTCTTCTTCGAGAAACGAGGAGACACGATCCCAGTCACTGAGGATGTTGTGAAAGCTGCTGTCCAGAATATGGTAAAGGGAGACAACCTAATGGCTCTCTTCTTCGAGAAACGAGGAGACACGATCCCAATCACTGAAGAGATTGTGAAAGTAGCTGTCCGGAACACAGCGATCGGAGATAAACTGATGGTTCTTTTCTTTGAGAAACAAGGAGATTCAATCCCAATCACTGAGGATGTTATGAAAGCGGCTGTCCAGAATATTGGAATAGGAGACCAGCTGATAGCTTTCTTCTTTGAGAAACAAGGAGATGCGATCCCAATCACTGAGGATATTGTAAAAGCAGCTGTCCGGAATACAGTGAACGGAGACAAAATGATGGCTCTTTTCTTCGAGAAACGAGGCGATGCGATCCCAATCACTGAGGATATTGTGAAAGCAGCTATCCGGAATACAGCGATCGGAGACAAAATGATGGCTCTCTTCTTTGAGAAACGAGGAGATGCGATCCTAATCACTGAAGATATTGTGGAAGCGGCTATCCGGAACACAGCGATCGGAGACAAAATAATAGCTCTCTTCTTTGAGAAACGAGGAGATGCGATCCCAATCACTGAGGATATTGTGGAAGCGGCTGTCCAGAACACAGTGAATGGAGACAAAATGATGGCTCTTTTCTTCGAGAAACGAGGCGATGCGATCCCAATCACTGAGGATATTGTGAAAGCAGCTGTCCGGAATTCGGGAAATGGAGACAAACTGATGACTCTTTTCTTCGAGAAACGAGGAGATGCGATCCCAATCACTGAGAGTGTTGTGAAAGCGGCCGTCCAGAATACAGCAAAGGGAGATAAACTGATGGCTCTCTTTCTCAAGAAACTTAGACATCAATTTCCGCTCACAGAGGATGTAATGAAGGTAATAGTCGGGGATATACATAGTGCGGATCGACTGGTAACTCTCCTTTTCAAAAATTATGATGATAAAATTGCTCTTACCCAAGATATTGTGGAGGTTGCTGTTTTGAACGAGCATAAAGGTGACAAGGTTATGTCTTTTCTCCTTGACCATCAAGGGGAGGATATTTTAATTACCGAAGATATCCTTTTGTTAGTCGCACGAAATGTATACCGGGCTGAGATTTTGATGTCCGTCCTCATTGACAGAAGAGGAGATCAGATCAGAATTACAGAACGCGTCATGGTGGCAGTCGCCCAGAATGAACAGACTGGTGTTCAAATTGCTGTGTCTCTTCTTGAAAAGCAAGGAGATAATGTTCCTATCACCCCACTGGTTATGGAAACGGCTATAAGAAACAGTAGATGTGGAGACCAGCTGATGGCTCTCTTCTTCGAGAAACAAGGAGACACGATCTCAATCACTGAGGATGTTGTGAAAGCTGCTACTCAGGATTGGAGGAAGGGCGATCAGCTAATGGCCCTCTTCTTCTAGAAACGAGGCGATGCGATCCCAATCACTGAGGATATTGTGAAAGCAGCTGTCCAGAATACGGGAAATGGAGACAAACTGATGACTCTCTTCTTTGACAAACGAGGAGACATGATCCCAATCACTGAAGAGATTGTGAAAGCGGCTGTCCAAACTACAGCAAAGGGAGATAAACTGATAGCTCTCTTCCTTGAGAAACGAAGAGATGCGATTACAATCACTGAAGATATGTTGAGGATAGCTGCAGCGAATTGGCGAAATGGAGACCGGCTGATGGATCTCTTCTTTGAGAAACAAGGAGATGCAATCCTAATTACTGAGGGTGTTGTGAAAGCGGCTGTCCAGAACACAGTGAACGGAGACAAAATGATGGCTCTTTTCTTCGAGAAACGAGGCGATGCGATCCCAATCACTGAGGATATTGTGAAAGCAGCTGTCCGGAATACAGCGATCGGAGACAAAATGATGGCTCTTTTCTTCAAGAAACGAGGAGATGCGATCCCAATCACTGAGGATATTGTGAAAGCAGCTGTCCGGAATACGGGAAATGGAGACAAACTGATAACTCTCTTCTTTGAGAAACTAGGAGATGCGATCCCAATCACTGAGAGTGTTGTGAAAGCGGCTGTCCAGAATACGACGAAGGGAGACGAACTGCTGGCTCTTTGTGTGAACAAACTAGGAGACTCAATCTATATAACCGGTGAAATCCTAGAGGCGTTTGTACACAATTCTCAGAAAGGACGTTCGTTGATGACTCTTGTTCTTGATAGTAATCTCAAAATTCCCGTCGATTACAATTGGATACACGAGCTCGGTATTGTGGGATATAATACACAGGATATATTTGAGCTGCTTTCGGATAGCGTGAAAGACTCTCCTTGGATCTTCTTCAATCCTATTTCCCTCGATCTTGCTGATATAAGGGACAACAGACATATACCAGGATGTTGCCATGAAGTTTTGGGTGGTGGATCATGGGCATCAGGGGGCCCAAAGCTCGATCATAATCCCTTCAATATTGATCATCGGAGTACCACTGAGCAGATCCAGGGACTCTGTGGACTCGCTGGAATAAGTCCATCAACTCGCTCCTCCAGGGACTGGATTGGATCCATTCAGTTCAGCAACGAGAATTGCAGTATAAAGGCTTCATATACTCTTGCCACCGATCGAAGTCAACCAATCAATATCGGATTTATTTGGTCTCGCATCTCTCGCGCCCTTGCAGGGGTCTGCGACGCTATTGCCCTGACACAGTCAAAGAATTTGTGTTGCAGTTCTTTCACAATAATCAAGGAAGGTGCCCACACCTTGGAGATACCTCGGGGCGAGACTATTTCCGTGACTTTCAAATCCGTTCTTGCTCTATCCGAGGCACTGAAGCGTGTATTAGAACCAACATCTGAGCAATCTAGCCTGAGAACTCTTCTATCTGCTTCCGAGACAATCTTAGAATTGGTCTGGTCAGATGTTGCGAGATACCAAAAAGGCTCTGAAATGGAATGGTGCATTCATCTCTGTGCGGTAACAGTCCAATTCCTCTGTGTTGGCTTTTTATCCTATTCACAAGCACATATTGGTCCATTCCAGCCGTTCTTTCTGGATAGCCCCCTACATCAGATGACGTTGAGTGGACTTGACTGGGAAGCAGACTTCCCCCAATTAATAGCAGAACTTGTTGATCTCACGTGTTTAGGTGAAATGACCGGTGGGCCAGTCTTGATTTTCCGTGCCAGCCAGGGTTCATCGCAGCCCAGAGAGCTAGAAAAGCCTCAAGACTTACAGATAAGCATCAAGTACGACATCCTTGGCCACATTGAGGATATACTGGATACTTGGGGACCGGGGTCCCTGATATTTCTGAGTGATTTACCGGCACTTCCAGTCGCAATCAAAATCGGCAAGGGATTTATTTTCGCTGGTAACGGCCAAACATATCACTGGTCTAAGGATATCCAAGATATAGAGGATTAAAGTCCCGTCAATATTGAAGATCCACTCCTGATTGGATCTCTGGTGAAAACAAACACCACATGCAACCTTGAGGAAAGGGAATGCTGGGAAAAGTCTCAAAACTCATTGCACATTCTGGGAACTGGCCCTACGATATACAAACCTTCGCAACGGCAGATCAACGTCGGTGTCAGCGAGGTCCCAGGTAGCCAGGTTTCCCAAACTTGGAATAAGCAAAGGGGTGTCACGGTGAAAGACATTATGCTCAATTTCCCAGATGTGATACATACCTATTTGGATTATTACTATGGCGTTCAAGTTAGCTACTGTACAGGGATCGCCAGGAGAGTTCCACTACGAACGCTTATTGCAGACTTAATCCCGCATTTTTGCATCAACTCAAACTTCGACCCAGACCTTGTTGAGTCCAAAATTAGACGGGAGTGTCTAAGACCAAAAGATCCCTTTTTTGACAGAAAGACTTTGAGCCTTATTAATCAAATTTTACAGGCTCTTGGGCCGACCGGATTAGACTTGACAGAAAAATACATTTGTGTTGCTTGGCCATTCGAAGGCTTTCAGACTAGCTGCTTCAAGATTCCGCTCGAGGGTGAAAATTCTTGGGCTAAATTTTTGGAGGACTCCCAGGACTTTGCAACTTTCGCATATATCACGATGGAATGTTTCGAAACAGAGAATTTCAAATGCCGCAGCAGAGCACCAGAAGCTTGTCAACATATTCACCTTCTAGAAACTGCTGTTTTTCGCGCTCAACAAAAACTCAATCAATCGCCGCTCCAGGATGAGGAAGTTTGCTTTTTCCCAAGACTGGAGGGTATGTTCTGGGTCAAGGTGCTCAAGGAGCACATTTCTCAGCCAGCACGTCTTTTCAAATTGGAGACCATTTTGTCAATGCATCGCAACATCAGGCACAGGGTATACTGGAATGAGACACAAAAACAGCGGGACTGTCTTCGGGAATGTTCTACAGCCGGAACCCGAGGGGAGGTTGTTTCAGTGTTATCTGGAAGGAGGCGGAGGTAGTCACAGATCAAGTGATTTTCAAGCTTTTTGCCGAAAATAGACACTGTCAAAAATAAGGCCAATGAGAGATTGGCTTAATCTGAAGGTTGTGTTTTCTCTTGGGGGCCTGACGAGTATCAAGATCCCCAGAGCGGATGTCGCATGGCTATAGAGCGAATAGAGCTTACAGCTAGTGAGATGGACTGAGACAGGTACGGTAAATCTGAATGCAACATCAAGCCATATGTACACATTGTGAATCGGGGTCGGATTCCATGCTGAGGGCCTGAATGCCACATTATAAAAAGATGCCCATATCCGCTTGCAACCAGCATCATCAACAACCACGGTCAATTCAATCATCAATCGCTTCTAGTTCTACTCAAACGCATTGATACTAGTCAATTATTTACCAAGAATGAAGGCCGCAATCATCTCCTCTCTTTACCTTGCCGCCACCGGTGCCCTCGCTGTGCCTACCAAGCGGGCCGGTCAAGCTGTCACCATCACTGGTCTTAAGGCCACTTATTCGGACCAGCAGGGCTCCGTTCAGTTCTCTCTATGGGATCCAAACTACTCCGACAGCACCAGCGCAAGCCTAAATTGGTATGTTTTCCAATTGCCCTATTTTCCTGTCGACAAAAGTAACTAACGCTTACTTTAGGGATCGCCCCGGACAGCCACCCGCCGAAAGCTGGTCGGCCGATCACAACTATGTTGTTAAGTTCCCCAACGGTGTGAACTATGAGCAGCCGACGTGGTTGAGCTTTGTTATCAAGCGTACTGGGGGTGCAGAAGAAATTGATGTGGCTTTGGGTTCTAATGCTGATGCTTCCCAGTGGGGATGTCACAAAGAAGAGGGAACGCAGGTTTGCATTTTTACTGGTGATCTAATTGTCACCCCTTACTCTCCTTAGATTTTGGCTTTTCGCTTTCAGTTCTTGGTTTCTGGTTTTTGTTCTTGGTTGATGTGGATGTGGATGTGGATGTACACATAATGAGGGGGTTGCAGGAATAGGGGAGCTATATTTTACCTGATCACTCATTTTGAATGTTTTGTCTCTGTTACTATTGAATTTATAAATATCAGTATGTGTGGTTTTTCCCTACTATTATTTGAGTTCAAACTCGCTATTTTTTGGAGTTGAATGTTTTCAACGCATTCAACATCCTAAACAAAATTGCTCTGCAAAGCCGACGACCAACCAGCAAACCTCCCTTATCGAAATCAGGAAAGCCGAGCTTCTAGAAGTTAAACACGACCAGAGAAACCTTTAAGAACAGAATAGAGAGCTTCACGAGGAAGTGTGAGCTCTGCGAGTACAGATCGAAGCCAGGCCTCAGGCCTCGCCGGCCTTAACGTGGGCCACTGTAGTATCTAACCTCTTTTCTTCTCTCTCTCAGCTTAGTACCTTCGTTCAATGTTACTGCTATCTTCCAAAGCATCTGAGTCCTTACACTACCGCTTTATCAAGGTTTAGCAATATTTGTATGGTGGGTCCAATTTTTAGCCTAAAATTTATCGCACGAAGGGTGATATCGTACTAAACCTACATCGTACTAAACAGGTTTAACAGTATCTTGAATCATCTCCAGCTTTGGGATGGGGAGTCTTGGCGCCCTGTTGTACAAAGAGGGGTGCAAGGATCAGGACGTTGGGGGAGGTGGGATTTGGCGGAAGAGATGGGCGGACGACCACCGAATGTGAAGGAAAATCAATCCATCTGCTTACCCTTGCTTAACCCCTCTGCTCAGGGAGCTGGTGGAGCTAATTTGGGCGAAAAGTCTGGGGGGTGCCATCTATTAGGAAATACACGTGACTTGGAAGAGTCGGGGTTTCCTGGGAGCTTTGGGGTCCCTCTCAAACTCAAAAAAGGTGGTTGAGAGCGGTGCGTCATCTCTCGATCAAATGTATCAGCCACAAGCTGTACTCTGGTTGCTCTCAGAATATGCGCTTGATGTCATTGGGTCGCAACAGTTTCTTCTCATGGTGAGGTTAAAACGTTTGATCTGGAACCTTTTGGCTGCTTATAGCAGACTGCGGCGGACTGCCTGGATCTGACTTTCTGGATCGGGTCGATCCGTGCCCAGGAACAGTACCCGCCCCACCCCCTACAGTATGGAACCATGATCGACAGATTGTCATTCGGAAAGCCGTGGGGGGCGACGTTCCTGGCTTGTGCTCTTATATCACATGATGACGGACGAGACGGAGAACTTGCCCCTCTTTCAGCTTGTGGGGTCTAAGAAGCATTCCTACCATAATCCATACACAAGGCATTTTATTTGATTATGGAATCAGTATCATTTGGAGACTGCAATCATGGACTGCAGGTTGGACACAGCAGCGGCTCGATCCACAATGAAATCCATCTGCCGCCAGCTAAGTCAGGAATTGGACACGGTCGCAAGGTCGGCTTCCTAATGACTAGTGCCCGACCCCAGAGCGACCGGTGACCCCGCCTAGCCCTCTATCGACTGTTCCATTCCCGCGCGATCCGCATTTTGTCTCTCGCGACACGCTGCTCCATCAGATTCATGAGAAAACATCGGTGCCAGAGGGTCGAGAATCGCGCTAGTGGGTCTCGGCGGTGTCGGGTGAGTGTAGAGCGACGCGAACGTAGGCCTTTGCTCACAACCCGAAGGAAATCACAGCTTGCCATCGAATACTCCTATCAGGTCCGGTCCAAACCAGCGACATAGGTTTTTTGGGTCCATGCAAGTAACGAAGCTCGATTCGAGCAAACTTTCCGAGACTTAGCGGATCAGGTCAAAATCTACGGTCGCTAAGATCCGAAAGCTAATATGTTTAAACTGGTCGAGAACAAGCTCCGGGATGAGAAGTAAGGGAAATGGATTTGTATCCTTGATTAATGTCGATGACGATAAGTTCCTTTGCTCGCTTCCGACGGCAGGCAAGGAAGATCCAACGATAGGCCCAACGAACAGCATAACAAAAAAACCACTCTTGGAATACGTTCCTCGAAGCCGAAATGGATCCATCATTATTATAAGTCGGAGCAGAGAGGTTGCTTTAAAAATGGTCGACCATGAGCACCTTATTACAGTAGAACCGATGGAGAAGTCTGAGTCGCTGGAGCTTCTTCGAAGAAAGCTTCAGCACCCAGAGGAGAGCCAAGAATATCTACAATCAGTAAACGCGTCGGAGTTCATGCCGCTAGCGATCATACAGGCAGCCAGCTATTCGAAATCGGGCGCCTCGCTATTCGGTATCCCAATACCTAGCAGACTTTGAAGGGAGTGACCGTAAAGCGACAAGGCTTCTGGCAAAAGAGGCAGGTCGCCTCTCCCGGGACTGGGAAGCCACGAATTCAATTCTTGTGACGTGGCAAATTTCTTTCGGTCATCTTCGCCAAACAAATCCACCTGCAGCAGAGTTACTTTCATTCATGAGCTTTTTTGACTGGCAAGGGATACCAGAGAACCTTATTCGGCTTCGGCCTGAGGCCAAATGTACCTCTGGTGCAGAACTCTTTGACGGCTCCAGTGATGGGATGACATCTGAATCCGATAGAGACCCCGAATTTGAAGATGATATTACGACATTAAGAAATTACTCATTCGTATCCGTCAGTGAGAACAACACTTTCTTTACTATACATCGGCTGGTGCAACTGACTACGCGCGCATGGTTGAAATCTCACAGATAAATAGACCGATGGAAGAATAGATTCATTAGCATCCTGTGTGACAAATTTCCCACCGGTGAATACGAAAACTGGGAGAGGTGCAGGCTAATTTTTCCCCATGTCAAATCCGTAATGTCACAGTGGTCAGCATCACCTCAGTGTCTACTACAATGGGCTATATTGCTTTATAGGGGCGCATGGTATGCGGGGCAAAGCGGTAACATCGCGTATACAAGAGAAATAGCATCAAAATCAAGAGACCAAAGAAGAATTTTATTAGGTGACGAACACAAGGAAGTCATTGATAGCACAAGCATGTTGGCAACAGCATACAGGCTGAATGGGAGATAGAAGGAGGCCGAGCAGCTCTTTGTGCAGGTGATGGAGACGAGCAAGACGAAGCTTAGCGAGGATCATCCCCACACACTGACGAGTATGGCCAACCTCGCTTTCACTTGGAAATCTTCAGCTCACGATGCCGAAGCCATAGCTCTGCTAAGAACGTGCTTCACCAAGCAGAAGCAAATACTCGGCCTCAGCCATCCCACTACTTTATCTAGTTCTGGAACATTGTTAGAATGGGAAGTGGAAGTCACACGGGATACTGAAGGTGAATGGGAAACGGATGAGAAGTGGGAAACTAATGGAGAACGACATTGAGCCCTGGATGCGTCTCGGACTAGGGTACAAGAATGAAATACTGAGGAAGAATAGTGAATTCTCAGCTGCGGAGCTGTCGTGGTTGCGCGTGGCCAATTTAGTAATTCACAGGTCAGCCCCATTCATGCAGTATATCTCCTCATCTCTATCTGAATGATCCGATATGTCTTGTCTGGAAGGTATCCAGTATCCTATTATCTACCAAAGCCTACTAACCATGATGAGATTACAGTACCCGCATCAATCAACAGTATCGCACCCTGGCCCTCCTTTTACTTTCTGCTGCACAGTCGGATCCTCCCAATAACACGCAGATGGTGTAGAAACTGAATGAGAATCATACCTCTGCCGAAGATTTCCTCTCCGCTGCACTGTTTGGCTCCCAACCTGCGGTTGCCATCTCAAACCCCCCAAACTCAAATCCTGGCGCGACAGAGCAGCCTACCAGCGTCCACTCTCCTAAAGACCGCGCATGCTGCCATTCTCCGCGCTCAATAACAATCTGTGGCCTCTCACCCTCCCAAATATCGGGCCCAAGAACTAGGTCGCGGATGGGCTTGCCATCGTCCCAGGATAGCGAGAGCTGCAACGGTGCGCCAGCATAATAATGCCACACTTCGACAGCGTCAAGCACACGATGCCAGTGCGATAGGCCGGATTCGCCTTCGAGGAGATAATAGATATAGGTGCTGAGTGCGCGGCCCTCGACCGATACATTTGAGTCTCTGAATGTCTCAATGTAAAAGCCTTTCTCAGGATGGGGCGTAAGGTTGAGGGCAGCAATAACATCCTCGGCCCTATGTGTAGCAGTCATCGCGTATGGTGTTTACGGCTCGAGACTATCTTGAGTGGGAGTACATTCAATAATCATGTAAAAGATTAGTGGCAAAGTTCGATATAGGTTGTTCACAGGCTCAAAGGCCACTCAGGAGCCAGTGGCACCTGTGCATTCCTTGTGGCTTTTATAATAATCTTTTTGATGGTCTACCTAGATCCCCTTGATCAGCTGGAGCGGAAGCGACCGGATCGATTTTATGTCTTACAAATGTACACAGACGCAGAGTCTGACCGACGCAGAGTCTGACCGCAGCAGAGTGGCCTCGATGGAATTCAGCCTCCGTATACTATGCTCAACCGCGACAAGGATCGCCTCGGTCGCAGGATTAGGCAGAAAGGCGAGTGATGCAATCTTGCTGAATTTATGCCCTCGAATGTACTCCGGCCACCGGGTAAGCTCAAGCCAGGGTGAAGTCTCGGTCTCATCATGGTGGGTTGGTACAATCTTATCTTTAGCCTTTGCAAGCCCGTCCGAGCGGAGGGGCGCTGAGTTGACCTGGGATTGAATAAAGTCTGCCTTCGTTATTTCTAGTGCTGGTCGGATCCGTCGTTCATCCGCGATAGGTGTAACCACGAAGGAGCTACTATAGATGCCAGTTTTGAATAGTTGCTGGCATTTCACAGGCTGTAGCTGAGCACAACCCGCACGTTTTAGCCGTCCCCTCTGGCTAGTGAGGTTGGGATGTTTCTCACGGTGATGGTTCCGGATGGTAGAGTGGTGGAGAGCTATATAAATGCAGTGTTTTTCTGGACATCGATAGCCATTATAGACCGGCAATCCATCAATAGGTCGAGCATCTGGAGATGGGATGTGGAACGGCTCAATGTCGGGATTCCAGGGGCCGAACTTTATCGCTTCAGTGTATATAGCTGCCCTCTGTGCGCTAGATCTGGCATATGGATCATATGGTATGTTGGCCGGCTAAGTGACTCAACTTATGATTAGGGGTCACGGCCCACCGGCAGGTTTTGCAGATCCAGATCCGGTGGGTGGAATTGTAGTGGAAGAGCTCTACAAGAGTATCTATGATATCAGTGTTGCTAGGAGGCTGGGTGAGAAAAAAGCCTAAGACCTGTAGGATTTGTAAGGTAAGTTGGTAAACAGTGGAGAAGAGATTTTTCTATGGATCGTTAGCACAATTGTGAGAACGAAGCCACTGAATATGATAGCTCCGATAGCTTGATATAGGCCAATATTCAGGCGAGAAACCGCATTGAGCCCTGGGTGCGCCGCGGACCAGGGTATAGGTTCTCTTTGCCCGTTCTCTTTCACTTGGTGATCCGTTATGCGGCAAATGAATTTACATTCGAACGCTGCTCCACTGCAAAGGCACTTAAGTACCGGAACTTGGTTCCCAAGGGTATAGACACCAATTACTATCCTCCTCTGCACATTTATAGATTGATCGCATTTTGGTTGCATAGTGGGTGGTGGACGAGGATTCTGAGGTATTTTCGCCATTGGTCGGCGATGGCTAAGCACTGAGCCTACCGATCTCGGAAGACGCAGAGCTAGAGATTCGTCAATTTTCTTAGCACAATTAGTCCTTGCGCGACAACGTTATTACAGTTATGGCGTTGAAATGGAGATTGAAGGAATCACAACTTTGCCTTAGCGGGTGTTATTTCGTGTTCTCTTGATACGTATAGGAGATAAAATACAGCGACCGCTGCCATATCACATACGGCACCTGCCGGGTCGGGCGGCGGAATACGGAGTAGGATTCAGCAGCAATGCGTCTGACCCGCATTTATGGCCTGACTACTCACGCCATCCGTGCCACTTTCTCATATGACATTGGTCCTCTCAATTCCCTCGACAGCCTAACTCGCGATTAAGAAGAAAGAGGGAAAAGCTGCACAAGCACCTATAATGCCAACCCTTAAAGCTGACTCTCCGGAGAATAAGGGGTCGGAGACTGGGATTGACCAGAGCATTGTAGAAGTTGTTGCTAGGTGAGAACGGACAAGCTCCACCAGCGATAGCGATAAGTGCTGATATTCAGAGCAGTCTCCATTTGAGTACAGATTATAGTGACTTGGATATCAAATGTGGTGAATTTATTAAGGCCCATAGAAACATTGTATGTCTTAGATCAAAGTGGTTCAGAAACGCTTGCTCGGAAAGATTCATGATAAGGGATTTTAGAATCGTTCTATGAGTTCAACGATGACACAAGCCTCTAGCAAACCTTGAAACCAATTGATCTACATGATAGAGGTGCCGCTAATGTGAAAAAATGGTTGGAATATATATACACGGAGAATTGTATTATTGAACCTTTCTCGTCCCCATCGGCAAATACTTTGGCCCATGCCCCTGGAGCCCCTGACTTCTGCCCAAGTACCGCAAACGATTCGATAGAGGGCGGTCTAAATCACAATTATTTCCTCAAACAGAGGAAGATATATCTCCTATTACGAAACCTCGGCGACAGCCTTCAATGACAACATAGGGAAGCTCCCGGGATTGTCGATAATTGACAGGCCAACTTCAGTTTTTGACTTCCTTGTAAAACATATAATTGAGCAAAGAGAGGTTTTGAAGCCTGTTTTCGACCTATCAGGCTGGTGCTCCATGCTACTTTCATATCCGCATGTATGGTGAAGCTTATTATCTGATGATTCATGACTTGAAATCGAAGGCCAAGGATAGATTCCTCAAAGCTCTCATGATTTGCACCGATCGGAAATCTCTTGAGATTGTAATCGACGAACTTTATCAATAATCATGCAAAATATTACAGTAGAATTCGAAAACAGATTACCCCTCGGACACACTGGCTTTCTTTCGCAGCGCCCCAGCTCAGATCGCGCTAGGCTAGATTGGCTAGTCAAAGTCCAAACTATCCTTTCTCAATGTATTTCTGGTAGATCATCATAATTACCGTAATTACTGGCTTCGTCCAGACGCTAACCCATGCTTTGTTTCTCGATCCGTACGTCCGCTAATACTTCTTTAACCACTTAACTAACGACCCCTGTTTAGTCGTCAGAGCGGGTTGGATTTCCGTCCTCTGATGAGTCATTACAATTTACCGTATTCTCCCATGAAAATCTTTAGTGGGACCTTGAACGGGGTGGGGAAATCTAGTAGTCTGGCTTGATCTACGCTCACTCTCTCTGTGAAGGCTGTGCTACTGTTGTAAAATGACTACAGTATCCCTACTGGGCCAAAAAGCTCTCGTTTGCATCCTCGAATAGCTGCTACCCTATTCCACCTTCCTTCCGCTAGTATCATCTATCCATAGCTGGTACCGCCCGTTGAATCATTAGTCCGCTTTGTTAAGATAGATGCTTGTGTGTGCTTTAAGTCTAAGATTATGCTACTTGGCCGATACAAAATCCCAGTCTCTCGCTAGCAGCACCTGCGCTTGGTGGATTTTGGCCTCCTCCGCGTCCTCAAAGTATTTGTGAGCCGACAACTGCCCGCTCTTGTCTGACCGGTGGAAGTAGGGAGAATCCACCTCGCAGTGCGTATATGTGTCGGGCAATTTGCCTTCGTACAAAAACGCTCGCACATGTTTCGCAATGCACACCGACGGTACTGCAACAGAGCAATGGCCATACCCTTTGACCTCGACGATCTGCGAACCCTCGAATGCCTCATTCGCAGACCACGCAGCTATGAGGGGGCACACGGGGTCGTAAGTTGTCGAAAGTATGAGCAGCGGATGTGTGGTCTTCACACTTTTGCGTGGCACATAGGAATGTGTCTTTGGTACAGCCCAGTGTTGCCGCACGTAATAATTTTTGTTTTGCATAGGGCTGAACAGACTATGGTTGAATAAGGGCACGATTTTATCTAAGAACGTCTGTCTGTCTCGAGGCCAATGCATCGGGCCACTAATACCGTCGTTCAGGGTGATAAACTCGTATGCTTCACGGTTCCAATCCCGAATCTCCTCAACTCCATATGCTAGGAATGCATCTGTCGCATTCCCTTGGATCAGTCTGTACATATTATCCGCAAGTGCAGCCCACATTGAAGGTTTGTGCAGGGCCTCGAGAAACCCCTGGTACCAGACCTTCTCATAGTCAAGCAAGCCGTAAACGGAGTTGTTGATGTATACACTGACGGGCTGATCTCGAAGCGTATCTATGTACGAGAGCACGGTGTCACGCAATTCCTCTTTGGATGCTGCCAACAAGGCCAGGGAGCAGTTTTCTGCTCCGCCGTTGATGCACTCGTCAAAGAAGCCATCGAGCACCGTGTCCGTGTCGATTAGTGACTGTGCTTCAAAAAGACCTTCGTACCACTCGAATTGATCTATGACCCCATCAATGATAACGCGCTTTGAACGTTCGGGAAATAGCCCTGCATATGTCTGACCTAGCAGACTGCCATAACTGAATCCCCAGTATATCATGTCTTGCTGGCCCAGAGCATCAAGAATGCTGTTCATGTCGGCGGCGGTCTGGGGAGTGTTGAGATACTTGGCATACTCGCCCATCGTGTCAGGACATGCCTTGGCAAAATTCTGCGCCCACGCATAGACTTCGGGGCTATCGCCTATTACATGTAGAGATCGAACGCGGGACAATTTCTGTCGGGTCCTATCGTCCGGATAGCAAGAGGCTATTGGTGTCGAGCTATTGACCCCGCGAGGGTCGAATGAGAGTAGGTGGAAACCTTCGCCGACCACGGCCTTCAGCTGCTCTCCTCGGCGGTAGAGAAACTCAAAGCCGCTAGCTCCAGGACCACCAGGGTTTAAAAGGAGATTTTGGGTCGCGCTGTTGCCTCGCATGCGAACAAGTGGGATGGTAAAGGTCCTATCTCCCGGGAACCCCAGATCGAATTGGTCCATAGGAACATTAATACTGCTGCATTCAAGGGGATTGCCCTTAAAGCTCCCACAGGACTGCCAGCTGATGAGCTCTTCATTGTATTTGAGGGACGCTGATTCAGTCGTCGATGGCAATATGCCCAGCCAGCCATGCAAAATAATGTAAAAGCATGATAAGAAAGATGGAATA